TTTTTTACCTACATTTAGGTTTGTTTACTACTATAATATGGTTTTTAATAGCTACCTACCACGTGACATGCGTCGCGAGGGTATTTAGTCTTCTATAAAGACATCACGCATGGCCTTGAGGAACTAAGGCCTTAGAAAGGGGGGGGTAGTTATAAGGCCCTCGCGAATATACTTAGATATTTCTAACCCATGGTCCTTAGTTAGCCCGCGGGCTAACTAAGCCTATAGAGAATTTCCTCTACTCGCGAAGGGTTAATTCTAACCTTTAGCATTAATCTACCATCAGATCCTTATTCTTGGAATAAACCTATCGTGATAACCTATCTACTCTTATTATAACCTTTCACACTACTCGCAAATCTCTAAAAGGCCAAGGACCTTTATAATTATATAATAGAGTAATACACTAGATGCTTCCTCCTAGCTAATATCTAGAGTAACTATTACTTTATCTTATAGTCTTTCTTCTTTAAGTACTATGAGTATTGTCTATTTCATCTTATATACTTCCTAGATTAATTTATTTACGTCCTTAACTACTTGTTTAGTTTTCTTTAATTCTTTAATTATGGCGAGGGTGAGCTGTTTAAAGCCATGACTAAGTAATTCATGAATAAACTTATCTTTTTCTAGGTATCGCGCTATTTTATCCTTAGAGATTTCTTCTATTATATCTATTTCATTCCTATTATCATTTGTCATGGTGATTGGTCTGGTTATTACAAAGGCAGTATTAATTTAAGAGTCATGGGTGGCTAGTCTATTCTTTTTATACTTTAATTAATAATTCTTTTTCACATGTCTAACTTTTCTATATTTATAATACTTTCCTTTAAAGTATTACTTCTCATGTAGTCTATCCTTCTATTCTCTAGTAATAATAGCTATATTTATTTCCATGTCTCTATCTTAGTCTTATTTAACCTTTTTATTATTACTAAACTATTTATATTACTTCTACTAGTCTATCTATTATTTATATTATTAGTTCTCGATCCATGATGCAGCATTAATAAGTTCATCTAAGTTATCTAGTTAGTTATTAATAAGAGTAAGTGCGTCCTTGGTCTTGTCTTAAAGTCTAGTGTAATACCTAGACATGAGGGCTTCATCTCCCTATTATAGGTTAGATGTGATCTAATAGAACTTAGTAGTATATTCTCTAATATTTATCTTACCTTAATATAGGTTAGTAATTTTTAATTCTATAGTTTATCTAGTATCTAGGTCTCTAAAGGCTTTAGTAATTTATTTCTTAAATTCTTTATAATCCCTAAAGATCCTCTTTATTAAAGGTTTCTATCGCGTAGTAGTATTCTCATTATAGTCACGTATATATAGCTTGAATTATATAAATACTAATCCTCCTAGGTATATTCCTATGAATATAACCTTATCATGTTTATTTGCCCTATCTAAGTTATTAATCTTGATATATATATTCATGGAGGTTAGATAACTTCTAAGAGTTAAATACTTACCTTTAAATACTTTAGCTTTATTTGCCTTAATCCCTTTAAACATTTTAAGCTAATAGGTCTTTATAAGTAGGTAACTAATAGCTTATTTAAGCTAAGTAATCTTCTCTATATTAGTAAGAGTAGGGGTAGAAAGGTTCTCCTTTAAAGCTAAAATAAGCTATGCTACTTTACCTTTACTATTACCTATAGTAATAGTAGATGTGTCTTCTTCTTAATTAAAATAAGGGTCTATTACTATTAGATAAGTCTAACTAATCCTACTTAAGGCCTGGAAGGGCTTAAGGTATTCTTATATTAATATAAGAAGACTACTTCTTAATAAACTAAGAAGATAAACTAGGTTTCTAAAAGGTAGGGTAGCTTTAATTCTAAAAGTAATAGATAGTAGCTAAAACTAATTATATACGTGAACAAGTGTCCTTAAATATAGTGTCTATTATATCGCCTAATATGTCCCATCATAGCACCTACTATGTTCTATTAAACTCCCTGATATGACCGTAGCCCTATCTGGTCGTAGTGTCAAATCGTCTAATATGATTAGCTAGATTAACCTTTCATTCTAGCATCGACGTGATATCACGTCGACTCGTGATATCCCGTCATACCGTAATCTTACTAGGCAAATCTATTGGCTGACAGCATCCCGTGTCTTAGCGCGGCTCTCTGACACTTAAGTCTTTTAATCTATTTATCTTGCGCTATATTCTATTTATTCTATGCTATTATAGCGCTCTCGTATGTAGTATGGCTCTGAGTAATTTGTTGCATTAGGGTCTAGGCCTAGCTAGGGGGACTAGATAATTTACTATTCCTTACTATTCTTTACTAATATTCTATTCTAATATTCTAATATGCCTAGGAATGGGACCTTCTAGGGCTTTTATATATATTACAAGCGCTAAAGTATTATACGCGAATTTTCTATTCTAGTGCATCCATTGCTAAATTACTTAGGATTTAGGGTTATTTCTAATAAGTGCCTAGGTTATCCTTCTAGGGCTTTTCTAATATGCCACAAGCACTATAGTGTTATGCGCAAAGGTTCTGTTCTAGTATGTGTCTATTACTGAATCACTAGGGGTTCAGGGGTCGCGTCGCGTACATTATTATTTTAAGTATTATTCATTTGCGTTTCGTTCTGTTAGTTTTAATAATCAAGAATCAGAAGCTTTTCATATATAAAGGGCTAAAGCTAGATTTATATTTAATCTAGCTAGGCCACGAACTATGTATGAAAAGCTTAAAGAAAGAGAAGTTCTCTAGTTGCATTCTTCCCGTCAACATGCCACAGTCACGTGTGCGGGCGCTAGCCCGTGCCTGGTATCAGGCACTGGCCCGTGACACTTTATATACTTAATAGTTTAGGATTAATTAAAGTAGATAGTTATTAAGAAGGAGATAAGTATTCTAGTTAGCCTATTTCTTACTAGAGATTATAAATTTTTTACTTAAGATTATTAACTTATTTAAGATAGTTAAACTTCTATTTTAGTTTATCTAGTTATTCCTCTAAAATAGGCTCCTTAATACTATTCTTATTTACTATAGAAGATTACTAGGGCTATATTCTTTAAGAAGGTAGAATTTATTCTAATACTTAAACTTTATTAGTAGGGTGACTTAATTATAACCTAGTTAAAGGGCTAGAGAGAGGGGATAATAAGGAAACTATAATAATATTATAGGTAATTAAAGATAAAGGATTAGAAATTATAAGAGTCTTAAAGAGAAGTTAATTAAGTATAATATTACTAAGGTAAATATAGAATTAGGATAAAACTAATTCTTACTTTATAAGATATCTAGGACCTTTAGGGGACCTAAGTAACCAGCTATTAAAAGGATAATATTAAGTTAAGGTCTCTTAATCTCCTTAGTTAATCTCTTAGCTCACCCCTTAGCCAACCTCCTTAGGTTATGTGAGTGGATTAGCTAAGTTAACTAAGTTAATTAGTTAACCCCTAGCTGTCGGCCCTTCCTGATGAGCCTGATCCCTCAGGCACCTCATGTACCTGAACCGTTCCGACCGGGGGCCTGGCCCTTCAGGCATCTAGGCCGCTCCGACCGTGACATATTTATAGTAATATTATTATCTAGAGTAAATAATACAAGCCTTACTTATAAAGGGAGAAAGGACTTACCCTTTATAAGAGAGATAGACTTTTAGGTAGATAAAAGCTACCTTAATCCTTTATAAAATAAAGAACTTCGTGATAGGGGAAAAAAGCTAAGAACCTAATATAATAAAGAGCCTTGCAAGGCACTAAATAAGTAATACTTAGTAAGGAAGAGATAAAGGTAGGTAATTACTATAAAGTAACCCTAAGAATAGGGAGACTTTATATTTATAAAAGCTAATACTACATAGTAGAGAATATAAGTAGTAAGTGCCACGAGGATCTTAATACTATAGGATAGAGAAAGGATCCTATAAAGGGTTTATATATAGCTATCTTATAGGGGAGCTATTATAGGGAGTTAAGATAGACTAGGAGTACCTTTTCCTATTATATAGATTTTTTTTACCTATATTTAGATTTATTTACTACTATAATATAGTTTTTAATAGCTACCCACCACGTAATATGTATTATAAGGGTGTTTAGTCTTCTATAAAGATATTATGCATGGCCTTAAGGGACTAAGGCCTTGAAAAGAGGGGGGTAGTTATAAGGCCCTTATTAATATACTTAGATATTTCTAACCCATGGTCCTTAGTTAGCCCATGGGCTGACTAAGCCTATAGAGAATTTCCTCTACTCGCGAAGGGTTAATTCTAACCTTTAGTATTAATCTACTATAAGATCCTTATTCTTGGAATGAACCTATTATGATAACCTATCTACTCTTATTATAACCTTTCACACTACTCGCAAATCTCTAAAAGGCCAAGGACCTTTATAACCTCACTATAGGTGAAGACCAACTGGTAACCACCACCAATCCAACCTCGCTGCTTACACCAATCCATTGTTGTCTCTAAGCCTATTTCATGTATATCAGGGCAATAGAAAATTAGAAAAAGGGGTGATATAACATAAAAAGGTAATACTGTATACACCTCTTTTGTTCATTTAATCAAAGCATATCAAGGTACGAAAGCGGGTTAATGCATTAATAGTGATGCATAAAGATTGGAGTTTTATTTTAGAGAGTGATGTGGTTTGACCAACAACAACTTCAGAGAAATAAAATAAGGACATTATAATAACAAGAGTGGGGCGAAATGAAATCATGTGAGTAGGAGAACTAATAAAATTATAGAAACATATAGTAGCATACCCTGCCAAGGTAGGATACAAGAATTAATATGCAGCTTGCTTGAGATCTAGCAGTGAACATTTTCCCCGTCAAGCATCTGCAGCACAGTCAGGTTTTTATTCCACTAAACTATGCTTGATTGTCTCCATCCACTGTTTTGGTCCGTTCCCATGCTAGCCCAAAACTCAGAAAGAACGCGATAACCCCACACGCAACCGGAAAGTACTAGGAATCGTACGTATAACCATAAGCATGTTAAAGCGTACCACGAACGATATGATCCTAGAGAAAGCGATGGATTTTTGGGTAGGGGTTTGGGTTGGTGGGGTGCTTACAAATATCCTAACCAGCGCCTCGCTATACGTAATAATAAGCCCGGATATTTGCGAGGGCTCAACCAGGTCTCGAATCTCAGTCGCTCCGGCGTTGATTATTAATACAGGATTGACGCCCGGCGCATACTCTAGCAGAAGCGCTGAGAGGCTGTTGCGAAATATAGTCTGGCCAGCTGATATACCCACGGAGCTACCGAGGCTCATGAGGAGGTTGACGACGGCGAGTGCTGTTGCGCTGTCCTTGCTGGGTACTTCTTCTTGGACGGCAGTCACGGGCTGTAGCGGAGGTGTGAATTGTGTTAGTACCAGATTTACCTGTGGGTGGGGTGGAAGGCGTGGTACTGACGACTTGATGTGCCATCCCTCGGCCTATGCTGGTGATGATTTGATACCCGATTAGCTTAGCCATGGGTGTGTCTGGGTTGACGGTTGACAAGAGGCCTGAACCGATTGCGCTGACCATAGATCTGAGGATACTCCATGGTGGGAGATAGAGGAACCTTCGAACTAAAGACCTATGAGTCAGTAATATTGCGACTAGTATGCTTGCAGCAGCTATTTAGAATGCACTTACCAAGTGCCCCGAACGTGATCAAGGCAATAATATTTAACAACAGAGACGGAAGAATATAGACCGCACTCTCGGTGGGAGTATCACCCCTCACAGCTTAGAACCAAAACGGTAAATAGTACGCGACCATCTGTGTACATCCACCTTACAGAAGCATGACCCCTCCCCCGAAAGAAACGGATTGATAACGCAGGCAGCTTGGAGGGATCAGTGCTGCATCCCCGTGGCGAACGAGCCAATAAGCAAGCAGCACTGTTGCGCCAGCAGAGCCACATAGTAGCCCGATGATCACTAAAGAGGACCATGTGTATTCTGAGCCTCCCCAGGTAATCGCTAGGATAAGCATCACAGTTGCGCCGGCGAAAATCGCAAAGCCCATAGGGTCGAACAGGGTATATAGCTCTGATATCACCTTGATTAAAGGAGGCTTCGCGGTCGGCTCGGGGATGTGCACGAATAGTGTGGTTAGCATGGTGGCGCCGCCAATAGGTAGGAAGATCCAGAAGCCTACACGAGGGGTCAGCCAATCTTTACCACAAGTTGAAGGAAGAGGTCGCTTACACCACCTCCAACCTACTTGATCGGTCAAGGCGCCGGGAATCTGGGGTCCCGTTGTAGCTCCGACGGAAATGAGTGCCATAGCGGTGGACGTTACAACCGGTCGGATGTTGGGCGGGCAAGTCGTGAGAATGATGAGCAGGGCACCACTTAAGAGGCCGGTCGACCCCAGGCCGTTGATTGTTCTCCCGAGTATGAAGACGCCACTAGACCGAGCAAGGGCACATATTAAGCTTCCTACTTGGAAAATCACCATGGAAACAAGGTACACGTGTTTGTTCGAGAATACAGTGTACGCCTTTCCGGCCAGCGGGATGAACACGCAACTGGGTCGGTCAGCGTTGGAAGTAAGTTGGATATTTCTGGGCGACGTACACCATGAGAACATATGCCGTCTCGTACCAGGAGACATCGGAGACGGTTTGAAAGTAGTCTGTCAACGTTGGAGTCACCTGAACGAAATGAGCAAACGACTAAGAGAGATAGAGGCGATGAACTAACAGTCGCGAGCATGGTCATGTCAAGGCCAACCAGATATACACCCAACATCAGCCCACCAATAAGTGTTCACAGCGGAATTCCACGAAGTGGCGGCGCTGACTCGGTCGGATCGGGTAATTGGCGCGTCGAGTCGTCGCGATCCGTGGACGGTGGTGGTTGGTCTGATGGCTGTCTGTCCATGGTGAAAGGATGGAACTGTGCTGGTGGTAATTCAAGGGAACGAAGGAACCAACAGCTTCAAGGAGGCTGGGGGGAAGAAAAGCTTTGCGCGGATGGGAAGAATTCGGATCTTGAGACCAAAGAGAGATATCAGCCTGCGGTGAAAGCCGTAGGTTGCCCAACAAGGCACCATTCAACCAATGCACTTTTATTCAATCTGATGTATGAGGAATTCGCATCGAGGGAAGTGAATTCCAAATAAATTCAAGCTTCCGTTTGCGAGGGTGGCGCTGGAAGTTTTGTGTGGTTGTAAATTGCTTTTCCCACTTGTGCAACGTGAGCTTGCCCTCTGTGTCTCAGTTTCCTTGAATTCCCGCGTGCCGCCGCAAGCGTGGACTCAAGTACATGAATTATGTTGAACTTGCGGGCCAACGTCATGACTTGTATCGAACCTTTGCTGCATGGCCTGCTTATATGGAGGTCTCTGCTTCTTCCATCTAGCTGCGATGTTCAACTAAGCGCTACCATCGGACCCGCAGCAGTGCCTTTCAAGCTCGTCGTGACTGATGAGGGGGAAGCCAGCCTATCAGATCACCAGTTGTACCAACAATACCTCCTGTACTGTGGGTATCGCTGTCTGTGTTACGGTCATCTTTCCCTGGCAAGGCAGCCACCGCTCCTTATGCCTCTAATTTCCGTATAGAGACAGAAGATTCAGAGTCTATCGTTGAACGCATAACGAGGGGCAGATATTACTGTTTCATCCGTAGTATGATCGTGTCTTGAATTTCAGGCAGAGGTTAGTGCATAGCAAACAACGTAGAGCACATAGTGCCGCGGCGATGACTCGGCAAAAGATGGACCTGCTTACGGGCGATCTGCAATCACACTAATGTGCTGTAGATGCAAGAGGACGGAAGTGACAGGGTTCCTTTTAAGACAAGTTTTGTCTCACTGTAGAGGCCGAAGCTGGCGAGAACCTAAAATGATTAACCTTCTGCCCACCAGAGAATCCTGTCCTGAGATGTTCGCTCTTTTCCCGTTCATTTCCTGACGCAAAGGCCGTGCTGTATTCAAAACTCGGGCACCATGTCTCCTCGCCGAGATGCTTGTGACCGATGCCATGGTCTCAAAGTGCGCTGTGAAAGACCGCTTCCTTCCTCCACAACCAAACCATGCTCCAGATGCGATCGCTTACAGGTGCCATGTCAGTTCAGCCCCCCAAGGAGGACTGGGCGGCCTCCTCGTTCAGTGACAGAGGCAAAGAACCGCAAGGAAGCTTCGACGGAAGAAACACCATCGATAGCAGAGATCATCCCTGAGATGTCAGACACTTTGTCCGCATACACCCAGAATATCAGTCCGCCATCTCCGAGTCTACTCGAGTCCTTTCCCTTCCTCTCTGAGGACTTGCCTTGGCCTGGTGGAATGGATCTATCGGCCTGGCCGCCGCATAATCTGCCCACGACTCCACAATCGACAGTTTGGCTCGACCCGGCCGTGCTCGAATCCATGACACGATTGAGCAAAGGAACAGAGCCGCATATCATTCCAGAGAGTGTGGCGACCGTCACCGACGATGAGCAGCTGCTTCGTCTTCTTGCGATGCAGAAAACATTGGTTCATCTCCTTCAAGTGCTCCGCAGCCGCGAGAAAATGCAACAGAGGTCTTTCCACCCTCCGCTTTCCGATATTATCGACGACGCTTACGGGATCACGGGAGAGCTTGTGGACATTGTCCTCGACTTAGCACACGTCAGCGCCGAAGAGAGGAATCGAACGACCCTAGACATTCGCTCTCCACCCAGGCCGGACTTGTTAGGGGGCTCTCTCGTCATACCGCAGCCAGACGTGGCCACCATACTCCTTGTCCTGAGCTGCTACTCAAGCTTGATTAGCATTTACAGCTTGCTGGCGGATTTGCTACAAAATCATCTCTCTCTTACGCCCAGTGGTGAAGAGTCAGTGCGCAGTCCAGAATCCTCCGACCTTCCGTCTTCCCCAGATAACGTGGCATTGCTACCTTTGCCTATCATCAGCATTGGTCGCTTGAAGCTAGCATTGCCGCAGAGTGACATTGCCGGAATTGACCTTCGGATTATCCCCACGATCTTGCACCATCTAAAGAAGGCGATGGAAGTTGGCGCAGCGAGACTCTACCACTCTACCTCCCCGGGGAACACGGGAGTCGAGGAGCGGGCACCTGGTTCAGGAAAGCTAGAGCCCTTGGCTAGTTTCATACACATAGCCTTGTCCGGACTGGAATTGCAAAAACGTTACAATTGAAGGTCTGCGATGATGTTTCAACGCTAGATAGCTGGGTGGGCATGAGCCTGGAGGTAGAAACATAAGTGCGGTTCATGGATCTATAACTGCTATGTGCTCTTGAACAGTCCTTAGGCTAGGGTAGACTCAACGCAGCCAGCTATGGCTCACCCTGTACCTTGTCTGGCAGAAAAGCGATCAGAGCACCTGTTGCTTTTACCTCCATTTCCCGATACTCGGCCTCGTCTGTGCTCTGCACGGTAATCGCCCCCCCAGCACCAATGTGCCATCTCTCGCCCTGCCCATTTACACCGGGTTCATGGCGAACTGCGGTGCGAATGACAACCGAAAAGTCCCCTGCGCCTCCGATATCCAAGTAGCCTATCACGCCAGAGTAGATACCCCGGCCTCGCTGCTCAATTTCCCTGAGAATCTTGCAGGACCGCTTCTTGGGAGCCCCCGTCATGGAACCCGGCGGCAAGGACTTGCGTAGGATGTCGAGCCCCCTCGGCCGAGAAGCCTGATCGGGATCGGGAATCCGAAGCTTCCCTTGAATTACCGAGACAAGCTGGTAAACGGTCTCGTATTCCTCGACCACCATGAGCTTGGACACTGCGCAGTTTTGCGCCCCAACGACACCACTCAGATCGTGTCGAATCAGGTCAACAATCATTAGGTTCTCGGCTCTCTCCTTTGAACTATTGAGGATCGCATGCGCCGTTTCCCGAGTCATAGTATCCGACTTCTTCACGGTTCCCTTGATCGGTCTGAACTCGCATCTTCCGGCTCGATCCCAGTGCAGGAACCGCTCGGGGCTACTGCCGACGACAAGTGCATCCGAAAGCCGGAGAAAAGCGCCAAAAGGTGCGGGATTCCTGCGTCGGAGGCGTTTGTAGAGACTCCAGGCATTGACAGGGCCCGGAAAGGTGATTGTCGTTTCGTCTGTCAGGCAGAGCTCGTACGAGTCTCCAGACGAGAGATACTGTTGACACGCGAGGACCTTGGCACGGTATTCTGCTTCTGAGGGCTTCATGATTCGCGCACCCGCCAGGGTCTCATTGAGTGCTGTATCTTCCTCTTGTGAACCGACCTCCTGGGGGTGCTGGACGAGCTGTGCGATTTGTCTTGCAGTGGAATAACCCAATCTCGGTCATCTTCCACGAGCGATTGGACGTAAATCTGGGATGCGGCGTGGTCGAAGACGATGCTCCGCTGGACAAAGGCAAAGTTGACGTCAGGGATGTTGCTCTGGCTTTCTGTGGCTCCAGGCCACGCAGGAACATCAATAGTTTCAAGCCCGGCTTCGTACGAAATGTAGCCCATGAACCCTCCCCAGAAGGGGCTCTTGGTAGGACAGGTCTCAATCTCCAAATTGCTCGGCTCAGAGCGATGGTCACCCGAAGAGGGATTTAGACACACCTGGGAGCCCTGAACGCTGTATACATCAAGAACTTGTTGAAGGAGAGCCCAGAGATTGTCAATAGAATCTATTACAACGTTTCTTGATGTATTGGGGAGGCCTGTGCCATAGCGAAGCATTTGAGGTTCGGTCTCGTAAGAAACCTTGATGGTTTGACCAGGGATAAGGATTCCCATAATACTGTGTTCTCCTCGCCTGTGGCGCTGCGAGTCTAGCATGATAGCTTCCTCTTGGTAAATTCGTAGTGCTTCAAATAGCTGGGTTGGTGTCAACGCGCCCGACGGGCACGTCGTCCAGTGAAGCGTGGAACTATTTGCGCGGCCCATCGCTGACTGCAAGCAGTCAACGGCGTCGGCTACAGAATCATAGCTTTGTTTCTTCTGTTGACGGTGCGTTTCTTGGTCTGTATCTGTCTGCGTCTCCTTGGTGCTGGCTGCCGGCTCCGTCGCAGCCAATCGCGGTGGTACCTGGCGTCTGAAGGATGCATAGTTATGATGTTAAGGAATCAACAGGGGATCTCTTATATATCTACGCTTATCCCTTAACCTTGCATTCTGCAAGGTTTAGTCTTGTTCAAAATTGAACCTCTTGGTATAGTGAGATATACCTGATCAACTTCCTTTTTAACGCTTACATTATGTTATCATTTTCAATCTTATTCAAGTGATATGTCACGCACATCCATAGTTTGTAAATTGACTATCCCTCCGGTCACTGTCAATGATTGTCAGCCAGAAGGTCCTCCCGGCGATGATCCAATACGACAGCTCAGCCGAGCAAGATCGCTCGCCCGCTCAATGGGGAAGGTTCAGCGATTGGAGCCATTTGCCACTGTAAAAGTCAGCTAGCCCCTTCTTCCTCTTTAGACTTAGCCTCGTTCAATTTTTCTCCTGTACTTAGATATCGTACTTTCTTGCTACACATTTAGAATGACAAGACCTTCAATTTTTCTCTCCATGCCTCCAATTCTATGCAGCCCGCAGTTAGCCCGGCAGGTAACTACTAGTTACCTATAACTTCTCCGCCATATCTGGTATTCGCCACCTACCAAAAGGTCCCACGTTCGAGTCCACGCGCGCGCACTCGCTACTATTTTCCACATCCAATGTATCCTCCATACTGTGACGTCAAACCGTTGAATCCAGACAAACGGTCCTGATCCGCTCCACATACATTACACGCATCCAGCTTGCAAACACAAGTCTTTCCAACCTGCGGGGGTGTGTCAGCCGGAAATCCGAGCTAATATTCTACATCAGTCACTAGATTAATGTCATGGCACCTTTTTAGTCGACTGGTGAAGTTGTTAACGATACACCATCGGACGTTTCAGTTGGGAAAATGAGGTCCAAAAGAATGCGGATGCGCACCACTCCGGAAGCGTCAGGCCCAAGAGGGGCATTATGGACTCCACTGGCAGCAGGATCATACATCGTACGAGGAGTCCCCGCTGGCCGTCCGGGTCCAGTGGATAAGGTCACTGCTGGTGGCGTGGCTCCAGCCCAGATCGCCCCGGACATTGGCTGTTAGATTATGCTGGTAGAACAGGTGCCAGGCCGAGCCGATTTTGATCAAGCCATTCGGCTCATTCATCCAGTTTTGTTCTGGGACAAAGTGATAGGTTGGGCGGAAATCCTCCGGCAGAGCCTGGGGAAGGAGGAGAGAGACAAATGAGAGGAGCATTTTCGATCACACGAGTTTAATGGTACAAGAGTTTTCAATCAAAGAATGAGATGAGCTGGGGAGATGGGACTGTCGCTGTAATAAACTTTACACCATCTACCTTTGACAAAAGACCTTTATATACATTGCCCAAGTACTGTAATAGCCCGCTGCATGCTGATTCAACCTGAATTTTTTTACTTCCCTCGAGTCAGAAAGAGATCTTTAGTCTTTGGTATGATCCGTAGAGATTCATCAGAATCTTCAGCGATTTTCAACGCATGGATAAAGTGGAGATTATGATGAGCATAGGAAATGCCCATGAACTCGTCGAAGAGCCCCAGAGTTTCGGTTGATTGCACGGCAACTTGTTTTCACTTCGCGGAGAGCGAGAGGATGTCCGCGAGACAGCGATCTCAGTGGTTCGTCATGCAGCCCCGGATTCTTGCGGATCTGACAGCGCTTCTCCATGCGGTACTCCAGCACGCAGTGCGCGATTAATCAGATTGGATTGATATCCCACCAGCACCCCCCCGTGGCACCCCCTGCGTGGGGACGCCGGCATGGCCGGGCTGGGGATTTGCCACCATCGACTGATACCGCTAACCCGCATTTGGTATCTGGAATGCAAATCTGCATCTGGAGACGTGCGAAGTGGGTGGTCCACAGGGTTTTGATTGGTCAAAATTATCATCCTCTAGGAACTTCGGGCGACTGGAGGCTTCTAGAAACCCGGCTGAGTCCTCGGGCAACCATGTTCAACCCGCGAGGCGGGATTACGCCGAACCCGAATCCCCCGATAATTTCGGTCCTAGGTGTTGACGACTAGACAATCGTTTCTGAGAACTATGAACGTGGAGAACCCACAACTGCATGTAAAAGCCCTACCACCTCACACCTGATATCTCTCCGTTGTTAATCGCCCGCTCCGGTCTTCCGTGCATGGCAATCATGCTTATAACTCTGCCAAGAAAGCTTTTGCTCGGAGGATTGGTGTGACCCGTTACTCCAAGCGGCCCCACCAAATCTTACATGTATCCGTGCCTTACTGCCCACCCACCGCCTTCGTCTTATGGGTGCGCCACGCATTTACCGTAGTCACGCATTTACCGTAGTTTTTTATATCGTCAATATTTTTACTTCTTGAAGCCACACAACATGACGAAATCTCCTGAATTTAATGAATCTCGATTAAATGAAGCCGTCGCTATTGCTACAACCCAGAAAAAACCGAATATCGCGAGAATTGCGCGTGAATTCAACGTGTCCTACACCACCCTCCAAGACCGCATGAAAAAACCAAGAACACAAGCTACACCAACACCATCGAAGAAGAACCTCCTACAGCCGTATCAGGAGAAGGCCTTGATTAGTTGGATTATACAAATGCGGAATTGGAACCTCCCCCCGACTGCTTCGATTATACAGGCGTGGGCAAATCAGGCGCTTGCCCGCGCGGGCTCGGAGAAGCGCGCAAGCAAGATGTGGCCATACCGATTCGAATCACGTGTACCAGTACACCTAGGACTCGCGCCAGTGAAGCAAAAGACCAAGGAACTAAGGCGGATACAAGCAGAGGATGCAGGACTTCTCCAACACTGGTACGACCAGCTAAAAGACCTTCTTGATGGGGTTCCTCCGCGCCTTGTATACAACTTCGATGAATGTGGATTTCAACCTGGTCAGGGGCGAGCTCGCAAGGTCCTTGGGTCAAAGTCTTGCCCTAATCTTGCAGAGGGCGAGCGAGGTGAAAATATTACTGCTGTTGAATGTATTAGCGCGGATGGTTGGCTAATGGCCCCGTTCTTTATATTCAAAGCAAGCGGTAGTAATCATATGGAGGCCTGGTATCACGGCAGCGAGGTCCTACCAAGCGATACAATGACCGCGGTCTCACCAAATGGTTGGATATCAGATGAACTATCGCTCGCCTGGCTAGCAGAGTTTAATACAGCTACAAAGGATCGTACAAAGCAAGGCGAGAAGCGATATCTAATATTCGACGGCCACGGCTCACACCTTACGCTTGAATTCCTACAATACTGCGAGCAAAATAATATTATTCCCTTTGGTTTCTTGCCTCATTCAACACATCTCTGCCAACCTCTTGATGGAAAACCTTTTCTTAATTATAAGCAGCAATTCAGGCTTATAAATAATGATTTGTCTTTCTGGGGTGGTAAGCCATATGGGAAGGCAGAGTTCTTGCAGATTATTCAACCAATCCGCGAGAAGGCCTTGACAAAGCGAATTATTCGAGAATCCTTCAAAGATCGCGGTATCTGGCCAGTTGATGGAAGACAAATCGTCCAGCAACTTACCAACCAGCTGGTGATCCCAGATATATCAGTGCCAGAACTCCGCGGAAGCCCTACACCACCTCTATTACTCTCCTCTAGCGTTGAAAACAGTCCTCCAGCAACAATCGAGGCGCTTACAAGGAATCAGGCGAAGATTATGAAGGATATCACTGATATTTCAGAGAAGACGAAGCGGAACCTAGCAAAGGTCTTTCAACACCAGATGCAGAAGCTAGAGGAGCTCCAAATGACCCAGGAAGCAATTTGCAGGATTAGGACCGCGCAAGAGCCTCAACACCGGCTTCCTACTAAGCGTCAGGTAAAACCACTTAGTAGCAACGGGGTCCTAAAGACTAGCGATGCAATTCGATCAATTCAGGACCGAAAGAGGAAGGAGACTGCGAGGGACCAAAAGCGGCTGGCGAAGCAGTTCGAGAAAGTCTATGGATTTCGACCCAACCCACGGTCAGAGGAACGAATAAAGCAGGCAATTGAGAACGAGCTACGTAGTAGAGAAGCGGGAGAGGACTTTTTTATTGATAATTAGTGTTGTGGTTGTTGAATAACTTCAAATATCGAAAAACTACGGTAAATGCGTGACTACGGTAAATGCGTGGCGCACCCATAAGACGAAGGCGGTGGGTGGGCAGTAAGGCACGGATAACCCTCTCGGCCCCAACCCCACTACAGCCCAGCCGACAATTGGATGGCCGATCCCGACGGGCTGACGTATTAAGATGGCGTCGACCAGGGCAAGCCTCGGCGACGATTCCTGGGGTGTAATGTCCGGGGGCCATGCGACCAACAGGGACTTGACGCATTGGACTGAGTAGCCCGTGGTTCTCCAAGCTCGTGGATTTCCCGACAAGATCACGAAGATGGTTTTGGCACCGTCGTTGTTGACGAACACACTACGAGAGGCTTTGGTCGCAAGGGCGAGACTCCTTGGATTGCAATGTCCAGGTCATACGATGGACGATGTACGTTAGTGCAACCCCCCTACCCAATTGACAAAACTGAAACCCAGTTGGATTAACACGGGCGCAGTACCGAGTGGGGCGGAACGGAGTAGTTACTACAATCGCGGAGGTTCGGGCATCTTCCGCGACAGGTGACAAACCATGGGACAGCCGGACTCGGACTCGACAGAGGGAAGCCTTTCTAAATACTGGACCGATGACTTTTCTCTTTCATGTGTACGTTTCTTTTTTTTTTCGTCCTTTTCCTTTCTCTTCGTCAGGTGGCCAATTGCTCTTCGGTCGTGACACTATCAAACAAACATGGATAAGTCTACAAGCAATCATCACGAACACGACAATGGATTTGATCGAGAGACTTTTTCGCCGGCGGAACATGCCCGCGAAATTGAACGACGAGACCAGCAAAGCCAGGAATATATGGTCAATGAATCAATGTATGACCGTTTCGCATTCTTCCGAATTCCTATCGCTGTGAAGAGCACCCGAAAATTAGTTATGACTCTGGGTATCTTTGCAGCCTTCAGCGGTATGCTGAGCGGCCTAGACCAGTCGGTAATATCGGGTGCCCTGCCTGGCATCCGGCGGCAATTTGTCAAATATGGCGAATGGGAAAGCTTGGACGATCCAAAGATGAAAAATGATCTTTCGCTCGTCTCATCGCTGATGCCCTTGGGAGCCATGGCCGGTGCATTGATGATGATGCCGCTCAACTTCTACCTCGGCCGCCGCAACTCGATCATCGTTTCGTGTGTGTGGTATACTATAGGAGCCGGCCTCTGTGCTGGAGCTCGAACTATAGGCATGCTGTTTGCCGGCCGCTTCATCCTCGGAATTGGCGTCGGTATTGAAGGTGGTTGTGTCGGTATCTACATTTCTGAATGTGTTCCACCGGACCTTCGTGGCAACTTGGTATCGATCTACCAGCTGATGATCGCTTTCGGCGAGGTGGTGGGTTATGCTGTGGGCGCCATTTTCTTTAATGTCCCCGGCAGCTGGCGGTTTATGCTTGGTTCATCCGTCGTATTCTCGTCCATTTTGTGGGCTGGAATGTGCTTCCTGCCGGAGTCACCGCGTTGGCTCGTGTCCAAGGGCAAGAGCGGACGTGCTTGGGAAGTATGGAAGTCGCTGCGCGACGTATCCGACCCTAGGAGCCTGGAAGAGTTCATCATCATGGAGGTCACGGTCCAGAATGAGATCGAACGTACCGCTGCTGTTGCATGGTACCGGCGTTATCTCGAGGTCTGTGTCTATCCTCGCAACCGCCGCGCCCTCGTCTACGCTTCGGCGATGATTTTCTTCGGCCAGATGACCGGTATCAACGCAGTGATGTACAACATGTCCAACCTGATGGCCAAAATGAACTTTTCAGAACGCGAATCCGTCCTCATGTCGATGGTTGGTGGCGGCGCATTGTTCCTGGGAACAATCCCAGCAGTGTTCACAATGGACAGATTCGGTCGGCGTGTTTGGGCACAGAACATCGTCGTGTTCATCATCGGTTTAATCCTGGTGGGCGTCGGTTATTTGTACACCAACAAAAGCTATGACTATTTCTTGGACAATAAGGCTACCGCTCTGGGCCTTTTCTTCTCCGGGATCATTCTATACATGGGCTTCTTCGGCGCATACTCATGCCTGACATGGGTTGTTCCTGCAGAGAGTTTTGATTTTAACACTCGCAGCCAAGGCATGGCCATCTGCTCGACTTTCCTCTATCTCTGGTCATTCATCGTGACCTATAACTTTGATCGTATGCAATCGGCAATGACTTATACCGGCCTGACGATTGGATTCTTCGGTGGTTTGGCCGTCGTTGGTTTCTTCTACCAGTTGTTCTTCATGCCCGAGACCAAGGATAAGACCCTCGAAGAAATCAATGAGCTGTTCTTTATGCCGACCAGGAAACTTGTTGCGTTAAACATGCGCAACCTCGTCAATGACTGGTCCTGGGTTTTTGGTGGATCGCGCCCAACGCCTGATACGAGTGAAGCAAATATCGGTTACGCTGCAGACGCGGAAAAACAAGAGATCGAGAACACCCAGAAGGAATAGCCAGGAGATACTGCGTCAATTCACAAACGCAGTCTGCGGCACCCTAGCCGATATGGAAACCTTTATGACGGCATATGGCATTCAATTCCTTATCATTTCCATTAACATGGCAGGCTAGACTGTGGAGGCAGTACACAGGGCAGTGTGAGCGGCGTGGATAAGACAAGTTAGTTTACTGGCAAGATTCGGGATCGGTCACTGATATTGAAACTGACATTGCTCCTGTCGTATTCTTTAACGTAGCAGAGCACAATTATTGTATTGAACGGGCGACTGATCCAATTTTCCCGCTTTCCCCCTTCTAGTTATCTCTTCAACGCGCCTTCTATCCATCAAATTCATCGAAAATATCCCTTTCGCAGGAGAATAGAATTTAGATGGCATTATCTGCTCTCGCAATGTCTCTCGTGTCGATCACCGGAGCCACCGGTTTCATCGGCTCCCAGGTCACCCTCCGAACCTTAGAGGCCGGCTTTGATGCTCGTCTTTATAAAGGTCCTTGGCCTTCGTAAGGTTTGCGAATAGTGTGAGAGGCAGTAATAAGGCTAGATGGCTTGTTCTAATAGTTAAATTTAAGAATAAGGATAGAATAGTAGATTAATACTAAAGGATAGACTTAACCGTTTATAAGTAAAGGAAATTCTTTATAGGCCTAATTAGTCTATAGGCTAACTAAGGCCTATAGGTTATAAATATCTAAGTATATTTATAAGGGCCTTATAACTACCACCCCCCTCCTTTCTAAGGCCTTAGTTTCTTAAGGCTATATATAGAGTTTTATAGGAGACTTATTCTTATTAATGTTTACATGTTAAAAATAGCCTTGTGTACTTTCTACTCTAGACCCGACAACGTCTATGCCTCATTTGTAGAATTCTTTAAAGCTTTTACCAATGTGTTTCTGCCAAGCTGCCTTCTTTAATAAACCAATTAACGCGAGTACCCCGCCTATGCTTTATCTAGTAATGCCCCATCCAAAGATATTTGCAAGAGGTATTTCCGTAGTCGGCAAACTTTGCACACCAGCGAAAAGTAATAACTAATGAACTCGCGCCACCAAATCCTTGAGTCTTGGGTCAACCTGACTGGGTAAGAGACGCACAGCCCCCTTTCTCGGGGAACATGGTCTCGTCCAAGAGCGGCGGAGAGCAAGAATCCGCCATGGAGTCGATTGGGGATGGCCTCGGTAGAGTTGTGATAGAAGAAAATACAGAGTGTTGAAAGGGATTGTAAGTCAGACAAGGGCAGGGCTGCGAAGCTCAAGTACTGGACAAAATGCGGGGGTACGCTATTCTACTCTATTTCCCCATGGTTCTTGGTGAATTATCCTTCGGGAGAAGCAGATCCTACTGTCGGAGACTCGGACCCCAGCCGGACCTCTGGCCCGTTTGGTTCTCGGCATTCTGGACATTGCAGAGATGTGGGGTACACACGTCGTGAAGTTTTATATTCACAAGACAAAATAAGTGCAGCAGTCTAAACTACCTCCTCCTCCACATCATACGCCACTAGCTTCTGCCCTATGCCCAGCCTGTCCAGCTGGAAGAAATTGTAAGCACTCAATATGCCGGATATGGCACACTCCTGCAGCCACAGTCGCCACGGATCCGTCTTCTTGCGCACATTCCCATTGCGCTCCGCCGTCTTGGACATCTCATCCGTCCGCGGCCGTCTTTTCTGCTCGTACACTGCGTAGACCTCATCCAGAGACCGCCCAGGCAGCTCGAGTAACCTGCAGAGCAGGAAAACATCCTCCATCGCCATTGAAACGCCTTGGCTGGCGTGCGGCTGCATTGCGTGCGCCGCGTCGCCGAGAATCAGACACCGCCCCCTCGACCACCGGTCGCCGAGGCCCATCCGAAAGATCGGGTAGAATTTCATCACATCAGTTTGGTGGATAATTGCCTTCCACATCTCCCCCCAGTCGCCAGTCATCTGCTTTAGCAGGTCCAGAAGCGTCGCCTTTAGGTTCTCCACCTCGCGTTTCCCCCTCTCCTCCCATCCATCGCGGCCGCCGCCGCCCGGAGGCATGGGAAGCTGCCGCGAGAAGAACCAATAAAGGATCTCGTTCGTCGGAGTGCAGGGCGATAGCGCCAGCAGGCCATCCGTCGTCAACGTCGCGTTCAGGCCGTCGATGGACGACGCCGCCGGCGGCAGCGGCGCAGTGTCAAGGAGGGAAAACACATTCGCAACGCCCGAGTACTCGGGCTCAAAGTCCGGGTCCACATACAGCTTGCGGACAGCCGAATGGATGCCGTCGCAGCCCAGGAGAAAGTCGGCCGTGTCGCTCGTCCCGTCGTCAAAGGTCGCCGTGATGAACCCCTCGCTGCTCTCGGTGATGGCCACTAGCCGCTTGCCGAAGTGGATGGGGATATCGGCGCGCTTTGCGGCGTCGTAGAAGACGTCCATCAGACTCGTTCTGCGGATTCTCAAATACCCGAATCCGGTCTTGTCCCTGCTCCACGAGGCGAGGTCCGTCTTGCCGATGACATTCCCGTTGATCGAGTGCAGGACCAAGTCTGAGGTCTCGGCGCCGCGGAGTCTAAGGCTGTCGTACAGTCCCAGCCGGTGCAGTAACCGTAGTCCGTTGGATGGGATCTCAATTGCGCCGCCAAGGGTTGTTGGCTCGGGAGTGATTTCGTAGACGACGGATGAAATATGGTTGTACTGTCGGAGACGGAGAGCGGCCGCCAGCCCTGCGGGTCCGGCCCTTATAATGATGGCCTAGATTTCACACAAGGATGGTTAGTTTTAGCTGCTATAAATCTATATCACTGTAGAGTCAAACAACCGAGGAAAGCCATACCTTCTGAGGCTTCGTCATTCTGCTTATCTTGTGTGTGTCTGTGTGGGCGGCTCGTTGGAAAAAGCAAATGCACAAAGGTAATGATGTATAATGTACTGCTAAAGCTTTGTGTATGTAATCTGCGCAATGTATCGAACCCTGGATGTAATTTATTTGACCTGGGCATGGCAATAATCGAGTCTAGTTATGACGCTGCGTGGCGCTTACGTATGGAGACTTCGGAATTTCGGAGTTTCGGTATTTCGAAAATCCTTGTCGCAAAGATCAGTTGTAATCTACTGGTTTGCATTTTTGTTAACCATGGGATCAATTCCTGTCAAGTGCACGATCGTTGGACGCAATATTAATGGATAATTACTATCGGCTCCTATTTATCTAACCCAACGCGGGTAACGGCGTGACAAGATGGGCATGCTGCTCGGTTGAACGCCCGTCCGCATTGCTTCCTGTCCTCGTCGTTTTTTCTTTTTTTCTTTTGTCCTTCCCCCTATCAGGTGGGATCCAGTGGTACACAGTATTGCAAGCTGTTCAACGCCCCCTGTAAACAAATCCATAAAGTCGATGCCGCCTGCTATGCTATCCAGCATGGACCAATCAACACCGTCCACGGCGCCGCTAGTGGGGTTCGCTATGTCCAGTATATCATCTAATGGAGCACCAGCACCGCCGCCGGGAGCCTTTCTTAAGTTAGAACATTATAACGAGAACAGGGCATAGGGAGGGGTGTAGGGGGAGAGGAGCATGAGATACACTAACATGTGCCGACGGGTCGAGTGGCTGCTGAGAAACGCCGGCAAGAGGAGACTTGTCATGCACCGTCCTATCACCAGGGCTGCTCTTGCTGTAATTACTGCTGTCCCTGATATAGTCTCGTGCTATAGAAGCCATGTCGGACAGCAGGGAGACGGGCATCATCCCGCCGGAGGCGTAGTCCAGGTGGCAAAAGTACGCCGCGACTGCGCTCAGCAGAGAAAGGGTGGCCGTCGTGTCTGGGTGCGCTGGATGGTGGACAATGAAGTCGAAGAGGATAAACGACGCTGACAAAGGGACAGAGAGCATGACCCTGCTTCCATGATTAGAGTGAGTGATTCGATATTCATGTAGATAGATTGATCCATACCAAACTGGAGTAGAGCTTGCTAGGTCGATATATTTTGTCAGCTCAACGATCCTACTGGCGGCGGACAATAGTGCATTCTCGCAATCTGTGCTTCTCTGCTCAGAGTCCTTTCCCCGGGGAAGGTTCAGATACAGCCTGAACAACGCGATCACGGCGCTATAGTAATGGAAATTCAATCTCAGAGCTATCGATATCGATATCGACGTAGCATTGTTCTCTGCGATGTTCTGCGGTGGGAAAAATTGCGCCGGGACGAAAGTCTTCTGGGATCGACATTCTCCACGCTTCCAGCTCGCCCATGTAAATATCCATTGCAGCATGCAGTGTGTCGGGAGATACCAGCGTCGTGCTTATCGAGAACAGGGAGCTGTATGCCTTGGATAGGAACCGACTGAAGCGAGCCATCGCCTGCAGCCAGTCGAAGGTTCCGAAAACTGCCTCTGGAGCATATGGGATGGGCGTCCCAATGTCGGCGTCACTCAAGACCTGGTTTTTCTGTGAGCACAACAGCCGATATGTGGTGGGTGGGACAGGACCATACCGAAGGCCGTCCACAGGCAAATGACAGCATCTTCTCCAATATGTATATCACCCAAAACGTTCTCTGGTAGGCGGCGGCACTTGCAGCATCGACTACTCCCCTGCTCATGCTGGATAGCTGTATCATCCTTGCAGCTTCGGTTGTCAATACGTGGGTAAGATGAATACAGCAGGATGTTTGAGTAAAGATAGCCTATAGCATATTTATTCTGATCAGAATTCCATATTAAGCAAGTGGAATCTTACCATTGTAGCCACTGCCTTTGATCCATGTTGTTAGTCTCGCACGGAACTGGGTGTTGTGAAAAGAACACCATACCTGAATATTTAACACCCCCTCTCGCAAAAGCAGAATGTCTGGGAACAAGCCGAGCGCGACGCGAAACAGTTCCCATGCCCTTCCTGTGCCTGGCTTGAAGGAGCCGCGCTCGTGATACTGGAATCCAAGGGCAAGCACAGTATGATACAAGGCTGATCGAGCGGGAGTCGTCTCCAAAAGTTCAGGTAGCTGCGGGCTATATGCGGCATTCTCCACAACGCCTTTTGATCAAGGATAGGATAAATTGGGTGGACCTGCTGAAAGTACGCTAGGAAGCGTTCAGCATCAAAAATTATGGATTCAGCTTGGTTGGGAGGTCACTCTGACTGGCAATGTACAATCCTTGGTACTCCGTCGGCAGCTCCACTGGGGCAGCAGCAGAATCACAAGCCCTTATTGGTGCTAGTGATGGATATGACGTGCGGCTGACCCGGTCTCGAACACTGTTAGCAAGCCTTTCGATAATGTCGCCGAGTTTTCGGTGGCGTAGGCGTTCCGTGATGGATGCTATTCTCCGGTCGGAGAAGAATGCAATTCCAGAGCTCCCCACTGGGAGAATGAGCGATGTCAGTTCCATATCGGAAATGTATTTTTGAGGGGGAAAGAAATTGAATAAATAAATAAACCCACCATACTGGTCGTGAGCCTATGAACCCCACCGCGAGCGTGTCAGTTTCTATTTCTGCTGCGGTCCAAAAGGGCGATCAAACCTTTAGCAGCGACTGCCCGCCCCGACATCGAGAAGCCATCCCTCGATCCTCGAGCAGATAGTCTACGTATAGTCTCTGCGGTCGAAAATCCACCTTTGGTGGCTGGGGATATGGTTGTATAGAGCGTGCAGTGGATGTAGTCGTCTCGCCGTCGGTGGGACAGTACAGTAACTGCTCTAGATTCAAAGCTGGAGAGTCCGGGCCAGGAGCCGCAAGAAAAGGTGGTTCTAGGAGATTACTTAGAGATTAGGCGGCAACAACATGGATGGAATTGGAATCCCATAGTCCATACGGTATTCGTGGAGAGGTGAGTCAGGCTGTTCTCCTCCCGGACGGGCTGTTTGCCTCACGCGGGGTTTCTTGACATCGAAATGGCAGGCAAGGCCGCGCTTCTTTGTCGAGTGAGTAGCTTTTTCTAGCGTGGGAGGACCACTCAGAGGAGCTCACCTCGCAGTATTTGCAGACTGCCGTATCGGAATATGGTGTCTCTGGACGCCATGAGTGAGCCAGGTTCGCTGGGCAGAGGGCGTAGCGTAGCGGTACTCACTCACACACCGCACCTTGCGGGCCTTGCATTGATCGCATGTCTTGGAAAGCTTTGGTCGCGAGCCAGTTGTGATATCCATTAATCCATTCAACCAGTGGGCGAGACAGACACGTTAATTTAAGAACGGGAGTTATGCAGTGTGGCTGCTGCTGCTGTGGGGGTCAAGGACTTGGAGCGCACGTGATGTGTATGTAATTACAGCGTCATGAATGCACCTATCACTGCCTGCCTCGGCTCATTGTATGTACGTAGTATTCTGTCTAGTCTAGCCTGTTGCTCACTGCATAAGATTGGGATAGCCTTCCTCTCGCGGGACGGCAGGGCAGACAATGTAGTTTGGCCGCCCCGCGCCAACATGGATGGAATTGGTTGCCTGTTCATCATCGTCCACCTCCCCATAGAATTCCCGCATCTTGACAGGCTCATATCCAGGAATATCTGGCTGGTCCTCGGAAGGACAAATGTCCACGCGAAGCTTCCACCCTTTGCGGATTCGGGCGGCCGCCGGGAAAATCTCGATCTCGAGCTGGACGATCTCGTTTGCCTGTAGCGGCGCGTTGTCCTGTGCCGTATGCGTATGCCAGGGTCGCTCAGGTGTGCTTCTCAGCGGATCAAGCTGTCGATGGCTGGCGCGAAGGAAGCCTTTGGCGAGTGGCTCCAGCTCCCCTTTCGCACTGTAGGGTACCACGCATCCTTCTTCATCCTCAGCCCACAACATGACCACAAAGTCTGCGTCCGGCGAGCTTGCAGAAACGCTCAACACGGCTTTGAAATGACCAGCGACATCCACGTCGTTTTCGAACGGGGCAGAGCGAAAGCTCGCTCCGGACCGGCCATCGGGCCAAACACGGGCGGCATAGGTAAATTGCTGCTCTTGCGTATTTTGCGCTGCTTCCTCCTCCCGTGCCAGGGTACCGTCAGCCTGGAGGTGCCATTGAGTGTATTGAGTGCCGGGAACATGCCAATTGGTCTCCTTCCTCCAGCACCACTGGCCGTGACCGAGCCGCATTTGAATGCCAACTCTTTCCGGCGTCGGGTTCTGTGTTCCTTTTAGATAGTGATCCAGGAACTGCAGGATCTTCCCTGCTGCTTCGCGGCTCGGTAATGGGTAATAATTGGAATCAACGAGCTGGAGATGGGTGTTCGCAGGGTTGCGGATGCGCCACGCCTCGTAGGCAGCTCGACCATGGATCATGAAGAGCTGAGATGCAGCAAGGAAGCAAGGGAGATCCACGGGCCCGTGATTCGATTTCATCGTATCCCACAGCCCGTCGTAAAAGGGGTGACTTTTCATCACATTCAACAGGTCTACATGGTCAGTCCACTTGGGCGAGCACAGTCGAACCCGACGATACCAATCAGTGATATAAGGGATGCCCGGCACGCCACCGATATAGGCAGCATCGCGATACGGATCGATATCAGCTAATCACAATTCGTAAGTTAGCAGCAGCCCTCTGTTCTCAAATCGGTTTGTTCATCGGGGTGGGTGGGTTTTTCTTACACGCATAGGGTACGAAACACTTCAATCCTTTGGGTCTCAAGCTCGCAACGTTCCACAGCACATTGGCGCCATATGAACTGCCAACCAGCGCAACTGTCCATTGCTCCAACTCTGCTCCGCCGCCCATTCAACAGCATCATACAAAGTCGTTCGTCAGCTGGCCCGGCACTCCTCTTGTCCCCGGAGTCTGCGACACGCCCCTGGGATCAATCTTCACCATGGCGTATCCATGCGGCACGTAGGTGAATGTGTTGAACGTTGCAATGTTCTCGAAGCCTCTCTGCGCCTCCCATGAGGGGCCCCACGAGCCCCGTGGGACGCGAACGGGAGTACTTTCTGCGGTCGAATGCCACTCATCCTCGGCCCTTTCAAACGCGGCTATATCGTCCTCATCGTCGAGGTTGGGGCCGGAGTAAAAGACCCGTCGTCCATAAATCGTGCAACTCATCAGAACGGGGAATTGTTTTCGATACTGAAGGGGTAGATAAACGTCGCCGAGGATACCAGCTCCGTCGCGGGTTGGGATGTGAAGGTCTCTCAGCACTTTAAAGCCGGCTTAGCCCTTCTTAAATGGTTTCGAGTGTAGGAAACTGTCTTGGATGGGACACCGAGCTTGCTAGATATGCAGAACAGTGCATTGTCCAGATCGGACGTGTTGTTGCAGTTCAGGTAAACCATCCGAGCATATTCGGACAAAGCCTCTCGAGCCTATAAATTGGGAGCAATAGTGAGTCAGATCATTAAGGAGTCCTTCAATAAAATCGATTCATAGGCACATTACCTGCTCGTCAATGATGATCGGCTTCTCGAATCCCTGGCCCAGGGAAAGGCTAAAGAGCAGTCTTGCCCGGTTCACCACTTTTGGATCAAGCGCTGGGGTCCCAGGAGGGACAAGGTCAAAGATGGAGACCAATGCCTTGCCATGACACTCCCCAAGGACGAGGTCACCGATAGAGAATGTGACTGTTATTCCTGGCTCAAAACGAAACTTGAATTCGTTGGTGGTGACGCCTGTCTCGGCCCCAGACCGATATGAAAGTCCAACCACGTCCGGAAAGATACCTTCAACGCTCATAATGACGATAATAAGAATTGACTGGATTATTGGATTTGTCGTAATATCATCATCCTCGACAATGTCTGATCAGGTCTTCTGCTGCACTATATAAGTCCCTCTACCCTTCAAATGGATCTGTATTCAACCCCTCTCCGTTCCGGTATCGGCAAAGCTCACACGCAAACGCACGATGAACTCCATGGAGAGTCATGTGGAGCTGTACAGTTATTTCCGAACTTAGATCCGGATCTGATGCGGTTTTCCACCAGCAGACGACGGGATCTGCGCCCATGTTCTCTCGGGAATTGCAGTGATTTGAAAATCCGAAACGCCGCAGTGGAGCCCCCCGAAGTAAGATGACAGTAATAATTATGACATCCAGTCCAGTATCGCCCTTACTACCCCGCCCTTTCTCCCTTAGTTGCTGATCCTATGGGTCCAGGCGCGTTCCCTCATGCCGGACTTAGCTCTGGGAACTCACTAGGATTCATGTCGTCTCCGAGATATTCACCACACCTCTATAGATTGCCGAGTAGTTGGGACCTAAGCAGTTGATATCATGGCGAGTGTGCTTGTGAAGTGCTGGATTTTCCATTGATTGAGCGTACCCTCTTATCCTTCTGTTATAGTCCATTCATTCACCCAGCGTTGTTGGTTTACGCACGCGCCGCTAGACTCGACATGAGATATCGAGTCCATATCGACCCCTGCAGATTCTGCGGTCGCAGGTTCGCGCAGCCTGAGCATCTCCGTAGACATGAGAGAACACGTACGTCTCGCTCCCTCCCAGTTTAAGTCTGTGACAATTCACTGTCTTCTCAAACCTGTACTTCCCACTCCAGCCGGGACATCCACCTGAATCGTCCCTTCATCAAGACTTTCCCCATCAACCTCAATATGGCCCGTCATGGCCTCTCCAACCTTCACCTCGCCTACTCCCAGCGGGGTGCCGGTCAGAACGATGTCCCCGGGCTCCAGCGTCATCACACGCGGGATATCAGCAAGCTGTCGTGCAATGCGGAAGAGCATGAGATTCGTGGAGTCGGCCTGTCGCAATTCGTCCCCGACCGACAGGGGGAGAACCACGTTGTATGGGTCGGGAATGCAGTACTGCGGAATTCGGTCAGAAATGGGGGCGAATACGTGGAACCCTTTAGCTATCAACCGGGAAGCCCCTTCCTCTTCGCCTCATGCTGAAAGTTCCGAGCGGTCATGTCAATAGCCAACACGTAACTGCCTATCGCATCAAGGATACCCTTGGCGTCTTCTGGGCCAAGATCGCAAACTTTCTTACCGATAATGAGGCCTAATTGGACTTCATAGTGGATGGTGCTGCCTTCAAGTGTTACAATGTCAGGGCAAGGCAATGATCGAGTCCGCTCGCTTGGGGGTTGCACATGCTTATTTCTACAACGCTGACACAGAGTGTATAATACTCACCCTGATAGACGCCTGGGTGAAGTAAATACGCGATCTGAACCTGTGAGGGTGCGGTACACTAGAGGAAGGAGAATGCGGGCTATTAGGCTGAGTGACCGGCACTGGCGCTACACGAAAATCGAGACTACTGCCCGTCAATTAGTGAATTATGACTGGTCCCTCAATGAGCTACAATTGAGCAACGTACCTGGTGGCAGTGAAGGGGACTATCAATGTTTTGAAAATGAAGCCCAGCCATGGTCTGCCTTAGAGCCGCATAGCAAGGCCAGCTATTGCCTTGGTGTTCTAGGTCTGGCTGCATTAAAACTGGACGCGACAACAGTCTCCTCTCATGGGTCCAGAGTATAATCATGACCCTATCAGGGCTCATCGTGAGCATTTGGGCTTACGCTGACCGATGAGGCGCCGTAAGCTGGTGGAACCACAGGGCTTGGGCTGAGAGACTGAATCTTACCGACTCTTCGATGATCATCGCCTCCGCTCATCTTCACAGTCTCTTGGCCACACTTAAGGGCAGTTTGCGTGCAGGATTTACGTTGGCAAAGTGCATCAGTCAGAATTCCACCTGGGATTTATTTATTTTTATTTTCTTTTGGTCGCGACAAGGAACAATGAGAACCCTACTGGTCCAACCAAGTCCGACTGCCTCCAGCAGCCCTCCCCTGCAGCTAGCTATGATATCCCCGCCAGCTACAGCGGGTAAATAAAAAACTTATTCTCCAAATCCGTGAGATCAAGCACAGAGATATCCACCTTCTTCTGCACGACATTCCCATCTGCATCGAGACTATCCACAACCCCATCCCCAAAATTCCCCAGCACCGCCTGCTCAGCGATCCGCATTCCTCCTCTTAAGGATCACCCTCACAACATGCAGCGCAAACGGCGTGACACAAAAACTCACCACAATCTGCGCAATCCACGTCCCGTAGTACCGCGGCCCGCCGCTCTTCCACATCTGCGGCGAGATGATATTCGACACCCCGTAGCTAATCATGAACATGGCGTTGCGGGTGAGTTTCTTCGTGTACCCTGTGGCGCTGGACGAGGTCCACACCAGCGAGGTGATGTACGTGTTAGCGAACGTGTTGCCTGCGATCAGCAGGCACGCGAGGAGCGGGATCGTCCGGTCCCAGTCGAGCGCGACCATTCCGATGCTGCCCGCAATTGCGGGGAGCACCCAGAGCGTCGCCCACCAGGCGCTGTAGCCCGGGAAGAGGCGCATGAGGAGCGAGGCGACGACCGCGCAGGCGACTGCAAAGCCGCCGCCGGCGACGGTGACGAGCGTTGAGCCGAGGTTTCCGACGCCCAGGGAGAGCAGGATCAGGCTCTGTTGGAAGGAGAGGTTGTTTGCTAACATGAGGGCGAAGGCGGCGAGGGCGAAGAGCCAGGAGATCGGGTCGCGCAGCGCCTCGTAGAATTGGTACTTTTTGAATGTTTTCTGCTCGATTGAGCCGCGGGTCGCGTTGCGGACCCGCGTGATGACCTGCAGTCGCTCTTTCGGTGTCAAGAAGCGCGCTTTGGCTGGGTTGTCCGGGTACCAGAACCAGGAGAAGACGGCGAGTAAGAGGGTCAGACCGCCTGTGGTGATCATGAACAGTTTCCAGGGCGCGACGCTGGCCTTGCTCCATAGGAGCGCGTAGCTGAGGAGGCCCGAGGGGATCGGGGCGCCGACGCAGGAGATCCAGAAAAGAGGCTGCAGTGCGTGTAGTTCGTGGGGGACGAAGAACATGCCCATTGTCATTTCGAGTGCAGGCACCATGCCGGACTCGACCAAGCCCAGTAGCAGGCGGAGCAGGATCAGGCTGCCGTAGCTCGTTGCGCCGCAATGAGCGAATATAAGCACTGCCCAGATGAAGATTGTCACCGAGACGTAGTTACTCATCGGCAGTCGCTGGATTAGGCGCTGTGCCGGCAATTGGCCGATAATGTACCCTGATCCTCTATTAATTCAGCTGTTTCCCTAGTGTTGTAGGAGACGAACCGGTGTAGAATAACGTGTTGAGGTTGTTATAATTTCCATCACTGATATGAAGGTCATCCAGGATACCCAGGAAGACTGCCTGCCCGAGAGTAGCTTTGTCAATCTGTCGACGCCATTAGTTCCATCTTCACTGCCTCGGAAAACTGTAACTCACAAAGAGCATCAAGTTGATGACACAAACTAGTAAAATGAGATTGATGTAGAGTTTTCTATTCAATCGCCTCGACTCTTTTGCGGTAGGAGGCGCCGCTGCCTCGGAGTTGAATTGCTCTTCCAGTCCCAGTGTCTCATCAGCGTCCCGCGCAGCGACTGCCCTGACCTCCGGAGGCGGTGCTCTCCCTGCGGTGCTGCATCAATAGTGACCGATGATGTCTCCTTTCGCATCGCCATTTTGCTAATTCTGACAAACCTCGCTTGAACAATAACTGAAGCAAAACGAGGTTCTGACTTATTCCATCAGAAGTCTGTGTCGCCGTTGGAGGTTATAACTGGCATGACCTTACCTACTCCAACTATATTGTGATCTGCAAAGAGGCTTTCACCATTGCAAACAACCTACTCCAATGGCGAGATCAACGCTGCTTATCTACCGCCTGGCGTGACTCGCCTGTGTAACGCCGAAAAGGTTACGAGACGCTCGGAGATAGGCCCAGCACGCCATCCTGGCTACCTAGACATAGCCCCGCCTAGCACCCGGTAAGGCTTAGGCGAATGAGAGCTTAGGCCATGTCTGACATGGACAATTGCTTATTTTCTCTTGTCAGCGCCATCAGCTTCCTACCGTGACTTTTCCGCCCTTGGAATGGACCTCTTTTTTATCCATGTCATTGCAGACCCGCGAACCATACATACATTCGACGGCTTTATCGAATTATCCCTCATAGACCCCTTTTCATAAAAGGTCTAGTATCCTCCATGTTCTCAGCTTGAGTAACGCTACACAGATGCTCACTGTCACATCATACCCGCTACTATGCCGTGTGCCCAATTGGCGCAGCACGCAATCCCCGACCGCGATATGTACATGCAAACCGTGAACTTTCCTCACCCAATGATTCCAATCCTGACAGATGTCTAACTTCCCTATTTGAGTCATTAAAAGCAATCCTGTGCCGATCCAGCCGGTCAGGCGCCACCACAGCGGGACAGAACAGCCAGCCACCGGCTTTGTTCGCGCCTCCCATGTCTAGACTTGTCTGGCCCTGTGACGGCATTGAGGCTCTTATACTCAAACGGGCATCAATTTTCTTCTTTCCTTTTTTCGCGTCCATGGATGACAAGCAGGGATATATGTTGACAGTCATTCCGCCTAGCCAACTCGTGACCCCGGATTCTAAACCCTCCGACCACGCTTACATACATAAAGACAATCCCAGAACGCAGCCGCCGTTGGACGCTGAGATAAGGAGTTCACTCAGAATCAAGCCCTGCTATGGGAACAATCACAATCTATACATCCTGCCCCACCAAATCATTCGCTCACGCCTCACGTATTCTTCGTTTATTTGCCTAAGGTCAAGGCCATTAATCAAGGATATATCGCATGCTTCCTTCACACGATACATAAGAATCTAAGGGTTTTCCTGGGTTTACTACTAATCTGAATATTCCAACACGGCTACATCCAGCTGTAGATCTATAATCACAATTATATCACAGCCAGGGCCCAAACAAGGGAGTAACAGCAGCAAACAGCACAACTAGTTAACTAGTTAATTATCACCAATGACCAAGCAAAATATGCAGGTAGAAAGTGGATATTCATTAGTGCTCAGGACGACGACTCATTTTACATTTGCCTTCCAGTCTTCCACTGCCCTTCTAGCCGCTGTTGTTCTTTTGCATATTAATTGTCGTCGAAGCTCATCCAGAACATCGCCATGAGATTCATTCTTTAGCTTTGTCCTCTTATGGACAGATTGCCAGTTCTGTGCAACCACGGGCTTAGCTTTTGAATCTTCAAGTAGTGATAGTATAGGTCCCTATGGTATTACTCTAATTCTTGAGAACATTGTTTCTTGTCTGCGTTGCATGACCAAGTTACATGCAAGCCGGAGATCTTATCATTAGGCCCTGTCCCGAACAAAAAGCAAGCACACAGAACTGCACGAGGGATAGAGCTCATCCGAATGGATTAAAAGCCGCTATACCATCATTTCTGCGGTATGCAACGAAGATCCTCCCCCTCGACCCAGCTCCCATGTAATCCCTGCCGTAGCCGCACCGGAAGCAGAATCTTTGCTGTGGCCTTTGTGAAGGAAGCCGTGTCCAGCAGGTGTAACTCACTAGACATCGTATCATAGTTGTTCACGAGTGCGACTACGTACCCATCACCTTCAACAGTCGAACCCTTCCGGGGAATAAAAACAGGCTCCTGGACCATATGTGTATTTCCAGGGAAGTAGACCTCCGTTTTGCCCGTGGCGGTGTCGAGATGGCCCAGGGCATTGTACAGCGGATATCCACCCCCCAGATTCGGCGCTATGCGCGGGAAATCAGTGCCTAGTCTGGGATCCATAGTATCGAAGAAGCAGTGCCGGTAAGGACGCGTGGCGAAGCGGTCGTCAATCCGATAGAATTCAGAGTTGGCGGATTGAAGGGCTCTCGGTTCGTCTAGGTTGAGGTCTTCCGAGCGCGGGTCCAATGTGAAGCGCACTAGGTTCGAATGGATTGAGCTTGGTTCGGGCGCGTTGCCTTGGGCGTCTGGCCACCAGAAGAACACATTCTTTTCGCTGAGACCCAGGTCGATGACCAGATTGCCGTTTTCGTCCTCGTATGCGTTGGCAGTGTGGCCGGGGAATGAGTTTTTGTAACGGAACCACTGGCATTATTCAGGATCAGATCCTCTCAAGGTATGCATTTTGGTGTAGAGCGCACCTTTACGTCTGTGCCCTTGGCGCCACGCCGTGGGAGAACCCCAAGATACAGTGGAGTATCTGGGCTCCATTGCCAGTGTTCACCACCCTGCTTCATCCTCTCGATGTCGCAGAGCTGGGGGATAATTGGGAAGACAACCTACTACAAGATTAACATCTCGTCACAGCGTACTGTGGGAGCAACAACATTGGACAACGCACCCAATTCTCTGTGACAGCAAAATCATGGATCATCGCCACGACTGGAGCCACCAGCCACACAATCTGGGTGAATTTGCCATCAGGGGCAACATTGTAATAGCACACATCAGGCGTGCCATCACCGCGAGCCTCGTACCCAAAACAGATCATTTCACCTGTTTCCGGGTCAAACTTGGGGTGCGCTGTAAATGTCAGGCTCGGGAGCTGGCCTTCGAAATCGTAAAGTCCCTTGGTGTCTAGTGTGATTGGATCCATCGCGTACGGAGGGGCATCCTCTTTCAAGGCGAGGAGTTGCCCGTTGAAATACACGATGTTTGTGTTGGCCGTGGTGCGGACCTTGAATTCCACGGCGTCGGTGAACTTGTTCCGGTACTTTCCTTGCCAGGGTGAAGATCGTTAGTCGTCGCAAATGAGCCTCGCCAGCGAAGGTACAGAAGATTAGAAGGGCGACCAACCGAGTAGTGATCGTTGAGCCTCACGCTCTCGTACAAACTTTTCTGTTCTCACATAGCGCTGCTGAAACGATACCTTGCCATCCTTGATTGTAAAGGCAGAGATATTGCCATCCCCGTTGAACCACTGCCAAATTCTTAGTCTTTCCGATTCCTCGGGAAGAAGACAGACGGGGGAGGCTTTACAGGATCATCTTCAATGAAGGGAGGAAATTGGGGATCAGGCATCACCCGAAAGAAAACACCGTCGATATCTTTTGGGATCTTCCCCAGAACTTCGAGGTTGCATGCCTCACCCTCGACGCGACAAGGTCTCATGAAGCCAGAAAACTGGGGGCGATTGGGGAACGCTGAGCTTGATTCTGCCATGGCGAAAGATAGCGGAAGGATGCTAGAAACGTGATTTCGTTACCAGTGTAACCCAGCAAACGGCGGCCACGCTATATTTGACCAGGATTGGCTCTAGAGTAGAGGTCGCCATGATTCGGGACAGAACTTTTGCCGCGGAGATGAACACGGCGTGCTGGGATGCGGGGAAACTGCCCAGCTCTCATCCTGGTATACTCTTCCCGGCTTCCCCGGTTTCCCCGAAGGGCCGTAAATTCGGAAGATACACGCGACCTTAACTTTTTGTCTCGATCACACTCATTGGATACCCTTCATTCGGCGGTTATTTGCGGCAAGTAATATATGAGAAAGCAAAAGCTCTACCACCTCAAACGAATTGGTGCTAATATCTTTCCATTTATCCTCGTTAGCAGCTTCTTGTCCAATGTCGTCCCTAATCTATGGCGCCGCTTTACTCGTCGTCTGGGGATTGGGCGTCGCCGTCTATAATCTTTTCTTTCACCCGTTGCGAGGAATCCCAGGGCCATTTCTAGCCAAGATTTCGGGATGGTGGCTTTTTGCCCTGGAGTTGACACCAACTCCGCACCAGGAGCTCTTCAGACTCCATCACAAGTACGGTATGCAAGCTATTATCCAAGTGAGACATGGTATAGCGCTCCTAAGCCCCTATATCAGGACCTATCATGAGAATCTCCCCGAATGAGGTCTCCTTTAACGACATTGAGGCGTCGGAGACGATATACGCCCAAACGTCCAAATTCGACAAGTCGCGATACTTTTATCGCGCTTTTGAGAACCCCGGGCCCCATCTGTTCTCGATATGTGATCGGCAAGAGCATTCCCAGGACAAGAAGCTCATCTCCTACGCAATGTCGCGCGCAAATATCACCTCACACGAGTCGTCAATGTATGACAAGGCCACCTTTTTTATGGACCGGATTGCGCAGCGCGCAAAAGTTGGACAAACCATCCCGCTCTTCCCCATTTCCCGGTGCATGACATTGGACACGATTTCTGACTTTGCGTTCGGGAAGCCTTCTCGAGCCTTGCACTTGGAAGACTTTCACTCACCCGTCTTTGAAGCCATCGAAAAGGGAAATGGCACCGTCCTTTTGGTACGTGCCCTGTATCCCTGGATCATAAATCTGAGCACGGCATCTTGTCCTGACCATTACAGTTTCAACACTTCCCACTGCTCCATCAGCTGCTGAACTGGGCAATCCGCTTCAATCTTGGCTTCGTCCCCAATGGATTCAAAGACCTGATCCGGTCCGCCGAGGAAGGTATCCAGAATATGGATTCGATTGGCCCATGGACCCTGTTCAAGGACATGGTCTCCCGAGCCGAGAAATCAACCCCACTGACCAAGGAACATTTGGTCGGCGAAGGGATGCTCATGATTGTTGCGGGAACAGATACAACGGCGGCCAGTCTCTCACTGACCCTTCACAGTCTGCTCCAGCAGCCAGAGATGTACAGGAAATTGCAGGACGAGATCCGGACCGTCATGCCCTCGTTGGACTCGAGGCCTACGATCCAATCTCTCGATACCTTGCCTTTGCTGGATGCGTGTCTCAAAGAGGGATTGCGCATCGCCTCTCCGGTTCAGTGTCGGCTTCCCCGTGAAGTCCCCGCCGATGGCTGGACTTATAAGGGGCGGTATTTTCCACCAGGGGCAAGTCGTGTGCTTCCAGTCGATCTATTCCACGTTCATGCGTTTAATCTGACTGCTAATAGGTTAACGTTTCTACATCCCCCTGGTATTTCCACTACAACAAGGACGTCTTCCCCGATCCGACACGCTACAACCCATACAGGTGGCTGGTCGAGGGTGAACAGAAGAAGACGATGCTCTCCTACTTCCAGCCCTTCTCAAAAGGCCGGCGGCAATGTATCGGACAAAAGTAAGCCCAGGGCTGCGCCCCCTCTCACATTCCCTCCTATGGAGCCCTTCTAACTCTATCAACAGTCTGTCTCTGATGGAGCAAAAAATCGTGCTGGCTCTGTTTGTGAGACGCTTCAGTCCCAGAGAGGTCCTCAAAAGAACGATTGAGTGGAAAGAGGCGGTTACTGCGATTCCGGTTGATGGTGTGGATGTTCTGGTGGATCTTGTCAAGGAGACGTAATAGCCGTGAAGTATACTATGCAACAGCACGGTGCGCTGGCTTCGGGGTACTTGTCCCAGAACCTTGGTGTCTTGGACTCGGCGACCTGATATTAAAACGTCGTTGGATCAGGAGGAATTATGGCTTTTTTTTAGGTTTAAGCAGATGTATCCCATGTAAAAAATAATATGTATTAGGTACAAAATAGACTGCCCAAACTGCATGGGACCATCCGTATGTTTCAGAATCGTCCTGGGAAGTTACATACATTCATCACGGATGCGTATGGTCTTATCCCGACCATTTCTTTGCCATTTATATCCTAGTAATCGTCAGAGAATCAAGCATATTATTGGCATCCCATAGGTATCTACGTAATCCGTGAGATGGACTTGTGTAGAAGGACCCTAGCTCCACCTGTCCAGGGTGCCAAAAGTAGGCAAAAAGCGTCTTGGTCCCAGAAACTACACGCCAAGCCAAAACTAAATCCCCATAACAGAGCAAATGCGCGTATCTTTATTACTTATCCAATTTTCTGCGCTGTCCCTGGATGTATGGTGATGACCTTGGTCTGCACAAATTCCTCCAATCCCCACTGCGCCCCGAATCGACCCCAGCCGCTGTCACCATGGCCTCCATGAGGCAGAGTCGGTTCATCATGCACAGTCATGGAATTGATGTGCACGGCCCCCGCCCTGATGGCGCGAGCCAGCTCAAGGGCCCGATAATGATCATTCGAGATGATCGAGCTTGACAACCCATATTTAGACTCTTGGATGACGTCCATGATCGCGTCCTCGGTTTCGACAGTGAGGATGCATAGAATCGGGCCGAATGATTCGATCTCGTAGAGGGCCATCTCTTTTGTAAGGCCGGTTATGACAGTTGCTGGATAGCTGTGTGGCAGCGGATTGGGAGGCAGAGGTGCAGTATGCACAGAGGCTCCTTTTTCTCTTGCGTCGTTGACCAGATTTTGAAGTTTTGCTTTTGCTGCTGCCGAGATGACGACTGGTGTACTGTCCAGGTTCTGTAGCAAGGAGAGGATCTTGGTCTCTAGGGCTTGCGCTACATTCTTCGTAGCCAGGACAGTATCCGTGGACATGCAGATTTGACCATTCTTCTCGCCATCGGTTAATCGTAGTCCTCACGAAAAAGCAGAATTGCAGATGCTTGTACTTACGTTTAAAAAAGCCCCCTTAACCACCTCGCCCGCCGCAAGATCGAGGTCCGCGTCGTCAAGAACAATGGTAAAATTCTTGCCTCCAAGCTCTAACAGGACAGGCTTGAGAGCCGCAGCCGCTTGAGAGGCGATGATCCGCCCGACCTGCGTTGACCCAGTAAAGTTACATTTCTTGATCGCGGGGTGGTTGATCAAGGACGTGAAGATCTCCGATGCATCTTCCGGTCGATGGAGAAGGAAGTTCAACACACCGGGTGGGAACCCTGCTTCGCGGAACATGGACGCGAGTATATGATGTGTTTGAGGGCTTAATTCGGACCCCTATTTATTTTGCATTATCCAGTCAGTATCATTTTGCAGCAGCAGAGAATCGGACCAGGGAAGGGAGGGGAAGCCGGGCGTGCCTTTAGTATAGCGACATTTCCTGCAGCAATCGGAGCGACAACAGCACGGAGGCCTAGAATAACCGGTGCATTCCACGGCGCGATTCCGAGGACGACCCCAAGAGGCTCTTTCATCACAAGGCCGTATCCACTCTGGACAAAGGGTATCGACCCGGTTGCGACGCTTGTCGTCAGCGACGCGTACTCCTCGATCAGGCCGATGCTATCAGCCGTGTTGATGTCGGCCCATAGTGGACCACAGTTGATTTCATTACAGCAGACCTGTTTGATCTCTTCGGACCTTTTTCTGAGTATCTGTTTATTACGTGTGAGTTGCGGGCAGTAGAATCTTTGTCGGTGAAGCAGGCGTTTACAAACCTCGGCTAGGTTCAGTAGGAGCCTTCGACGCTCAATGGGTGTAGTCTTCGACCAAAGTCTGTATGCTTTTGCACTGGATTCGGCAGCTTGTAGTGCCAGGGCTTTTGTTGCTCCTTGATAGAAAGTTGGCCCGCCGTCGTGGGATTTATTCGCTAGTTCACTTTGCCTCTCGCCATCAGGAGCCACAATGTCCTGCCCATCGATAATTAGCGGGATGACAGATGGAGTCTTCATCATGACGGGCCGCGTTTGTGGACAAACAATAAATCGAGGTGACAAGGCTACCGCAAGATTCTGGCCTAGGAAGTAGGTATTATACCTTCGGGGTAACAATGGTTAACATTACTCCAGAAGCACCACACAGGCGCGAGCGGAGTCATGAGCTTGATGATCTGACGGGGCAAGCACTCCTCCGGAGCCCCCGGGGCATCCGCGGGCCGCGGGGATAGCGAAGCTGCACTACTAAAGGTAGTAGCTGCTACTACCGCCCCTAAATGGCGGCGGTCCCGTGGGGCAAGCATACAAAATACGGATGGAGCTAGTAGCTGGAACCTGAGCTGTGGTACAGGCTCTGTAACTGCGCCGCTGCATGTACACCTGAAATGCGTGTGCTACAGATGGAGTGCAGGACATTCTGAAATGAAATATGCTTCGCCTACGAGAAATACCATTTCATTCACGCTTGCAGATATCAACTTCTACCACACTGTAGTACATATATATGTGAGCCATAATGCCCTCGTGGATATGATTAAATACAAGGGGCAACATCTCGAAAGCATCTGCAAGCCCATCTTAATCCCGCCTTGCGAAAAGCGCTTCCGCGTTTTTATAGTATGTTTTCTCTCGCACATCTTGGTCCAAGGGAACATCGTCCAGAATCTGCTTGAACCCAACAATGACGTTGGAGGGGGCGTAAGGGTAGTCAGATCCTACACGCAGCGTCAGTAACCAGAAAAGGCCAACGACGAACAGCAACAGACGGCAAGGATCTCGAACAGCATACCGTAAAGAATATGATCATGGGGTACAAGATCTAGAACCATCCTGAGCACAGCCTCCGAGCTGGAAAGGGCCAGGTCAAAGTAGAACGACCGGAAGTCCTCCTTGATTTCCGCTGCGCTTTTCCCGAACATGCCCGCCGTGGCGGGAGCTTCCTTGGATACTGTGCTGACTCGGCTGATCAAGTATGGAAGAGATCCTCCGGCGTGTGAGAGGATGACTTTGCAAGATGAGTATGTCCTCTTCGTGTTGGTGGTGATCATGTCCATTGCCGCCCTGGTAGTCTCATGCGGATAGTCGATGGCCGGCAACGGTAAAAACCGATTGACCGGAGTGATATCGCTGGCATGTGTTGGGTGCACAAAGACAACGGCCTTTCTAGAATTCAACTCCTCCCAGACAGGCTTGAACGCTGGGTGGCCGAGGTACTGATTTCCCGACCCGTATCTCGTAAACAGGGTGACTCCGTCAGCCTTTAGAATATCGAGCGCGTATCGGATTTCTGCTAGAGCTCCCTCAGTATCAAGAAGACACGGCAACGCAGCAAAGAAGCCCCATCTATCGGGGTCTTCATCACGCCTTGCAGCGGCAAACTCGTTGGCCTTGCGCGCCAATGCCCGTCTTTTCACACTGGTGGGAGCGATGAGTGCTCCAGGGGCTGTCAGCGACAATATGACCTTTGTAGAACCGACATTTTCCGAAAGGTTAACTGAGCCATTGACCGACCAGGAAGGAGTTGGCCAGCCGCAGGGATCTCCCCCGGCTTCCTCGAGGGCTGCAATTGGGAGTCAGATTCGGTCACTCCCCGTACTGGAGTTCGTGAGCGTTACCTTGAGCATAGAAGTCGGGCAAAAAGTGGTGATGGGTATCGATAAGTCTCATTTTGCGTGGATGTCTGTTCCTGGGTTCAATTTCGGTTCTCCAGGTGGCTTTTTGAAATTCTTCAAATACACCCGCGTATACGACCCGCGGATCCGCCCGACTGCCGCATCTTTCGCGAAAGCAATGACATCATGAGAAGCGCTTCCAAATCACCCATGAAAGCTCGACAGCCATCAAGGTTTATACTCCACTTCACTCTGGTGTCCGCAACAGTCCGGTCTACACCTTGGGCTTGAGACAATCACCCAACAGGCGACTTTCTCGAAGGAAAGACGGATATCGAAGGTACATGTCCTTCCAAGACAGGAGGATGTTATACCATAGAGCTAACGCAACTCCCCGTAAACCTGACCTGCTTCAATATATCGCGAACATGGCCGTGGTGGGGCCTGGCAATGTAGTTTTGCACGCCTGTAGGCAACTGGGCTGTGAAGTCTACCTTACTGTAGCTCTTTGACGCGCGTGTGTAGACATCCCTTCTCCAGTCTCTCCACAGTGTTCATAAACATAAATGTTGTTGAATTCCCAGTTAGATGAATTTCAAAAATCCTGTCTCTTATAAAAACCATATATAATGCTCTTTGACATGAGTCACCCTACTACAAATGCGCGCTCGGTTCGGGCACATTACTCGATGAATTCCAGATCCCCGACTTTCCAGGAGACAAAATCCCGTTTGGATCCAGCGTGCCTTTTAAGAGGCGTGTAAACCTCCCAAAGGCAAACTCGTTGAAGTCCAGTTTCGTTGCTAGATCATCCATATAGCCCACATGGGTGCGGTACGCTATATGCCCGTGCTTCGCACCATCCTGCACAAGATTGTGATAGAGCTCGTGAAGGCGCGCTTCTTCCCTCAGGGTGTATATGATCAGTTCTATGCCAACGACATAGCGCGGGTAGACGTGGAAATCCGCAAAGAAGTCAAACTTTGCGTCAATCGTGCGTTGCTTGGCGGTCAGGTACCATTCGTACAGCTCGCGCCCCGACGGAGGGATGATGGGCGAGTAGTCGATATGTCCGCCGATTTCCGAACGACTCTTGAGGAGGTTGAGTGGCTCCAGTGTCGGGATGCCGCTGTGGGGAATCTCTTCCGACTTGATCTCCGCCGTTGTGATTGCACGCCCGGGCGCCCCGGGGAACTCGCGCCACGTGATCTGGACGCCCTCGATGGGGGCGAATGCGCGCTGGATTGTCTTGAGAAGGGCAGGGAGCATCTCGACGGAGCCGTAGAGGGAGAAGTAGGCTTTCCAGAATCCCCAGTTCTGTTCCTTGCGGATTTCTTCGAGAACGGGGTATGGCACATAAGAGTCGGGCTTCATGTACTGCCTGATTTTGGCCTGGACTTCTGGGATGGGGGCCGTCAGGGCTAGGCGGAAAATGTTGGCGATTGATGGCGAGTTGAGGATAATCGAGCGCCGCATGAGGTCGGAAAGTGTCCCCACCAGGGGGATAAGGTCCTCTTCTCGAGGCACGCTCACTTCTACAGTTGCGTAGGCTTCCGGGGCCGGAGTGATATGGATGCCAAGTTTCGTGACAATTCCTACCAGGGTCAGTAAGGCTTCCCCTGGAGAGCCGGGCATAAGTAAAGAAACGTACCGAGGTTTGATTGGTAGAAAAGGCCGTCTAGACCGGGTCCAAATCCTCTACCGGGTATTCAGTATGTCCCCATCTTTATTATATGACACATATGGGCATACATACCCTTTGTACAGCGCAAAGGTCTTGTTGTCCTTCATCGCGCCCATACCCGTCCGAAGCAATTCGCCGTTCGGTAAAACAACCTCCATGCCACACTGTGACTGGGAATGTTCTCCATTCGGAGTATAGCCGAACCCGCGGTCCATGGTGTTTCCTAGTACCGAGCCCCAGCCGATTGCTGGAACGGAGGGCCAGAGATTCAAGCCTCTGCGTTGGATCTCTTCGTAAAGGTCGAAAAAGGATACCCCGGGCTCCACGATGGCGTAGCCATATTCCTCGTTCACCTCGATTATTTTGTTCATTCGGTGGAGGTCAAGCACCACCGACCCTTTGACAACGGCACTGGATCCGCCATATCTGATGAGTAAGAATTAGCAAGATGTTTATTAGAAGAAAAAAGACGCGATAAGACATACCCCAGGTTCTTGCCTCTCGAAACAGTCCACAGAGGTATCTTGTGCTTGTTTGCAAGCTTCACAATTGCCTGGACTTCCTCTATAGTTTTGGGCCGAACGGCGCCACTTGGACTGTTTGTCGTGGTTGCTGAGAACGGATCACCGTATGCGTCCTGATTCTCGGCCCCCCTAAGTGCACCATGCTCGGGTGTACGCGATATGTTATCCTCTCCAAGCAGGCGTGCAGCATCGTTGAAAAAATCACCCAATGACTGGGCGCTTGGTGCTGCGAATACCATGTGTGGCGGAGCCATTGTGCTCGGAAAAGACAAATCAATAGAAAGGGACTGGTAGGTGAACAGGTACTTGCAAAGGTATTTGTGTTTTAAGTAGTGGCCGAGTCAGCCACCAGCATGGGCACACAATTTCTGAATTTGGACATAGTCCTCTCCATAGCTGTGAAGTTGTTATCCGGGTATACCGGGTATGCCGGGTATGCCGGGGATACTGAAAATTATACCCCGCTGTGTACCAAGTATCGCATTGAGTGGGGAAGCTGGGGCCTTACACTCACGACGTTCATGCTCATACAGCGCAGGAAAAAAAGTTCTCTTTTCCAACAGCAATACGCGTATAAGTCAGGACATATATTCCCTGGCCAGGAGGAAAATTGGGAAAATTGGGGAAATAGGAGAAATTGTGGGAGTCATTCCGGCCTACGACTCACGCGAATTTCATCCCCAACTTCCGCGGTATTTTCGGATGTCGGGGCACAAGATGAAGCTTGAATTTTCTGTTGGTTCCTCGCAATGCACATAAACTCTGGGGTAGTCATCTGATCATTCTGGACGGCAACTCTGTCGTTTTTTCTCCTTCCAGATTCTCTCGGTTTTCCTGAGGGAAAAAAAATGACTGTTCGTCAACAGATATGCGTGTGGGTACGGAAAAGACCAAATATATATAGCCCTGATCAACTTCTGGAACCTACGGTAAGCCTTTTTTTTGAAAAAAATCAAAGATGTAGACCCTGTGCTACTAGTATATATCACTTAGTGCCTCAGATTATAAACGTGATTTTCTGTAAGCTGCCCGAGCAGATAAATAATAAGAGTCAATGCTAACTTTCCTATATAAATTTACCTTGAAATTGTGTGTATTGCGGAGAAATGTGGGGAATAGTACCCGAGCCCACACCGCCTCTGGGCCTTCGGTATTCTGCCGAGTCATTCGCTTGTTCAATATGGGCTCCGCCAACTCCAACTCGCCTTGCTATCTTGCGGGCATTAAGAGGAGTAATATTTGTTCTCCTTCAGTGCCGCAAATCAAAGGCTTCATTTTTCCATTTACAGATTAACCATGCCTGCCAATCCATCTCATGAATCATCAAGTCCGCCGCTGGGCGAGTCCGATCAACTCCGTTCGGCAAGAGCGAGCGGCCGGAAACGAAAGAGAGTCTCCGTGGCCTGTCGATCTTGCCGCGCACGCAAATCTCGCGTATGTTATCTTTAACGCCAAAGCACATGGTGCGGAGCCTAATATCAATGCAATAGTGCAACGGTGCTCGGCCCTGTTCGTCGTGCGAAGACGTGGGGACGGAGTGTCAATATGAACAGTTGCCGAGCCGGCAGGTCCCCGCAAGTGGCCCTGATACAAGGGACCTGTGAGTGCTATATCCACACAAATATATGACATTGTGGCCTTTCCTGATTTGTATAGGCTTGATGCGAACGCGCTGCTCGAGCGGCGACTGCAGACGATAGAAGAGCAACTTCAGGCCCTGCACTCGGAGAGAAGATCGTTAGGGGTCCAGTCAGTAGTCTCTCCCACTGTCCGTGATGGCCAACAGCCACAGGGTCCTATAGATCTAGGAAGGACACCGATCCAAGATGATGGAGTGGATGGTATGGGTGCTGTCCCCTTGAAAGATGGTGCCGATGAAGACGAATACTTTGGTAAATTACTCCACAATTGCCGCGCCACTGTACTAAGTGAGATGTTGCTGACAGCTTCTGAAAATTTGAAGGGAGTTCTTCTAACGTTGCCTTCTTGCGGATGATCATGAAGTCTGTTGGCCACCGACCTGACCCAGTCTTCAGAAACTCTGACTCTGCCATAAACCCCTCCACAGGTATTGGACAACCTAGAGGAAACAACTCTGACGCGCGTTTTACAAGACCTCCCATTACGACCCCCCTGTCCGAGGGCCGGCAACAAGCTCATGAAGATCCCCTTAAGCTTCCTTCTGCGGAAGAAGCAGAGCGTTTGTTGCGCTTTTACTTCACTACAGTCAATCTGATGATTCCCTGCATTCATGAAGGCTCTTTCAGAGAGACTTATTCAAGAATGCAGAGTCATGGGCTTAGTTCCGTGAGCAGATCGTGGCTCGGCATACTTAACGTGATACTTGCCATTGCGACAAATGTTTTGTCCCCAACGTCACCTACCTGCGAGCGGGCGGCGAAATCCAACGTTTACTTTGAGCAGGCACTTCATCTAACCAGGCCCAGTGTCTTTGGACGCATTTCATTGGAAATAGGTATGGCATACTCGCAAATATATCCTTCGGTATGTCTGACCAGCGCAGTGCAACTCTCTCTTCTCATGGAAACGTACCTGGAAGGAACTCCATCTTCTTCTATGACATGGACTTTCCACGGCCTGGCAGTGAAAGGGGCATACCAATTGGGACTTCATGTGGTGGATGGATCTGAGAACCTGCCAGAACTCGATCAAGAGATTCGCAAAAGATTGTGGTACTGGTGTGTTATGAATGATCGGTAATCGAGCTCCTCTCCCAGGTTCCTAAGTTTATTGCTGAACTCTTTTCTAGTTTGCTAAGCGTCAGATATGGTCGTCCTCCCCTAATACAGCTGTCTCATGTGAGACTAGACGAAACCTTGCGTCTACCGTTTAGCAATGTGTCCAACGCCACCACAGTCTCCAGTCTGGAATACTTCAATGCTATTTTGTATGAGTTTATCTCGGACCGCCTGTGAGCAATTAATTGACAATGATAGGTCCATTACACACATCATGGGTGACGCGGTGGACCGGCTATACGGCCAGAATCTGGAGTTCCAAACTCATCTCCCAATGAGCGAAACGCTCGATCGGATCTTCGGACTATCCTGGAAGCTAGCTCACTGGCAGGACAACTTACCTCCCACCTTACAGATTATAAACTCCACGAAAGAAGCTCTGAACGATGTTCCTCTCACCGTTGGCACGACCAGATTCCGCGTCCTGCTTTCCCTTCGCTATCTGGGTGCAAGGATCCTCATAACACGACCCATTCTGAGAAAATTCCTTGACATGGGCAGTATGACTGCCTCTCACGAGCATCGGTCAGAGTGGCTTGTCAGCTCTGGTGCTGGGCTGCTTGCAGAATTAATTCGTACGTGCCGCAACGTTTTGCAGATCAGTAAGAGTATCCTGCTCGGGTCGAAGAGTGACCAGAATTTGCTCGGTGCCTGGTGGTTTTCCTGTTTCTATAGTAGGTCAATCCATCTCTGTGTATTGGTTGTCCTCCATTTGTCTAACTCATCATTGTTATAGCATTCAATGCTTCCCTTGCAATTCTGGGTGTGCTCCTTATCAAGAGAATCCCCGCATATTCCAAAGCATTTTCAATGTTTTCGGTCTCGGAGCTCCGAGCCCTCGTCAACACAGCCATCGATATCCTGCACGGTCTAGATCAAGGCAACGAGATGCTCATCAAATGTCAAGACACTTTGCGAAAGTTTCTCATCGCCATCGATATTGACGGTAATAAACAAACCCGTGCCCCTCTGAATTTCCCGCAATACCATGTCATAGCTAACCAAAAGATTCCGAAGATAATGTGGCACATTTTACACCCCAGCCATTGACGCTATCCCCGTCCAACGCGTGGACGTGGGAACTCATCGATCCGGCATTCTTCGGCTCCGAGGCCTCGATGAGTTTCGCACTCGGGGCGTTTGGAACTGAAGGTGGTGGTGGGTTTGAGGTACCAGCCATAGCTGAGCCTTGGGATATCTCAGGGGTCTCGCAGCGGTCTGACCCAAGCTGGTAGTAGGGTTATGTTTTAATATGAGGAAGATATGGTATGGCATGGGTGCTAATAGAAGTGCTGTAATGCATCCGCCTTACTGGAGATCTATTAACTCTTTTCCCGTCAGCCTGTACCTAGGACTCGGTAGCGCTTCCTTTCGCGTGATATCGTGATGTCCCGGTACGGAATATTAGACGCATGATGGTGTAACTCGCTCGAGATGTTCTTCAAATCTTCCACGGGGTAGGGGCGCCTGGTCGAGAGTTGAGATGCTACCGCATCATTGCCGATTGCCCCGCTATCATGTTTTAGGGAAAAGCTGGCTCCTCCTCGCTTCTATCCTGGCTCGTGACAGACTTGTTGCGCCGGTTTCACGATATCCTACCGAGTCCACCGCTACTCTTGGCGCATTCCATGGTTGAATCATAGTCGTAATAAGGGTGTGTCCCTTTATGATCAGGGGTATGCATCCAGCCTGATAAATCAAACTAGAATATCGCAGCCTAGATCTCTAGTAATTCTTATACAATGCATGCAGAATTATAGGATCAATTTAGTCTTCTAGTTCTCGGGCATAGAGTAAACTTGCAAAAAAGCTATTGTGCAAGGGGATCGCCATGTTAGTAGTTATTGAACAAAGCACTAATCAACAGCTACAATCAGCAGACAACGATTTTAGAACATCGAAGAAAGAAACAAAGCTAAGGATGCCTTGCGTCGTTTGAGGCTTTGTTACCAGTACAATAAACCCCCCTCAAAGAAAAAGAATGCCATGGTATATTAAACCCCAAAAAACCCTTCGAACCCCGTCTACTCGCCTGTCTGACCCAGTGCTCATTGTCCAAACATATCCATGGCTCAATTCAACCTTTTCCAACTCCCCGAGGAGCTCATCCTTCAAGTCATCGAATACCTCCCAGCAGCCGACCTAGCCTCCTTCCTGAGAACCTCCAAAACATCCTGGCGCATCTCCATAAAAACTGCCGAAAAATACCCTATCAGAAAGATACTAACGCAATTCAAACAGGCCAGTATCGATAACAACACCGAAAGAATGCTCGCCCTCCTCCTCATAATCCGACACATCAACACAAAGCGCAACCCTGCCGTCGGCTACGAAGCCCTTGCCCAAGCCTGCATGGGCCCCTCAGCCAAAGCCGTCTGGCTCCTGGTCAACGACGGCGTCCCCTACGCAGACCCCGGCGACCTCTGCACGACGGGGATAACGGGGCGGTACGAGTGCACGCCCCTCATGTACGCCATGTACAATACCAACCCGGCGCCGCTGCTGGTCCTGCTGGACTTTGTCGCGCGCGGGGATCGGCGGACGAATGACTCCCACGGGGCGGGGGCTTGTCCGCCGCATGTCCATGCGCAATGGGCGCTTAGGCTTGCTGTGGATTGTAGCAATACGGCGATGGTTGAGAGGTTGTTAGCGGGGCAGGGGTACGGGGTCGACGTGAACTATACCTATACGCGCCAGGCGGGCGGGGGCGGCACTGTGCTTCTATTCGCTGCGAAAGGGGGTAACAAGTATGTTGTCGAGGCTCTGCTAAAGTATGGCGCGGATATCCATGCGCGCCATCCGGGGAACGGGTGGAGTGCGTTACACTATGCTGCGGCGAAGGGCCACGATGATGTTGTTAAGCGATTGCTCGAGGCAGGAGCCGACGTTCACTGCGCCGAGCCATTGATGGGACATACGCCTCTGCTCCTCGCTGCGGGACACGGCCACGACGAGGTGGTTGATGTTCTGATCCAGCGCGGTGCGAGGATAAACCACCAGAATATCCTCGGCCGTAGCGCGCTGTCCATCGCCGCGGCGATCAATGATCCCGGTGTTGTGAGTACACTCTTGGACTATGGAGCTGACGCTGCGCAGGTCTGTTGCAAGGGTCACACGGCGCTGTCGTATGCTATTGGACGAAACAGCTGGGGGTCTATGGGGTTGCTTGCTGATGCGTTGTGTTTATCGGTCAATGAACATGCTCTTGGTACGGGGCCGTTGGATTACACGACGCGGAGGTTCTATAAGCGGGGGAACCAGAGCAGGGACTCGGATATTCGCGAGTTGGCCGAGATTGTTGGGTATGAGCTTACGGGAAATGCCAAACGTGATGCGCATTGGTTGGAGTGTGAGTTTGAGGCGTTTGTGGATTTTGATCTTTACGACGCTCCTATAGCGTCGGATGACGAGAATGAAGACGAAGAGGAGGACAGCGATGAGGATGAGGATGTCATGGAGACTGATCAGGATTCCCAAGCGTAAGTCAACCCCCTGCTCTATGCTGCTAATTCTCAATATGTGCATCTATATAGGCTCTTCCGAGTACTGAGCAACAACAGGTTAGAAATATTAACCCATTTTCAATATAATACTCTTCCAAAATAAGTAAATTCTCAGATGTGAGTCTGACTTAGAGCCTCGGGCTGACAATCTGCTTCCGCGCCAGTGCAGCAGCAGCACGCCCAGCCCGGCGGCCAAATACAGCCCCCGACGTAAGGCCACTGCCTCCGGGGTAGTTGTCGTAGAACAGTCCACCCAACATTTCGCCTGCGCAGAACAACCCCGGCACAGGAGCGTTTGTAGCAGATGAGATAACGCCGGCCGTTTCATGGTCGACGGCAAGTCCGCCAAAGGTAAATGTCACCCCGCAGGTAACTTTGACAGCGACAAATGGCTTCTCTATTAGCGGCGTAGCCCAGTTTGATTTGGCGAGGGGGAGCTGCACTCGAGATGACTGCGTCGACAGGCCGTCCTTAACAGCCGGATCCCACTTGTGGTTTGGATTCTCAGCTCCAAAGGCTGCCACGGCGTCGTTGTACTCGTCAATCGTCGAGACGAACTTGGCTGGATTCCTCAGCCCACGCTCCGCACATTTCTTAGCAAGCTCTTCAACTGTAGACGCTGTGATGCGCTCGACAATCTCATCGCGATATTCCTCACTCCGCAACCACGGTGTCATTGTGGCATCCCAGACCTGAAATGCCGCATGCCCTGGCTGTGCCAGAATGGCCTTCCCGAATATCGCGTACGTATAGTTGCGCATGTCCACGCCCTCGTCGACAAACCGCTCTCCTTCGAGGTTCAACATGAGCCCCAGCGGATATCCGGACTTTGTGAACTCGTTCGAAATCTCCCGGTCGCCCGAGTTCGCAGGTGCATTCGCGTCCCACGCCACAGAGTGGCATCCAGACCAGTTTCCCGCTTGCTTCGCAGAGACATCACGTATGGCCATTTCGAAACACGAACCATTGTTATACGGCGTTCCACGCACCTTGGCGAGATCCCATCCCGGTCCGAGATATTGCGCACGCATGCGCGGATTCGCCTCGAACCCACCAGCAGCAAGAACAACAGCGCGCGTCTGAATCTCCTTCTCCCCAGTCCCATCCTCAACGACAACACCCCTAACCGCCCCAGCAGAATCCAGAAGCAATTTCTTGGCCGCAGTCCCATAGATAATTTTCACACCCAACCTCTCCGCCGCCCTCCTCTCATCACTCACCAACCCCTTCCCTCCATCTTGAGTCTTCAAACACATCCCACCCCAGAACTTAAACCTTCCGCCAATCTCATACGCCTGGCGATTAAACGACAACTGGAACCGTACCCCATGCCCTGCAAGCCATTTGACAGCCTCATTACTATCGCCCACAAGCGTGCGCGCAAGATCCGGGTCCGATCGCCCAAGACAGATCCGTTCAATGTCACCGCCGAAGTGTTTGTCCGTGTAGGGTTCCATATCAATTCGAGACGCTGTCGCGGCGTCGACGTTATTCACCAGCGGAAGAACGTCAGCCAGCCCGGCGTGGACTGTCCGGAATGCGCCCGCTGTGAAGTACGAGTTCCCGCCCGCCCAAGACTCCGGGCAAGAGTCTATTAGGACGACATCCCGCGCGCCGGATTCCGCGGCTGAGATGGCCGCGCAGAGGCCAGCGTTTCCGCTGCCTATGACCAGGGCGGTGGCTGATGTTGGTGCAGACATTGTCGTTGGTCTTTTATTTTTCGCTCTTCGAGTTCTGGTGGTGCCCCTGGCTTGGAGTATGGATGGATGCCCGTTGAGAGGCCGGGTTGTCTCGGAGAAAACGTGACTGCAGGCGCATCTGAGGAATAGTACAACGTAGTATCCGCCGTTGGGGTCTGCTGGCTATTTAAGGCTTGGCTGCTGGGTGGCTTGCTCCAGTGGAGAAGCAAGGCGATCTGCGGGGATTGTCGCTCCGTCACACGGACTGGCACACTCCGTCTCGGCTTTCCTCCGAACGATCGGCTAGAGGTGCGCCGCTGCTTAATTCTCCGATTGATAGTGCCGCGGGAGCTCCCGTGGGAAGGCGAGGACAGCTACATTGTACCATTCGTAGTCGACAGAAGACATTTGATTTGGCAGAGAAGCATTGCGTCGGGCCTAGTAGTCGGCTTTGAATGTGTACCCTTTCTGAGTGTACCTTCCTGTACAGAAAGATAACTCGATATATGGAAAGTACGATGGGCGCACCCTACTAAGAGACAGCCATCCGTTGCGGAAGGTGCTACCCATGGACCCAGCCAGTCCAATACGGGCAGGTACGGCGGTCGCACCTGCCTTCTTCGGGTCTATAGGTGTATTCCAACGTGGAAGGCGCGACCCAGGTAGGGCTCACAGCTATGCCTGCGTACCTGCCCTTTTCACCACAATGATACTCACTCGAGCTTCTCCTTCGTCGCCTTCATTCCCTCTCTCATCACAGCCACCACGTCGTCAACCGTCGTCCCCCTCTGCCTCCTCCCCGGCTGCTCTTGTCCCAGCGCCGTATCCTCCGCAACAACCCGATACACCTCAGCTACGCCGTCGAATCTGCCGAAATCAGCGTCCAAGAACCCATTCGAGACGGATCAGTGAGCAACGTACAGTCCAGAACTAAAGCCGCCCTCCTCCTCCATCGTCCTCCCAATCTGCTGCATCTCATTCACCCACCGATACGCCTTCGGCGGCATACCCACGACCCCACGATCGGCAATCGCCAGACCCCCATTGTTGTGTTTCGAGAGATACTCGCGGAGCTTCGGGTACACGCCCATCGCCTCCGCCGTGACGAGCGACTGGATAGCGATCGCGATAAACCCCTTCGTCGTGCTGGCAAAACACATTTTCAGCCCGGATGCTGGGCCGATTGTATCGGCTATGTGGTCTATGTTTAAAACCTCGGTAAGATGGGTGTAAGGGAGTTTGGTTGGTCCGGAGACGACGATGGATGGGCATGTCCAGCCTCTTGGTGCATCGGGTTTCGGCTGAGGAGGCCCCCCGATTATACCGCCATCTATGAAGACGATGTTGGGATTTCCAGTGAGGAGTGATTCTATCTGGAACGCATGGCTCGGTGCGATGGCATTCAAGTCGAGGTAGTACAGCGCATTTTCTCGCGCGTTGCCTTCACTTGGTACGGCCTCAGCAACGCGCTTTGCTGTCGCGAGCGCGTCCCGTGGTGGGACGATGGAGAGAATGCAGTCCGACGCGGAGACAAGACCAGGGATTGAAGGTAAAAGCTGTATGCCACTAGACTTGGCTCTTTCGCGGGTATGTTCGCTGGAAGAGATTAGCGTCACTATGATACATCGTAAATAATTGAGACTAAACCTGCCTTCGATCTTCGGCGTATGTTGCGACTTCGTATCCATGGCTGATGAGGAGTTGACCGATCCCAACACCCATATCGCCGATGGATAGGATCCCGATAACCGGTCGTTCTCCAGTCATGATGGTAGTTTTCTGAAGGTTATTCTGTTGCTTCGAAATGTACGCCAGGCGAGAATGGACTTCCTCGTATGTGGCGACTGAAGGACGACGGGGAATCAACGTGAGGGGTGCGGAGAGTAAGCTCGAGAACTCGGCGGGCGAAAGGCAGAATCGGCGATAAGCCTGATTACGCCATCCGGTTGCTTTATGCACAGGGCGGGGGCGGGGGATAAGCAACCTCCTATAAATCTATCGACTCTATGCCTTGTAGGGCGAACAAGATCTAATAAGAAACTGGTTAGCCTGAGATATACAAAATCTGCCTTCGTCACCTATACGCCTAAGACTTGAGTGGTTGCGGTTGCCAGTAATTGAATTGCGGTACTCATTACCTATTAAGCAAATAATCATCAATGTGGCGCGCTTACTCTAGGTAGCTACCGCAGAGCAACAGAAAGGCAAGACTGAGAGGACGCAAGGCGTAAATTATTGGTTTCGGTAGAAAGATAGTATGGCAAGGCTGGGCGTGGGCGGCACAGTTGTTGAAATGTGCCGCGGGCTCTGCGGCGGTTGCGGTGTTTCCTCTCTTGGACGAACACAAGTTGTTTCTCAACCTTGCGGGGCATATTCACTCTTACAACAACCAATTTATATGCAATTCCTCATCCAGGATATGTCGTTATTCCACTGTTCCTTACTATCTACCTCTAACTACGAAGTTCTTCCTGTTCTTCCGCTGAGATTCCCACTGTGTTATCCAAAATGGTCTGCAACAAACCTGGCAAGAGCGTCATGCTCGCTGATCCCACCCTGCTCGAAAAAATCGACAAGCTCTTTGCCCACGGCGTTGGGGAATACATCAGTCTTCCTCAGCTCGTCGTGGTCGGCGAGCAGTCCAGCGGGAAAAGCTCTATTCTCGAGGGTCTAACCAAGATGGCGTTTCCGCGCGACAGTGGATTGTGTACTCGATTCGCAACACAGATCATCTTCCGCCGCGACTTGAAAACAGAGGGACGAAGAATAGTCGCGTGTATTGTGCCCGCTCCAGACGCGGACGAGAAGAGAGCGGAGAAGCTGCGTGCGTGGCAGGCTGATGATTTGCAAAGTCTCGATTCTGCTGTCTTCGTGCAGATGATGGCGGATGTGAGTGTATACCTTTGGAGATGAGAACTCCGTGCTGACCTCTGGGTTCTATGAATAGGTGCATGACTTGATGGGTCTTTCTAAAAAGGATGCCAATGATGGTTTGCCCGCGTTTTCGAGTGACGTGCTCCGCCTCGAAATCTCTGGTCCGAATGAACACCATCTTAGCATAATTGACGTCCCTGGAACCTTTGAGAACACTACCCCTGGATTCACGACGGACGAAGACAAAGCGATGATTAACAAAATGGTCGATGACTACATGAAGAACCCACGATCGGTTATCCTCCCCGTGATACCCGCCTACGCGGATCTTGCCACTCAGAAAATCGACCAGAGGGCCCGCGAGATCGATCCAGATGGCTCGAGAACGCTACGCATTCTCACAAAGCCAGACATGGTTGACAAAGGGACGGAACAGAAGGTGGTAGATCTGGTCAATCGGGGCGGCTCAAAGACCAAATTCGGATGGTTTGTGGTGCGAAACCTGAATCACAAGGAGCTACAAGAGAAAACCGTCGAGAGAGACGCGGCCGAAAAAGAGTGGCAAGCCAAGCCACCATGGTCCTCGGTCGACAAGGATAGGTGGGGAATCGAAGCACTCAGGTTACGCCTTCAGGAGATACTGTCATTGATATTGCGGAAGGAGTTTCAGTCGGTGAGCATCGCTTCTGCTGTACTGGAAGGACGAAATGCTAATTTCACCATCAAGGTACGATCAGAGATTGGGAGCAAGCTCAATCAGGCCAAAGCCGCACTACATGGCCTGGGAGCTGAACGGGAAACTGCCACTCATCAACGAGCATACTTGCTTGACATCATTTCCAAGTTTCAGACAATCGCTCAGAACGCAAAAACCATCAACTATGGCGCAAACAATTATTTTGATGAAGCCCAGGAGCTCAGACTAGCAACTCTAATTGTCAATCGAAACGCCGAATTCGCGAATGATGTGGAAAAGCGAGGCCACCTGCGGGAATTCCAGACCGACGATGGCAGCTCTGATCCAACCACAACATTGGACTCTGAAGAAGAAAGAAATACCATTTCCAGTCGGAAGGTTGGCCCTTGCGCTGAGCTCGAAGATATTCTACCTGAGCCAGCTGAAGTCTCCGAGCCTCTTGCGAACATAACCGATTGGCTCAACAGGGTGTATATCGACTCTCGGGGGTTTGAACTAGGCACCTTCAGCCCTGCACTACTAGCCACTACTATGAAGAAGCAATCCACAAAGTGGCCGACTCTGGCAGAAGGTTACATCAGCGACGTTATTACAATCGTCCACTCCTTTGTGCTGAAAACACTTGAATACGCCTGCCCCAACAGAATGGTCCGCGAGAGCCTTCTGCCACGAATAATGGATAATCTGTTGGATCGGTATACCCAGGCACTCAAACAGGTCCACTTCCTGTCGCACATTGAGCTCTCCGGGACACCAATTACAGTCAATCACTACTTTGCTGACAACTTGCAAAAAGAGTACTTTCCCAGTATTGAAGGTGTGGTTCTTAGCTAATGGCTTCTAGTCGGCAAAATCGGATGATGAAATCGGTGGAAAGTGACACATTCTATGGCAGTGGTAACAAGAAAGCTGTCTGGTTGAGTGCTTTCACCAGGGCGAACCATCTGAGTAACAGAGAACACACCGTTAACGAGATCCACGATATTCTCAAGTCATATTACAAAGTGTCCCGCAAGAGGTTTGTGGACAACATTTGTATGCAGGCCGCGGACTTCCATCTTCTCTCCGGACCAGATACGCCTATATCTCTGTTTACGCCATCCTTCGTGAACAATCTGACGGACGGGGAGCTGGAGGACATAGCTGGAGAAGACTCTGCGGTAAAAAGGATTCGAGCGCAGCTCAAGAAGGAGATTCGGGATCTTGAGGCTGGAAAGAAGATAACCTCATAATGTCGAATGGGATCTATTCGACATTGGATCCATGGTAGCGTGGAGCTTGACTGCAGTGTGGACCAATCAGTTTGTTTATCTTTAGTATCATTTGACGAATGAATTCGATGGCTCGGGCTTTGATCTTGGCTTCTTGCTCCACTGCGGGTGGCTTGGGACCTACTGTAGCCCTAAGAACAGACGGCTGGGGTATTGATTGGGGACCTTTGTGTACTAACCCTTGCTACCAAAGCCCTCAAAGCACCCATGTCAGTCCACAGAATCTGAAGTAGTATGAAAAGTAGTCTTAAATCACTCATAGTACCGCAGGTTCCTCATGATGTGACTACTCGTAGGATCTTTCTTGCTCCAAGCTTCCTTCATTGGGAGCTACCAAGTGCGACGATAACCAGACTAAAGTACATACGATCCAAATTCCAAAGATAACATAAAAAGCCAAATTCCCAAGGCTGATAGTACATATTCTTCCATTCTCGTCGATGTTCACCCTGGTAATTCATCTACCAACCACAAAAAAAGAACCAAGAACCGTACTCCAACATTCAAAGGCACCACCAAACTCCGTAACGTATCCTGGACCGAGCACAAACCAAAAACAAGACCTATACTCCGACACTTGAAGCGAAAAGACCAGACCTCAAATATATCTTTCACCGAGCACAAAAAAAGATCATCACTCCTGCTCCGACAGTTCACCGGCAACACCGAGCTCCATTCGGATTCCTTCCTTCACTCAGCACGGAAAGCTTTAAAACGTCTTGGGTTCTTCGCCTGCGTTATCAGCCTCTGAGCCAACAACACCGCTGATCAGATCAAACACCTCGAATGGATTTAGGTCCGCCCAGCCGCCTGGAAGCTGCAGCCGGTCCAAAAGCTCACCCGCCCTGGCCGACTGGCTTTTTGCCGCCTTGGACTGCTCTCTCAAGATTTCAATCTGCTGTTCGAGGCCGCGGATCTCCTCTTCTATCTCGAGGTGCTCCGCCTCTTTTTCCTTCTCGACCACCTCCAAAACTTCGCCGAAGGTTACAGCGCGGCTGTGGGCGTCGTCTTCAATTGGCGGTCCGATGGGGCGATGCTCAGGGGCCTGCGAATTGCCGACAAGGGAGGAAAGGTTGATCCTCAAAGCCGACTCTCTGTGGATTTGGGTTGATGTGGGCGCTTCCACGGCGCTCGCTTTCTCCGTTGTCGGGCGGGTAATGAGCTGTGAGATGCCTTTGTAAAGCGACGACTCTGCAGCGAGAAGCGACGAGGTGCGGGCCCGCGTGAAGCTGTCTTGAAGTGGCTGCCAGGAGGTTGGTGTGATTCCTCCGGTGCTCCTATTGATGGCCGTCCAGTTATTGACGTGTTGAGTCCCACTAGTGAAGGATGCGTTTCCTGGCTGGTAGGATGTAGTGCTCGCGAATGAAACGTTCTGAGGTTGGTATGAAGTGGGAGTACCGGTTCCATTGTGGCTTGTCGCGACGCAACGTACGGTTGGGCGCGGGTGATTCGAGGCTGCAGAGTCCGCCGCCGGCTGAGAGAGGGATCTATATCCACGGGGCCATCCATCGGGGGTTTGGGCGCCTTCAGTGGTGAAAGAAAGTTCCCCTGTCTCTGTGGCATGGCGGGGAGGGGCACCAGCAACGGCCTTGATGGCCATTGCGGCAGCTGACGCACCTGAGCTTCCAGTGACAGTGGCGGACGCATTCACTCGGGAGATTGTAGCACTGGATTTTGGAGTATAGGTGGGTGTAGTCGATCCAGCAGACTCCTCCTTCTCCTCTTCCACAACTCCCTCGGCGTCTTCTCCCCCATCTTCTTCCACAACTCCCTCCGCGTCTTCTCCCCCCCATCTTCCCCATCTGCTTCGCCTTCTTTGCCATGGTCTCCATCGTCGTATTTAACCTCCTCGATGTACTCCAGGTCTGTCGACCACTCGTCCTCGCCACCAGTTGTATCGTCCGCATGAATAGACACAGACTCTGGAATGAAAGCACGTTTAGTGCCATGAGACGCGTGGAAGTCGTATTCTTCCACATTTGTCGCTATGCCAAAGGGCTTAACCTTGAGAAGAATTAGCTTTCAAGACTTGAAAAAGTATGTTCGCATTATGGATGAGGATGGGCTCCTTACCATTTTGGAACGAGTTTTCAGGTCTTCATCCGCAGCGTCCACATCGGTCTCGTCAAACTTGCGCTTCTTGGCGCTGGATTGAAGAGCGCTTTGGTCATTCTCGGACGCATAGTCGCTCAGGTACTCATCGTCGACCAGACTCTTGCTCAGTCGGGTGACGCGGTCCTTCTCGCCCCTTGTCCAGTGGGTTTTTGCGTTAGACGGTTCGGGCATCTTGGCCGAACCACTGCCAAAACGCTCGGGTTGTAAGCTGAGAACTGCCAGTTTGGTCTTCGTATCACGGTAAGATGTTTTGATCTGAAGTGATGAGAACGATCTGTCGTTTGTCAGTACACTCGGAGGCTCGAAGACTGTCGAGGGGCAAGAGCACGGGTTCGATGATAGAGAAAGAGGCAGAAACACAGAGGAAGTGGTTTTGGTTTTTTCACAGGTGTGAACACTGAGGTGAAGGTACAATGGAAACTGAAGGACCGTAATCCAGTTGCCTTCCAGCACATTCAAGATGGCGAGGGGGGGATGTTTGGGATGGGTAACAGAAGTAACCACAACACAGAGCAGAGAACGAAGTAAAACAAGTGACTTGGATTCAATCCCAAGTGAGATTTGTTGTTTTGTAGAAGAAAGTAAAGACAGAGTCCAGTTCTTACCTAGTAGACTTTGATAGATGAAAGGTCGCAAGAGTGAAGCTGTGGAAGAGCAAGAGAGAAGAGACTTCGAGGGGAGGAAAGAGGAGAGAGAGAGAGAGAGAGAGAGAGAGAGAGGGAGGGGGCAGAGAAGTAGAAGAGGTTTTGTTTCTGCGGGCTGTAGGCCACAGAAGGTCCGTGCGGTGATTTGAGGTGAATAGAACAGCCATAACAATTCCCTGATCTAGCACGCCCTCGCCTAAGAAATCTCTGAATGAAAGCCACCGATCAAGCCACAGGAAGAGCAAAGTCGACTAACACTTCATGGAATCCCAAACCTGTTGAGGCTGACCCTGAATATCACTGTGAGACGGCATCTGTGTTCCAGGGAGTCAGCTTCGCGACAAGGACCCGGTACTCGACCACATTTGGTTGGGTCTCTCGACGGTGCTTTACTAGATTCTTACCATTGCTTGAAGTGGGATGCCAGAGACTCCTGGTTACTAACTACTGTGTTTAACCAAGGTCGACGGTCCCCCTGCTCGTCCCCCTGCTTGCGCAACCGATCCCAGATCCATCCCCGCCGCTACAAGGAAACGAGAGGCGAGTGACGCTTTAATAGAGCCAAAACGCTGTCTTCGTTAAGGGGACCGGATGGCACTCTATAGCTACGGCCTCACAATGCACAGTAGAGAACTCGACGACATCCAGTTGGACCTTCCGACGGGTTTCCCTCTCGACCCTCATCTCACGATCCCTTCAGAGGTGGTACCACGCGCCTTGCTACACTACCCATTGTTATCTGATTACTGGCCATTGTGGTCAATTTAGGCTGACGGTCCTCCAGTTCTGCCCGTCCTGCTCGTCCTGCTCATTTTGCTTGTACCTTGCCCGGATCGATCCCAGGCCCATCGCCGCCGTCCGACTTCTTCGTGCGGATATTTGCCACTATTCCAGTGTCTAGAGATACCCAAAAGACAAAGAGAACAGCAAATGGGTCCATGGGCTATTGTACAAACGTGGGAAAGTGGTATTTGTTGAAATTCAGAAAAGGACAAACGCAACGAGAAAGGGCTTCCTGTGGCATTGGCCGCATGTACAATGATTGAGGAAACTAGAAGGGATTCCAGAACCTTTGTCACCGGTCTAGCATATCGTTTACGGTGGTTGTCAAGAAGGAAACAGATTGCGTTAAGGGACTCGGGCCAAGTCGTCCCTCGTGCGCCGATGAAGGGAGAGGCTTTGCAACTCCTGTGCCCTCGGAAAGTGGACATATAGTCTAGCGAGGACTTGAATAGCTATCTGAATCTTGTCCTGTCCGGGGTGCGTTTTGGCTTTGCCTGAGTTGTTCTTAGCATTGGCCTGTTTGTATCTTGCAAGAATGTCAAGGATTGCCTGGACACCGTCGAAACTGTATATATATATGATTGCCGTTCTTCTTAGACTGTCTTTAATTTTGCCTTTTACAATGCCACTGGGAGTTGGATCTCGACATTAATTTAGATACATGTGTGTGTATTCAACCCAGATATCTATCGCTGTAGCAGTATCCAACTTGCCCGAGTCCTGGTGTGTAAACTATGGTACAAAACGAGGAAAAGTACATAAAACCAAACGCATAACGCCAACGACCAATAGCCACCTGTACCAATATAGTAGACCCGCTTCACGGTCTTGATAATAGTACAAAACGAGGAAAAGAAAAGACAGAACTGCCAAGATGTACGCATCACTCCAACACCCAATTTCCGCCTGTGCCCAAAACACCAACTTCACGGTCTCGATGATAATACAGAATAAGGAAAAGAAAAGACAAAACTGCAAAGATGTATGCATGAACTCCAACACCCAATTGCCATCCGTTCCCAAAACACCCGCTCAGTAATCTCGATGGTGGTACAAGTGCTCTAAAACGTATCTCGATAGCGGCGTAACAGTGGCATAACCCTCATATCCATTCCATCATCAAAGTTCAAAGTCGAGACGTGAACACACTAGTTCGAACGCCCCGGATTATTCTCCTTCTCATCAGCAGCTTTGACAAGCGCCTCCATTTCACTGAAGTTCAAGTCAAAGAGACCGCCTGGCTGCTGTAGTGTAGCTAGCATCTCGCCGGCCCGATTCGAAAGCCTTCTGGCAACGCTGGCCTGCTGGATAAGCTCCCCAATCTGTACTTGGAGACGGTGGAACTCAATAGCCTGCTGATTGTGGATGCGGTGGAGTGTTGCGCCAATCGAGTTCACCTCAGCTTCTGGGACAATTTGCTCCCTGCCACCGTCGGCTTCGGGCATCAGGTCGGTGTGGTGTTCTGGCTCCGTAGTTTGAGCAGTAGCCTGGGTCGTTTCTTCAGATTGAGGCTCGAAATCGGGCTGGGTGTGCGCAAAAGCAGGCAGGTCGCGCGTCTCTGGTAGGATGTAGGAGAGTATGTTTTGTTCCGGGTCAGGATACTCGTGGATGGCATCAGCCAGGCCAGTATTTGACAGCCAGTTTTCCACATTAGTCGATGAGTACGCGGGGTATCCATGCTGAGGCCCGTAGGCGCTCATCTGCTGATTCGCGACGGGTGCGATGGGCCCCGCGTCGGAAATCTCGAGATGACGTTCATTCTGCGCAAGTAGATTGGATGCTGCTGCATTGGGCGGCAGCACTGGAGCGAGAGTTTGTGGGACAGTGTGCCTCGCGGAGCTGCGGGTGGTTCTGGAAGCAGGTACTATCGCGTTCGGGCCTATCTGCATGACAAATGTGTAGTCCTCGGGGATTCCATGCGCAGGGCGATGTGGCTGAGATTCAGGTCCTACACTCGTGGGGCTGCTTCCGACTGTCCTGGGGCTTTTAGAAGGATTCACCCTGAGCTTGACAGAGGTTAGCTCAAGATCAGTCAACAGAGCAACCTCTAAAACGCGATTACTTACGCGCTTGTTGCGTCCCCTCGTGACGTTCGCGTTCTCAGCGTCTGAGCCAGCTCGTTCCTGTGTCCTCTTCCTGCTTCTGGTGTTGTGGATTGGTTGTTCCTCCTGACTCTCCTCGGTCTCAGAATCGTTAGCCTCAGCCTCAAGGGCAGCTTCCAGCTCGTCGATATTCGTGCGTTGCTTGAATAGGATCATAGGCTCCCCGTAGCGATGCCAAAGGCCCTGGATGGATGACAGGGATCGACCGGGGAAGAAATTGAGCTGGAACCAGAACAACAGCAAGAGTTAGCCATTTTGAGTACCTCGCAACTCTGAATGAGGGCTCTGAGGTTTCGAGTACGCGTAGGAGGGGCATAATCTGGAGACAGTGAAGCAGAGAGAATGAACATACACGGTGGAACTCTGGCCAGGAGAGCATGCGGTGCTGGAATCTAAGTCTCAGCAGTTTTTGCTTCTCTTCCAGCGTCCAGGGGACATCGGCTCTTCCTGGAATGGCCATCTCGAATAAAGCCTCTATTCAGCTTTTTGTGTTTTGGAAGGTTTGGGTGATGGCTTCGTAAAGCTTGGATAGTAGGAGAAGTAAGGAAGAAAGACCAGCGAAGGATGCAAAGATTCTGCTTATGGAACAGTTTAAAGGTCTTAAGAGGTGGAAGAGATGGAAAGGAATAAAGGTGAGTGAGGGAAGATTATCTAGGTGCGCAGGTTCTCGTCGAAGGAGAGAGTGAACGCTGTCAAGAGCAGTAACACAACAAGCCACCAGGATTGATTGGAGATAGTCCAGCAAGACGAGTGGATGAGACTCAGAGTCTCTCAAGATCAACGCTCTTGACCTGCTGCAGCAATGGGTTGTGTTCTCCTAGAGCTGAAGGCTTCTGATGGGACGGCTCCACTCAACGAGGCAGCCGACTGTAGATATTCGCTCAATGTCCAACTGCGGCACACCAAACAGTTTTCCCAGTTCAATTAGGGATTTCGAAATGCTGGATATTTTTCTCCAGGACGCCCTCTCGATTCAAGTTGCCAAGCTGGCTGCAGGCTACGTAGATTTACGATTCCCCAGACCTGCAATCAGAACGCGCGATTCTCTCTTGAAATCATGCATTCTTTTCATAGCTCACTCAGAATACAAGGGTTACAGATAGCCAGAGGTAGAGAAAGTCTGGGATTAGCAAGAATCAACCGCGCCCGTAGTCCAGGAAATCGCCTGTCTCTGCCGACGCGTTACCTGAGACTCAGAGGAGTGAATGCCGTGATCTGGACCCCATTGAGACGAATTAAAAAGATGCATTGGATGCAAAGAGAGTGACTGCAAATACAATCAATGTCTCCACTCAGCCACACTCATGCGTTGCCTTGAAAGTCCCTTTCGAATCCACAAGAGCTCGAACGAAGATCTCTCCGCAGAGAAAAGTCCAAATGACAGCATTTCCCGAGTGTTCTGATTAGACGTCCCCTGCAGGAGGTAACTTGAATGCCCAGATGGCAATTGCAGGTGGGTTCTCTTGGGGCGGTGCCTTGAGAGTTGAAAGTCCCCTGTGGGTCCACAAGATCTCGAGCGAAGATCTCTCCGCATAAAAGACCCACATGCAATTGACAGCCCTTTCTCGGCTGTTCTGATTGGAAGGCCCCTGCAGCAAACTGCTGGAATGGCATGTGGATCTGTCCTGGGCCTTGATGTCAGTGGAAGCCTTTGGCTGTCCTGCACGTGGGCTATTGAGCAGCTTCACCGGGCCATTTCCCGCACCTGTAATCATCGTCTAGCCTCAGTGTCACGTCTCTGGTATAAACATAGACACTCATATCATTCATTCACTACCTTGCACACTTTCAAGCATGAGAACTTCTGGTCGGCGCCCGTAGCCCCGCGATGGACGGACGCGTGTTGCCCGGTTAACTCGAGGCTTCTGGACGTCGACACGCCCCTTAGGTGGGCCATTACGTGAAGCCGGGGACGTTAACATTTTAGATAGACATGGTGACTTGGGAGACTCGGCGGAAGGAGGCGTAGGTGGCCCTGGTGCAGTGTAACACAATGAAAGTCCCCAAAGAGCTTTTGGGAGCTATTCGACCTTGTTCAGCGGCCACAATATCTTCGACTTTACTTTACCCAGCCGTCTAGATGATTGAGTATGGGAGATGCGACAAAGCAGGACATGAACAAGCAAGACGTGCAGCAGTGCCAGATCCTTTAACCCATGCACTAACTCCTTTCTGATTCGGAGGCATCTTTTCCAAGTGTCAAGGTAGCCTTTGGATAAAAGCCGCAAAACACTGTGAGGGAGGTAGCTTTCAACTAGTGGATACTGTATAAAGGCGAGACGTAGCAAAGGCAGCATTTCCAAGCCAGGGTATGATGTCAATGCAGTGGTCTTATCCAAGAGCCCTGTAGACGACCTAACGAGACACGAAGGTGATTCTTTTACCAAAGACCCGAAAATAATACAAGGAGTCGGAGGACTTCAGAAGCTTAGACGAGGACGGCCGAAGGCAAAGCATGGTAAATGAATACGTGAGTGCACAGAGCAACTGACCGCTGGATAATTCTCGTCCCATTTTTGTCGAGAATCAGCGGGAGATTCTCGTCCGACGAGACTTAACCGGATAATGATCGAGCGGTTGAGCGACCACCGGAGGTCTGATAATATATAGCAAAAGAGATATGAATAGCTGACTATGTGGATTAGTCGAGCAATCAAGCTTTCTTTCCCTTGCTGTTGAGCGTTACAGGGAGAGGGTCCTTTAGTATAGCCTCAAAATGCGCCTGAAAAGGGCAATAAACGGCTGCGAGGTTTACAGAACAAGCCCGGGCTCATACATGTCGGCTACCGAGTCCGGTTTGGCAAGAAATTCAATGGTCCATCTAAAGGTTATACTAGAGTATCTCAGGTTACATTGCCTTTTTGAGTCTGGCGACAGGACTCCTCGGAAAACGTCGTATAATCGTCGCCTTTCTGACAGGCAAAACCGAGTTGTCAGCCTTACACACCTTCTTTTTTAATTCGATCGCAAGATCGTTCGGTTAGTCTTGAACATCACAATGAACTGAAGCAGAATACAGGGAAAACGTGAAAATCATTCTGCAAGTAGATACTCCAAACACGAAGGATTCTGATCTAGTCTACCAATACCTCTAGCCCACTAAAGGGAGCCAAAATAGTACGGTTCTAGGACAAGAGACAGTCACAAAGATGAAGGGGGGGGGAAACACTCTAACAGGGTAAAGGAAAGGAAAAAAAGACGACATTCGCTCAGTGCTCCATCTGCGTAGCTCGAGACACACCCTCAGCAGGCCGGTGGTGCTCACCTCCCACCTGTGCACCGCACTCCGGGCATCGAGCAAGCTCCATTGGCATTCCACATTCTCCCACCGCAAACTTCAATCAATTAGTCATGTCCAGAACGCAGGGATAGGTGAATAGCAAGACTTACTGGATGTCCGTTCTCGCAGTTGTACCAATGCCCAGAATGAGTGGAGATTCCTCCGCGTCCACTGACCATGGCGAGCTTGATAGCTTCGAGTTCCTTGCTTGTGACCTCCTCGTACCACTTCTCGTCAAGCAATTTCAGCAACTCCCTGGCTGCCTTGAGCAGCTCATCCGCATCCTTAAAGCCTTTACCGCAAAGCCGCTCAGCTTCCTGCAGGTACTCCGTGGCCTTTGCGCCGTAGGCTGCCGTTTCGGTCTCCATTCCCGGTACGCCGCGGTGAGTGCGAAGTAAGAGCGCAATCTCGGCATAATACAGCTTGACCTCGACGATCATGGCAGGAAAGCTTTCCGAGACAGGGTCCCCGATAAAGCTCTCAGTTGATCCCAGCAGCTTTCTTGCGTCATTCACTGCCTCGGTCGCCGCGACGTGTCTATGGGTTTTGGCCAGTTGAAGAAGATTGTTCATGAGGGTATAGTGAAGCTTTAAAAATTTCATGTTACCACCAGTAACGATACGCTGGTCCGGGGAAAGATTGGGGATGTGGTACCCGATGGAAATGCCTTCCATTTGCGAATCTATCCCTGCTGCTCGCATTGCCTTCGCTGTCGCATCATGCAGTTTTCGAACCGGTTGCTCTTTGTGGGAAGCCTCGGCATTAAACCGCGAGATCTTCCTAGCTAGATTGGCGACCATTTCCTTTGCTTTTTTTATCTCGTTTTTGTCCTGTGTCGTAGGCTGCCTCGTAGTCTCCTTGATTCTTCGCCATTCTGCTGCAATGTTGTGGATATCGGTGTCGAATTGAGCTAGGCGTTGGTTGCCACTGACCATGAACCGCTTGGACGTTTCGTCGAGGACGGCTTGATTGATGACTCGATTGTACCGCTGCGTAACGTATTGCTGTATTGGACTCTGGCAGTCTGGGCCACGCGGAATAAATTGACTTAGCGAGCTCGACCGGGATAGAGCGATATACTCTCCTGTCTGGCCCGTCCGGTACGCATCATGCATACTAATATGTCCGTCTAGGGCTTCCGCTGTGAAGAAGTGACCGCAACCCAGAACGACAATTGGACTCTCGTCGAGGCCAATCTCTGAGTATGACTTGAATTCAAGCATATCCACTCTCGCGTCGCCCTTGTCAGAGCAAATCTGGCAGTAACCTTCTGGACAACGTTCTCCGCAAAGACCTGGGCATTGGTGGCCGCATCGCAAGGGTTTTGTGCAACGGTTGGAACACGGAAGGCGGTTGCAAGGGGCGGCACATGGAAGGGCACATTGTCCCTGATGTTCGCATTGCCATGTGCATCTTTCCACACACGGAGGGCATGCTTTATAGCACTTCTTAGGACACTTTGAGTGTGCGCAGCGAACCTGTAAGAGCAGTATCAGTATCAAGCCGACTATTCTTGACGGGACCAGGTATAATAGAGTGGAATTACCTCGCATTTTGCATGGCACACTCCGCAGCCCTCACCGCCATGACATGTACGAGGGCAGGTGTGATGGCAGCTTCCGTACTTTCTTCCGCATATAACTTTACACTTCTGGTGCATCGTCTTTTTTGGGCCTGCTTCCTTTTGCAGCTGCGATGCGCAGTTATAGCAAGTTCCAGGACACTTATGCCCACACGAAAGGATCTGTTGGCAAGGCTCTCCACAGCGAAACGTCTTGCACGAGACATCCACGAAGCAAGGAACCTTTGCGACATGTCCGCAGGATGGAACCGCCCTCTTGACCAAAACATGACATTTTACCTTCTCTGGACTTTGAGATTCGTGGCATGGAACCTTAGCCTTGATATGACCGCACGGCAGCTGGATATCATGGACGGCCGTCATGCAGAGGCCACAAGGCTCACCGCAGAGCTTGGGGCAATCATGCTCGCATGGATGAAACAGCCGCGGACAGGGCAACGGGCATTTAAAGGCCTTGTGAAGGGCATCAGAGTGGCATTTACTGCGGCACTGGTGTCCACAACGTGGAAGGCGTCTACTCAATTAGCCAACGGTTTCCGAAAAAGGGTTTGAGGGTCTTACTGGTCACACTGCTTCCTGCAACCCCCCTGGGGGCTTAGAATCTCAAAATCCTCTGGAGTGGCGACCATGGCATCCGTTTCTTGATGACAGTCACAGTGAAGACTGAACTTGTGCCCAATTGAGTCGGTCATACGCAGCATACCCAGCACATTGGACCACATCGAAACATTGGCGTATGTTTTGGAGTTGCCAATGAGATACATCCCATGTTTGGCACGGCTCAGTAAGACGTTGATCCGATTGCTGGTCTTCAAGAACCCAACTTTGTTGTCCATATTACTGCGAACCAATGAGATGATGATAACTTTGGCCTCCTCGCCCTGGAAGTTATCGACTGTCGCGATTCGCAAAAGTTTGGTCATTGCTTTCTTCTGTAGTAGAGCGTGCCCCGTGCCGTTTGGAGTAGTGTCCTCGTGGCCCTCTCTAATCAGTGTTTCTTGGTCTCGGTCGCTCAGGACGATTTCGAAGTCGTTTGTAGCGCAGAGCGGAGCTTCTGAAGCTGTCCGACATATGGGGTAAGTACTGCGATATCCTTGCTGCTGTAGACTCCCTGTCGCACTATATGCCGGACCAAAGCGTGGGTCATCGCGACCTCCCACTTATTACTCTTAGAGCGTCCTCGGGACTCTTGATCCGCAGCATCCTCCTGATTCTCATGGTCGAGCCAGAACACGTTCTTCCCCATTCCCACAACATTTGGTAGGTTCTTCACTGTGTCGCTGTCTACAAGCCTCTCGTAGAGTGTATTTCGAATAAGTGTGGACACCTCTGGGCGCATGCGGCTTTGCACATTCAGCTGAGAAGTAGGAAATGCGGGTAGGCCGGATTCACCCAGTGCCATGCGTTCAAACTGGCTGCGATCCAACTGGTAGAGATCACCGCTATGACTTTCCATGGATAGCTTGTGATTAACAATCTGCGGTCGGAGTTGTTGGTGGTCCCCAATCTGGATAAGATGCTGCACGCTAGGGATCAACGCAGAAAGCATATGTGCCTCCAGTACCTCACCAGCCTCCTCACAGATGACAACACGACTCTCGATATGGCGTAAGACAGAGATGCGCCTGGCAAGACCAGATGTGGTGACGCCGATAACATCAGCATCAGCCAAAATCCTTCGGTCTACCTCGTCGTACACATCTCGAATCTGCTTGGCAAACGCATCATCTTCGCGGAAATCGTCGAGTATCCCATCAATAATTCTTTCCCGAATTTCTTGCATTAGATGGTTCATAAGGGTTTTGCGATCGTTGTCCGAGAGACTCCAGACGTTTCGCTTGGCTTTCTCGATGATATCTTGCAGTCTCCCCACGGAGTGGATTTGGGTATTGCCTTTTGTTGACTCCTGCACCCATCGTTTGAATCGGTCTGGAACCTTTTCTTGTGTTATTAACCCTTCAGCATCCTTCCCTGAAAATTGCGCGTGAATTCCAGGATACATGCGCCGTAAATGGTGGTCGAATCCTCCCCAGTATCTTCGGTTCAAAGCTTGGAGCGCGCCGAATTTTTTCTGCAGATTCTTCTCCATCTCTTCACGGCTAGAATGACATGTGCCGAGGGTGTAATTCTCTCCGCCTGTTTTGTCCGCTTCTCGAGCAATCGCCCTGAGATTCTTTCCTTCCATCGCTTCTGAGGAACTCTTCGAGCCGATCCGAATAACCTTGTCCATTCCTTGGTCAACCAGGTGCTCTAGAAACTGGTCTAGGGCGTGATTCGTATAGCACCTGTAGCAGAACATTGTCAGTCTCAAAACAGCGATTGTACTTGTTATGGTCACGTACACGACGACGATAGGACCAAGATTGGCTCGCGCTTTGTTCGAAACCAAGACCCGCATCAGTTGCACACCCAAATATGACTTTCCGGTCCCATGTGGTCCTTGGATCAGGCAGAACTCTTGAGACAATGCAAAGATTAACGCATCGCATTGGCCCTTGTCCAGGGAGGTCAGAGCGCTCAGACTTTTGTGCAAATTGGGGGCAATATTGGTGGGGGTGAGGGATAGGCCGGCGAGCTTGTCACTGAGAATAGGACTAAGGTCGAAGCCAAAGTCTGGATCTCTGGCGTATACCGGTGGTGGCACCTCGGGCTTCTCGCTTCTAACTGGATTGCGAGGGTCTGGGACAATCCAGCTTGAAAATGGAAGGCGACTTTCACTGTACATCCGCTGCATATTCTCTAAGATCGGGGCAAATGTTGCCCATAGGATGCTTGGAAACTCAATAAGAATATTCCGCGGCCGTCGTTGCCTTCGTGGAGACGCCTGACTGGCGCTTCCAGATCATGGTTCGCCTGGCCGGGTATGAGACTAGTGATTATACTGGCCGCTGATTTCGATCAGAAACAAGTGAACCGCGCTCATTGACAGAAATGGTTTTCTGGCTAACGGTGAGGAAAGTGATGGAGCTTGTCCCATTGTGAACCCAGACCAGACACAGCAAGCAGCCTTCCTCTAAACGCCTTGTATCTTTCCACCACTTTTGTTTCTCAGCACTTGTTTTCCGAGCAAGTTGACGGGATTCCATCATGGAGATATCGATTTCCAACCCACGCTGCTTGGTGAACTGCAGACGCTCGACATTGGCCCGGCTATATGTACAGATTGCTCTGTTTGATTCGGACGATTTGAACCATTGCCCAAGATTCAACTTGCGATCATGGACATGGAGGATCTCAGCAATAGTCTTTGTGGCCTCATCAAAGATGTCGTGACGGAGAAGTCGAAAGTGTACTTCGATCAATCGCCCCTTGCAGGAAATACGGGGTGCCAAAGTCTGTCGACGGTAGAAGGACCCCTTTCTCACAGCGGACCTCATCTTCGGTCGGTATTATCGTGATTTGAGCAATATCGGCCTTGTCATTGTTGTGGAGAGGCCCTGGTGACTCTAGTATGGGTAATTCGGTCGAACAATCTCCTGCAGTGTGGTAGTAATATCGATCTCAGCCTTTTGTTAATTATTTGCCAGCATGGTATCCGCCCGTTTCCTGAGCCGCTGTAGCTCTTTAATCTGAATCTTAGTAGGAGCCATCAGTGGCTTATCGACCATAGCCTCATCCCACAACTGAGAGACACTATCAATCAGTCCTGGTAAACCTTCATGATACAGCGCCTTTTGGTTTCGAGTGATAACCTCGCGGATTGCCTTCACCAAGCACAGGATTGTTTGGTCTGCGTCTTTGCCTCTGGTCGCTGAATCATCCAACGCCTGACAGACATGTTGAAAGAATGGTATGGCTCGTGATCCACGACTACCGCTGATAAAGACGTAAAGGTCACCCACATAGCTGTCCACAGATAGACAGTCCAATTAACTCGGGTGTGTAACAAACATCAAGAATGATCGCGCCACCAAAAGCATTTCGCCCACTGACCATCGGTCTGAGATTCGAAGGTTCATTATTTGTCGGATCCACTGGAGTCCATCAGTGTTATCCTGGTCAACCAGATCGCGAGGTATTTGCTGGTGTAGAGACTGGTTGTTATGTGCGAGGATCTGCAAAGCGTCGTCCATCATGGCTTTCATTTGATGTATCGAGGGGGTAGAAGGGAGTCTCTTTAGGCTGCGTTTCCATTCCCCGTATCCTTCCTTCTCGGCAGCATCCTCCGCTGTTAAGGTCCCTATCTCCTTGCTCTCGACAGGTGGGGAATCGCCATCGTGGCTATAGCGACACTGCTCGCCGTAGCGGCATCGCCCTTGTAAGAACAGTCGACAGGGTTCGGACCTATCTTGGCCACGGGGCCGTCGGCCGTGGCCATTTTGTGGCCTTCCAGCCCGAGGCGGAGGTGCCATTTTGCTTGTCTCGCTGTATGATGGTCAGCAACAGGCTCAGAAGTGTGGAATTTTCAAGTGTGCCGTTAGGTGCAGTCGATTAAGAGACTGTGGTGCAGAAAGAGCGTATGGTTGAGATAAATTAGAGGCAAAGAGCAGAGAATAAGTATGATGATGAGGAGTTGAAAAGCCTGGCAAGGTTGAAAAGCACTTGTGTTGGTCCAGAAGAGAGAAGCACAGCAAACACTCGCCACGCACATTTTCAATCGCTCTGCCGCAGCCTTACTCCTCCATCTTGCTACCACACCCAACCATTTTAACCCCTCCCCATCAAAGTCTGCCTTGCTGATGCTTTGCGATATCTCAAATAAGCCAACCACATTTAATTTGCTGATAAGGAAAGACATACCACAATCTCATGGGGGCCTCCTGTCTTACCAGGCTGGCAAGCTGCGGTAGAGTCTCGATGAAGGCCACAGCCTCTCCCAAGGTATGTTACCTTGCGCTATACTATAATCGACCTAAATTTGCGCCGCGCTGAATTACTGGGGTCAAAGTGGCGTACAATCCTGATCCTGTCCGTTGCCGCATCGGCTGCCCATACAATTTGCAATGCAGTGATCTGAATCCGCCTCGACTCTTATCCCTTTAATGTTAGAAGGGCGAAGGAAAGCTTGGGTACGTAATGGGGGCCAGCTCCATGATAATGTCGCTTTCCAGGCTAATTCAGGAGACCTTGGGCTTGAGCCTTGACAGGAAACCACGGTCATAATCGATGCGGACAGTACGGCGTCCGCTTCTTTCGAACAAAAGCACGGACGGCTCACGGCCCATAATATTCCCCCGAGGTCGAACCCACAACATTGCTTCTCGATTGTCTTCTCGAATGAATGGGGAAGGGCTCGCTGAGGTAGAGTCAAAGTCCAGCGTCTGTGTCGCCAACATTTTACGCTTTCATTGTCTCTCCTAGGCCTTCACAGAGGATCCCGCGGGTGAGTGTACTCGCCTCGCCAAACAGTGCGCATGCTAACGTCTTTTTTTTAGAAGCCTCGTACCTCGTGTGCATCCGAAAAGACGACCCAAAATTAGCACTGTCATCACTCCCGCTTATCCGCCGAGGATCTCAAGCCCGGTAAAGACCTTTAAACGCCAGGCGTATGATGGAGTCGATATCAGTGAATTGAGGACAAGCATATGGCCATTAAGCGGAGACAAGGTCAGTCAGATTCGAGTCAAGTGCCATGCTCTAGGGAGCCTACCGTCTGCGTGAGAGGAAAGGAAAGAGGGGTATTCGTGGCTCTTTGGATATACTCGGGTACTGCTAGGGAATGCGCGAAGGACCGCCGACAGCCTCCTAAGAAGCTCCGAGGTCGCTCCACCCGAGCCCCTCCTTCGAGAGGCCAGAAATAATCGTGGCCATCATCTTCATCATTACGGGGTGAGTCGAGTTAAATGCTAAGTCGAGTTGAACACTATTAATCCTGGCATCCTCTATCTTCTTCCTATAGACTAAACTTACTTAGAGCTGGCCAGGGGTAACCCGCGAGCATACTCTGTTACTCATCGACCGAACCTGATGTCATATGACGGAACTCCACCCCATTTTTTGCTATAGTCAATGCTCGTCGGCATGGCAGTCATGGCTACATCCTCTGATCAGAGACTGTGATTGACAGGCCCGGTCTCGCCTTCTTGGATACATTGGCATCTCCCACATTCCGGTATTAACGCTACAGTGGCAGGAGGCAACTCCAGCATGATTATGAAGAAGCATCTAGAGCCAGTCAAGAAAGCTTCAACGAGTGGTACATAGGAATAGGCGCCAACAATAACATTTTCAAACGTGTCTTCTCCGAAGTAGCGAAGTCAAGCGACGTAAGCATCGGCTTTTGGCAGGAGTAGCGAGTTTACCAACCGGGGGAAATCCTTCCAATGTATGCGAGAGCAGTATACTCCGAACTATTGGTGGGCACGGAGAGAGGCCTAGAGGCACAACGTCCGTTCGTCAACTTGTATCTCGTAGCCTTTCCGTGACCAGTTTCTGCTCTCCAGAGATATATATGTGGCTCGGTTCGGAACCCATTGCAGACTTCAACATCGCCAATCCCAGTTCAAAGCCATGAATTAGATTCAGTACCTAGCCGTGGCCAACCGCCTACATTTTTTTACTCTCTCTACCGAATAGTAGTGCATACCGACAAGTCCGCTACTTAAATCTCTTGCTTCTAGGGTTCAGACGTATACAGACATAAGCCGGCTTGGCAAGATTATGGAGGCGAAGGGTCCAGTTCTCACGTCCCCGCAGTTTTGGCCGTGCTAAATTTGGTTATCCTGCTGCCTTAACGTACTAGTTCTTTACAAATATCGGGACTACCGGTGCTACATAGATGCTTCGGCCTTGCTTCCGACAAGTGGCTCCCCGAGTCAATGGATGCCTGGCAGGTCCTTAGTCAACCATCAGCGCAGAGTTTTTGCCCGTGAACAGCACCTGAGAAGGCATAGGTTTCACCAGCCGGAGTCATGCATGTCTGAGGCCCGAGGGGTTGAAGCGCTCTGAGTCTGCGACAAGCTTTCTAATGCTCGGCTGATTCGGCGTTTCTCGGATATCACTAGGCAGACATATTTCACTACCGTCTCGGACCCTTTCCTATCAATGGATCACATTTACACTAGTCAGCTTGGATACCCCGGGGTCTTCTTCCCTCGTCGAGCAAGTAGGCGACTGTTCAGTGTGTTGAAGCAATCAGCCACTTAACCATCAAAGATAGCAAACGCATCCTATTCAAATCCCCGGGAGCAGCCTTGGCGATAGAACTTGCAAGGATAGTGGTGACGCTGAGATCATCTTCAAAGTCAGACGACCGCTCCGTGTATGCCACCATAATTGAGGGTGCCTGCGAACGAGCACGGAGTACGAGACTAACGCATCCGTGAAGGAGGATCCCGATGGCAGCGATGCGGGGCCACTATTGAACATGTAGATAGCTTGCGAGCACCAATGCAAAGATGATATTTGCTCATAGCAACAACATTCGGCAGCTTTGCGACTGACGTCGAATGCGACCGTAAGTTCTCGAACTTCACGTCGTAAGAGAAACATTGCCATACATGGCGAATAGCAAGATGAAGGTCTCGATGCGATCGGTTACCGGCAGCTATTCGAGAAACGCATGGGAGAGTGGACGTTGATTTTCACCCAGAGAATCTGGGAAACCTCATTCGCAACGTCGTATAACTAAACGAATGGCCTGTTAGGCATCCATTTAAACGATGCTGCTAAGGTCATGCCGTTTCACTTTGCCGTCTTTCGCTTGCTGACAGTTCTGGGTTGCGCAGTACGGACATCATGGGTCCTGGGTTTTACGCAGGAGACTATGATGGCTGTTTCATCGGAAGGGCTAGTCCGGATGAAGAATAGTCTAATCGTGGAGAGTAAGCATTATCCGAAAGATGTGTGATGCTTGCCATTATCAAATTATTATTGTGAAGCCTGCGATACCCCTCTTGATGACGGATGTAAACAGGCAGCAGAGATTCGAGAATATGAGTGAGCGGTCAATCGGGGTGGGTAATGGGTGGGTCCGATATCTGGGTCTGGTGGATAGTTGAAAGAGCTTGTTGTATAGGAGTCGTCGACAGAGCTCGGGAGCAAGGGAGAATCGGAGTACGCACGCATCGCAGATCCTAAGCACATCCCCAGCCGCTGAGTCATGCACAAAATCTGGTGCAATGATGGTTGCCTGCCTGCCACGTGATAATCGCGGGTCTGTGGCTTGGCATTGAGGCTTTGCTTCACTCGCCACTCCCGATTGGTTAGGCAACAGGATTCCCTCCCACCAGCGATATTCTTATTCGAACTTGTCCCTCTCTGCCGCCTGCTGCCCTCATTTCCTCCATCTCTCTGTCTTAATCGCGAGCCTCAAACGAGCTGCACCCACCTGAAATGTTCTGAAAACAACCCCCCGACCGCGCCGCAATCGCCCGAGTCGAATCTCGCCATCCAGGCTCGCCAAGATGTCCGTCCTCCCGCGCCATGGAGGCTCATACCTCCAGCGACGCCTCACCAAGATGTACACCGATACGAAAACATCTTGTGAGAGCGTGACCACCGCTTCGAATGCGCTCGATAATCCCGAACTCTCCTCGATCCATCGCAATTTCAAAACACAAAGGGATAGACTGTTGGCGTGGGGTCTAGACTGGAGCGATGCGAGCGCCGCGCAGCCGAATGACATCGACGAGTCATTGACGCAGGCAGGGTTCAGCGATGTTGTTGAGAGCGTCATGTCGTCAATTCAAGACTTGTTGAGCGAGGCAGAGGGTTTGCAGAACAAAGGAGCGTCTGATTTACCGTCCAAGGGAGGTAAATCAGATTCCCCCGCAGGCGATGCGCTTGGCGGCTTGCCCTCAAAGACTACTTGGACGAACGCCGAGATCAGTCGCTCGAAGACTCTTCTCAGCGAATTGACGGCTTGCATCGATGTTCTCTATGATCTCTCTCGCTCTCGTCGCGATATGAATGCCAGTTCGACTTCGGGCAAGAGTCGCACGCAATCCTATCCTTCCCCGCATGCCGGCACCCCCGGCGGTGATTCTGGCTACTCGAAGCTTTCGGATTCCAAATCATACCATGCGGCGTCCTTCGATAGTTCGATGTATCAAAGTTCCCCCTCGTCAAAGTCGAAGGAGGCCTACGACTACTCTTCTTACACGAATCTCCACGCGGTCACCGAATCCCCAGTTCTCGAGCAGCCCACTTTTGCAAAAAAATTCAGCAAAGACTCGGTCGCATCAAGGAGCTTCTTGATAGACCGCTCGGCGCTGCAACTTACCGGTGCTTCTCACGACAACAATCCGCCGCCGTATGAAATGGTCGCGGCTTCCACCAACTCTCGAGTCCTCGGCCGCATGAAGACTTCAGCCCTACCTTTCCCTCACAACATCCGAGACCCTACAGTCAGCATTTTGGTCGAATATACTCCGATGGTGCTGGACTCGTCCTCCGATGTCTCTTATCCCAAAGATTCGCGGTTGGACAACGTGCATCAGTCCCTTGAGCAGCTGGTTCAGAACGCCAGGGTATCCCACCTTGGTCTACTAAGGTTCCTTGGATATTATATCGACCGCCCAAACTCCCGATACGCTTTCGTCTACCAAATGCCCGTTGACTACTTTCCATACCTCCAGAACCCAACCGACCTTCTCAACGGGTTGAAGCCAAAGCCTCTCGTCTCGCTTCTCCAGTCCGGAGAGGATTACCCGCAACCCAATCTAGAGACGCGGTTCCGCCTCGCTTATGATCTTCTCATGGCTGTTCTGCAACTGCGAAGTCAAAACTTGGTGCACGGAAACATTAACAGTAGCAATGTTCTCATCCTCCCCGGACTCACAAGCTCGAATCAGAACGAGATTGGACTGACCGAGAATCTCCGGCGTCCTTACCTTACATCCTTTGCTCAATTCTCTGGGAACAATCCTTCCCCAGAGCCTCTTTCTGCCGGGATGTACCGTCACCCCGACGACAAGAGGTCCATCGATGATGATGCTGCCTGGGCTTACGATCTCTACTCGCTTGGCTTGGTCTTAATGGAGATTGGTCTGTGGACACCAGTCAGCCGCCTTTGGAAGATGAAGTACAACACCTCTATCTTCAAGCAAAGAGTCGAAAGTCAGTACCTGCAAAAGCTTGGCCCCAAGTGCGGTACTGCCTTCTGTCATATGGTCCAGCTCTGCCTTGATGCGCCTAATTTCCATCTCTCCACTCAGCCTTTCGATGACTTCAATCTTCGAATTCCGCAGACTTTCCACTATCCGGTTCTGGATCTCTCAGCTCCAGACAGCACCTTTTCTTTTTCGATGAACTTCATCTACACTCTGTGCAAGATTACTTGGTCTTGCTGCAAGATTGACATCTTCAATGCTCCTGGCGCTGAGGAATTGGACGACTGTTTGCCTCTCGCCCTTGTTCCAGGGTCAGAAGCAGATGCCGCAAAGCAAGCAGCTAGGAATTACACTGCGCCTGAACAAGTCACGCAGTTCGTACCGCCAGTGAATGTGGCTCCGGCTCCAGAGATGAAAATGATGAAGCTTGGCATTGAGGAGCGGAAAATGAAGAAGCGCACGTTCAAAAAGCTTACTACAGTTGAGATTCCGCAGGAGCATCTCAACGAGTGGAATTTCCAGATGCTACCTCGATTGAGGAAGCTGCTCCAGAAAATCCTGAAAGACTCTTCCGAGTCATGCGGTGTCACGCTGATGATGACTGGCGACGGGCTAGACAACGCCAAGACGACGATCTGTGTCACTTGTAGTAGCGTGAAGAAGGTTAGGGCAGCCCTAAAGAAGTATTTCCCGCTTGAACGGGAGGACTGGGATTTGATTGTGCTCCGTGGAGACATTGAACGGTCAAAGGTCCCGCGCAAGAAGCGTCGTCGACCGGCGAAGACTGGGCCACAGAGCACAATTGAAGCTCCTCCTTCTATGCAGGACTCAAACCCTTGCTATCAGCAACATCCGCTTTGTGGTGCCTCCATCGGCGCCTTCATGAACGATGAACACCTTCCTCCTGTCTCCTACGGCGGTGCCATCCTGGTAGATGGCGTGCCGTACGGTATGACAGTTCACCACATGCTCGAGGCGCCCAGTGACCAAGAAGACGACTACCAGGATGAAGACGAGAACAACGCCCCCACCCGTTCTGCCGCAAACTGGCCACGCGATATGATCTCCCAAGAGCCGCAGCCCATGTACACATGGTGCGACGAGGATCCATCAGGCCGCGATCTGGAGTTCGAGATCTCCGACGACGAAGACGGAGACGATTACTACGACGAATTCGGCCTTTCTGACGGCTACTCCTCTGATGAGGATGACGACGAATTCGCTTACGACGATGAAGACGCAGCCTCGATTGGTGACACCGCTGGAATCGAACCGGGTGAGGAACCGCCCCTCTTCGTGACCCAGCCCGCAATCGACGACGTCCGCGAAGACTTCTTCCCCTCTCCCGAAGATCGTGACGACGAGCACCTCGCCTCTCATGCTTTCGGCTACGTTCACGCATCGTCGGGCGTTCGCCGGTGGACCCGCAAAGGTCTCAGGCATGAAATTGACTGGGCCCTGATTAAAATCAACCACGACCGCATGGACGCTCGCAATATCGTCTACGACAAGCCATCCCTCGCTACACTCTCGATTACAAGACGAGGTGTCCGAGGTGCGCCTATTCCACCGCCTCCACGAGAGCCAATTCACCTCACTGACGTCGCCCGACTCGAAGACCTCGGAGGTTTGAATGTCCACTGCTGTGGCCGCACCAGTGGGTTGCAAACCGGACAAATCTCCAAGGCAATGACCATTGTCAAGCTGCATGGCCGGCACACCTTCTCAACAAGCTTTGGGGTGGACGGGAACTTTGGAGGTGAGTGAGTGCGCCAGCTCACTATACCCCTCTTCCTTACCTTAGTATCACATCATGCTAACATACCATGTCTTCTAGTCCCCGGCGACTCCGGCGCATGGGTCTTCGAGAAATCCACCGGCCGCGTCTGCGGCGCAGTCTTAGCATGGTCTGAAAAGAGCCGCACGGCCTACATCGCCCCAATGGAAGTCCTCCTCGATGATATCGCTCGCACCCTCCACGCTACACACATCACTCTCCCCGGCTCTCCCAATGAATCGGCCGGTTATGCCATGCCGTACCCTCAGGCCCCGATGCCTCAGAACCCGCGATACGCGGCTCCGCTTCCCTTGCCGGATCAGTTACCCGTCGATTTCAACAGGCAGCTGCGCCTTGATGACCAGAGCGCTAGCCCTGTGAACACGAGTCGCGGGCTCCGGGATCCGTATAGGAATCTACCCCCGATTCTCACCCCGGGCCCGGGGAGAAGTCTTGAGAGGCAGCTCGCTTAGCCTTCTATCCCTCCTTCTTAACCTTCCTTCTCTTACCTTCCGTTCCGTCTTTCCCCTACATCCTTCCTTCTACCTTTTTCACTTCTTTGTATATACTTTTCCCATGACCTGAGCGTGTCTTTTGATCCCGATCCTTATCCCCCTTTGTCCTCCCTCTTCCTCTCCCTCTTTCTCGATACGACTATACCAACCATCCACATCTCTCATGTCATGACTCGCTTGCATTGCACAGAATACCCCCACTGCTTGTATGCAGATTTGATTCAGAGCAAATAACGAATAACTAAATGAAATCGATACCAAAAGTCTTATCATCCATGTCGTCATTAAGTAAAAATAGCACCGGGGATACCGCACTTTCTGTATGTCAAAAAAAGTTTCCTCGGCCCGTCCTCTCCAAAGTAAATGGAAGCCAAACTCGCCCACAAAATCACTTACTTCGTGAATTTCAAATCCTCCCACACCTCCAAAGGCTCTCTCGTCTCATGGATGCCCCAGGTTATACAACTGATCTCCCTCTCCGGCCGCAACAAGTCCCCAAATTTATCTTTACCCCGAGACACGTACTCCGGATGCTACCCGCCCTGGTATACCGCTGAGCATGCTTCATCCAATACATCGTCCCTGCAACCGCAAAGTACACCGCCTTCCTGCGGGCCATTTCCACTACTACTTTTCTCTTCGCTTCGGCGACGGAGATGTCGAAATGAGACCAGCCAGTAAGACAAAGTCGTGGAAAAGGGATAGTCATTCCATCTAGAGCTGAAGTCATCAAGTTTCTGTCTTTGACATTTGGAGTCTATATCAGAGCACATGAGCTATATTGGCATCTGAGCCTCGGGGCCTGGTAGGCCGCCACCAAGGGCCCCCGATATTGGCGTGGCATTCCTGAATAAATCAGTGTTTAGGGTTTCGGAACCCAAAATTGTAGACTAAGTTTTCATTAGGTGTATAGAAAGTGCATTCTAGTCAACCTGTAGTGTCACACCAGAAGCAAACAACAGTCATCATCGATCACATTCCTGGTCCACGCTTTCGTCATGGAACCTAAGGTCGAGCTGGGCTTGGAGCAACGACAACCACCGGCGGTCCCTGGGGAAGACCTTGAGATGAACAAGGGTCTAATTGGTGGGGAAAGTGAGACCAAGGTATGTTGGAAGTAGCTTCTACAGAAATAAAATTCTTAAAATCAATGAATCAAGGGATGTAATTAACGAAATTAAGTTGTTAAGGGCTTGATACACCACTCTGATAACCCAGTAGAGGTCCAAACCTCAGTGTGTCTATGGCGCCGTTTTAAAACTGGCCATAGTAAGGAGAAAAAGTAATAGTAATACGCTACAGGAGTCCTCCTTGCTCGTTCCCTTATGCCTCTTCAGATCAGGACGGAACAGTGACAGCCATGCTCTTCAAGTTGCCCTTGAGTGATTGGCAGTACGATGCGTGATTGGTCCTGCACTAATACCTAATCAATCCAATCACTCGTATTCATGAAGACTTGATTGTTCCGTGGTCAAGTCCATCTAGCGGTACCTGAATCTTCCACTGCTACTTGTAGCCATCGGCAGGAAGTGGTCTGCCGTATTCAGTCAATGCAGTCAGCCACTCCAAAGGACCTCAACTGACCACCTGTGAGTAAACGGGAAATGGCGGGGATGCGTGGCGCACACAAGGTCGGCAAAGCTCATGTTAGCCTTGAGGCTAGGCATTCTTCCAGAACAGGTACCGCAATCAATCTACAACACGGTGTAGCAGACCGTAGAATCTGTGACAAAGCACTGATCAAATGTTTAAAGTCAATAACAGGAGTAACGCTGCTACTACCTTCGCGCTAGACATGCATCACCTCATGTTCCTGAAATCCGCGGAATCTTGCGTGGTCCAGTGTCATCCTCCTCCTCGTCTTCTTTGTGACGTCTTTTCGGTTTGTCGCTGCCGGCACAGTCCGCATCATTGGCAGCATTGGAGGGACTGGATACCACAAGCACGTCCAGAAGTCGGCCAGCAAAGGTATCGTAAGGCTTGTACTGGACCTTTTTGTGCCGAATTACTGGCCACTTTACAGGTGTTGTCGCAGTCTTCAGTTTACGGAGCGCGTTGAGAAGATCAGTGGTAATCTCAGCCTCACACAGAAGCATGGAGCTCTGAGCAGGCGGGCGTCTCAACATCATCGAACCGGCATCCGACCATTTCCAGGTGACGCAGAGACCCTTGTACAGGATGAACGAGAAGAGCACATTGACTGCCCACGATTTCGAGAAGCGGCTTTGGCGTATTGGCTGGGGTCATTATTGCCATGAGGGCAACACCCGCGACGCTTCTCAGTGAGGTTTGCGGCTCAGAGAGCAGCGCTGGGCAATTTGTCACCGCTTCGAGCCTTCCAAGCAAGAATCTACCATCAGCACAACAGGGATCTTGAATAATAAAGCAGCACAGATCCCCCTTCTATTGAAGGGTAAAATAAATTGATGCCACGACTCCATGGATCTATGAAAATGCATGACCAAATACCGTTTTGTAAGAGGAAATCGTACCTTGTCCGTGGCTATACCGTGCTCCGACGGATGGTCATCCAACCCCCCTGTCCGCATCCTACCTTTTTAGGCTTCGATACATTTTACAATCGTGTAACCAAATTGAACAATCGAAATGCAATTCGATAGAAGAACTAACACAAGACATGACATATATGCATCAATCAAGACCAGCCAAACCAAACCATCCCATATCAATGCCTTCTAACCCAGTTAAAGAAGCACAGCATAAGATTAAGAAAGAAGAAAAGAAACTTCGGACAATCAATTCATCATACATGTCACAAAATTGAGTTGACGAAACGCTCTGAAACACAAGACAGAAATGAAAAGGAAAAGGAATTCGAACTGGTCTTCCAAGAGAGATAGAGAAAAAAAGGCTTTAGGGCTCCTAGTTGGAGGAGCCAAGGTACTTGAGGACGGCTTCCTTCTCTTCGACGGGGAGGAAGCTGAGCGCTTGTTGGATGCCCTTGAGGCCGCTCTCGCGGTTGCTGAAGAGGATATCGGCGATCTGCGAGGCGACGGCCTGGGACTTGAGGGTCTCGATCTTCTCCTGGATCGTCTCCTTGTTCTCCTCGTACCACGAGGCCACACGACGATCGTCGTTCTGGAGTTCGTCCTCGAGGAAGGGGGTCCATGAGTGCAGGGTGCGCAGGTGAGTGGCGCGGGGAGAGTCCGAGGTAGGAGCGGAGGACTGGTTGGAGGCGATGGCACCGCTGCCTTCGACCGGAACAGGGGAAGGCGCAGCGCGGAGCATGCGCTTGACGATGTACTCTTCGCTGATACGGCGGCGCACACGCCAGTAGAAGAAGCGGCGGGCGTTCTTCCATGTCAGGGCCTGGCGAATGGTGTTCTTGGCTTGCATACGGCCGGCGCGGTCGTGGAGATCGGCAAACTGCAGAGCGACCTGCATGTAGACAGGAAGGAGCAGTTCTTCGCGGGCAGCCATCTTGGTCTTGATCTCGGAGAGCTGTTCCTTGGTGAGGTCCTTGTCCTGAAGAGCGCGGCGAAGGTCTCCGTAAGTCTGATCCAGACGGGCCATGGTGTCGAGCTGCTTCTCGCGACGGAATTTGATGTTGACGATACCCTCGGGCTCGAGGACACCACCACGGGCCTCCTCGTCAGCGTACATCTCCATCTGGTCGGGGTTGATGGTGGGGTCGATGACGACCCAAGATCCACCACGAAGTTCACCGTGAGGAGGAATGTAGACGAAGATGGGCTGCTCGTACTTGACGAGGGCGTCGACGATGTAGGAACCGTACTTAAGGACCTCGTTGTACATGTCACGCTGACCACCAGAGAAACCTCTCCAGTTGGCCAAGATCATGACGGGAAGCTGTTCACCGTTGTTGAAGTCACGGAGAGCCTGAGCAGTCTTGAAGGCGGAGTTGGGGTACCACACACCACCAGCCTCCTGGGTGATCATCTCCATAGAGTCGGGGTTAGCAGGGTCGGCAGGGGTAACGTTCTCAACGGAGCGAGTCTCGACACCGATGACACCCATGGGGATACCACCAAGTCTAGCACGACCGACAACAACTGTGCGGGCCCAGCCACCGAGAGCTTCCTCGAAGGATCCGGCATCGAAGAGACCAGGAAGGAAACCCTCCTCATCCTCCTTACCGGCAATGAGCCAGCGGACGTCGTAGGCCTGCTTGGCAGGTGGGTAATAAGCGACATCACGATCCCAGGTGTCGGAGAACGGGCGGATGGGAGGCAGAGCACCCTTCTTCTCGGGGACGAAGGAAAGCCACTCAACAATCTTGGCGACACCGTCGAAGTCGTTGGCAGCGGTCATGTGGGAGACGCCGTTCTTGTACATGATCTGAGTACCACCGAGCTGCAGGTTGGAAGTGTAGACCTCGCGACCGAGCAGCTTGTTGATGGCAGGAGCACCAGTGAGGATGATGGGCTGGCCCTCGACCTGGACGGCACGGTGACCCAGACGGACAAGGTAAGCACCGATACCGACAGAGCGGCAAGTAACGAGGGTAATGGTGAAGATGTCCTCGTAAGCCTTGGAGGTGGCACCGGCAATAAGACCGGATCCCTTCAAACACTCGACACCGAGACCATCCTTAGCACCAATGATGGTGGTGATCTTGTGGCGCTCCTCACCCTCATCGTGGATGAGCTCAGTAATGACCTCCTTCTTCTTGCTGGCGTCGAACTTCTCCTTAACCTCGGGGGTCAAGTAGAGGTACTTGAATCCAGCCTCGGGCTTCTCGGCATCGTTCCAGGCAACCGAGAAGTAGGGGATCAGCTCCTCAGCCATACCAATGCGAGCACCAGAGTTGGCAGAGAGGTAGATGCGAGGAATGCCCAACTTGCGAGCCAGCTCAGTACACTTGTGGAAGAACTTATCCTCAAGAGGACCGAAAGAACCGATCTGGAAGGTGATGTCGTTGGCAACGATGATGAAGCGACGGCCAGCGGGGTACTCGGGAGTACGGGCAGTCACGAGCCAACCAACCATACCATGAGTGTTGGTACCGGGGCCACGAGAAATCTCAATCAGGTTGTCCTCATCATCCAAGACAAGCTCGGTGTACTCCATGCATTCACCAAGGGCAGGACGGCGCTCAGCCACGCTGGGAACCTTGGCAATTGCCTTGGCCCAGCTGTTCTGGAAGGCCTCACGGAAGAGCTCGGGGAAATCGTAGACGTACTGGGTTCCCATGACGTGAGCCTTGTAACGCTTAGGCTGCAGCCACTCCCTGGTAGGGTAGGGAGTGGAAACGGGGCGCAAGTGGTTGGAGCCGAGCTTGTTGGTGCCACCAATGCTGTGGAGGAGCCATTCACCCTTCTCGGACTTCTTCTCAATGTAGAGCTCAACCTGGATGATGTATCCAACGGTGTTGTTGATGATAACACGGAGAGGGTAAGGCATGCCGGTGGCGGGGTCAGTGCAAAGAATGCGGATCTCAGCACCAGTGACACGGAGACGCCAGAGACGGAGACCGAAACGGTCAAGGAAGCCAGCCAAGGCCTCCTCGACATCCTTGGGCTGCAGGTTGAAGACGGGAGAGAAATTGATGAAGATGTGGTTCAGATCGGAGTTGTTGTTGCCAATGACCTCCAGAGCATCCAGAATGTCGTTCATCAAGCGATCAGCTTCGGAGATGAGGTACTCGGCAGTAGGAATATCGTCCCGAAGGCGACCAGGACGCACCACAGCGCGGACGAAGTAGCGCTTGTCGAGAGCCTTGTCGTTCTCAGGACCCTTGCCAATAGCCTCGTACACGTGAATGTTGCGGTTCTCAGTGAAGACGGGCTTAATTCGGAATTTCGACAGACGGTTGAGTTCCAGCTGGAAGGCCAGAGCAGGCTCACTGTGGCGGATACTCTCATCTTCCTCGAATGAGGGGCCACGGAAGGTGTAGTAGCTGGGGTAGACGCCATTCTTGCCACAGATGAAAGTGACACGACGGATGCGGCGAGCAACCAGTTCCTCCTTGAATCCAGAGAGCACCTTGTTGATCTGAGCGACAATCTGGGCATCATCGAGGTCCTCGATATCGCGGACGGCGACGTTGAAGACTCCGCTGAGCTCGATCTCGTTGTCCGCACGAGGAGCGGGGCGACGCTTGCCCTCAAGGGAGGCAATCAGACCGTGGTCCTTCTTGGCACCGGCCTTGGGGAACACCTCCAGAGCCCTGGCAATGTGCTCCTCAGCGTCCTCAAGATACTCGACAGGGAGAATAACACCCTTTCTTGGGGTCTCGTTGGGGTTATCGATCAGGAGGTTAGAGATATCGCTGATGGAGTTGATGCGCTTGAAGGGGTTGATTTCAGCAGTAGGTGTGCCGGGAGTAGAAGGGTGGGTAACAGCAGTTTGAGAACCAAACTCGGGCTGACCAAGCTTGCTCAGAGTGAAGTCCCAAGCAAGGAAGGGAGGCTCGCCTTCAGCAGAGTACTGAATGTCCTGAATGGTGTAGGCACGGTACGCACGGCGCACGTACACTTCAAGAGCCGCCAACGTGACCCAAGCATCCTTGTGGACGAAGAATCGAGGGAGGACATCGAAAACGGTGTACTTGGAATCAACAACCTCCTTCAGGGCGGACAAATCAGGCTCACGGTGGGTGAGACCAGTCTCACCATACTGAGACTCGGCAACAGACTGACGGAGGATGAGCTCCATCTGGGACAAGCGCTCCTCGAGAGATGGAAGGGCGGACTGAATGAGGACTTCACGGGCCTTGAGGGTGACCTTGGCAGCAGCGCGGGACTCAATCTCCGTCAGGCTCTTCAGGACGGGCTTGAAGTATGTGCCGACATTGGCCATCTCAGGCTGGTTGGGGCGGTAGATGGACAGGATAGCAAGGATGAGATCGTTCTTGGCTCCGATTCTGCTGTGGGAGAGAGCGGTCTGCACGATACCAGCGACATCGTCCTTGTGCTCTTCACGAAGGGCAAGGATACCATCCTCGTACCGGGCCTTGCTGCCAGAGAAAAGCTTCTCAACGGCAACGTATTGCTCAAGGAGGCCAACGAAGACCTTGTACTCGTGGACCTTCAAGCCCTCGAGGTAGTTGTTGATGACCTGAACCAGAGGAAGAAGAGTGGTCTTCAGGATCTCGGCGTCACCAGGGTTGACGTTCTCCTCAATAAAGCGCACCATGGTTTTCTGCAACTGCTTGGCGGGGAACTCGGCCTTGCGAGCGCGAGCACGATCCACAAGGTTCTGGAGCTGAGCGTCCAATTTTTGGGGCATGCGGGAGTGCAGGGCGGATGATTGGGCGTTCCACTCGCTGTAAGGCAGCTCCGGGTCACGGAGAACAGCAATGAGCTCCTTGAGGGTGCTGTTCATGATAACCTGGTTGTCGAAACCCTTGAGGATGTTCTCCAAGATGCTATGCAGAAGGAAGAAACGCTGAGCGGGCTTGTTACCGAGGACCTGAGGGGGTCCAAGCTCAGGAAGCTGCTCAGTGAAGGGCTGGGCATGCTTGACACGGGATGGGTCATCAAGGGCAAGAATACCGAGGATATCTCCAGCTTCCAGGGTCGCTCCGGGCTGCTTGATAAACTGGACAATACCGTCTTCCTGCGCAATAAGGGGCATGTACATCTTCATGACCTCGACTTCGGCGAAAGGCTGGCCAGCACGGACGTGCTCGCCGTTCTCAACGGTGAACTTGACGAGCTTTCCGGGAGAGGGGGTACGGAGCTGAGTAGGGTCGTTCTCCTGCTCAAGCAAGCAAGTTTTGCCGTCAACGCTGAGACGAGTAGCGGCGGCCTCCTCCTTCCAGTAGACGTTGTGACTGCGACCGTTCAGGAGAACCAAGAGACCTCCATCAGCCAAGGCACGGACACCAACGGAGCACTTGGAGCCGTTGATGAACAGATGGTAGCTATCAAGACCGGCACGTGTGGCCGTGAACTTGTACCGCTTACCCTCATAGATGAAGTCCACCGGGAAGACGGTCTTCAAGACGTCCTTCGAGGGGACCTGGCCCTTCTCGATGCCCTTGCGGTATTCCTCGAGGCGCTCCTCGCTAGCCTGGTGAGCCTTGGTGACAGCACCGCACAGAACAGCGACGGTGGTGTCGGGGCGCTCAGCAGTCAGCTTGTTGGAAATCAGCTGATCCAGCCAGCCGGTGGTAATCTTGTTCTCCTCGAAAGCAGGAGTTTCGAGCAGCTTGATCAGGTACTCGATGGTGGTTCGGAAATCACCGCGAATGCTCAGTTCCTTGAGAGCAATAACCATGTGCTTTCGCGAGGCGGATCGGTTCTCGCCGTAGGCGAAAATGTGACCGAACTGACTGTCGGAGAAACTGTGAATACCACCCGACGTACCGACGGAGAAGTAACCCCAGACGTTGGACGAACTACGGAAGTTCAATTCGTGCATAGTTCCGCTGGAAGGCTTGAAACCCTCACCGGGGTCCTCGGAGGTGATACGGCAGGCAGTGGTGTGTCCCTTGGGTTGGGGGCGGCGCTGGGTCTTGAAGCTCTCTTCGTTGGAGAAATCGAAGTCGATCTCTGACGAGGTGTTGGGGTCAACACCGTAGAGCAGACGGATGTCGCGAATGCGGTGCAAAGGGATACCCATGGCGATCTGAAGCTGAGCGGCGGGCAAGTTGACGCCTGTCACCATCTCAGTGGTAGGATGCTCGACCTGCAGACGGGGGTTAAGTTCCAGGAAGTAGAACTTGTCGTCTGCGTGAGAGTACAGGTACTCAACGGTACCGGCCGAGACGTAACCGACCAGCTTACCCAAGCTCACAGCTGCGCGTTCCATAGCCTGGAAGGTTGTGGGGTTGGCGATCGTGGCGGGTGCCTCTTCAATAATCTTCTGGTGTCGCCGTTGTACCGAGCAATCACGACCGAACAGAGAAATGTTGTTACCATACTGATCAGCCAACAGCTGGACTTCCAAGTGACGAGCGTTACCGGCGAGCTTCATGATGAAGATGGGGGATCCGGGAATTTCGTTGGCCGCGGCGTTGTACAGCGTGACAAAGTCCTCCTCGTTCTCGACCTTGCGGATACCTTTACCACCACCACCCTCGGAGGCCTTGATCATGACCGGGAACCCGATTTCCCGGGCTTTCTCGAGACCCTCTTGCGGCGAGAATGTGCATCCACGGTTGTAGACCTCCTCTTCCACAGTAACAATGCCATTCTCGTCAACAACCACCTCGTCAACACCAGTTCCGGACCACGGGATACAGGGGACGTCAGCGTGTTGAGCAACGATTGTGGAAGAAATCTTGTCACCGAGGGAGCGCATGGCAGAGGCGGGGGGTCCAATGAAGATAATCTTCTTGGGAGAAGCAGCGAGCGCTTCGGGTAACCGGGGGTTCTCAGAGGCGTGACCCCAACCAGCCCAGACGGCATGGACGTCCATTCGCTCAGCAACATCGACGATCAGCTCGACGTTGGCGTAGTTGTTGTTATTCGTGCCACCGGGGACCTGCAAGAATCGAATTGTTTAGCCAGTCGTCCGAGATCCGTCTACCGCACGATAAATCCCAAGTCCGTTCATACCTCGACATATTGATCCGCCATACGAATGTAATCGGCGTTCGCTCGCAAATCTTCTGGCGTAGCCATCACTGTGAATTGAATGGCACGCTCGTTGCCAAAAGTCTCGTAGGCCCATTTTCGGACGGATCGAATCTCCTTGACGGCCGCAATACCGTTGTTGGCGATAAGAACCTAAAGCGGCGGAAGAAGTCCCCGTCAGTTACTGCTCGCTCAATCTCCGCAGAATCTTCACTCAATCGCTGCTGAAAACTCACCGATGTAATGACGGAGTGACCCTCATTTTGAGCGACAAAGTCCTTGACAGCACTCGGGGCCGCGGCGTCCAAGTGGTTGCCACCGATGAAATGTGAGGGGAGGTTGTGTCGAGCGGCGCGAGAACTGCCGTGGCCGTTTGTTGTTGTACCGTCGGGGACGCCCATGGTTCCAGCTGTTGTATTATTATGTATTAAACGCTTCCCATGCGATATATACTAGGATTGGTGAAGCTCAAGGAGGGAGGGAGGTCGGGGATAAAAGTAAGATCGGCGAAAAGAGCCCGAAAGTCCAGCTGAGAGTGGGAGGAGGATACGGGTTATCGTCCAATTCGTGAAACAACAGGGGGGGGCTGAGAGTAATCCCGGATCACAAGAGCGGCTCACTTCCCTGCGAATCGAAGCGAAAAGAAGATGCAGGAAGTAGTAGGAGAAGAGAGGATGTGCGTCAGGAGAGTTTCGGGGGTGAGGACAGAAAAGCTGGCTGAGAAAACATGAGCCAAAACGAACTCCAAAAAAAGAGAGTCGCAAACGGTAGAGTACCAGAGTACCAGCGGGACCGCAACGGGGAACTTGGAAGACTTACCACCACCTGAGACGGGGAGAAGAAGAGTGAAGAAGAAGAAGAAGAACGAGAGAAGGAATAGGACTCTTCTTTACTTTTTTTCCCTCGAGAAAATTAAGATGATGATACAGAGGTGAGGGAGACGAAGGGGAAGAAAAAGACCGAAGCTCAAGTTCAAGGCCAGGAACGTAATCTGGATACGACGCTGGTATTGAACCTCTTCGGATTCCGGCCAGAATTCAGTTTCCCTGGAATTCCCACCCCATTGTTGGGCGCTCTTCCCACCACTTTTCTCTGCCCCGTTTAATTCCCCATGGTCAGGAGAACCATCTCGAGGTCCTGTCCAATAATTTCAACGCAGTCTTATACATGCTATATCCGATTATTACTCCGGATAAGGTCTGGGCTTGGATTTCATCACCTTCTAATAACTAATGTCAACTCCTTAGCTAGTAGTATATCGTGAAACTGTAACTGAATTACATCACGAAACTGCGTGGTACTATCTGCCGTCAAGTCTAAGTGCCGAGTGCTGAACTTGGTCTCTAAGATGTTTCAAGGTTTTATTGTCGCATGATTCTCTTTGACCAGGTAGTAGCAATACTATTCAAAGTCCTGCGGCTCCTTTCCATTATTATCAAGGCCATCCCCGTAAGCTGAGTAGAAACTGCCAGTGCCCGGAGTATAAAATCTCGAGTCGGCTCGGCGAGTTAGATAGCCCAGCAATACTCGGCGTTGAAGATCACTTGTAGATGTTCCGAATGCTCCGACTCGCGCGCAAGCGACACCGACCGGCTCTCGTTCCCAAAGTTCATCTCAAGATCAAGTCATCAAAAGCGTTTAAAGCTACCAGACTATTCGCATACGAATCACCCGTCAGCCCACCGTAGAGAAGATTCAACTTGAAGTTCTTCAGGCTGGTAATCGAAGATTACACGATACTCTGACCCGCATCCAAGCGGCCGCCCATCTCACTAACCACAATCGGTTATGTTGGCACCGGTCAAGTATCCCACCAATGAGTGCTTGTGGAAATGCCCTTTCACGTTGGGGAGTTGGAGCTTTGGGAAATGATCGCCCTCAGCAAATCGGGAGACGAACTAGCCGTATTCCGACTAGCCAGGGATTTCTCTCTTAAGGCTGGGTCTGGTTCACCGTTCCTGGCTCTCGAGCTGGGAACAGCAAAATTGCAACAACAGACAACCGCTTCGACTTCTTCCAGGCTTTCATGGGGTACTTTTCGCAATGACAGGTCTAGACCAATCAAGGAGTTCTGAGGCTTGATTCTGCGATCCAGACTCGTGGTCAATCTGCCGCAAACGGCAACGTTCAGTAGTATGCACGGCCAATACGAAATCTTTCGCTCTGGGCACCGCATAACAGGGCGAGGCTCAGTCCAAACGTATCACTCCGTTAGAAAAGGATTATCTCTGCCAGATTGTACACGGCGAACCGTTTTCTAGATCATCACCGACATTCCCGAGCTCGGGAACACATACTACAATATGCATGTTTGACACCGGGCACGGACGACTTGGCGCTCGCGGGCTTCCATCACGTCAGGCGTGGTCCGGGAACAAAAGTACATATCCCACTACAAGGCACAGGAATAAAGTAGATACTGAATTCGAAGTCACTGGGTATTAGAACGCCTAAGACAACAATACACAGGACCAAGTACAACCCAAAGAAATAGTAAGTATGCTGAGAAACAGCTTGGACGCCGATGGGACCCTCTCCACACCCCGGAGGAGTTGGTTGGAGAGTCCCCGACAAGATCAAACAGTGCCACCCCACTCAAATATACAAGTGTCCGACTGTACAGATGCGTGGCGGTATATCGAGAACCCCAATCTATGAATTAGACCCCTTTCCAAGGTACTCCGAGACTGGGATCTTCCATCCAATAAAATCAAGAACCGGCTCAAATCAGAAGAAATGCTCCAAGAACAAAGTCCGTATCCTGAACGGTTATGTGCGGTTGACCAGCATTCGAGCTGTCAAACTTTGTAGATGTCCATTAAGCGGCCGAGCTTAAAATGTTTCGCCCAAATCGCCGGCTTTAGCTTTCGTGGTGGGTGGCCCCATGGTGTTCTCCCGGCGTAAGCTTCGAGGCGCCGGGATTCCCGAGACGCCGCTAGTCGCTCGCTTTTTGAGGCCAGTGGGTGTGGAGAACGACGGGAGGCGGGTAGGGCGAGGCTGCGTTTCACTAATCTTCGCACGTACAGACAGTTGCTCCGCCAGATCTTCGTCCTCATCAATGTACGACATGCCGTTGACGGGCGTAGATTGTCCTGCGGGGTTGCTGAGCGACGATCGTGGCCGCCGGCTTTCGGTGGTGGGGTTGGTGGAATAGTGACCTAGAGGTGTCTTTGTGCGGCTCTGGCGACTTTCAGGGCGGTTTGAGGCCGCGACACTCGGATGAGTGCTGTGGCTGAAGGAACTAGAGAAACTGGTGCGACTGCTAGGTCGGCTATCGCCTTTGCTTCTCGTTCCATAGGACGGCCGACTGGATGTAACGTAAGAAGGGGTCCCTTCCCCCTGGTTGATGGATGAACTGAAGCTGCTACCGCTCATGCGCTTGCGTTGGTCCCGTCGCATGGACAGAGCTGATGTAACGGGACTGTCACCGATAACGGAGTTCGCACGGGACGAGGCCCGCGACGCGGTTTCTGAAGGAGGGGGTAGCTTGGATTTTGCAGACTGAACCCTCTCTTCCAGCTTTTGCATCTTGCCAATAAGACCGCGAATCTGGTATAATGACCCTGATTTGGGTATACCAGAAGGACGGCTCGCAACGTTGTTGGTGTTTGTCGTGTTGTTCTGCTTGGGTAGGCTAGGACGAGAGGTAACGGACGAGGTTGAGCGGCCGGTGCTAAACGCAAAAGAAGTAGCTCGAGAATGTGCCGCAAATCGCTGCGTCCGGGGCCCATACAATGACCGAGAAAAATCGGGAGCGGCAGCCTTCTGAAGGGGGAATCCGGGCGTCGCCGTCAATGACTTGCGCATGCTGCTGGACGTCTCTGATATGGGAGGTGATGGAGGTGTCGCAGTAGCAGAAGCCAGCGCTAGCGACAATTTCGTTGGTGGAGTGGTAAACAAAGGTGAAGATACAGTCGAAGCTCCAGGAGAGCGATCGAAGATCTCTGGGGTATGCGGTGTCGATGGGCTGCGACTCAAAGGCGCTGGGCGGCGACGACGGCCACCGTTTCGGAGCTTCTCTTGGATGATCTCGGTTTCAATCTTTTGCTCGTTCAGTTCGTCGCGGAGTCGCTGATTCTGTATCCGCAGATCCTCACGCTCCTGTTCACCAGCTTTGATCTCCTCTTCCAACAGCACGCCCCTCTCAATAGCCATATTAAACTTGGACTCCAGATCCTCCAGGGACGAAGTCGTATGACGCGCCTGACGTTCATAGTCATCATTTGCAACCTCAATATCTCGTATCTTCAGCTGTAGTGTCCGGTTTGCGTCTCGCAGCGAGGTGATTTCCTTCTGCAGGGTGTTTTGGGCACTATTCGCTTCCGACTTGGACTGTTTGTACTTGGACTAGAGGAGGCGATGAGTCGGTATCCCACAAAATAGGGTCTACGGGGTATCTTACCTTCCATTCATCGACTTCATATCTCAGATTATCCACCTTCTCCTTCAACTGCCGCTCGCGCTTCTCAGATGCCTCAATCTCCTTCTCTAACTCCGCCTCCAGTTCGCGGCTGGAAGCCTGAAAGTCCGCCAACTCAGATTCAAGTTGCTCATATTGTGATTTGTAATGTGCGAGCTGGTCTGAGCGTGAGCTGGAACCATTGGTGCGGGATGAAGAAGGCTCATCGGCGGAAGGCATTATGCCCGCACCAGGCGATGCTGCGTAGGGGGCGCACGTTCCAGGGGTCCACGGCGGAAGATCTCAGCGGAAAAAAAGAGAGCGAGTCGAGGATATTTAAATGGCAAATGTGTTATCCATCGACGTGAGGCGATAATACAAGCCCATATACGCACAATCTCGGTGTTTGTGGTGTATCACAGCGATGGTTGACGAGACGATGTTGGAGGGGCCGAGGCGGTGACGGTGTCGCAGTAATTCGGAGATTGCGACGGCTGAATGAGGCGAGCGGCGATGAAATATGAGGTTGCGAATGAAGGCGAATATGGCGAGAGAAGAAACGAGGCCGCGGAGTTAAGTTGACTTACCTTTGGCGCATCCCTCACAGAGGGCAGAGGGAGGCTGGCGGGAGGGGTTTTGTTGACGAGATGAAGGGAAGGAGATGTGATGCACACCTGGGATCCATGTGGATGCGCTGTGACCACGGGAACAACAACACTGCGCCTAACCCTGTTGAGCACAGTCCAGCCCAGGCGGTGTCCATGGCGATCCCTCTAAGCCCAATGCGTCTTAGTTGGGCCTTATTTATCTTCAGGCATCAAGCATCAAGTGCGTGGTACGATGGGGATATGTGGCTGAAGCTCAGTTGAAGCGACAAGAAAGGCAGGAAATATCAGGTACTGTTAAGGTTCTGTAGGATTATTGATAAGATCCCAAGTTCTCTGCCTGGTTTGTATCAGATCTAGGAAGTATACACAGAGGTTATTCCTTTATACCTTCCTAGGTTCAACTATATATCTCTGCCCAACGGATGCCACTGCCTTGAAGCCACCGCTTAACGAGGTCAAGGCGGGGTGAAATATCTACTGATAGTTACCTAAAGAGCATGCTCTATACCACCAGCTCATCGAAAACTCCCCGTTGGATCTATTTATGCTCAGTCTTGGTGAGGCTTGTCCGGCAAGTCACGGGATATCACATGACGCCCAGTGAGCACACACACTCGGCGTGGCTCACTCACTCCAGCCTCGCGTCAAACACTCGCGGCGATGCCTGTTGCCGCTGGAATTACTCTCCGAGCAGGCGTTTGAGACCTCCATCTGGATCAGCATTAGTAAGAAAGCAATATTCCTGTTGTTCCAGTAAGTGCCGCCGTTTATTGATTGACCAACCTTCGTTCTGGGGCCTGGTCCACCCATCCCCAGCCGTACACCTGTTGTCCGCTATAACCACGCACGAGATGATCTCTCCCATCAGAATCTCGGGCATTGCTTCCACGCACCATGTCCAACTCTGGACTGAGGACAATGGCCTTGTTCTCTACGCGCGAAACTGCAATTTCACGTGTCACGGATTGGATTGACTTTGATGATGCTGACGTGCGTAGAAACTTTGATCGCTGGAAGTCGACATAAACTTCGTCGCCATGGCGGACCCAACGGATCTGAATCTGGATGCGCCGAGCGACCTTACAGACATCCCGGACATGTCAATGCAGCTTCTTCCACCACCAGAAGGGACGTTTCCTGACAAGTAAGCTTACTCTTCTTGTCCTCGAATAACGCACTAACAAGTTTTAGAACATCACTCCTCGCTTCTGTGCAAGCGCACGCAAAAGCTCATGGATACAATGTAGTGGTCAAATCCTCCAGCACACCCACGGAGAAGAAGCCCGGACGAACAGCCAAGGTCTGGCTTCGCTGCGATCGAGGCGGCCATTACCGTCCTCGCAATGGGCTCACCGAGGAGACGAGGAAGCGGAGGCGAACCTCGCGCTTGATGGACTGTCCGTTCATGCTAGTTGCAGCTGGAACTCCTGGCATCTGGACGCTGACCGTCATGAACCCTACCCACAACCATGGGCCGATCATTGAGAAGCCGCGCCAGGTTCCGCACCACAAGGTCCGCAAAGGGCAGGTTGCTGCTACTCCGTATGACTGGCCGCATGATGCGACTCTTACGCCGTATACGACTGCGCTGGTTATCATCGATATGCAGAAGGATTGTGAGTTCGTCGAAACCTGAACTTGACGAACATTGCTAACTGAAATACAGTCTGCGCACCAGGTGGATATATGGACTACCAAGGCTACGACATATCAGCCGCGCAGGCACTAATCCCAAAGCTCCAACGCCTCTTGAATACATTCCGCTCCGCCGGTTTCCCCATCTATCACACACGCGAAGGTGATTCACCCGCTCCACGCATTCAAACACTCGACTAACAACCCAGGCCACCGCCCCGACCTCTCAACCCTCTCCAGCCGAGAAGCCTACCGTTCCCGCAATAACCAATCTGGCCTCGGAATCGGCTCCCAAGGCCCTCTAGGCCGCCTCCTAATCCGCGGCGAACTCGGCCACGACACCGTCGACGAACTGTATCCTCTCCCCGGCGAACCCGTGATCGACAAGCCGGGCCGAGGCGCATTCGCACACACAGACTTTGAGCTCCTCCTCCGCAACAAGGGCGTCAAGAATCTTGTGATCGCGGGTGTGACGACGGACGTCTGTGTGAGCACGACGATGCGCGAGGCGAACGACCGGGGTTTCGACTGTGTGCTTTTGGACGACGGCTCCGCGGCCGCTGAGCCCGCGCTGCATATGAATACCGTTGAGTCGGTGAAGATGGAGGGAGGCATCTTTGGCGCGGTGGCTAAGCTGGACGATGTGGTACATGCCGTGGAAAACTTCAAGGCCGTCACTGTGAAGAAGCTGGCTCCCCAGATGACGTCCTGAGCGACTTACTCGATCTCTGGATCCGGTCTGTGTCTTGGACGTATTATTAAGATTTCGCGATTAGCGTGTTTAGCTCTGCTCAAATCAAAAGCCGCATTTGACCGACCTGTCCTGAATCTATAAACACCGCAACGCCTCGCCATCAAAGTACGTCTAGCAAAAATGCCAAAACCCGATAAGAAAAGAGAAACACAAGACAAAAATCCCAGAAGACTACAACCACTTCCTCCCGGCCGCGGAAACCCTCGCCCGAAACACGGGACTCCTAATCTCCATCCCCCGTCTATAAAACGGACTCATAACCGTCTTCACATACCCCTCATAAACCTCACTCATAAACTGGCGCACAGCCTCCTCCGTCTGCGGCGCCGTCGGGTTCGCCGCGATAGACGAGCTCGATGTGCGTCCACTCGATCCGATCCCGGACCCGCCGAATAATCCGCCACCTGAAGAAGATGTCGTGCTCGCGCTTAGACTCATAGACATGCTACCCGCTGCGCCTGTTGTGCTTGAGGACGCGGGGATATTCGGCTGCGGGGGCTGGTGGAGGAGGACGAAGCGCGTTCCGGAGGGGGTGAGGAATGCGGAGATGTATGCTGAGGCGGGGGGGTAGGTGTCGATGTGTTTGAGGTACCTGTCGCGAACATCAACCGTTAGCAAAATCATCCCAATCCAATCCCATCCAATCCCCTCCTTTCCCCTACCCCACCATTACAGCCCCTAGGCCACGCCAATGCCCATCACATAGTAACCAAAGGAAAGAAAAGAGAAGGGAAGAGAAGAATATAAGGGACAACGTACATATTCCCGCTCATCCACTGCGCCTCCTCGAGCATATCCAGCGACGAATTGATGATAAACTGCGTCATGTACGTGTTCTGCGCGGCGTCCGGGAAGCGGAACCGGGCGATGCCGTCGCCGCCGGATTTCGAGGTGCCAAAAGCGATGTTGAACAACGGGACGTCCGTGGGCGAGAGGATTGTGAAGTAGTAGGACATTTTCGAAACCGCTTTTGCGTATACGTGTGGTTGGGATGGGGTAATGAGGTGAGGGCGTTTGTTGTTTGTCGGCAATTGAGAGAGTGCGATGGAGGTGGAAGTGGAGGTGAGTGTGGTGGGAGCTAGAGGCTAGAGGCGTGGGCGGAGCGGAGGGCCTTCATATTTGGTTTGGTTTGTTGACTGACGGAGCAGCCAAGGCGCGGAGAAAGCTATCACGTGGCGATAAGAGCTAGTCACGTGAACACGATTTATCGACCGAGCGACAGCGACCTTTCAGTCAATTAACTAACCACAATTTCTCCAGATTCATAGAGCTCACCACTCTCTCGGCCGCATATACCTTCAATACCAGCCAGCAACAAGCATGCGCCTCAATCTCTCTAAAAATTCAAAACCCAACCCGCTGAAACCGAACCCACTAGCCGGCGGCGGCGGCCAGAAGCGCAAGAAGGGCGTATTTGGCGGGGATTCTGACGATGAAGACGGACAGGAGCGCCGTGGTACCGAAGCACAGGAGACGGCAATTTCAACATTAGGAGGAATTGATGATGACGCGCCCAGTGTTTCGGCCGGAAACTCCGACGATGCGCGGCCCGCGAAACGCAAGATCGTCCCTTTGGGCCAAGGCGCGAAACCGAAGATCAAGCCGTTGAGCAAGGCATCGATCTTTGCGGATGACGAAGACGATGAGAAAACGGATGGGCAAGATATCAACAAAGATAAAGCGGGGCACGGAGGAACAAAATACGGCCTCAACTCCGCGCCCCCGGACCGCGAATACACAAACCTCTCGGCGCTCCACAGCAGCAAGAAACACGCCGCGGAAGCGCAAGACGTCGACCCCTCAATCTACTCCTACGACGCCGTCTACGAGTCCCTCCACGTGAAACCGAAGAAGAAATCCACCGCCGAAGACGACGAAAGCGGTGACGGCGTCCCCCGCTACATGACCTCCCTCCTCCGCAGCGCCGAAATCCGGAAACGCGACCAGATGCGTGCGCGCGATCGACTGCTTGCCAAGGAGCGCGAAGCCGAGGGCGAGGAGTTTGCCGATAAGGAGAAGTTCGTTACGAGTGCTTACAAGGCGCAGCAGGAGGAGTTGAGGCGGGTTGAGGAGGAGGAGAAGGCGAGGGAAGCGGCGGAGGAGGAACGGAGGAGGAAGAATGGCGGGTCCGGAATGGTTGGGTTTTACCGGGATTTGTTGAGTAGGGGCGAGGAGCAGCACGAGGCTGTTATGAAGGCCGCGGATGAGGCGGCGAGGAAGGTCAAGGAGGGTGCTACTGGAGATGGTGCACCTGCGACGTCGGAGGAGGAGGAGAAGGAGAAGGAAAAGACAGAAGCTCAAATGGCAGCGGAACTGAATGCCCGCGGCGCTCACATCGCCGTCAACGACGACGGCCAGGTCGTCGACAAGCGCCAACTCCTCTCGGCGGGACTGAACGTCGCACCGAAACCAAAGACCGCCGCACCAACTGTCGGTAAACCCAGCGCTGGACCATCTGCTGCATCGCGAGCCCGACCCGTCCAGACGGGCGGACGCGCGGCCCAACGCGCTCGCCAGACCGAGATGATCGCTGCACAATTGGAAGAGCAAGAGCGACAGCGCCAGGAGGCCGAGGCGGCGAAGCAGAGGGAGATTGCGGAGCGGAATCGCAGCCAGAAGACGAATACCGAGGTGTCGAGTGCGCGCGAGCGATACTTGGCGAGGAAGAGGGAGCGCGAGGCTGCGAAGGGGTCGTAGATGTCTACCTCCTCAGGTGCTACATATTGTCCTCTACCCTGTTATATTACATTATACTATACCGATTGCATAGGCGTTGGCGGTGATTTGCATATACAACTGATACAAAAGCGTCCATATACTTATACTAGTACATACACACTACTGTCATGACCTCAATATTCGTATCAGTCCACAGAGTAAAGTAAGCTAAGTATAGACTCCAATTGACTGCGTACACGAGCAGTCTATCCATGTAGTATCGTCACTCGTTTCCAAGTCTAATCCTAATCATAACTCCAAAGCAGATGCAGACGCACCAAGTCCGCGCGCATGTCTTTTCCAACACTACCAAGAATACAAAAACAATCATCATCAAAAAGAGAAGGAAAAAAAACAAACAATCCAACGCCATTCCATATCTCAAGTCAGGTCGTCAACGCAAAACTCAGCCCCATAAGCCCCATCCCGCCAATCGCAAACCCAATCGCCATATTCCGCTGATGTGTCAGCACAAGCCCCTCGGTAAACAGCTGCAACCCGACCGACGTCATAACCCCAGCCGTAACAGCAAACATGCACCCATAGACAGCCCACGACGTCTCGTTCTGCCCGCCGCCCGCGCCACTGCCTGCCTTGCGCGCTCCCCAGATCCAGAGCGCGGCGAGACCTGCTCCCGCTGGTTGGCTGATTCCGCCGAGGAGGCTCGACCAGAACATGGCCCACCCGCGGGAATTTAGCGCGAGGTACAGAGGCAATGCCATGGCGAAGCCTTCGCTGATGTTGTGGATGAAGAGGGCGAGGAAGACGGTCATGCCGAGGGTTGGGCTCGCGTGGTTTGTGGCGTAGGTGATGAAGCCCTCGGGGAGTTTGTGGAGGGCGATTGCGACGGATGTCTGGAGGCCGATGGATAAAAAGGCATTCTGGGGGACGTGATGGTGGTGTTTGATATCTGGTAGGGACGGCTTGGGGAGTTCCTCCGGCTCGAGGTGCGAGTGCGACGAGACCGGCCTATCGACTACATCCGTCTGCGACGAGGTGCTGGAAATACCCGGAGAGTGCTCGGCAGCAGGGACGTCCGACTCGGAGGCATCGTCTGCTGTAATCGCCGGGCGGACCAGGGTCTTTGAGCACTCATCACCACACGCCTGCGAGAACCCATAGCACGGACCGTTCTCATCGCAGTGCGATTTGGGCGCCCCAATAAAACTGCCCAGACGGCGTCCGAGGCGGACCCGCCAGGGGTCTGGACCGCTGCGGGCGACCCCATCCGCACGACGCTCTGTCATCTGTGCGGCTCTAATGACTGCTGGTGTGGATTTGTGAGAGAGGAGAGGCGTTCGCTCGGAGGATTGGTGTGGTTTGCTCGGGGCTGAATGCCGGTGTGCGGTGCCGCGCTCGAGATCGGCGTCGCGGGGTGGCGGTAGGCCATGGCTATGGGCGCAATCGACGACGTGGGAGGGGAGAAATTTGTGTAAGAGGGCGGAGAGGGCTCGGATGCCGACGACTCCGGCGATGAAGAGGCTGACGAGTGCGTAGGAGGATCGAGAAGGGGACCAGCCGGCTTTCTCGAGGTAGTCGCGGGCAGTGGGGAGCAGGCTGTACAGCGAAGTGAAGAGCTAGACGCGTCAGCTGCGCCACAGATATTGTAAAAGAGAGATTGGTGCCTACAATTACGCCTGAACTGAGGCAGAGAGACGCGGATAAAAAGACATTGCTGTGAGCGATTTGAAAGTCACTGCGCGGGGAGAAGCGGCGGGCGAGAAGATCGACGCAAATGACAGACGACCCCAGGATGCAGGCTGGACAAGTTAGATTGAGCCCATTCTTTTTTCAATGCTGAGACACTCACCAGCACCGGAAACGGCGCTCATGACCCAGCCCCGAACGTCGTTGGAGGCAGCCATGATGAGGATTGGGATTGGGATTTTGGGATTTGGAGGATGATGAAATTCCAGTTGGAGAGAAGCAGAGCTCAAGAAATGACGGAAATATTAGATAATCAGGATTAGTTAACAGCGACTGCGTCAGAGCGACAACACACGGACACTTGGATGTGCCACTGAGTCTCTGGCGGGATTGACCATGTCAAGGGGCATCTGGCATTTATACGGTGTAGGTTGAGTTGAGGCGTGCAGTGAGGAGTGAGGACCCGGGGGATGAACGCTGGTCAATGGGGAGATCTACGTGGGTCGTGCAGCCCACCTACCATCAGGGTTCATTGAGTGGTGAAACCTCTGTTTATCTTTTCATCGCTTTATCCTGATGTCTTTCATTGTTCTCTTTGAGTTGTTCTATCACTGGCAGTCTTCAAGACTCGAGATACACCGCGACGCAACATTTAAGACTCGACTCGATGATCGCTCGGATCCCCCACGCTGACGATCCCAACCAGTCATTCCGGTCAGATTTCCAAGCAGCCTGAGGCCATCACGAATCGGGGCCTGGATCCTGTCCAACCACAAAAATAAATCTCATTCATATACCGTGACAAACTATATCCCTCCAATAGACTTCCTTGCCCACTCTGCAGTAATCACCGGGTTCTAGCATAGAGGAATGGATAAATTTAGAGCCCCCCGGCCCTATGTCTCAATCGCGATCAGCGGGGGCCCGATTGACTGGGGTTGTATTCCTGAAAGCTTGCCTCGACAAAGGATCAGTAAATAACTTGATAATGTCTGCTTGGTCCCAAAGTATCTAAAAAGGTAGTGTGTTAAGGGTTTCACATGGATTAACTTGTATTATAGTTCCTTACCGTAATTTGTCCTAGAGATATATAGTTTCAACCAGCACCCTCAGAAATCACTAGCAGTGTCTCCCAAGAATGTACACACAAGCCGTTCATAGAAACGTCAGACCCTTTGCAAAGGCCACTACAAAACTAAAGAGTTCAACAAGCCTCCTGAATTCCAAGACACTCAGAATGGCTAATGGTTCCCTCCACACTCCGTTAGCCCTAGATCGGCTCTCATATAGTAACTATACGACATAGACATCCACTTTGGATTAGAGGCCAATTGATGGTACTCTCAATCAGCATTAATGTTTCTGGTGTATAGCGCTGGGATATGTCAAGCATATATTTGTACCTTGATAAATCCATAGAGAGCAAGACAGATCCTCCCATCCCTTCTTATACAGGCACGCTGAGCACGTATAGGTACTCTCCGAGATATTCCCCAGAGAACCTTACAAAATATACCTAAAGTGCGGCTGTTCAAAGTCCGTCAGATCCATAAACTTCCTCCTCTCAATCTCCGCCCGAACACCCTCGTCCTCCAAATCAACCCCCTCCTCCGCCTGCACCCGATCCCGCCTCTTATTCTCCCTCATATTCACCACCCGAATGACAATCAACACCCCCGCCGCAAGTCCATACATAATCGCCACAAGCGTCTTGCCCCGTCGATACTCTGGCGCATCATCCGCGCGAAACGTCTGCGGCCCGATCCAGTTTCCCGCGGCGTACGCGAGGATCTGGAGCCCGTTGACGGTTACTTTCTTCGTGTACCCCAGGGTATTGTTCGAGATGGCTGTCATGACTAAGCCCCAGGATGCGCCGGCGACGGAGATCATGTAGTACCCGATGAGCAGGACGGGTTTGATATCCTGCGGGACGACGATCATGAGGATGCTGCCGATCATGGCAATGAGGATCGCGACAAAGGCCATGGAGGTGCGGTCGAGGAGTCTGTCGGAGAAGTACGTGAAGATGAGTTTGCCTGCGATGTCGAAGGCGCCTGAGGGTCCGTCAAGGAGGAGGGCGGTGCGGGCGTCGAAGCCGAAGGATTTGACCACGAGGGAGCCGAACGTTGTTATACCCCCATTCGGGATATTCATGAGTGCCGAGAACAACACGTACAGGTACGTCCGCGGATCGCAGAATGCTTCGCGGAATTGGCTCCATTTCCAGACCTGACTCCCGATCCCCTGGAAATTATCGCGGATGCGTTCGACGGCAATGAGCTTCTCGCGCTCGTCCAGAAACTTTGCGTTCGTCTGGTTATCCGGGAGGAACCAGAAATACACGACGCCCGTCGCAACAGTGATGAGCCCCAAGAGCAGGAAAAGAATCCGCCAAGGCGCCAGGTGCGCCGATGTAATCGCCGACAGACCGTACCCGATAAACGCCATGAGGATCAGCGCGACGCCGTTGCAGGATAGCCAGTAGCCCATTCGGCGGCCCTGCTCGCCCTGCCGGAACCACATGGAGGTTATGAGGACGAAGGCGGGGGTTACGGTTGCTTCGAAGGCGCCCAGAAGGAAGCGGACGGCGAGGAGGCCCGCGTAGTTTGTTGTTGCGGCGTGGCAGGAGAGCGCGACGCCCCAGCAGACGATGTTGATGGCGGTGTATTTGCCCACGGGGAGGCGGCGGAAGAGGTATGTGGTGGGGAATCTATATCAGATCATTAGCTCAAGCTCTCGACCTTATCAATGACGGGGATGGAAAGGGGAAGGGGAAGGGGAAGAGGAAGGATAGGACGACATACTCCCAGGCAAGATACCCCGCGTAGAAAATACTCGACACCCAGCTATACTGATTCCCGACGAGCTTCGTGTCCTCCTGAATCCCCATCAGCGACGCATACTTGAGGGTCGTCTTGTCCGCGAACTGGATCATATACACCCAGCACATCAGCGGCAGCATGTGCCAGTCGATATTCTTTAGTACACTCTTTTCCTCCTCCGGCGTAAACTCGACGACCACGCCGCCGGTCAGCCTGAGAGCTGGATCAACGCTCTTATCCTCATAGGCTACCTGGCCCTTGTCGACGTCCACAGCGGTACCCTCTATACTGGCTGCGTCGACATCGATGTCCGGCCTGTTGCCGGAGCCGGCCTCGGTAGACTTGGTCATTTTCATTCAAGATGACAAGACAGGGCAAGACAGGATAAGACAGAAAGAGAAACAGAGTAGAGAAGATGAAGCACGGATAGGTTGCGATGGGAGGGAAGGTCTGGGAGGCCGGAATATCGAAACTTATAAATAATGCCTGCGGCCATGGTTGGGGACTGAGAGCATAAACGGCCTTATCTCATGGATCCTGTAGGATCAGATTGGATATCTGGGAGGGTTGTAATATTCGGGGTAACTCGAGGTCACGCCTAGTAAAACTTTGGTAGACCCACTCGCTTAGTGCAGGATATGCTGGGGTTGGGGCTATGGACCATATCTCCCAGTTTTGCATTCATATTTGGTCGAACGATTGGACAGTATAATTGAGAAGACAGGGATGTGGTATTCACAGACACTCAAGGGCATCTATATACTGTACAAAGTCCTTCCAATTCGACGGCAAACATGATAACATGATCTAGAGAATCCATGTACAGCGATACAACCACTGAATTCCCCCACAGAATCAAAGTTACAAGCGTCCTGGTAAAACGCGGGGAAAGCTCTTCCAATGTCTGACGAGCACAGAATGTGCTGCTGACCCGAGCCTTATCAGGACGTACCAAACACTCACCAGACTTCTGGCGACTCATGGCAGTCGTGAAAGCCTGTCCACTGTGTATCGCCCCGCCTCCACTCGTGTCCACCACTATCGGGACCCACCTCCACTCTACGCCCAGGTTTAGTCCACCAAGGATGGCTGTATAGAGGATAGGTGTAGATAGGCAACAAAAGGGGTTGTTCTGAATCGAGTTGAATCTTCCGGAGATGTATAGTTAGGATGGACGTTTTCCGAGGGAAACGACAAGACCTCCGGAATTCAGCTTTAGGGTTTCCTATCCATGCTGGTAAATAGCCTGTGCGCTTTCGAATGAAGCCCTAGTTGGAAGCGCGAGGAAGGAGCCCTCGACCGTCCATGATCGTGCCTTCCCTATCCGCATCTGTCTCAGTTGGGAAGGTATGCCCCCCGGCCAGGTCGCTTCTTCCTTGAATATCACTTGTAGCTGGAGGAAGGAGCGACCACCGTGCCTTCCGTATCGGAGTAGAGGCACAGGTCGCTCCTTCCATATTCTGCATCATCTCAATCAGGAAGGTACATCTCCCGGTCCTGGATCGCTCCTTCCTCGAATGTCACTGGCGGGAAAGGAAGGCACGACCAGACTCACTGCCCGATCATTCCTTCCTGTTCTGTTTTAGAAAACTGCGACTGGTGGTTGCTCCTTCATCTTTTGAGCACTGGAGTATAAATGGCAGGAACGGCCGTTAAAGGCCATGCTATTCCCTCTTTACCTCTTTTTTTTTTTGTCTTTTTCTTTGAAACAGTACAGACAGTGTAGAGGGGGTATATTCAGTTGACATCAGGACAACCTAGGAGAACAATAATAAAGTCAAGCTTGCGCACCACTACGTCTGCAGTATATACTGATTAGAAAGATACTGAGTGAAGGTATATTTAGTGGCTCTGGGAGCATATATGCTCTGCCCCTGTACAAGTACTATCTAAGGTAATTTAAGCCCTAATAGTAATAGTCTAGTGCTAGTAGGTACAATGATTGCAAGTAGGAAACGCAGCATGATGAATAAAAGATAATTTACGCAGTTTAAAAACCCAAGATTTTTGCTGCTACAGCGTATATAGATGGCTACTCTAGGGTAGGGTTCGAGTACATATGACGTGCTTTGACCGAATGACTCACAGAGCTATACCAACCATGGCACAACACCATTACCATCTCTCCTCGTACAACATCCAGCAAGCCATCAAGCTTCTCAATCAGGCCCAAATCAATCCAAATAATGGAACCCCCAAAATCCCTCCTGGAAACCCTCAAAGCAACGCAACCAGCCCAACTGCACCTCCTGCAATCCTTCGTCCGCGCTCCATCCCCCAACCCCCCAGGAAGCACCTCAGCCGCAGCCGCCGTCTTGACAGCATACCTCTCAGAAAACAACATTCCCTACGAAATCATCGCACCGCAACCCGGGTGCCCCAACATCGTCAGCGAATTCGCCGGCGGAAAGGGACCCGGGCCCCGCGTCGTCTTGAACGGGCACATCGATGCGTTCCCCGTCGGTCCTAACACAGACGGATGGGATAGGGATCCCTACTCCGGCGACGTCGTCGACGGACGAGTCCATGGGCGCGGGGTGGTTGATATGAAGTCTGGAACGGCATCGCTGGTTATCGCGTACGCGGCGTTGTATGAGCGGAGGGAGGAGCTTAGGGGGAGTGTTGCACTATGTGCGGTGTCTGATGAGGAGACGGGCGGGCGATGGGGAACGCAGTATCTCATCAAGCGCGATCGAGCGAGGTGGGGAGGGGATGTGATGCTTAGTTCGGAGCCGAGTGGGATGACGATTCGGTTCTCGGAGAAGGGGACGTTGAGGATTACGGGCGTGGTGAGAACGAGGGGGGCGCATGGGGCGTATTTGAATCTGAGGTTCGTATATCCCCAGGAAGTTTTGTCTTGGTGATATGGCTGATGCTGACTCAAGTACATAGTAAGGGGGCTATCCGGACTGCGAGTGCGTGCTTTGCGGAGGTTATCGAGGCAGTCGAGTCGATGCATGTCAACGCACCGCCTGAGATCGCCGTCCACCTGAACAACCCCGAGACACTGGCTGCTATTGACCGAGCAATGGGCCCTGGTACCTCCACCATCATCGCAAAACCAACAGTCAACATCGGCACGATCAAAGGCGGCACAAAAGTAAACATGATCCCCGACACATGCGAGTTTGAGCTGGACATCCGGCTTCCCGTCGGATTGACAGCCGAAGACGTTCTCTCTGTTCTCGAAAGCATAGGGCAACGATATGCAGACGAGGAGGGTGCAACGATTACGCTCAAGAAGCAAGAAGCGGCGAGTAACCCCAGCAGCTTCTCACCACTGGATCACGCAATGGTCGAGTGTCTGAAGAACGGCGCTACTCACGCTGGTGGGCCTCGGCCTGTGGCGACGCCGTCCATGGGGGCGACTGATTGTAAGCATTATCGATATGCGGGGATACCGGCCTATGTGTATGGATGTAGTCCGTTGACGATGGCGTCGGTAAATGAGTCGGCGTCTGTTGAGGAGTTTTATCATGTTACGAGGACGCATGCGTTGGCTGCATGGGAGTTTCTTAGTAGCTAGAACGTAGATATCTGAATAACAAAGAAGCACTTGACCGTATATCAACAGCAAATCTAAACCTGCTCCGCAAGCTCCCTCGCCACTCCGACACTCCCACACGCGACACCCAGGAACTCAAAGTCTGACGCTTTGGCCACCGACTCATCAACCCCCTTTTGACCCCCTACCCTCCCATACCCACCACCCCCCGGCGTCTCAATCACCATCCGGTCGCCCGCATCCACGGGCACAGACCCCTTTCCCCCAACCATAACAGTCTTTCCCTCCTTCCCCCTGACCCAAATATTCCTCCCCCGTCCTCCGTCCTGCCCACCGGCCATGCCATACGGCGCAAAACTCCGTCGTTCAGAAAGAATCGACGCCTGCATCGGCACTCGGAACTCGACATCCCGAACAACGCCTTCTCCGCCGCGATACTCACCATCCCCAGCACTCCCCTCGCGAAACATAAACTTCCTCAGGACAACAGGATACCGCCGCTCAAGCGACTCGGGATCCGTAATGCGCGTATTGGTCATGTTCGTATGAACTCCACTCGTCCCATTCCAGGACGGCCCCGCACCACTCCCGCCCGCGATCGTCTCGTAGTATCCAAAGCTGTTTTCGTCGCCGCCGTCGATGCCGAAGGTGAAGTTGTTCATGCACCCTTGGGACGCGGCGCACACGCGGAACGCCTTGAAGATTACATCGACCAGGCGCTGCGAGGTGAGGACGTTGCCTGCGCAGACGGCCGCGGTGGGAGAGGGGCTTAGGAGGGAGGATGGTGGGATCTTCAGCGTTATGGGCGCCATGCACCCGTGGTTGAGGGGGATGTCTGATGAGACCATGCACCGGAGCGCGAAGATCACGGCCGCGTTTGTTATTGCCATTGGGGCGTTCCAGTTCCCTTTTATGAGTTTTTGTTAGTCCTGGTTTCTCTGAAATCGAAGGCAACAGGATATCGGGTAGGAGTTATGGAGGATTGCAGATAGGTACGTGCCGTAGACTTCTGGACCGGTTCCTGTAAAGTCGAATGTAGAGGAACCGTTCTCCTCATTGATCGAGACCTGCAGCTGAATTGGAGTCCCGTCATCCATATAATCAACCGCGGAAACCTGGGTACTGTTGAACCTCTTCGCGATACTCTTGAACAGATTCCGAGTCGCAAGCTCTGCGGAGTCTTGAATCGCCTGCATGTACATCTAGTAACCTGAATTAGCTCAAATTTCCCAACTCGAGAGAGTCTGTCAACTCACCTGAACGACATCCATCGTATACTCTTTTATCAACTGCCTAACCAGCCGAATCCCACAATAATTCGCCGCAGTCTGCGCCTTGATATCCGTGACGTTGTCCTGGAAGCATCGCGAGCCACTGGAGCCGGGGTATTTCGCTGGCTCGTCGCAGAGAATATGCTGCAGCTCGCCCTCTGCGAACTGGCCATCGCGCACGAGCAGGAAGGATTCGAACAACGCGCCTTCTTCCCAGAGGTTTTTCGAGGATGGGGGCATGGATCCTGGGAGGATTCCACCGACCTGTTATTTTGGACATGTGTAAGTAGTGAGAGGTGTGAATGGGTCGGTGGGAGTTCGTACATCAGCATGGTGGCCGCGCGAAGCTGTCCAAAAGATAATATCTTTGCCTTGCGCGTCAAAGACTGGCGTTATTACCGTCAAGTCTGGGAGGTGGACTCCACCAAAGGCTACACGTCCGTCATATCAGTCGTCAAACCCATCAAACTATAAAAAGGTAGTCATACCAGGTGAATTCGAAAGTAACGCATCTCCATCTCTCAACTTCCCCTTCCACCGCTCAATCTGACTCTTAACCGCAAACCCCATACTGCCAATCATGGCCGGCACATGCGGCGCATTCGCAACGAGTGACCCATCTGGCGAGAAGATCGCACAGCTAAAGTCAAGACGCTCCTTGATATTAGCGCTGACACTGACGTTCTGCAAGACACGGCCCATCTGCTCTGCGATGCCGTAAAATCTGTGCCGGAAGACGGAGAGCTGCACGGGGTCAATCACAGTAGCGCTGACTGATTTGGTCTCTGATCCGATTTCGAGGATGAGTATGTCTTTTGTTGCTGTTGCGGTGCATTTCGGGCTAATTACAATTGTTTGTGTGTTGTCCACGACGAGGGCTGGACCTAAGATGGTTGCGCCGGAGGAGAGGGACGGAAGGAGGTAGACGGGGGCCTCGACCCAGCCTAATGTGTTGAAGTAGACTCGCTTCGTGGAGGCTGGGCTTGGTGCTGGGGCTTTGCTGATGTTTTGGATATCCTTTAGGGATTCTGGGCGTTCCGCGCCAAAGAGGTTCTTCCCGACGGCGCGAACGCGGATGCTGTCGATGATAATGTCGCGGTTGACGGGGGTGAAACCGAATTGCTGGTGGTGGGCGTCGACAAAAGCTTGCTTTGCATCGGCGCCGTCATTAACGGCGATCATCATCGCGGTCTCACTACCGTCGTACCGCATGGAGAGGTATTTGTGTCCCTCGACGCACGAGAACCGTTCCATCGAGGAGTGGTTCTGTGCCGTCTGGGACAATTTCTCTAGGTCGGCTTCGATGACATGCTTGTTAGACTCGGAGTACACTTTGGCGCATGGTCTTTCCTCTTCGTGGACGATGTCGGCCAGTCCAATACCGTATGCCGAGAGGATGGAGGAGTACCTGTGGATCAAGACACGTCGGATTCCTAAAGCCTCGGCGATGGCGCAGGCGTGTTGTCCACCGGCACCGCCAAAGGATGCAAGGTGGTGTTTTGCTGCGTCGTGGCCGCGTCCTTCTGTAAGGCTCCGGATGGGTCCGCACATGGCGGAATTGGCGACCTGAAGAAACCTAAACTTATCAGCCTTCTGTTGCTGAAAAAAATATGAGATGCAAATTATTGATGTGTGCTCACCCATCTGCAACCTCATACCAGGCCAACGACTTGCCCGTATCCCGGTTAATAACCTTGGTCAACTCTTTAAACTTGGCCAGCACAATCTCGGTATCGAGCGGCTCATCCTCATTAGGCCCAAACACGGAAGGAAAGTGTTCGGGAATGAGCCGGCCCAGAGCCAAGTTGGCATCCGTAACTGTCAGCGGCCCTCCCTTGCGATAACACGCTGGACCGGGATGCGACGAGGCACTCTCAGGTCCAACAGCCATGAGTGAGTCGCGCCATGCTAATATACTCCCACCGCCGGCCGCAATGGTGTTGACATTCAGCTGCGGTGCCTGGATGGGTATACCAGCTGTCGTAGTCTCGAAAATGTGATCGAATTGCCCGTCATAGCGACTGACATCCGTGCTGGTCCCGCCCATGTCGAAGCCGATGACGGGGACTTGAGTGTCCAGGTCGTAGGACGTGCGTGCAAAACCGACAACTCCGCCTGCAGGGCCGGAGAGGATTGCATGGAGGCCTGATAATTCTGCAGCAGGAACGAGGCCGCCGTCGGACTGCATGAACTCAAGCTTTGTGTGCCCGTTGTCGATTGTGGGGAAGCTTGCACTGAATTGTGCGAGATATCTCTCGATTGTTGGAGTGAGGTAGGCGTCGATGACAGAAGAGTTTCCTCGGGGCACGATCTTCGAACGTTGAGAAATTCGGTGCGACAGTGTTACGTGCTCGAATCCAATCTCCTTTGCGAGGTCGTGACCAGAAGCTCATGCGGAGGGAAGATGTACGAGTGCATGAAGCAGACGGCAATCGATCGGAAGCCTTCCGCGTAGATTCGCTGCAGGTATAATCGAGTGCTTTCCAGATCGAGCGGCTGAATGATTTGTACGGCTTCTCCAGATGTTCCTTGCACGGTTTCAACGGGCTCTGGGTGTTGAAGCTTGAGATTTCTGAGATGCGAATCGCTGCATTGCGCCAGGACAACTCGCTCGGGGACTTCGAACACGTCGGAGAATAAAGGTTGGGGGCGTCGAATGGCAAGATCGAACATGTACGGTCGAGATTGGTTTCCGATCTGTAGAATGTCTTTGAAGCCTGCCGTCACGAGGAACGCCGTCCGCTCGCCTTTTCGCTCGAGGAGCGCGTTGGTCGCGACCGTCGTGCCCATGCGAATCCATTCTGGTATGGTCAGCCAGACTGAATAATCACCTTTTAGCGACGCAAATCTTTACCCACCGACATCTTTGAGGTCCAACTCGGTACCGCGAGGAATTGGTGTTGCGTAGAATCTCTCCAACACACGGCGGATAGCTTCTGTGGGTGCATCGGGGTAGTTTCTGGTGTCGACCGAGAGAATCTTGACAACAATGTCTTCCTGTCCTTGAACCCGACAAACACAATCGGTGAATGTGCCACCTCGGTCTGAACCTGTTAGACACTCCCCGAACTGACACCTGAAACTGGGAAACTCACCAATGGAGATCTTCAAGGGCCGCTCAGCATGGATTCCTGGCATCTTGGTTCGTCTGACTTGGCTCAGAGAGCATATCGACTCCAAGTCTCCCTAATAAGCCCATATTTAATCCAGCGTCCATGTCCATTTCGATGGCGATGCTCTATCTCCAACTGTTGGAGCTGAAGGCAAATTCGAGAGGGGGAGAGGGGAAGTGGACATGGAGCTTTTTTTTCGGCGGTGGAGCTCCACCGCTCCTCAACATCTCCAACTGCGAGCGGACGCGTCGCGCCACTGAACTCAAGCATCGTCGTGATCATGTCCATCCATGAGAGTCTGAGTACAGAAGATAGAAAAAGGCATCATGCTGGCAGATACTCGACAACCGACTTTTCAACCTCCTCGCACAATCCGTCCTTACGCCCTTTCCCCGCATCCAACCCTCAACCATGGGCTCCCTCGGGATCAGCGATCCCTCCTCCGAGTACTCGATCGTCGAGGAAACAAGCCGACTCGGGCGCAAGATTCGTATCATAGTTATCGGCTGCGGCGCAAGTGCAATCAACTTCGCCCATGAAGTCGACACCAGCTCTCTAGACCTCGAACTCGTCTGCTACGACAAAAACCCCTCGATCGGTGGCACCTGGTATGAGAACAAGTACCCAGGATGTGGTTGTGATATCCCCTCGATCAACTATCAGTTCTCGTGGGCACCGTCGCCGCATTGGTCGTCTTTGTATGTTGAAAGGAATCGATGCTCAGGAACAATCGGGCAGAGTACTGATGTGTCGGTAGCTACTCGAGCGCCTCAGAGATCTTACACTATTTCAAGTCGGTTGCGCAGGACTATGGACTTATGAAGTACATGAACCTAAACTCGAAAGTCGTCGATGCGCGCTGGGTTGAAGAAGAGCGACAGTGGCAAATTCAAGTGCAAAAGACGAACTCGGATACGGTCTTCACGGACAAGGCTGATATTCTGATCAACGCCAGTGGTGTTCTCAAGTATGCGCCCAAAACCACCCTTTAAAATCCAATGCTAACGTGATTTACTTACAGCAAATGGAAATGGCCCGCCATTCCCAATCGTGAGGCCTTCCAGGGGCCGATGCTACACAGCGCAAACTGGGATGACAGTATCCAGCTCGAGGGCAAGCGCGTTGGAGTCATTGGTTCCGGATCGTCGGCCGTGCAGATCGTCCCCAATATCCAGCCGCTCGTTTCGTCGCTCAAGTGCTTTATTCGGAGTCAGTCTTGGGTCACGGCGAGCTTCGGGCAGCGGTTTGCTGGCAAAGGAGGGACGAACTTCAAGTGTAAGCTGTGGTTTTGTCGCTTTGTAAATGAAGTTGTGTCCAACTGACTGGATACTCAGACAACGAAAAGCAAAAGGAGATCCTCCGGTCAGACCCGGCGAAATATCTGGCATACCGCAAGAAAATCGAATCAGAACTGAACTCGCGGTTCCGATTCATCCTGAATGGCTCACAGGAGCAGGCAGAGGCCAGAGCTGTAAGTGGGCGACACATCTATCGCCCGGACCATAACAAAACTAACCAGTATATGATTCTCAGGCCGCCGAACGCGATATGAGAACTCGCCTCGCCAAGAAGCCCGAGATCGCAGACCTCATTGTGCCCAAGAACTTCGCCGTCGGCTGCCGTCGTCCTACGCCCGGCGCTGGCTACCTCGAAGCCCTATGCGAGGACAATGTGTCTGTGGTCTCGTCGAGCATTGAGGGATTCACGACCAAGGGTATCCGCACAGCCGACGGGGTCGAGCACGAATTCGACGTGATTGTCTGCGCCACAGGTTTCGATGTCAGCTGGAAGCCCTCGTATCCGACTATCGGACGGGACGGTCGGAGCCTCAGCAAAGAGTGGGCGGATATGCCAAATACATATCTGTCGATTACTGTGCCGCATTTCCCGAACTACCTCAGTACGTCACCAATTCACCCACATTGACTCAATATTCAGATCAGAGCATGAATAGAGAAGAAAAGGGCTAACAAAGGCTGCAGTCTTCAACGGCCCCTACGGCCCCTACGGCCACGGCAGCTTCCTCCCGATAACCGAAACCCTCTCACGCCACTTCATGCAGATGCTCACCAAAATGTCCGAAGAAGGCGTGACAACTTTCGACGTAAAGGAAGCTGCCGTCGCCGACTTCGCCCAGCACCGCCGCCTCTTCCTGCCGCGAACAGCCTGGTCCTCTCCCTGCCGATCGTGGTTCAAGCAAGGGAAAGTCGACGGCGAGATCATGATGTGGCCCGGGTCAAGGATCCATTTCTTTGAGACTATGAAGGCGGTGCGGTGGGAGGACTACGATCTCACGTATACCACGGCGAATCGCTTCGGTTATCTGGGGAATGGGTTTGCGGCGAGGGAGAGTGATGGTAGGGATTTGACATGGTATCTCGGGCTTATGGGGGATGAGGATGTGCAGCCGGTGTTGGCGGATGAGGATTTTGCGGATTTTATGGTGCAGTGATCTGCTTTACTTCCATATGTAGTCCATTTAGTTTAGGTCTACACAATGCTACTGAGATTGGATGTACTTTGATCCCAGTCTTTATACTGATAGGGTTGGCATGGCATAGTACTCCGAAAGCTTGGGTCATAAGAGCATAAAGTATAAATACGTAGTTCCATATCTTGTCAGTCAGCTTCTAAGACTGCGAATAATCCTCGAACAATTATATAGGTGGGGATTCACTAAACATGGTATATTGTCAAGGAGCTGCTCAACACCTCCGCTAGAATCTATATATGTTTAGTCATGGTCAGACCATCTCAGGAGAAGTACCGGTCAGCGTATCTACATCTAAACTGAATTCCAATGGAATCCAAACCGAGCTTGGAGTGATGATTTGACTTGACCAACCGAATGCCATGACACTTTATTGTTTTCCCTGTGGCGATCATTTTGTGGTACGGAGGAGGGGAGTGGGGATGTCGCCACGTGACTGAGATAGATCTCCAACTCGTCGCTTGTTATTCCTCTTCGGGACTCGACATCCGCCATCCTACGTTCTTCAGTGTCGCAAGTACCGCACTGCCATGGCTGATACGACCGAACTGGACTCTTACCGTCCTTTCTCCTGCCCCGAATGCTCAAAGTCATTCACGCGGAGTGTGAGTTTGGCCCTAGACATCTTCTCCGTCTACTTGCTGATCTCCCCAGGAAAACCTCCAAAGGCACAAGCGAGCGAGTAGGTCTTAGCTCATGCAACTCGGCAACTGCGTCCGGGTCTTTGATTAACTTGCTCTAGGACACAACGGAAACTCTCGCAAGCCGTTCGAATGTGCCGGATGCCATGCTCGCTTCACACGGAGGTTAGTCTCCACCCTCGAGTGATAACCCAATGCATGCCCCGCGGAGTTTTTGAAGGCCTACAAGTCGTTCTTCCGGTCTGGATTTATCCGGGTGCTGGACTGTACTAAGCCTTGCCTTAGTGACGTTTTCAAACGACACAGCGATCGCTGTCGACAGCTTGCATCCCAAAGATACCAACCGGACTCGGATGCCAGCCCTCCTGTGATGGCCGACCTAGCCCCGCAGTTACCGACTAGCACCCTCGTGGTGTCAGAAACCCCCTGGCCAACGGAGCATATTAGCCTCACCAACGAGAGTCCGCAGGCTTATTCCGGTTCGCCGTCTTCAATGTGTGTTGCCTTCCTTCCCTTGGCTCCTTTGGGCCGCTATGGCGGACACTGATGCTCTCTGGCGAATAGAGTCAACGGAGAGAGTACTGCATTATATGTCAAGGGCTACTTTGAGACGTTTCACGCTTCTCTCCCTCTTTTGCATCGACCTACATTTACTACATCGTCAGCTCCCGAATTGCTGGTGAACATCGTAGCGGTGATTGGCAGCTTGTATTCAGCACAGCCGTACGATCCTAACGCGATAGGGACAGCCGAACAATGGCGTCGAGATACTTGGAGACGTGGAAATAAAGATATTCAGCGCCTGGTGAGATTCTCGTCACAGCAGCTATCGAGCCCCCGCTAATTGGTCTTTAGGTTGCTGCCGATTACAGTGAGATGCGAAAAACCTGGGTTCTGCAAACATGCCTGCTCCATGTCATTTATGGGGCTTATTTGAGCGAGACGCCAGACTTTGAGGAATCGAAGAAAATGCTCCGCATTGTCGTAGATGTTAGAATGCCCTTTTGATTCATAGTTCTACCAACCTTGACCAGTTACTAACGATGTGTATAGGCCGCGCGTGATCTCGGATTGCTCCGGCAAGGGATCGCCATGCCAGATTCGCTCTCCTGGGCGTCCCAAACTGACGGCATGATGGACGGTGCGAAAACGCCATATACGCGATGGATGTCATACATCAGCGTCGAGTCGTTGAAGGTGGCATTATACACGCTTATATTCCTGGACTCTCAAATATTTTCCCCGGCCAACATCCGTCCTCTGATCTCACCCATGGAATTCGGGTGGGAGCTTCCCTTTCCTGGCGACCTGTGGGAGTCCAAGAATCCCCAAATCTGGACTCAAAGAGTGACCGAGCACTTTGGCATGGCTCCAGAAAATTACCTATGCGGTCCTCGTGGTATCGCAACCGCTTCGCTCTCGATAGCCACACAACAGCTCATGTCCGAGTCGCCAAGTCCTGAACTCCTCGCCGCCCTCGCTGCGTCGCCGTTCACGACGCTGTGCATTCTCATCAACATAAATACACTCGTTAGGGACTTTACGCGATGCTACTATCAGCTCCCACCAAGTGCCTCGGATCCGTCGGCGTTTCACATTCTCACCCAAGCGCAAAACAAGCAAATATACAGCGCGATGCGGGTCATATCCAGGATCGTCAAGGATCAAGCCTATACACCGGAAAGTCCTCAATTCCTACTGTGGAGGTCCGTCGAAATCCTGCATTGCTCGGCGAAGATTAGCCTTTGCAGGCCCGACCACCTTCTCATAGGAGGCATCGTCGACAACAGTGTGATCGCTGGACTGGCAACTTCGACACACCTTACACTAGGCAACTATGTCTCGGTTAGACGATCGGCGCCTCTTCTACCCCCTCACCTATGGGGCGACGAAGGGATACTCGCTGTCCTCAACGATCTCGCCAGCGCACTAACACGGATAGCCGGCGAAGAAGGCGAAAATGCCTTTCGAGACTCACCCTGGGTAACGGCAGCTAGCTACGGGATTCTGCTGTGCATTTGGGCAGCGTTACGGCGAGCCGGGAAGGACATTCAGAACCACCTCGACACCTTCAACGAGCTCCCTCGCACCTCCGAATCATGCATGTTGATCTTCAACACGCTAATGGAGTCGGTCTTTTTGTGCTTAAAGGGCGAGGGAAATGAAATCGGCGGGCGTGACCACCGCATTTGGTCTATGGACCGCGACAGTTTTGTCAGCTTGCTCGACCAAGCCGAAATACTGTTTGTCTCCCTTCTGCAGCGCGCATGTAGAGATCGTTATCTCTGGAATATCGGCTCTTCGATGGCGACCGTTGTGGATGAAGTTCTAGCGAGTGGACAGCCGACTACAGCGTTAGCTTGAGGATACGTTGCAGTACGCTTTTCCATGGTCCCGATGTGCTCCAAATTCTCCGCACTTCTCCAAATATTTGTGGACGCAATTACCTACACGATAAGAAGGTGGAGCTCCACACGTCTTATCCGGACTTGCATCGAGTCCCACAATTGGGATCCATTACTCGCTATATTAATTACCGCTAACATACTGAAGGCATTGACGGATACAGGCGGCTCAGATTATCGCGTGACATTTGTCTTTGGCTTTGACAACACTTGGCGAAATGACTCAAAAAATCGGATGGGCAAGTCTCCATTTCTCACATCTTGGGTCAATGCTAATCTAGCCCAAAGTTTGGCCTCGGCTCAATGGGCCTGGGCATGGCCTTGAACCTGCAGAAGCACCTTCAGGCTCAAGGCGGGCGACCTCTCCGCTACAGTAACCGCAGCTTAGCAAAGGGACAGCCTCTAGAAGATGCAGGAGCTATTTCTGAAAAGGACTTTGAGTCCCTTGTGCAGGGATGCGATGTCATTTTCACCATGGTCCGTGCATACCGTCATCACATTGCGTTTACCAAATGCTGACTGCCCCAGATCTCAAATGATGAGGTTCTCAATGAGCTGCTATCAAAAGCACTAGGCAGCAGCATCTCCTTGAGCGGCAAGATATTTATCGACACCTCTACAATCCACCCAGACACATCTGCCTCCGCCGCAGAACGCCTCGCTGAAAAGGGCGCAACGTTTATCGCTTCCCCTGTCTTCGGCGCCAGCCCCGTCGCAGCAGCGGGGAAGCTGATCTTCGCCATGGCTGGGCCGGCCCCAGCACTCAAAACAGTCAGGCCCTTCATTCTCAACGTCATGGGCCGCAGCATCATAAATATGGGCGCAGATGTGCGGAAATCCAGCCTCCTCAAGATCTGCGGGTGCGCACCCCCATCTTAATTTTCCTTCACACTACCTACTAACCTACTAAAACCCAGAAACATCCTCGTAATAAGTTTCATGGAAGTCCTCTCAGAAGCACACGTCTTTGCCGAGAAAACATCACTGGGCGGAGCCCAACTCGAAGAATTCGTCGGCAACATGTTCGGCCCCGTCCTCGAGAGCTACTCAGCGCGCATCACGAGTGGATCGTACGCGCCGCCGTTGGACCAGGGGCCCGGATTCGCGGCAGCCCTGGCGTGCAAGGATATGAGGCATGCGCTTAGTATCGCGAAGGCGAGTGGGACGACCTTGCCGACTACGGAGGTTGCGTACGAGAGGTTGAGTAGGGCGAGGGAGTTTGCAGGCGAGTGTTTGGATAGTGCGGCGATGTATGGGACGGCGAGGCAGGAGGCGGGGTTGGAGTTTTGGAATGAGAACAGCAGGAAGGGGAATGAGTAGTTGCCCTATACATCTAATTCATTAGTTTCATCACTGACTACTGTCTTCGCCTTTTTGACCTTGTTTTCCGACTTCCTGATGTTGCGTAGAGTCTTCCAGTTGGCCAAAAAAAAAGGGCTTGTAACCCTACATGAGACGGGTGCAGAAGCCCTCAATTCAAGGTCCGTCGATTTCAGGTCAGCCCTAGGTCATCATATAGCGAGGGAGTAAGATCGCTGTCCTAGGCAAATTCGCTATCTCAGCAAGTGACCGTGATGTCCATTTTTGGAGAAGGTGAAGCACGGCTGCTCCAAATTTAAGCTCTACTATTTGAAGTCTGCAATGCAGAAGCATCCAATCATCCCAATGCAAACGTCAATTCTCCATCTGTATCATTCAATACCTACACAACTGCCCACCCCTCCACAACATCCGCCAAAGTGTCTTCGTCTCCAACATTGCCTGGGAAAACAATAAGCGGCAACTTGGTCCACTTGCCCTCCTCCCTTCCCCCCTCAGACAACCCCTTCACATCCTCCTCCCTCTCCGCCCACCAAACTGGCACCCCTGGCGCCGCCTGTCCCAGTACTCTCCCGCGCTTGATACACACCCCGGCCGTCGCGGCGTCCGAGGAGGTCACGCCGCCTTTTGCCAGCAGATACCGGGGGCGGATCGTTAGGTTGCGCAGGATGTATACGAGGGATTGCGCAACGAGGGTGTTGATTTCGAGGTTTGTTAGTTTTCTTGTAGAGGAGGAAGTGGTGTCGACCGTCATCAGTTCGCGACTCGTCATGACCAGGACGTCTTTGCCTGCCGCTAGCGTGGTCGAAACTCGCTCAATAATTACACGTAGAGCAATCGAGTTCCGCAACGTTGTCGTGATATCAGGTTGAGTTGCTGCTTCTGCAAGTAGCCCTGGCACGTCGACTGTAAGAACATCCAGCCCGGACCCGCGTCGCCGGATCAGTGTCTCGAGCTGTCGAGAGGACTTGGGAACGTATGACCCTGCGACGATAAATCCACCCGCCTGCGTAGCGCCGCTTGACACAGCGAGCCGGAGCTGGCTAGGCTTCATAGCATTCTTGCGTGGAATCCCGAGGCGGCTGGAGACGAATGAGGCTCCTGTTCTGTAGCCGAAGCGGAGGTTGTGTTTCTTCTGCACTATAGGCTTGTTAGATTCGACAGACCGAGGGCCTCGGGCAGAACCGCAGCGGGAAACATACCGTCAAGCAGTGCCAGACAGAATAGCAGCATATCCTCATCCGCGGCAGCATTCATAACCACTATGCCCCCCTTGGGCACTGACAGGAGCTTGGCGGACACCGCCTCGATCCCACCCAGCCTGATATCCTCCAAGCTCACAGAAACAACATCTTCTCTCGTAAACCTCCCACCGGCCTTCTCAAGCACATACTCCCTCAGATTCGAAGAAGCATATCCAAACGACCTGTCCTTCGCAAAAGCCGTCTCAGCCGCCGGGACGAGGGTGTCGCCTTCAGCGACATAGTGCACATCCCCAATCGTAAGCCTCCCACCAGGCTCAAAGAAGGGAGCAAAGATCCATGCGTCCGGAGACCCGATTGTCTCGATGTGGGACTCGAGTTCCTCCAGGAAATGCCCGCGAAGCGTAGAGTCGCTGCGCAGGACTACCTCAAACTTTTGGTTCGTGATTGACGCTGCCTGACCCACGTTGGCTAGGACCTCCGAGACGAGAGAGCGCGTTTCATCTGGTGCGAGTGCGCGACTGTTCGTAAGAATAAAGAATCCCTTCGACTCCGACTCGAATTCCGTCACGAGGAGGTCGACGTCCCACATCGTTAGCACGTTGATATCGTGGCATGTCTGTGTACCTGTCGGGTCGTCGTCTAGTATCACTAACTTTGTGTTTGTCTCGCGGAGGCTGGATTGGATTTCCTCGAGGAGGCTCTCTGTGCTATGTGTGATGGGAGGGAGGGATGCTAGTGTGGAGGATTTGGGGAGGGTAGAGTATTTTGTTGGTTCCAATTTCTTGCTCTTGCTCTTTGGTGAGGATGAGGGCTGCTGCGCCCATAATTTGGAGAGTGCGGCGTTTCCTTCGTCGCCCAGGCCCTGGACAACAGCGAGATCGTAGAGGGTAAGTGCTGTTGCGGCGAGGTGGAGGGGGTAGCGGAGGCGTTTAGCTATTAGGACGATTTCTTTCTGTATCATAAATGTCAGCGTTAGCTATACCAGACCTCGGAACCGTGACCTACAAGCTTCTCCCTTGTCTCTGTAATGGTAGGCCCCGAGCTGAAATCACCCGCTATGACTAGCGGTGCAACGGTTCTAAACGCCTCGCTCGCACCAGCAGCATTGGAAATAATCGACACGAGTTCATGAGCTGATAACCCAAGACTGTTACCCAGAGACAGGGCCTCGATTGCTGCAACGGTATGGACAGTCTCGAGCATACTCTTGACCTGTTCAAACATTTTTGAGTCATTGAAACTTCTCGCCGTCTGCGTCGAGGTAGACACACGCGAGGGACTGTTTGGAGTGAAGACCCTCGCAACACCCGAGTCGTCTTCGCGGTCATACCCCATCTGCGCACCGAGGAGATACAGCTGCTCAGCGGAAGAAGCGAGCCAGAGAGGGATATTCTGGCTCAAGCCCTCTGTCGTGACGATTCCCTTGAACACAAATTCTGTCAGAACAGCCCCCCACTCACAGAAATGAAATAGATGAATGTTTGATCAGCCTACCATATCCTTGACAAAAATCCCCAAGGCAGAATGCGGCGTCCAGTCATCAGCGAGCATATGCGGGACGCGATTCTCAAACATCCAGCTCGTCGCTTTACTCCCCAACACTTCATCATGGAATACCCGCGTATTCAATCCCAGACGCGCAACGAGACCCATTGCTTCTGCTGCGGCAGCGATATGCACGCCTGCGAGGTGCTGGTTCACGAGTTTCACTTTGTTTGCGCTCCCGAGGCCGCCGGCGATTACGTAGCGACTTTCAGACATTGAGTCGAGGACGGGTTCGGATGCTGTTAGGGCTTCAGAGGCGCCCGAGCAGAGGATTGTAAGTGTGCCATTTGCGGCGCGCACCGTGCCCCCTGAGACAGGGCAATCGACAACCCGCACATCCAGTCTCGCAAAGTCCACCCGAAACCGTTCCTCCACTGTCCTAGGAAAGGCAGGTGGAACCGTCGAGCACAGAATCACAGTCGCATCCTTCTGTAATGCGTACACGGAACTTGCAGAATCCGCAAATAGGACTTGATCCGTCTGCGCTGCGTTGGCGACCATGCAGATGAGGAATGAGGCGTCGACCGCGCATCTCGTGGACTCGAGGCAGCGATTCCGCCCCTGGCTTTTAGGGCCTCGACGGCGTTAGGGTTCACGTCGAAGCCGCTGACGGTGTACCCGGTCTCGAGCAGGTGCAGGGCCATTCCCAGGCCCATGGCGCCGAGGCCGATGAAGGCAACTTTTGGTTTCGGGGTCATTTTTGGCGGCTTGTGAGGTTGTGATTCAGTAGCTCTTGCTGTCTGGCTGGTTATACTGTAAGTAGGGCTATACTTATCCTCGACATGCCCGGGTACAAAGCCGATGTGGCCGACTTCGCCGGAATGTCCGCGGATAAAGCGCAGCCCTAAGATCGGAGTGAACTCCAGGTCCACTTTGATCCACCTCCACCTCCACTATCTACCCTGCCTTGTGAGTGTCATCACTATAGTCTTGTCGTGAATATGGGGCAGGGGTATGAAATTACTGCTTAGCAGACACGAAGCTCTAGTTTGAGTGTGGACAAATTCAAAGCGTGCATTGAGCGCTACGACTGCTCGCCTTGTTAACATGTCAACTGTTCGTGTGGTCGGAATTTATTGACATGAGGGACGTTGTTTACTGTAGATTTCTTGAATATGATATGACTATATACATTTTCAGCTATCTACAATGTATATCAAACTAGTCTTTCTTCCGGAAATCCCTGACAGTTTTATCAATGCACTCTGCCACATACCGCACATTCCCCGGATTCAAGCCGGCAATTGACACCCTCGAGCTATCAGCCATGTAGATGTGATACTTTTCTGCATGCCATTATTGTTAGTTCCTGAACCGCTTCTTACGAAGGCGTAGTGACAGATATTTCTTACCGCGTAAATGCAAGACCTCGTTCAAGCTCAACCCCAGGATACAGAACATGCCCTTCTGCTCCGTGATGCGCTTCCATTCCCCTGGCGTACCTGTTACACCCTCGCATTAGCCAACCCAGCACCTTCATACAGTGTTGCAAGCAAAGACAAGAGAACAGCAAATAATGAAAAGTACGTACCAAACTCCACCAACCCTTCATACAACGCCCACCGCATCCCCTTAATCCTCCCACTCATAGTCTGTAAATTCCCCGCCCACTGCTCCCTCAGCCCTTGATCCCCCAAAACTTGCGCGACAACCCTCGCCCCAAACGCCGGCGGATTCGAAATCTCCACGCGGATCAGCTGAGCCAGTGTCGATTCAACCGCTGTAGCCGCTGTAGCTGAGGCCGTCACGAATCCGCAGAGACCAATGCGTTCACCGTACAACCCCATACTCTTCGCGAAGGATATGCACACCGCAGCTTCGAGGTGTAGGTCGTGGATGAAGTACCGGAGGGCCCAGGCATCCGTATCGAAGTCGCCGGATGTCATGCCGAGGTATGCGGCGTCGAAGATTGGGAATAATTCTCGTTCCTGAACAATTTTGCCGATGGCTTTCCACTGATCGACTGTCGGATCCCAGCCGCTGGGGTTGTGCGCGCTGGCGTGAAACACAAAAATCGAGTGCGCGGGGGCTTGAGATAGGGTTTCCGTGAGGGACTCCATGTCTACCCCGCTGTTGTCAGATGTTGTATAATTGAACTCACGCACGGGGAATCCGACACTCTCAAAGACTTGTCGGTGATTCGACCAGCTGGGCTTTGTGATGTATACTGTAGGGATATCCCGTCCGGCAGTTTGGGCTGCTCTGTAGAGCATTGTTCCGGCCGTGTGCAGCGCTCCTGTTCCAGAGAGGGCCTGGCAGGATGCGACCTGTCGTTACATGATCAGATCAAGCCCCAGAATTTATCCTAATTCCACCCCAGATATGGAAAAGGCAATCAAAGATGAACAACATACCCTCCCGTCCTTAATCACTTCCGCCCCGTTCCCCAACAGCAACTCCACCGCCCTGGCCCTAAACTCCGCGAGACCGAGGATAGGCAAGTACTCATGGTTCGCATCTCGGACCTTCTCTTTCGCTGCCGCGACAGCGGGGAGGATCCAGGGTTGTCCGTTCTCGTCTTTGTATGTGCCCTGCCCGAGATTGACTTTTTGAGGCGAGGGGTCCGCGTTGTAGAGTTTTGTTAGCTCGAAGATTGCGTCGGGGGGAACGTAGGGAACTTTGGAGAATAGAGGCGGCATCATGCTTTTGAGACTTGCGTGGCTGACTGTGGTATGGCTTGTTGGCGAGGTTGGGCTCTGTTTTGTGGTGTCTTTTGTAATGTTTTCGATTTGGAGACTTGTGGGTTTTTATACATGTGGAGCTCCACTGGTGGGGGGTTGAGCTCCAACTCCAACAGCCGACCCAAACAAGGCTATATAGAAAGAAACCCATGAAGTATGATATAGCTAGAGAATTTGTTTTTTTCCAGCTATCCTGCAAGATCCGCCTCCCACTTTCACTCGCGAACCCGGCCCTTCACTTCACATACCATCCACCAACCAAGATGACAACCCCCATCCCAATCCCCCGCAAGGGCGTCTACACACCGCTCATAACCTTCTTCAACCACGACGAATCCATCGACCTCCCCAGCACCCTCACACACGCGACACGGATGGCCTCGGGCGGGGTAACTGGCCTCGTCCTGCAGGGGAGCAACGGCGAAGCGCCGCACCTCGACCACGCCGAACGGCGAACACTCGTGCGCGCGATCCGCGATCACCTCGACGGGCTAAATTACACAGATATCCAGTTGATAGTGGGGTGCGGCGCACCGAGTGTGCGTGAGACACTCGTCCACATCGCCGAGGCGAAGGAGTCCGGCGCGGATTTCGCACTGGTCCTCCCGCCGAGTTATTGGGCTGCGCAAATGAATCCGGCTGTTGTTGAGGGGTTTCTACATGATGTGCGTCGCTTTCCCACTTACCCTGAATCGCTATCTCTCAGTTCTGTAGTAGTGAGTATATACTGATGCGAATGCAGGTCGCAACATCCTCCCCGCTCCCAGTTCTAATCTACAACTTCCCCGGCGTAACATCCGGCATCGACATCAGCAGCGACAGCATAATCCGTCTCGCAACCTCAACACCCAACATCGTCGGCTGCAAGCTCACCTGCGGCAACGTCGGCAAACTGCAACGGATTACATCGACGCTTTCCCCCCTCGGCGGCAACTCCGGGGGCAGAGCAGGAGGCTTCGCAGCCTTTGGCGGCAAATCCGACTTCTTCCTCCCGGCGCTTGTCGCGGGCTCACACGGTATCATCGCTGCTCTCGCAAACATCGCGCCGAGACTGCATGTTCGACTACTCAAGCTGTACGAGGAGGGGGACCTCCAGGGTGCGCAGAGGATCCAGGCGAAGCTGAGTGATGCGGATTGGGCGCTGGGGAAAGTTGGTGTTGTGGGTGTGAAGGCGGTTATTGAGCGGTTCTTTGGGTATGGCAGTGGTCGGGGGAGACGGCCGTTGGGGGTTGTTGAGGCGAAGGCGATTGGGGAGGATATTCTTAAGGTTATTGGCGAGGTTGTGCGGCTGGAGGAGGAGTTGTAGGGTTGGTTTATGTTGGAGTCACGTGGGTGACCAACATCGCTGGAACTGCATCTTCCAATGCCAAAATCTTGATCGGTTTACCAGCCTCTCCTTATGCAGCCACGGGGACATACGACGGAGCTCAGTATTACCTTCAGCCGAGTGCACTTGCGGCCTTACTGCGCGAATTTGCTAGTTACCCTCAGTTAGGTGGAGTCATGTTGTGGTCTGCTGGATTTTCAGATTTTAACATAAACCACGGCTGTAACTATGCCCAGCAAGCCCGCAAAATCTTCAACACGGGATCACCATGCTAGATGCTAGTGGATCCTGATTAGAGGGGTTATGAAAGAGCCACAGTGAGAAAATACTTTGGCTAACTAGGAAAATTACTATTAGTTGCCTAATAAGGAGCCATGATAATTTAAATTTTCTAATGATAATCTTAGTCACTTTACCTAGTAGACTTGAATTACTTGCTATAGTTTACTTTCTAACGGCTTTTCGCCAAATTTTCCCAAGGCCGCTCTAATCTATTGGTTCAACAATCTTGTACTTTCAATGGCAAGCTCAGATTGAGATGGTGGTGAAAGATTAGACTCAAGAGGTGCTAACCACGCTGTAAACAACAACAATAACCTAGTGTGGGAGAATCCTCAGAAATTTGAGCCATGCATCAGATTACACTCAAAATTGGCTCGCGGTGGGCGAGGTTGGCCTACGACAACTTTCGGCCCAGCCCACGCAATGCCCATTCTCTAAGTCTTCAAATTTGTAGAGTTGATATTCAATCCCACTAAAATTCATCCTCTAAACCCCAGGAGCCTGCTCACAGAACGTAAGGAGGCATCAGACATATGGACGCTGCGATTTAATTTACCATGATCACCTGTCTCACAGTCACAGCAATTCCAACCTCTCCTCAACGAGGGTCGAGACTGTTGACTATTGTGTTCCGTGGCATTAAAAGAGCAAACTAACCTCGAACGCCTTGACAAGAGACGGTTTGTCATTGAGATCAGCTTGTATCACCTCAACTCCTTTGGCACGTAGGTCCTCCGCCTTCTTCCCCCAAGGATGACGCGTTAAAACTCGCACTGTGTCGGTTTCATCTTCAAGCGCGGCGTTGACCACAGATAACCCTTGTGTTCTAGTCCTGCTAACAACTGTAAGAACATTCTTTGCCATTAGCAATTCTGAACAATGGGCTCCAGTTAATCGATTCGAGTACAAAGGATATAACTAGCATGTTCTCCACGGGGCTGAATTGGTATAAGTCCACTAAAAATACGCTTAATAATCCTTCAGGGACGGAAGCCCGCTTCGGAACTAATTGGGGAGAAAATCCCTCATGACGACCAGCAAAATTCGATTTCCTGCTTCACAGTAGGATTTCTAAGTCATAAGATCAGAAACTGATAGAATCCGAAAGTGCCTCGTACAATGTGAATGGCTCTTTGCGCGAGTATCTGAACTTCATGCTACCCATATTGAAACCAAAACCTGAAAGATAAGACGCTATATTTGACTTGATATTTCAGGAAGAATACTGGGTTTGCAACGAAAATCAAGACGCATTATTTTACATTCCATTCTGTGACCGGCCAGCTAGGCGTGAGTTTTGGACACGACGTCATCGAGTGATGACATGAAGCCGGCCGAAGCCTTTGGACGGCGAACTGACCGTCGCAATCGGCCTGTCAAACCCCGAGGGCGGCAGAATGAGTAAGCCGCGATGGAATTACGGCTATAGATGTACCCACAATGGATTTTTAAGGTTGATTGGTTAATAACCACTATGGTTTGCGCAACCAGCATACTCTATAAAAGCGCAGCAACGAACTCCTCCTCGAGGCCCATATCTGCCAACAGATAAATATCAAGCTTGAGGCTCGAAATATATTAGCTTCAGAAGCGGGGTATCACAGATTTGAACAACCCTTCTTTTTATATACCTGCGCCAATGACTTCAATGAAAGTCGCTGTTGCTGGGGCTACTGGCGCCGCCGGCATACCCGTGATCGAGGAATTGCTCGCAGCAGGCCATCGGGTCACGGCCTTGACCCGCGTCGGAAGCAGCGGCGCATCCAAGCTTCCCAGCCATCCGAACTTGAGCGTTGCTGCAGTGGACTACGACTCAACCTCTTCGCTCACGAACGCCCTCGAAGGCCACCAAGCCGTGGTGGCATGCTTCGGGGTCGCAACCCCGGTCGGCAGCCAGGATATTCTGATCGATGCCTCCGTGGCGGCGGGAGTGAGCCGATTCTTCCCCGCAGAGTTTGGCACCGACACGGCCAACTCGAGATGCGCGAAGCTCCCTGTGTTTGCGAAGAAGATTCACGCCCTGGATTACCTCAAGAAGAAGGTTGCCGCGGATTCAGCTACACCGCACTCTGTCCCGGCGCGTTCCTGGATTGGGGCTTGGAACACGCCTTCTTGGTCGATCCGAAGACACACAGTGCCACTGTATTTGATGGCGGCAACCGACCATTTAGCACAACAACGTTGGCCACTATCGGCAAGGCTGTTGTGCGCATTTTGGCCCACCTTGAGGAAACGAAGAACCGGCACGTCTACATCCATGACGCGGTAACAACCCAGAATCAACCCATTGCGATCGCCAAAAAGATCGACGGCAAGGATTGGGACCTTACGCGCACCACGTCCGCTTTTGCGGAAGCCAGCGCCTACGCGGAGCTCAAAAAGGAGACTCCAGACCCTATGAAATTTCTCTTCCTTCTCCTTCAAGTGTCCGTGCTATCTGAGGGATACGGCGGTGACTTTTCGGCTCATCTGGACAACAAATTGCTCGGCATCAAGGGCATGGATGAGAACGAGCTTGCGACTGTGATGGCAAAATATCTCTGAGCACAATGGCTTGTGTAGAGTTCCTGGGTGCAAGGATTTTGTTGCAATGCGCTGGCTAGGTATCTGAAAACATCGAGTGATGTAGCTGAGGTATAATTTCCACTAAGTTCCAGAATTACCATATCTCCTTCATACCTTATACCTTTCAGAACGACACAAGAGGGTCGCAACATATTTTATATCCTATGTCATCATGTAATATTAAAATTCCTTGTTTGTTCAAAGCTTACTGAATGCGAGTTTCCACAAAAGGGGTCTCTGGAATCCTATGACCTCACACATTTACTCAAAACCTTTCTCATACGGTACAACTGCAAGCACCCTCGGTTTTAAGTTAGCCAGGACTCTAGCTCAATCTGTCAAGAAATGTGTTTGACACCAACAGGACCCTAGATCGCCGTCAAAGTATAGGTTGTTAATTCAATCAATTGCGTTTTTCCCCATTCGTAGGTGTATTTGTGAACATAAAATGGGCGACCCTTAAATGCTGCTCATTTCAAGATTCAATATGCCTCTGACGGAGTCTGTAAGAGTTTGTCGCTACTATTGGTTTGGATAAACATTATCTTGCTATTGCTTTGGATAAGCCCATTTGAAGATTAACAGAGTGGAGATTTCCATTGTCACAATACAGTACATGCCATACCACAACCAAAGACTACCTACCTTCTACCCTTAAACTCACGCACAATGTTATCTCGCGTGCAATACGCCTTCCTCCTAACCTCATCCAGATCCAAATCAATGAGGTTCCGCACATCAACAGCCAAGCTCCTCAACGTCTTCGCCTCAACAAACTCCCCATGCGTTTTGATAGACCCAGGAGCCCTCACAACATCCCTAATAAACCGCGCGAACCCCTCCAAAGCCCTCTCCGAAACTCTCGTCCCAGCCAAAATCTGCGCAAAGCAATGCGGCATGGCCTCATACTGCTCCCAAACCACCATAACCCCCTTCCTCGCAGCACTCTGCGCAAGAAAACAACACTCATCTGCAACCAGCTCCTGCCCACAAGAAATATACATCGGCGGAGCACCAGTCCAGTCCGCCAGGACCGGCGAGACAAGAGGATGACAGAGGGAGTTTCCTTCACAGAACAGGTCCGCGCGGGGTGGATCAGCAGGCCAGATAGTGCATGGTGGAGAATTTGCTGGGTTCAAGGAGGGCGGGGGGAGGTAGTCGTATCGGGTACCTATTTCGGTGTTGTGCATGCTGCGGGTTAGGTCTAGGGATGGCGAGTTTAGGGCGATGCCAGCGGGAAGGGGGATAGGGACATGTTTGCCATGGAATGGGACAGTTGGGAGTGTACTAGGTGGTGCGGTTCTATGGAGGTGGAGTATTGTTTGTAGAAGGACGGTTGAGAGGTTGCCGCCTGCCGAGTCGCCGGCTAGCACGATGTGAGAGGGTGGGACTGGGTTATGGAATGCGTTTTCAGGAGGATACAAGAGCGATAGATACACAGTCAAAGCGTCGAGGAGGGCAGCTGGAAAGGGATCCTGCGGTGCAAGACGATATCGCACGGAGAGCGCACGGCCTTGAGTGAGTTTCGCATACCCGGCAACAGTCTCTCTATGTGTGCACGGGTCCATGAGATAATAAGAGCCACCGTGGAAATATAGCACTGTCACGTCACTTTTAACCTCCCCCATCAAGCAGCGGAACTTTTCAGCCTCGGATATCGCTGGCTCTGATGTCTTCGCCGACGCATTAGCCCGATGACCCGTCCATTCCGCTGTAATGGGTTCGGATAAGGGTTTTGAGAACTCTTCTGTCCTTGTCCCTAGCGATCGAATTGCGGTAAACAAGACATCTCTAAGGGCGTTCTCTGGGGGTATAGTGACTCTGCTAATCCACATGTTTCCCTTGACGCCGGGATCGTGCATGGTGGCTTGTTGCTGCTCGGTGATAGTTGAAGGGGGAGAGTTGCAGAGGATATCTCGGAGTACGGTTACTGTCAGTGCAGTGCGAAGATCCCATTTCTGAGACGTTGGACTCCATCCGAAGATGTGAGAAAAGGTTGTCTTAAGAGCCAAGGGGATTTTGGAGAGGAGGAATTTAACAGCGTCTAGCAGAGGTGGCATCGGTGCGCTGTACTTAGAGCGATGTGAATGATCAGATTGGTCACTGATAAACACCTAGTCAGGAAATGGTCTCGCAAGATACCCTGAGTAAAGGCCAGCACAGAACCGTAGCTCTACTGAAGAAGTTGCGAAGTTGGATGATTGAGAGGAGGGAAGATTCAAGCCGCCTCGTATTCGTCCTGAGTCATAGGGGCTATCACCTGGCGCCTGATACCACGTGACGCGCAATAGAAGGAATTTATTCCTTGGAAGCAGGAGGCAAAAATTGATTCTACTTTTTTGGGCGAACAATAATGGTGTGGATTGACCAACCCTCTCAAGGCGCCACAATCGCAAACAGGGTACCAAGAAAGGCCAGCATAAAAATCTAGGGTTACTCAACAACTACCAGGCAAAAGCTCTTATAGAGTATATCAATCAACACTCTACGAAGGGCCTGTATTAGTCCAAGAAGATGCTTCCCAATTTGGGCTTTGAAATCTGTACAGGATGGAATGGTGTGTTTAATTCTTAAGGAGCTGGATGAGAAGGGGTTAATGATGCCAAGCCTCACCGAGTCATGCGCGATAGTTGGACTCTAACCGCCAGTCGGTTGGCATCTGAAAATGTCATATTAGATTACAGTCCCATCCTTTTCTAGCGAATTATATAACCAAAAGTTTTTCCGGTTCTAGCTCCATCTGTACTAATATGTCTTGGCATACGTTTTAAAAGAGGCTGAGTTTTTTTTGGTTGTCAGACTAATTTAGATGCTGACTGTAGGACAGAAAATGAGATCAACCCGCACATCATCATCTGCGGAAGAAATTCCTAAAGTCTCGGCATTTCCGGCCAACAGATTTTGAAGCTAAGGTAATATGATTATCATTAAAAGCGTGCCCTGAAGTCAGGTTAGGAGGCGGATTATCTAACAAGGTACATAGTTGCTAACTCTTTAAGGACTGGCTTGGTGCTACTTCCCAAGCACAAAGGGCATTAGTTAAGGATATCGCGTGGGGATGATATAACCCTAATACTTGGTTATAGAGGTCTACATATTTCCTAAAAAGGCTTAAAGTGTCTGAGAACTTTCCAAGTTGCTTTAGAGTAAAGGCAAGGTTATGCATGCTGGTTAAAGTAACAGGGGTTTCAGATCCAAGGACCTTCTCTAACCCTAGTAGATCCTGTTGATGCATGGCCTCTGCCTCAATATACTTGCCCTGTCGTGCAAGTACTAAGCCAAGCTGGCTAATACTGGTCAGAGTATCGGGGTAGAAAAAGCAGGCAAGGGATCGACCGCGGCTAAGTTGCACATCGCCAAGCGCAAAGCTTCAAACGGCCAAAAAGCCCTCCAATAGGGCAATGCACATAAAATTTGAACCCCATCTCCTCCTGACTCGTGCCCCTAGCCAGCGAATGAGACAACGCGGACATTTCATGCAACCTCGTATTAGCCTTGGCAAGACCCGCGGTCACACCTTAAATTGCCCAATTCCCCTTTCAAACCCCAAATTTTCCTCACGAGACTAAACACTTGTTATTAAACGCGCCGCAAAATGCACTGGCCAACTCTCTTGGCCTTGGCTGCCCTATGCCAACCGGGCCTTGCCTATATAGGCGGCTACACCGAAGGCGCCGCAGAAAGGCCGACGAACGTCACCGGCCTGCATTACCAGTACTACAGCTCAATTGGATCGTAAGTTAATCACCAGCAACCTCTACCCCAAAAAAATCAAAAGATAAGAAGGATATTAACATATATACCTAGGTACTACAACGGCACGCTGACGATCCGAATCCACCCCGTGTACAACCCGCCGCCACGGTACCAGGATTTCGCCGACCACTATGTCTGCGAGGAGTTCGAAAACAAGACATTCGACGTCGAGATGAATGCCATGGCAGGCTTCAAGATGCAGCCCCCGAAATCGGCGCCGCATGTGAATCCTTTTATTCTCGATATCGAGGTCTGGCCGAAGCCGTATGCGCTGAGGTTACCGCGGACGGACAACTATACGAGCGACGAGGCGTTTACGATTCTTTCTGAGTCGGGGTATGTTGACACGTTTTTTTTTTTTTTTTTTTTTTTTTTTTTTTTTTTTTTTTTTCCTTAGAAAAAAAAAGTCGATTTATAGTCTATTCGCTCTTACAGTGTGAGGAGAGCCTAGTAGGTACATGGATGCTAACGCAAAGACAAACGGGGCGTAGTCTCGACTCCGGCCCGCGCTGGCGCCTCAACATGTCCACACCACGAAACACAACCTCTAGTGGTAGTTCTACAACAACCACGAGTACCGGCTACCGCTTCACCGGCAAAGCCAACACCAACGACACGCTGTGGGACCAGACTTTCGTCTTCAACGTCACAGACACCTGCACGCCGCTGTCGTCGCTCGACGGGATGCTCTACACCGGTAACTTCCTGCGACCCGACGACATGGACAGCGAGCTCGTCTACGACTGGGTGACAAGGGAGCTCAGGTCGCTCCCGGCGCTGTCTGGGTCGTTTGACGGGGAGACTGCGTGGGTCCAGCTGTCCGGGGCCTTTTCGGCGCATCGCCGTGGCGGAAACGAGATTGTGGGGCGGGCCGAGCTGGTGTTTTCGGGGCGGATCGATGCGGAGAGGTCGGATGGGTTGCTTCTGGGGAGGGAGGTGCCCGAGTGGAATGCGACGCTGGGGTTTGGCGAAAGGGACGGCGTGGCTGGCCTGCAAGGGAATGGCGGTTCTAGAGTGGGGTGGAGGACCGGTGCGTTGGGGCTGGTTGGCTTGGTGGGTGGATTGATGGTTATTTGAAGCCGTGTTGGGTTTTATGTATTCTAGTCTAATAATCGCGCATATGTATCAGGCAACATGCTCAACCTCGACCAGACTCGATGCCTTGGCCTTTTGGCCATCCCCTGCGAACCGCATCCCCAACGCCTCAGGCCCGTCAAAAACAACTGCAATCTCCTCGAGCGTCCGCCCCTTTGTCTCCGGAAACAAAAAGTAAATGATCCCCAAATCAAGCACAAGACAGCCCAAATACACAAAATAAAACCTCCAGGAAATAGCATCAAACGCAATCGGATTCACATACTGGTTAAAGAACCCCGCCGCAAACATGACCGTCAGCGAAAGCGAGAACCCCTTTGCGCGGAGGTGGTAGGGTAATATCTCGACCGGGTACGCGATTGACAGCGGCGTGTATGCGAGTGCATACGAGCCGAAGAAGAGGAAGAGCATGGCGACGGAGGCGATCCCCGCTGCTTTGATTTGCATTTCGGCGAAGACGCCGGAGAGGGCTGTTACTGTTGCGAAGAAGATGAGCATGAGGAATGTGCTGAGGAGCCAGAGGGTTCGGCGGCCGTGAGATTCTGTTAAGAAGGCGCCAGCCAGCGCGGCCAGCCCGTTCCAGGCTTGTAATGCGAGGTTTATACCCGCTTGTTGGCTGGGAGAGGTTATGCCGACGGAACGCAGGATTGGGGCGAGGTAGTAGGAGACGATTCCTAGACAGCGATGAAGATGGTTAGGTATTGTTTTGGAGTTGGACATTGGCGTTGGCCAGGGAGGCTGGAGGCATACCATTTCCAGCCCACTGAATCATGAATCCCACCAGGACACAGATCAGCAATCGGTGCACAGCGCCGCGCGTAGCGAAGAACGCACTCCAACCACTCTGCTCTGCAACTGCATCCTCGTGCTCAATGGCCTCGCAGATCTCCTGATACTCGTACAAGACGAGCTGATCAGTCATGTCCCCATTCGCATGATACCTAGCCAAAATGTCCAACGCCTCTTCCCGCCGGCCCTTAGAGACAAGCCACCGCGGACTCTCGGGGACAACCAGCAACCCCAGCAATTGCAGAGCCGGGAAAAAAGCCTGCATCAGGCACGGAAACCGCCAGGACCACGAGCTGCCCAGATACAGCGTCCCCAGGGTAATGACCGCAGAGAGAACCGCCCCGCAGAACCAGGTACACTGGAAGATCGCGGTAACAGTGCCTCGCTGCCGCGGGTGCGCAATCTCCGTGGTTAACGGGGGCGCGGCCGTCTGTGCGAAGCCCAGCCCGACGCCCATCATGAGCCGCGTGCCGAAAAACGCCCAGGGGCCGGATGTCGCGGCTTGGATTATCGAGGCACACACCATGACTGCGGAACCCAGCGCGACGCACTTCTTTCGTCCGAAGGCGTCGGCAAAGTACGAGGCTGGGATGAAGCTGGGTGTTCCGCCGAGGGAGACGCCGGCAATAATGAGGCCTTCGATGCTGGAGTTGATGTCGCCGAGATCCTGAAGGACTGTGGCGGGTTAGCAGGACTTTCCTTTGATCAAGGGTGACACAGTAGACGTACATCGTGGCAGTGCCAGTAGGCCGTTCATCAAGCTCCCATCGTACCCATTCGCGGCAGCGGAGGTGAACATCAGTGCAACGCCCAGATTCAAACGACGCAGACCGGCATCTTTGATCCATTGAGCATGGGTATTGTTCGGGATCGAAGCGTAGGCGTCTCCGCCGGACGTGCTCACAACAGCATTGGCTCCCATGGTGTCAGAACAGGTAGCAAATATAAGAGAGAGAAACAACAGTGCGTGCACGATTAATTGCCAGTGACACAGACAGTATGAAGCATTGCATGTACCCCATGGGCACTTTATATACACGCAGCTTCGGTGGTTCAAACGCTGGGGTAAAAGGAAGCCGGGGGATTCGGAGCGTGGCCCGATCTTCTGGGAACAGAGGTTTTAGCCAATAGAATGACACAGCTTAACTTCCTGGGACACTTTAGGTCGAACCAACAGACTGTCTCAGTGTGGGGAAATCCTCGGGCGGTTTCTCGGGAAGATTTTCGGTAAGATTAGGTCTCCGCATAGAACTCGATGGAGATGCATAGTGGGGTCCAATTGAGTTCCGAAATAGCTCCGCGTGGACAATGTGAGGTTGTAGGGCGATACCCAATCAGATTGACAACGGCTCTTTTGCGGCGAAATGCTCGGAGAGACTCTCGGGCGTTTACATGATGCGACCCCCATAGGAACAGGTTATAAAGCGCCACCCCGTGTATGCTAGCCCAAATCCAACTCTTCCTCTCAACTAACCAACCCCAACTAATCAACCCCAACATGACAACCACAACAACCGAAATCGCATCCATCCCCAAACCAACCCCACAGAGCGGACGAGCCTGGTGGAAGGAAGCCTCCGTCTACCAAATCTACCCCGCCTCATTCAAAGACTCCAATGGCGATGGAATCGGCGATATTCCTGGGATAGTCTCCAAACTCGACTACCTCAAAGAATTAGGTGTTGATGTCGTATGGCTGTCTCCGATCCTGCAGTCCCCGCAGGTGGATATGGGATATGACATCTCGGATTACTATGCCATCCATCCGCCTTACGGGACTATGGATGATGTTGATAGGTTGATTGAGGGGCTGCATAAGCGGGGTATGAAGTATGTTATGGATCTTGTTGTAAATCATACGTCGGATCAGGTATGACTTTTGATCCTATTGTGGTGGTGCACAGTGGATTGTGGTTCTGACTGGAGGTACAGCATGAATGGTTCAAGCAGTCGCGGTCTTCAAAGACGAACCCATACCGCGATTGGTATATCTGGCGAAAACCCCGGTACACAGCCGACGGCGTGCGACAGCCGCCGAATAACTGGGGTTCCTACTTTTCAGGTATGTACTATATTGCGGATTGAGACTCACCACTTCCCTGCCTGTCTATAGTGAATTCCTACCGTGACTCCCACTCACATTATTAGGCCCCGCATGGACGTACGATGCTGAAACAGACGAATACTACCTGCACCTCTTCGCGCCCGAACAACCCGATCTAAACTGGGAGAACCCCCAAGTCCGCGCCGCCGTCCACAAAATCATGCGCTACTGGCTTGAAAAAGGAGCAAGCGGATTCCGCCTCGACGTAATCAACTTTATTAGCAAAGACCAGCGCTTCCTCGACGTCCCCATAACCGATCCGTCGAAATCCTATTCGGACGGTGCGAAATATTACGCGTGCGGGCCGAGATTACACGAATACCTCCAGGACCTAGGCAAGATCTTGAAAGAGTACGACGCATTCTCCGTCGGCGAGATGCCGTCTGTCTACGACCCCGTCGAGATCCTCAACGCCGTGGGGTTCGAGAGAGGGGAGTTGGGGATGGCGTTCCAGTTTGAGATTATGGATCTGGATCACGGCCCGCGCGGAAAATTCACCCCGGGCCAGTTCAAACTGGCCGAGTTGAAATCCGTCGTGACAAAGTGGCAGTCGTTCATGTATGAGAATAACGGGTGGAACGCGTTATACCTCGAGAACCACGACCAGGGGCGGAGTATCTCGCGCTTCGCGTCTGAGAAGCCCCAGTTCCGGGCACTTTCGGGGAAAATGCTTGCGACGTTCTTGGGGCTGCAGAGCGGGACGCCCTTTATCTACCAGGGGCAGGAGATTGGCGTTGTTAATTTGCCCGAGAGTTGGACGATTGAGGACTACAGGGATCTCGAGGCGATTAATTTCTGGAACGAGCTCACGGCGGCTTTCCCCGGTGATGCCCAACTCCAGCAGCAGACGCTCAAGGAACTGCGTCTTAAGTCGCGCGATAATGGGCGGTTGCCGATGCAGTGGGGGCCGGGAAAGTACGCCGAGTTCTCGTCTGCGACTGCGAAGCCGTGGATTGGGGTTAACGATGACTATGAGCAGTGGAATGCGTCCTCGCAGGTGTCTGACCCCGGCAGCGTCTTCAGGTACTGGGCGGGGATACTGAAGCTACGCAAGGAGTTGGTCGATGTGTTTGTTTACGGGTCGTTTACGCTCGTCGACAAGGATCATGAGGAGTTGTTTGTGTATACCAGAGGATTCGGTGACGAGACGGCAGTCGTCGTGACCAACTTTTCCGAGAAGGAGGTGAAGTGGGCCGTTCCAGCTGATGTGTCCTCGGTCTTCAGTGACGGAAGGTACTTGGTGGGCAACTACGAGGAACGCAAAGCAATTGGATTTGGGGGAGACGTCATTACTGTGAAGCCATTTGAGGCTTTCGTGGTACTCAAGGAAGCAGCCAGGCTTCCAAACTAAGACCGTTTCATCGTATAACATAGCTATTGTTACTATCATATACTTCTCCGTTACCCTCCATCAGATCCTCTTCGTCGTCGATCAACTCTGCAATTGCAGGTAGCTCTGTAACGGGCTCGAGGAGTAAATTCGACTCGACCAATCTCTTGCGAACCCAGTCTAAGCCTTCTCGGTTCCCATTCAATCTCGCAAGATAGCAGCAGAATTCATGAAGGACGTGGCGCGCTTGGACGAACATCTCGGGTGTCAGCGAATGGACGCAAGTCATGACATCGAGCAAGGTATTCGTAATGTCGCACAACTTCGCTTGCTATACTTCCGTCAGCTACACCGATCCATAACCATGGTGTTCAAATAAGTCTCATCTTACCATCCCCGGCCCATGCGCAACCAGCGCATCAAACGAAACGCTCGAAATATCCCTCAGCGCATCCCTCGACACCCGCGCCGGATACGTAAACGACATACTATCGTCGCCGCCCGGCTCACTTGAGAGACTAACATTACTCAGCGACAGCTGCCAAACGAGCATGCGGAGCCAATGCTGCGTAATGGAGACATCGCTGCGCTGTACCTCGTTCCACTCTAGGGGCCATTGCTCGTATCGTCGGAGCTCGTGCTGGATCCGGACGAGGATCTCCATGCTGTAGTTACTTGACGTCTCGGAGTTGACGAGCACGCCGTCGACGGATGCAAAGAGGTGCGTTAGGCTGTGGAAGGCTTGGAGGAGTTGTGAGCTATTCTGGTTGCCGCAGGCTTCCTGCCGGGCAAGCGCAATCGATTTAGTCAGGCAGACGGGGGTCCCGTGCTGCATTGCGTGGCCGCGTTCCGTCACGTACAGGAGCCAGAATGTTCGGCGGCGATAGCTTTCCTCTTCCATGTCCAATCCGTGGTACGTCTCCTCTTTATCGAGTCCCAGCAGTTGGCAGATAGAAACCGCTTCACGGAGTAAGAACGACGCCGTCAGCCGCTTCCCCCTCGCTCCGTAGTAGAAGTGCAGGAACAATGGGATCAGAATCGCTTCGATCGTGGAGCTCTCGCGGTACTCGTATTTCAGCCTGTGTCGCTCAGACTCGGTGGCGAAGTGGTCGGCCAGATCGTTGGAGGGCTGGTTGCTGGACTTGAGTTGGAGCTGTGCGCCGGTCCCCGCGCAGACTGCAAAGGCCAATGCACACGTTTCGTAGTCGGTTCCATCGGCCTCTAGCTCAGCGCCGAGTCTCGCGACGTCGATGACAGGCCAGACTGGGTACATCCGGGCTCTGTACGTTTCGAGATAAGCGAGGACATCGCTCAGCGTAAAGGCGCGCTTCCACTCCGGCGACGAGGAAGGAAATGAGTCTATTTGCGGGGATGTCGATGGGTCTTGGCTGTCAATATTTAAACAAACAGGCACGGCCGGTATTTCTTTGCTCAAAGTCTCCAATTGCTGATGAACCCGAGCCCTCGTCGACCGACGCGGCCCTTTCGGCCCGGACTTTCTTGGCTGTTTCGCGTAAGAGCATTTGAACCCCGTCCTCGTGCAGTTCGGACAGGGCTGTTGGCCGGTACAGCGGACTTTTCGGAGGGCGCAGGCGTCGCAGGCTCGTGGTCTTGTCATTGATACTAGATTCGGTGTGGATGGGGTTATAAGAGGGAAGGCAGTGGTCCTCGGGAAGATTTTCGGTGAGATTTGACCCCGCATCGATCGTGGCCAGGCTCGCTAGTGCCACGTGGGGGCATCTGAGTTACTCCAATTTGCCCTCGGCCATGTTCCGATAATGGCTTTGCTGACCACCTATTGTCATGACTTTCCAGGGGTCAATACTAGGTGAAATTATGACTCGATTATACCCATCTAATGTATTTAGGGCTTAAATGCCCAGGCCATGGTAAAGCTCCTTGAATCTAAGCTCAACCACAAGGTACATCAGTTTCAATGGCTAGTCTAGTTAGGCTGACAAACAGGACGGATCAAGGATTTCATAGTGATTATGCGATCTATGTACATAATCCGGAGCAAAGAATATTAGTATACAAGGACAAACCACACAAACGATACTCTCTGCGAAGCCTCACGCCGCCATCGCACGAGAAATTACCGTAGGCACAGATACACCGCGGGCCGTATTCTTACTTGCTTTTGAGTAAAGTTCTCGAACGCGGGAGTAAAGTCCACGCGCTGTCCCCAAGATGGTGGGTCAACTGTTTCAAGCATGACTATAAAAACCTGGAGGGTTCACCCATGGTACAATAGAGCGCTCGAACCAGTAGCAGGTCCATATCAAAGAATAATGGCGCTCTCCTAATCAGGTATACGATTAGCAACCTATCTGAGTCCTGCAGTCAGATAAGGTTCAGAGAGAAAAGACTGTAGGCTTGGAATGAATACATTCTTACTCAACAGCTCCCGTGCAAATACAATAATATTAGGAGATGCCTGATGAAGATGAAGAGGTTTCCTGACGATTAGGAGGTCTTATGGAGGTACTTCGCTCCTTCCTAACAGTACCCCCATGTTGTTGTTGGTCTATAAGATTCGATTTTCAAAGTCCTTGCAGGAGCAGCCTTCCCGTATGTCACTCAACCCAACCGCTCTAACCAGCCCTACTACTCCTCTCTCCCCCTCAACTTCAACCACTCCCCCTCCAACATCCCAAGCGTGATAACATCATGCCACTTCCGAAACTGCCAAACCGCCTCGCGCAGCCTCCCCTCCTCCACAAACCCCAGGGACCGATAAAGCCCCAACGCCCGTTCATTATGGGAAAGCACCTCCAGCGACACGCGATGCAACGCGCCAATCTCAAACGCCCAATCCAGCACCCAGTTGATCGCTTCCCGCCCGTACCCCTGCCCACGCACCGACGCAATCAGTGAGATCCCAATCAGGGCGTTGCGATGGTGCGCCGTTAGCGCGCCCATGGGGTTCTTCAGCGAGACGCGGCCGATGGGCGTTGCCTTGCGCCAGTCGTCTTCGGAGCCGGCATCCTCTGAGGGTAGGCAGACCATTACGCCTAGCAGCTGCGACTGCTGTCGGGCAACGAACTCGGTGGCGTTGCGTTGTGTCCTGGGGCGGGGCAGGACTTCGGTGCTTAGGAGGTACATGGCGGGCTCGTTGAGGTGGTTTTGGATAAAGGTTGTGTCTTCTTCGTTGTCTTCGATTGCACGGTAGATGAGGCGCTTGGAGCGGAAGGGGTCAGGGGGCGTGGAGGGTGTGGAGGATTGTGCGGCCATTGTTGTGCTGACGGACACGTATGGATATGGTATTTTGGGGAAAGGGGGGACAAGGAGGTGGAACTACAGGTTTTCTATTTCCTGGAGGATGAGATCTTATAATATTTGTGGACTAGTAGGGATGACTCACTGAACAGGGGATATACGAGCTTATCCTTCTAGGGGGCCAACCGGAGTACTTGACGTTACATTGCCGTATACGCTAACATATGTTAGGCAGCCGTAAATAATCATCATTGATCGGGTCAGCTCGCAGTGGAGTAACACCGCCGTTAGTTTGCAGAGCCTAAGACTCCGACAAGCTCTCTTCGTTGAAACTCCTGTAAGCCAAGCCGCAAACACAAAAAACATGATATGTTGAGAGTCATGCTTCCCCGAACACCTGATTGGTTGAGGATTGATGGATATCCGCATCCTCGTACACTCATATCAACATATCAGAGACTACCAGCCTCCCCCCCATTCTATGGCAACGGGGGACTAATATGAATTCCTGTCGGGAAGCAAGGTTATAGAGAGCAATCCGGCATGCTTTTCGAATTCCCATGTCCGTGCAATAACGTATCTATATTGATTCCGCTTTTCGAGCCCCTCTGCTATAACCCCAAGGATAGAAATCATCGCTAAAATGTCGAATTTTCCGAAGAAGATTTTGCTTGACGGCTTCTGGATATGCATACATCTCCCTAGCGAATGGTTAGTTGTCGCGGAAGACAACTTGAAACCCGGACTGCCTACAGATTATCAGCCCCGCGGCAAACTTTGTAGATTTCGTGCGGGAAGTCTTCGCCCAGGGTCTCCAAGATATGAGATGTCTCCAAATCAATAACAATATGGACTTTGGGATTCGACTGCGGAAAATCACTTGGTGGCTGATAGTGCACAAAGTGACGAGTTGGGTCTAGAGCCGCATCCGAGGGGAACTTTGTAAAGTAAAAGTCGACAAATTCTCGTGGATTTTGGTAGTCCATATCGCTCTCTGACAGACGAAGAATGACCCTTTTTGGTTGGGCTTCTGGCTTGGCTTCTGTCTCGTCTTCTGACTCAACGTTTGACGGGATCTGCGCCTGGTCTTCTGACTGATTGTCTGGCTGGGTCATCCTGATGTATTGTTCGCCTTTCTTATGGCCAAACTGATAAGATCTTGACGAACGTGAAACGGAGGGGTTCCAGTTTCGTCCCCGCATGCAGCAGGCGAGACCCCGAAAATCAGGTGATAGCCCGGGGTGTTCGCTGGTCCATTGGCCAAAGGGTCGGGTGCTTGGTCCTTTTGCAGGGGTCCTCCAGGGGAATAGTAGCTTAGCTACTAATAGCTACTAGGAGGATATAAGAAAACTTATTTATATATATTTAGTTTACTTCTTAGTTCTTTATATTTAATATTAATTATTATTATAGAATAAGCCTTTACTAGACTCTACTTATCTAGACTACTCTATAGCTACTATATACATATACCGGGTGGCTATACCTTTAACTATAAAGCCTATTAGTAAACTTATACTTATTATAATAATAGAATGAAGTAGATGATGGTAAATGGACTGCCAAAAACGGCCGCAATTAATGCTATTTTTGGTGGTTGATTTGCTAACCCTTCTCCTACTTAGGCATTCTTGTTGTCACTTGGTACCCCATCGACACAAAGGATCGTCCACATAGAGGGTACGATCACCTCTGCTTAAGCAGAAATGGCGACAGCTTCTGAAAGAAATAGGGGATCTGAAAGCAGCTAGGAAGATTCTGCTCTAGTCATAAGCAGTGTGAATAAATAGCGCAGTGATCCATAACTTGTCTTGTTGCAAAGGAAAGATCATGCATGACTCTATAATTGGAGTCTACTTTTTGTATGTCTATGCTAAGACTTTATTTGCGGAACTTTCTGGCGAAACAATATTCGTTTATGTTTCATGAACCGCTGCCGAACTCGGCTGAGAAACTTGTTCAGGTTCTTGGCGAATAAAATAGAAAGAAGGTGGGAACCTAGAAAGGTTCAATTATCTCGAGATCTAGACCAAGCGAAACCAAATGATCGCGCAATTATCGCGAGGTCAGAATATATCTAAGCAGCCAGTTTTGCTAACGTGCTTACGAGAGTAAGTTATGTACATAAGCCTCCATCGACGCTTTTGATCCTTAAGAGGGTCCAAGCAAGAAGTCACTAGGGCCAAGCAGATCACGCAAAAACAGATGTGAGCGTGGTGCGCAATATTCATATAAATAATTTGCCTTCTTTTAATAAAATATGCAAGTCTGTTCCAATTTCCCCCACTCTCCCAACTTCGCTACAGGCAAAATCACGCGCTCATCAATCCCCCAAGCTCCTTCTCCTTCATCGCAAACTGCGCCGCTTCGTCCGTTGTGAGGTCCATCAACGGACTATCCTCCCCGGACTGAATATTCCGATAGTACGCCCGGATGATACTGTCGGCATCATCAATCGCAATTGGGCGGATATCGGCTAAAGCCTTGATCTTAGATGTACACTCCTTGTATTGTTTGTCGGTCATGCTGATATTTAGCTGCTGCGCCCGGGATCGGATGGCGTTCCAACCAGTCAGTCGCGAGGCAAAGTGCACGTAGCGGGTCATGCCAAAGTCTGCGGGGTTGATGATCTCATATGTGCTGGGGTCGTTGAGGATGGCTTTGGCATGAATACCTGGGACCCAGGTTAGTGTTTCTCTAGAAAATTGAGAAGAGGAGTACGTACCAGCCTTGTGAGTGAACGCACAAAAGCCCGTGATATAGTTGTTGAACGGGATATTAATCTGCACTGCCTCGGCAACAAGATCCTCTAAATCCTTAATCTTTTCAAGGCGGTACTTAGACTTTACATACTCTGGATGCGTGGCAACCATCCGCGCCATGAGCCCTCCAAGCGGAGTAATACCATTCCGTTCACCGATTCCTAGCACAGAAGTGTCAATGTGTGTTGCACCTGCTTCCAGGGCGCAATATGCATTTGCAATTGCACATCCAGCATCATCGTGGAAATGGGTCTCAATATCACAGCTGACCACGCCACGAAGAACACGGATGAGCTCGTACACCTGTCGTGGGGAAGCGCAGCCAATGGTATCGGCAACACCGACTCGATTTACGCCGACTTGGTCGACGGCGGAGTAAATTGAGAGGAGGTCCACTAGGTCCGAGCGGAAGGAATCTTCTGTTGAAAAGCGAACTTCTATTCCTTGCGACTTCACGAAGTTGATTACTTCAATAGCGGTCTTCTTGATGTACTCAATATCCTTGCCATGGGAGTGCTGGCGCATGAGAGACGATGTTCCAATCATTACATCGCTAGTTCATACTTAGACAAGAAGGGTAGCCGTGGGAAACAAGGACTTACACGCCATCAACACCAGTGGCCACGGCAATTCGCGCATCGTCCATATGGCACCGAATATGGGTTAGAATCTTAGCCTTAAGACCCAGCTTGCAGATCGCCTCACAGTCTAGCCTCGACTGCTCCGAGGCACACGGGTTCGTGAGCTCAATGTAATCAACCCCGAACTCATCTAGTGCCCTTGCAATCTCGATCTTCTTCTGCGTGTCAAAGAAGGCATTGGCAAACTGCTCGCCCTCGCGCAGGGTGCTCTCAATAATCTTAAACCGCGAGACGTTGCTCAGAAAATCGCTAACCCCATTTCCGTGGCCGTAAGGGTTACGATTCACAGGGCTGGAGCTCAAGGCTGTCGGAGTTAGGAAATAAACGCTTCTCTTAGTCCAATCTCGTACCTGTGCTCATGTCACTAGCGCCGGGCATTGTGCTTGTCTCCTCTGGGGTGATCGCGGGGTAGTATAAAATGTAGGATTAAGAAAAGTCTTTTCGCACTATTTAAATACAGATCTCTTGCCGACTTTTGTCAGTTATTCACAAATGAGTCACAAAATCCTAACCGTGATGGGAAAGAATAGGGACGTGCTTCGGATGCATGCCGGACTTTTTCCGTCGGCGTGTCGGGATTTCTCCGGGCTTTCGGAGGTCTACTTTCGCCCTGGATGATGTCGCCTTCGTAGGTATGGGGTCTAGTATATAGATCCTTCAATATGCAGCGATTCGTTTACTTGCGAGCGGCTGTAGTCACCACTTTATCAATAACCGAGGTGCTATTTGACATTCCAACTTGTTACCCGTTATATATATCCAGCATGCCTAACTGCTGCACGGTGACCACCTTTTATCCCGGATTTACGACTATCCAGCCAGTTAAACCAGTCTAATCCCCGAGATAATCAACCAGCCTGTCCTTGACTATTACATTTTCCTCAAAGGCACTGGGGGAAGAAAATAAAAAAGGGATCACAGGCTAGATGATAGACAATGATTATGCGAATTTAAGCTTCAAGCTCAGCTCCGACGACAAAGCCCTTTTCAAGAAAACATCACCCATTTGACAGTCCTCCTTCGTCAGCCGCGCCATAGCCGCAGATTCCTCTCCACGACCTCCCCCGGATCCGTCAACAAGATCGCCACCTCGTCCACGATCATCGCCCGCTCCCTCTGCATCTGCATATGCCGCACCAGGATCCCCGACACGGGCAAGAGTAGCGTAACGCCGAGCCGGCCGAACAGACGCGCAAACGAGACAGACGCCTGCAGCCGCTGCTCCGCCTGCTCGAGCGTCACCGTGCGCGTGGCGTTGTAGTCGAACGACGAGTGCAGCGCGTCCCAGCTGTTCATGTACGCGGTGCGGATGAGCGTCGCCGTGTGGTTCTCCAGGTTATCCCATGTCGGGGTCAGCGTGCTGTTTATCACGGCCAGCTGCACCATCATATCTGGCATGAGGAAGAGGGCGTCCCGCGTCCAGATCGAGGGTTCGATCAGCTCGGCGAGGTCTTCTGTGCTCACGTCCTCGTCCTCGATGCTTCCTCGACTTGACTTGAGGTGCGCGAGCGGGTCGTATTCGACGATGTTGGGTGTAAGGTATGTGCTCCGGGGCGCGCGGATCGCGCCCGGCCGTGAAGGAGACGATGCCGTGCGTCATGCAGTTCTCGTCGAATCCGTTGCCGAGGGAGAAGACGTTGCGCACTGCCGAGGCGATGTACGACGCGTTCCCGAAGCTGTTCTCGTTGCCAGTCGTACGCGAGGGCTTTGTAGCCGTTGACAGAGATTATGGAGGACGCGGAGGTCCACTGATTGATAATTACAGCTGATGTACTGACCCTTATGTCTAGTTCTACATCACCCCATACGCCAGTCATCAGGGGGCAACGTCCAGTCTAGCATTCTACGACGCAGCTATCCTAAACGCTGGTGCGTTTGCTGGCTGCTACGCATTAGGCCCAATATTAGACTCAGGCCTAGGCTTCTTCAACTCTGTCATAATCGCCATTTTTTCATGTGCCGTGGTCGCCTCTGCCTGGATTGGCTGTCACAGCGACGCCGGCGTCATTGTATGGGCTATAGCATACGGGATTGTCTCTGGCGCACTGCAGGCCATTTTCTCACCTTGTATCTCCATGATGGCACCAACGCCGGAAGTAACTGGGTCTTGGAATGGTGAGTCTTTTTTTGCAATCTCTTGCCTTTGCTCAGTGAACTAGTTGACGAGCATAATTCACCTCGCTAGGTATTTGCATCACAATTTCTTCCTTCGCAGTGCTGGCCTCTGCCCCGGTTGCAGGACAGTTGATTGACAACGTTGGCGGGACGGACTACCTGGCGATGCAGTTATTCACAGCGGTATCACTGGCGGTTGCCTGTGCCTTTTTTATAGCGGCTCGGTTTTGGTTTTCGCGAAGTCCATTTGTTTGATCTCATGTGCGTCCATAATACCGGTCTTGATGGTCTGGGGGACGGCGGAGCTAATGCTCCGTTTGTGATTGATCTGGTGTCTGTATCTAAACAAGTACATTTTCACTTGTTCAGATGCTTCGACTCTGGGACTATGTAAAGTGTCTGGAACAAGCTAGGTTTCAAACCAGGATGCTATAATTTACGTTAGTACAGTTGCTGACTATGGAAAGTATTAATACTGTTGATATTCACTACTTCAGTGCTCTTTGGAGACGGTATCATAACTAGATAGGAGACATGAATAATATCATTGCCAAATATGGGAAAATATGGTATAGAGTAAATTCCTGCGTGGTTCTTGCCATATATTTCATTTTCTTTCGTGAGGACTCTCACTACATACTCAAGATATGGGAGCTGTTCCTCGCGTGGTCTGTCATCGCCTCTTGTGAAGGCATGACTACCTGTTACCAGACGGCAGTCGTCAAGAAGCGGCAGCACCTTATCTATAGCCGCGGCTATCGCAGACGCGTGGCATAAGCGGACAAGGGCACTGGACGTGCGAAATCTAGCCTAAATAAGGTTTCCATCACCAATTTGCTTCCTCATTTCAAATCTCACGCTAAGGCTACCAATTGGTGATGAAACATCACGACAAGTCTTATTGAACCAGATAATAAGCTGAGACCCATTAATAGCGCCAGTCCCCTTTCCATTTCTCTAAAAAAAATAGACCGGGGTGAGCGCCTTCTCTTTTTCTGCCACATGAACCTTACCAATCAGCTCTAATTGATACCTCACCAGTGCCGGAACCATTTTTATGCCGAGGTCCTTGACAAGCCCACGACTCTACATGACTTCGAGAAGTGTTCGCAGGAGGAGGGGCGCAGCGTGTCTCCCTTGCCACAATCGAAAGACCCGATGCGATGCGAGAAATGCTCAGCCTTGTACAAACTGCAAATGGTTTAAGCACGAATGCATCATTCCGAAGCGATTCAAGCACCGAATTTCAGCAACAGAGGAGAAGCCTCGACAATTAGTTGACCCCATAACCCATGGTGGGTCAGAAAACTACAATCGAACTGGTACATCCTCTCAAATACATGTTGTATAGGGTCACGAACGAAGCGTGTATAGCGGTACTATTGACGCAAACTCTTTAAATGATCATGAAACACGTCACAATATTCGGACGCAAATCCCGAAGCTACCTCCCTACATCAGTCCACTGCCATCCGGGGTATCCTTTTCTGCTGTAGGAGCAGAGGCCCAAAGTCATGGCCTATTCACCGGAGTCAACACCGATGCCGAGATAAACGATGACAAGTATCGTTCAGTCGAGCAGCCTCTGCGGCAGCGAATCTCACATCCCAACAGCAATGCAACAGTTCCAACTTTCCTGACGTCTGATCCAAAGGAGAATATTTACTTGGCTCACTTTTTGGGAGGTGGAACAACTACGTCTTTTCTATCCTCGGTCAATTTGATGCCCCACGAGCGCGCACTTCTTATACAGCTATCGAATGGCTCAACTTTTGTCGATTGGTTTGATAATGATGATGCTTGATTCTACCGACTAAATCGCGGGTGTGGAGAGCCGGTGCGTAGAGCCCTTGGGTTATGCGGGTCAGATCTTTGGATTCAGATGGCTGTTCACACTTTCTTGGATAGAGTGTATATTCTTTTTTATATATTGCCTTTTTGGTTACTACAACATTCACTAATCGAGGGGGAAGAACCTCGTGGTGGCGAAAAATGAGGGTTGATCATATAGTATCACGTCCAAGAAGCAATAAAGAGGTGCTTTAGCCACCGCCTATCAATAAGACCCAAACGAAATAGTCCGAATTACCGGGAGAAATGCTATAGAAATCTAAAAGGCGGCTGGGTAGGCCAGTCAATGTGGCTACAGAGTATTTTAACTGCCTCTGTGGTTCTCAACTAGCCTTTGGCTGTTGGTGTCGTCGCCAGTGATGCGTATTACCAGTTCACTAAATCAAAGCAAAATAATTTAGCAGAGGCACTGAGAACGACAAATAGATGTTCATATAGAACGGGGCATAGATAGTGTTATAAAAAAAGGCTCTAGCGATATTCATCTAAACTCCGATTACGGGAAGGGAAGGAGCGGGGGGCTAACTGTCACGTGCCAGGGTCAAAGAGGATGTGCCTCCAGCTTCACTACTTGATCAAGCTTCTCGGACCCTGGTGGTTTTCAACTCTCAAAACTTCACCATAATCTTTTTTCAACCCAGATTATTGTCGTACTGTGACATTTCATCGGCGCCGATGAGCAAACCCCCGCTTGCTTGGCAAAACGAAACATGATGCATCGGGCGCCAACTCAGCCAATGGCGGTAGCGCTTACGGTTAAAAAACGTTTTTATCCATAAGGATGCTGTACACCACCCATCTAACTACTTAACTTATAATTATTAAGCCTCTTTAAGCTTATATTCTTCCTCTTCTTTATATAATTATATAAAAATGCCTTGGCTATCTATTAACCTTAAGCCCTATAGAGAGGAGATCTCTTATCTTTATTATATAAATATTTCCTGTTAGGATATTACTAAATTACTTTATAATTAATATAGGATCTAGGTTAGTAATATAACTATTAAACTTTATCTTTAAATATAGGGTATCTAGAAGGTGAATTATATAGTATTAAAGAATATAATTCTTTATATATAAATTAAGGTCCTTATATACTAGGTTAGCCTATTAGAGGTTAAAATACTTTATATTCTATAATATAAAGGCTAGGATATTAAGGCTTATATATTAAAATATATATAATACTAACTAGGACTTTATTAATATATAATAAATATAGTTATAGATTAAGTAGAGGTTAATTAAGTACTAAATTAACTTTATATAGACCTTATTATAGATTAAATTAAGGGCTATAACTAGAGAATACTTTATTAATATTTTAAGAATTAAGGATTCTTATTAGCTAGGTAAACTCTTTCTAGTTTACTAGTAAATAAATACTAATATTCTATACTAGGGATTAACTATTCTCTTTATATAAAGAGCTCGCTCCTACTACTATATAATAATACTTTTAGGATCTTTAATATTATTATAGAGCCTATATTATACCTAGGCTAAATTTTATCTAGTTAATTAATAGCTATCTTAAGCTAGCCCTATATAGTATTAAGATATATATAGTAATTAATACTTATTCTTACTATATTATCTAGATATATATTAATATTAGCTCTTATATAGTAGTTAGTATACTTTAATAGTTCCTTAATATACTTAAGATTATATAGTAGCAGCCTTACTTTATATAATCTAATTATAATATAGAGATAATTCTTCTTATTAAAGTATAGTATAAGCTCTAATAGTCTCTCTACCTAGAAATCTATATTAGAGACTATTATCTATATAATATAAGTATAGCTAATTAGTAGATTAAGGTATAATAGCTTTAACTAATATATAGGATACTATTTTAATATTAGGTAAGTATATACTCTTCTACCTTATATAATAACTAATTAAGGACTTAGGAATATTTTTATAGCCTTTAAGAAGAGGGGAACTTCTCCTTTAATAATCTTAGTAATTAGATTACTCTATATATAATCTATATACTAGTTCTTTAAGTTTAGATTAGATTCTTTATATATATATAGAACTAGTACTCTATTTATAAGTAACTAAATTATCTATATCTTATACCTAAGAAGCTATATATAAACTATAACTTCCTAGCTACTAGTATTAAGAATTAAGGAATTTAGTTTAATATAAACCTATTTAAGCGCCTATAGGATAATATATAAGACTAGAATATTAATAAATATCTACCTCTAGAAACTTATTCTTAGACTTAAAACTAGCTACTATAGCTATTATATAATCCCTAATAATTACTATCTATTACTAGAGATTATATACTTACTCTATTCTATATAATCTATCTAGAGCTTTATTTAAGGATTTAGATTTATATTTAGGCTAGAACCTAACTAATTCTCTAACTATCTTAACCTCTAACTAGGGCCTTTAATTAGGCTCTATAATAGAATAGGAAGGAGAATCTTAAGCTTATATAAGAGATTAATATAAAGTATAATTAGGATTAATTAGAGGAACTAGAGAACTAGTATAGAAAATTTTTATATATTTTTAACTACTCTTTTACTACTACTTTCTTTTATATATAATATATATATATCTACCCTACCTTAGGTAAAAAAGAATAAATAGATAAAAACCTCTTTCTATTATATATTATATAAAGCTAGAACCTATTCTAGATAGAGTAAAAGTACTTAATCTTATTATTTTCTCTTTCCCTTTACCTTTACTAAGTTCTTAAAAGGCTAATTAAATCTTTACTATATCTTTATCTTAACTAAAATACTTTAATTAATATACTATAGTATCTAAGTAGTATTATTAAGACTTAATTTTTTATACTAAAACCTAGTAGTAGTTTAGAAGGCTTAATAAGGTCCTTATATACTTCTAGATTATATAATAATAGGAGAATAATAGGATACTATAGCCTATATTTATAAATAACTTAAGTAAAAACCCTTGCCTTTACTTTATTTTTATTACTAATTATAATATATAGAGAGTACTCTTACCTATATCTAACTAGTACTAGTCTTATTATATAAGTACTTTATTAAGCTCTTCTTACTTAAAGAGTTTAGATTATATATAGTATAAGAGATAGATAGCTTATATCTTATTATAGATATTAGAAGGCTATATCCTAGGCTAATCTATCTTCTAGACTTATATAATATACTATAATTAGTAAATAAGATCCTCTAGTATTTTAATATAAAGAAGGGAATATATATAATTATTCTTTAAACTCTTCCTCTAAGCTTACTAGAAGTAGAGATAATAACTAAAAAATAAAAACTATTATCTATATAAGCTCTAGCTATCTAGATCTCCTTTATCTAAGACCCCTCTATTTAAGCTTCTAAGATTAAGTAAGAATTAAAGGTTAAGCTAGAGCCTAAGATTAAGCTAAAATTAATGGTTAAGCTAAAGCCTAAGATTAAGTAAGAGACTAGTCCTATATAAAGTATCTCCTAGAAATATTCCTTCTTTATTATACTAAAAGAGGCTACTACTAAGGCTTCTAATAAGAATATTAATAGTATATATCTAGTTAAGATAGAGCTAGCTTATATAATAATAACCTCTAGCTCTAAAGAGGATATAATTATTAATAAGAATCTTTAGAAGCTATTAGATTTACTATTAGCTTCTAAAGAGGAGGATAGTATAATATATTATATAAGGAGGCACTATATTCTTTAATAAGAGGATATTAATTATTCTATAGAGTTTAGGATCCTAATCCTAGCTAAGTATAAAGATTTAATCTAGGAGATAACTTATATAGAGGGCTTTAATATTTAATTATTAACTATCTATAAGCTTTAATACTTAATTATTAGAAAAATTAGTAGCTTATATAAAGGGCTTTAATACTTAACTATTAACTATCTACAAGCTTTAATACTTAATTATTAGAAAAATTAGTAGCTTATATAAAGGGCTTTAATACTTAAATATTAACTATCTATAAACTTTAAAAATTAATTATTAGAAAAATTAGTAACTTATATAAAGGGCTTTAATACTTAAATATTAACTATCTATAAGCTTTAATACTTAAATATTAGAAAAATTAATAGCTTATATAAAGGGCTTTAATACTTAATTATTAACTATCTATAAGCTTTAATACTTAACTATTAGAGGAATTAATAGCTTATATAAAGGGCTTTAATACTTACTTAAATTACTTTTAAACTTATTTTACTTTATACTTAAAGAGAAAGTAAATAAAGTTCTTTATAGCTATATATATAACTTAGTAAGATAGCTTATCTTTAATATTTTATTACTAATTTTCTATTACTAATTTACCTATAACTAAGTAATAATATAAAGTAGAAGCTCTTTTAGAACTTCTTATCTTTTATTTTACTTTTCTTTTATATCTTCCTTATTATTAATACTACTATTATTATTACTATAGTATATAAGTTTATTCTATCTCTAATATCTTTTTTATCTCTTAAAGCCTCTACTAACTTATTTTTATATAAAATAAGTAATTCTCTATAGGTTTTAAGTATCTTATATAAAGCCTATAGTCTTTATTTAAATATAAATACTATTAATATACCTATTAATTACCCTATAAGCCTAGTAGAGCTAGAGATACTTTTTATTTACTTATATACTAGTACTCTAGTAAATTAGGACTCTATTCTCTCTATCTAGAATTATCTTCTTATAGAGTATATAAAAAATAATATATAAAGATGCTTACTAGACCTTCTAGGTTATAGTATAGCTTTTACCCCTAGTAGGGTTAATACTTATTAGATCTATAGTAAGAGAGACTTATATATTAATACCTTACTTATCTAGTTAAGGGGGATAGTTTATACTTAGCCTTATATATTCTACTAGGAATATATAGGTTAGACTATCTTCCCTAAATATTACTAGGTTCTAGGCTTCTTTAAGGGCTACTATACTAACTATAAATAGCTAGATAAGGTACTCTAGTACTCCCTTTAAGATTAGGCTAGTAGTTATATATAACCTATAATTAGTAGTTAATCTAGGGGGATTTAAGAATACTATCCTAGTCTAATTAACTTAGACCTAGAGGAGGGTAATAGTAAGGAAAATCTAATTAACTTAGATCTAGATAAGGGTAAAGAGGGTAATCTAATTATTCTCTAAGATATATACCTTATTTTATTCTATCTTTACTTTTTAATAAATTAAACTAGCTTAGTAAGTATAATTAGGTATATAGATTTCTCTTTACCTAGTTATACAGGCCCTATATATAATACTTAAGTAAGACTTACACCTCTATATTAGTACTTGAGACAAGTAACTATTTAGTGAAACTAAGTAAGTCATCTTATATATAATTAACTAGTTCTAAATATAGTTTTACTAGCAGAATCCTAGCGCTTATGGTTAAAAAACGTTTTTATCCTTTTGTCCAGATCGTCCCCCGTAGTCGTCGGCGAACAGGGGACTCAGCTCCAAAAGGTTCGCAGCCTGATCGCCAGGCGCATTCGAAAGGTGCCTTGACCGTGTCACCGCCCATTTCGCCCGTTGAACCATTTCTCTGCTTGTTGTTCCTCGGAAATAACAATCGGCGGCCATTTACGGACCACAATATTCGTCAAGACAGCGATGCGGCCATCAACGCGCGACGGGTTTGAGATTGCGATCATCTGCGCGCTTACGATCGAAGCTGATGCTGTCGAGGAGCTTTTCGACGAGACCTACGACAGGCTTAGCCAGCACTACGGTAAACAACCAGGGGACAATAACGCGTACATTAACGGCAAGATCGGACGGCATGATGTCGTGTTATGCTATTTGCCCGGGATGGGCATAGGAAGTGCCGCTGCTGCCGCTGCGAATCTGCGCGTGAGCTACCGGCAAATCAAACTCGCTTTGCTGGTGGGAATTTGCGGAGGCGTTCCATTCCTTCGCGACAAGACCGAAGTTATTCTAGGAGATGTCATTATCAGCAACAGCGTGGTGCAATATGACTTCGGTCGACAGAATCCAGATGGTTTTCGCCCTAAAAGCGATGTGACGGAGATCTTAGGCAGGCCGACCCCTGAAATTCGAGCTTTCCTTGCGGCACTGGGTGGCCGGAGAACACGGAATGAACTCCAAGAGCGGACACACCAACACCTTGCGATCCTCCAGACTAAACCGGGTATGGGCTGGCAGCATCCAGGCATCTCGCAAGACATGCTTTTTGAGCCCACCCTTCGACATAAACACCACGGCGAACGCTCCGACACCCAGTGTGTGTGCCTTGACTGCCATTCTAGCGGGGACCCTGTTTGCGACTCGGCTCTACAAGGAGACTGCTATACCTTGGGATGCACAGACGCTATTATCGCCCGTAATAGACACGCAGTCGGGGTCATTGACCCAACAATTTTCATCGGGAAAGTGGCATCCGCTGATACTGTGATGAAATCAGGCGAACATCGCGACAAGATTGCCGAACAAAACGGAGTCATCGCCTTTGAAATGGAGGGAGCTGGCGTGTGGGATAACTTCCCGTGCATCATAATCAAGGGCATCTGTGATTACGCGGACAGCCACAAGAACAAAATCTGGCAACCATACGCTGCAGGCACGGCTGCCTGTTGCTCAAAAGCATTTTTGGAGTATTGGCTACCATCCTCTACCGGGTGTGAGTACTCCGAAGCCTTAGACGATTGGACGTTAACAACTGACTTCCCCGCTGCCCCGGAAAGCTCATCGTCGTTGTCGGATATGGCCCGCTATCTGAGGGAGTATTACACCACGCCACCACGCCTGATGGTCCAGCGAATATCAGGTGAGCCTCTCCCAATGCACCAATGCTATATCAACCTGGCATTGATTGAGCAAAAGGGATTGGCTAACAGAGATGGTGGTGACAACGCCTCGCCATCTTCGCTGTTCTCGCGCCTGAAAGTGGACACGGTCAAAGAAGGGGATCAGGTGGCATTAGCACATTTGTTCGATTCGCGCACGAGCAATGACGGAACAACCACCTCACCACGGCGCATTCTTATTCAGGGCCGTGCTGGTGTAGGGAAGACAACTTTGTGCAAGAAGATTGTGCATGACTTCTTGTATCAGGGCATGTGGCAGGAACACTTCAACGTTTTACTCTGGATACCACTTCGGAGCTTAAAGGGAATTTCAAGTGAGAATTCGACACTAGATGACATTTTCCATCGCAATTTCTTCTCACACTTGTCACACGGCAGAGAACTTGGCAGTAGGCTGCAGGGAATGGTGTCTAACTCCATCTACAGACCTCGAGTCCTGTTGATCCTTGATGGCTTGGATGAAGTGTCACAAGAGTGGAATTCCGAAACGCCCACATACAATCTACTGCTACGCCTTTTGAACTTTCCGCAGGTCGTTATTACCTCCAGGCCCTATGGAATGACCCTAGCCAAGGGTTTCTTCGATTTGGAGCTTGAAGCAGTCGGGTTTCAAGCAGAGCAGGTCGAGGCATATATCCAGAAGCTCACGAGTCACAACCCTGATAAAGCTGCCAGCATCCTAGCATTTGTCCGTAAGCACGAGGTTATTGAAGGGCTTGTTAGGATTCCAATTCAGCTAGACGCAGTGTGCTATACCTGGGACCGGGGCGTCATGGGGCGCGAAGGGCCCAGGACGATGACATCTCTTTACGAAACGCTTGCACTGAAGCTCTGGCAGAAAGATGCCTTGCGGCTGACAGACTCGACGTTGAATGAAGACACCATCCGGAGCCTTAGCGCCTTGCAGATTCGTGAGCTGGTTCCGCAAGAGATCGATCTGATTGAGCGACTGGCGTTTAGTGGAATGTACAACGGCATCATTGAATTCAGGCCAGATGATCGGCACCGGATATATGAGCTACTCCGACATCAGGGTGTGACGGTTCCCAACATGCCCGAAAAGACCATGCAAAAGATTTCCTTTCTGCACTCGTCGGATCCAGCAGCCATAGAGGGGGAGCGCAGCTATCATTTCTTACACCTCACATTTCAGGAATTCTTCGCCGCCCGGTACTTCGTGCGGTGCTGGAGTCAGCTGGAAGATTTGTTATGTTTGGGACTCAAGCCAGGCCTGCCCGCCATTACTCGAATCACGCCGCGGAACTTTCTTGGCGCAGATAAATATGGCTCCGGGTATGATATTATGTGGCGGTTCGTAGCGGGCCTCTTTTCAAGCTCTTCAGGCTCTGTGGATGTAGCAGAGGCGCTCGACGATTTCTTCAACCAGATCGAGGCTGAGCCCCGGGATATCCTCGGCCCTGTCCACCAACGGCTCTTGATCCATTGCTTGAACGAGGTGATTGCGGACGAAAAGGACGACTGGAATCGAGCAGCCGTGGAAACAACGATCTTTGAATGGACGAGGTGGGCTTGCGCCATTGGGTGTTTGCAATCATTCACGTCGGCAAGAGAGTTTCCAGATCATATACTGATGCGTCTCGTACGGGATGAGAATGTGGATGACACGCGTGAAAGAATTATCCTGGAGCTCCTATGTCGAGGGACCTTAGGCCCGGCAGTTGTGGAATACCTCTGTTCTCAATCAGAGACCGATCCACTGGCGGAGCTTCCATCTTTCGAGGCATTAGGTCCAGCAGCGTTGGCACTGGCAGCCTTTGAGGCCATGCTTCCAGTAGTACAAAGAGACCCGACTGAAACATTATACGTTTGGGCTTTGGCGAGACAACTAAGGCAATACCTTCCGCAGCTTTTTCAGCGTCTCCTTCCGTACCTAGACTCTGAGATTGGTCCTGTGCGCATGACTGTAACAAGGGCGCTACGCCGCTGCCAATGCCTCCCTCCCGGGGGAATCGAGGCTCTGCTTAGCCTCCTTGAACCTACCAGTAACCGTACTTGTGATATTATTAGTATACTTGGCGAGCAGAAGCCGTCATCACCCGCGGTCATCGATGCTCTTCTACTGCTCTTGGAAAGTGATCATTTGCGTGTCAGAACTGAAGCAGCAGAAGTACTGGCTAAACAAAGGCCTTTAACGTTCCGGATAACTGATGCGCTTTTTGCTGCACTAGAAAATGGCCGGATAATTGCATCTGGTTACGTGGTAACTTGCCTCATTTCATATCAGGAACTGGAACCTGCCACCTTGCGTCGTCTCCTGAAGGCGGACGTAACACTAGCTATGAACGCACTTCAAGCCATGATTTATCACCGGCGGTCTTCCCTAGCTTCCGAACTTGACGAAGTGCTGCTCGAGTTTATGGACCACGATGACAAACATGTAGCAATACTTGTCGTTTCAGTGTTGGCTATGCAGGAATCACTGCCAACGGTGGTGGCATCGGCCATTGTGAACCTTCTTAGTGACGATAATGAGAAAAAGGCGTTTTTTGGAGCTATAGCATGGTATCGACAACCTGATCCCTGCCCACCATGCATTGGAACAGATAATATCAACTATCGCGCTGTCGTACCATGCGTGGCCAGGTGTATGGGCAGGCAGTTACCTGTGTCGGAGGGCGATTTTCAACAGCTCCAGCACTTTTTCGAATCGAAAATCGCATCAGCTGCAATAGCTGAGACTTTATGCAAACAATCACCAATCAACTGGGATGCAGTGAGCTGGCTTTTGAAATATGACGTCTCGGAGCAAGCAGTGTGGTATCTCTGGCGTAGCAGGGTACCTGTACCGCCCGAAGCTATTGACAGTGTGTTAACGTCCACTACGTCTCGGTACGACCTAACTGCATTGCTATGCTTAAAATCGACTGACTCCATCAAGCAACTAGAAAGGATTCGCGCATTCCTGGTCGAGTATGACCTATATTTTGATTACGATCTTCTGAAAGAGCTCCAGCAGAAGCCCAACCTTCCGGAGATAATGTTTGAGGACTTGCTTGGGCTACTGCTGGTCCGCAGGGGGGAATATAAGCGACGTCTTGTGGAGCGTCTATTACGGATACATGGCAAGCTGCACCACAACCTTCCCGCCAGGTCATGGTCCATCCTATACGGTGTCTGGCAAGACCGGAGCTGGGAGGAACAATTAAGCTGCTGCCTCATCGACAACTGCCTCGTCCTCGACACTCCCGAGGGAGTAACGAAAATAGTATTTGGAAAGAAGCAACTGCGCGCTTTCAAACATGCTGTTCGGACGGAGCAACTCAGAAGAGGAGTTCCTGCCAATACACTATTTCCGGAAAGTCGAAGGGACGGAGTAAGAGCTCGCTTGACGGGTGCTTTGTTGTAGGGTTGGTTCTGGTGTTATCCGAAGAGCGAGCCTGGGATTTTGTTATTAGTGGTCAATTGCTTCCTCTCTGCTTCCTTTCTGTTGCCTGTTGCCCATGTGAACTTCCTCACGAGGACTTAACTGATCTTGGCGCGACGCGATGAGAAAGAACAAGCAGAGAGAGATGAGAAGGATAGTGAGCGGGCAAAACTACCACCCGAGGCGGATTCGAGACCGAGGTGTGTTGCGGAGGCTGATGGCCAGGGGCTGGATTATGAGGCGGATTCGGCGCCTTTAATGAGGTTGATTCGGTGGCAATTCTGGAGGCGGATAGTACGAGGGTTTTTGGGCCGCCGGTAGAGTTGGATTCGACGGAGGTTAATAAGTAGGTGATTCCTGACGGAGGGTCATATTACATTACGTGTCAAAAGTTTCCCGACACTTAGCGCGTACCTCGGGAACGCGTAAACAGCACCACAACTTCAATCATGGTTCACTCAACCACCATAAGGTCATTCGGAACCGAGATAAGTGGAAATTAAAGGCCTGCTTAAGAGCTTTCACTAGAGGCGCGTTCAGCTATTTTATATGGCTTGGAGGCTGGGGAATCGCTAACTAAACTTGCGCGCAAGTTTAAGGTGAACCGCTCGATAATTTATAACACAAAGAAGCGCTTCTGATAGCATAATACCACAAAATCGCGCCCTAGGAAGGGTCGACCTTAGAAGCTAAATAAAATAACTAAGCGCTAGGTTTATCGCATGATACGCAGGCGCCCGGATATCTCGTGGAAGGCCTTGACAATTAAGACCCCTGGCTAGCCTTCTATCTTAACTATTCAACGAGCTCTGAAGAAATATCATATCCGTAAGTGGCAGAGCAAGAAGAGGATACCTTTATCTAAGGAAGTAGCTAAAAAATGCTATGATTTTACGCGAAGGTGGCTTAGAAATCTAGCCTAGCGCACCTGGATCTTCTTCGACGAATATTCTATTTAGCGCGAAGCGAATAAGCGCTTGAAATTTATCTTTCACTACTAAAAAGAAGGCTTTAGAGAGGATCTAGTGAACCTCCACTATCATGGGAAGCCTATATCGCAAATGGTCTGGGGCGCTATCTGGCATGGTGGTAAATCAAAGTTAGTGGTTATAGAGAGGGATAAGGATAGCCCTTGACAGGGCTATATAGCTAGATCCTATATAAAGACACTAGAGGAAGGGCTAATTGAATACTATAAGCCTGGCACTCCGTTTTAGCAAGATAACGCTCGAATTCATACGGCTATCAATACGCAGGAGTGGTTTGAATTGCATGGGATTTATGTTGTTAAATGGCCTCTACATTCGCCTGATTTAAACCCTATCAAGCATGTATGGAACCTCCTAAAGCAGAAGCTTATTGAACTTCATCCTTGTCTCTATCTAGAGGGTAAGTCTTGAAGCGACTAGAGGCACTTTGAAGAAGCTATCCAAGGATCTTGGTGGGCTATTCCCCAGGCCTCGATTGACAGTCTGATCGATTCAATGCCTCGCAGGATAATGGCAGTTTATCGAGCTCGCGGCTGGTATACAAAGTACTAAATAGCTTTATTTTGCATGTATTTAGAGGTCTTAATTCGTTGTGGTTGTTGAAATATTAAGCGTTGAAGTAAATATATATTTTCGTTGTGGGGCGGGTGTCGGGAGACTTTTGACCTATAAGTTTAGATCATACATAGCTGACTTCATGCACTGCGTTTGGCATATCGGCTTTCCAGAGCAACATCAGTGAAACCTCTGTGAGAGGCAACCTCGGTTGGGACTCGCTTCGACCGGCAGCTGACTTATAGGGCGTCGATATATAGATTGTCGGATGATATTGACAGGAAATCTCATGGTAGGGCTGCCATAATTCAGCCCCCCGCTAATAACGCAGTCGGATGGGGCATGCCTCCTCTTCGTGCTGCGGGAAATACGACAAGTTCAATGCCCAGGACCGGAACCCTCCTTGCAAATGCTTAAGATCGAGTCCAGCCCATCAACAGGTGTCCACCCCAGCCCACCCTCCATCGCAACCGCGAAGCCCTTGACAACAGAGAGGGCCGCCTCAATCCTCCTCGTCCCCTCCTCATCACTCGCATGCACAAGATCCAGATACAACTTCGTCTCAGTGTGCAACCCACACCCAGTACCAACCTCCTCAACGGCTCAAATACGTCTTATCATCCCGATCCTTCGGAACAGGAAAATGCACCCAGGCAATCCTCCTCTCCAACCTTTCCCTGGGAGCATTCGCAAACCCCCCAGCCACACTCAGATCCTCCAGCTCAACATAATGCCTCCGAACCCTATGCTCATAACAAAATTGGAATGCCTACTCCACATCCCCCAGAATCAGGGCCGCAAACCGCGCGATACGAGCCAGCATCCCCTGCAAAACCCCGTCACTATCCGAAAAATGCGGCGGGAAGTCCTCACCCAGACCGACCACACTCATACTCCAACGCCCGTGTCCCGCGCGCGAGATGCAAATGGATCGCTAGATCGCCGGTGGTCATATTCTCAAGAATCCCACGAAAGGCATGTTTCAGCCGCCTAGCGTACAACGGCTCCATCACTGCATGGGACTCCGCACGCATGTGCCCTCCCACGACCGCCCAGGGCAGTAGGAGCGAAACCTGGAGCCGTACGCCCGAAGGAATTACACCCCGTTCTCGATGTCCGCAGAACACTCGATAAGAGTCCACCGCGGCAGTGCCGTAGCCTGTTGGTTTCACATCATCCAGCCGTGCAGACTCCCTAGTGACCCGCGGGACGGTCTATTCCGTTGTTGGCGTTCTTTAGGGTTCCAAGTGGGAAACGCGAACGCTCCCAGACGATGAAGTTGAGTCGGGACCCGTTTCGCTGTCGGAGATTGAGTGGAGGCGATCCGGGAGAATGGAAGTGAGTTTTTGAAAGACTGCCGCAGTTGAAGGCAGTGGGACGCTGCCGACGAGGTGGACGCCGGATACGAAGGGTGATCGGGTGGACATGGTTGTGTGGTGCGCTTCCAATGATGTATTTAGGAACGAGTAGGTAGTTGCGGAGACAGGTTGGTAAAAACGCTCTTTTTAGGGAAGCAGATACGGGTACTTATGGTGTAGGATATTATGGGGATAAAGTGGACGGCTACAGTAAGCTGACTTGCGCACCTTCAAGTGACTCGTACTATCAGCGTCCCCTTTGGCTACCCATACATTCTCAGTAATAAGGATAGCTACAGGGAGGTCGACGTAATCACTTGCCACAGAGTACTTAAGTAATGACTGGCCACTCGCACGTCGACGCCTGGCCAATACTATCCGCCCGTTTCCTTCGAGTGCATTAAGACGTACATCATCGAACCTGTGACATCGTGGGAACACGATGCGAAGGTAGGATAATGGGAGTCATGACGCGCATTTAATTGCTTTACTGTTTATCGTCTCCTTACTTTACCCTTGGGGATAACAATATGGACTTTTACGACCTTTACATAATGTGATTATCCAGGTGTCAGAGCGCGATTCTAATATGATAGCAGGATCTTGATAACCTCTGAGGGGGAACCACAAATACACCACCTCCCACCGCGACGTCTTCAGACGTTACTATTATCGACCTTCGAAACTGCACTAAAAAAGATCAACCGACTTCATTGAGCCTTTAGTGCAGAGGTAGAGCATGTACGCTGGATTCCGGGAAACAACAATGACCAGTATCCCCTATTATAAAGCCTTGGTTTAGCTCAGCCACGAGGAAGCACCATATACACCACATGCGGTCTAAAGAGAGGCCTACCCCTTACATTACTGCGGAAATTATCCTCGTCGCCAGCTCACCATCAGGAACATCGAACATCATGCTGAGTGCGGGGTAGGAAATGCATACTACCGATGGCGAACGACGTTCGACGCCCAACCCTGTACAAAGATCACGGAAGGCTTATTCCGTATACCCGCGGGCTCCCATAGAACATTGATCTCCAGCACTGTTCCCATTTCAGTCACTAACTAACGACCACTATACCGCCTGATCCGAAGAGCTATGGCTGCGCTAAGCTCCCCATCCCTCCTGAAGAACATCCCGGACACTCCGCGGGTGGATCTCCGGGAAACGCTGGTTGAGCGACCCTTCCTCAGGCAAATTAAACTCGCCCGCAATTGTCCAGCGGCCAAATATAGAGAGGAGTCCCTGCAGCTGTTCCTTGGGCAAGAACGAATAGGATTCCGAATGCGAGGGCAGCTCGGTGATCTTGAACGAGTTCAACAGCTCCTCGGAGTCGTGTGTGATGGTGAATTTGACACCTGTATGCGGGAACACGTATTGCGGTTAGCATTCATCCGAACCATGGACGGAGAGATAGGTATATGGACAGTAGATGGACGGGTAGATGGGCAGGTATACGAACCCTTAACCTCCTCGGCAATAGCAACAAACTCCTTCCAGCTCTTCTTATCACCAATGACCGTGCTCCGCTCAGGCCAATCTGGCGCGCCCACCAGGGCAGCAACAAACTTGGCCACGTCAAACGTGTGCGTGAAGACGACAGGCATGTCTCCATTTCCCGGGATCGCTGCGACGTTGTTTGCCACGTCGACGGCGATGTCCAATTTGTGGTTCAGGTAGCTCTTCACCTTGGGGATCCCATAGTAGTCAAGGAAGATTCCGTTTGAGACAAGGGTGTACTCGAGGGTTTTGAATGAGCGCAGCTTTGCGGCTGCGGCGAGTTTGCCCTTGCTCGGTGGGAAGAGCCCTGCATGTCTAGATGGCCGCGGTAATGTTGTTAGCGTGTGCGTGTGAGAGGGATAGTGTGTAGGAGGATGGGGATGCTCACGCTTCGGTGTACCGTATGCCGTACTCGCTCGGGATGAATCGCTTGGTGCTCGAGGAGCGCTCGGCAGCCTCAATGAGGTTCAGCTGCGCGGTGCTGGTGGCGTCGTCCATTATAGATACGGCGGAGACGACGGTGTCGATTTTATTGCTTTCGAGCAGCTTGGTGAGTGCCTCAACATTGGAATAATCTGCGAGGAGGAGTGGAATGCCGAGCGTTTTTGCTTGCTCGTCGTCGGCCTGATATTACATGGTCAGCGAACGAAACCCAGAGAGCAGGGTCGTGGTTGGTGCTAACCTTCCTGGTCAAAATATAGACAGAGTGGTTCGTAGTGTCCCTCAGTGCCTCGACAATGGCGCGTCCCAAGTTGCCGGTTCCGCCTGCGACTGCGATGATGGCCATGGCTGGAAATGGTGGTAGAGTAGTAGAGTAGTAGATTGACTTGGAAGCTTTCTGCTTGATGATCTCTTATAGAGGCGAGGGTGTATGGCGGTATTTATCCTTCCTGGCCCATTGCATCGGAACCAATGGCTTCTGCTGCGACAGGCAAAGATATCCATCTGTCAGCGATGCTTAACAATGACGGTGCCAGACCCAAGACTTGCGATCACACTTCAGGTAGTGTGATTGGCCACACTGTGCAGATCCGGTCTGGTCGTCTCCACATTCGACCAATTTCTGCTGGCGGGAATTTGTCAGTCGGATGCAAATTGCTTCCGCCGCACCATCGCCGCTCATCTAGAGCCGTCGACCTAGTCGTTATCGAAACTCGACGGAATTCTGTCTGCGAACTGGTAGCTGGCTCAGCCGTGCATAGCCGACTTAGACACCTATCAATGTCCAGCTGCCAGTCCAAAACGAATCGCCTGGTCCACCATGCAGTGCTCGGAGGAAGCCGATTCGCCACATACGGAAAGACGCAGTCGAACTAGCAATGTGAGATAGCCTTGCCTGCCAACACACCGTAATCTTGACTAACAGTCTGTCTGTGCCAGGCTTGCGTACAATGCCAGAGAAAGAAGAAGCGCTGTGACGGCGGCATGCCACAATGTACTTCGTGTACAGAGCGCCAACTCGAGTGTACATACCTCGGGGTCAGACGTCGCGGCCGAGGGAAAGCGTTTGTAGTTTAATGTGGAATGGATGGCGTCATTAGCTGACCGTCTTTTAGGAAAGTATATCTGGAGAAGCTCGAGGCCATTGTTGGCGAATTGGAGACTTCTTTCCGCGGGAATTCGACGAGTGATCCAGTGGAATCAGTCAACAATAATAGTTCCAGCGTTGAGACCCATGCGGACGAGGCCCAGTCTTCCTCCAGCTTGCCAGACGCATTACCTCTTTTTGGGCCAGGGGCAAAAAACCCCCCTGAACTACACCCTGGCTCAGTTGACCACGACAAAGCACAGTCGGCGGTGAGAGAAAGGTTAATCACAGCCCTCCACGAGCAAACATCACCAGAAAAGCCCTGGATGGCGCCAAAAAAGGGGCCATTCACCAGTTCCATCTTCATCCAACTCCCTCCAAAGCCCTATCTCCAATTTCTGTTCGAAGTCACCTTTGTCGAGCCCTATCCCATGGTGCCAGTTTTCGATCTTCACGTACTTCTACGCCTCTTGGACCAACACTATTCCGACTCGCCGACTTTCTCCCTTGAGAATTACCCGCAACGCTGGGCGATGCTAAACACAGCAGTCGCCATCGGAATCCAGCTCCAGGCCGCGAAAGGGTCGGAAACCGAGATGATGGCAATGTCATGGCCGTTTTTTAAGAACGCGTTCGGCATGTACGTTCCTATTACTTTAAGAGGTGTGGATATATTGGCCCTCGAAGCGCTTCTCGTCATGGTTGCGTACATGCAGGGATCGAGTGATTTACGAACGACCTCTGTGCTCGTATCTTCGGCCGCACGGTTGGCGTTGACCCTTGGATTGCATCGAGAGACGTATTATTCTGGACTGGATCTTGGCGCAGCGAATTGCGCCAGGCGGGCCTTCTGGACTTGCTTTGTCCTTGACAGGGACATGTCAACCAGGACAGGAATGCATTCGAATTTCGACGAGGAGGCGATTAGCGTTGATAATCTTGATCTCATTCAAGCTGAGCCTGCTGCATCCTCAGCAGAGACTAATGCTATGTCATCGTCTGCAGCGTCGACTCTCTTTCTCCAGTCGAGGGTCAAACTCGCAATTCTCCGATCCACTGTTGACAAACTGCTCTTTTCCAAATATGCCAGTGAACAGAGTGCCCCCCAGCTGTTGAGCATCGTTGCTGAGCTCGAGCATCAGCTGATAAACTGGAAAGCCCACCTCCCATCAACCCTCCGACCTGATCACATCAACCCGCCCACAACAACAATGGGCAGGCAGCCTATACTCCTGATGCACATGGCCTACTATAGCACTCTCTCTGAAATCCATGGCTTTGCAGCGCATCTCGGTTCCAAAGGCGATAATAGTAGTAGCATCATGTGGCAAGTCAGCACCGCGCGGATCGCTCAGGTAGCAGCCGCGGTGGAAATAATCCGCTTACTTCAATTCGTATCGCGCGAAGAACAGCCGGGGCATCTATGGTGCGTATACCTTGCCGATCTGTCGAGGGTGAGCTGTTCTTCTAACGGATTCATTCTTAGGAATCTTCTATTGTACCCTATGGCTGCATGCATCATGCTCGTCTCGATTGTTCTCGAGGGTCCCACGGATACCCAGGCATGTTCGTGCGCGCAGCACATTGACGATATTGTCGCGTTCTTGCGAGGGTTGCAACATGATAGAGTCCTTGATGTGCAAGGCCTACTTGATCTATGCGGCGCATTTGAAACCCTGGTCCGCGAAGCGATTTCGGGCGCGGTGGATAGAACTGCGTCTTCGGGTCCACTCCGCAACGGCATCAACCCAGGCCTTGACGCGCGCAGGCAGGTATGTTGCGAGTCCTGAATTAATTACAATCAAGACAACGAAACAAAGGGAGAGAACCGAAAAGATCATCGTACTAACCACTACAGCAGCACATCTTATCGTATACCCACGGCAGAACGAGCAGTCTGCAGCTCGCGTCCGGGCTCATGGGCAACATACCTGCCCTGTGCTCTATCGCTGCGGGTACATTTTCTGATCTGGTGCCTAAGATCCAGATATCGCCAATTTCGAGCCAGCTTGCGCCATCGTCTCTGAGACCCGAAACATATGGGTTTACGTTTGCGTAATATTGGGTGGACCACCAGTCCCTATCCACCCTGCGCATGAGATGGTGCTTGTCGCGGCCCATGCGTAACGATAAGTCCACGGTTTGTTGTGGCTAAACCGCTCTGGGACATAAAGTACGAGTAGTGTGAACCCCTTGATCCCGGCCAAGGTTTCTCTCAAATCTCGCGCGGTTCATACTGAACGTGACTCCGGAACGCTAATACCTTGATCTGAGGCGATAGCTTGGTATATAAAGTGGGAGCGCGGGCTTGGGCTTGGGATGACAATACAGATGCTTCTCAAAGTTCAATCACACTTGTGACTGCAAAGGTTAGAATCATCGCGATACTCATCGAGTGTTGCTAACCTGGTCACGCATAGTTTCCATCATACCTGCTGCTCCAGTAAACGAAGCCCCAGGCTTTGTCCGTGTCGCGCAGTGGCCGAACCTCAAGGCACTTGCTGAGGGCTACGGCAAGCATTTGATGGCTGAATCTCGCAAGCTCAGTGACGCCCACCTGAACCTGGTTTCACCGACGGAACTCATATTCCACACGACTTCATCGATGACCGACTCTCCAATAGATATCCAGAGTACCAAGGAACGAGGTACCGCCCCATACAAAGCCTTCGAAGTGCGAGCAAACATCTACCTCATTGACTTCAACAAACCCAACTACGAAGAACAGGTCAGTCTCGTAGCGAGCCTTAGCACAGGCCAGGTCCTCGGCGGGATTTCGGGCTTCCACGACATCAAAGAGGGCTGCAAGAGAACGTGGACGTCATTCTCCGACGCATCAATCGATGGATACGCGGATGTTACACCGTTTGCGCCTACCGCACACCTCATCAGCAAACACATTCTATACCGCTACGTGCCCCGCGACGGTACGAGCACGTCTACCCAAATCAGGAGACGTTTACTTGGCACTGCGTAAGCGGGACCGAGAAGGGTCTTGCGGACACCGAGCCGTGCAAGATGCTGAAGCTGGACGAGCAACTGTATTTGTTTTTCTGGAGCGAGGAGATCATGCTGTTGAGTCGATTGCAGTCGTCGATCTGGAGAAGGCGCGACTCGGTTGGAAGTAGCGGAGTCCTCTCCTGCCCGCATCCCGCGCAGTAACGCGAGAGCGAAACGAAGACTCGACAACCGACAGGGGAAATCATTGTGGCACCGTCGCCGTAATCGAGACCGCGGACTCGATTACAAGGAATTCCTAGAACATGCTGTTCCAAGAAAGAAATCCCCATCACGGAGCAGAGACGATTCCATACGTCCACTTCAAAACGACGACTGACAGACTGCTGAGGTGAGGTAGTACGCAAACCCCCTCCATTGGCTTCAACGGAAATACTCTAGTCCTGGGGATAATATGCTATTTGCTTTGAATAAGATAAGAACTCCACTTATCGTTTCTGAGCCATGGCTCCCATCCAGCCTCAAGCCCTCGGGCGTGAGGAGGTTCGTGCTGCGTGGCGCGGCGTGGTATGGCATGGCATGGCATCACGGCTAAAAGGATCCCGGCTAACTCTATCACCATGGGCTACTAGCACGCGAAGCCCACGTGCAAACGCCTGTACTAGCGCTGCATAGTGTAAGGATGACTCATGATGATATAATTCTTCATAACTCTTGGGGCTATACAATTGTATGCGTGGTTCTACATAGCCGCATATACAACGTACACTGCATATACCCCAGGGGCGGGAGTAAATCTATAGAGCCAGAGGTGGTCTGTTGCCTCTGAGGACCAACGCAATTGCTCGTTCTGTTGCAATGCAGAGCGCAACTGGTATAGGGTGCACAGACCCCTTCACAATGTGCAATGCCAAGAAGCTATGAAGGAGTTCTGTGACGCCCAAGGAATGGTTCGCCTCGGCCATGGACGCAGGACTGGTTCCATTCCGATAGGTTGTGTACCCCGAAAAAGGAATATCCCTGTAGCTCAAGCGGGTCCCGAGGAGAGGCCCGAGCTCACTTGCCATGAGGGCGGCTCTCACGGTGCAAGCAGGCACGTTAGAGGAGCCAAGGGCCTGTTTCGAGTCGACCCTGCTGGGTCTAGCATCAGCTCCCCTCGGAGTTTGCATTGGGCGGTCGATGGTACCCCTCCTCCATCTTTTCAGTTTGAAAAGGAGGGCGATGCAGCATCCGAACTTTCTGCAGGGATGATGCAGGGTAGGCGTTGACCCCGACCATCACGCGCAGCTAGTCGCAAACATATTACGCTCCGACACTGGTAAACATGCATGACGGAGCGAGATAAGCAGTGAATCACATGCAGGCTGTGTGATAACTGTCGGAGCACTCGTCCTGGTCCTCGCCGAACTCGAGCAAGGGCGGGCTCGCATCAATGGCGGAGGGCTCGTTCACAGCGGCCGTGGCAAACGATGACCCTTCATCAGTCAGATCCCCCTCCCCAAATGCCAGTTCAGTAGCCTCAGTAGGGCCCTTTATCCCATTCCGCTCTCGCCATCGCTCGAACCACTCCGTGTAACCATCCTGCATCGAGGGCCGCTCCCCGACCAAATCCGCCTCGATAACAAGAACCATCTTTCTTACCCCGCCAACCTCAACTTGATGCTGCGTAATCGTCCCGTACCTCGTCGCGCCTCGAAAGGGATGGAGTTGCAGCTGGTGGCTGCTACCGGGTTTGAGGAGGGGTTCGGTGATGCCACTTAACGTCTGGGCGGCAGTGGCAGCGGCAGCCTCGACGTCCAACTCCGCCATCTGGTGGATCTGGCCAAAGTCATCATTTTCTGCATCGTCATATTCCTGCCAGGCCAGCTGTTTCCGTCGGAGGAACCATACCGGTTTATCGCACAGCTGTCGAGAGGAGGGGTCTTAGCGGGGTGGCTTGGTCGACTGATTGCGGGGGAGGGATGAGAAGCGTACCTGGAATGCCAGTCCCAGTGCAAAGGTGAGAAAGACAATTGCACCGAGAATTAGGATGATGACTTCGTCCGAGGTCTTTGTCCCGTCTAGGTCGGGGAGGTGGTGGTGACCGTGTCCATGGACGAGATCTGTGGAGTTGGAATGGGCTGGAGTTTCCATGGTGGATTTGGAGGCAGCGAGGGCCAGGACGATGTCAACATGGCCACAGAGTATGAGCGATAATAAACGATGGTTTTCTTGTCTCATCGGCGGTCATGCTTCACACAACGATGAATAACAGACGCCATCCAGACTAGACTTTTGAAAGAGAGAAAAAAGAACCACCGAGTCATCGGGATAATCTCAACGCAACAATTTATTTTTTTCTCGCCGGCTTTTTTTTCCGTCGACTAGTCCTGCAGGTCATGCCTTAGCAGACACACAGATTCGGCCAATGTATACCATGACTTACTAGGGCCCAACCCGGAATAGCCCGAGCGACGGCGGCCCCGCGGAGAATGACAGCCAAGCACGGAGCCACGTGCTTGAATTGAGCCATCTGTTTCGCTAGTTGCGAAGTGTCGTCTATGAAGATGCCAGATTGTCCACTTTTCTCGCAATTATCCTCGGAAGTCCACCCGTTTCCAACAAAGGACGTTTTCCGGCGCAGGCAGGCCGATCCCGCTCAGACGATACACTGGAGAAGGGTTCCACCTCGCTTGGCCGTCGTGTGCTCCATCTTATCCGAACTGCGAAGCTTAGTGAGTCTGGGCGATTGATTGTTCCTGACTCGGCTCAAGCTGTCCGGACAGATCAGCTCCGGCCAGACCAGTCCAGCCTAGCGCGCGCGCTGGGGTCAGACTCGCGTCTGGCTAGGAATGACTTGCCATCTCGGCCGCCAGAGTGGGGACCAGTTCGAGTCAGTTGTTGGCTGTCAATGCCTGCGCCAGGCCAGCTTGGGCAGTTGGTCCAGTGACCAGCACGAGCCCAGAGAGGGGGCGGATGCCATCCGGGATTTTTACCGACAGGAGGCGGCAGTCGTGAGGGCAGGACTCGATGCGAGGCTAAGACGACGAGGCGTGCGTTAAAAAGACGCCAACGTCCTCAGGAGGAAGCGACCAAATCTCACTTTTCTCTCTTCTGACCATACCTGCTGCTGCATCTCGCGACCGCAAGCCATGGAAAACACACTCCCTTTCCTGTATGCCGCCGCGACGGGCGATGCCGCGGCCCTTGAGCGCGAGTACGCAACGAACCACAGCGTTCTCTCTGCACGCAACCCGGAAGGGCGAACCGCCCTCCATCTCGCCGCGCTCCACGGCCACCCGCAAATCCTCCGCCTGCTGCTCGGCTACGGCATGTGCGCCGCCATCACCGACACCCACGGCCAGTCAGCCCTGCACCTCGCAGCGCAGGGCTCATCCACAGAGGCCGTCGAGATCCTCCTCAAGGACGGCTCAGGCTGCTCAACCCGCGACAACGATGGCAAGACTGCCCTCGCATACGCATACCAGAACCCGTGCAGCGACATCCTCACCCTGTTCATGGACTACGCCCCGAACTGCGGCGTAGGCTGTTCGCTGACTCCAGCCATTGTCCTCGGGTCTCGCCGTGGATCGAATACCCAGACGAACGATGCCGCCGCTGTCCCCTGTGCACGCCCGGCGCCGGGGCCTCCCAAAAGCTCCGGCTGCGGCGGCGCCGTCAAATGCAAATAACTCAGTCAGGATCAGGGTCAGCGCACCCACGAACCTTGCCACTCGGTGTCTCAGCGATGCGCTGAAGGCTCACGACACTCTGAGTCGGATCGCGCTCGCGATTCGTTCACGCTATCCAGCGCCACCACCGCGCCGTCTCGAGAATCTCGACCACAAGACCAATCTCAGCAGCCAATCCGCGATAACCCTCAAGCACGTGCTTCAGTCCAGAGCGCTTACGATCCTGCCGACTCGAGCTCGACAGCGAAAACACCTCACCCTGACGCAACAACAACAACAACGAGAAACAGCCATTCAGAGGAGATCAGCCCTCGTCCAGTAGCGCAATCGCATGGCGGCCCGGGGCGCCTGTCGACCGCACTTGGCTCCCTCGCTGCCATCTTTAACAGGCAGGCGCGCTCGCGCGGACGCCCATGTTAGCCCAGGCTCCGACTGCGCCCCATGCCCACTAGTAGTTTGGTAGTCCTGGTAGCCTCTCAGCCCTAGGATCGGGATAGGGCAGCGCCTAGGCCGCCTTGTTCCAAATCCTGCTCCCGCCGTCGCGTCAGCCGTTCGCGGTGGCTCTCCACCTTTGAGCCGGTCGCCCAATCCGGCCATACTGCCTGGTACTACTCTACCTAGTACAGTCGCCACGTCTGGATGTGTAATGAGAGTACGCTAGCATGGTGATAGAGGCGAATTGAGCCGAAACTCGCGTGAAGCTGATCATTCGTCCCTCATATCATGATTACTGTTGGAAACGTGACAAATCACCGGTTGCTCGTTTATTTAGTATGTATTTACCAGTATCTAGTATGTGCCGCAATGCCAGAAACAGAATTGTCCCCTGGAGTATATATCCACCACCTTTCACGCTACTGGGAGAGGTACCAGTAGTAGGTTACCTAGATACACTCGGACATCCCGTCAGTAGTCTGTCGCGTGGACTCAGAGCAAAACTCAGAAAAACTGGTCAGCTTAGGTGGGCTGTCTCCGAGCCCTCAACAGTCGTCCACTTCCATCAGCCAATCGAGTCTCAACCAATACCTCGGTGATTATCCACCCTCTAAGTGGTATTTCTTGCCCTACCTCCGCAGTGCCGAGTCCATGGTGTTCTCGGCCGACTCCGTTTGTTTTCACTCGTTGGTTCCAGTTGGGGTCCCACATGTCTCAAAAGTTAGCTCATGGATCCATCCCTGACTCGGATTCGTGACTCGGCCCGATGCCCATGAGTCGCCGGCCAAGGCCAGACTCGATTCGCTTCTTCTCTTGTTTGGGGAATCTGACTACGTGCTAGGGGGAAAGAAGAGTATGGATACAGCGCGCGTTGAACTGTGTAAGCGCGATGGAAGTCTACTAAACGATATAGCGACCAGGAAAAGAACCACCTTGTTTCGGATCGAAGTGGGTAGTACCGAGAGGAGAGACACTTGGCCTTTCTACTACGAATGGGCCCCTGGGGGCTTTGTACGAAGACAATCCCTGTGAGATTGCTACGATAGGTATTAAAGTCTATCGTCGAATTACCCGCTCTCCAATGAATTCGTGGCTGGAAAAATCAGCCACAGTGGTAGATAAGATATTACTAATCCTTGAGGGTTACCTAACTAACTTACTACTACTTTTAGATAGGGCTGCAGTGATTCCATGGTAGAGCTGCAGTGTACCCATGGGAACAGCAAAGTCATTCGAGCCAGAAGGGGAATAATTTTATAGGTACATAGTCGGGTGATTCCACCATCCATGTGGATGTTCCAAGCTCCCGCTCGGTTGCTTGGTTGTGCGCGTCATCTGAAGATATATAACCAATGAACATTATTATCAAGTGGTGGCACGACGATGAGACCCGGACTCGGGGTCCTTCAATAGGCTATACACGGCTAAAGTAGCCGATGCAATATATATCATATAAATACAAAACCCGATCCATGGATCTCCAATGAGGATGGATACCAGGCAGGTTGCACCATCTCCAAACCCCCTCGGTTTACCCCGCAGCACTAGCCACAATCGAAACATCAAAAGCATCAGCTGAACAAGCTGACATCCATTTCATCTTTGCTCTTTACCTCTGCTCGCCAACTCTCATTCCCAAGCCTCTCAAAATGTCCACCCTACCCGACCCAGCAACCTACCCCTACACCCTCGGCCCCTTCACCCGAAAGATAACAACCTCCTCCGCAGCAGCTCAAACCTGGTTCTCCCGCGGGCTAACCTGGGTTTACACATTCAACCACGCCGAAGCAGCAACATGTTTTGAAAATGCCATCGCGCACGATCCCTCCTGCGCAATCGCGCACTGGGGTCTCGCCTACGCGCTCGGTCCGAACTATAATTACGCCTGGGAGTTTTTCGGCGAGAACCTCGCTGATGCGTTAAGTAGAACGCATGAGGCGGCAAGGCGCGCGAGGGAGCTCGCGGAAACCGAGGGGGGTGTAACGGCTGTTGAGAAGGCGTTGATTGAAGCGATTCAGGCGCGCTTCCCGAGTGGGGAGTTTGTGGTTTCTGAGAACATGGAGGTGTACAAGGCGCGCAATCGCGCGTACGCAGATGCAATGGAAAAAGTGTACGAAACCTTTGGCGAAACCGACCTCGACGTCGCCGCGCTATACGCAGACTCGATCATGAGCCTGACCCCGTGGAAACTCTGGGATCTAAAGACCGGCCTCCCGAACCCCGGCACCCGAACCCTCGATGCAAAGCGCGTGCTCGAAACGGCGCTCACACACAACGACGCCAAGGGCCACCCAGGGATCCTCCACTACTACATCCACCTGATCGAAATGTCCCCAACGCCCGAACTCGGCCTCATCCCCGCCGACCACCTCCGCGAACTGGTCCCGGACTCGGGCCACGCAAACCACATGCCGTCGCACCTGGACGTGCTCGTCGGCGACTACCGGGCCGCAATCCGCGCGAACCAGCGCGCGACGGCCGCCGACGAGAAATACCTCCAGCGCGCGGGCGCCATGAACTTTTACTCGAATTACCGCATGCACAATTACCACACGCTCATCTACGCGGCCATGTTTGCGGGGCAGAAGAATGTTGCGCTGGAGACTGTTGACCGCATGGAAGCTACGCTCCCCAAGGAGCTGTTGCTTGCCATGGCGGATTTCGTCGAGGTCTTTTTTTCTGTGCGTCCGCATGTTATGGTGCGCTTTGGGATGTGGGCCGAGCTCAAGGCGCTGGCTGTCCCTGCGGATGAGAGGTTGTATTGCGTGACTACGGCTGCAACGTATTACGCCAAGGGGATCGCGTATGCTGCTACGGGAGAGATTGTTGAAGCGGAGCGCCATCGGGAGCTGTATGCTGAAGCTGTGAAGAACGTTCCGGAAACACGTCTTGACTTTCCGAATCGATGCATCGATATCCTTGGTGTCGGCGCCGCAATGCTTGACGGGGAGATTGCATACAGGAAGGGCAAATACAGCACTGCCTTTGAGTCTCTCCGTCGAGCAGTCGACCTCGACGACGGCCTAGGCTACAGCGAGCCCTGGAGCTGGATGCAGCCTGCGCGACATGCGTATGCGGCGCTGTTGCTTGAGCAGGGACATGTTGAGGAGGCGGCCGCTGTGTATAAGAGTGACTTGGGTCTTGATTCCTCTGTGATTCGTGCGAGACGGCATTTAAATAACGTCTGGGCGTTGCATGGGTATCATGAATGCTTGATTCGGCTCGGCAAGGTCGATGAAGCGGCGGTTATTGAGCCGCAGTTGACGCTTGCACTGGCTGTTGCGGATGTTCCGGTTACGTCGTCGTGTTTCTGTCGGACGGACGTTCAAGCAGGGGAGACGGGGTGCTGTTAGATTGTTGGTTTCCTGCGCGAGCAGTGTGCGGCTGGGAGAAGAAATCCATAGTCTCATTACTCTAATCGTCAGGGTATATCTCATTAGAACATATCAAACACGATGCAGCATGAATCCCTTGCTCTGATCCAGGACATCCAACTTGACCGCCAACCCCTGCGCAGTCTGGTCCATATTGCTCGCTTTCGCATACCGATCGTGCTCCTCATACCGCGGCACATTCTCCAAACCGTGGAAGAGTAAAGCAAGGACCGACGACTTCCACAGTCGAAGCCGCTGGTGCCGATTAATCGCCATCGTCAAGAGCCAGAAGACTGTCCCCAGTGCAACGAGGGCAGCGGGGAGGATCAGCCACCACCACTCGACATTGACATACACTTCGGCGGTTCGGACGGTTCCCGCGACTGTAGCTCGGCTGGCCATGAGTCCTGCTTTCGTGAATGAGGCGGCGATGTTGGTCATCACGTATTCGAGTCCGACCGCGCTGATCCGTTCGACTAGGGGCACTCGCGGGCGGAGGTTTGTATTGCCCAACGCGCCCGTGTTGAACTTGTCCTCGTTGTCGATCCATTGACCAGAGGAGCCGGATGTCCGGTTGTAGCTCCGGATCTCGCCTTCAAAGTATTCGAATAGTCGGTAGTCTCCAGATCCCGTAGGGCAGAATGCGAATTCGTTCGGGTCTGCGAAGCTGGTGTCGGTCAGCTGGGTCACGTCCACCGGTGACGAGTCATTCCCCGGTCTCCAGCAGCTGGTCCCCGTGTTTTTCGGATTCTCGAAGAATTTCCCGTATATAGGCTCGGACACGTTTATTGAGGGGACGCCACCGGTCACGGCAATGTTGTATGTTCGGGTACAGAGAGACATGGCGCATTGCGTGACGCTTTTTAGTTGCAGGGCGGTTGCTGGGTCAAAGGCCGGCGTATCCGCCTCGTTCGTGTCCTGGACAAGTCCCAGCTGCGCATATGCGACAGCAACAAGGGGGTTCTCGAGACCAGAGTAGACACTGTTGCTGTTGAATGAGACCTGGTAATCTACGACCCACACCGCATGGGCAGGGAAATCCAGCGTCCACTGCACAGAGTTGACGCCAAGGTTGACCTCGACAGTCTGATTAGCGCCCATATAGTTGCCCTCTGGGAGCATAATCTTGCACTCGACCGGGTCGGGTGTTCCGGTCGATGTGGTGTCGAGAGTGCCGTCACAGTCCCCGAGTACAGCGACTGCAGTCACGTCTTCGCATCGAGTGCACATGCCCACGGACTCGAACGCAGGCCATGTACAGTTCCCCGAGGGACAGGTCGGCTCAACCTCAAAATCGCTCCCCCACATGCCTGTGTAGATGATTGTCGGCACGCCCTCTTGCAATGTCTCCGGGAGAAGCGCGAATGCTTGCGGTGCCGACGCAGTCGCTCCATCAACCGTGTCGACCTCTCGCAGCGGATACTTGATGATCTGCTGCATGAACGGGTCGAACAGCAACGTGACGACAACAAGAAGCGCACCAAAGGAAACAAACGACGCACCGCGATGCCGCAGGATAAGCAACAACGACCCAAGCGGTCCACGGCTCGCCCCGTCAAAATACTGCATCTGGTCAAGCCGCTGGTGTCGGTTCTTCTCGGCCTTGGAAAACCACACCCACTTCAGCTGCCCCATGCATTCTCCAATCACGTAGATCAGTGACGATTTGGAAGCCGTCCCGAGGAGAGAAATAATCGCGTTGAGGGTGATGCCGTACGCGAAACTCGGCTGTGCTTCCTGGTCGTAGATTATGAGGGTCGCGGCGACGCCGCCCATGCAGGCGAGACTGAAGAGGATCGAGAGGAACTCGTAGAGCCAGGTATCGACGAGACGAGCGAACCAACCGGGTCGCTGGAGTGGTTTCTCGAGCTCTGATGGAGGCGGACTGCCAGACCGCCGAACGGGCTCGTATGAAAGGCTGGGGGAGGGGTGATGGCCGCCGTAGTAGGCTGTGTCCACGCGGTGGGACATTTTGGCGATGGGCGACGGGCCTGGGACGGGACATTCCCGAGTCAAGCAGGAACAAGGGCGGCGCCTTTCATTTTAAAGGCCGGCAGCACAAGGCTGAGTTTTCGACGCGGTGCAACGAGTCATTTCGAGCTCCTGCAGGATCCAGGGCTGTGTCGCGGCGGAAGACGCAGATTCGGGCCATGATGCGAGGGTTTTGGCGCAGCAGTCTTGAGAGAACTGACTCGGCTGGGCTTGGCTGCAGGGGTCCAGCCGCCGGCTGTTTAGGCTCTGTCTCTACCTGCCAATCACTGGTATTCATCCTGTTGAAATCTCCACTTTACCCCAATTCCGCCTGTTCGCGTTTAGGCTTTGTTGCTCACAAAAAGGTGCTTACACGAGTGAGGGGCAGGCAGTATGGCATGGGAGGAGTCTAACCCAGCTCAGTCATGCATTCCATGGCAAGCTATCTATACGCCGAATCTATTCAGCAGGCCGCTTTCAAGCACACAATCGCTGTGCTCGCTCTTTTTCTTCAGCCTCTGGCGCAGATTTAGCGCGGGACCGAGACCCCCTTTGGGCCTTTTCCCAGGGTCAAGACGATCCGATATGGTATGGAGACGCTTGGCAACTTGGGGGCCAAAAAAAGATTCGGGCACGTCCATCAAGGCACCTCGTCAACCTGGTCCTTGACTCCCCGGTCACCAGGCGCAGTCCAGGAACCACACAGCCACCGTTGGGGCATCAGCACCTAAATTCAGTGCAACCGAGGGCTTTAATTTCACCTGCATGGGTCTCTTATTTCATGATTCATGACCCGGCCGCCAGCCGATGCGATCGGCACCGAAATCGAGGTCCCCGCGTTAATTTCATGAATCTGCAAACACCCAGCACTGCCCTAACAAGCTAACAACCCTGCCACAGCACAGCCAGCTTCGCACATTCCTCCATCCACTCTCTTTGGAATCCTGCGGCCCTCTATAAATGCTCTGGGTGATTATCAGATTGACATCGTAATTGCTTCTCTTTTGCGGTCCAAATTCAGACGCAATATATATTATAGTAGCGGGGTGGAATGTGCGCGGAGTATTCTCAAAAATGTACAAGGTGGTCCTCGTTTCAAACAATTATTTCCGTACGCGATCTATAGCCTTTCGCGACGTGTTCTTCATGTGATTAGAGCTAGACATATAAGAATCTCGTCGTGGCATTTTCCAACGAGGATCTTCACCGTACTCGGGAGGAGTGCACGGGCAGGGCAGCCAAGAGGGATGTAAGTAAGCTGTAACCCCAAGTCTACGCCCCCAATAAAGTATCGCTCGTGGTTAAAGCAGGGTATAATAAAGATCATTGGCTCCAAGAACACAGTACCCAGGAGACTAGCTAAGCAAAAATGTATCTCTGCGTCTTCTCAAGGGTAGTCATACTGTAAGAAAAGAATGCCATCCTGAGTCGCCACGACGGGCCAGAATAAGCTGTGGTGATGGTTGTGAGGCCAAAAAAAAAAAAAAAAAAAAAAAAAGCCACAATACTCTTAATCAGGGTTCTATCAAGAAGAGTTGGGCTACATTCATTTGATTGAACCGTTTATATTCAGCCAATATCCTGTTCTTGATCTATCATTGCATAAACCCAGGGGTCACAACAGAGCACCCCCACCCTGCACGCTCGCCCTCAGCAAACATCATCTATTTGTGAAACTGAAAGCCCTATTAGCCACATTACCCGATAAAATTATGGGACAAGAACCACCTACCGAAGGCTTCATCGGCGCCTCAACATGTGCCGACATCTTATAGTGCACATGATCGGCAAGAGTCAACTTCGTACTATACCCCTTTCCATCCTGGACTGGGTACAGAAAGTTCATCGGGAAGAGGGGATCGAAGGGCGCAGCCTCCTGGATTGACTTGATCTCCTCTTCAGAGAGTCTGATCGTCGCTGCACTGGCCAGCGCTTGGAGGTGTTCTGTTGTCTGTACGCCTGCGATGGGGATGACGTAGGTTGTTTGGTGGTAGAGGTACGCGAGGGCCTGCAACACAGATCAGGACAGGACTTGCAGGAAGTGACAGAAGCTGGAGGAGTTGAGACTCACAATCGCCTGCACATTCGTCCCCTTGCTCACAGCGATCGTTTCAAGGGCATCCGAGATGGCGATTTCTCGCGGCCCGACGTTGTAGTAACTCTTCTGACCAGCCAAGCTTTCTTCTCGCTGGCGACGCTGCTCAGCGGACAGTAGCAGTCCCCCACCGAGAGCGGCCCAGGGAACAACAGCCATTCCCTGGTCCTCACACATGGGGATGATCTCGGCTTCCATGTCGCGGAAGGCCGCGTTCCAGCGGCCTTGGTAGATTGAGAACGGGGTTAGGCCGTTCTTTCGGGCGACTGAACCAAATGATCCATTAATAAAGGGCAGAGCTGTAGCAATAGGTGTGTGCTTACATTCATTGGCCTTGACGACGACCCAGGCTGGTGTATCCGAGACACCGAGATATAGCACCTGTTTCGACATGACGTACGAATGGAGATGGAGCATGACCTCTTCGACCGACGTCGCAAAATCCCACCTGCACCCGTCAGCGAATCTCATTGCACCCCACACAATCAATCAAAGGCCATACCAATGCACATAGAGGATATCAATATAATCCGTCCTCAACTTCCTGAGACTATCCCGCACAGAAACATGCAAGCTCTTCGCCGAGTTGCCCGTGAAATTCGCCTGCATGGGCTCATTCTCGCGATTATAGCCGCGATACCCGGCCGAATACTTGGTCGCCAGCACAATCTGGTCCCGCACCCCGCGGCTCTCCATCCACTCCCCGATATGCTTTTCTGAACTCTCGTTGTTGTATGTGTTTGCCGTGTCGATGAAGTTCCCGCCCAGCGCAAAGAACTCGTCTAGCAGCTTGAAGGGGTCTTCGCTGTTTCCGAAGAGCTCGCTCCATTCGTTGCCGAGGCTGATTCCGCCGAGGCAGATCGGCGAGACTTTTACGGAGGCTGTGGGGGAGAGGACGCGGTGGTAGCCCAGCGGGGTTGTGGGCTTGGGGGGTGGTTGGAAGAGGGACATTTTGGTGGTTTGTGGATGTCTTTTGGGTTCTGAGATTGAGGTGCGGTGTGGTGAGGCTCAGGTCCGATGCCAGCTATATATCCCTCCATGGGCGTCTCTCAATACCACGTCAGAGGCGCCTTGAAAAGGAAGGTTGCTTGTATACAAGTGGATTCTCGAATAAGCAGGCCCACACTGTCGAGTGTTGGGTATAGTCTGTGATTGGCTGGACCTGAAGCGGAGCTAGCCTCGACTGGATTTAGCATATCTCATGTGGGGATAAAGATAAGCGGCCTGCATGTGGTCTGTGCTTGAACCACGGTTCATAGTAGTAAGTACGCGAGCGGCTTATTTCGATTACAATATGATACTTGAATTTTGGTCTTGTGTGGACCTTTGAGAATCCTGGTTAGCTACCTTTGCACTGAAATCACATGGTATATGAGACTGGCCCAGCCACTCGCTAGATGTAAAGATCAGGTCTGATGACTTCAAGTCCGAAAGTCTGGATGTGCCAAGTACCTACTCAGTACCGGGATTCGACTTTCAGGGTAGGCGAGGAGTACCCAATGAGACAGCAATGGTTGTTAGAAAGGGAGGTTTGATGTGATTAAATATCTCCCATTCGAAATCGGTTGAGTTTGGATACTGCTGGCGAACCAGGCTAGCTGTAATCTGACCCTTCACAACCGGATACTACGAGGCAGCGATAAAGCCTTGGAAGACCGAGTAGTAGTGAAACGATCATGCAAGTCTATAACGCACATCTGAATAAGCACAAGCATCATCATAATAGACATGAAAGGAAATATGCAGACGGTGGTAAATTCGCAAGAATATATGAGAAAAGAAAATATATCTGGGGTGACACGCCAGTCATGCAACATCAGCCCTTTCCAAAATAAATCTGAGTAGTTTTTCAGATCCTGGTAACCAGCCAAGAGTCTCTGTAAATCTCCATATGAGGGCTATGGCAGACAGCGAGTCCAAAAACTGCTTGGTAGGATTGCTATGGCTGGATTGTCGCTTAGCCCTAATAACCTCCTCGTGGGCAGCGGAGCTGATTATTAAACTGGTCAGGCGGGCTCCGGCGACCTGTGAAAGAGCTGTTATGAGCTTTCCGCGAAGGCCGCGAATAATGCTATACGGAATGTGACTCACATGGTGGATTCCCGGGGTTCTGGTTTGATGCCAGGAGCGGCAAGGCTTTCTACGTCTGCGAGCACAGCAGCCCGGTAGACGTCTCGCGCCCAGTCAGTGAGGTATTCGACGATAAGAAGCAGTTGCAGCGCGCTGTCTAGGTTTGTGATGCTGCCCGTCCACACTCGAACGACGTGCTGTGGGAGGTTAGTAAACATGTCAGAGAGATGGAGGGTCAAGCATTTGTGCACGCACCGTGGCATCCGCGTGTAGGGACCCACCACAAGTCGTGGTATTATATGCCAAATACACCCTCCAGTCCTCGCCTCGACTCATGATAAACCAGACCAGAGGGGTAGAAGTCAGTCGGGTTGGCTGCGGAACTGCAGCTTTCAGGTTCTGCTGTAAGCTGAGAAAGGTGTAAATGGGGAATGCAGTCTGCAGACAGATGGACTGCCAGTCGTCGCTGGCCTTGCTCCCTTTGGCTTCGACGACGAGAAATGGAAACAGCAGCGGCTTGCCAATGGGCGAATGCGCCGTACTTGCGAAGAGACTCTGCATGTGAGGGTTACCCAGGAAAGCCTGTGTGAGGTCTGGCGTTTGCCGGAGTCCATAAACACGATCTGGACGCGATTTCCGGGGGAGCCGCTCTGCCACCGAGGGGGCATGAATGACTTGCTCGGATGCTCGGCCTATAAATATGCGCTGAGGGCCGGCTCTCCTATTTCTAGTCATGGTGTTATTTCCGTGGTTGATATTCCCGCATGACAGGCTACTTACGCGTCAATCGCCCGTGTGAATGGAGGACAAGAGCACCGATCACCCTCTCCTTGAAGGCGCTGAAGCCTCTCATCCATGAAGGCTGTACTGGCCAAAATCTCTTCAATCTCAGGCCGCTGTACGCTTTGTCGACAGCCCACACTATCAGGTCGGTGAGCGACTGGGTCCCTTTAACTCCTAAGTGGGCTAGCTCACCAGGTGGCATCAGACCTCAGCCGTTGAAGCGCAAGAGGCTCACAATCAAGCCTCCACGTTTCCTCAATCCTAGCCACGCAGTCTCGGGCGGCTTCCACAAGGTTGTAGGTTCGCGCCTTGAGTTCTGCATGCCTAAGAGCAGCACCCAGGGGACTTTGGCCATTTCCCGTGTTTCGATATGACATGAACGTGATACGCTTGATATCGTCAATAGCGTTGAAGACGGGGCCAAGCTCAACCGGGCGTATATTAGGCGGGAGCTCATCAATAAAGACGATGTTATACTCCTTGCAGAGTCTGTCCAAGTCAAGGCGCTGTGGTAATGTGAGGCCCATCTTGTTCGGCTGCCCGAGTGTGAGCTGCTATGCCCAAAGGCTTTCGAGGGACGAGGGCGTATTTATAGGCAAAACCTCCTGCGCCGCAGATGCGTTTCTGTTGGATGTGCCGGCGACTAATTGGTCGCTGACGAGGCTATATGTGATGATACTATAAGCTCGAGTGAAAATACTCGAACACAACCATACACTGCACAGCTCGAACGGACACAGCAAAAAACATACCAGAGACCTCTGAATCAAGCCCAAAGGTCGATTGACCTCTGTTTCCCGATCGAGACGTGTTACTATAAATAGCTCATGTACAGGGGCTCGACCAATGAGTGCCTCAACGCAGCTGCGCTAGGCCTTGTAGATTCAATCCTGGCCAATCATTTGCCCTAGTTGTGGTGATGCCGAAACAGCTTTTGCCCGGTTGGTCGATGTCTATGTTGATGCTTCGAGCGCAATTTGTTCGAATTCTTGCTACAACGGTCGCACCTTCTACGGGTATCAGTTGTCTTTCGATCGCGGTGTCTCGCATGCTTGATTGCATGTTTTGCTGTCGACGCAAGGCTGAACTGATATCGCGGGGCAGACTTGAGTGTGCAACATAAACTCGGCGTCGACCGCGGTGCTGGATGGGCATCATCATCGACGCTTCTAGACTGACTGCAGTCTGCACCCTGAATTGGAAGTTAGTTATCTCTACTTGTCGATGACTTTTATTCGCAAGTACTCGGCCCGGCGCAGTGGCCCAACGCTGAGTCTTTGGTACAGATGTGCTGTCCAATCAACTGTCAGAATATGCTGATTAATCACATTTCATCAAGGCTTTCTTCCAAGACACCATAGCAAATCAGCCTTAGTTCAGATCAAGACTAGCAGGCTGCAGCGGGGTATGGGATAAGCACCTGGCATAGGCAGCAGCCACTAGGCCTCCGTGAAAACGAATATTCAGCCTTTCAGGGCTGTCTGCATCGCTTTACTGCATCCACGGTTGTACTACGCGGGGCTCCTTTCATCCAGTGGTTCAAGGCCAAGGTAATCTTATCGACCCACCAACAACCGGTTGGCTACGATGACGCCATACCTTGCTGGACGTTATAAGCCGGTGGTTAGTTCAATTATCAACCTTAACGAACAGACTGCCTCTGGATCACCTCAAAAGCTGTCACAATGACCGACTTGAATTTCCATACCGAGGCGATGACGGTCGTCAAGCGATGGGGCGATCGCATTCATGGAAAGACAGGTAGGCAGTCTCTCCAACTCACTCGCTCCGTAGTCCAAATTCTGGAGTTGTCTAAGAAACGCAGTGGTCATCACTGGAACAAGTGAAGGCGGCCTCGGAGCGACAACAGCACTCGCACTTGCACACGCCCAACCCTCGAAAATATTCCTCCTCGCGCGCAACGAACGCAAGGTCAGCAATGTCATCAAGGAGATCAAAGAAATCAGCCCATCAACGCAGGTCCCTTTCGTCAGCATCGAGCTCGACGACTTTGACTCCGTGCGAAAAGCCGCAGCGACTATACTCGCTCTGACGGACACGATAGATGTGCTCATCAACAACGCCGGCGTAATGGCCATTCCCTGGGAAAAGAACAAGGATGGAATCGAAAAGACCCTGGCCATCAACCATCTCGGCCATTTCCTTCTCACCAAGCGGCTCTTCCCTGCCATTATAGCGGCCGGGCCGGGATCTCGTGTTGTCAATCTGACCAGTGCTGGGTATAAAATGGGCCCGTTTAGGTTCGATGACTGGAATTTCTCGGTAGGTTACCAGTCGAATCCTGATGGTAGAGCTACTCTGACGACAGTCCAGGACGGGCGAGAATACAACCCTTTCGCATCTTACGCGCAATCAAAGACCGCCAATATTTTGTTTACGGTTGCGCTGGCCAAGCGAGCAAAAGACCATGGCGTCCTTGCCTTTGCGGTTCACCCAGGATGTGAGTTCGCTTACTCTCTACGATTAATCCTGCGAACTAACTGAATGGATAGACATTCCCGACACATCGCTCACAAAGCACATGGCTTCTGTTGATGCTGACGAGATGAATCGAGTCTCGCTAGAAAATACTGGCGGCAAGTTCGCCCCCGATGAGCCCAAGTCGCTGCAGCAGGGGGCGGCAACTTCAATTGTTGCGGCGTTGTCGCCGGATCTCGCCTCTCACAGCGGGGCGTATCTGGCAGATTGTCAGATTGAGGAGGTCAGGGGGTATGCCAACGATTCAAAGCTGGCGGGGAAACTTTGGGAGATTAGTGAGAAACTTGTCGGGGAGAGCTTTGGCATATAGTAGACGCGACTCTAAGTCTTCTCCGACCGCGAACTAGAAACGGATGATATAGTGCTAAATCCATGACACATATTGTCTATTCCACAGCTTCTTTACTCAGGGTTACTCCATATTCAAGCAACAAATCCACAAGATCCTGCCGATTGTCCTTATACGCATCCTCGAGCACATCCATCGCCGCCTCCTCGTCCCGCTTGTGGATACCCTTTTGTAGGAATACCTTCCAAACGCACCAGGGAGCGAAAGTACTGATGTATCGCAGAGGCCGCATGCCTTTGTTGTCGTTAACCTCTGCTCCACGGTCAAGAAGCAGTGCAACTGTCCGAGGGAAACCCGCCTCGGCCGCTACCACCAATGGTGAGCTCCGTGGGCGCAAGCTTCTTTCGTTGATGTCTGCGCCTCTTGCCAATAGCATTTCGACGGCGCCATTCTGTCCGTTGATGGCGGCGTTCCAAAGAGGGCCCTGTTCGTGTCTCTCACTGATGTCAAGGTCCACCGGTGCGCCTGCGCCTAGCAGAAATTTCAAGGTCTCAAGATGACCGTTGCTTGCGCTTTCCCTGACTGCCGCATCCAGTACCCTTTCTTTGAGCTCTTCCGCGACGGCGTTGAAGTCGGCGCGGTCAAAGAGGCTTTGGAGCATATTCTGGTGTCCACCTTGAGCGGCCTGCACCATGGCGGCGGAGAAGGTAAAGGACGAGCGGGAGATGCCCAGGCTCGGCTCGAGGAGTAAGTCGACGATTGGCTCGTGTCCTGCAGCGGCAGCGGCTTCAAGGGCTGACCTGATCGGATTCGACGAGCGCGTAATCATCCAGAGATTACCATCGCGTCCCTCTGTTTCCGCTTTCCACTGTAACGCGCCCCCACTGACATCTGCGCCCCTTTCCACAAGCAATTGTACAACGCTCAGGTGCCCACCATAAGCAGCACCAGTCAGCGGTCGTCCGAGGACATGGCTTTCCTCATTGACATCAGCCCCCTGGTCCAGGAGGGTCTGCACCAAAGCCATGTTGCCCAGATGCGCTGCAGCGGAGAGCCGGTGCACGGATGCATCGCCGGCCTAATCAAGCCCTTGTGTTTTCTCTCTCATTGAAAAACCGTGCGCCGATTCCGTCAGCGTCATGCGGACGATTGCTCTGTACTGACATGTCGCCAATTGAGACAAGCTATGACAAATTTTATGCCGCGCTTGCCGGTCGGTGATGGCTAGCTGTGCTGCTATCCAGTCTGTGGTCTGTCGTACGGTGCGTATAGCATAGTAGACGCTTGCATCAGGGGCCAGTGCCCGGTGGCAGAGGTAGCCAGCGGATAAATGTGGCCACGCCGGGATACCTTTCAAGGTGTGCGTTGCGAATAGGACCTCACGGGCCTCGCGCGCAAATGTTTCTAGACTCGTGTGAGAAGGGAAGCTCCAAATGCATCGGGGTTGGAGGATCTTTACTATTGACGAGCTGGAGTTGAGTAAAGTCATACCGAGAGGAGTTATTTGTTGGGATAGCGTGGGCCAGGATTGCATGAAATATCTCGAGGGGTAACTCGAGAAGGTGCATTTTGATCGAAGGTTGTGGAGGAGGGAGGTAAGCGCCGACGGGAGATGGTGGGAGAGGGAGGGCGTTTATATACCAGGCTGCCTCCTTAATAAGCTGCCGCCGCTGAAATAACAGTGGAATCAATGCCACAATTACTAAAGTAAATTCAATTACACAAATAAACTGCCTATCTTAAGGGAGCAGAAACAGCAGCATCGTGTAGCAGACTCCCTGCCAGTAGGGCCGAAATCATGGTTGGCAAATAACGCATCTCGAATGTCGGGTGAATCGGTATGCAATGAATCGGACCTTAAAGTTCAACCTTCTTTCCTTTGATTGAGAGAATGAGATTGGATTTTCCTGCAGGGAAACGTTTGGAGATTCGTGAGAGACTTGTCAAGGAGAGCTTCGACATATAGTGGCCTTTACTTCTAGTGCATGGGAATGAGACTGTAATTCTATGCGCTGGCACTATGTCCGTGAGCGAACAGGACAATCATTAACGCCACGATGGATTGTCACGGTTCAGATGTGGATGGACGCTGCTAACATGAAGAACTGACATATTCGTCATTTATGTACTTAAAATAACACCATACTCATGAAACAAGTCGATAAGATCTTGTCGGTTCGCACTGTGCGCATCCTCAAGCAATTGCATGGCGCCTCCCGCGTCTCTTTTATGGACTTCCTTGTCAAGTAGCACCTTGATCACACAAAATGGCGAAATGATGTCGATTTGGCCCAAGGCGTACACGCGCCCATGACGGACCTGTGCGCCTCGGTCAAGAAGTAGTGCCACTGTTCGGGGGAATCCCACTCGGCCCGCGATCACCAGCGGTGCATCTGGCCACGTTGATCCCTCGTTTATATCGGCTCCTCTGTCTAGGAGAAGCTCAATGGCTTCATTACGGCCATGAAAGGCAGCGTACCACAGAGCAGTGTGCTCCTGTTCTTCAGGGATGGATAGGTCGACTGGTGCGCCGCACTCAAGTAATAGTTGTATGTTCTGTAGATGCCCCCCACTTGCGCTTTCCTTGAGTGCGCTGTCCAGCACTCTTGTTTTCACCTTCTCAGGGATCGTGTCGAAGTCAGCGCTGGCGATAAGCATGCGCAGGAAGTCGACATGTCCTCCTCGACTAGTATGTATGATGGCGTGAAAGAAGCTGCAACTGGATCTCGACAGGGAGTATCGCGGCTCCAGAAGAAGTTTGACAATTGCGCCATGGCCTGCAAAGGCTGCTGCTCCCAGGGGGGTCCATGGTTCTTTGTTCATGCGACGGAAAATAAACCTCTGCACATCATTTCTCTCGCTCTCCGTTGTCCATCGCACTGTATCGCATTCCGGATCAGCCCCATTCTCGAGAAGGAATCCGACAATGGTTGCGTGTCCTCCGCGGGCGGCGTTGAGCAGGGGAGATCCAAAAATGTCGCTCTTCGCATTTACATCGGCTCCATTCAGCAGAAGCGACTGTATCAAGCCCACGTCGCCAATGCAGGCCGCGGCACAGAGACGATGTTGAGGGGAGTCGCTGCTTTGGTGCAGCCCGTCTCGCTTTTGAGCCACTGTGCAGTTGTGGGTGCTGTTGGTGAGAGCCTTATGTAGTAACTCACTGCAGTAGAGTGCGGCGGAGCGAGATAGGGCGTAGCATGTATCTCGCTCCCTGTACTTTACTGGGTCCTGTGCGCATATCCAGGCTGTGCTCTGTCTGACAACCCGAATAGCATAGTAATGGCAAGCGTCAGGAGCCAGTGCCCTGTAGCAGAGGTATTCGAAAACGAAGGGGTCCCACTGTCCAACCCTTTGGAACAGCCGGTGAGATAGCACAACATTTCGGGCTTCGCGCGCAAAAGTTTCTAACGTATTGTTAAAGATGGTTTGGGATCGATGGCCGTGAGACAGAAACTTACTGTTGACGAGTTGGAGTTGTGTGAAGTTTTCCGCATAGCCCTGGACAATTGTGTGAGCAAGAATCATGTGAAAAATCTCCAGTGGAAACTCCAGGAGATGCATGGTGTGACAAAGGAAGGGGAAATGGTGGGCGGTTGAATTGTGGGCGATGAGTGTTGGTGGGAAAGGCGGCGGCTATATGTAGACGGCAGACCCCAGGGTCAGCACAGCCCTCCGCTGGATATTCGAATAGTCGCAGGACTTGATATCTGAAACACACCTTGACAAGGCGCGTATTCGCCTAATAATAGACCTACTATCCAAGAGAAAATATTCACTAACAGATCTGAAATTTTGCTACCGACATCATTCAGACGAACCGACCTCCACTCAGACAACCTCGGACACAACTTCGAGTTGCACTGAGACGACCGCATTACAGGTCACTGTTACCTGCAAACCCAGGTTACCTCACCCAGGACAGCTCAATCACTACTAAAACCAGCTGCGCTCACCCGACCACAGTAACCGTAACCGGCCGCTCGGTTACAACTACAACTACAACTATCACAAAGGAGGCTACATGTCAACCAAGGACAACATCCACATGCATCCAAAGCACGGCCCCACAAGTCACAGTTGCCTGCAAACTGCGATATCAAACTCAGGATGGGACGATCACCACTAGGACTACTTGCTCCCCATCGACTACACGCACGGTTACTGGCTGCTCGGTCACTCCTACCACAGCAACTGTTACAAAAGAGCCCACCTGCCGACCAAAGACCCCTACTGCCTGCGTAAGAACTACTGCACCAGAGGTTACTGTCGTCTGCAGACCACGATACCATACGGAACAAGGAACTATAACGACTTCGACAACTTGTTCCCCATCAACGACAAGAACTCTCACTGGCTGTTCGGTCACTCCAACAACGACAACTATAACCAGAGAAGCTACATGTCGCCCACGGACTACGACGGCTGCACCAACAACCCTATCAACTACAACAAAGCCGCCTACCTCCACAATCTCGTCGACAACTACAACTAACAGACCCCCAACAGCAACGACAACTACAGGGACAACTACAACTACCCCTCCAACCCCAACAATAAACCACGCCAACCTCCCGCCCTTCCCAACAAACACCCCCCCAGACGATGGCGGTAAAGTCCTCTGCTTCCGAGACCACAACGCCTCAGGCCACTACGGCAACTTTTCCGCCGCACTAGCAGGCTCACTAACAAACACTCTCTGCGTCGAACCCGAAACCGCCGACCTTATACTCTCCCCAAACGACTCCGAGCGCATCGAAGTGAGTCCCGACGGCGAGGTCCAAGCCTGGGTACGTTGGGCCGAGAACCAATCTGGGTGCAACCCGAAGCGAGATTTCCTGTTGAAAGATAACTGCGTCGTCGCTATGCTGCTCATCGAGACGAATTGTGACTTCTGGATGCCCGAGGCGCCCGGGTCGTATGGTGGGGGGTTTATCACGAATGCGGAGTGGGGCTGTTTGGAGTTTGGGATTGTTCGTGATACGAGAGATTGATGGGGAGGTTGTCTAGAATTATTGAATATACATTGTGACTAGGATGCGGGTTGTTGACTGTCCGTTTAACACGCAAGTTTTGTCCTATAGAGATACCCAGATAGAATAGTATCCATGCAAACGCTTATATGGTCAGCTCTAGTAGAATTTCTGGAACCAGCACAACCTACAGTTTACAGTGTCATCGGCGGCCTGTTATCCTAAGGTCGCAGGAAACTATCCTTTAGTAAAAGTATATGGCAAGACATAGTCCGGGGAATCAATGACGCTCCCCAAAATTAGCAAACAGGTCTTAATACCCCACAATCGACTTCTCAACATCTGCGGGCAACTCCAGCCTCGCCGAAAGGCCAAAGTACTGTTCCGCAGCTTTCCTACGGAGAACCTTCATCGAGTCCGTCTGGAGAAGGCCCTCCCCAACGCCAAGGACGCGCAACGCGATAGGCATCCTATACGTCGGCAGAGTCGCAACTAATTGGTCACGGGCATCGGCAATAAAGCGGAGGCAAGCGAGGTGCATTTAAACTTCGACGATGGGGATCCTGCGGCCGTTGGATTTGATGACTGGCTCGGGATTCGGAAGACTGGTTAACAACTGCGCATTCCATGTTTGGCGGAAAAAGGAATAGGGTCAGTTGCTTACAGTCTCCCATACGGCCGTTGAAGATATACTCCTCTCCGACGTGGTGGAAAAGATCACCAGTGCGGTGGTATCCGCCTTCAGTGAAGATGGCCCGGGTGGCTAGGTCATCACTGAGATAGCTAGTAAAGTTGGTGAGTTACGGGTGGCCATGATGCGGTTGAATAAGTCTATACGCACTGAGTAAGCAGCACCGGATTCTTGATCTGAATCTCCCCATCGTCGCCGTTCTTGTCCTCCTCGCGCTGCTGGACTCGACCTCGTCTGTCCATCCCTCGACTCGAACAAGGCCTTATAAAGAGGTGTGACTGAACACTCGCTGTTTACTCACTAGTCATTATAATCGCCATCTGCTTCATCCACAATAGCATGAAGGCGGTTGGATGGTGCTGAGCCAACTCTAACCAGCCGGCGGGTGGAAAGAGCTCTCCCCATATCCATGGCTTAACATAAAATTTGACCAATCGCCAAGTTCCTTACCACGTACCTCTTATCTAGCTCCGTACCAGAATTAGGCAGTGCATAATCTCTAATATCAACAGAGAGATCCGGTGCCTGAGACAGTGGATCAACGGACGGCCCCGTAATCGTAGGCGTATCCGTATCCGCGACGGCGGAAAGAGAACCGCAAGGCTATGGAAATCCCCTCAGGCACTCTGAAATAACTCCCACTAGCTGGCATCGGTGGGCTATAAAAACTCATCATGTCCGACTAAAGAATTTGTGTCTGAATCATCCCACAACAGCTGTTTTCATCCTGTCCTACCTCAACCTATCCCAACGCAGCGAAACCACCAGAAACCTCTTCCACGCATTCATTCCTCCGTTCGCCCATCCAAAAATGAAGCTCTTCAGCTTCCTCGCCACCACCGCCCTAATCCAAGGCGCCCTTTCCTACGGAGTCACAGTCTGGGATGGACCTGGCTGCACGGGCCAGCAAACCATCCTCCCACTCAAAGCCGACAGCACCTTCAAGGAACTCGAGTTCCCCTTCAAATCGTACATGGAACACGGATGGGGTCAGCACGAGCAACGGATTCAGTTCTGGACGTACTTTGACAGGGAGAAGGCCCAATGCTCCGGTGAGGGGATCTACAGCACGTGGGCGTACAACGGCGAGTACTTTCGGTCGAAGGCGTGCTATACTATTGGGGACCACCCTAATCTTCAGGGGAAGTCGGATGTGTTGAAGACGGCGGGGTGTGTCAAGTCTGTTAGGAATGGATATGTTGGGAATGATAGACTGTAAGGCGGACTGGAGCTGTTATAGTACGTTCCCGTATAGTATGTTTGTGTCTAAACAGAGTGCTTACTTGGCGCAGGTATTCCTCTGGCAGCAGTGATGGAGCCATGGCTACTAAGACCTTCTATCAAGATCTTACGGCTGTTTGGGAGTTGGCTGGTTTTGTTTCATGCTGGTCCGCACCAAGCCTGTCCAAAGTAAGAAATATGCTAGTTAATGCTTTCTTCATTCAAGTTCGTAAAGGTCGATAGAATTCATGTCATTTCAACCTTTAACCATATTTGTACTAATTGCCTAAGCATAGTTGAGCAGATAGAAAGCCCTGAGTCGTTCCTACACGGCCTGCGGATCTATATCATTCTGATATAATATGACTTTCTCCCCTTGCCAATGAAATGTTGGCATCTGGGAGACGGCAAGACGGTTAAAATGGGAGGAGTGGCGGCCTCCCTTCCCTACATTCACAAGTCGAAATATCAATGCAAACCAACCTTCTCTTGGTTCTTTACTTGGTTTTTGTTTGTTTGGACACCCCATCCTATACACACCTTCACACAACCCTGACTCAGTAAACGAACAGCATCCTCAAACCTCCTACCGCTCTTTGCTCGCCATCCTCGCACCAAGATGGTTCAAACTCACCACAACAACACAGTACCTCGACTCCCAATACCAAGTTAGGATGGCCAGAACTACAGCTACCAAAGGCAACGAAAGCCTAGTCATCGGCATAAGCATCCTTGGCGCGAGCGTCTGTGTCATGATATGCCGCGGCATCCGTCCAGCGCTCGACCCAGCACCGCCGAGGAAACCGTCAGGAGTCTCTCGCAACCAGCAGTGGTATCTCACGAAAGGTTCTAGGTGAGAATGTTGACAGGCTTTGGTATGTTCCGAGATCAGATGATTGGGGGCGGGCGATGGCGATGAGGGAGGATGGTTCGTCTTTTGTATGAGGTGTTGGCTTGTCTGGTTGTAGTGGATACTAGGCTGTTTCTTTGCTTGGCCTCATTCATTTGGAGATCCAGAAAATGGGAGGATCAATGAGAGTCGTGGACAATTCAGTGCATCTCCTTTGGCTTGCGTAGTTTGCCTTGATAGATCTCTGAATTTAACATCGAGCCTGCAGGATACTATATGAAGTTTTTGAGTGATTTGCACGTGGAATGACTTCTCCCCGACGGTCATAATACCAGGCCCATTCTGTGGCGCCTCTGACTCTATTGCCTCTTTGATAAGGGTTTCACCGTGTATTATTAAACTGTGAGATTTGCATGCTACCCAATGAAGTTCTCTGGGACGAACATGATTATTAGTGTGACAGGTGCTTCTTACCTTTTTGCCCTGATCCTCATCGTTCCGATGTGGTTTAATGTGTGGCCTGGAGAACTGGGATTTTATACAATAAATTTTGGACGCAAACTACAGCTTAAGAACTAATGTTATAGAAATAAAGTGCAGTAGGGATTATGTAAACGTCATCCAAGGCACTTTGGCGGAGTGGTTAACGCGTAAGTTCCACGATACAACAAAAGTGTCACATGTTCTGACATTGAACCAATAGGATGCCCTGCTATACTACAATCAGTTAGCAAGACTAGGCATTTCCTTCGGGAGCGTGGTTAGTAGCCCTTCCTAAAAGGATTAGAATTTCACATTCTAACAGAACCAGAGTTCGAATCTCACAGGTGTCGTATCTTTTTTTTTTGGTGGAGTGGGCGGTCACTGGAAGACCATCTTATTCATCTACAGGTAATTTTTTCCGCCACACAAAAGGCCTCACGTATATCGCCTGCATGGCAGTCCCATTCCACAGCGCAGGTAACCCCACAGCTCTGAGCTCCTCACAAACAATCTCCCCAACCCTCTTCGACCCCTCATCGTCAAAGTCCAACGCCCCAAACCGAATAACCAGCCCGAACCCATCAAGAGCCTTTTCCGTATCCTGCCCATGCCAGTACGCAAATCCTTGCTCGTTGCCCGTCGCTTCCTTCCGGATGTGGAAATCCGCCTGTTGCTGCGTGTAGTAGAAGTTTTTACGCGCCACGATCCCCTTTTCGTTAAGGTTCCTAAATACCTGCTCGATCTTTGCGTAGTCTTCGAGCTTGGCTTCGCTCCATTTTGCTTGCCGGCGGAGCTGCTTGGCCCAGAGGGTGTCGATTAGGCGTTCGGACTCGCGCTTGATGTCGGGATGGTCACTGGGTATCTTCTCATAAGAGAAGTAGTGTATGGCGTTCTCGAGTAGTTCAGCCTTAGTGTAGCAGCCTGTTTTCACGTTGGCCTTGAGGCGGTCTCGGACATTCTCGAGGACATCGGGTGTAAGTTCTTCTGGCCCGGGGCCGGTGGTGGCTGTGATGGCGGATGCCATGTTGTTGTTCTCTTTTTAGGGACGTTGTGGGGGTTGTTGGCTGAAGCCTCCAGGCTGTATTTCTTCGTGGGACGTGGTGTCTTTATATAATTCTGGGGCTCATCCTTCCAGGCGGCTCATCTCGTATTGGGCCCACAGGCCCTCGTGTTCTGACATTGAGATAAGTTGCTGCCGTATAGATTGTCCCCGGGGGGCCGTCGGTCGGCAGTACAACCATACACACTTGCGAGGCCGTGGTCCTTTCATTTGCTATGAATATCACAAGCCGCTACACAGGGAGTTGCAGTAAACTTCGCCTGCCCATCTATCAATGCTCAGAAGTACGATTAGAATTGTATACGATGTGCAGGAAAATGAATCACCAGGCTTGGATTAGGAGACTAAATATTAGTAGCTCCAACTCCCACAGCTATTTAAGGAAGGTAGGTGCTCGGGACCGTGAGTGGTGGACTTATGGTAAAGAGCGCGAATACTTTAGATAGGCTCGTGGATGGTATAGTAGTAGTTTCTTAGATTGCATAGTTTTATCCAGGTCTTGTATGGTCAATATACGTTTCTAGAAGCCATTAAATGCGCCTTATGATACTGGTGGCCAACTATTAGAATCTAAATTCCTGATACCTTGCACTGGGTGAAAGGTGTTTCATCTCAGCTTTAAAGACTTTATCCGTAGGTTTCGCGCTTTGTATGTCCGCGTAGAGAGCTATTTTGACATCATTAGCTCAAAGCTGAATGGGCCGGCCATCCTCTTTTCGAGTCTCGGTTTTTGGGGGGTAGTTCTGAATGCTCGGTAGAAGGCTAGACCAGAAACGGAGCCATGAAGGAAATACTAAATAGAATTAAGAGAGTTCCTAACCTCCTTTAGTAATAAAGATGTCCCAGGTTTAGTGGTGGCTCTAAGTATACAAATATTAATCTTACCTGGGACTCTTTTATGGTGCTTAAATGTCTCCTGATAGCTCAGGTCATGCTCCAGCTAATTATAATACCATTCACCTTGCCCCGTAGCTGTGAGAGAATTTTTCGTTGGCCTACAGTGGAGATCTAGATCTTAAATGTGGTAGTCCGAAGGTGCAGTCATGGATTTAGCAGACCAACTATCGATGTATATATTCGTTCAGGAGAACACCCATCCTCACTATTTATTCAGTGTGAACAGAAGGTCTGATGGATTGATCGTCCTCAGGGCGCTGAAAATAGTGCATAAAGTACAATAGCTTGGTCAGTAAATGTCACATGTCCACTACGAACTGAAATGGAAGTGAGGCGCAACTAACAGCAGTTTCTATGGAGTAGGCTGAAGGGCTCGTGAGAGGGTCTACTTTGGGACCCCGAGTGGCATTGAAGTTTCCAAGAGCAAACATATACCACCGATCTCTGATAACGGAGCAAACCCCCGTGGATAACGCAGAAACCATGCGCCGTTATAAGTTGTTACAGTCTTTGGCCTTCATGAAACCTCAACCGTGTTGATCTGTTGAATCTCATACCCGTCTCTTTAGTTACACACGGCGCCTAAGGTGTAACATTGACCAGCTCACCCAGGGCGCCTGGTGAAACGCTGTCCAATCGCCTGGTCGTTAGGCTGCCGGCTCGCTTGACACGGGGACCCAACTGCAGCCAATATCCTCCCCCTGAAGAGGCCGCTATGACTGTCCACTGCACCAGTGCATGTGCTTTAGAAACCGGACCCTCAGTCTAACAGTTTTTGACTCCGCTCCAGCTCGAGGTATAAAGTCGGCGTCTGCACCGTGCGTGCTCGAGGTTAAGTCGGACAAGAGATCCGCGCCGCCCCAGGTTATTTTCGCAATTAGGCATCCACAAACCTTGCGAAAACTCCATCTCAACCTCACCTGCTCACACTTCACTTGCCTTCCCCCTCTCCTCGACCAACATCCGTGTTTAAGCACAACATGGTCCCCATATTCGTTGCACTTTACGACAACCCAGGCATCCTCCACTGGAGCCTCCACATCGAGACCGAAAACGACGCCGAAAAGACAACCATTCAAATACTTGGCGCCCGTCAGCGGTACTTTCCTGATATAAAAACGCCCTCGAACGGGCGCCTTTTACCTGACCTCATCGAATTGTGCCCGCTCTGTGACGCTGGTGCAAGTAAACTCGAGGCTCTCAAGAACATCGCGTATGCTACGCCCATTCGCAATGAGGAGGCCGACTATAGTTGCCAGGATTATGTCCTAGATGTCTTGTTGATGCGGAAGATGAGCAGTATAAGAGAAAGAAAGCCACTGTTGCTGGGAGGCGCGAATCATGGGGTTAGGATAGTCTGCATCGGAAGTCGCCGTGCCTGAGAACGGAATGCGGAAGAGGTTATTGCGACCGGTTGTGTGCCTGTCCAACACGTCAAATAATCAATTCCGCGTATCCCATCGGCCTGAATTTGTCTTTCGGCTCCATAGGTTGTTACCCGATGCCATTTGACTATCGCGCGAACGTGAGATCATACTGGTGAGGTGGAACTCGGCGCATAGGAGGAATAACTTACGTCCTTTAGAGGCTTTGGCCATTCAATACAATGGGTAACTTATATATTTCTCTTGGACGCTATCGTCTTGATAGTCAATAGCCCATATCACTACATAGGTATTCGTACTCTTATCACCGTGGTAAAGCATGAGGTTGCATCCTTTCAAATGCTTATTGCCAAACAACCACAGAGCGCTTCTACTTTTTTTGGAACAGGCGGAAGTAGACTAACGCAGCCAGGGAGAGAGCCCTACGCTGCGAAGAACTTCGAACTCTCGAATCCTTTAGCTGTAGTTATGCCGACGGAGGCCAGATACGTATCAGTAGGCTGTCCTCCCATCATCCCAGCGTGGGATAATCAGGCAGATGGGCGTCTGATCCGGCTACCTCTGTATGGTTAGTTTTACGCAAGTAAATTACTGCGGCCACCTCGTTCCAGCGTATTGGGCCAGACATACGCGGTCAACATATAACGAATGCTCCTGAGCTCACTCAAGCGATAAGGTGTCTAGATGGGCAGTTTCACGGCGTGCCGAAAACGCTACTAGTAGTCTCTAATGGGCTGTAGAGTCCCAGGGCATGGATCAGGCTTTGAGCACGAGGTTGCTGCTATACCTGGAGATCATTCTGTTCTTGTTAACTCGCTAAGAAATTCTGCTCCAACAGCGCGATATGGTCCATCGCCGGTGCTATTGGGGCATCCTCTTGAGCTAAGCCCTGTTGCGCGGGATGCTGCTCGGCAGGCGCAGATTCCAATTTAGAGAGTAGGTAGATGAGTTTACGTAGTTTTCCAAGCAGGTTTCACCTCTAGTTGAACCCAACCTTCTAGCACTTCTGGCAAATGGGCCTTACCCCGGGCCTCAGCGCTCACATACTACATGGGGATGACCCATTTATGTTTGCAGTCATACACCAACAGCAAGTAATTGTGCGGATTTATTTCAGGGCGAGCATGAACCCCGTTCTGAAGACGGTATACCTGTCCAAAACCACAGAGGTGACACACAAAGGCCAGTAGACGGGACCATCCAGGAAGCAGCACAATATCTGTTTGTAACGGGCGAGAGAAAGTCTGTTGCGGTGCCATTTGCCGAAGGCCTGGTGGAAAGTGTCCAAAAGCTGACGGCTCCGCTCCTCACCATTGGCCTTGTCAACTAGGAGAATTTTGCTCGTCGAGGGCGATTAACATCGTTACTGATCAAGCTAATACAGAGACCAGCGCGGATGGGCAAATTGTTTTCAAAGAAGGCTGTTATTACACCAGAAGCCTACTTCTACGATGGTATAGTACTCAAGGAAACCTGAAAATGAACGCAAGCATCCTGGAGATATGGTCGGCGTAAAGAGAAGGGATATCGTAGAGGCCCCCTTGCTGATCTAGGAAATCAACGAAACAGCGCAAATATCTCCTCCCAAACCTCCGCAGCCTGCGATACAGTATCGTGATCCGTCCCCTCGACGCGCCTCGCATCAAATTCCACACCCTCCCCAGCACCCCTCCAACAGCCCTCAAAGTACTCCTGCCCCTTCCTCCCTACCATGGCATCCGTCGCCGCATGATAGACCCGCACTCGAAGGCCCCGTTCATCTTGCCTACCCTCCTGTCGTCCTCGCTCCCGTTCCCTCTCTACAAGCCCCTTGATACACCCCGCATAATCATCCACAGCCCCCCACTCTCTCCCCTCCCCCTTCCTCAAACACTGCAACGCCTCACTATTCGCGCCCACCGTATTCTCAGCAAACATGTAATTCACAGCAAGCTGCACAAGTTCCTCTTGATCCTTGACCGGGACACCATATTCCCTCTCGACACGCCGGTAGTTCGCCTCGAGGAAGGTGCGCTCGGCCTCTTCCTGCGATCGGCTAGACGAGATGAGGCCACTAGATGGAGCGGATATCTTGCGCATTGCCGCGCCACTAGACGCAAGCACGGGCGTCGCTTGCGTGACGAAGAAGCGCGGGATGTGGTGCCAGAGCTTGAAGGCGGGCTGTGGGATGTATTGCGCCAGTTGCATGGAGGTTACGTGGGAGTGGGTTGGGTCAACCCAGGGTGCTGCAACAAAGCTCTTAGTAACTGGATGCGTGTATGAGGCGAAGGGTAGGAAGAGAGTAGGGTTGAACATGGCCATACCCAGAAAAACAACAAGCCCTTGAATAAACCGTCTACACCCCTCATCCACCAGCATGTTCAACGTATAAATCGTCCCCGCGCTATGCGCGACAAGACCAACCGACTCGATACCCAGATGCTCAAGTAGCCGCGGGATCACATCACACCACGTGCTAATCCGCCTGGACAAGGGGACATCGCCTGACCCGCCCATACCGAAACGGTCGACGACGAGGATACGCACGCCCGCGCGCTCCGCGAGGATATGTAGTGGGATTCCCAGATAACGGGATGCGAACATTCCAGGCAGGAAGAGAAGGGTGCGGCTGCGGGTGGGGGCCGCATCATTGCTGCCTATTAGGGCGTAGGTGAGGATTTGGGGGCCGTGCGGGGTTGGGAGGGTGATGCGGCGGTGGAAGGTGGCATTAGAGATCAGGGGGATGGGGGAGTAGGGGGATGTGTCTGGGGCCGACATGATGGGCGCCTTGGTCCAGTCTTTAGTAGAGGAGATGCTGAGAGATGGGGTGGGGAAGAGCTGGAGAAGCTTGAAGTTTGGACTAAGTTTCAGCCCCAACGTCGCTGGACTAGCGGCGCTAGGTTAGGGCCTCCTATTCCGGTTAGAGTCAGCAAAGAGGTTCAGAGGGTCTACCAAGGATGTATTCTGCACCGAAATACCAAGGCAATCAATATCTTCCGAGTTCAGAGGCAATATGGATAACTAGGCAGTTGCAAAGGTAGTAGATTGGTAGCAGGGACCACGAGGTAAGTTGAATCTACATCTTCTTGACTATCATCTAGTATACAGGTGATTAAATCATGACAAACTCGAGCATCAAGATAATTTCTCGAGCGACCCATGATCCGCAATGATCCTATAACTTGGCCTTCGACCACCGGGCAATCCATTACGCAAAAGCAGAAAGAACAACTTTATTTGCGGCCACAAGAGGACAAGCGTTAGTGGTAATGCGGCACCAACAATGACGAGGTAGATCACCGGGTAGATCAAGCCATCCCTTCGAGCAGTACATTAGCAAAGTTCGGTGTGTTCTTGATTGATTATGTTGGGACACATACAATACGGAATCGGCAGGTGTTCTAACACCCTCAACAGGCAACGGATGTGCCATGATAATCTCGACGTTGCCCTCGGCACACGCATCTCCAAAAGGAATTGGTATAGATGAGAGTGAGAGGCTCCTCTGCAGCTCCAATGGGGATTCGATGAAAGTGGCGGCCAGACCCGAATGTGATGGCCACGCGATCGGGCTTTGGAGTAGCCATATCCCTACATCCGGCGGTATTAGCAATGGCTGTGGATTGAATCGGGAATTATACAGACTGAGAAGATGTGCACCTACCTGGATTATCAGCCTTGAACCGCAGCACCACCAAAGAACCAGGGTTGACAAGGATAGTATCACGGCGCATGGGGAATGGAGGGAACTTTTCCTCGTCCTTGTGGCTAGCATCAACTGCGCCCTCGCCGGCTTCGGACCGCTGGATCACCTGGAACTCATGGCCATGGAGATGAAATAGGTGTTGTGTATCGGATGGATTGTTGATGGTGAGTTCGACTATTTCATCGGGGCGCAAGACAAACGGATTAATTGACGTGCCGTAAATTGCAGGATCAACGGCCTTTTGCTTTGTAGCCAGCGCTGTGTATAGTGTTGGGACTATTGGTGGGGAATAGCTCGTGTTGTTGAATGACCAGCTAGCGAAGTTGATTAGATACATCCTGGACTAGTTCATGTTCGAGGTTTGACTTACCGCTTGCTACCATCCGCAAACTCGGTCATTGTGATGTCCAGCGTTATGCTCTGGCTGGGCGGATCTAGGAGTGGCTTCTCGTCCAGCGGTACCAGGGATATGTCATCAAGAAAGTCGGATGGCTGCAGAGGATCCTGTACATCAAAGTCGGCTGTTGGGAGAGACGAATCGTAGACTATCCAGCCAGTCGCAGTCTTCTCAGGGTCAAATCCATTGGCCTGTAGAGTATAAGCAAAATACTGTTGAGTGGTGGCAACAAGCTTACCAGTTCCATGGTAGCAATGATAGGATAGTTAGCACTCGTCTCATTTTTCGCCGTCATCAAAAAGCTGTACCGGTGGCCGGGGCCAAGATAGATTCCATGCGTCTTCGTGGGCTTCGTGTACACGCCTTCCACTTGCACAATGACCATTTCATGGTCCGTGATCTGCACGTACTGGCCCGTGATTGAACCTATATTGGCGACTCGAACGAGATACGTGGTCCCGGGGGTAACATGGACCCGGCCATTGCCGGAATCGTTCAACAAGATGGAATCAGGCGCAGGCGGCCTCGACGTCGTGTGATTGTCGTTCTCGGAGGCCGTTGGACCCGACATTTGCGCATCGTACCAATCGGAAACAGAGAGAATGATCTCATCATCGTAATCGTCTTTGTACGGACACATTGGATCCCGGACAATCAATAGACCGCGCAACCCATCTGCAGACTGTGCGCCGTCGTCTGCGTGATACCAATAGGTCCCCGGACTCGTCAACTGCGACTCACAATCAGCTCCATGATATTCCATAGCCGCTGCAAAACGGGTCGTTGTTTGGGCGTACCTGGAATATATACTCGAACGTCTTTCCGGGCAAGATCGGACACTGAGACACGCCGGCGGCGCCGTCCATATGAGGTGTGCCTTTCATGGAAATGCCATGGAAGTGCAGCGAGGTAGACTGGTTCTCGAGAAGATTTCGGACGTTCAAAACGACGACATCACCAACATTTCCTTGGATCTGAGGCGGCGGCCATTTCCCGTTGACTCCGATCGTTGGTCGCTCATGCAGACCGCCCGGGTTCGCTGAAACCCTGGTAATGTTATAGTCGAAATGTAGCGTTTCTGATGCAACCCGAAGCGCAAGACATAGCGAAAGAATCCATATCGATAACATCGTTTGGTCTGACGTTGAATTTCTCTGATTCAGCCCTGTTAGCGTCTTACGGAGTACTGTCTTTTAAATAGCGATCCCAGCTTTCTGCCTAAGTCGAGGGTTCTTCAAAGATCTTCACCTCTAAGAACCCTGGTCCCTTGATTGGCCAACTTATTCTAATAGCGCATCCGAGTTCCGTAGTACCGCCAATGAACGCCTCCCAAGCCTCGCAAAGGCATTTAACCGCGGGGCGTCGCAACTCAGTACCCATTATAGGTTTAGCGTTTGCGAAGGGGAGATACGTATACGCACCCTAGCCAAGAGGATCACGGTGGCCAAGACTAAGAGTTGTGACAACCCTCTTCTTCAAGTGCGCGTGTTTCCAGGCAGCGATATTTCTACAACAGTATTAGACAGTAGCTTTTTCTCAGGCCGGCGTTGTGTGCGGGGGCTACTTGGAGTGGCTACATCATAATGGACAATCAGATATGCAATCCGGCGATGGGGCGAACCATGCAGGATGACCCAAACTTGTGCAGAACAACGCACGGTGCTGACAAGGAACCAGGATAGTTCCAGCGCCCTAGGCAGGTTAGGTAGCGGCCCGGGCCTTCCCAAAGGGCAGCCAGCCCTATGGCCTGGTGAATCCGTATTTGACATTTAGCGCCGCAGTGGGCTGGATGGATGTCTAGAGATGAGAACCATCTCTCATCATGATCATAGTAATAACAGGCCCTGCTCCTCTCTCGGGGTTATATATAACAGTCCCCAATTTTCAGGACTTAATATCCTTTGGTTACAAAGACCTATGGTAATATTCGTGATGTATCCAAGGTTTAGGACTTGTGGATTTTCTTCTAGTTCTGCTATATTCAATTACTCATTATTCATTGCGTATTAAGACGCTCGCGAATGGCTAGATTCAGAGGAGCGGGTGGGCTCCATACTCTTGTGAATATATAATCATGCGATTCCACGCCATGTCCAGGCGCATATGTTATCGCGATGATTCAGTCCATCGCACCACTCGGTCCCACGAGCCAGCCTCCTTGCTCTGCACGGTACAGGGCGGACAGACTTGCTAGCGACGAATGACCGGAAGGACCAGCTTACTGGGATGCTCAGCCCCATGCAGAACTCGATTCTCCGCGACGGTAAATTCCGTCTCATTCACAATATCCCCCCCAGTATTCGAGTTCCGGTCATACCGCGGGTAATTACTGCTCGAAACCTCGAGGCGGATTCTATGCCCCGCAAGGAAAACATTCGACGTGACGGAAAGGTCGAGGCGCAACTTGTACACCTTTCCAGGGACGAGCATCTCGGGTGTCGCGAGCGAGTTTCTGTATCGTGCTCGGAGGACCCCGTCAGTTAGGTACGTTGCCCGGCCGTCCGGGTGCACGTCCACCAGCTTGCCGGTGAAGTCGGTGTCCATGGCGGAGGAGGTGATGTAGAGGACCAGGCTTATGTGGCCGGTGACCTCGACTGGCGTGTCGAGGGGCTGTGTTGTGAAGCAGAGGACGTCGGGGCGGTCTTCGACCGCGGATTGGTCGCGCGGTCCGCATTCTCTGGGGTCCATGGTGAGGAGGCGCCCTCCAACACTTGGCGTGGGGTCCGCAGGGTCAAAGTATACCTGTCCGCGATGGACTTGTTCGGAAGCTCGGCGCGCAGCACACCGTCGCCTGAGCGCGTCGCCGCATTGCCACCACTGTCGAGGTAGAAGTCGGTGTACTCGGTGTCCTGCAACGGCCAGTCTGTCTCGCTGCGCCAGACGTTCCTCCCCATGACGAAGATGTGCACGGGCAGTCGCTTGTCCAGTGCAGCCTCGTTCCCGCGAAGATACTTGTCGAAAAACTCCATGTGCAGCTGCTGGATCCCCGACGCCGTGTCCGGTGAGTCGGGGCCGAACTCAAGGTCTGGATACATGCCAGTCCGGGCGTAATGGTCCCAGGGCCCGATGAACAAATACTGCCCGCGGCGCGCGGTCTCCGTGCGCGCCGAAGACCGCATCAGCCGGAACGCCCGGACGGTCTCGTGGACGAACAGGTCGAACCACCCGCCGACATTGAGCGCAGGGGTGTTGATGACCTCGGGGTGCTCGGCGACGGCCAGGTCCCGCCAGGATTCGTCGCGCGAGGTATGGCTCATCCAGTTCTTCCACCACGCCGCGTGCCTGTGCAGGGTCTCGCGGTCGGACATGGGCAGCTTGTCCAGCAACTGCACCGCCTCCTGTTGTTGCTGCAGCATGACCACGATCGGAATGTTCGGGTCCGGTTTCGCATTCGCCATCGACCACGAGTGCACAGTGTGCCAGGACATGGCGCCGCCCTGACTGTACCACGGCGCGCGGTAGACATCGCTCGACGCCACGTGTGGAGCGATCGCAAGGAGGCCCTTGGGCGCCCTCGATGCCGCAAGCCACTGCACACAGCCCATGTACGAGGGGCCGAACATACCAACCCGGCCGTCCGACCACTCCTGCTCGCGGATCCACGCAATCGTGTCCTCGCCATCCTGCGCTTCAGCCACAAAGGGCTCAAAGTTTTCTCCCCCTGACCGGTATCGTGCTCGCACGTCCTGCCAGATCAACCCGTATCCGGCGTCGGCGATCTGCGCCTTTGTGGGGACCATGGGCATCTCTGGGATCGCACTTTTGTTGTATGGGAGGCGCACTAGGAGTACTGGGGCGGGTGTCTTTGAGGGAAGCCAGATGTCTGTTGCGAGGTGGACGCCGTCGCGCATGGGCACCTTAACGTCACCTAATGTCGCCGGTCGCGGCGGGGCAGCGACTGGCGGAGTAGCCTTTTCGGTGGCCATTGGTTTGGCGATACCTGAGAGATTTTCCTAATGTGTAGATAAGACCGCTTTTTAGCTGGGAATGTCGTGCTAATGCGGGGAGTTATATAGGGACTCGGAAATAATATCGACTTGGACCGATGGATGGCTGCGGACCGTATCGACTACTTGGAGTTCAGCCACTGCCCAGTGTCCAGTGTTCCCCGCTATGTTAACGATTTGGGAATCATCCGGCCCCCGAGTTCTATTTTGTATTACGCACAGGCTCTGAGTCTGGGCTGCATAGGTCGCGGTGGGGTCGGATTCTACGGATACAACAGTCATCCGAGGCCAGGGTCCGGAATCCTAACCATGCGCAAACGAGCTAAATTAAACTGTGGCGAATAAACAGCCTTTGACCGTTTCCACAAAAATGACTATGCATCGGCCGCGGGGTGATTTATGCAGGCTCTGTATGTACTAGAGGCTGTACATCCCGGTAAATGCGGGGACGGCGCTGTGCCAATGCCGAACCACAGATTCAGAGCATTAGGGTTCCCATCTATCGCTAACTTTATGAATTGAGACCTGGATCGAACCGTTCTTGGTTCATTAAGGAGCATCACATAGCCCTAGCCTGCGTAGAGCTCAGTCCATATCTACCGTGGACAGTGCCCGCCCGTGCTGGATGAAGATTAGATCCACTAGCAGCTGCTCTAAGAGGCTCAGGCTCTTGGTCTACCTCACGTCAACTGTCTCAATTTCCCGGTCCTAGACGGTCCGACACGGTCCGGCCAACTTGTGGCGGTCGCCTTGCTTGGCACACTAAAGCTTTGGCGTTGCGCTTCCCCGTCCTTCCGTAATACTAGCTACGTCCTGGTCTACACCATATCTGCCCCTCATTTCCGAGCTATGTGCGCACGAGCTTCGGTCCGTTCGTTGGCTCCAATAGGGGGAGGAGACGAATCTCACCATCACACATCCCGCAGTTGCTGTCTCTGCCGCCATACTTACTTCCGAATATGAGATACTATGAGGAGATGCTACTCAACCTGAGTATTTACAGAGTGGCCGAATAACACGCAAGCTAAATAATAATAATAAGGGCAGCGTGACTTGGACGGTACCCAGATGCTTTGGTGCTTCATCGCTTCTACCCTATACGGGGTCATACCAGTGTCGGGCGTTGACTTGTCGGCCCCCAATCCCCTGGATCAGGCGGATTCCATCTTCATCGAAGGCAATCCCGCGCGGGTCAGTGGTGATGCCGCTTTCCTTCTCCAGTAAAATGTTCTGACGCCCATGCGGCCTAGGTACGCTGAGAGTAGGGCGCCTGTTAATCCACATCCGTGAATGACCACGTTGGTGGTTTCGTATTTGTGAGGTGCATCCATAAATCTTGTGGTAGTGGATACAGTTGGGGAGAGAAAGCCTAATACGAGTCGGGATACGGATGTGAAGCGTGAGATATGATATGTCGCGGCTTCTCTAGTATCTTGAAAGGGGGGGTTCAAGCCATCACATGGCCTCGACCGTCTGATTTCTCCGCTCATCTGTTTCAGGATATATCCGAGTGATGGGGGATCTTGGCTGTCCCACATGCGGGGAAGCTGGCTGTGGGACCAACTGGGAATAGATGATCAGCGTCGCCTGCGGGACGGGATGGTGGTTGGAGGTACTTGACCCCAAGTTAATTAATTGATCTCAGGGGCCTGCAAGGCCAATATTGACAGTTACACAGCTTTTGAGGCTGCATTTCGAACATGGTACGTGGAATCTCGATCTTCCTCCTTCATGGAGAGAATAGCCATGCTTATCCCGTCCCCAGGCAAACGAAGGACACCTTAACCACGAAGCATCCGTTGACGATGTTATCGTATTAGTCCGGATCAAGAACCCCTGGCGGCGTGAAAGGAGCGTTGCCTGACAAGATCAGACTCAGGGCCTCCCATTCAGCTCGTCAATCTATCGCATATGCGGTACCAGCACCCTGACCTTGATGAAATCACTACCTTCCTCCAAGGTACGCCGTTTGCTACTGAGCAAGGAAAAGCAGACGTTAAGCTGACAAGTCTACGAGACTTTGGAATGGCCGTGGCAAAGAGAACAGATTCCGAAGTCTGGTATCGAGGTTATGGGAAGGATCCGTACGTTTATTACGCTCGCAAGGGACTGAAGGAGTACCTGGGCGGCACGTTCCAGGTGCAGTCCTATGATCATCTAGAAAGGCGAGTTTTGATCGAACAATGATGATATAATGATATTCAACGGCACAGCTGACGGTGAATAGAGCCAGGAGATTACCACAGGCTAGTGAGACCCAGGGCCTTAGTGACCCTCCCGGCGGAGGGTTCCCTCTCTCATTCTCCAATCCAGAGGGTTTCCCTGTGAATGTTATCTTTGGCCAGGATCCTGGAGTACCTGGTACGGGTCCTGCGAAACTCACTTATAATTACGAGACGGAGAAACCTCGCGTTCTCAGGTTCCAGCGGTTTGAGCCCGGTCCAGCGGGTGTTCAAAAGGTTGGTTTTGTTGATCCCCTTGCTGCTTGAGCAAAACAAAGAAACAAAAGGTTTCCATCCATCCCCCGTCGGTTCCGTAAACATAGACAAAGGCATACCTTGGTGTGATCGAGATAGTTCAACCCCAGACAGCGAATGTAGCTACACTCCTCTCTCGAGACCGGCGAAAGCAACTACCACAGCACACCCGCAGGCGGGTGCATTATTAGCCCCTATCCCCGATCACCGAATATCTCATCATGGGGCAGGACAAACTTACAGATTTAACATGCAACACCTGGTCAGTGACGCGGCCATCGAAGATCGTCCCATCAATCATATAGACGGCGATTTCTCGCCCGTCAGCGCTGTCGCGTCCCACGTCGCGAGTCGTATCGACTAGCTGGCCGAGGTGGACTTGGTTGTCCTCGACGGCGACGAAGCACACGAGATGCGTCCGGGCTAGCATTATGGGATGGGATGCGAAAAGGAACGGAGGATTGTCGCGGGAATTTCTGGCGTTGAGTACGCTCGGCCTCTGAGTGTTTAGAAGAAGTTGTTGAGGATATCATGGATTGTCCCGCATCGCTTCGTACGCTGGGCAGGGTGGGGGCAGCGAAGTGCTGGGGAGCGGGGAGCAGGACCCAAGTATAGGTAACCAGGCACCTGCAACCATGCACATACCCAGTGGCTCCTTCGGAACCTCGGGTATATGAGTTGGGTATCTACCACGCTCTTCGTGCTCCGGGTGTTTGTAGATCGGGCTCAGTATATACGGGGGCGCGGACTCTCTCATCTGCTTCATTATTTGGCTTTTATTCTCTGGGATGCCGAGACTCTCTTCCCTCTCTGTCTACGTCCATATCCCATGTAGCCCGCCTCTTCGATTCCACTCTACGCCCTCTGATCTAGTCCTGTTCGGGCTCAAAAGGTCGGGATCTCTCTATGTCTCCTTGTTCTACGGGTAGCACCCACCCACATGTTCCGTGTTCTGTATACCGTTATTTCTTCCCCCACCACCCCCCCCCCCCAACAACAATTCTTCTTCCATTTATCTATCCGTCTATCATTGCTTGATATCCTGCCCGTCGACCAATGTATCCTTTTCCTCATGGCCATGTCGACTGATACAGCAGATTTGGCCTCGCTCGGTGGCAGGCGGGGCGCCCGTTGGATGAAAAACAGGCCTTTGACCTGGATTATGGATATATGCTCTGTTCATATACTTTTTAGGATATTAGTACTATAAAGAGTGCCTCCTAGCCCTAATAAAAATGTTTAGCTTGCCAGCATGAACGGGCCTGCTATCCTCCCTTTATAATACTTTATAATACAACTTAATTAGTAGCCTATACAAAGGGTCCATAGTAGAGAACTAATGTGGTAAGTAGCCATTAGCATCCACATATCAACGTAAAGCACTTCGTATCTTGGCGAGATAGGGAAAGAGAATATGATGTAGAAAGCCTCTTAGATGTCAAACTTTGGCATTTGTGTAGGATGTATGGCTACAAAGTTGCTGTGGTTCCTTTTAGACCTTTGACAGAAGATGGATCTTATTAGGTAGAAGGCTATATCCATTACATTGCCAGACAAAAGCCCAATGTGTATAGTCATATTTATCTGCCTGTCCTCGTGCAGGAAATCTCCTGTCCGGCCTGGTTGGATGGGCTCGTCCAGCTTCCATAGGCCATAAAATGAGTGGGAAGGACATCTGACTGAATTAACGTGTCATTTTTGGTCAAGAGCTCTAACCAAGCATACATTCTCAATGGGTAGTACTGACAGACTTCGATCAAGTTAGGAGGTGGAGGGAAAGAATACATAATTAATGTACCTTGGGCTACACAAGCTAGATGATACTGTTACATTTTGCCCGCAAGCATCCATGATGACGGGGAGTATATTGGAAAGACCCTCTGCTATGCGATGCGAATATCTCCTTACTTAATAGAGATATCCTTTGCCCGTTCCCAGATCCCACAATGTTATCATCATAATTCCCACCTAAGGGAATGCGTCAGCTATGGCATCAAGGTTCAAAGTCATGGTGTTAGCAAGACGCATGTGGTTTACCACATGATTCTTTATCCAGAAGGCGTTGATGGGGCTATAGATTTATAAACCCAGGACAAACTTCCCGCAGCTCACTATTTCTCAATATTTTAGATAAAAATTATATCTACCCACCCGCGCCTTTGTAACAGCCATTGATTATTGCAAACGCCTATCACACACCATGGGAAGCAAACTCTATGTCGGGTAAGCTCCCTACTACAAGCTCCCCCTTGCTCTGTATTCTGATCATCACAGGAACCTCAGTTTTGAGACAACTGCCGAGGAACTCACTTCTGTCTTTGGAGAATATGGCTACGTTATCGAATCTGTATGTTGATTTTACTTCTTTCTACCCGACACGGGTAACCACGTTAATCACAACCAGGTTATCGAGAAGGACAAAAAAATAGATCGAAGTCGGGGCTTTGGCTTTGTCACGATGAGCACCCCGCACGAAGCGGTAGCTGCCATTAATAGTCTGGATCACTACGAGTAAGTTGTATCAAATCCTGTGCCGCATGATAAAAACTAAGATTAATCTGTTAGTTTGCATGGGAGGCCGCTTAAGGTTAATATAGCCAGACGCTAGGACGACGCTAGTAGTGTAGAATAAATATAGCTTCACAGGATGTCTACATACAGAAAAAAATGCTGGACGAAGCGATTAGCTGCATTACAGAGGAAATACGATGTAAGCTATTCTTTCTTCCAATGTTTCCTCACTATTGTTTGTATTTACTATAGTTTTGCTCCTTGTCAAGGCCCCGGGCTGGATACGTTGTGTAATGGCAGGCCCTGTCAGAAGCCTAATTTGTCTCCTCCGTCGCTTCGATCCGAATGGGACGCGGGTTGAGCCTCGTTTTTCTGTACTTTGTACGGCGATTTCCTCTCCATCCCCTTGCAACTGATCGACTATGCATCTGGAACGAGATCCATCATTACACAACAGCGATAATAACCTGACATAGCCCAGCGTCATGGTTCAGGCTGTGCCTTTTCTTTGGACCTCGGCACTGCACCGTTCTTCTGGAGCGGTAGCGGGAAGACGTTTGCACCGAAAATGCGGGTCCGGGACAAGAAACCATCCGAGCCAATGATCGTGGTCTATTCAGAATGAATATCCATGGATCGACATCTAGCTACCCTGCCCTAGCTAAGAACTATATAACTGAACCACCCCCCCAATCACAGCCTTGTCCTTCACACCTCTATAACCCAACCCTTCAACCACACACTATGTTATCCATCGGAATCAACTCCCACGGCAAACCATCCGAGTACCAACTCCTCGACTTCCCACAGCCGGAGATCACAGAGCCAACCGATGTGCTCATCAAAGTCCACGCCGCAAGCGTCAATCCGGTGGATTTGAAGAAGGCAGATGGGATTTTCAAGATAGCTCTCAAAGACTCGTAAGACCACGTCTATCTCCAGACTACGTTCAGCCCTTGGCAACCCACCCTGCTAAGCAAGAAACAACCTAGGTTTCCGTATAAAATCGGCTACGATGCCGCGGGAATAGTCACGGAAATCGGAACAGGCGTCGCGCGGTTTAGGGTTGGTGATGCGGTCTATGTTCGGTTGCCGGAGTCCCATCGAGGTGCTATACCACATTATTTCTTTATTTTTTTGGATACGAACCATACGCTGACCACTGACTGAGTAGGCGCATGGAGCGAATACGCCGTCTGTCCCGAGCGCTTCATCGCGCTAAAACCACCATCGCTCTCATTCGAGGAAGCAGCGTCTATGCCACTAGCCGCTACGACGGCGTATCAGGCGTTGAAGAAGTATGGTGGTGATCTCGCTGGGAAGACGGTGTTTGTCCCGGCTGGCTGTATGTCTCCTCGCTTTACTCTGCTGGAACGGATGTAGGTGTGCTAACCCTTGGAATTTGCAGTGGGCGGCACAGGCCTCTTCGCCTGCCAACTAGCCAAGCACGTCTTCCACGCGGGCAAGGTCATCACGACCGTTTCGACTTCAAAGGTGCCCAAGGTTGCCGAACTTCTAGGGGAGGGAACGGTCGATGAAAGTATGAAGCCCTATTTCAAATTCACCTCCAACCCCACCCCACAATCCACAGAGCTTCCCTCTAACAGCAGCAGTAATCGACTACAAAACAACAGCCCCTAAATTGGTCATCCCGCGCGGCACGATCGACTTCCTCTTCGACACCACGGGTTCCGCAATGGAGTACCTCTGCCTAATGCGTCCTCGGACGGGGTGTATCATCTCAATATCAACAGCGCCGTCAGGGACGCAGTTGCAGGATTCCGCCGCGATGAGACTACCTCATCGGCCTGTTCTCCCAATCATCCCGAGGGTTGTCTTGAACGTCGCGGATTCAGTGCGGAGGATGCGCGCGTGGCGGTATGGGGTAAGTTATGAGTATATGTTTCTGGAACCGAGTGGGGAGGATTTGGATTCGTTAAGGGGGTTTGTTGAGGGTGGGAAGGTCAGAACTGTTGTTGGGGAGGCGGTTGATATGCAGGATATCGAGGGGGTCAGGAGGGCGTGTCAGGTTGTTTATGAGAATTGGGGTGGGCTTGGAAAGGCGGTTATCAGGGTTGCTACGGCGGAAAGTCAAGAGTAGGCTTCTTTTGTGGCTGATTAATAGCTAGTTTATACAAAGTATAGGTTTATTTGTGGTCTGTATGTCCCATCCATCTCATAGTCCTTATTCGGAAGCTCGTGTTTGCTGTGATAAACTTTGTAGAACTCGCCAAACGCCACTCAGCAGTGACTCTGAACGTTAATGAGGTCCAGGCTACCTATGTAGATGCATTGATTGCGGTGCTTTTGACGACCCCGGAAAGGACGGCGGGATCGCCACGGGCTGCGTCGGCTCACAGACAGGGCTCCGAAGACAACCCAACTGGTGCACTCTGCGTGAGCTCTGCGAGTACATCGGGGCGCCGACAAACCAGCACAACACGAAACCCGACCCGGGCAAAATGAGCTGGCCGTCGTGGAGTGCAGCCGCCGCGGACGACATTTGGAGTAAAGGCGAAAGAACTGTAGCAGAGGCGATGGCCTTGGTGGTGGAAGGCGTCGATGAGAAGAACCGCAAGGGGAAGGAGGGTGTGTACTATAATGGGTATCGGGATGCTTCCAAGGTGCTTCCCGGGTTTAGCGCCACGGCAAGCGAGTACTACCGTGCGGCGCGGGAGCTGGGCGACGCGCAGGTGGCCGCGAGGATGGCGATTGAGGCGCAGCTTGGAGGCAATGGCCTCAATCCCGATCAGAAGAGGTTATTCAAGAACTGGAATATGGAGGGCGAGCGGGCCGTGAAGCTGGTGGTGGGCTTGCGGCGGAAGGACCTCAATGAGTTTGTGATCAAGCAGATGAGGCGGCCGCTATACTTCGGTCGACGGATTGCGAGGATGCCCATGGCAGAATACGAGGAGTTCGTCAAAATGCAGGGGGCGATGCAGCCTGATAGGGGAGGCACGATCGTCACGTACGAGCTCGAATACCCTGCTGGTCGTGAGCAGTTGATCAAAGATTATCATGCTGCGATGAGGAAGATATCCAGGACGCAGGACAACAGGGCGCATCGGAAGGCAGTGAAGAATTGGGAACTCTCGAACAACCAAATCATGGGGTGCAAGTAATTGACTCTACGAAGAGTATAAGTTCTGTCAATAGTCTCCAAGATGCATATAGCGCCAAGGCTGTTTGCTCACGTGTGCGTGGTGCGACTGTTGGGTATTGAACCTTTTCCTCTGCAACCATGTCTCTTTCTTGCAAGAGCAAACTTTTCCATCATGTCACCCGGGCTGCCAACGGAACTCATCCTTCAAATCGCATGCTATCTTGAGCCTCTGGATCAAATATCTTTATTGCAGGTATTTCCAACAATTGCTGGCCTTTTCAACTACCACCAGCTCGCTAGCACGGACGAGGATGGGAACACTATTCTACACCTCCAGGCTCGAGTGAACATCTACTCCGAGGACTCTACACCTCCTGGTGCTGGCATTCCTTTTTTCCCATCTATTCTAGACTGCAGCGAAGGCGACATCCTCCATGCCCAGAATCAAGACGGTGCGACTCCCTTGATGTGCGCGTCCTTTGCGGGTAACATCCCCTTTATGCGGCTACTTTTGACAAAGGATCCCCATGGCCTCAATCTGGTTGATAAATGTGGGTCAACGCCGCTGTGGTACGCGGTGCGTGCCAACAATGCGCCTGCGATTGCGTTATTGCTCGAACAGCCGTCAATCGATGTCAATCACCCACTGACGGAGGGTGAGGGCCGGCACGCATATCAAATAACTCCGCTGTTGCATGCTCTATGGGGCGGGCGGGGGAAATACGATGTTATCTCGCTTCTTATCAAGCACCCGGAGACCGACCTCACCTTCCCGGACCAAATCGGCCAGACTGCCATTCACCTGGCCATTAGCGAAGGTCGAGAGGATCTCGTTCAAGATCTGCTAGAATGCGGTCGCCTCGATGTCAATGCCGCCTGGGGCAACGGCTGGACTCCCTTACACGCCGCCGCCGCAGGTTATAAGGATACTAAATTCGTGAAGCTCCTACTAGCACAGGATGGCATTGATGTCAACCGGCCCACAAACAGCGGGGAAACTCCGCTAATGACAACCCAATCCGCCCGGTGCATGAAAGCCCTGCTTGCACATCCTGGTATCAAGATTAATCGTGTTGATGACTTTGGTTGGACGGCGCTGGGCTATACCGCATACCGCGGCGGCCGCCGGGCACTGGACTGTGCACATGTCCTTCTACGGCATGGAGCGCGCCCTGATCTCGTGGACCTGGACGGCTACACCCCGAGAGATAGAGCAGAGCAGGCCAAGCACTGGGAGATGGTGAAGCTATTGGAGGATGCCCTCGGCCAGAAGTGAACTTTGAGCTCATGTTGCTTTCTACCATTTTTATTCCGTATTACCGCTCCAACCAAAACAGACCTGTTTTTCTATCGCTCCTCTGTAAACAGGCAGAGATTTTCCCCCTTTAATCTTTAGGACTCTTGGAAGTGGCGACTTATCCCACTGAATGGCCGGGGTATGACCACCCATTGCCCTCGTGCGAGTCGAGCCCTTCTGTTGACCGGTCCGCTCATTCCGAACTGGGCCATCAGCTTCGAATAAACCCTGCTTAGCGGTGGCAATGTATGCAAGTGCCGTGCCGCAATGCAACGTCGATGTGACTGTGAGAAGCTCGCGGCTCGGGGAATGATTTCCACCATCTGGGCTTGGCGATCCTGACAATCTCGCGATCCGCTAATCACTGCTTGGTGTTTGTAGGGGCGTTCTGAACCCTGCCTGCAAATGCTGGCGTGCTGTGCCGCAACAGGTCTGGCCCGGTCCGTTCTTCGCGCAATAAGACTGTGTGGGGCTGGGTAATGCCCAGGGGCAAGCGAGGGATCTGAGTTCTTCCCATGGTGTGTAGGTGGAGCCGAAAAACTTCGCCTTTGTTTGGTCTCGCGACAGGAGTAATATAATTAATTTTGCGGGCCAGTAATGAGACCGCGGACGCTCTTGTACTCGCTTTACAGATTTTTGCAAAAACTCTGAAGTTTATATTAACAAAATGCTCCCCTGGATCTGGGTTTTCTAAATTTGTTCTTTAACGTGCACCTTTATTATGGAAGCAACCTCGGCCACCAGATATGGTAAATGCAGGGGCTCACCTGTTCCGAGTATGGAGGAAAGCTTAGCAGAGGATTGTAGAGTAATCTCGGTTACTGGGCTGTCTCAACTCACCCTACTCTTATTTACCCCGTTGCTCCGCAGGTACCGACCGGGGTAGATACTGCCTCGGCGCATCCTTGGTCTCGGCTGCACCCGCTTTCTCCTGTTTAGGATAATGAACCCAGTGACTCGACCTGAAGGATAGCCAATTTCTGCCGCTGGCTGGTGATTGTGCTCGCAGCGAAAGGATTTGTGGCTGCTGTTAGAACTTCAGGCTAATCGTTGGAAGGAGAGGCAGGCGCACAGTCACAGGCTCCGATCTACCTTTCTCCACCGTTGGGCGTTGCGATGTCGGCGTCCCTAAGAAGGGTGGATCTGGGAACTGCGCGGATCACAGGCGAGCCGAGCCGTTGTGCACAGATCTGATGCGTTCTCCAGGCTTGGGCATGAATATTCCTCCGATGGCATCGCCGTTTCTTATGGTAGTGTTCATGTCTAATGTGTGAATGGGTATAGATTTAGGGTTAACTGATGCAATGTATGCTGATAGGTTTACTTTAATGTGAGGAGACCCCCTGATCACCCCGCTGCTCTGTCCTGCTGGATTGAGGTCAGAAGACTCCGCGGGCAAGGGAATGGCCAGGAGTTTCTACGCACTTAGGCCCTTGCAGTTAGATAGAAACGGGATTTTTTTTAGCACCCACGGGAGTGCGGCGCTTCTATGGTGGATAGCTAGCTCGATCCGAACGCAGGCACGTCTGGCAGCGCGCACCTGCAGCCAGGGTCCGCGCCGCACACTCTCGGCAACCAACAAGTCTTCCAGGTTCGCGAGCCTGATTAGCTGGTCTTTACTAGCCTCGTGCTAGTGTAGGCATTATATCCAAGAACTGCATACAAACCTCACGGGGTTTCTCAGGCTAACCGGAGGAGACACGGGGCAGGTCCTGATACGACTGCGCTTCTAAATGTTACGCCCCTCATCTGAGACATGCATGAGAGCTGCCATTGAAGGATTGCCACCTTGTAAGTCAATCTGAATTGTCGGCGGTGTCGGCCGGGTGGTATAATAAGTTGTCCTAAATGTGATATCTCAAGAAATTGGTATAAAAAGCTCCTTGGGTGATCGGATCAAGGAGTGGCTGGAGAGAGCAGTCAACCAATATAATCCAAGACCTCTTCTTCCCGTCGTGGCTCAGTTATTCCAAAGCAATAATAGTACCGAACCCTGTCTTCCTCTTGACACTGGCCCTGAGCCTGTCAACGACCTCGCTCGCGGTCCGCGGTTACTCGCGTCAAATTGACACGCCGCAGCTGCCGTTTGACCCCAATACCACTCCGTACTGCACGTGGTGGATTGACAATGATGGGTCAAGCTCGTGCTCAGACATCCTCTCCGACTGGATTATCTCCCTCGATGACTTTAGGCGCTGGGTGGGGTGCTCCCCTCCACCGATATGGGGGCCTGCGATTGGCCTAACACCTCTCTAGAATCCATCCATTACTGCTGGTTGCGGCGGGTTGGAGACAGGAAAGCCCTACTGTGTAGAGGCGTGGGGAGAGCCCGTGCCTATGACTAGTACTTCTCTGACAACTACGGCTGTCCCCACAACGACGACTACAAAAGTGACTACTACGACGACTACTACCACCAAGACCGGAAATGCCCCTGGCCCCACCCAGTCGGGTCAGGTCGAGACGTGCAACCGCTGGGACCTTGTCCAGGACGGTGATACCTGCAGCGTGTACCTTGAAAAATACCCCGGTCTGTCGTTGGCGAAGTTGGTGGAGTAATCCTGCTATTGGGAGTCAGTGCCAGAACCTGTGGGTTGAGACATATGTAAGAAACTTCCATGCGTCCCCGTACGCGGAAGAAGACATACGTTGCTAACGAGCACATCTAGCTCTGCACGGGCATCGAGGGATGGTCTACACCTACGACCACCACGGCTACGACTACTACCTCTCCGCCGGGTAACGGGATCCCAACCCCAGCGCCTACGCAGCGAGGCATGATCGCAGACTGCAACGCGTTCCATGAAGTGAAATCCGGCGACACGTGCGCGAGCATCGCCCAGAGTGCAAGCATCTCGGTCTCGCAGTTTACGGCGTGGAACTCCGGCGTCGGGACGGGCTGCACCTCGCTGTGGCTCGGGTACTTTGTCTATGTCTCGCGAGTGGGTGCTATGGCGACACTGACTACGACAACCACAAGCGCAGGTAACGGGATCGCCACGCCAACCCCAACACTTCCCGGGATGGTGGCGAACTGCGATGCTTTCTACCTAGTGAGATCAAGTGACGGGTGTGCCGCGATAGCCAGCAGCAAGGGAATAAGCCTTGCGCAGCTTGACGCGTGGAACACGAATCTCGGGACCGGCTGCACGGGGTTATGGGCTGAGTACTATGTCTGTATTGGTGTGCTGTGATCAAAGGGGTTGGGTTTGCTTCAATCCTGGCAGGAGGTTCGGTCGAACAGCAACGTGGAACTAGATGGCTGACACTTTGCCTACCGAATGGGATGAATGACCTTGAATCCAAATGAGTCAACCATACGATCCTCATCATCATTGATTCGACCCTGATTCGTAGCATTCGAGGAATTCAATTCTTGACTACCAGAAACAAGGACCACTTCCACGGATGAACGAGTCGTACAGATATGACAAAGGTATCCAGTCTCTAGTCGACCCAAGTACTAACCCTCCATATCGCCATTTGCTATGAATAATTAAATCTCAGACACATGCGCTGCTAAAAATGCATCAACAGGTCTCAGACCCTTCGCAAGGCCCTCCCCCAGCGCATCCCGACAGCTGGCCACCGTATACGCCCCCGGAACCTCATTCGCCCATCGCATCGCAGGCGCGACCGGGCTCCCAGCCTTGATCCTCTCATTCAGCTCGTCCTCTGACCAGTACCGCACTTTGGCCTCCACCGGTTTCCCGTCCTTGCCCAGCGCCCGACTAAGCTTATCGGCCAATTGACCCATGCAAAAAATAATATCTTGGTCTAGCTATCAAATGGCCGAGTGGTGCTTATGTGGGCAGTGGCGAGGGGCCCTGAACATGTCATGAAGGAGTTGATAAAAGTGAGGCAATTAACATGAATACCAACAATGAATGCGCAAGCCCGTTGGCTATAGCCGCTGTAATAAGACGGGAAACAATATTTGAGGCCCTATTCGCTCATCCACATGCTATCAGAACCACTGTCGTTATAGTTTTGCCTGCATTGATGGGAACAAAGCCAGTATCATGAAGACCATGGTTGATGCGATCCCAGGGAGCTTCCACCTCCATTATAATCGCACAGGAGCGGAAGCACTACAGCTCGCCGCCGAATATGGAAGCTAAGAGGTGCTCCAGTACCTCCTCTCTCAAGAGAGTGATGTCAGAGAGCAAGGAGATCGATACCTTTCGACATGTATACCTGAAAGTTCAAGAAGACTTTCTCCAGTTCCTTGTCCGTCGAGAGGTTGACATCGACTTTATAGAGAGCCTCGGGAAAGGTGCACTGGACCATGCTGCCAGGTCTATGGACATTAACAAAGTCAGGCTTTTCTTGAAGCATCCTCGCGTGGACGTCAATGTAACCGCGGGGGCCGAAGCAAACTGCGATCACACCCCTCCACGTCGCGGTCCATTACACGGTCGCGAATCAAGACGTCATCAGAGCCCTTCTGGGCCACCCAGATATTCAGGTCAATGTCCGCGACAAAGACGGAAGAACACCACTAGCCTGTGCTGCCATGTTGGGCAAGCTGGCTCTTGTTCAGCTACTCCTTTCGCGGGATGATGTAGAGAAATCTCCACTCGATGAGTCTGGAAATACGCCGCTTCTGCTCGCTGCTCAGAGAGACCATGCCAGTACCGTGGATCTCTTGTTGTCGCAGCCAGATACTCACGTCGGGCATGCAAATCAGCAGCGCAAGACGGCATTGACCCTGGCGGTCGAGTTTGGGGCATCCGCAAATTGTATGCAGGTTACTTGCCTCGAAAATTGAGAGCAACAAAGGATGACGTGAAGGGAGTACGGGAGGAGGTTGAGGCTCGTATTAATCGGAAGACGCCTGCTAAGGAGAAGCTTTGGAAATCGTCGGAGTGCCTTCGGCTACTATCAAAGTGGTTAGAGAAGGAGTCTGGGCAAAAGCAGGGAAAGGAGGCATCTCGGTAGACAGGCTTGACGTCTTCGCATGCGGGATCGTAGTCACATTCAGCAACTACTCAATGAGGGAGGCGGAGGGTATCTCCGTCGTCGCATGGAAAGAGCGACCCGGACGGGCTGCAGGTAGTCTCATCACCCCCCATAGATAATTCTCTCTCTTTCATTGTCATCTTCTGGTGATTAACAACCCCACTACTATGCTCACTGAGACGCCGTACTGCTTGTGACATAGGTTGCCCCTGTCTTCCTAATCCTGTACGCGCATCGCACGGGAGAATCACTAGCAGAAGTCTGATTGTTCGTTAGCTAAGGCTTCAAGTCATGATATTCCAGAGTAGAGCAAAAGAAACTACTCCAACATCCCAACGATTCACTTCCAGCTCCATGTCATGTCCAGATTCTGCTCCAGACCAGATCCAAGCAGCGTCGTACCAGGCAGTGAGTATCCTAGTCCTGCTCAACTGTTGCCGAAGATCCAACGCCCGCGTCCGACGCCTCGACCAAGACGACTTTCCTCTCACCTCCAACGTCCTGAATCACCGGCTCCGCGTGGTTGTTCTTCTTCTTTCCCTTTCTCTTCTTCTTCTTCCCTTTCTGCTCTTCCTCCAGATTCTCCGAGCTCTGCGCGCTTTCGGCGCTCTCCGCTTGCTGCAAACCAACACAGTTACAACCAGCAGCACAATCAACGGGAGAAATGTTGACGTCCAAGTCCGGGGTAAGAATGCGCGGGTACTTTAAAGCGTCAAGATACCACTTGCTGCCACGACGAGCACGGTTGCTGAGTTTCTCCTTCTTGCTCCTGTTCTTCGTGTCGGTGTTACCCTCCGCTTCGCCATCCGAATGCTCGAATACATCGACGGCATCAAGCAAGAGTCGAGCAAAGTCCGTCTTTGGATCGGTGCAGACTTCCTTTTTCTCTTTCTTCTCCTCCCCTTTCTCCTCCTCATTTGCCTCTTCTGCTTCCTTCTCTTCCTTTTCTCCGCCATTGCGACGCTCGCGACGCTCGCGAGACTCTCGAATTCTCTTCTCACGGCGGTCTGTGCGACGGCAAGAGCGACAGTTCTCGACGGAACACCACTCATGGATTGGAGGCTCGGTCCTCATGTCCAGCTTGGGTGGAATGGGGTCTAGGCCATCGACGATCTCCCAACGTGCCTTGTTTTTTTCTTCATCGTCTTTTCCTTCGGTATCACCGCCAGCCTGCTCATTCTTCGCCGCAGCGAGAATCTTCTTGTAACTCGAAACTCGTATGTACTCTCCCGCAGCAGCGTCAACCATGAACAGGATCTGCTTCGAGTCGGAACCACTGCGGTAGATCTTCAGCGAGTCTCTAACAGAGCTAAGGCCACGTTGGGTTCCTCCGAATCCGGGCATGAGCCTCGGGGCTAGCCACCAGTTTCGAATTTGTCGATAGAGACCACCACTGGGCCCCTCCAACAGGAATACCAACTGCCGCGCACGAGAGAGGAAACAGTGAGCACGAGCAAGGTCGGAGTGGTGACCCGCGATCATGGCGCACTTCACCCAGATCATAGCGAGGCGGTTGTCGTATACGTACGCCCGACGAAGCTGCTGGATGAGGTCAAGCGCAAGCTTCAGTGCGAGAGCTGGCTTATCTGCGATGATAAAGCGGTCATTGAACACTGGTTCGAGACGCTGGTATGCATGTAGTGCATTCTCAAACGATTCCGTGGGCTTCGCACACACGCAGCAGGCACACTTGAATCCAAAATGATAGTCGGTCTGGCTCTGGCGCATCTTCGCAGTCCCAGCAGTCTGGCCATAGGAGATGCAGATTTCCACGCCAGCCCTGATCTCCGTGATGGCGCGGACGACGGCACGGCCCAACTGAGGTTGCTTGTCATACTGCGGGATTCCATCATTATCGAGCGGATAGATGCTCTCGTAGGTCATGAAAGCATTGGGGATACAGCCGTGGTTGATGTAGGCGAGGTTGAGACCGATGATGCCACCTCGCTTGCCGGACCAGGTAGTTGGCAGGTGGTGCGCGTCCCAGATCCCGCCCATAATACCATATTCCTTGACCTTCGGGCGTGAGAGAGCCATGAACTGCTTGAACCACTCCTTGCCGTGTTTCCGAGCCTTGCGTCGAATCATTGCATTTGCTTCGTCCATCTTCCGACACGACTCCTGCTCCTCCTGCCAGACGGTCACCAGCTGATCGGCGAAGATCACCGTTCCCGCGCGGATATTCTGCAGAGCGACGAGACCGTATCCCATTTCCTTGTTGACCAGGCGTCTTTCAAAAGCGGTTGCAGGAAGGATCTCCTCTTTCATTTCTGTGCCGTTCGGGGGCGGGAAGGGGAGATTTGTGGGGAGGCGCTGGAGGAGCTCTTCGCGGGCATCTTCAGAGGCATTGCTGTTTGTGTTTCCGTCAATCTCCTTCAGGTACGTGGCGAGTGCTGCTTCGGCGTCGATCTCTGGCTGGCGTTTGGCTTTGCCCTGTGTCTTGGTTGCCGATGACGGACATGACGACGACGAGGGCGAGGGGGAGGGGGGAGATGGTGTGGTCGGCAGAGATGGCGAGGGAGGAGCGCAAATTGCCAACGGAGCCGGTTTGATTGGGAGTTCGGTGAGTGCAACGGGGCGAGGAATGGGAAATATTGGTGAGATGGGTGAGATGGGAGGAGGGACTGGGAGGACCAGGATACTCTCCTCCTCTTCAACGTTTTGATCCTCACCCTGATCCTTCTGCTCGTCGTCTCCCTCCTTCTTCGGTTCATCGTTGCCCTCTTTCTCCTGCTCGTTGTCGCCCTCATTCTCGCGCTCGTCGACACTGTTGTTCCATTCCTCGCCGCGAGCCTCACTCTCCTTCTCGTTGTCATCCCTATTCTTCAGCTCGCTGTCACCCTCGGTCTTCTGCTCGTCGTGACCCTCGTTCTCCTCCCAGTCGACAGTCTCATTCTTCTGTTCAGCGTTCTCCTGCCCAACGGTTTCCTCTTTCTTCCCCTCATCTGCAGCGGGCTCGGTTATGTGTATCTGTTCCTCTGCTTCCAGTTCGTCCTCTTTCTTCTCGGTGTCATCCTTCTTCTCATCCTTCTCAGCAAGCACACCAAGCTCCACACCAAGCTGAAGGGCAGAAACCGAAGCAATGACGGTTTCAGTCACCTCACCCAACTCAACCTGCTCCTTCGCCCCCTTCACAAACATCGTATCACCCACATTCTCCTTCAAACCACCCACACCCAACGGATCGTCACCAGCGTCACCTTCAGAAGAGTCTCCATCCGCATCCTCATCAGGCGTCGTCTCGCGCTCTGACAAGGAGAGCTGTCCATTTTGGTCAGTCCCAAGCTCAGAGCCCGACTCCGAGTCTGAGTCCGTGTTGCTGTCGTAGTCGCTGTCGCTCTCGGAACCCAGAGCCGCGAGGATGTCTGACATTGTAGCGAGGATTCTGTCAGTTTCTTTCTTTCTCACTTGTGAAGGGAAAGGACAAAGCAGGGGAAGAGGAAAGAAGATGGGCTTTCAGGGAATGAAAGGGAGAGTAGAGGAAGGCTGGGCTGGGCTGCTGCTTGTGTTATGCTGTTTGGGTTGGTGAAGGGGGACTCACGTGATGTGATGAAACCTAACAGATTCTGCAGCATTTTGGCCAAAGCACTTTTTCCTCTTTGAGGCCAGGCATGCAAATTCTGGGAAACGAGGAGGAGGTCTGGGTCTGCTTTCGTAGCAAAAGGTTGCAGTGGGTGTTATAGCCAGCAAAAAGTGAGAGTCGCTCTGCAAAGTGCAGCAGTTGAGGGGGAAGGTAGATGGTAATCCTCCTTAGAGGGGGGCTCTAGTGTTGCTCCTATGGCAGGAGCTCGAGGTGCTGACGGTGCTGATAAGGAAGCAATGCTAAGGGGTAAAAAGAGGATAGGGTCAAATGAGGAATCAGGATGTAGGAAATAGGCCAGATTCTCTTGTGTTCCCGGCGTTGTATTCGCCATGGCGACAGGCACAACCTTCCCTCACAACCACTTTCAAGAACATGGTTTGTAAATAAAGCAGGTGAATTTCTTTAATAAGAGCGCTATTTCTTTACTTACAAGTGAAAACAACTTAGAATAAGGCTATTATCCAGCATAGCCTACGAGCAAAGGACTGAGCAGTCTTTCTCGCTGAATCTCATTGACTCCGCTGAACTTGAGATCTCCAGTCCGAGCTCAGTTCAGCCTTTACCTTGGCCCCTGGGAGGAGAGCAGGGGGCTCGCTAAACTCGACTCATGTGCTACTTTGCCTGATACGTATGTGGCCTTTCTCTGGAGTGGTAGATTGAGAACGGTTGGGCCCTGCTGTTAGGACTGGCCCGTGGTGTTGCATGTACTCCGGAGACCACAACTAAAACGATGCCTCAGATTAAGCACTCCATGGCCTCCAACGGCTATTAAATGAAGTAAAAGTGGGCTCGTTAGTCATTAATATTTCATCTGGGCTGTAAACTAACTACATACTGTGACAGGTGACTAAGTCAAGAATACAGCAAGCGGGGGGAAAGAAGTACCAGCTATCGCGATCACTATCTACGTCGCCGGAATCCAAGAGTATTCTGCGTCTCCCATCGGAGAGGTTCCCATTTATCAAAGCCTGGAGTGTCATCGTCGGCTGTTTCGGTTTCGAGGTCGTCGTCATCGTCCTCGCTTTGGCTTTGCTTGTTGGGCTGTGTGGTAGAGGTAGAGGAAAGTTCCTCTGGATCAATGTACTCGAGGTCCATCTCGAGATCGAAATTGCGCACGTCGTCCTCGGCCATCAGAAACTGGCCTAGTTTCAGAACAGCGTTGAACGCTTCTTTACCTGTTGGAATAATGTACTGCGACGGAAGTAGGAACCCATAGCTTCCACGGTCGCGTAGCTTGATTTGATACGCGTACCGCGCGCGCAGCTGGTGGTAGAACCAATCCAGTGCGCTGCCGCCGGAACTTCCGCCGATGGGGAAGAAGCGCTTGGCGGGCTTCTCGGCTGTGACAATGCCCTCGCAGGCAGATGTGACGTCGTATATTTCGTGTGTCGTTAGGCGAATTACCTTGGCGAGGCCGAGGCCGAGTTCTTCAAGGCTCTCGAGCGTAGGCGGGACCGAGGAGCAGGAGAATGAGAATGGGTAGAGGATTTGCTGAGAGTAAGAGTGAAAGTCCATGAAGCCAACGATATGCGCGTTGTTGTTTTCAGTTTCGTTCAGGGCCCATTGGGCGAGTTGTCTAGCCTCGAAGCCTTCAAATGGCTCTTCGCCAGCGTAGTTTTCTGAGCACGGGTTTGATTGCGTTTGGTCGCCGTCCCATTCGTAGGCCCAAGACCGGTCTAGGTCGACTCCGGGGCAGAAGCGAAAACTGGTGGGTTGGCGGTTCTTGCGCCAGAGGCGGTCAGTGTCCCAGGTATAAGCATATCCATCGGGATTGATTGTCGGAACTAGAACCCAGTCGTAGTCTTGCAAGAGATGGGTGACCGCCTCGGATTTTCCGTACCTAGTCATCAGGTTATATGCAATGTATGTGACTGTAGAGGTGCTGATCCACTCCCTGGCATGGCTGCCGCCGACTATCAGGATCACCGGGCGCGGTGTGGTCGATCTTTGCGAGTCAAGCGGGGCTCCAAGTCGTAAAGCAGGGATATCGCGGCCTTCGTAAGAAGATCCCACGCTTGTCAGTTTAACATGTGTCGAGAACATCGAAGCCATCAGCTGCATCCAGGGTACAATGACCGACAACGGTTGGTATTCGCGGAAAAACAGGTCCGAAGATTCGCGAGCGGAGGGGCTAGCGGCAGGATGTCCGTCGAGTCCGACAGGTCGGCCGGGGTATGTGGCATAGATCATCTCCGGCAGGTTGTCGATGAGAGGCGTGTAGGCAGTTTGAAGCGAGTCCGGCAATAGCCCGAGCAAGGAAGGGATCTTAAAAGGTCAGCTAAGATAACTTTCGATTCTGCGTTAAGAGCACGTACGACTTCCTCTGCCAGGCGGATATCAACAAACTCGGGGGTAGACGCCCAGACATCCAGGAAAAGGACGTCGGTCGCCTCTACCAATGCCTCTGCCTGTTTTGTATCTTGCACACGAAACCGGAGAACGACGTCACTTCCGTATCGCGCGAAGCCCCGGGGAGGTGCGGCGTGTTCCTGAGACGGAGGACGCGCAGTGTGTGTTTTGGGAATACCCCATATTGACTCGATGACCCAATCTCGAAGGCGAATCCATGGTCGTTGCGGGTTGGAAGGCGATGAGAGAAGCGAGACAGGTTCGATCGGAGGTGAAGGAGTGATGCTGGAGCCGGCGGGGACGGCGACACTCCTGGTCGCCGATGCGACCAGCAGGAGTAGGTGGAAGAGCGTCAGAAGAGAGCGCATGATATGAAAATGATTTTCTTCAACACAACATTTCTTCAATCTCGACCAGCGATCGGGCGACGATTGATTATTGGAAGGAAAAATCACGACGATGGATGACGATAGGCAAGGGCCAAGGCTCAACTCGCAGGAATCAGTGTGGCGGTGCAGCTGCCTGAGGCAGAAACGTCAGCCCACTTTCAACGATTCCACATGTCAAATGCAGAACGGCGTCACGACTCCGTACTTGCTTTATCCTTCAATGCTATCTTCATCGCAACTCTCTTTTCGCTGGCAATTGCCATACTCTCCATGCCAAGGATGACCGTGCAATCTCAGGTTTGCTGTTTAGGCATCAGAATTGATTGTAGTGAGCACTATGGAATCCCAATTGGGTTTAGCGGCCCAGATCGTTGGGTCTTCCAGTCCGACGATTTCTCCGGCTTCAGGATTCTCCAGTCTTGCGGTCTGGACCCGGCCCTGCAAAAGGGCTTAAACGTCACCTTCTAGACTTGGTTTCCCTTCGAGCCATAGACTGTTTCCTGGAATTGAGTCTTGAGACGCGTGTCAATCCGCGAGGTTCTCCCATGCGTTAGTAATCGAAGAGTCAGAGATATATAATCGCCCTCCTGGATAAAGGACTCTGCACACAGATGCTTCAAGTTGGGGCCTCAGACTCGGAACCGGAGTTCATCACACTGCCGCTAGAGTTAAGAAGCTGAACTTCCGTAATTTACGGATCAACCATTTGTGAGCTTGCAGTCAGGGTTAATATGTATTCATTGTCAACGGCCACAGCCAAAATAGAAACAACCCAACCCACCGATGTTCCAGGTTCCACCAACACACGCAGCTTTTTCATCATCTGCAGCGTAGATAATCGAGGCCCAGGAATCGGTCTGGAACCCTCGAGGAGACCCGGAGCATCATTACCTTGTTGAAACAGCTTGAGGATTCAGTGTGAGATGCGAGACATTATTTTGTATCGGTGCTGCGCCCAGAACACACGTGCCCACTGCCCAGCGGCCAGCCTTGTTCCGTTCGGCCCATTGATTTCTCGTCCAGCATCATCTTGCATGTCATCCCAGCTTCTTACTACTGTTCATTTTTCGCCCACTTCCCCCTCAAACTGTTGTGGCCATCGTTGTAGAGCCATCTTTATCCCGGATAGTGAACCGCTTTCTTTGTCGGCCTCTTCCGCCCCAAGCTAAGCTCGACAGTACCTTGGATCCCTCTGCCGCCCTCTCCCCTCACTCTCACTCAACTGTCTTTTGCGCGTCTCATCAGCTCACGACACTCTCACTTTACGGCCAAGAAATGTAAAGGAGAGCCTTTGTTGATCAGCTATTACTGTTGCTCCAATTCCGCACCATTTATTGTTCTCCTCCTGATCGGCTCTTCGTACCCCTTCGCCCCCTTTTTCCGCGAGTTTCACTCCTGCTTCATCGACCGTCAGCTTCGCTTCTCCCCTCCTTGTCGTCTCGACCGGCTCCATTTCCACCACTCCTCTCATTCGCGATGACCATTGACCTCCATTAAGGTGGCTCTTCGATCCAACCGCCAAGCACAACGCCGACACAAATCCCCGCGGACCGCACCGCTACGTGCAATTACAGACGGATGTGCTTGCAAGGGTTGCGTATGGGTCTTACGGACATTCCTCCCTGCAGGACCATATAACATACGCATTTCTCTGTGCCATCGCCATGCATTGGAAAGGATTACGGCTCGGCGCGTTATATGACAGCGAGAAGCGACATTTGACCGAGCCGCAGATACAGTCCCGCCATAGCGAACAATTGCACCGTCCGACTCAGTCAACAACGAACCTTGCCCCGCGAAACTCTGAATCTTTACCTCGCTCACCGATCTCCGCGGAAGATGACAACGATCATGGCGAAAGTGGTGGAAACAAGGGTACCTTCTTTGCAGGAAACACGTCGCTCAAGTCCAAGCTTCCCAGTGCCCTCCATGCAAGTCGGGACAACCTGCATATGCGCGGAAACCGGTTCAGCTTGATGAGGCTTCGTCATGCCTCCGATCCCCAGCTGTCAAAATCATATGCCAAGGGAGAGGCAGAGGCCCAGACCCCACCAGTTCCCAGCATACCTCCGCGTAAGTGATACGAGTTACCCCTACTCTTAACCTCTCTGGTCGCTAATTGAACCTTGTTTCCTTTGTTTCTAGCCCCCACAATTATAACTACAGCACCGACAAGCCATGAGCTAGACCAACCCGTCAAACGAAAAAACAAACTCAGGATCCTCCCGGACTCTAGGAAGTTGTCAATGGAAGCACTGCCGGAACAGCAAGCCGTGTCTGGCGAAAGGCCCAAGAACGACACTCGGGATTCAACAGGTTCGCAGAGCGCTGATCCGTCGTTATCCGCCTCGAGAGTCAGCACTGAAGAGCCCGGACGCTTATCAACGACGTCAATTCGAAGCGCTGGTCGCGATCGACCCAATGGCTCCCATCGCTCTTCTGTCGTGGACGTCCGATACTCCGAATCTTCTCGCTCCGACCAAAGTACGGGGGAAAATGGGATTTCCAGGACCAACTCACCTGGCGGCACCTCTTCTGGCACCAAACGTTTCCGTATGCCACGGCTGAAGCGAAACCGCGGACCACTTTTCCCGCTACCCCCAAAGCCTACTGGATCCCAGTTTGGAGCAGATGGACCAACAGCCGGCCTGACGCAGTCCAAGTCTGTTCCGGACGGCCCAACGCGAAGATCCGATGCCTCGGACGGACACGATCACATATCTCCACTACCCTCTCCATCTCGGTCTTCAGCTGGTTTATCGGCCTCGCGCCCACCCCTCTCGCGAAAAGATTCGTCCAACTCTGCAAACTCGGCACACTCGACACCGTCTGTGCGAAACCGTGGTCTGTTGGCGAACAGGGCAAGATCATCTACCCTTGATTCAGTAACGAATATGCGGGATACCGAGTACCAACCATCCCCTCCTCTTCCTTCCTCTGGCAGGACATCCTTTTCGACTACCGGGCGTAAGAGTTTTGGTGATATATTTGGCATCTCAAATCGATTAAGGCAAAATTCCGAACCAGGTTCTGTGCGCAACAATGGTTCGCCCGGTGGTACAAAGGCCGCGTCAACACCTCTCACAAAAGTGCAATCCTATCCGGAACGGCAGGAGGACGACACTCCTGCGACTTACCTCACGCGACTCGAAGAAAACATCCCCAAAAGCACTATTGCTGGAGTTCTTTCTCAGTCGGGCGAGGACTTTTACAAAAATGCGCTGCGAAAGTTTATGCGTGGGTTTGCTTACTTTGGCGATCCTATCGACATGGCCATTCGAAAATTGTTGATGGAAGTAGAGCTTCCCAAAGAAACGCAACAGATTGACCGATTTCTCCAGAGCTTTGCAGATCGATACCACGAATGCAACCCGGGTATCTTTGCATCGACGGGTAAGTTGTTCGTCCTATTGATTTTCCCCGTCTAGGTACTGACATTGGGTTAGATCAAGCATATTTCATTGCGTTTTCGATTCTCATTCTTCATACCGATGTCTTCAACAAGAATAACAAGCGCAAGATGCAAAAAGGCGATTACGTGAAGAATACTCGCGGTGAAGGTGTGGCAGAAGATATCCTGGAGTGCTTCTACGAGAATATTTCGTATACGCCGTTCATTCGAATCGAGGACTCTAATATGAGCACGCGGCATCTTGCGAAGCCTCGCAAGGCGTTGTTCCGGGTTCCTAGTGCGGAGAACCTTTCGCGCGTTGCCAGAGAGCCCGTCGACCCATACGCATTGATCATGGATGGGAAGCTAGAGTCTCTTCGACCAAGCCTCAAAGAGGTCATGAACTTGGAAGACCCATACGGATGCAACCCGACCACCGGCCCATCCGATATCGACAGCTTACACGAGGCCTTTGCCCAGTCTGGTATCCTACAAATCATCTCTGCGCGGTCACGGCCGGATGCTTTTATGCCAGCCAGCATGATCAACCCAGCCGATTCCACCCCTGGACTGGTGGATATCAAAGTGGCCAAGGTAGGCTTACTCTGGCGCAAAGACCCAAAGAAGAAACGAGCGCGCTCGCCGTGGCAAGAATGGGGTGCTCTCCTGACTCTCTCACACTTGTATTTCTTCAAAGACGCGAATTGGGTCAAATCCTTGATGGCACAGCGCGACTCGCACCAGCGAGAGGGTCGCCGTCGGGCAGTAGTGTTCAGACCGCCATTGACGAATTTCAACCCTGATGGAATGATGTCAACCGATCATGCGGTGGCCCTCTTGGATTCCAGTTATAAAAAGCATAAGCATGCTTTCATCTTTGTGAGGCCCAACTCTCTGGAAGAAGTCTTCCTAGCCAACAATGAGGCGGACATGAACGACTGGTTGGCGAAACTCAACTATGCGGCAGCGTTCCGGACCACAGGAGTCGGAGCGAAGGGCCTGATTGTTACCAAATATGATGCCCAGCGAAATCGCATGAGCCGTCGTCCCTCGTTCAGGTCGGACATATCGCACGTCTCCGGAGACAAAGAACCTACAACCCCAGGTTCAGGCCCTGGCCCAACTGACGAATTGATGGCTGCTCGAAAGAGACTTATTCAGCAGAAGATCAAAGAGGCGAACGAACAGCTCTTCACGACGCAAAGGCAGCTAGATGATATTCTGAGGAATGCTCGGCACCTGCAAATCCTAACTCCCGTCCACTTCCGCGCCCGAGAAAACCTGATCATGGCTGCCGGTCGCATGGCTGCCAAGCTCAAATGGGTCCGACAGGACCTCTGGCGCACGAGATGCCATCGAGAAGTCTTGGTCCGTGACCTAGGCGAGGAAAGTGATCAACTGAAGCCGGCGCCAGAGCCACAGCGTCTTCGCTTAGAAATCCCAGCTTCGACGTCTTCGCTAGCTGACTCTGTCTCCGCAATTTCTCCCCGCGCAGATAAGCCAGCATCACCGATTCCAAAATCCCCCGCCGCGCTCTCCGAAAAGCAGGCATCGGTCTACCAGGTTTCGTCTCCGTCTTCTAGCCTCGGCGGGGTGCGTCGTCCTAGCCTTGCCACCTCGGTGACCTCACCGGACCTGATCGCCCGTGCTGGTAGGCCGCCCTCTATCGATAACACCAAAGAGCGAACGAACTCTGTCTCCCCGAACCCACCGAATGGACTGGAACGTGAACCGTCAGTGCTCAGCTCTGCCAGCAAGATGGACGTCGCAAGTCTTGCCTCCAAGGCATCTAAGCTGACGCTTCCTGGAAGCTTTGATGACGGCGAAGAGCGTCTGCTCCGTGAAGCCGGTCTGCTGGATGCGGCCAGTTCGCCTTCACGAAAAGGATCAGTCGCTATCGAAAGCGTGGACTCTGAACCCAAGAAAGACGAGGCACAAGACGCGTCCCAGAGCGATCGAATGAGTCGAGTCCGGCACAGCTTCCACCGCACATTGCGCGATTCATCCAGCGGACACCACGGAAACCACCCCAGGAGCAGAAAGCGCGACTCTACACCAAGTGCCTCTGCCCTCGAAGACGGCCAAAGTGGCGAAGGCGGCCTTTCCCGCAAGGGAGGCAGCTTCACCGTCCACGGCAAGAAAGCGTCGATTGTGACCTTTGGATCGGACTGGCAAAACATGCCACCAGAAGAACGTCTCAAACTCCGAAAACCTACCCCGTCAGAAGAACCCCGGGCATCAGACACAGACCTCATCAGTGTTGGAAGCTCTGTCCGATCTGGCGTAAGGGCATCCATGGATGTGCCACGAAAGGTGTCCGAAGAAACACACCGTGACCTTCTGGACACGCGCTCCGTGCTCTCGGAATCAGCCCTCTCCGCCCCCATTTCCCACGACGACGAACCCATTTCCCCCGCAACGGTCACGCACGACGACCACTCTTCCATACAGGCCGCCAACGAGAAGACCGTCGATGAACTGGAGAACTCATCGATGCCACAAAGCTATCCTCAGCAGGCCGTGAATGCATGAAGCCTGTCGAATAAATACATTATTCTTCATGACGACATTTATACCCTTTCGTTTCATCTTTTTCTTTACTTTATTCCTTGGCTACGTCTCAGCGTCTTCATCTATAACCCTTTCTTTTCTTATTGGAGCGAACTTGATAGACTTAAAACGCCGCAGTGATTTAGCTTCATCTCCCTCTCTCTCCCTCTTTCCTCTTTTTTTTCCCTTTTCTCTTGTATAGCCCCCAGGCACGGGCTCGCGGTTGAATGGTCGAGTAAGAGCGGAGGGCGGACCGGTCATTCTCTGTGATGGGTTGGGATGGGGATACTTTAGTTACTTACTCGTTGGTGGGGGATTTGCTATTCTGCTCGTGATTGTGTTTATGATGCGACTGATTGATTGATTGATTGATTGATTGATTGATTGATTGATTGATTGATTGATTGATTGATTGATTGATTGATTGATTGATTGATTGATTGATTGATTGTGAATGGGACGGGCATGGCGTGGCATGGCATGGCATATCTGGTAAATACAGCAAGCATGTAGTACGGGCAATTCAAAAGTCGAGTTAAACATTCTCTAGAGAATATATCTGTACCGTGGTATACGTGTCACAACGTGTTGAATCTCACTTTTTATCTCTTGAAGTGCGCCACTTTAGCTGGCTTGAGCCTGGGCATAGAGACGAGAGCGAAACCGGGAGTCCCGAGCTGAAATGAGATCCATGGCTGGATAAGCCAAGTCACCAAGGTTCTGCTGGGATTTTTGATCAAGGCCTCATTCAAGTCCATCGAGTCCAGAGAGGTGCAATAAATAGGATGAGGCGTGCATTGGCTAAAACTGAATCGTTATTGAAGGTGATGCGAGGAGGACACTATCTCTTCTCCAGAAACCCTGGGAATGGCCAGGGCACAAACAAGCGGGAAACAGCAGGCCCCGGAGCCACCGAGTTATGGTGCCAAGATATAGATTGCATAGGCTAACTATCAGCCCACCGTTCTCGAGCTGCTGTTCTGGCAGGTGTGTAGACCGTCAGACTGACTTGATTGGAGAAGTACGTATCTACCTCGTTTCTCACGAGTGAGACGTCCTGGTGTGGCGACGCCCATGGGAATGTGCTTGGCGAGACTACCTAACTGACTTATCTATCATCTTCGGGCTTTCAGCGGGCGGAGTTGCAACGCTCCGATCTCTGGTGCTCCTGGCGGCCAAGGCCGATTGTCTTGGAAGAGTGGAATGGCCAAGCTTCATTGATGCAGGTGCTGTGCTCGCCGACGCTGATACTTGGAGCAGAACAGACAACGACCAAAGACCGGCATATACGGGCTCTGTTTAGGTGATGGGGCGATAAATGTCAATTTTCGATTACAGAGGAATGGGCAGAGAAGTAAGGGGAGGGTGAACTTTATGGCCAGGTACCTAATTTCGAGCCCGGGAGGCGCAATGTTGGCTGACGTTCTTGGCTTCAACTCTGAGGCAAATAATGTCCAATCACGGGATAGAGAAGAGAAGATAGGCTCAAGCTCGCCAAAAGAAATCGGGTCTCATTGAATCTTGACTCCGCCGAGATCATGTGATATAAGAGATTGCCGCGTGTAACCTCCTTTTGCGGGACGATGTCGCAGCTCGTGATCTGGGGGCCGTCGCAGGCAGCATGAGGTCCCAGGTCAGCCTTATCTTTGCACAGGCAGATTTCGTTCCCAACGCCCGAGCATGCAACAATTCGTATTCAATCAGGTCTGCCTCGTGCCCTGTGCCCTGAACCATCATCTGCACACAACACACACTGCAAAATCACAGCCCAAATCGACCAGATTGTGCGAGGTCGAGCCAAGCAGGAGACGAAAAGTCTGGGGAGAGTCGTTCCATGGACTGAGCGGCACGTAAAGATAAGATTCCGAGCTAATTAGCTAACGGGTTGTGTGGGATTGGCTGTTCTTCCCCCTGGAGAGGCTCCATAATTTTCCAGAACAACTGCACCGTCCAGTTGTTATCATGGCGTTGGTCAGATTGCGAGATTCCTCCAGTCATGCGGAGGTGCAGAAATGACAGCCCACTGCGCAGATTCGAGTGGCAACGATGATCCCTTCTTTCAGTCTGCCTTGGCGCCCAGAGTCGCACGAGCAAACGCAAGCATTAGCACAGCAGGCAAGATGATCGCCCTGGGCAGACGCACATGGCTTCCACCTTGGTAGAGCAAGGCAGTCTCGGAGAAGACGCGAGTCAGGTAAAATTAGACACGAGCAGAGGGGAGGGATTTCTGGTGCCCATCTCGTGTTCTGATGCAGATGCAGTCGTCAACGCCAAGCCTCGGCCAAGTGGGGAGCCAGATGGCAGATGCTACATTTCCCCATCCAGAGGCCCCTCTTCATTCATGTAACGTAAAAAGTCTATGCTTAAATGTCATCGGTCGACTGATAACGGTCGAGAACCAACCGCTCCTTAAGAGCAATATTGGTCAAGACACCGGTTTTGCACCCTCTGCGCAAACAACCCTTGGCCAGGTTGGCACGACTCTTGACCCGTCAAGCATTGGGCTTGATATGTCAAGGCCTCGTCTGACCGGGCAGGCCGAGCGCGCAGCCACGCCCCGTCTTCTTATCTCGCGGGGCAAGTCCGTGTTTGCACCGCCAAGCTAATCCGCCCCAGCACTTGGCAGCTCTAGTGCCAGCCACATTGGTCAACCCGATGCTACGCTGAGCAGCCACTGGGCAAATAATCGCAAGATTGCGGAGAAACCGCACCAGCTGCTTATCAGCAGTGCAGCGGTGCCAGTGTACGTACCAGCCAGCAGCGGTGCAGTTCTCCCAGCCAGCCGGCCAGCTGAGCCTCGGCGGGCAACCAACCTTCTGTCCCGTATTTGAACTCTCCCTTTCCCTGCTTTCCTGCTTCTTCCTGTCGCTCTCTTCTCTCATCCTCTCTCCCTCCTCTTCTGCCATCCGAGTGTCTGAGAAATGGGTTACGACAACAAGGACGACGGGATCACCGTCGCGCCAAACACCCCCGCATACGATGTCGGCGTCGCGGAAAAGGGCGTCCTCGAGGCCCCTCAGGAGAATGAGCTGCATCGCGCTCTCAAAGCCCGTCACATTACCATGATTGGTGAGCTGCCTCTTCTGCCGCATCCCGCACATCAGCAAAACTAACGTCGCAACAGCCATCGGTGGTGCGATCGGCACTGGTCTAATCATCGGAACTGGATCTGCTTTGGAAAAGTGAGATATCCTCTTACGATGCGCTTACTCCCTCTAGACTAACAATTCGCACTAGGGCTGGTCCTGGCTCGATCCTCATTTCCTACGCCTTTATGGGTTTCATTGTCTACCTCGTCATGTGTGGTCTCGGAGAGATGGCCACTTGGTTGCCCCGTTCTTCTGGTTTCACTGGTTACGCCGTCCGCTTTTGCGATCCTGCCCTGGGTTTCGCGCTGGGTTACACGTATGTCGCAATATGTTCAATGTGGACGATAAACCGCTGACGCTTTTGCCTACAGATACTGGTTCAAATACATTATCGTCACACCGAATCAATTAACAGCAGGCGCACTGGTCATACAATACTGGCTGCCGGCCGATAAGGTGAATCCGGGCGTGTGGATCACAGTATTCCTCGTCCTGATCGTCTTCATCAATTATTTCGGTGTTGGATTCTTCGGTGAATTCGAATTCTGGCTCTCCTCCTTCAAAGTTGTCGTTATTGTCGGCTTGATCCTGCTCTCCTTCATCCTCATGCTGGGAGGCGGCCCCGACGACGACCGCAAGGGTTTCCGCTACTGGAAGGAACCCGGCGCCTTCAACACCTACATTGATGACGGGGCAGCTGGACGCTTCTACGCCTTTTGGGCGACCATGGTCTCCGCCACTTTCGCCTATCTCGGCACCGAGCTGGTTGGTGTGACTGTTGGCGAGGCCCAGAACCCTCGCAAGACGATCCCGCGCGCCATCAAGCTGACCTTTTACCGTATCCTCTTCTTCTACGTCATCAGTGTCCTCCTCGTCGGTACTCTGGTTCCCTACGACTCTCCAGAGCTCGCCGAGGCGAACGACGCCAGCACCTCCTCCGCCGCCTCCCCCTTCGTCCTCGCCATCTCCCTCGCGGGCATCCCTGTCCTGCCTCACATCCTCAACGCCTGCATCCTCCTCTTCGTCTTCTCCGCAGCCAACTCTGACCTCTACATTGCCACCCGAACCATCTTTGGCCTCGCAAAGGAAGGCAAAGCCCCCAAGATCCTCGCCACAACCGACCGCCGCGGTGTCCCCTACGTCGCGCTGGCTCTCTGCTCCCTAATCGCCTGCATCGCCTACATGAACGTCTCGAGCAGCTCCAAGACCGTCTTCAAGTACTTTGTCGACCTCGTCACCATCTTCGGCCTGCTTAGCTGGATCTCCCTCCTCGTAACGCACATCTGCTTCGTCAAGGCGCGGCAAGCGCAGCAGGTCCCCAAGAGCGAACTCGCGTACACTGCCCCCTTCGGCGTGTGGGGCTCTTACTTTGCTCTCTTCTGGTGCATCGTCGTCGCCTTTACCAAGAGCTTCGATGTCTTTACCGGTGGCGAATTCAAGTACAAGACCTTCATCACATCGTACCTGGGCATCCCGCTGTACCTGATTCTCATTTTCGGGTACAAGTTCACCATGAAGTCGAAGCGAGTCCTTCCCCATGAAGCCGATCTGTACACGGACAAGGACGCCATTGATCGCGAGGAGGCGGCATATCTCGCGCAGCAGGAGGCGAAGAGGGCTGCTCAGAGCCAGAATAAGGGCAAGCTGGGGTGGTTCTATAAGACGTTTGTCTCGTGGCTGTTTTAGAGCTGGCGCGGGTTGGTGTGCTACGTTGCTGATATGTTATCCTCTGATTATGGTCATGGTTATGTGATACGTATAGTGGTTTAGCTAAGTTCTGAGACTATGCGTTACGACCTACAATTCTACGAAATCATCAATGAGCCTTCAATACCCATGTTCTCGAGCACTAGTAAACATACATTGGTGGGGAAGGAGCGAAGGACCAAGCAACAAACCCTATAAGACCTCGATCGTTTGTTCACCTTTCTATTCCCATACTGACTAAAGTGACACTAAAGTGACTAACCTATAACTACACCAACTGCATAGTTATACCTCCACCCCGGTTCCCAAGTTAGACATCGCGGTCACCAACAAGCCCAACCATCTCCTCCGAATCCCTCCACAGCCTCCCCTCCGCCTCCTGATCATACGTATGGCTCACATACGTCAATTCCGCAACCTCGCCATTATCCTCCCCACGCGCCGCCTCCCCACAATCAATCAAATACCTCCCCCCCTTTCCCTCCCACTCCCTATCGACCGCCGCATACAGAATCGTCGCAGCCCCCTGCTCGACATTCTTCACCCCCCGCAGAACATTCTCATCAGCCATCATAGCATCAACCTGCTCCTTCGTGACAAACCGCGAGAGCGGCGTATAGATGATCCCGGGATGCAGACTCAACCCGTGCAACCCACTCGCTCCGAATCGCCTCTCAATCTCATTCGCCATGTAGATGTTGGCGGTCTTGGACTGCCCGTATGCATCCCAGGGCTGATACCCGCCTTTCTCGAAGTTGTAGTTGTCCGAGGCGTTGAGGCCGTGTGCGCGGTGGCCCGATGCAGCGACCGTCACGACGCGCGAGTGGAAGGTGGGCGAGGCCGCGGCGCCGGCTAGCAGGGCGGGTTTCAGGAGGCTGAAGAGGAGGAAGTGGGACAGGTGGTTGGTTTGGAATTGGGCTTCGTAGCCGTCGCTGGTCACTTCGCGGGTTGGGAGACACATCACCGCTGCGTTGCAGATGAGGAGGTTGATGCCTGTCGGGGTCTTTTCGAGGATACTCGCGGCAGCTTCGCGGACACTTGCTAGCGAGGTGTGGTCCATCTGGATGAGGTGCATGCGGTCTTTGTCGAGGACGTCGCCGAGGGCTTTTTCGGCTTTGGCAATGTCGCGCGCGGTCAGGTAGAGCGTTGCTCCTGTCACTGCGAGGGCGCGAACGACTTCAACCCCGAGGCCGCCAGACCCGCCGGTTATCACGGCCACCTTGCCGGTGAGCTTGCCTTCGAGTCCGTTGTCGTGGACGATTTGGAGTGCCGTTGGGCGCTGGTCGCCTGGACCTTGGGGGTTGGCGTGGGCAGCGGCGTAGCGAGACATTGTAGATGGAGTGTATGGATGGGATGGTTTTGATCGCGAGTAGATTTGCTTTGTGAGTCTGGTTGAACGTTTTCCAGCGTCAAGCACCTGCTTTTTATACCCTTCCATTCCCTCCCAATCTCCGTGCTCGGAGGCCGAGCCATATCCCAGCGGGTCGTACGAACCTCCAGTGTTCTAGCAAACATCCAGGAACCTGCATACGGCGATCGGTTGACATGCTTCTACTCCCGTCCGGATGCTAATAGATGGGAGGTCCATTTTTACCACATCAGGCTAGGCTAGAGCCCGCGATGGCGTCGGGTTGCTAGGGTGGCTGACGCTTTTTACCAGATTCGGGTTGGGGCGAATCCTGCAGGGCCTCGTCAGCCCCCAAATCCCAGCGGATCATCTTCTCAGCGGCCGGATCTTGCGCCTCGGATCTCTCCTCTTCATGGCTGACGATTTCTGCCGCATTCGGCGCACTCCCCGATACTTCCTCTCAACCCCGCGACTATCCTAAGTACTATGGCGACAACCACGGAGGTTAATCCTGTTATCGCCGAGCGAAAGGAGCGCAAGAGGGCGCAGAATAGGCTGAATCAGCGGGCGCGACGTGCGTTGCCCTGTTCTTGCCGGCTGTAGAACGGTGATTGATACTCACGGGGTTAAGGTTAAGCAGGTGTACGTATCCGAGAGTCGACATCCGAGAAGAGTCGGAGTAAAGGCCGGCCGTATCAAGTGGATCGGTGGCGGTTGCACTTGGAGGAGCCGGCGTCGGCGTCGGCGTCGGCGTCGGGAGTTGTGGGTGCGATCCGGTTAGAGGCAGACAAGGCGCTTCCCCCGGTGTCATCGATCTCCATCCACGACGCATCAATACAGCTCGAAAGACCAGATGCCATTGCCCACTGTACTAAGCGAGTCCATGCATCAGAGAGATGGACGACACCAGTCCTCCCAGCGGACCACCTCCTCTCCCTAATCCAGCTCAACGTCTCGCGCGGCCTGCGGCAGAACAAGACGACGCTCTGGGCCTCGACATTCTACTACATGCCAACCCTCAGCTCCAACTGCAACACGACATCCCCATCAGCCCCCTTCCTCCCCGCAACAATCCACCCGGACACCCTCTTCTACGGCTCCTCACTCATCACATCCATAACAAACCCAGCATCCCTCCCCCAAGCACTCATCCCCACAGAACCGCAGATGCAGCTCGTCCACGCAACGTGGATAAACATCCTGCCGTTCCCGCGCATGCGCGAGAACCTCATCCGCTTCGAGGCGTGTTTCGACCATGCGGAGTTTCTCGATGATCTCGTCGGGGGGTTGGTTGATACGGGGAGGTTTTTCCGGGGGCCAGCTGGGCCGTTTGATCAATACACTCATCGCGCGATCTCCGGTTTGCACAATGACAGGGAGACGGGTCCTGATATTGCTGTTGTTGACGACGGCGACGGCGACGACGACGACGAAATAACTTCAACCCGCAACGGCCTGATCATCTGGGGCGAGCCGTACCAGGCCGAGGCATGGGAAGCGACGCCGGGGTTTCTGCGTAAGTGGGCGTGGGCTGTGGTGGGGTGTGAGGAGCTTGTTGCATCGACGAATCGGTGGAGGGCGATGAGAGGGGAGGGGCCGGTTAGAGTTTAGGGTTCATAGAAGTCGGGGTATGGTGTATTTGGAAGTTGTATGTGATTTGGAGGGAAAGGTTCGGGTGAGGATTGTCTGTGTAAAGTATTCGAGGATACTGCCAGTACAGACTGGGAAGCCCCCCTTGCGTCGAGTATGACTGTGGAAAGGCAGGAGTATATATAGTAAAATCGAGGGCAAGGAACGATATATTTCCCGATATGTATTTACACGACCACTATAATCTCTTAGATACTACATAATAGATGACTTTTTTATGAGTATTCTCCATCACCCAAGATCAACCACAGCCGCCAGCACAACCATATTAATCATATTAACCTTTTCATCACCACACCCAGACACCCTCCACAACTAGTGGGATCCATAACCAAGACCTATATAGCCCAATATATACCCCACCCCAAAGCCACTCAAAACCATGCTCTATAGACACCCTTACAACCCGCCCAGCATCGCCCCCTCATCAAACCCATGCACAACCGCCCAAGCGATCCCACTAATAGTACACATGATAACATCCCAACTCACACTACTACACGCCGGATGCGCATACACCGTCGCCAGGACCTCCCTCACAATCTCGCCATACGACACCTCGGGCCCGAAATCTTCTACCACGAGGTAGGTCAGATACCCCTGCAGCGCCACAGATGCGACGCCCACCCATTTGATGGATGTGGCGTAGCGGCGTGTTGTGCGGTAGCCTTCCTCGAGCTGCTGCGTGTCGCTGGTTTTGGCTTTTGACGAAAGCGACGAGCGTCGCGGGCCCAGGATACATGGGATGAAAACGAGGAAATGCGGTGCGAGAAGGATGAGCATGAATCCCTTCTCGTACGCGAAAATAGGCACCGCGAGCGTGTCGAGGATGGAGAGCGATACGGGGATGAATTCCCAGATGAGCGATGGACGCCATGTGTACAGAGGGTCCGTGGGTCTCGGCCGCGACGAGGCGGTGATTGCCATGAAGAAGAGGTTCGCTGCGAAGGAGACGCTGACGGCTTGCGCGACGAGCATGTAGATCCACACGTGCGGGATGTGGTATCTTCGACCTGTGAGGAGATTAACCCATGACCAACATATATATGAGACGTGATAGTATCCCCTGCGACACAATATATAGCTAGTAGTGATCTCTACTGACCTGTAATCCCCAGCAAAAGACTCCAGCCAATCGTCCACCCGAAAATCTGCCCACTCCACCAAACCCTCTCCGGGTTTTCCGACACCGTCTCCCACGCTTCTTGAAAGATATAAGTTTTATTCAACCACAGGCCCAACCTCGTAAACAGCGGAACCGCCGCGCCGGAATACAGCTGGCCCTCTGGCCCGCTCGCCCACGTATTATACGAATAAAAAAAGAGCGAAATCATGTGGTACCACGTCGAGCCGATGCTGGCGATTGTGAGACATGTAAAGAGATGGAATTGCCCGCGGCGCCGAGGGTGTGCCCAGTCGTTGTTCTTTTGGCGCGCGAGGAAGCGCGACACGATCGTGCGGCCGATGATGAGCGTGAAGAGAATGATAAGGGAGAGGTAGCCGATGAACATGGTGATGGAGCGGTAGTGGATTGGGAGATCGTAGATCTCCTGGCTGGTGAGGTCGGCCATGGTTGCTGGTGCGGCCGCTGGTTCGACAGACTGGTCAAAGTAACAGTGAGTTGAAGTTTGGAGGTGAGAATTGAAGGCGTGCGGGGAATCGCGAACTGGACCGCCAAGTGACGGGATCTCGCGTCCAAGTGGGTCGGCAATGTGGTCTAACATGTGAAGAGTGAGCAAGTTGAAGGGCTCCTACACTGACTATAGGAGCTGGACAATAAGAGTAGTTTATTTTCATGTTGTACGATATCCTATTTCCTATGAAAAGTATCTCATCGAATTCCTGATAATTTAAAGTTTCGGAGGCTCCCACTGCAGTAGTACCATGGATCGATCCACTTTTCTTCTGGGAACAATGGTATTGTGTATTGTGACTATTGTCCAGGATTCTTCCAATAATAGGTAGAATTGAAGAAATCACTAAGGTGCACATCAAATTCTTTCCAGACCGCAGACTGCCTGTGAGAGACCTGTATTCCTACAAATCCCCTTTATGCCAGTGATAAAACATGAAAAAAATCGAGAAGCTTCAACAAAATGTCAAGACAAATGGTCTTTGTGGTACAGAATCCTTACGGGCTAGATGTACCTAGTCTGTCAGCAGTTGGTTCCTTCTTCTCGCGCAGTCCCTGCTCAGTCTTCAATGCCCTATCCAAACTGATTTTGCGGACGAAGAAGCTACCAATCATGGCTGAGCCGCTGAGAGCACACATGACCGCCCATGCAATCTGCAGGGACCCGGCATAAGCAGAGATCAGGTGCGCCTTTTTCACGGGATCGCCCATCTCTCTTAGCTCGGTCACTAGCCTAGAGGCATCCCGGGAGTACTCGTCAGCCTGGTCGGCCAGGGAGGGGATAGCGAGCAAGTTTGCCCTCATCTGGTTCTGGAAGATGACGCCGCAAATGGCAACGCCAATACATTGACCGATCAGCCGGGCAAAGATGAAGAAGCTAACTGCAAATGCCATACTCGTGTCGTCGGACGCCGCTTGGTTGACAAAGGCCAAGGAAGTATATAGGATTCCGAGACCGATGCCTGTACACAGTGTGAGGAAGATCCACTGGGGGATCGTGGTGTCCACATCCAGGAGGATCATCACCCCCAGGCCCAATGTTGTAATTATCCAGGCAATGCAGGTAATGATTTTGAAATCCCCGGTTTTGGTGATAATAGCACCGGAAATAATAGAGGCGGGAGCCACGGTCAACGTAGCAGGAAACAAGGCGACTCCGGTGATAATAGGATTGTATCCTTTGGTAGCTTCAAAGTACAAGGGTAGGAAGTATATCAGACCATAAACAATCATTGCGTTGATCAGCGTCGCATATAGAGAATAGGCCATATTGTAGCTGCGCAGGAGATGCAAGCGGAATGTCGGTTCCGGTGGCACATAGTTCTCGTAGACAATGAAGCCTGCGAATCCCACAACCCCAACAATCAACGGTACTAGGGTGCGCCAAGAGTCCCAGGGGTACTGTACTCCTCCCCAGCTAACGGGAATCAGAAAGCTGGTGGTGGCGGCAATGAACCATACAGTCCCTAGCCAGTCAATGCGGCGGAGCTTCTCAGCAATGGTGCCCTTGACTAGGTTGAGTTTCATGAACAAGGGTACAATAACCAAGGATGTTGCCGCAAAAGGAATAAGGATCCAAAAGATCCACCGCTGCCAATACTGTCAGTTCCTCCACTAGATTCTCAAACTAGTCCAGCTGCACGGATTTTGAGTGTACTTACCCACGAAGCCTGAGATGCAAGTGCTCCACCGATAACAGGCCCAGTGACAGAGCCCAGCGCCCAAACACCACCAATAATTCCAAAGTATGTCCCGCGAAGACGCATCGGTACAAGATCGGTAATGATAATATCACTCATGAGGATAATGCCACCGCCGCCGACTCCCTGAACAGTGCGGCCGACGAGCATCGGGGCGAAGGTGCTTGCGACACTGGAGACAATGACGCCAACAAGGAAAAAGATGATGCATACGGTCAAGACTGGCATTCGACCGAAAATATGGGACAGAGCGGCCAAGGGAGGCTGGAAGACGGCAGAGCTGAGGAGGAAGCTGGTTCCCGTCCAGAACGCTTCAATTGCGCTTCCACGGAGGCTTTCGGCAATCAACTGATTAAAAAAAAGACATTAGAGCGTACGTAGATCTATAGGAATGCCACAGGACGGAATCTGCTCACCGGAAGCGCTACTGAAACAGAGGTGCCATCAAGCGATACCATCATTGCAAGTACCACGAGGGAAGAAAAAGCCATGTAAAATGGGACACCGGGGTTGAACGTAATGGCACCATCATCATCAAGACCAGGGTCCCCATTCTGATCAGGCTTCTTCTCAGACTGGCCAGAGAGAGAGGGCTGTTGCTGCAAACCGCTTGACATGATGCTGTCCAAGTTGGGATGCGATTACCTGCACAGGCGATAAAGAACTCTCAGTCCCTTCCATAAAAAGGTGAGCCCCTCTGTGATCATCTTTATATACTAAGCGAATTTATAATCGTATCGTGGTCATATTCTGTTGCTCTTGAGTCTTGCTGAATGTGATTAGTCGAAGCCGGTCAAAATTCCGAGAAATCACGGAGTTTTGAGGATACCACCGACTAGGCAAGAGTCGGCATGGCATTTGCAAAGGGGTTACTCAGTCAAATGTTGGAGAATCGGCGATGGAGCAACATACAAGTAGATAGAAACTAGCAGCATGAAGGCCGTGCGAGAAGGGAGACATCATGAGATATGTATTTTCCTAGAAGCTACTCCGCACAGCTAGCGGAGACAAAGCTATCGAGGAGCTGGCACGTGACTTTCAGCCTCAGGCACAATACCGGCAGGGCTGGACTGTTCATCTTATCCCGCGGCTCCTGACACGCTTCGACCTATAATCTAGTAGTTCGAAGTGAGTCTCCTGGCTGGCAGCTACGATGAATTCCCTGGACAGGTCTAAGAGTCGCTCTATCCGTCAGAGTTGCACCTTTTGTCGCAAGAAGAAGATCCGGTGTTCGGGTGAGCTGATCTGCTCCGCCTGTCAGTCTCGTCAGCTCAACTGCATCTACACCACACGTGCCCCCAAGGGACGCAACACAAAGCCCCTCGAGAACCATGCCAGAAATCAGAATAAGAATGTCCTTTCTCTTGGTTCTTCGGTTGAATTACAATCCGGTGCCCGCTCGCTAGAGTGGAAGGGGGATATCACCACCAATGCGTCCACTGGTCTATTGCTAGATTCGGTGAATGTGAATAATGATGCTGTGACAAGAACAACTCTGGGTGACCTCCTCGAGTCCCGCTTTCAAAAACATTACCGCCATTGTGGTCTTTCTAGCTTGGAAGCCGGACGTGAACTCGGCTTTCCACCATCATCCCCCACCGAGGCAATCAGTTACAAGGACCTCTTCTTCAACATTACACCAGCCTTGCTAGACATGGGATCCGCGAAAATAGGGCGCTTGCGGACTGATGATGGGAGTGATAGTTTTATTCCACACTGTTATCATTTCCGCAACTGCCTGTCCCAAGACGGTTCAGAAACCATGTTCCAAGCTGGCTTCCCTGCAAACAACATCACCCTTCCAAGTGGGAGCAATCAAACCGCGTGCCAGCTGTTGGAGGTGTGGTTCTCTCAGCATCCATTGTCCTTGATTCTCTCCAAAACGGCCTTCTTGCACGACTTTAACGGGGGTCTCTGCGACCCAGGACTGTTGGCAATTATTCTTGCCGATGTCACCCCTACCCTGCAATCTAGCGAATGGGGCCTACCTGAAAGCCTCCGACAATTCGCCTGCAAACAGGTCCAGAAACGCCCGGCAGAACAGACATCACTGCCCACGGTCCAGTTGCTAGTGCTCCTAGGATGGCACCAGATATGCACAGGTGAGGTGCGTCGAGGCGCTTGCTACATAAACGTGGCCCACGAGCTCATCGGAGGATGGAACAAAGCTCAAGAACGTCGGCTCGGCACCCAGCGTATGAATGGTGTAGACTACGCCTCTGTCGCGCTGGAATTGGGATACCGCATCTTCTGGCTAACATTTGCGATCGAACTGTGGGTTGCGTTGCAGCTCGATTCCCCCTTTGAATATCCGACCAGAATCAATCCAAGCCTCAATTTGCCCTCCCCGGATATCAAAAACTCGACCGTCTACGAACTTGATCGATCTTCCGGCAATGTTGCTTCCCTAGCAGCCCAGGAGCAGTTCTGGCGTGTGTTTTGGCCCTTGAGTCATATCTGCTGCACGGTTGGCCCGATATACGCACTTTTGCCGCGCGGCGCCTCAAACCCCCAGGCTTCCTTGACCGAGCCAAGGACATACTGGGGCGCAGAGACCCTGCGGCGTCTCCATAGACTAGTCAACAAGCATCGTAGTGTCTCCGGGCTTTGCCAGACCGTGCGGAGCATAGTGAGCGAGGAGCTCGAAAGACTACAAGCGGAAATTGGCACTCACCCATCCGAGATCATCGCGCGCATTGCATATCAGCTGCTCAGTATCCACGTCCTCTTCCCAAGGGCGCAGTCAGTAGAGCATGGCAGCACCCGAGAATCCCTCGATACCATGGTCCAAAACACTGCCCAAGCCATCCTGGCGTTCATCGACTTACTCCGACTAGTGGAGCAGTCGTTGGAGCCTCCAGATTTCCTAAACGGTATCTCGCCATGCTCTAGTGCTGGTTTGATCCTAGCCGGGCTCGACGCCTCTTCTCGCGCCCTTCGGGAAACACTCCGCTCGCTTGCCAGCGACCCTGACGCAAAACCTGTCATAGTACACTGGCAATCAAAACTAGTCGAGCTGGCCCACCAGCTTCAGACGGTGTGCAAGCATCCCAGTATACGAGTCCATCCTCCGGCGCGCGATGTCAAGCAGCAATTGAAGCAAGTCAAGCAACGGCTGGAGCATTTGTCTGATTGCTTTCCCCTCGATGTAGACATTCCGTTGGACGATGCTCTATTTCTCGCTGACGCTGAGTTTGAACCATTATCCCTTGATACAATGGCCCTACTTGACTTGGAACCTGATTATGATTTTTTCTCTTCCGGTACGATTACTCCGCAGGGAATGCTCGGAGATCCTCTAAGCACGACCCTTGAATAGAAAAAAATTCTAAAGACCTACACTGCGTTCAGAGGCAAAACACTTGGGCGTTTCCAGTATCCAGCTGTTGCTGACCGTCCCTAATCATGACGAATCGTGATATCAATCGCGTGGGAAAGAATTAGGGGAAGTCCACAGGCAAGGAAGACCTGAGAAATAGGAGCAGCTTACACTCAATTCCTGCAAGCCCACCGCAACCGACAAAGAAGCGACCGGTGTCTGGAAAACGGCACAGAAGAGGGGTAAGGCAGAGTATCGGCCGGCTATGCAGCGAGCTGAATGTTGGTTGCGTTGGTTTTGTGGGAATCCTCTGGTGATCCTCTTCGCTGGCCACGTCCCCGAGAAATACGCGCCAGGCCAAGAGCACAGCAGACCCGAATTTCAGGCTGACAGCATGGGCTCGGAGGATTACCCCGCTCGAGAACGCCTGGACAGGGGTCCAAAGCCGCGTCTTTGACGACTTTTTGGAGCCCGCCGACGAGCAGGGTGTTTGTGGAGTGGCTGTCGTGTCGCGATAACGACAATGGCTTTGCACCAGCAGAGAGGGTTTCCTCGGCATGGCGCGAGCGCGCAGCGCAGGATGCGCAGTGGCAGGGACGACAGGCGTTATCTGCACGATTCCAATAGGCTCTCAGCCATCTGCGTGATTATCAGGAAGGTCAGGGCAACGCAGCGCGTAAGTCTGGGTCAAGAAGAGACGATGATGTTGGACTGTTGTTGGACTGTGCTGAACCAACACGGGCGACCCCTCTTTTGGAGGAAATCACGGTTAATTAGCATGAGCTATCTTGAGCACCTCGCAAATGAAAGCAGTCTTTTTTTAGAGAGACCCCCTGTCAACAACCTATTTATGGGCAAATTAGTGCGGTGGGCGGCCAATGATGGGGGTTAGCGAGATGAAGTGCTCGGACAGTGTGCTGTGGCTGCAGGAAATGTGCCTTGAGCTGCACCAGCACACCAACAGGCGCTTAAATATTGGCAGACTCGGGCTGCGGTTGGCTTCCGTTCTGTCGGGTCGTCGACTGTGCTGGCCAATTTGCTATCATTAGAACTGGGAAAACAAAGCTAGCACTCGAGGCTGTTTTCCCCTCTTTCTCCTGAGCCGGGGCGAGATTTATTTATTGATCCCGGCTGGCGGCCTGCATTCCTCGTTTCCCAGGCTGTTGTGCAACTCGCCACCATCGACACAGTATCTTTTATACTTGTCAGTATAACATCAATCATCACCATCATGGTTGTCATCCGTCTGCCTCGCCCAACGGGCGTCTATGTCCCCAGCTCTCCCACCCGCAGCGTCACCTCAGACATGATCTCGTCTCCTCTCTCTGCCGACTTCAACTTTGACTCCGAAACGCTCACCCCCTCCATCATCCCTGCCCTCGAATACATCTCGGCCAAGCTGCAACAAAAGATGATGCACGTCACTCTCCTCGTCGGCCGCGGCAAGCCCTACCCCACGGGTCAGCCCTCCGACCTCATCGTCATCCCCTCAGCAGCCCTCGAGCCCTCGGCCTACCGCATCCTCACCCGCACCGTCGCAAAGGCAGCCCAGAAGTTCTCCCTCGGCCAGAGCTGGACCGACGCCCTCAGCCGCAGCCAGCACGAGCGCAACGCAAACGAGTACCTCATCGAGCGCTCCATCCTGCAAAACGAAGTCGTCTTCTCCCGCGAGGGACTCACCCTTCTCAACGTCGACCGCATCTACACCTTCAAGCGCCGCCTGTGCATCCTCTCGTCAAAGAACACGCCCATCCGCGAATCATACATCAACTCCTGCGTGCGCCTCCTCCACCGCACGATCGAGGACTTCCAGGGCCGCCCCTTTAGCAAGGCCTTCTTCCATCGCGTGTACGAGCAGCTCGACGTGCACGACGACCTCCTCGCCCAGGTCGCAGACGTCTACAAGCACCAGTATCACCAGGAGGGCATTGTCCTCCCGCCGCCGCCCAAGCCCGTCGTCATCGAGAAGAAGCAAGCGCCTGTTCGTACTGTCCGCATCCGCAAGCAGCAGTCGTCCACCACGCCTCGCTCGGGCACGGTTCCAACCAAGCGCGGGCCCAAGACGCCCCTATCTGCTTCTGATGTGACTCCGATTACGCGCAACGAGTGGAATCTGCTCTTTGGGCCGGACTTTAAGAAGCCGCAGCCGACTGTCACAAAGTGGACGCCCTCGCCGACTGTGCTTGCTGCGGCGTGAATGAGATGAGAGTTTGGCACCTTGTTGCCAATTTTCAGAAAACAAACTTATCCTCTGAGATCATTCGATCCAGTCATCGCCCGCATGAGGAAACCTTTTCCCGCGGCACCCGTCCCGAGCCAAGGGATCACTCCCAGGCCGGTTGACTCGGAGCATCAACGCTCGAATCCGACCACCCTCACAGATGAGGAACCAAGCCAGCTCAAGCGGCTGCGCTGCGGTCAAGAGACCAGCACCTGTTAATGAGGAGTCCATACAGGACTCACTCGTCTCCTCGGGTCCGACCTGAAGGAGATTTCACGAAGTAACGAATCACGAATCCTGTATATAAAGTTAGACTTGCACTTAGCCAAGATAATTTTTCTTCATGACCTGCACTCCACTTTCCCCAGTAACATTGAAGTAACTGTAGCGAGTTCGCTTGGAAATGTCCTCCTCCGCCTGTCGGCGGCCTCCGGTCGGCGAAGTCACGTGGTGAGAAAGCATGTTCGGCGGTTTGGTCAATAGATCATTTTAAAAGCGAGAAACCGTCTCTTCGAGGGGATATTCTTGAGCACTGAAGTGTCGTCTGAGATTTCAGAGGTCATTTGGCACCGATATCCAGAGTCCAAGTGGTCAACAAGGTGAGTGAGAGGAGAAAGAGAGAGTCCCGACTTCGTCGCGTTATGTGGAGGAATTGATAACGCTTCAATTCTGCTCTTATCGCGTGGGGTCGCCAACCCCTCACTAAAAAAAAACATACTACAGTAGAACACCAAGCATTTTTCTTCCCTTCCTTCCATTCCTTCCACGGCTTTTTTGTCGCCTATATATCGACCTATACCAGTATACTCACTTATACAGATATATAAGGCAGAGCAATCAAGCGCTCAAACCAACAATGCGGGACTCCGACTCCCTCCCCCCTCCCTCCCCCACCGAATCCCAGCACGAGGAGACAGACGACAAGAAATGGAGCACCAAATCCCTCATCCGGCATGCCGAGCGCTCGCACAGCCGGCTTCCTGGAATTCGCAAGGTGCCTATTCGCTCCATTGGAGTGATTTTGCTCGTTGCGCTGGTTAATGTGGTGGTTTGGGTTGCTGTTGCCATTGTCTTGGTATGTTCTCTTCTTCTAGGTGTTGCAGATATGAAGGTTGACTAACTTGCTGCAGAGATATCATTCGTGAGTTTACTTGTGATCTGTTGTATGGAGGATGTAGACTAATCCGCGTAGTTCCCTCGTCTCCAATGCCGTCCTCGCATACACACTCGGTCTCCGACATGCATTTGATGCAGATCACATCTCTGTACTTATCCCCAACCCTCATCCATATCAAACCCCATCTAACACCCTTCCAGGCCATCGACCTAATGACCCGACGCCTCCTGGCAACAGGCCAAAAGCCCGTAACAGTCGGCACATTCTTCTCGCTCGGCCACTCGACAATAGTCATCATCACGTCAATCGTCGTAGCAGCCACCGCCGCCGCGGTCTCCTCGCGCTTCGACAAATTCAGTACCGTCGGTGGAATTATCGGCACCTCCGTCAGTGCTGCGTTCCTCATTCTCCTGGGAATCATGAACGCGTATATCCTGTACAAGCTGTATAAGCAGTTGCAGAAGGTGCTGGATCTGCCCGAGGGCCAGGAGGATGAGGCGTGGAAGATTGAAGGGGGTGGGATCCTCTTTGGGGTTTTGAAGAGGATGTTTCGGTTGATTGATCGGTAGGTTAACTCTTTTTCTTGTGGGGGTTGTTGAGGTAGTGGGCTAGGCATGTGATTTTTGAGCTGACTTGAAATGAACAGACCCTGGAAGATGTACCCGCTAGGCATCTTATTCGGTCTTGGATTCGACACCTCGTCGGAGATTGCGCTTCTGGGGATCTCATCTATCGAGGCGGCCAAGGGGACTTCGTTCTGGGTTATTCTCATCTTCCCTATCCTCTTTACAGGTACATCAACCTCAATTCCCACCACCGAATATCAGACCACGGTATACTAACATAACACAGCGGGGATGTGCCTCCTCGACACAACCGACGGCGCTCTAATGCTCGCGCTCTACATCCAACCAGCCACAAACTTCCTCCCGCCCAAACGCATCAGCACAAGCACAACCTCCGAATCTCCGCTCATCACCGACACAAACACAACCACAGACACCTCCCTAATGGACCCCAACGACCCCATAACCCCCTCCCAAAACCACCGCGACCCCGTCGCCTTCCTGTACTACTCGATCGTCCTCACAACGCTAACTGTAATCGTCGCCATAATTATCGGCATAATCCAGCTACTCACACTCATCCTAAACGTCGCCGAGCCAACAGGCCGCTTCTGGGACGGCGTGCAGACTGCGGGCGACTACTATGATGTTATTGGCGGGGGCATCTGTGGCGCGTTCCTCGTCTTTGGGACGATTAGTGTTTTTGTTTATGGGCCTTGGAGAAGGTGGATTGGGAGGAGGCATGGGAAGGGGGTTGTGAGTGGGGGAAGCGATGAGGAGCGGGAGGGGTCTAGGGATGAGACTGCAGTTTCTGTGCCTAGGGCTGATACGCCGTTGAATGAGGGCGCTGTTGTGAGCTATGGGACTGTGAGGCCGAAGGGGGATACCCGGTGATATCATCTTGAAGCGGGCATACGATTTCCGGTGTTTATGGTGATTGATGAGATCTATGAAAGGAGCATCTGGGAGATTCAAGTTCAGATGTAGCCGTTGAGAAGTATGCCAGAATGGGATGGGATCTAGATAGCACGGTGCCTGAGGCATCGCTTAATCAACGGAACGGACTCGTACGCCGCACGTCATCCCTCGAAGGTTTCATTTCATCCCCATCCAACCCAACTCACTAACACGTCAACTTCTTCCTCATCAACCTCGCACTCCTGCTCTCGAGGCGCGCGAGTCTTTTTTCCTATCAAGGGTGCGAAATGAATGAATAATCGCGCACGACGATTCTGAAATCCTGATCACGACCGTCCCCGCACGACCCCGCGATTTTTATTCTTATCCCATGACGTCGAACACACGACCACGATAACTTCCACTTTTATGCGATTCACGGGTCCATAACTGTCTGATATATATACCTCACAATCAATACAATTTGCTTCAATCCTGATACCACAGATCTATCTGCAGCTACAATCTATACGATGCCTCCATCTCGCAAAACTCGACAACCCCGCAATGGAAACACTTCAAGGCGAAAATAATCCCTTCTCCTAATCCCTCTATATATAATGTCATCTACAGCGAGTTCTCCCACACTATCAAACGCATCCCTAGACCTCGATTCAGGTCGTAATCCGGACCGCGACACCGAAACAAGCGGTGTCTCCCTCTCCTCCTGCCCTCCGATCTTCGTCCTACCCACACACCTGAGCCTCGATGCACTGCACCAAGCTGAAGAGACGCTCGTTGAGCTTGGCGCACACCTTACCTATGATGTTTCCGAGGCTACACTTGTACTTGGGCGCGTGGGGCAGAAGAAGCGCGCGGCGCTGGAGTTGAGGTCGAGGGGGGTGTGGACGGATGAAGAAGAGGAAGGTGATCTTCGGCAACCGCCAACGCCAGAGCCGGAGATTCGGTCGGTGGTAAAGAAGAGAAGGATTGATAAGCACGGTGCCAGTGCTAGAATTCTGGTTGAGGAGGAGGTTTCTCTGAATACCGAGGATGAGAGCGGGGAGGATGGCGTTCGGGAGCCAGCTGCGCGGTTGAAGAGGCCGCAGATGTCTGTCCCGGTTCCCGAGTCGCACTCGAGTACGGTATCGGCTCTGAAAGACTGTGCCCAGGAGGGCGCGGTGCGAGTCGCTCGACTAGACTGGCTGACTCAGTGTGTCGAAACGCAGAGTATCCTCCCAATCGACCCATTCGTTGTATATCGGGGCCGGAAAGTTGAGAAACCTGCCACGAAGCGTGACAGGGACACGGCAAACTCGCAGGCTATACTGGACCGCGCGAAACAAGACGCCGCGTTCAAGGTTCCGTTGCCACCCGTTTCTGTTTCCAGACACAGACATGGCGACGGCGGCCTTACGGCGAGTCATCGACCTCCAAAGCTCTACCGTCAAACAACATCTGAGAACGAAGAAGCCGAGGATCTTCCTCCCCCACCGGACTGGGTCCGCGACAACATCGTCTACGCCTGTATGCGCTCGTCCTTTCTCAACTCGCCAAACGAGGAATTCATCAACCAGCTCATGAAGATCCGCACAATCCGCGAGCTGAACCTCGACGAAATCGGAGTCAGGGCATACAGCACTGCTATCGCCGCGATAGCAGCGTACCCGCATGAAATCCGCCGTGGATCGCAGATACTCGCGCTACCGGGCTGCGATCATAAGATCGCCAACCTCTTCAGAGAGTTCAAAGCCAGCGAGTCCGGGACTCTCTCCGACGCCTCAGCCCTAGATACAGATCCGGACCTCAAGACCCTCAATGAGTTCTGTGAGATCTGGGGCGTTGGTGCCAAAACAGCGCGGGACTTTTACTACGCCCGCCAATGGCGCGACCTCGACGATATCGTCGAGCACGGGTGGAACTCGCTCTCACGCGTCCAGCAAATCGGCGTGAAATACTACGACGAGTTCCTGCTCCCCATTCCACGCTCCGAGGCCGAGTCCATTGCCCGCACCGTCACGGAACACGCAAACGCCGTCCGCCCTACGGCAACCTACGACGGCCGCGGCGTCGAATGCGTCATTGTGGGAAGCTACCGCCGCGGAAAACAAACCTCGCACGACGTCGACCTTATCTTGTCGCACCGCGACGAAGCCGTAACACATAACCTGATCGTCGATGTTGTCGCCTCACTCGAGAAGGAAGGCTGGATAACGCATACACTCGCGCTCCACATGACGACCTCGCTGAGGAGCCAGCAAACGCTACCGTACCGCGGTGAACAGGATGACAAGAACCACTTCGACTCGCTGGACAAAGCGCTTGTTGTCTGGCAGGATCCGACACTTCCTGCATCTGATCACGCAACCTCCACACAGACCGAAGACCTCAAGATCAGGAACGAGAATCCGCACCGCCGCGTCGATATCATCATCGCCCCCTGGCGCACAGTCGGGTGTGCGGTACTGGGCTGGTCGGGCGATACGACCTTTGAGCGCGATCTACGTCGGTACGCGAAGAAGTCGCGCGGGTGGAAGTTCGATTCGAGTGGGGTACGCGAGCGGACGACGGGTGGGCAGGTGATTGATTTGGAGCATGGCGGGGAGACGTGGCAGGAGCGGGAGAGGATGGTGATGGAGGGGTTGGGGGTTGGGTGGAGGCCGCCGGAGGAGCGGTGTACGCGATAGGATATGGATCTTGGGAGGTGTGGTCCCGATAGGCAGGCACGACCCAGCGTCGTGCCTTCCTAATTCATCAACTCGACAAATAGGAAGGAGCGGTCTCTGCCTACGGGTCGCGCCTTCCCCATGTACCAACCCCAGCCAACAAGGAAGGCACGACCGAGGGCCGTTCTTTCCTATATCAAAATCCGTACCACCTGCTTCTTTTTTTGAGGACCCTACGCCACTGATCATCATAACCCTCCACGCAACACTTGCTGCACGGTTATAGTGGCATCATAAACAGCAACTCAAGAAATATGATCTGCGACATAACGTTTTACATACACAAGATCAAGGGGTTCCCTTGATAACCACGGTCTGAGAGTTGCAGAATTGGGTCAACCCCTGCACGCCCCATTCAGTGCCAATCCCACTGGCCTTGTGCCCCCCAAATGGTGCAAAGGGCTCCACCTCAAAGTGCGTGTTCACCCATATATTCCCGGCCTCGAGCTGGTCCGCGATGCGGCGCGCTCTATGCAAATCCTTGCTCCAGACCGAGGCGCCCAGTCCCATCTCCGAAGCATTCGCCCGTGCGATCACATCGGCTTCATCCGACCACCTGAGGATAGGCAGGATGGGCGCAAATGGCTCCTCTTGCACGATTCGCGACGTCTCTGGTGGATTGTCGAGGATGGTTGGCTGAACAAAGTAGCCCCCCTCCCCTGATGATTGCGTGGTGGGGTCCGTACTACCACTACCCCCTAGCACCGCGGACAGGTGGTCGCTGTCGATTGTCGCTAGGAGGCTCTGGGCCTTTTCGAATTGCATCCTGTTCTGCACCGGTCCGATAAAGACATCTGGCTGGGTTCCGTCGCCCATCTGAAATCCTTTGACGAACTCGACGAATCTCTCCCGGAAACGATCGTATATCGCCTCGTGGATGTAGAGGCGTTTGATCATCATGCAATTCTGGCCCGAGCACAGAAAACACAGGGTTGCAACCTAGATAGGTACTCAGTCGTCTGTCGCTGTGACTCTTCAGAGGGAGCAAGGAAGGATGTACCTTTGGAACTACCGCCTCGATGTCAACGTCATCACATATAATAGCCGCATCATTCCCGCCAAGCTCGAGGGTAATGCGCTTGAGTGTCTTTGAACAGCTAGCCATGACGCGTCGGCCAGTTACTGTTGATCCCGTAAAGCTGATTTTATCAAATCCAGCATGTTCCGTCATCATCGGTCCCAGCTCGTCATCCCCACTAAGTGCCTGGATAACGCCCGGCGGGAAATGGTCAATGGCCAACTCAGCAAGCTTCAGGTCGCAGTATGGAGTATAGGGAGAAGGCTTCATAATAACAGTGTTGCCTGTATATACCGCGCTTATAATCTTGCCGATTGCAAGCACCACAGGATAGTTCCAGGGAACAATCGCCCCCACCACACCAAGAGGCGTGTAACGATGGATAATCTGGCGAGTTTCACTGGCCTCGAGTACAGTCTCGGGGACAGTAAGGGTAGCCAGGGTCCGGGCCCAGTAGACAGCCAGCTCCAGCTCCTGCGTCGCCTGGCTCAGCGGCTTGCCCTGCTCCCTGGTGAGAAGCTGCGCTAGGCTGGTCGTATTCGCCTCGAGGCTGTCCGCGTAGCGATTGATGGCAGCGCGGCGCTCGGCAAATGTTGTTGATGACCATTTTTTAAACGCTGCTTTGGCGGCACTAACCGCTTGATCGAGCTCCTTGGATGTTGTGATCGGTACTTCGGGGTTTGGTTGGAGAGTGGCCGGGTTGATGCCGTGCCTGGTTTGGGCGGTCGAGGTTAAGACGTTATTGATGACATTGTAGAATGATGTAGTATCCAGCGACATGGTGATTCAGTATCTGATGCAATACAAGTATCCTATATCCAGCTGATACACCGATGAGAAGAGATCTTTATATCTGGGTTTGTCCGCCACCACGGCCGCTAGCACCATTTCCCTAACGAATAAAGGAGGCTGGCCGACAGCTGCGCCGGAACAAGACTAAGCATGAGAGGTAGTGTATGTCCACCCTAGATGGCGAACAGGTTAGAGTAGCTGAATGTCCATACAGAAAACTAATATGAGCAAGTGCATGCATGTCTTTGGTGCTTACCAACACGGCCGCTAGCGCTGCTGTAATGAGCGCAAGCAACCCCACCATCTACTGTCAGCCGGTTCTCGTTGGCCTCAAGGACAATAGATCTCGGGGACCAGGGAAAATCCAGCCCGCATTCCTTTCAGGACCCGGTCTGGGCGCCAGAGGCCCCTCCTTGAGGCACACTCAGCCTCCTCCTCGTCAGCCTCGTAGACAATAGGCCGCATTCACCTACGCCAGATACGGAGAATATTGTGGGCACGCAGTGGATGACATTCCAGCATTGAGACGGTGATTGGGATGGGGGATTGGCGAGGAATGGACTCGAAAACAACGACTGTTCCACTAGCGGCCGTGTGCAATACAGCAAGCTCTCCGAAGCAAACCTTAGCTGGCTAGGAGAACAGCAAGGTCTGACCAGCCGAAAGCCACATGATGACATGGGGATATGTGTTTATTCATTATCATTATGTATTGTATATACGCATCTCACGCTATCTCAACAACCGCCATCTTCTCCTTCCTCCGCGAATTCAACCAGTCATACAGCATCCAGCAAGCAATGTACAGCCCCGCCCCCTCGCTCCGAATACACCCCACAGGCTGCGCAAACCGCAGACTGAACCAGATCCTGTCAGCGCTTGCGGGAGCACTCACTGCGGCGCCAACGAGCGAGATCCATGTGATCGCCTCAGCGGACGTGCGGATCCAGAGGTCGGTGCTTGTTTTCTGGAGAGTTTCTTTTAGGTCTGCGATTAGGGTTTCGAGATGTGTGGACGAAGTGGCCGGTGTGGATGGTGTAGATGGTGTCGTCGGCGTGCTCAGAGTGGGAAGGAGGGGATTGGAGTTAGTGTCATCATAGTCAGAAGCAGAGTCGTCGAAGAGAAGGTAGAAGAATATCATAGCGGCAGCGTGGCAAGCTGCGTCTACCTTATCGGGGACAGTAGTTTCGTGTACTGAGCCCGGCTTGAATTTCTTCCGGAGTCTCTCGCGCCATTCAGTCTTGATTTGCGTGCGCAAGAACTCATCTCGTGTTGTGCAGACGGAGCGGATATCCTCGAAGATGTGGATTGCTTCGCGCGAGAGGTGATGGTATCCGTTTCGGTTCGCCGCTCGGTCGAGCGCAGCCGACACCAGTCGGGAGGGTGGGAAGACCGGTGTTGGCGGGATGTCGATTCCTGGGATGTCGAGCTCCGAGTCGAAGACTATGGCTGCTGTTATGACGCATCTGGTGAGTTTAATTGAACATTAGTGTTGAACTAGGTTGAGATAGGGTGAGGTATTGAATTCTCACACTGGGATCAAGGCGGCGAAAAACCCATCGAGTTCAAACTCTGCGAGGCCTCCTCTTGCTCGCAGGAGTTGCATGAGTCCCTTCTTGTGGATCTGGGATGATTTCTCGTCGCCTCTTAGAGACTACCATGGGCACGTTACCGTTAGACTGAGTCCCTCTAGGTTCATAAACAAGTAGAAGGAAGCTTAGACTCACCGAGAAAAATACCATCGTGGGAATACACGCAATCGTTCCTTCATCAGGCGCCTTATTAGGCGCGGCAAGCTTCTCGCGGATGAGTCGCAGGGCCATGGTGTAATGGTATGTCGTCACCGGGTTATTCCAGTCGCCTCGGAACGCATCGAGGTGCGCCGAGGCAGAGAACATTGTGGCGTGAAAGGAGCATGGGTCAGAGAGGGCATGGGAGGCCCAGGATGTGCGGAGGAGGAAGGCCAGGCTACCCTTGTCGACGGGGAGGGGAGCGAGTCCGAAGGTTTCAATGACTGGTATAGATGTTAGATGACATGACCACGTGGGTATAGATCGGTTAGCCAGGTCCAAGTAGACTAGACTTACAAGAATGCAGTAGCATGGGCATCTCCTTGCGCTCTGGGACGGGGAAGATCATGTTGCCTCCTGCATCAAGTCGTTGTATGGCGAATGCTGGAATGGCCGTATCGTGGGTGAAGGTCGCATTAGGGCCATTCCAGTAGATGCAGCTAAGCCCAAGTCTAGACAGATACGGATATAGTTTTGAGCATCATGGATCAACCGACAGGGTGCAGCAGGATACGGGACGGAAAATAAACGTACCTGGTGCATCGCTTGCAGCTAGGGAATGGTGGCTGCTTGTCGCAGCGTCTCTTTGCGTCTCTGCATGCGAGACAGGCTCTCGCTGCCTTGCCATCTGATGAGAGCGCCAAGGTGTCTTGCGCGGCAGGATGGTTGGGCTGGACCACTGGGAGGGGTCGATGGGGTAATTTGTGCGGGACCTCTTGATACGAGATGCGTGATGGCAAGGCGAGCTGAAGTGTCTCATAATGGCAGTCCCGACCAAGCCTATTTACTTATCAAACAAAGATCTTCGAAGATATCCAGCCCATCGGTATGTACTGGATGATGATCCCTTACCGTCGGCATGTGGAGCAAGCGGGGACAGCTCGATCGCACCGGCGTTTCTTCTGGGAACATGACAAGCAGGCGTTGTCTGCGGTCATGTTTCAAACAATGGCATAGTTGTGAAGCTAAGACGCCACACAAGATGACGGTGGCTTTATTGATGAACACGCTGGCGAGGAATAAGCTAAGACGAATGCTCTAGTGTGGGTTGGGGGAGCTGTGGGTGTTTCTGCAGAAGTTGGCTGAGTCAGGAGCTGGGGACACGGTCGGGTCGGAGTCGAAGACTTCTGCTCCGTTTTGGGTCTTTTCCTAAAGCAGGTCTGATCTGCAATAGACAGCTTTAAGGAGTTAACTAATGGAGAGTTCAGGGTCATGAATACATTCCGATAGATAACGACACGCTCAGAAGAGCCTCAATATGAAACATAATAGGTAGTAAAATGCAAATGCAAGGAGATACAGGAAATACAAATCAATAAGATGTTGACATCAGTGAGAATCAAACCAAATTCCGCGAACTGGTCATTTCGCCATATCGTCCTCTTGCCCTCGTGGTATCGTAAGCGTTGACAACCCTCATCTGCCCGCCCTCGTCCGCCTGACTGAACGCGTATCCGCGCTGCTTCCGCATCCGCTGCACCTGCCGCACCTTCCGGATCGCCTTTTGGAACTGTTCCATGCGTGGTCGGTAGTCCTGGACGTTGTACTTCTGGATCTCCTGCACGTGGTGGTAGTGCTGCGGGTAGTACATGCGCTTGGCGTATTTCCAGGCGTAGTCACGGAGCAGACAGATGCAGGGGAGAACAACGGCCATGAGGTAGAAGACCGGGTCCTTGAATAAACGAGGGATCGTGCCGTAGTATTCGGTTGAGAAGCCGATGGCTGGTGCGGCGTATCCGTAGGCCGGGAGGAAGCCGAGCCAGATGATCATAGAACCAGGGATAGCAATGAAGGTGTATTTCGTCCAGATGTTCGTGATCAGCGCGGCTTTGCCAAGGACAGTCGCCAAAACAGCCGTGTAGAGCGCGGAGCCCCATACCCAGTGACCGGCCGTCTTGCCATCGCTCTGAGGATGATCGTAGAGGAAGATGAGCTGGGAGACGATGTACAGGAGCAGAGAGTGGTAGAAGCCGTTGGCAATCCAAGACCAGAAACTGTGCCGCTTGAAGAACATTCCTTTCTGTCCGAGTTGGTACAGCTGGGGATATCTGTCCAGAAGTCGAGCGGAGATGAATTGATCACAGATTCCCATCGCAAATGGAGGGAGAACTGTGAAGAAGACGTTGTAGAAGGAGAGAGTCCATGATTCGTAAATGACTTCACCGGAGAATGCATTTTGGAAGGAGTACTGCAGATGTTAGCATGATCTGCATGCGAGTGATGTGTGCGAGCTTACCCAAAACTGTGTCATGTAAAGGGCGATATTCTTGTAGAATGAGTACAAGATGACTCGACTGATCCGGTGATAACTCCAGGCGCCATGGACAAGCAAAAGCTTGCGAAGATAACGGAACTGTGCGATTGAAACATCTGCAGATCTTGCGGCCTGCAAACCTTCAACACCACTGATACCAACGCCAACATGGGCAGCTTGGATCATAGAAACATCGTTAGCGCCATCGCCAATAGCCAGGAGTAGAGATTTCAGATGGCGCTTGACAAGCTTGACAACGAGCGCCTTTTGAAGGGGGGATACACGACTGCTAATGTTAGCTTTTTCTTTCCATCGAAGAAGGGGTAGGAGCATACCAGCAAATAACAGCCTTGCAGACGACCGCAAGGTCAAGGAAGAGCTTTTCCATATCCTTTTCGAGAGCGAATGTAAGAGATCGACCGTCAATGACCAAAGCCATCTGTTCGGCCTCGGGTTGACTCTGAACAGCCTGGAGCTTCTTCGTAAGATTATCCCTGGTAGCTTGAGCGTTGTCTTCGTTGACAATAAGTAACGTCATATCCTCAGAAATCAGCTTGCACGACATGCCAATATTGATGGCAGTTTCCTGTCTGTCGCCAGTCAAGACCCAAATTTTGATGCCTGCAGTCTGCAGTGTGTGGATAGTATCCGGAACACCGTCTTGCAGTCGATCCTCAATAGCGGTAGCCCCGAGAAGGTAGAAATCCTTTTCAATGAGCTCCGCAGCCTTGTCGAGCTCATCCGCACGGTTACCGCTGACGGTAGTCGCCGCTTTGTCGAATATCTGATACCATTGCTGGAACTCATCCTCGGGAATCTCACGCATAGCCAGACAAAGGGTCCGCAGGCCGTCCGAGGCGTACTCCTCGAGATGCTGCAGCGTTGATTCGACCATTGGGTTGTCGGGGTGAAGACGCTCAAGAATAACAGTGTCGGCGCCCTTGACGTAAACGCGAATTCGGCCATCCGGACACCGGAAGATCGTAGACATGCGCTTTCTCGTAGAGTTGAATTCACAGACTGCCAACAGCTCATACTCGTAGTCTTGTCCGTCGACCGAGATGATGACAGACCTCGGCTTTCGGTTGGTGAACCGATATCCCATAGACGCTGCGCCCTCGACAAGAGCTCCCTCATCAGGAGATGCGGCCTGGTACTTGATTTTATCCGGGTCTGCATCAGACCGTTCGGGAATGACAGTATGGCATGTAGCAAGAAGAGTAAGGAAGTGATGAATAGCATCCTTGCTTGGGTGAGAAGCCCGGTTTTTAGCTAGCGTCTTGAAATCGTGGACACCAACTTCGACACCGTCTTCAACCGTTGCTCGTCGATCTTCGGGAACATCCTCTCCATATTGGATACCAGCAATTGTGCATTGCTTGAACTCCATCATGTTGCAGGTCAAAGTACCAGTCTTATCGGAGAATATGTACTCAATCTGACCGAGCTCTTCGACCAATGACGAAGTTCTGCACGTGGCGGGAGTATCCGTTACATCGTAGTAGATATCCAGGTCCGAGTTGATCAAGAAAGCCTGCGCGTACTTGACGATTTCGATCGTGACAAAGAGAGAAATCGGGACAAGATTCGAATACAGCACCCAGTAGGTGAATATGTCCATGATGAACTGCTTGCCGGGGTTGGTGTTACCATAGTCCAGGTACGTAAGTTTGTCTTTCTCAGTCTGCCGGATAATCAAGTCGCCGACTGAGCTCACAACGCTGAGTGCGATGAGAATGCTGACCAACATCAAAATCTGAATGTTGACCATGCGCTCGACGGCCGTGCGCTTAATCGGTGTTGCGGTGGCGTTTCGCATCAACTTGGTCTCGTGACCGGTAAAGACGACGATACCGTGAATCCATGGTGTGTTGCGAAGGGTGGCTCCTCGAAGAAGAAGCTGATCCGGAGCCAAAGGAAGTTCCTTTTCGCCGCCTCCAGCGTGCATAGTCAGAGTTGCTTCATACGTGTACAAGCTGCTGTTTGGCTGTTCAGAACGAATTCGACCACTGAGTCTACTCAGGTCAGCTGGGCTGACAAGATGTGCAGTTTCGGGAATGGCCTGTTTGATCTTGAGGTTGGTTTCACCATCCAGATTCGCCGTCTCAATGTAACACAGACCCTCCGGCTCCGAGGAGGCCAAGAGAACCAAGTCAGCCGGGAAAGGCTGTTCAGACTCGACGCGGACAATATCTCCCACAGCCACATCAATCCATTTGGTCTCGTGGAACGCAGATCCCTTAAGGACTTGGGTTTTTGAGTAGTTCAAAGATTTGTCGGACGTTCTCCGCTTGTAATCCTCAACCAGTTCCTTGATCGCTGAAACCATCAACACAATCAACAACGGTCCAATCGTAGTATATCGATTCGTCGGCGACACATTAGGGATCTGCTGCAGTACTGCAGTGAACAAGAAAAACAAGTTGGCGTATTTCGAGAATTGTTCGTACAAGAATTTCGGGAGGAAAGTAATGATGTTGTACTTGGCTGTTGACACATGGTTATCGACAAACTTGTGCGTAGCGTTGGCTGGAGGGTTGTTGAGCATGATCATACGAGGACCGAGAGTAGACGGGTCGACTTTTCGTCCGCCAAATCCAAATTTGAAGGACGGTCTCCTGGGTCTCTTTGGCGCAGGCCCGTCCTCTGTGTTGGTGCTGTCGACTCGTGCGGCGCGAGCTCCGGGTTCGGTCAGGGGAAGGTCCATCTCGGAATACTCAGGCTTCATTCCCAGCATATGCTTCGCCCTGCCTACAAGCCCGCCGCCCATACTGAGTATACTGTTCCTCTCCTTGGCCTGCCGCATACGCGAGTCCGACTCCATCGGATCCTGCCCCGTCATGTCATAGTACCCGTGCGTTGCCCGATCATCGTCGTATTCGTCCATCGAGTAGCGCTGATAATTGCTCAACCCAGAAGTCTGCGAATATGTTCGAGATACATCGTGTCCGGAGTAGGGATCTGTCATGTATATCCCGGCCTCCGCCGGAGGCGCCGCGGAGCTTGTCGCATGAGAACCATACTGCGGTTGCACTCGACCGCCGACGAAATTATCATAGGAAACGGAGGGGCGAGGTTGGGGTTGGTCGGAGTCGTCAATGTCGTACTGTCGCAAGAGACGCTCGTCGTTGACGGGCGGGGGCTGTCCTGTGTTGTAGATGGAACGCGAGTCTTCTAGCTGCAGCAGGTCATCATCCCGGCCAGCGGCGGGATGACGACCTGGCGCCCTACCGCTGGCCATGATGATCGCGGAGGGCAGACACCGTCAGTGTGATGGTGTGCCCCAGGAGGAGCATGGATCGATTTGCGAAGCTGGTTCTTTGCGTTGATTGGAAGGGGGGAGAGGAGACGATGGCCCACGAGGATTATGCAAGGAACCGATAGTCGGAGGAAGGGGAGCGAGAACGATGAGAAAGAAACCAGAATGAAAAAGCAGAGAGAGAAATGCTGGCAGAAAGTAATCTGGCGACTGCCTGAAAGTGAGAACTGAGGGAGGACTGAGAGAGAGTTTCTGGGATGCGCTAAGCACTCGTGGTTGGTTTGGCGTGCGGCAGTGCTCTCCAGCCCCGTTGATCTTGCTGAGCTTGACGCTGCCAGTTAAATCGTGCGAAGGACCTTAGCGCGCTGGCAACTATGGATTTTTCTGTATAAACAGTAACAATGCAGTATATTTGTATATCCGGGGTAATGCATACTCGGGTCAATTATAAATTGACTTGAGCATTGTTTTGCCTATTTTCGTCCCTGAATGCTGCCTGAACAGTCTCAAAATTAAGCCAAACAGAGCGCTTTGTATGTCTCAAATCCAGTTCCCCGTTGGGAAAGGCTGATCAGGCCGCGGTCAATCCTCATTACGGGCCACGATGATTTTCATCGATAGTTTACGGACTTTTGAGTTGCAAGAACAGTCATGCGTTTCATCTATCATACTCGTACATTACGATCTTTCGGCGAGGGGTATTATGTTCAACCTATTAATCGATCGTTTTCTGCTCTTGCTTGCTCTGCCAGACCACCTTTGGCCCGTTTCGCGAAATCAACTTGCAACGCCTTGTCAATAATGCCGTTGAGCTCCTTGACCTTTTCCAATGCGACCGTGGTCTTCGTCACGAATACCATGGCGTCCACCGGGGAGCCCGAGAATTTCGACAGGTAGCAAACATCTCCAGCATTGTTTAGGCCGATGACAACATCTGCTTCGGACGCTTGCTCTTCTTTCCGCGTGGCATCGAGAATAACTAGCTTTCCTTCGTCAAATGTGTGGAATGTGACTGCCAGCGGCTTGTGGGTGATGTTCAATGGCACCGGGACTTTCTCGTCGATACCGTAGACAATGACCTGGCCCTCCTTGACGACCGCGTCGGGGCGGCGGAAGTGCTGCAGGCCGGCCATGACTCCAATGCAAGACGCATCAATCAAGTTCCCATCGTAGTCCGTAATGTGTACATCCGCCCGTATCGTCCAGCAGCTGACTCCTTTGAGAATGCACAGCGATTCCGTATCCAGGGCGTTCGAGTGACGAATGACTCGGTCTAACACGTTTGTGACGTACGTTTCGAGGTCTCCTTGTCTATGAGACAGAAAAATTAGCTTCTCTCCCGAGACATATATTTAGCATCCATACCGGCCATTCTCCCAGGCTGGAGATCCCATCGCCGTCAGCTCCATCGCGATATTGAAGATACCATCGAACGGTCGGTCATCATGTGGCTTGGAAACTTCGGCGGAGATACGGACAATAAGACTATACGATAGTTAGTAGTGTAGACAGAGCAAGAAGAAAGATACACACCTCGTCTTTCCAAGCTGCACCTTCACATGGCCATATTCCTCTTCGAACGAGAGCTTGAGGGGACGCAGCTGGTCTGCCGCGCGGCCATCGAGCCTCACGTCTTCACGGAGCGCATCGAGGATAAAGTCGCGCTCGGCGGTCGATAGCGCTGCTTCTTTATTCATAATTGCGGGCAGACTGAGCCCTGTGAGGGGGAAGAAACGAGGCACTTGCGCCTGGAAAATTCACTCCGCAGCGTCATACAAAGTATGCTTGGAGCCAATCATGCGCTGGCGATAAAGGCGGTGTGCCGCTAAGTCAGCTTCTGCCTGAGGCTCTGATCAATATATCCTCGCCGACAGCTCTTTTGGCACCTTCAGTTAACCAGAGGATTAACGCTACCTACAACGCATCATGACTACTGGTAAGCTGCATTTCGAGTCCTCGCACATGTACGATCTTGCTAACAGGAATCAGCCCACAGACCCACCTTCGACCCCGTATGTCCCAACTCCGTCCTCCCAACAACAAGCACTCACACGATATAGGCTCAAGGCAAAGAGGCCCTCCGCGGCCCGGCGTACCATCAGCGCCTCCTGCCCGCACATAAACACCTGAAAACTCGGTATGTAGCTATACAATTTTGGCCAAGCCGGTACTAATTTGGACTAGTCAACTAGGACAGGGCACTGAAGGAGAGTCGCACCAACGCGACCTGCGCGCGGAATTGCTCCAGGCAGAGGCCGCTCACTTTGCCAAGAAGCGAGGCATTCCCGTTGATGAGACAACGAGCGAAAGCGCGACACCAAAGCGCCAGCTAGAAGGCCCCTCAAACGGCAACGCGGAGATCGACGAAGAAGACGGAGAGGCGAAACGGCGGCGGATATTGGAGGAGACAAGAGACATAGATGCAGATTCCGACGGGTCAGAGGAGGAGAGTAGTGAAGAAGAGAGGTCAAACATTCGATCCGAGGCTTGGAGACTGTGCTAACAGGTCCCAGTGACGACGAAGATGAAGCTGCGGAATTGATGAGAGAGCTTGAGAAGATCAAGAAAGAGAGACTCGCTCAAAAGGAGAAAGAGGTATGAAACCCTCGTGGCGCTCCAACGGTATTTACTCACGGTATTCAGGAACGCGAACGTGCGGCTGAAGAGGAGGAACAACGAGAGTACGATATCGCGCGAGGCAACCCTCTGCTCAATCCAACAGAACTAAACATGAAGAGACGCTGGGATGATGATGTGGTATTCAAGAACCAAGCTCGCGGCACAGAAGATAAGCGTGGAAAAGAGTTTGTTAATGTAAGGCGACTCTTTCTCTGGGATCTCTATGGAGGCTAATCTATTGTTCAAGGACCTGCTTCGATCGGACTTTCACAAGAAGTTCATGGTAAGTCCAGTGCACCTCACTATAACTGCGAAACTTGCTAACAATGCATAGTCGAAATACGTGCGGTAGTTACACTTTCAGCCGGTTCTTATAGAATCACTTTTAATCTATTCAATGACCATCCCTCTAATGCTTCCTTTCCTCGTCGGTGCCAAATCTCTTGTACTATGCCAATATATATATATCCAGCCCGTTTGTTCAGAGTAGCACTTACAACAATAGAGCCTTCCTCCAGAACGACCTATAAACTCATGATATTCAACACAATGTCCATAATGCCCGAAACCAATGAAGAACATTATGATTAGACTCATTGCCTGCTTTCTTCAACCATCTCTCATCCCAATTTAATTGGTAAGTAGTGCCGGCAGTAAACCACCGCCGCCGTCCACCCCGCTATCTCAGCATCTTTATTTCATCGACGACCACTTCCAAATCCAACAACAAGGGACTGAAAGGCGTCCTAGTAACTTCAAAATGGACTCACAGCCGACCTCGAAAGCGCTACACTGTACGTGCTCAAGATTAATTCCGAAACCAGTCGTTTCCCGATCCAATGGACAAACATCAAACCCGCTAATCTCCGAACCAGACCGCATAAACAACAATATCTCGCAATTGCTACAGCGCTTCGAGAATATCATGGCCACGGCTACGGTACGCTCTGCCTCTTCCCATGCGCCGATGCGACAACCTGGGTCATTGTATCGGAATCGAATCGCTAATTGAAGGACTCTTTCCAGGTCGAAAGTACCAGCCACACTACGACTGCCGTTGAGACATACCAGCTTGACGTTGAATCGACTGCCCTGGTACGCTGCACTCCCTTTTTCAAGCTGCTCCGCGCATCTCCAATCCTCCGTGCACCAACCTACCCCGTCACACACAAACCCTCTCCCCGTAATTCAAGACAACCGCCCATGCAGACCCGTTCTTACAATTCCCTCACTAGATCCGCGCCGCAGAAGACATCCTCTCCCTCACCCGCGTCATGAAAGAAACCTGGCTCTTTGGGAAACTCGACACACTAGGCGAAGACGAGTCCGAGACGAGGCGGCGGGAGGAATTGGAGAGGGACGCGGCAGTCATCCAGAAAGCAATTGAAGATGGGGGTGTGCTGAAGACTACTAAGAAGTAGATTTTTGGTCCTTTCTTGGGGGTTCCTTGGTTGTTCAAATTGATATGGGATATCTAGGTATTGCATAGATGGGCGAGGCGCGTTGGGTTTGGTTGTTCTTCGGTGGATTCATTCGCGCACGGCGTTACGGCATAACTTACGTTTTCTCTAGAAGATAGTGTAGAATATGATACCCTTTTGGATGCATTTGTTCTACCTTGCGTGGTTCTCTTGAACTTGTTGGTTGGAACTTGGGCCAATCTATTACTATCAGAACCCGATAAGAAAAATAAAACCAAACGTTCCCCGCCGCGGTCGGTCCAAAAAGTCTCTCAGCCTACTTTAGTACCGCACCTCAATCCCTCTCACATACAAAATCAAAACAACGCGTCAAGAAACCCCGACGATTTACTCACTCCCATCCAAACCACAAGCCAAACCCAAACAGCGCCCCCCGCCGCCAAAATGCCGCCAACAACCCCCGTCCCAATAACCCTCATCGTCGCAACCACCCCGCACCCCTCCCCTTCGCAAACCGGGAAAACCCTTTTAGGCATCGGCCTAAACGGCACCCTCCCCTGGCCGCGCATCAAGTCCGATATGTCGTTTTTCGCGCGCGTCACGGCGCGTGTGCCGCCTACACCGACACACGCACGCGCAAATGCGCTGATCATGGGTCGAAAGACGTACGATTCTGTCCCGCTGAAACTGAGGCCGCTAGGGAAGAGGGTTAGTGCGGTTATTTCGAGGGATGCGGGTGGGGAGGTTAGAGAGAGGGTTGGGAGGGAGCTTGTGGAGAAAAGGGAGAGGGAGGTCGCGGCTGCGAAGGCGAAGGCGGAGACTGAGCAGGGCGAGAAGAAGGAAATTGAAGAGAGCAAGACCGACGCCTTCGTTTCGTCGAGTCTCGAGGATGCGCTGCAGACGCTGGATTCGGCTGCGGAGAGGGGTGATATTGGGAGTGTTTATGTGATTGGGGGTGCGGAGATCTATGGGGCAAGTTTGAGGTTGGGACTCGATGGGGCTGCACCAGGGGCTGGTGAGGATAAGAAAGCGGCGCAGAGGAAGGTGAGGATTGTGATGACTGATGTGGAGAGAATCGACGGTGAGGTGTTTGAGTGCGATACGTTCTTCCCGGTTGATGGTGAGGACCTTGCTGGGGACGGGTGGAGGAAGGTTAGTGCTAAGGAGGTGACAGAGTGGGTTGGTGAGGAGGTTACTGGTGAGTGGATTGAGGAGGGGGATGTCAGGGTGAGGATGGTCGGGTATGAGAGGGTGGATTCATAGTTCTAGAATATTGACTGGACTACACTGGTTCAGAGAGACTGAGATACCCATGATTGAATAGATGCCTTAGAGATACATTCTTCTGATCTGACGATTCGAGTGTTAAGCATTAAGCAAAACAATAATGAAAGCAGGCGCTAAAATACAATGCAATGCGTCTAATCAACAGAAACGCAACGCGGGTATATCCAGAAAAGACAGGTAGGGGGGAATGCAAGATGTAATGCTCTAGCAAAAAAAAAAAATCACTCGTGCTCTTTCATGTACTTCACAAAGGCTTTCTTATGTACCAGCCCTGCATATTGTCCGTCGTGGTTAACACACAGGTAACGCAGTCCAAGCTTGACGAAGCATTGGTAAACAAGGTCTATAGGCGAATGGATATCAAGGGCGAGAGGGGCCTGCAAAGTCAGTATATGTGAGTTACGGAGGGGCTTCAAAGGTGGGCATACCGGATCTATAAATTGAGTAAAGTCCACTTGAACGGTATCGTCGTCGTCAGCGTCAGCGATAGCCGAAGACGTGTCAATAGCCATCAGACAGATCGAGTTATCCTCGTCGCCGAGGTTATCGAGCGCGTATTCGAGGTCCGGCGCAGGAATAAGTCCGATCAGAATGTTGTCACGTAGGATCGGAAGACCGCTGTCCAGCTCGCCCGCCATCAAGAGATGCTGCAGCTTCGAGCGCAGTTCTCGTGCCGGGACAAGAGGGGATTCCGTAATATCAATGATACGACTCTGTCGGACTGGTCGGACGATATCGCCGAGTTGGGCGTCGGACATGGGCTGTAGTTTGTTGTCGAGGAAGGGGTAGGAGTTCATTTCAGTCAAAAAGTCCTGAAAGATTAGCAGTAATTCACCCACAAATCCGGGAGACTTACATAGATACTATGAGGTTCGATCGCATCCGCAGTCCACTTGGCGCAGAGAACTGCCAGCGAAAACGGCAAGACATGGTCCAGGCTGCCAGTCAGCTCGAAGAGAATAACTGCAAGGGTGACCGACAGCCGTGTAACCCCACACATGGTTGCCCCTGCAGCGACCATTGCATAAACTCCCGGTGTGACACAGGATTCCATACCGGCAGTAGCGGCGCACGACGAGCCGAACAGGAAGAAGTTGGGATACTTCATCACCCAAAACTGAGTAACGTGGCCGACGATACGGCCCATCAGGCCACCGACTACCATGGATGGCACGTAAATACCCGCTGGTACCTTGATGCCGAAAGTTACCACTGTTAACAAGCTTTTAAGGACAAAGGCTATTGTGAGGGCACGGATAACCTCGCCGATGCCCTCTGGGTGCGGACACAGCCCATCCGGAGATAACGAATCCTTCTCGCACGGACTAGCCAGCTGGAACAACAGCTCCGTGACAGGGAGTTTCGTGTATCGGTTCCAGAAGCCGGTCAACCCAGTGAGCAATGCAACAAGGACAACCTCGAATAGCGGCCACCGCTTGATGACGGGGATGCGACGGAACGATTTGGCCCAGATGCTAGAGGCTTTGATGAACAAAGCACCCAGAGCACCGCCCATGACTCCCAAGACCATGAAGATGCCCAGCTCAAAGAGTTCCCAGTCGCCCAGGTAGCGCACTTCGAACAGCACAATCTTGCCGGTGCCATAGGGGTTCAAGAACTTCAACGACAGCGCCGCGGCGATACAGCAAAAGAATGTCCGGAAAAGCGTTTTCGGCGGGAAGTAGTAGCTGACTTCCTCTAGACTGAAGAGGACGCCGCCGATGGGCGCTCCAAAGGCTACAGCGACACCACTGGCGGCACTAGCACTGAGGACCTCACGCCGTTTACCGTCGTTGAGGTTGTACTTCGTGAAGAGTCGGCAGCAGATATTTCCAACGCAGGTAGCAATGTGCACGTACGGGCCCTCCTTACCGAGACTGAGGCCAGAGGCGACACTGAAAACAAGAGCCAGAGTCTTGATGACCAAGGTCTTGAAGCCGAGGTACCCGTGGAGAACGAAACCACTGTTGATGACCTTGACCTCGGCGACACCGCTACCGGCAGCAGAGTAATAGATCATATCAGGACGCGTGGGTAGCGGTGGCATCGGCGACGAGCCGCTCGCAGAAGCAGGCGAGACATCATCCGATCCACGCTTCGAACCACGAGACCAACCCGCGGCCAAGTTCTCGTCCAAGGTAGTCAAAGAGACCGAGGACGGAACGACCGTTTTGGTCATCAACGTCAGAAGACAGGAGATAACCGCTAGGGCCACAGACCAGAGGACGTAAACCCCAAAGTCGACCCAGACACTACCACCAGCATGGTGGTTCATCAACTCTGACCACGACCGCCACGCCAGACAGTCCTCGCCATTCGCACAGCAATGCTGATGGCTCCGAAACCAGTTTGTTGTACACACACCTTCCTTTAAATCAAAAACATAGTCTTCCGATACATCCACGAAATAAGCAATCGCCGCCGTAATGCATCCAATCAGTGCAGCCAGGATCCAGCCCTGGGAACCGTCAAACAAAGCAAGTATCCGACCGCGAATATCCTTTCGCCGCCGCAGCTCCCGGAGCCGTACTCCATCGGCAACACTATCATGTACCCAGTCGGTGGAGGTAAACTGGTCATACCAGAGCCGGTCGTCCATGAAGGAAGCCGTCATCGGGTCCTTGGCCGAACCGGGTACACTCTCAGGGAGAGCTGCTCCATCTAAACTCGGCCGACGACTAAACCGCCGGTTTGTCGAGTTCGCCCGACTGTGATGGCGTGACCGACGAAGACTACTCGCCATGAGTGTATGTCTAAAGGCAGCGTCGGGCCCCGAGGAGGCAGAAAAGGTAGTGTAGGAGCGTTGCGGTAGGACACGGAGGCCCTCCTTGGCCTTTCCAAGGAGGCTGGTTGTCTCACCGACCTCCAGGGGCGGCTCTAACGACTGATAGTTGGTGTGTGACCCTGAAAATATGCTATAGCTTCGTCGCATGGCGGACGGAGAGGGTGGTGCCGTTCGGGGTGTGTGTCGGGGGCCGGCATCTTCGGGAGGCTGGTCTGTGTCTTCCTCCGGAGCGGAGGGTATATAGGAGGGGACGGATCGTGGCATTTTCGACGAAGCGGTGCTTGCTTCCACTTAAACTGTGTGATCATGAAGGAGATTAGTTTCGAGTAGCTGTAGAGAACGAGCCCGCTCGCACTCACAAGCGAACATGATCCCCTTGCGACTGTTTGAAGGACAATAATTAGGTTCAGGCCCAATGTTGAGCGGAGCTTGGGACCGCGGTACCCGACGTATCAGAGACGTGTACCACTAACCAGAATGATGGATGAAACGAGGGGTTAACCAGAAAGAAAGAAGATCAAAAGCAGAACCACAAAAATACAGAATACAGGCCCCGACAGCAGGGGTGAGATAGTGAGGAGAGTTCAGCAAGAGAGAGGAAGTTGAGGAGTGGGAGGGAATCGCGCCTTAGCGGCAGATGACCCGCCATTCGACCAAAACGGTATCCCGTCCATCATCTGATAAAAACAAAGTCATCCTTTCGCTGCTGTCAAACAGTGTCAAACGCCAATCGCTTGGATGTCGTCATGACCTGGAGCCAAGAGATAAAGGCAGTCTGATCATACGCGTCAGGGACTTTGGCAGGCAGATCTTTGACGAAGAGAGCTTGATGTGCTTCCAGGATGCAGCAACTGTCGTCATATCAAACAGCTTGAATTGCGTCAAAGTATTTCCGATCCGAAGCCTCTCTGCCGCCCGAGTTTTTCCCTCGAAGCCAGGATGCACCCGCGAGTTCCCGGCAGATCATCTTTTCTTCCCCGTGGGGTAGCCTGTGGGATCTGGATAAGCGAGCGAGTGTCACATGGCGCCGACATCGCCACTTGGTGCCCAAGTCTGCGCAATTACGCCTTCCACGCGGATCTCTTTGAGTTGTCCTCATTGACTTTACGCAATAAGGTTTAACTTTATGCAGGAGGATCCCGAACGCATAATACAGCGGTTTAATAAGAGAGACAAGCTACCTATTGGATGCTAAAGGTTCTATAAACGGAACAGCACCAGCCAGTCGCTTTGACGATAACATTGCGGATGGGCTACAAATGGGCTATATATGAGCTAAAAATGAGCTGCGGATCAGTCGCGAATGGCAAGAGGAGAATTCTATGAAGAAATAGTGAAAACTGGTACCCTCACCTGCCACTCTCCTTGGCGGCCGAAAATCGCCATGATGCTGCTATGCACTTGCTGCTCGACCAAGCGGGTATAGAGCCCAATCCTACTAGGACCAGGGATTCCGTGGCGCCACCGCTATTCTTTGCCTCGAGGCCCGATTTCGTGGAGATCGTACGGGATCTGATCAACCGCGGCGCCCGTGTCGACCTGGCAGAAAGACAAAATCGAGTTGGATCACTATCTTGGCGAGCCCTTTCGATTGCTGCAGCTTCTGGAAGCCGGCCTCTCGTGGAGCTGCTCATCCAGCATGGAGGGCGTTATCCCAAGGAGAGGTGCAACGCTGTCTTCCACCAAGCTGCGACATTTATTCAAGTGCTTTGCGGCTCTTGGTTGTGGACCCTAGCTCTACGGATGATCTGGAGAAGGGGGCCACTGCGTTCAGCATTCCTGCAAGAAGGGGCCAGTCAGACGGTGTCAACGCACTGATTGCGTGGTGCAAAAGTCGACATACCAAATGAGAACGGAGAGACACCTCTGGCGTGTGCAGCTGCAGCAGCCTACGCTCATATTGTTGAAACTCTGCTTGAGAAGGGAGCTGATCCGAACTTTCAAGACGCCCAGGGCGAAGCCCTGTGTATCGGGCCGCAAGTAGCGGCTCAATAGCAGTACTGGATGCCCTCTTGATCCATGGAGGTTTCCCAGCATTTCCAACTCATAATAACAAAAGCCACCTTTTTGAAGCAGCGGAAAAGCGCCACGTGGAATTTGTCCCAAAGACTATTAAGCCTGGGAGCGCCGTTCGATCAACCTACCAAATTGGGTCAGACGCCCTTATCTCGCGCAGCGGAATATGGCCCCTACCCCGTGATAGAGCTACTGCTAGAACATGACGCTAATATGGGCGCGACTGATCATGAAGGGAGGAGTCCCTTGGACCGAGCACTGAGTAACGGATGGGATGATTGCGCCGAGCTGCTACTGAGAAGAGGGGCACAGCCCAACAACAAGTTCAAGGACAAGCCGCCGCTGGTATCCGCAGCGAGGCGCGGGCTCCTCAAGGTCACCCAGTACCTGCTTGAGACCGGCTTCGATCCGAGCTGTGCTGGGGAAGACGACGGCTGAACGCCCCTTATCTGTGCAGCGCGGAACGGCCTGGATATCGCATCTTCTGCTCCTATGGGTGACACTAAACGCTACAAGTAGCATATGGTTGCCCTAATCATGCTCGCGTCAAGATGTTATTTGCGCAGCAACGCCCAGAAATGTGCCTTAGAACCATGTACCATAGTAGTGGAGAGAGAATAATACCACCTGGAACTTTGAACCGCATGGTCTAAGATGCCTGTAGTAAAATAATCTTGGATATAGGCTATAATTCGGAGACTAGAGAAGTTTAAATTATGTCCTAGAGTAGTTATTTTAAACTACTATCCTATATTTACTATTTACTAAAAAGTAAGTTAGTTTATAACTTTAGGCAAGGTGTGCCTCCATAGTTAACTAGCAGCTTAATAATATTTAGGGTATTGGGCTAGTGGGCAGTACTAAGATTAGCCTTAAAGGCTGCCTTCTTTATAATGAGCTATTCCTGTGTAGTGTCTATTATAGGCATGTAGCAGGTATAGATATAGAAACAGGGGTTAGTGCCTATGGGGCTAAGGTTATAGGGTATCCTAAAGCGTAAGGTTACTAGGCCTAGTATTAGGCTTTACTTACTTATAACCCTTGTTCTTTAGCCACGCATGCCCCTCCTATATAAAGCTATACCACTCCTTGGTCCAGGCCCAGATCCTGTTGGGCTTGTCCTTAAACTTGGTGTGGAACTCCCTGCTCAGGTTATCGGATCCCTTGCACACAATAAGACGGCCATTATTGTTTTCGTGGAAGCGAGTCCACCAAGGTAGTAGAAGAAACAATGACGTTGCCGTGGTACGTTGGGCTGAAGGTATGCCAGTTTGAGAAACTCGATTAAAGATGGGCTGAGTTGACTCGCCGTTTCTGGTGAGGGGGCTTGATGTTCCCACGAGGTTTGCGGTTGGGCCCAGTCGCGGCTGCTCTCTGTCCAGCCCCAATACATGAGCTCGTGGTGGAGGTCAGCGCAGCGCTGATAATCCATGTAAGAGAGAACTTTGTGGTTAGTGAGCAATGAGTAGCGGAATGGAGAGATAGGAGGAGGTTAAAATAAAAAAGAAGGGGAATACTGCTAGGAAATAAAGATGCAGGCAGGCTTGGCGATTGTAGCTAAGCCAAAGCTGACCACATCAGGGAGCGAAAGCAGTTTAGTTCGTGAATCGAAAAGGCTGAGCAGGAAGAGACACGGGCCAGGAATTGTGAATGAGTTTACCTTTCCATGCGAGCAACTGTTGAGCCAGGCACTAGAGGGTCCGAGTTATATCTATAGAGTAGGTCTGGCAAGCACTGAAGTAACCATTCTCAAGGATACAACAAACACAGACTTTAGCAGTAGCTGTATGTGGTGCAAAAGTATCCAGCCCTTAGACTGGGTCCCAATGTTCCATGTCTAACAGCATGGATACTACTGACCTCAGACACTAGGATTACATTTGTTATAAGCAGCAGATCTAATCCACAGTAGGTGTGACAGCACTGCTGCAAAGCCCGTATATAAAGCACTCTCTGACTTACAAGCGTTATCGCCAGGGTCCACTCTTGTCTGGGCTAAAAGGTTTTGACTTACAGCTATTAAGGCCATAAGCTGCAAGCCTTCAAGTAGCTTACAAGGGATTTATGGTAGTGGGTCTATAAGTTGTTATAGCATTCCCTAAACACACACCACCAAGCCTACAAAGACAAGGAAGGCCTTGACCAGAAGTAAATCCCTACTTGGATACCTTCCCGGTCTTCTCACATGGCTTTTTGTTTGATTAAATAAGTACATTTATAGAAGCCCTCGGAACTGGGTCTATTAGTAACGCTAGGGCCAGCCCCCCTGGAAGGCCACTGATATAACCTAGCGCTTCAAACCATCCTTAACTTAGCCTGCCGAAGGAAAGAACGACCGACATTGCAGTGCAGGGCCGGAAAAGTAGGCCGGTATAGGGCCATATTCATAGGCACCTGTGGAGTTGATATGTTGCTCTGTTAACACTCCCCTTGTCTAGATACCTGGCACGTTAGGTGCATGAAACTGCAACAGGGAAATTTTTAGTGCCTTTTTGTCCAGCAGACGCTCTAGATATGTCCTCTGAGTGTTTTGGTGTGCTTTCCAACAGCTGTTGGAGGCCAACTCGCGCTTGGCTGGAGACCGCTTAATACCCTGATGTGCCAGAACTGGCAAGTGGCCTGGTCTGTGCATCTATTACCGGCATTGGTGCTTTGAATTAGTACAAACCATGGTTTACCTGCTCTAGAAAACCTCTAGACCTTAGGCTTATATAATGTGAGGTCATCTTTGGGAGTGCATATGGACGACTACGTGCCTGGTAGTCCCTGCATGATAGGATCTGGAAATCAGGTCACTCGCCGGTACCGGCGGGGCCACGAATTTCGCCTATAGAGTAGACCTTCTTTGATAGCACACTCGAGCCTCGCTATACATGTCTCACATGGAAAATTCAATGTAACATCGGCGAAAGCCTCGCATAGGCTCACAGCAAATCCCCCTTGGTTAGACAGACAGAGGAGCCTCTGGCATTTACTGGACTTGTATTAGTAGCTAGTAGTTAGATTATGGGAGATACTTATTAAGGACCTATACTAGCATGAGGCCATCCTAGACGGGCGAATCAGCGTGACGACCGGCGCAATGCGTGGTTTGGAGTGATCACTTGGAAGTCTTAAGAGTTCGTGCCTGCTTGATAAGACGCTTAGCCGGAAATTAAGCCCGGCACTCGCGTGGGGGCCAAATGCGGGAACCTCCCAAGGTTGCTTTGAGGTTCCGATAATGCAGATAGATGCATCATGCCATTCCGCTGCCCGCGGAGTTGCCAGAGATTCTGCGGCTTGATGGAGCGATAGCCGGTTGCTAGTTTTACGGTGAGTCAGAGGCGGTATTTATGTAGACCCATCGCCCTGTCCTGGCTCCATAATTTGGCCGTTTCTCTGCACGGTGTACTATACTAGTTGTGAACCGCAAGGGACGATGTGGAGGGGACGTGCTTGGGAGGGACAGACGGCTCGGCTCGATTGTGTTCCGCGCAAATCTCAGATCAGGCGGTGGAGCCGCAGCCTTGATCATTTGCACTAGTCTTGTACTGCCCTTGTGCTCGTCCTGATTCGAATCAGGGGCCGGGGACTACGGCGCCGGCGCTGTGCCTGGCGTTTCACGGCCGAGGCCCTGGACCCTGGCAGTTGGGGACCATTGGTAGTGCCCCAAGCGTTCGCCACCGCCACCAGGATGCGCTGCGGGCGCGGAGAGGAGCTTTGGTTGCTTCCAAGCTCCTTGGCGGCTTGGTTGAACCGTGCTTGTTTATCTTAAAAGGGAAACCACGGCTAAACCAGACGCCCACATCAACCGCCGGTCCCCGGAAGATCCTGATCGAGAACGGACGGTTCAAGGGTTCGGAAATTGCACCCACGACGATTGGCGACAAGTCTGTATGCCAAGATACTATATCTCCCGCCTCTAGCATCCGAGGCATCCCGCCGATCATATGGTGGTAGCCGCGGCGAAACTTGGCTCGCTAGTGGTAGATCGGGTTGCATCGTGAGCCTCTCACGCTATATTAGACTCGGTTCTGTTGGTGTTGAAATCTCTGTCAATGTTCGAGTGAGCGAGCTTCCGAGTCACGGAGTCCGGCCCATCCCACGTACTAAGCGGGCGTTAAACCAAGTGTGAGTATAGTGGGAATTCCAGCTTCGACTAAGAAAGAGCGGGATGCATGATTGGAAAGAATTCGCCAAGTACACTTATGCACTATAATCTCCGGGAATCCACAAGGCGAAAATATGAGTGCCCTCATGGCAAACAATGGCCATCTGCTGCTAGCTAAATTATCCCAATTGCCTCTTCAAGTAACTCGACCATATCCGCGTGCATCGTCACAGCCGCCCTAGATATCGGCGTGTACCCTTCCAAATCCTTTAGATCCGGCCTGGCGCCATACCTTAGAAGCACAAGGGCACTCTCACGCTTATTTAGCACGGCTGCATTTGATAGCGCCGACCGGCCGAACTGGTCCGGATGGTCGACATCCACTCCCCCGTGGGCTAGGATGGCCTCGATAGCGAGGTGGTTCGTCGTTCGATGTAGCAGGTCGGCCATGTCGGCTTGAACCCCATCCTGTGAAAGGATGAGCTGGACGGCTTCACCAGCGTTTTCGGAGGCAGCAATCTGGAGCGCTGTCTCCCCACGGGGGCGATCCACAGCATTGATGTCGAAGTTGCCAGGGACCGTCTGCCTCGCGACTGGGCCATCACGCAACCCAGGGGGAATGGTGGCGAGGGCCTGGCGCCGACGCTCGAGGATCAGGTGGACGCGGTCGTCGTCCCCATATCCCATGACAGCAAGCATGAGCGGATTCCGCCCGTCCCCATTGACGCAGGCGAGGTCAATGGCCGGATGCGCGAGGAACGGAGAGATAAGCTCGTAGGCGCCTAGACCACTGCCAAGGGCCCAGATGAGTGGGGTTACCTCAATATCCTTATCCTCCCACATGTAGTGGTGGACGAGCTTGCGGTGGTTCACGTCAGTCAAAGGTTGCTGCAATAGTAAAGCGACACCATCAATATGGCTTGCAAATATTGCATGCCAGAGGGCCGTTGCTCCCTTCATGTCAGTTATATTGACGCCCTCGGGGTCTTTTGCGAGCAAAAGGCGCATGAATTGGAGGTTGTGCGCCCGGGTGGTGGACATTAGGGGAGTGACTCCAGCGTTGTTCTGTGGGTGCAGGGAAGATCCTGGATTGGAAGTAATGAGTGCTAAGAAACAGGGGCCCTTCCTAGCGTCTGGTGCAGCTTTAGGCACGCGGCGGCGGTGTGTTCGTGCCTGGAGATGTAGGATTGTGTCGCCATTCTCGTCGGTGGACTTGAACTGGCGAAAGGTGAACAGGCGGGCAAGGTGGGAGAACGTCCGTATCAAGGTCTCTTGGTCCAGAGGCGCAAGGTAAGTTGCGATATGGAGAACTATTTCCGTTGGTAGAGTGGGCATTATTGCTAGGAGTGCTGAAAGCAAGCGAAAGACAGGTTGCTGGGGAAAAGAAAGAATGGTCTGGATGGATTTACTTATGGGACTCCCCAGGTCCAGCTTAGCCTCCTACCCCTTTACCCCACATACATATAGCACGAAACTATGGTACTCCAGGCCAGTGAGGGTAGGTAGGCCGCCGCCGCCGCCTCCCGCCCTGCATTCCCACCCCTAAACTGGTTTGTGTAATGCTGAATTGTCGCCTCGCGATCGGGCACGGGGAAAGCCTGGATTTACCTGATGTGCTGGTAGCCCGTGTTCTGCTGGGTGCGGATCGCGTGCCCAAAATTCTCAGCGCGCGCCATGGCCCGTATGATCACGCGGTTGATGTTCTTCTCGCGCAGGCCAATAACCAGCTCTCCTTCCGCCAGTTGTTAAACCGCGCCTCCTGCTCCGCCGACATCGTCCCCGCATTGATCCGGTCCCTGATCGCCAGCCGCGCCTGCATATCCCACTGGCTGAGCTCGCGCGCGATGCGGTAGAACTCGTCAGCGTCCTGGCCGACGCAGGGGAGCAGGTTGGCCACGTTGATGAACCCCGTCTACGACCCAATGTGTACATAGCCGAGCCTGACCTTGCGCTCCGAGACGGTGTGGCCCTGCCGGAAGATGGTGTCTGCAATCTCCATGGTGAACCGCCCCCACGTGGTTCTTGTTATGTCCGGCCGCTGGTCGCCCGGCCTCGTCGGTGCCCAGAGGTAATTGCACAGCTCGCGGAGGGTGCACTGGCTCGACTGGCCCCGGAGCCCCGTTCGCGTGCCCACGCACCTGGTGGCAATACCGCCTTGGACTCGCGGGTTGAGACCAAGTTAACCATACCTGGTCTCATGCTGCCCCATATACCAGTTGATATGGCTCAGAGTTTGGCGATACTCTCTGTTTGAGCAGTGCTTCGTGCCTGATGCAAGAACCTCTGGGACAAAAATACCAATTAGAGGCGGAGGGCAGCGTTAGCAATTAGGCTTATAATTATTGTCAAGCTCCTCTTTAGGGAATCAACATTATATCCTAGGAAAGCATTAATATTCGAGACCTCGTCAGGTAGCTTCTCTTTTGGCTTGCGGGTGTTAGGCCACAGGCTCCGAGTATCCCTGTTGGCAGCGTGTGGGAGAGATAAGCCCGTTCGTGTCAATCTCCATGGCCAAGGGTTGTTGTTTGTTAGTAGTCCACGGTTCTCAAGGCATTAAACGCAACTGGAGTGGGCTATAATCCCTTAACGAGTAAGAAAATGATAGACGCGGATGGTAGAGGGAGGATAAATAGATATATGGCTTGTATTCGCCGTAGGGAGGAGAGGAGAGAATAGTTATTAATAAAAGTAAGATTATAGGAGGAAATCCCTTAAGAGATAAAAAAAATAGTAGAATAGGAGGGCCAAGGGCTACATTTATAAAAGTTAGGGCTGGCTTAAGTAAGTAAATTGCTCACTTCATGTGCAACTCAAGATGTACAAACAGGACAAGGCACTCCCAACTACTATAGCATCCTTTAAGCATCATTTATCTTAATTCACTCTACTCATTTTCGACCTCTACCAGTGAAAGAGAGTCTATCAATGCTTTTCCTGGCCCTCTGGTGAATCCAATCAACCTGACTTGACATGGTTGTGTATCTGTACTTCCCGCTACATAATTGGGGTCAACACAGAACAAGAGCGACTGGTGGCAGCAACGACTTTCCCACCCCCTTTGCTCTCGGTAGGTACATTCTAACAATCGCATCACTCATCTTGGTCATGTTGCCAGAGTGGTCTTTTTTGTGTATCAAGTCGCTTCGATTCCCCGTTGTATCAATTTGTGTCCCTGTTCGATAAATCCAGTTTTCAGTTCTGATTCCATAATCCACTAGGCACGCCACATCCCAAGTTCCCGCTCGCCGCAACCAAGATAAGCTCGACCTCAGCTGTCGTTCGACTTTGCTTGGCCGGATGACCTGCTTCAGTCCATGACTCGCTGGTCACCACGGTCGGCCTGGATATCGGAGCTTCTGCTCCTACGGGTGACACTGAACTCCACAAGCAACATATGGTCGCCCTAGTCATGGTTGCGTCAAGATGTTATTTCCGCAGCGACGCCCAGAAATGTGCGTCGGTATCACGTACCGTAGTGGAGAGCACAATACCACCTAGAACTTCGAGCCACATGGTCTGAGATGCCTGCAGCGACACATTCTTGGACATAGGCCATAATCAGGAGACTGGAAAGTTTGAATCATGCCCTGGAGCGGTCGTTTCAGACCACTCTCCAATATCCACCGTTTGCTGAGAAGTAAGTTGGTTCATGGCTCGATAAAGCGATTCTAAGCTTATTTTACCTCGTCTCGTAGTTGGATGATCACTACTGGACCGAGACAAATCCCGAAGGGGTCCGACTTTTATTCGAGGCCGAGTGTTTCCCGTGTCGGATATTGGTATTGGTATTCTGAAACACCGGTGGTTAGATCTATCCCAGACTTGCACAGCCTCCTTGCCAAGACGACTCTGACGCGGAACGGTGTGAACAAAACTTGTGCAGATGCAAAAGGCGTCTTGGCAATGCTTGCTCGCAGGCTTACGAGGCAATTTTCCGCGGTGGAAATATTCATGCGTTGTGATCGGCATCGCTCCCTCGTGTTTGTTGTCCGGATGGGATGCGGAGTACGCGGGGTGCTGCTCTAGTGGACGGGCTTATCTGATTGATTCTGCAGGTCGAGGCTCTGCATGGTCAGAAAGGGTCTTCAAGTGCAGGGACTGATGCATGGTTATGGGGAACCCTGTTTTGCCGGAACGAACTGGGCCACTGCTGAATGTGGGGTGCTCCGAAACCCTTGAACGTTGACCGTCACCGACCTTCTGAGGTGGAGAGAAATTTGGTCACTTTTCTTTGGGCAAATGGAAAGTGTGGCCAGACTATTGCCTCACCCATGGAATGCTTCCAGCCCAGGCAGTGAAAAGAATTCAAGGAGCTAACTCCATCCTTCTGCTTCGGATAGAGGGCCCGAGGGCTTGGGAGCGCCACACTCTCTGCAAGTCTCCCTAATTCTTCAAGACAAGACCGTCAAGAAACGTCCTGCCGAGTCATGACAGGCGCCACACTCTTCGCAGGTGGGGTTCCACCTCCACCGGAATTTATCAAAGCAGGATAAACTCCGATTTCCGAGGTCCTCCAGCCACGTAGAGATATTGACCTCCAGACTACTTGCTTGGCAGCACTCTATTTGACGTTCCGCTGGGTTCCTGAACTGCCGATGGCGCAGGACGCGCTCCTCTCATTGCCCATGCCATGGTGCTGTGCTCCATTATTGGAGGGAACATGCGGGCAGCTGCCCAGCCAAGACACAGCTCTTCCCCTGCAAGCTATTCCTCGTGATTATGAAACAGGGTAATCTGTTGACTTGACCATGATCCATTGATCCACCAATGGAGACGAAAACTCTAGGCGCCCAATTCTCTTCCGCGGTCGAGGGAAACGACAAGTATAAATGTCTCAAACTCCCCGATCGACACTGCTTGCGCAATCAGATTGTCATCCAACGTTGATCGTCAGTTTCATCTCTGCAACCATGCTGTCCAAGATCGCTCTCGCATCTACGCTGATCCTACCCACTGCCCTTGCTTGCCTTGGGTACGAGGGAGGTGTCCCCACCCCCACCGCCCATTACTCCAACAGCTCGCCCATTGAAATCGGCGAGGGAGAGGTCTTTGATGCAGGCTGGGCCAAGTATGACCGCGGATCCGGTGCCTGCAGTGATGGTGAGGGCGGCAATGACGACGCCGTCTTTATCCTCCGGTCCGGCGCTACCCTGAGGAATGTTATCATCGGAAAGGACCAGAAGGAGGGTGTCCACTGCGAGGGTCCCTGCACTCTGGAGTTTGTCTGGTTCGAGGACGTCTGCGAGGATGCCATCACTGTCGTACGTTCCCAAACACCCCCACCCCTGTTCCCTCCCGCGGATATACTAATTGGTCCTTGCAGCGCGGTGACTCCGCAGGCGACCACACCTGGATTATTGGAGGAGGTGCCTACCACGCTTCAGACAAGGTTGTTCAGCATAATGGTTGTGGAACAGTCAACGTGAGTATTCTTTGGCTTTCTATAGCTCGTCCATGGCGGTCCCTAACCTGCGGTGCCCCCTCAGATCATCAACTTCTACGCTGAAGACTACGGCAAGGTCTACCGCTCCTGCGGCAACTGCAGCTCCCAGTGCAAGCGCAACGTCTACATCGAGGGCGTCACTGCCCGCGACGGTGGTGAAGTTGCCGGCATCAACCAGAACTATGGGGACACAGCCACACTTGTCAACGTTTGTACTGATGCTGATCATCCCTGTGTACTGTACTCGGGCTGTGCTGGCGGTTGTGAGCCTTCAAAGGTCGGATATTGCTCTGGTTAGGAGTATTTGTGGCGGTATAGGCTTGCCCTGAGCTCGTTGTAGGCCAGCCGCTGTTTTGGCTTCGGCTGCATGTGCGACACTGTTAGCATCTTTGATTCGGTTGATTAATCTATATAATCATCCTTTCTCTCTCTGTACATCCGGGTTTCTTGAACTTGAACAGTCCTTGGGCTGTTGACTCTGTCACAGGCCACCTTCTAGAATATTATAATAGAGTTAAATGGCTCTAGTAGCCTTATTCGATACTACTACTTAATTTTTATTAATACGGAGGTTGACTATGTTATAAGTTTACCTAGTAGGTGAATTTACTAAAAAAAAAAGAAGTTGCTTTACAGTTAAAGCTACTTTTAGCCCCTTTATCTAGAATTATAGTGCCTGCTAGTTACTACTTAATATTAAAGACTACCTACTTCTCATTAAAATATTATACAATATTCCATATATTCCGGGCTTTGAAATGGCCCAGTAACTTCATACCTACTCTACTGTACGTCAAAAACCAGAACTGTCACCACATATACGTGCACTCAAAGCCACCACTTCCTCGGTCCACAAATCTTGCCCCATATCCTCAGGCTGGACGGTGTAAAAGAACTCCCCAAGGAGGAGTCGTGCCTGATGGCTGTCGCTGAGTCCAAGACGCTGCGCCACATGCGCAGTGTGAAGAACAAACCATGAGTGAGTGTTGTAGCCCTTAGACCCCAACCCTCCAGAAACAAGCATCCAGAGTAGCAAGTCAGGAGCGACCACCAGGAGATAAGGAATGCGGGGTGCAAGAATATGCTTGAAGGTTTCGACCATGTGGCGCACGATGGGGAGAGATTGGAGATGCGAGACACGGACGTATAAGTAGATGAGAAGGGAGTAACGGAGAGGCGGGTTAAGATCGTTCATCTCGTATGTTGGATCGCAAGTAGCGGAGAGGAAGTCGTGTTGAAAGACGGTGAAAAGATCATTGTCGGTGGGCGTTACGAGTTCGGGATATGCTTTGCCAAGCTCGAAATGTTGGATGAGCCTCGTGAAGGTCATGAGAAAGGACTTTAGAGATGGAGAAACCTCTGTGTACCAGGGGGAGGTAGCAAAGCGAGAACCGAGAGTAGCTATATAGGGTGGGATTACGAAGTCGATTGCGTAATCATCAGGCCTTGGATGGAAAATAGCGGGCTCCTGAAGTATCTCGCTGCGAAACTTGGCTGACATTGGGATGATCGGCGGTTCGTTCTGCAGAGCCGCATACGCCGTGACAGCACTGGGATCAATCAGCCACGAACGCAACAGACATGAGAGGGGTGTTGTACTGGTATATGCTGGAAAGGGTCATGTGCTCCAATGCATCAAGACCGCCAGCTAGGTCTATAAGCGTAGCCAGGCCGTTCATATGTGTCTGCAGAGCCGCAAATTCGGCATTGATAGTCTAAGCAGACCAGCTAGTAATCAAAAGAGCCTCAAGCCTGACTCATCAATGGGGGAGAACTCTAACTATACCTCGATTGTCACTATTGAACCAACAAGTAACACTGTAGACTCTGCGACCGCAGTCACGGGATCCTGCAGAATATCGTTCAAGGTTCTGATGGCGTTCATTCGAAATTGTAAGCAATCTCTGCGTGATCTCTGGCATGCTACAGAAGAAACACCATTGCGAGATTCAAGAGCCGCCTTGTGTCCAGCCGCGAGACAGAGTTTGGTGTGGAGGAGCGCGGGGGACATGACCGCCCTTTCCGTCCACCAGGTGTTCATCCGGTCAACATTAAATGGATACGCTGTGGGAACCACGTAGAATCTGTCTGAGAGCATTTTCAGTGCCGGCTGTAAATATGAGAAAGCTAGTAATAAGCAGACGACCTACAATGGCGAAAATACATATGCATGGCGCTGCTCATTGGCACAGGGTAGGCGCAAAACGGGTCGGCATGGTTCTGGCTGAGGACGGCAGATACTCTGGCTGGCAACATGCTATTGTCATGTGGCGGATGAATCTGTGTCTTGTTTCTGTGGACGTTTTCTACCTCCTTCTCTCCTCGCTGTGGAGCACTGCCCCTGTACGGCTGGGGCAATTTCAACCGATCAACAGCCTCTTTCTTCCTTCGCTGATGGGCGTTTCTCGCAAGGAAGGCCTTTTTTTGCCTTTGTATGCCGACACACTGCGAAACATCAGCCTGCGTATTCACAAACATAAACCCATGATGCGCAGGCGGAGGTGTGGGGCGCCAGGTCCCTTCATCTATCAGGAGCGATGCTTCCAGTGAAGGAAATATCGAGATATTCTCATCAATGGAAAAATTAGAGACAGGGCTCATCATGGACACACACGCAAAATTGTTTCAAGGAGCTTCTCGAAGTGCGGAGCCTTTTGACTACTGAAGGTAATATTTCACCGGATTATGTCAGATGGGGCAATGGGCGATAAGCCATTGACAGTTCTCCAGTGTAAGAAACAGTAAAAGAGAACCAATGACAATCTTCCATAACCCCGCAATCCCAACTCTCGGTTCGGGTTTTGGGGTCAATTCTACCGAATTGATGATCCGGATTGGTTTCAGACCAGAGCACGCGATGCCAATAGATTGATTACTCATAGAGGATTAAAACTTCGAAACAGGCGAAACATCAAAGCGCAACAGAGGGGAAAGGAATGGGGGAGGAAGGAGAGAGAAGCGCTAACGGAGCCACTGCGACTAAAAATAGTCCGCAAGGGTCTCGGCAATGCAAACCGTGTCTAAACGAGCGTTATGTTGGTGGTCCTCTCGTCAACCTGCAGAACTAGGCAGGATTTCGCCATGTATGAAGCATGTGCTTGACCAGCAAGCCATTTCAACTACCAGATAAAATAATTTTATATACATATACCAGCGGCTACCCCAAACCGCCCTAAAAGAATATCGTCCGAGAAATATGATCACTGCTCACCTTCTACCTCCCAACTTGCGCACTTCACGACACATATAACATTAGACGATCACTACTAAGTATACTAGCTCAAGAGTGTCAAGTAGCACACCCTACCCAAACCACACCAGCGGACCCGGGATAATGTACAACTAGAACTAGAAAAAAAACACAGTAAGTATTCAAACTCCAAAGCAGAATAAGAGCATAATCAAAAGCCATACCAGAGGGTAATAGTTAATAAAATACATCCTAGGTTCTTTATTACTATAGAGACCAGAAATCGCAATAAGGGGTCCCGGACCCCCACTACAACCACCCATAACCTGGACCTGGGCACAGTTGACGAAGAATTAAGCGCTGTTGGCGTTAGCAGCATTATGGACGCCAATCATATATTCTTGTCCAATCCAAGATTACTTGGGGCAATTATAAAATTACATGGATCTTAAAGGACTTTGAAATTATTATTCTAGATTTATCTTAGCAACCGCGACAGCATTTTACTGGCTTGTGTTAGAAATCATGACCAGGGTCAAGTCATCAACACAACTTCAGTGGCTGTAATGGTTACTATCGTCATTCATTATCATTACTCTTAATATCCAAGCAACAGACAGCACACGCAAGCAAGCTTAAGAATACACTTTTCGCCTTGTTCCTGGACAAGAGTATTATCCCTAATATACTCCAAAACCAGGGGAGTCCCTAAGGTGTCTAATATTCAAGCAATGCTTATCTACAGTGTGCCTTTACTCGTACATCTTGTTATCCACTGACCTCATTGCTGTAGTTATAGTGATAATGATTAAGATACATGACTCGAAAGTGTCGTAACAGGCCTTTATGGCGGGAGTACTACTTAAGCTGTTAATTATTAAATCTCGCGGGGTTTCCATAGCATTAAAAGCACGCTCGGGGCTTCGCGGCAGTCTAGATGTCTTTGCCAGTCTCCTGCAAGGCAATTTCATGCTGTGAGAGAAGAAGGGGTTGGGCGGGCGCCATAACTTCTCTAGGGGGGCTACATAGTGCATCAATATCATAACATGCTATGACATATTAGTGTCGATATCCGTGATTCGTTAGGCTGAGGATCCTCACTCTGGGGCTCGCGAACAAGGGCAATTGAGCTCATGGAAGGACGATGCCAAGGCTCGCTTAGAATCGTTATAGCCACATTTATATCTCTGTTTCCGCAGCCGTAGGGCATCCAAGCGAAGTATTACGCGGCGTATTGGGCGCGCATCGCGATTCCTACAAATGTCTCTCAATGCTTTCCAGATTACAGATTATGCGACCCTACAGCTCTCCAGTTCATCATGTGTATTACCAGATATAATGCTTAATTCAATCTTTGGAGTTACAACAAAGCACATAGTCTCCAAAGCCTTCAATGATTGAGCATTTTTGACGACGCCGAGCAGTTTCTAGCTCATGGCGATGTCTGACAGGCCAATAACAAGTTTGATCTGAGAAAATTAGGGTTAGATCAAATATAAATGAGTTTGAGAGCATTTCAATCCCGGATATACCATGTAGTTGCGGAGGCCGAGTACTCGCGTTTTCATGGACATAGTCTTTAGGGCTTGGGACAGCCCATGTATTGACTAGTCAATGATCTGTAGGGGAGCAGTATGCCGAGGCATCGGATCCAGATTGCTCTTGTACAGGCTATAATAAATATAATAAAACATAGTATTTAAGGACACTTGTTTATACCTATAATTAGTTTTAGTTACTATCTATTATCTTTAAATTCCAAGCTACCCTACCTTTTAGAGACCCCGTTTACCTTCTTAGTTTGTTAAGAAGCAGTCTTCGACTCTTCCTCTTCTGATATAAAAATACCTTAAGACCTCCAGTCCTAACCAGGAATGATAGGGCTTATCTGACATCTTTCTATATAGTACAGAATAGGGTAATTCTTCTGTACCCCAAACCTATTATAAATTTAGCTCTATTTTCCAATAGTTCTTAAATTAGCTCTAGATTAGCTACCTATATAGTATATAAAAGAGTGGTTCTTCTACTCTTATCTTACGCGTTAACTTTAACTCCTTTTTCTAGGAGATTTTTAAGAAGATGATTATCCCCTCTTGTAGTAATAATGCAGAGCTTATGAGGATTTTATAGAAGCTCATCTGGTGTTGATATTTGACCTCGTCAGTTGTAGGCAAGTCGTCCGGCTCGTCAGCAGGGAATAGGGATGGACAATGTATCGTCGTGCTCTTCAATAGGACTGGGCCGCGCATCGTCCTGGCTCTTAGTGACAGAAGGCATTGTTGTAGTGATATTTAGTCCAATAGCAGTGGTGTTTTGTGAGGGAAAGTGTCTAAAAGTCCTGTTGGAAAAGGAACAGCTGTTTGTGTACCTTTGGTAGGTACGAGTTGAGAGATCTGAAGCGGGGTAGCATCAGGCTGCGTTGAGATGCAGTCCAACCAGATTAATGACTTTGTCTTAATTCTAAGTTCTAGCGCTGAACTAGAGTAGATTAAAGCCAAGACCCATGGACCCATGGACTCCCAAAGAATATGGTCAAAAGAAATAGACAGCTCTGGAAGAAGAGAAGATTAGTTAAGAATAGTCAAAATAACTTCGTAGTTTTTCACTTACCTAACCATGTGTGTGAGTGATTGACAGCACAACATAAGCGGATAATATGGGCAGAATAATCATACCCCACCTACTCCACTATTTTGTGGTTCCTGATCCCTTGTTTCAAAAGGGCGGGTTGACAAAGCCGCAAAGAATATCAACGGGTAACTATATAAATCGAAAAAATAATGTCTTCACCCCAAGTTCTTCCTGACTATTATAAAATCCTTGAGATCCCACGAGAAGCAGATATCAACAGCATCAAGACAAGCTATAAGCGCCTTGCAAGAATTAGGCACCCTGATAAGAACTCTAGCTCCACAGCGACTTCTGAATTCCAGTTGGCACGGATATCCCCACCCACTAACTAATGTTTCGGCGTCGGCTAACAATACTATTACATAGCTCCAGGAAGCATATTCAACTCTCGTGGACCCCAAAAGCCGCAGTACTTACGACGCTCAGTATACATTCACCAAGTTCTACCACACAGCACCCCAGGCAAATCAGCCCACGAACTCACCCAGCGCCGCCAAACGCGAGAAAACAAACAAAGTCCCAGCACTGACGTTACAAATCCGAGAGCTTAAGAATCGGCTGCACAAGCAAGAAGCTGACTTGCGTCTGGCACGGTTACGTTTGGCAAAGCTACACGGCGCCATAGCTAGTCTAGACCAGGACATCAAAAATATCGAAAGAGAGGAATCTGGAAAGGCAACATGGTGGGGATATTTTACTTCAATACTTCAGGGACCCCAGGAAACAGAAGAGGCGAGGATTAAGAGAGATAATGATCGACTTCGGAAAATCGCAGCGAGGAGAATCAGAGATAGCGAGGTCCAGCGAGAAATAGCAGCCGTCCGAGATCTCGAGAACGCAATCAACTCTACCCACAGCAGTATCACGTCGGCGGAGTTCAAGATTCGTACGGAGAAATACAGAGAAGAACGAGAGGAGCGAGAAGAACAAGAAAAGAGAAGGATGGAAGAGGAGCGCCTTCGTCAAGAGGCTAATAGGAGAATGGCGGAGGAACTTAGGAAACAACAAGAAAAGAGAAGGGTGGAAGAGGAGCGCCTTCGTCAAGAGGCCAATAGGAGGATGGCGGAGGAACTTAGGAAACAACAAGAAAAACAAGCCCAGCAAGCGAACAAGGGGTATAAGTATCCAAGCCAAGAGCAGGGAGCCAGTCGATCGCGAAACTCTGTTCAGAGTGAGGGAAAGCAGAATTTCCACGAGAAAGAAACATGCCATCACCATGGCTGGTGGATCCAAATCGATGTTCCCACCCCCTGCAGTCGATGCTCATCCGTTACTCGAAAGTTTATATTTCAGTGTCCTGGTTGTGGTAAGCTAGCCTGTGCTTCGTGCAGGGAAGCTATCAAGGGCGTAAGATTTAGATCAAATCGTTTCGGCAACGGTACCTACCACAACAGCTCACAGTTCACAGATTATACTAGCTATTCTGAGAGAGATAATTATTTCGATTAGGGTCAAAGTGAGCGCAAATCCTTAGTCTAGTCATATCATTTCGGGAATATACTTCATGCATTTACTGTGCAAGTATTGAGCAGTGCCCTTCTCCCTTTTCTTCCGCTCGAGCCTGGTATGACCAAAGGGATATCGTTCAAATTATCCTCAATCGAGGTTGGAGCTCCTTCAGGCAGCAGGAGGAAGAGCCCGCGGGCAGGCATGACTAGAACGCTTTGTAAGAGCACGCTGCGAGCGATCGTTTTACAGAAACAAAAATTGTAGTATCATCAAGTTTGACCCGCCGGTCATGATTTATTTTCCGATGTAGCAAACGCCTAGCCCCCCCGTTTAGTCTTTCTTCTCCCAATATAAACTGGGCGTTGAATTTAAGTCTTGTTCCGTGCGACTAAAACCTGATGGTTTGAAGCCACACTCCGCTTGAACACGTAGGGAGCGTCAGAGGGATGTTCATCGTCTGTTAAACCGCTATTATACCTAATAACATCAAGAAACTGTAGTCTACTGGGGCGAGATTAGGGATCTGGCGGAGAATGATCACTAAACTAGCTATACTTAGAAAGCGTACATTTGCGGCTGAAATTAAATATAGGAGGGTAGGAAGGGGTATGTTCCTAAGTACTAGCTTAAGAGGCTAGATAAATTGTTGACAGGGGGCTCACACCCTCGAAGGCTCGAAGCATTAGATGCCGCTGAGGACTCAGGAGCCTAATACAAGAGTTATCTCATCTTAGCCTTGTCATGGGGCTCACCCTGCTTAGGTCATCATTACGTGACATTTCCATGTATATAGTTAGTTCCATGTATATAGAACCTCTTAGCTCTCTATACTTCTTATTCTATGAAATATACATGATATCGGCTGGTACGGCTCAGCTTGTAGGTCCCGTCTACACCTCTATACTAAATGCTATACCTGGTCCGTCCCGAACTACCAACCATGGTAGACCGACCAACAACCTGCTCCACGCAATTCCTCTTCGGAAAGCCCTACGAGCAATTCCACGTAAAGTGGATTCTCGTATCAGCGCTGGCTATTCTCGGGGTTGGTTCTATCATGTCTGCCTCGGCTGCGTTTATCGTGGGCAGGGCCATTGCGGCCTATGGCTCGGCGGGGATTTTGAATGGGGTGTTGATGTGTTCCCTTGTTTCTCTTCTCCTCCCCAAGGTGAGAGGCTCTTTCAAGTGGGATGCTAAGTACCGTGTGTAGTGCCATCGCTCAGGCGGTCCCGCTTCGCTGGAGACCGATATTCAACAGCACCGTCGGGGGGCTTGAATGTATTGCCATGGTCGTCGCGCCGGTGCTTGGGGGCGCGATTACGACCTATGTTACGTGGAGATGGTGGTGAGTGTCACAATATATTCTCGATGCCTGTGTTTCTTCTAACAGTACGTCATGGCAGCTTCTGGCTCAGCCTTCCCGTCGGCGGCTGCACCACGGCGGTAATGATCGTCCTTGCTTAGGAGGGGACTGGATGTGGTGGAGGGGGTGGAGGGAGTTGATGTCGATGGTATAATTGGGCAGGGGGCGACGGGGTTTCTGGGGGATGTTCCTGCGGATGTGAGAGGAAGGGCCGGGGATGTTTACAACTATGCGATTACGAGGACTTTCTGGCTTCTGGTTGTGGCGGCTTGTGTAAGCTTGGTTGCTGCGCTGTGTATGAAATGGAACTCTGTGAAGGGGCCGGGGGATAAGAAGGAGGACTCCGGGGAGGCGTAGTGCTCCAAGCCAGTCACCTGGCATATTCCGGCATCTAGGAATCTATACCGTACCTCTATCCAAACCCGCTAAGCCGGGTATACAACATCCTCATCATCCCCCTCCCCGCTCCAAACCAGCCAAGCCCCCGCAATGCCCCCCTTGAGCACAACAGCCGTCCACAGCGCCCCCTTAAGTCCCACCTCACTCTTCGCCCAGAGCCCACCGACAAGGATCCCACCAAACAGCGCCAAAACCGCTCCGAGACGCCTCCACTCGTCACCCTTCTTCCCACCCCCTGCAGAGGTAGTCGTCAACGCAAGCGCCGGGTACGAGAACAGGTCACAGTAGATACTCGTCAGCACGACGCTCGTCAGACTACTATACCCAACAACCCGACTCGTAACCGCCTGCCCGCTACTCTGGAAGGCGACGAGGGCGAGAGGGACGGCAATTTTCCAGGACAAAGGGACCGATTTACTCTGTTTCTCGAGGGTCACAATTGTCGCTGCGACGGCGACGCAAGCCATCTGCAGTAGAAACGAAAAGAACAGCGCGCCCCGCTGTCTTGGACTCCTGAAAACAACACGACTATGATGCAAGACCGCAAAGAGGAAACTCCCCAGGCAGAAGCTCGCTATCGAAATCAGAGACTTGAGCCAGCGCTGGCTGCGCCCGCTCTCGTCGAGGCCGGAAACGCCCAATCCGAGGTAGACCGTGTTTCCTGTTTGCATGCTGACGAAGGAGCCCCAAATAAAGACTGCCGAGGAGTCGAGGAGGCCGGTTATTGTGTAGCATAGCAACAGGAGGAGGTCGGCGTGCTGCGGGTTGATCTCGGTTTTGAGGCAGATGCCCAGGCGTTCGAGGGGCCCTGGGGATTGGGCCTGTCGGTTTCCGTGACTGAGGAGCGGGGAGGTTTCGTTGGCTGTGCGTGCCATTTTTGGTTGAAGTTTTGACTCTGGTTTCTGCAACTGGATAGCCCTGCCAACAAGTAAACAGTTGAAAAAAAAAATGGTGTGTGCAGTCAGGGGCTGGGAATAAATGACGTATGCGGAGATGATGACGTGACGATTTGCAGGGCTGAGACCCACACTCCACACAGTCAAGCTTTTTCGAATCTGCCTATACCTGCTTTCACTGGCTGCTCGGAAGCATCGGATGAGCTATAGATGATGATGCGTAAGAGTATGGGGTCATGCTTGGTAACGACAAGCAGGCAGAAGGATATCCCAAGTTGAGCGGGGCATCCTGGTATAAAAACGGCTCTCCTTGCAGGACATTGGATTGTGCGTTGACCCAGATCATACGCAAACATGCATTCCCCTGGTAAATCCCTGCTTGTCCTTGTGGCCCTGGCATCCCTCGTAAGCCAAGCCTGCGGCAGCCCAGTTCTCAACGACGCGTACCAGCAACTACTCCGCATCCCCGCATCCTCACCATCAGTTTTCTTCCAGGATGGCTCCTCCATCCCCGAATCAACTGAACCATTCACACCGGGCAGCCGCGATCCCTACGACAGCAAAGTCGACTCAGTCGGCCAGAACCTGCACCCCCTCCCCTGGCGCAACGGCGACGGCGCCACCATCCAAGGCCCCCGCAACAAAGATCGCGAGCGCCAGAACCCAGACATGATCCGCCCACCCAGCACAGACCACGGCAACATGCCAAATATGCGCTGGAGCTTTGCAGACTCGCACGTACGGATTGAAGAAGGCGGCTGGACGCGCCAGACGACCGTCCGCGAGCTCGGGACGAGTAAGGAGCTGGCGGGCGTGAATATGCGGCTTGATGCGGGGGTTATTCGGGAATTGCACTGGCATCGCGAGGCCGAGTGGGCGTATGTGCTTTCTGGAAACGTGAGGGTTACGGCGCTGGATTTGGAGGGCGGGAGTTTTATCGATGATCTTGGGGAAGGGGATCTGTGGTATTTCCCCGCGGGCCATCCACATTCGTTGCAGGGGTTGGGGCCCAATGGGACGGAGTTTTTGCTCATCTTTGATGATGGGGGTTTCTCCGAGGAGTCGACTTTTTTGCTTACGGATTGGATGGGTATGTCGCCTCTCGCCATCCTATACCTCACCACCCACTCCTCCTCTACGCTATGTATGATACTAATATATGGATCGCCAGCACACACCCCCAAATCCGTCCTGGCCGAAAACTTCCGCCTGAACCCCCAAATCTTCAAAAACATCCCCACAATCGAAAAATACATCTTCCAGGGCTCTACTCCCTCCTCCATCCCCCAAGAACGCCCGCCCGCATTCCACCCCTCTACCCAGCGCTTCACGCACCACATGCTCGCCCAAACCCCAATCAAGAGCAGCGGCGGGACCGTCCGGATAACCGACAGTTCCAACTTCCACATCTCCAAAACCGTCGCCGCTGCCCACTTGACCATCCAACCAGGCGCCCTCCGCGAGATGCACTGGCACCCCAACGCTGACGAGTGGTCGTATTTCATCCGCGGGAGGGCGCGCGTGACGATCTTTGCTGCAGAGGGGAATGCACGGACGTTTGATTATGTTGCTGGTGATGTGGGCATCGTCCCGAGGAATATGGGGCATTTTATCGAGAATCTGAGTGATGAGGAAGGGGACGAGGTCGAAGTACTCGAGATTTTCCGTGCAGATCGGTTTCGGGATTTTAGCCTTTTGCAGTGGATGGGCGAGACGCCGAGAAGGATGGTTGCGGAGCATTTGTTTGAAGGGGATGAAGAGGCTGCGAGGGAGTTTTTGGGGAGTGTCGAGAAGGCTGAGAAGGATCCGATTCGGGAGGCTGGGGAAGAGTAGGAGGCTTGTCTTGCCTTTTGAATAACTATTGTATCGAGGCGTTTCAGTATATCTATCTATCATATTGCGGCTATGAAGAGTAGACAACTAAACCTGTCATGAGCCACTCTCGACTCCGCTTGCAAGATCCAGTAGAACTCAGGGTTATCGTATCCGCCTACCAACTAAGGAACGTAGCGAGTGTGAGATTGGGGTTGGGGAGTTGAAATCAACACCAAGAGCTTGAGGCTTTTGAAGCATACGGCTATACTGACAGATTTAACCATGAAAAATATTAGCCATAACGGACAAATGCTCATTGACTGAATCACTGGTTAGAAATGACACACCCAAGCTAAGAGCATCGACAGCCGCCACAATTGCCAACAACCAGAAACAGTCGAGGATGCAAGTTGCGCTCCCATAGCAAAGCCACCTACACATGTCTCTCTGCCGCCACAGCCCTATCAACCACGCCCGCAATCCTCGCCACTAACATCCCCGGCTGGCTGAGCATCGGCGAATGCCCCGCGTCACACGACTCGACTTGCGCATTCGCCATCCCCGCAAACATCCTCTGGAACTGCAGCGAAACAGCCTTGTCATTCTCGCAGATGAGATACGTCGAGGGGAGATACTCGTACGCCGCACACGTAACTGGCGTGTCTAGACTTTGTACGATTGAGGGATGAGCCGAGGTTCCCAGAGTTTCGCTTCCGCGTCGGAGAGGTCGCTGTAGAGAGTGCGCGCGCCGTTTTTGATGGTGAAGCGTCCGCCTTCCTGCGTGTCCAAATCTTGGTATCGGTATATGCACAGCCTTTGGAGTCTCGGGTCTTATTCAAGGAGGAACGGAGAAATACCCCAACGTCATTATTCGCCTACTTGTCGATTGTCCCTAGACCGACTTCCCCCTTTTCTAGTAGAAAAGCCGTGTAGTAGAATAAATGGATGACGCCGCCCTTTTGTCCGGAGGCCTGGCGTGCTGTGTAGCTAAGGCTTTCGGGGATCGCTTCGCTGCCCACGATGCCGCCGTAGGAATGCATCACGACGACGATCATCTTCCCATCCTCGGCGAGTTGTTCGATTGCCTCGGTAACTGACTTCGCATCGTTGGTCAGTGTGCGCGTTGGGAAGTCATCGGCGTCCACGTCAGAACAGCTTGGAAGGGGCGGGAGCGTGACGGAGTATGAAAGTCGCGAAGGCGGGTCACGACGCCGTGGTAGACCAGCGGTATCTGGAAGGAGCCTTGAACGAAGACAATTTCTGGTTTTTGTGAAGCTATTTTGACGCGAAAGTCGGACTTGGAATCTTGCGCAGTCGGAAAGTAGAAATGCTTTTTGGGGGTCAACGCTGTTCTTAAAAGAAAAAGAAAAAGAAATCTTTTACTGGCTTCTCGAATTTCTGACAGCTGCCTGCTTGCTTATGCTATCTTTATTCCAGCGTGGGGTCCAAAATCAAATGGCGATTATTGGAGGCCTCGGGGCCGGGGAAGGTAGATAGGTATATTCTGGCTGATGACAACAAAAGCTTAGTTAAATGGCAAATAGAATATTGTTGGTAGGACACAGTACTTGCCCGAGTGCCAGTTCAGGGTAACATCCAAAAAACGCCTTCAAGGCCACCCATATTCTTTTATGCCTTCAAATAATGCTCCAGCACTATTATAAGTATACATAGTCTTTATTTGGGGGGAATGATCAGTATGTTCTTAGAGAGCTTAAAACAACGTTGGCTGGATTGTGCATAGGATTTACTGTACCGAGGAGAATCTGTATAGTTTGACTTTCACTAGGCAGAGTGCTTGATCTCGAAGAAGCAGGACTAACGTGCATTAAAACGCAGACCCTTGGACTGTATAACTATTTAATTCGACACTGATATCTTCCGCGCCGTGGGACGATAGATGGTATGTGGGACACTGCTGCCCTACGGCACTACGAGCCGGCTTTTTGTCGAAAAGGGTACTCGTCGGTGCCTATGAATTTTATGCAAGTTGAAAAACGTTGCCAACTACTAGAAAGCCATATGCCAAACTCGCTGTAACAGGCTTAACCTAGCTCTCGCTTCCGCGTTTGCCATGTCTCCTGTATCCATGGCGCGGACGCCGAATCATCCTCTTGAATCGTCGCAGAGCACGAATATCCTTTCGGAAACACCAGAAATCAACCTCTGAGCTTATTCGACGCTACGAAGCTCAACAAAATAAATTGTCTAGAGAAGAAACCTAAACTGACGGGATTAGAGGGGTCCTGAACAGTCGTAACGTAGTTTCATGGATGTGCTGCCGAGCTCTTAAGTGAACGAAGGCCTTGATCGAAGAGTAGACGGAGAATGCAAACGAAACTTGCGGTGAAATATAACGAGAGATGGCTCTCTAGTGTCCGTGGTCTGGAATGTATAAGAACGCTTAGGCTCCGTGGCGCAACTTTATTTAGGGCTTCGCGGCGAGCAGCCGTCGACTGTTGTGATTGGATGTCCGTCCGAGATTTCTACTATTGAAGATGCCGGTGGTTTTAAGCTACGGGTAAAGTTTATAAAGAACCCAACTAGCTTACAAAGTCTTTGCAAGTTTCCAAAGTTTGCATGTCACGTTCCTTGAAAGACGGGGTCAACTGACCCGGTTCCCCACGATCTGCGCGCCAACCACGTCATTGACAAGAAATACTCGGCATACAATAACCTACCATGAAGCGGACATTTGACGCGACTCTCTCAAAGCAAAAACACATTTCTCGCCAATATCACTAATATATGCTCGGCGATGGTCTCCACTACGGACCCTTGTAGAGGACGAACCACGTGCGCCGACATTCCAAACAAGGGCTAACTGGAATCTGCTACCCGCTGCATCTATAACCACCACATAATCATTAATAATCTCCGACTTTGACTCTATTAATACGAGGCGGGAGTTCCAGACCGTCGACGGCCACGATCACAATGGCACCAGAAAGGAAAAGCAAAAGCAAAAGCGCCCGTCCGCTCCGGACGTTCTTTCAAACCCACTTTGAGATGAGGCCGCCAGACGACGACGAGCCGCAAGATTGGTGGGTCGCGTCGACTCTGATCCCGCTGGCCGCTGCGACGACGGGGCCCCTGGCGAATCTCATGTCGGTTGTTGCGCTGGTTATCCCGTGGCGGAATGATATTCTCTGGGATCAGGAGAATGTTGATGGGTCGCCAGTGGAGGTTGGGTATGAGGATCCGAGGTGGTGCGTTGACTCGACTCTTGGGTTTAGGAAGATGTATAGGGCTACGACGACTCGATGCTAACTTTGTTGCCAGGTGCATTGCGCTGAACGCGACGTCGCTTGTCTGCGGGATAGTCGGGAACATCTTCCTGCTGTGCAACTTTACCCGCGTGGTGCGGTATATCATCGCGCTGCCAATGTCCATCTTTTTATGGCTGGTGTCAACCGCCATCGTGCGTATTCCCGCATGCCCCAGTCGAAGGAGAACCCTAGCCTTACTTGCCCCCAGCTCGTCGGCCTAACCGCCTCAATGTCCATCTACGAGTCCCCAGTCGCCCCCAACCAGACCTTCTCCCAAGCCTACTGGAGCGCTGTCATCTCCGCCGCACTGTACTTCCTGCTCTCCATGATGCTAATAATCAATATGCTCGGCTACTTCCTGGGCCACTACCCGCAGAATTTCGTGCTGACAGATGACCAGCGGACGCTGATTCTGCAGACGTTGGGATTCATCGTGTGGTTGGCTATCGGCGGCGCGATCTTTTCACAGGTTATTGATATCGACTACGCCGATGCCGTGTACTTTTCCAACGTGACGATTCTGACGCTGGGCTTTGGTGATATTACTAGTCCGGATCCTATTGCTCGGGGTCTTATTTTTCCCTATGCGGTGATTGGAATGGTGATGCTTGGTCTCGTTGTTTCGAGTATCCATCGCTTCGCGCAGGAGATACACCGCGATAACGTCGTGATGAACCACATCAAGCGCAAGCGCAAGGCCGCCGTCCGACGCTCCGAATCGCAGTCCTCAACCCAAGGAGAGTCCTCCCAGGACACGCAACTCACATACCGCCAACGGCACACTCGCCACAAGCCCATAGTAAGCCGAATCACGAACCCCTTCTCGCGAAATTCACAAGACCGGCACGCACGCCTCTCCCTCCTCCTCGAAGAGAAAGCCCGCTTCGACGCCATGCGCGCCATTCAAAACGAAACCGCGCGCTTCCGGCGCTGGACCAGCCTCGTCATCAGCATCGCCGTCTTCGGCGTCGTCTGGACGTGCGGCGCGCTCGTCTTCTGGGCGCTCGAGGACGGCATGACCTACTTCACCGCGCTGTATTTCGGGTTCTGCTGCCTGCTGACGATTGGGTATGGGGATGTGACTCCCACGACGAATGCGGCGCGGCCGTTTTTTATTGTCTGGTCGCTGCTCGCCATACCGACGATGACGATGCTTATTTCGAGGATGAGTGATACGCTTGTCCGCGCGTATAATCGCGCGACGGGGGTTGTTGCGACGTGGACGTTTGTGTTGCCGACGCAGGGGCAGTGGGGGGTTGTTAGGGGTGGGGTGCCGAGGGTTGGGAGGGGGTTGTTGCATCTGTTTACAAAGAGGCCGTCGCACCAGGCTACGCTTGAAAAGAGTGCAGAGATGGAGAGGAAAAGCGCAGAGCTCGAGAAGGGCCCGAGCAAATCCCAGTCCCTTCCACCCCCACAATCCTCAACCAATCCCCTATCCCTCGAAGACTTTGCCCGGAACCCGAACCCCTCCTCGCGGGAGCTCGCACAACAACTCGCACAAGCGATCCAGCAAACGGTCAGAGACGCATTATCCGGCGAAGCCAAGGAATACACCTACGAAGAATGGGTCGGGTTCACGCGGCTGATCCGGTTTACGAGTCCGCGCCGGGCAGCAGAAGCGGAAACAGATGGGGCCGGCGGGATGGTTCTCGATGAGGACGAGTTTGGTGTTCTGAGCTGGGATTGGATCGGGGAGCAGAGTCCCCTCCTTGCGGAGAAGACGGAGCCGGAGTGGGTGCTTGATCGGCTGTGTGAGAGTTTGTTTAGGTATGTTGCTATGCAGGGGGAGGGGAAGAAGGAGGAGGAGGGTTGACAGGTCGGTAAAGACTGGTGCGGTGAGTTTTTGGTGAGAGCTTTGGATAGCTTCCAACACTTTTTGGACTGCTGCGTCAGGCGACTCTCTTTTACCGGCTACTTGGACTATTCGATAACTCAAAGTAATGAGAAAATCGACTGGTAAATATCCAGATACTCGACATCGTAAAACGAGAGGCTTACAAGAGATATCGAAATGATACTCGTTGGAATAGCTACTATTGTTAAGCCCTAAATACTCCGTATTAGACTACATACATATGAATAAGAATTACTAGGATCTGTATAGGCTTTTCCTGGCAGGCTCCATTTAACCATCCGAGTAGAAGGGATGGGAATAGTCTCCAAATAGCGACCTAGGGTATGCATCACTATCACCAATTATATCACCGTCGGGCAATCGAACTCGTCCGGAGGATATTCAGGCACCCGGAGTGCAAAGCGCGGCAAACACGAGGTGTTGTCGCACGATTTCGGTTTCTTTCAAAATTTCCTCGGAACGATAGAATGTGCTGGATGAATCCCCAGAAACACGCCACATATTGCAGCAAGAATGGGAGCCCGTATACGTATGGAGGCGACAAGATGTTGGCAGACGCCCAGGATGGCCTGTTTGGAGTCGCGAAACCGGGCCAATCACCAGCGCAGAACAGGTGAAACATTCCAGCAATTCCGGTATTTCTTGTGCCACGTCACTACCAAATGGGATATTATTAGACTACCGCACGATGAGATCAGCGGGTGAGTTGAGAGTCAGACATGGTGAGAGAATTGAAGGTGTATAAAAACGAAGAGCCACTTTTCAAACGACCCATCGTCCATGGTCCACCTCTCATCCAGTTCCCCCTCCCACTACTAATATATACTTACTACTCGACCACTGTCACAATGAAGCTACACTTTGCCCTCTCACTTTTCACCCTGGCACCAATCGTTTGGGCGGCTGATTACCTGTCTACATGCTCCGACTGCCGCCTCGCCTCGAGCGACCCTCCAAATCTCTCCTGTGCATGCCAAACCCTGGACGGCAGCGATCGAACGACGACGATAAACCTTAATACATGCATCATCAATGCTGGTGGGATCCTGCGACAGCAAAGACGGTTAGTAGTACCAGAAATTTCTCAACGAGGTCTGAGTCGTGGTTCTGACTCAACTCTTCTCTGTAGTGGGAACTTTGCCGGAAGCTGCGACTCGATTTCATACTCGGCAAATGGCGATTTGAAAGCTCTGTGTCGGAATGGTGTCAAGGATGATAGCGATAATTGGATTACTATAAACTTGAGTACGTATTGTTTCCCTCCTACTTGCTGTAACCGTCGCTTACCTTTTTTGGTGTAGATGACGTTCTCAGCAACTTTGATGGGAATCTCGGCTGTTGAGAAGAGCACAAAGGCGAATCCAATATTGGACGCTGAGCTGCCAGACAGCTTGGCTCTGCCGTTTTTTTTTTTTTAATGATGACGACCATTTCATGTTCCAGCAAGTGTATTCCAGAACACCTAGATAGATTAGATGAGATTATGCCCCAAAATGACCCGAATGATAGGTGATAATTCAGAATCAACACTTATTTCCTCACTCGATGACTCCAGATAAAAGCGTAGTTGGCTTCGGGATGCTGATCTTCGTCTAGTAGCTTTAGTGTACTACCCCCGGTTTTTATAGACCCTTACCTAGGTAGATTCTGGTCTGGCCCAGGAATGATCGCTCTTCTTCTCTGACCTTAATCGGCGGTGCAGAGCCGCTAGCGCCTCGCTCTCTGATCCAATCCTCAAGCCGTTTCTGCAGTCAGCTTCCGAGCCTAAGCTACTATACTTGGGCAGTTGCACAGCTAAACTCAATCCGGGCAGGTACACAAGGGTTAGAATATGACTGGCTACAGCGCAACCTCTAAGGATCATCCGGAGCCACGACAAACGACGACGGTTACATGGATTATACGCACGGAGTCAGCCTACGTGCTAGCGCTGATGTGAGCTCCAGCCGCAATGTAACGATCAGCCCAGCTGGATTTGAAGTACTTAAAGGGCCACCATACACCCCGCTCCCATCGTTGATTGTCGAGTTGATCTGAGTAGATACGATATCACCCAAGCACAACTCTACTTATTGACTTGCAGAAACAGCCTCAAAATGACCAACCCGATAACCCCCCCACCCCGCTTCGAAATCCGCAAACTCGGCCCGGAGCACCTCGAATGGGCCAAAGCAATCCTCTGCCACAGCAACGCCTTCCACTCGCCCGTCTGGTCCAAGATCTACCCCTCGGACCAGACCGCGCGCTTCTACGCGGCCTTTGACGGCGCCACGTATTTCGTGCGACACCAGATCGACTCGGGATTATCGTACGGCGTCTTCGACACAGAGTATGTCTTCAAGCGACCCGAGTCCGCCGCAACAGGCGGCGCAGTCTACTTCCAAAACGAATCCGACCGCGATCCAACCTTGTCGCCCGATGGCATCCTAAATCAAATGGACTTCCCCCTCGCATCCATCGCGCTCGCCTTTGACGCGGCGGATCCCATGGACTTGACCCGCATCACGGGTCTCATTCAGGCCCTCCCAGACTTTGCGACGTTTGCCCCGCGTCTCGAAGCGCGCGACACGCGCGAGAAGTCCTCGTGGGAGGCCACGGGTCCTTTCCAGGTCCTGAAGCGGATGGGGACGGCGACGCGGGCGGATTACATGGGGCAGGGGATCACGAAGATCATGGCGCACTGGCTCATGTTTAATGCGGCCGAGAATGGGTTCCGGGGTATTAATATCGAGTGCTATCATGATGCGGTCAATCATATTTGGACGCATCCGCCTGAGCCGTTTCGGGCGGAGGAGGTGGCGGTTTTTAGGGTTGATGAGTATGAGGAAGAGGGGGAGAAGGAGGGCGATGAGGTGGTGAGGCCGTATGGGCATGTGACGCAGGCGTTGAGTAAGGTTTATGTGCATTTAAAGTGAGATTTCTCTGCGGTAGTTGTTTGCGAAGTTGAGAGAGACGATATATGATCTTGGTTTGTTCTCAGAATGCGAATTGAGCATAGCAGAATATCTCTACAGAGATGGCTGATGCAGACATTCTACAAACCCAAGGAAAGCCTCCTTGAAAAACATACCATGAGAAATTAAACGCTGTATTTGACATCTGGCAAAGAGCAATTTCGACCACTATACTATCTAGCTTTCTTCGTTATACAAAACGTATCTATAACGCGCCAGTCCCTTGTGCATGTCGACAATCGCCTTGTTGGCATCCTTCATCGGAACCTCTTCCACCCAAGCCTTGATGTCCTTCTCTGCAACTAAAGCCAGCATCTCTCTGATCTCGTTCGGACTTCCGATAAACGAAGATCCAGCCTTGATCTGGCGAAGAAGCTTCATGGCAGGGAGGTTCAGAATGCCGTCATCCGGCAGACCAACCTGCACAAACGATCCCTGCGTCGCAAGGAGACCAAGATAGCCGTCCAACGGCATCTAAATGATCAGTTAGTGCAGCCCATACCCAAAGTAGTCGGATCGACATACCTTGGCCGAAGAAACGGTACTGAGCACAATATCCAGCGACCTTGCATACTTGCTCTCCCAATCCGGTTCATCATCCGTAGCAAGATAAGCATCCGCCCCGAGGGCCAACGCATCACTCTCCTTCTCCTTCTTGCGCGAGATAGCAACAACCTTATCAGCCCCCAACGCCTTTGCAAAAAGCACCCCAAAGTGCCCAAGGCCACCAAGCCCGATAATCCCCACCCTCTTCCCCGGCCCACAGCCACTATTCTTCAACGGAGAATAAACCGTCACGCCCCCACACAGCATCGGCGCCGCGTGCGAAGAGGGGACGGAGTCGGGGATCTTCACGACGAAGTGCGAGGGGGATCGATTGTACAGTGCGTAGCCGCCAAAGGACTTCTCGCCGTTGAGAAAGGTGTCGTTGTATGTGCCGACGAATTTCCGGGAACAGTAATTCTCGAGACCCATTGCACACTCGGGACAGTCACCTAGACGGCCTAGACATGAGTCTGCTTGTGCGCCGACGCCGACGCGGTCGCCGACTTTTATGTTGCCCTCGGCTTTGCTGCCGACCCGGACTGCGGTTCCGACGATTTCGTGGCCGACGCAGCAGGGGTATTGTGAGGGGCCCTGTGGAAAAGATGAACTTTGGCGAGGGGAATAATCCAGAACAAGGAAAACGTACCCATCCGCTTCGAAGCGTATGCAAATCCGTCCCGCAAATGCCGCAGTGGCTGATCTTGATGTCGATGTCGGTTTCTTCCCATGTCTTTGGCTCGAATTCTTGCCACACCATCTTGCCATCTGCAGCGGAGGGGTCGAGGGCGAGCCAGCCCGTGAATTTGTAGTCTTGTTGCGTCATGGTGATTGGTGATAAGAGAAGCGGGTAGAGGACCTTGGAGGAAGATGTTTGATGGGGGGATGGGATGTTTATATACTGTAATAACACGATACGTGCATTATAACCTCGGATCGTCAATGCTATGATAGAGACTCTTAGATTTTGCGATTAGTTGACAATCGGCTTCTTTTCTCATCGCTGGAGAGAGGGTTACAAATCCCAAATGACAAATGTAGTATCACAAATCCTAAAAGCAACCAACAACCCCACGCACAATCCTCAATCTATCCCAGGCACAGCACATTAATTGGCTAGACTCGATAAGCATTCCACCTGGCGGACTAGTTCCTTTGGCAGTTGAAGTTAAACCGTGCTAACGGAACCGACGCCGAAATGCCCAGTCAGATGACGGAGTTGATGGGAGCTTTACTCTCGACGTCCCGCCGTCGCTTATGCGTATGTGCGTCTACTATTCTCGAATTCATGATGAGTGATATATTATTAGCGGGTGATAAGAGGTCTTAGGTCAAGTCAAGTATCTACAAAGTCGAGCCATTTCTCCGACATCGGTGGCCGAGGACTGATTGTACAGATGCGGTCGATCACGGACTAGCGCAAGGTCGAAACAATTGCGGACGGTGAGGTGGCGAGGGGTCTCTTCCTACGACTAGTATGCGGAGTTTCATGCGCATTTGTAGAGTCGCTCCGTACGCCGGCGCTTGATTGTCGGGCTTGGGTTGAAGGCTGTTGATTACAAGCCCTAGAAACAGACTGGGAAATCCCAAATCCGATTTACCAACCTCATATCTCTAGTCTGATGGGTGAACTCTGCTTTCGTGCAACTAGTTCACGGTACGGAGAGTACTTAGCGAGGGAGCTGGAGGCCAGTCTGATGTTGATGATCTAAAGCCCTGCTACCGCGAAACAACCACATCCATGGTATTAAAGTACTAGCAGCATCTTCCAGCTCCTAGCCAAGCGGCCAGTATAGAGATCTTAGAGATGGACAGGTCTTTTTTTTTTTTTTTTTTTTTTTTCAAGTACTCAAAAGCTGTGCGTGACCTCTTCAAGAACCTCCTGAACCCGATCACGAAAAACATACTGGATCGTCCATCATACCGGGTACATCTCAAAGATGGAAGGCACGTCTAGGGTGTCCCTGAGCTGAAGATCGCGCCTTCCTCCTACACAGTACGAAAAACTAGAAGCTTTGGAAGGAAGGTGCGACCGTTGTACCTTCCTTGGGGGTGGCTCTCTTCGCAAGGAAGGAGCGTCGTCGCAACTCACCAGTTGCATGCGCGACTGTTTCTATTTCAAGTAAACGTTGACAAGGATTGCGGGGCCCGAGGGTTGAGGCAGATAGCTTGAACATTTGTTCCGTAGAGGGTCAACCTTCTCTTGGCTTAAAATGGAAAGGCTTTAGGGCTTCATACTACTGGCGCTTATTCCAGATGCCGTCCATGTGACCCTTTCACTGCGTAAGGGCTTTCGTTTGGCAGCGGATAGTTGAACCTCGAGTCCACACTGAGGCTGCCTGGCACGGGTCATGACTCAATGTGAGGGGTAGGAGATAACTATCAGTACTCTGTACGGAGCGTTGGAGTAAATGTTGGTGCCAGCTAAGGCCGCGCCAGGTGGGTCCCCTGGTGGTTGCGGAGGCGAGTGTGCTTTGTGTCGAGCGGAGGGAAGCTGTGGTGAGCTTTGGTGGGATATTCTTTGAAGTGGTCGAGGCTACTCTTTCCCTAGAACTGGAGTAGTATGTATAAGGCTGCTCGATCTATATCCATTGCGACCCTTCGCCAACATGAGTATCAAATATTGAAACTCAATGTGCTTATGCACGAAGACCGGGAACGTCCTTCCATCCAACAGAGCTATCTCGAACGCGGATATTCTCTACCATAAGTATAGTTATCAAATTGACCGCGGTCCGTGTCGAGTCATTTCTAGCAGTATTTACCTATTACTTGTAAACGAGCTAGTGTTAGGGCTAAGATCCGGCCATGTATATATAGACACGGTAGAATCTTGCTCAGAGACATTCTTTGAAGTAAAATATACATATATATCTGCTCCTGACCTGAAGGGTCATACGGAAAGGCCAGTATATCAGCTGCTAGACATGAAGCCGCCCTTCTCCTAAGAGCCTGGGGTAGAAGAGTTTACCGGTGCGCAGCCTGTTCTAAGATATTTAAAGTAACAATATGCCGCGGATCATGAAAAGAGTGATGATGCAAAGGCGGATATCTAGTACGAAGGAAAAGCATCTCCCCTCATAAGATAGGTCGGATAGATATGGCAAGGGTAAGAAAAGGTGGTTCATTGGGCTAAAAAGAGAAATTTATTCCACATTCTCATATCCCAAGGCGGGCAAACACCATTGCACTCCCGACCACATGTCCAAAACTGCCTTCGCCCCAGCCTCTGTCAGAGCGTAACGAAAGACAACCCAATCTGAATGGCAATAGCGAGAAGTACGACGGTGGCTCGCCCGAGTTTCAAGAGAAAAGGCCGTTTCTCGAAGATGGTTAACTGAATTGAATGGTGACCAACGCCCAAATCATTGATCATATCAACCAATGCGGGGAAATTGAGGTTTTCCAGGTTCTGAAGGTTTGCGGCCCGCCTAGGCACATCTTCCACGTTGGAGGACAACGAAGAAATAAGCTGCAACCATGTCAGCACTGTCATTGGCCATTCCAGCACATGGTGGATACGCACCGCAGTAGTAGGGTTACTCGAAATGCGCGCACCCAGAAGCCCTAATTTGATAAGAGCCTTCTCCTTCTGGCCAAGGTTTTTCAGAATCAACTTCCCGAGTTTTCGAGCATCGTCGCTCTTCATCTTTCTTGTGGCTTGGAGTGTTGTGACGCTCGTTTTCCCTTTGTGATGCTCGATGTGCACGTCCCAATTATGTGGTGCGGTGACTTCAGCAGGCACGTCATATTTCGCTCCTTTAATTGTTGCTGCTTCCGGAAGTAGTGACATTGCGGGAACTGGGAGGTAGTAATGGTGGTGCAATGTCAAGTTTGGATATCTTCCAGACGATCCACTGGTGCTCAAATCAATATGTTTGGATCAAGGTACTGCAAAGCGATCATCCCGGACCGGAGTAGAATAGGTCTTCCTTTTAAATTTAAAATCTGGTCACCTCGCAGTCAATCGGCAGGTTAATTGTCCTCGCTCGTACATGGCGAGGAGTTGGGAACCTTCTGGGCATCCTGAAATGGTCCTCACGAATTACTGTCATGGAAGGTTACGATGGAAATCGTCCTCCTGCCGTTGTCATCATCAGCTAGTTCTCTTGGAACAATCAATATGGAGTGGTCTTTCTATCAAATGGTGCTCGAGAGAAAAGGTCCTCACGATTATCCGCCGCACAGTGTCTTGTATACCCTAGGATGGGGTGCGGTGGTTCAAGCAGGTGAAGATCTGGTTTCCGGTTTCGATGTATAATTAGAACCAAGACCAGAAATGTAGAATCTCAGGTTAATCAGGTGCTGTGATGTAAGAGAGCCTTGAGAACAAATAGCCTGCTGTAATCAGGGCCAACGAGGGCGATGAGAAATGGTCCTCAGGGTCCCACGGGGCGCAATGTTTGCTTGGAGATTGACGAATTATCAATCGAGGGGAATCAAAAGCAAGTATAATTGTCCTCAATGATGAGAAGGTCACGTTAGGCACAAACATTGGCCACTCAGAGTGCGGGGAAATGGGCCTCTGCCCACTTTCAGCTCCTTGGCCTGACGCCACAAACAATGTGCCTCGTCAGCCTCGCCAATCTCGTAAGCCCAACGATCATGCCCTTGCTGGGACTGCCCCTCCCTTAAGTAGTTCCAAGAGCCGTTTCTTCCGTTCTCTTTCTCTTCCTCTCCACCTGCAATTTGGTCGCCCGGAGGCCTTTTCCGGTTCCTACTCTACTTGTATCGCACCCACCCGTGAGTATCCCATCTAGACCCAGAAAAGAATCTCCCTCCCTCCCATGGCTCTACTATAGTACTACCACTGACTTATCTTATCAACAACAGGGTGCCCCACTATCCTACTGGTTCTTGAAAGGAGCAAGCGCGGGCTAGTCGTCCCGCGCGGCTTCCATTCAAGATCCCCGCGATGATCATCACCTAACGCACATTGGGCCCTGGTCCCCTCAGGGACTCGCCAATACTGAAATATGCTATGGGAGTGACGACAATCTTGCTGTTCAGTCTGGTTTCGATTCGCAAGTCTTGGACGAGGGGTTCTATTGGGGCCTGTACCATTCCGGTTCCTCATGCGGCCCTTTTGACTCATTTCAGGAGGGATTCTTCGATTTTTCGTCACCATTTACTACTAGAGAGCATTGCTTTTCAGATAATTTGCCGGCGCGAGCGCCTTTGTCTTTTCCAGTGATACCTCAGATGTCATTATCGCAGTTCGCTGTTGATAATGGCGGAGCAACTTGCATCGCCCCGCATGAGCCCATCGAACCCTCTTGTCCAGCTAGCTTTTCGCCCCAGACTGATCTCGATACGAACCTTACGCCCTTCTTCTCAGAGACTTCCCTGGATTCCACTCTCACAAGTCTGGGTTCGTCGCCCCAACCCAAGGTTTCTCCATCACCACAGGGCGAATCCATACTGTCATCTATATCCGCAAACGATCTGCCACAACCAAGTCTAAGCCGCCGCAGCCTACTGCCACACCCCCCGACCCAAGCCCCCGGTCCTTCGCGCCTCCAGTGCACTTTCTGTGAGGAGACCTTTGGGGATGAAGTTACCCTATTGTGAGTCCTGCATATTCCTCTCTCACTCGCCCCGACTAATAAGCACCTACTTCGCAGGTATCATAAAGCAAGAGCACACAGGTACCGTTGTGAGCTCGGATGCACCAACAAAGGCTTCCCGACCGAACGCAATAGGGCACGGCACTATGGGTCCAAGACACATGAACAGAGCCGGTTCATGTTTCAGTGTGGCAGCTGTGGTGGGCAGTTCCAAGGTGAGCGACGCGACAATTACCTTCGCCACCTGAAGGGCTGCAATAAGGGGTGCAATCTCCCTTATATCTGCGGGCGTGACTCAAACCAGACCTCGGATAGAGTCGGCCATATTGAGCATGTCCGAGTCTGCAAGGCGGCAGTCGGGAGAAAACGGAAGTCTCCATCTACTACTCAACTTTGAGATAAAGAGTCTAGGTATGCTGTCATCTTTGAGAAACTGCTTCTAAGACTGACAACATGACCAGTGGTCCTAGGCTTTTTTTTTTTTTTTTTCTTTTGTTGTCACTAATAATATCTGCATGGGAGATCCCCATGCAGATTCTGCAATTAGCGATTCTGATCTTGCTTGTTGCACGTTATACGAACCTGAGTCCCTTGACGGGGCCCATACATTCTCCAGAAGCACAATCTCATTAATACGGCATCCGTATTCGAGCAGTTTTTTGTCAGAACATCCATACCTATGACGGATTGCGAGTCCCATGATTGGACCAAGCTCTTTTGGTATTTGATGATCTTTTTCTTTGTTTCTTTCTATTCTCTTTGTAGCGAGCGCTGGGTCTTTCTTACTCTTACTTTCTGGATTCCATGCTCCCATGGATCCCTAGTTGTCTCTCAGTCATTTGTTATCTTTCATACCCCCCCCCCCCCAGATGCCTGGATAACGCTCCTGGCACATGTGGACGGACACTGGCTTCCAACAAGCCTTCGCAAGTTAGAGAGGAGGTTCTCAACAATCTCTGGCTGTTTTGGGTCTGTCATTCAATCTATCTACGGTGCATTGTGGGATGAATTTCTTTTATAATGTATACTCAGGTTATCCAGGAAAAAGAATTGTCAAGGTACTGCTGAGACTTCGTTCGCCTTTCCAGATAGCCCCACCCTATGCAAGGTAGACAGGTCGAAGTAACTATTGATGTATGTCACTACTTGGGTTTCACTTTGATTGGCCATGAAAAGGCACAGATGTTGGCGACGGTACAAGTATGGCCGGATTTTTGACACTCCATATTAAGTATTCCAGACCATTGACTTTCAACTTCAATCCCGTCGAATACCATCCACGACAGTGGTATGGGTATAGTACTGTCTGAAATAATGCACTCAGTATAGTCTTCCCCTGTAGGCCCTGTTGACGTTCGTGACGGACTCAAGACAATCAATGCGGATTGTATAGAAGACACGGTTAGAAAAAAGGGTCAGATGGCCTAACCATCTCAGTCTGATCACGGTTATTGCCTATAGCAAATAATAGGAGGTGCACAAATGGCAAATTTCGCATGCATGAAGACCAGAAGGATGACAGCCAGCAGCCGGCAAGGGAAGCGAGTGAGGGACAATTAGATACCTGTCTAGGCCTGGATCTCGGGTTCTATCTCATTATCGAGGGTCAGTGGCTTCATGAATGCCCAAAATACAACATTGAGTTCCTTTCGGTCTGCCGGGCTGGAACTGCCGGTTCCCTGCCCTATGCGCAGTCTATAGATACATCGTTCTGCCGCGACCTGGTCGCAACACGGCAGTCCAGGGTACTGTGGACACATCCGAGGTGTACTCTCAGTAAATCTGACCTGAAGCGCTCTCCGAAGAGCGCTGGTTGCCCTTGGGGCAATGTCTTTTCTCCTCACGATCTTACTCAGTCGACGACAGGGACTCAAACTGTGGAAATTGTCTCTCCTGGCTGTTCTCTTCCACAGGCTTCTTTCCCCACCGAGCGGTGCTGATGTGGGTGAAAAGTACGAGGCCATTAGTGGCTTGGATCAGTCTGCGCGCGCTATGCGGGTTAGGTTGAGGAATGTAGAGCAGAGGGGTCTTGTGCTTGATGGTACATGAGAACCAGCCGGCATTGAGCCTAAGATAAGGTAAAGAAATTTGCATTTTGTCTTGCTGTCAATATTCCTTCAAGTTCGCTGCAAATTTGTTATGCGTTCAGAAAGTTCATTCATCATCTACCCATACCGGCATTCGGAGACTGGTGAGAAAGAAAGTACTCTAGCATATATGTAGAGTGGCGCAGGGAGACATCCCACTGTAGCCTAGATTTCTCATGATGCGAGGTTAAAATATAGGGCTGCCTAGACTTTACCAAGAGGCGTGGCTGGAAGGGACAGATTAGGGCAATGGTACGGATACGAAGTGGGTCCTGTTTCTATTCCAGTACATACATACGAAACCCAAAGATCTTCTATTGCATATGAGATCGACAAAGGTCTGCGCAGAAATCCAGATTGTAATTTCACTCACCCTCCTCCTCCTCTTTCGCATAATTTTCCCGTTTTCTCTACATCCTCATCGCGAGCGTTGGGCACCACCAATTTTGTGTCCCGCCTCATATATCATGAATTCCCTACGCAACAGTACACCATATCACAGCCTTGCGGTCGACCATGAGGACGCGCAAGCAGATGCGACTGATATTGCTAAATCACCCTCACCCGAAAATGCCCAGGTCTGTCTCCCAGCCTACTTCTACCCACCCTCCCTACCATGCCCACCAAACTGACATCACCAAAAGCCTACCCCCAACCCACCCCATACCTATTCTCAGCAATGGAAAACAAAACTCCGCTCCTTCACCCAGTGGGTGTTGACCCCCCTCGGCTTCCTAATAACCCTCTACGGCCTCAACATCATCGCCTGGGGCGGAATGCTCTTCCTCCTCCTCTGCAACGCCGCGCCGCAAATGTGTACCGCAGATTGCAATAGTCCCGACTCTGCCCGGAGAATCTGGATCGAGATTGACTCGCAGATCCTTAATGCGTTGTTCTGCGTTACGGGGTTTGGGCTTGCGCCCTGGAGAACTAGGGATGTGTATTTGTGGTCGTGCTGGCGGTTGGGTACGAGACAACGGATACGCGAACGGGGGTTGGAGCGACTTGCAAAGGTTCACGCGAATTGGTTTGTGAAAAATACGGAGGGCAATCTGCTACCAGTATCAGATAACAACAACATGGACGACCAGTGCGAGACTCGGAGTCGAGACCGAGGAAGCGGGACACCGACCGCAACATGGAAACTCGATATCGTCGTCTGGGGCAATATGCTCAACACGGTCTTCCAGATCTGCCTTGCTGTGTGCATGTGGGCTATGAACCGGTTTACGCGACCTAGTTGGACCACAGGGCTGTTTGTTGGGTTGGCGTGTGGTGCGGCTGCTGTGCCGGGGATTGTCATGTGGTTGGAGAAGAAGAGGGTGAAGAAGGAGAGTGAGCATCCGGGGGCTCTTTTGCTGGTGCCTCGTAATGCGGGTGGGAAGGTGCCTGATCAGACGGTTCGTTAAACGTTTTGAGTGCTTGGAATGGGTGGTTTAAGGGTGGTACCAATCAGGAGTTTTGGGGTGGCTCATTCGTTATGTACATTTTGTTTATAGAAGCATTGACCATTACGACAACATGATGATTAGGATTCAGAGGGAAGATTCTACGAACAATATGAGAGCAGGATCGAGGCTATAATCAGGCCGGAGTAATTTCAATTCTTCCACGAATCATTCATCGTCCACATCAACTCGGCTTGCCCAAGCTTTGTGGCCCAGTGACACGAAAGCTTAGTGATTATTCCTTCTCTTTGCCCTTATACTACAACGTACTTTTATCTTTCTTCTAGGCTCGGGGTAAAGGATGCCCTCTCCTTTCCTCCGCAAATCCACTTCCCCAGACTCCATCCAGATGACGACTCCTCCCACGCCTCATGCTGCGTGATTGCCATCCCCACAAACTATCACTGTGGATTCGCCGCCATACTACCTGGGTGCTTAGTGCTATTTCTATGCCATTAGTGGTTTAAGATAATCTGTTCAATGGAAATGGTTGATAAGCCACTCTTGTGGAGATCCCCACGACTCCCCACGATTGCGTTGCTGCCCAGTCTCCAGGTTCCCACAATGCTGCCCCCAGATGAGCTTATTCGCTGCTTGGCTTTTAAAACCAGCCTAGGTGGTTTACTAAAGGTCTGGAGACATAACGGTACTGACTGCTGTTCCAGGGGCAGGTCTTGCTATTTAGAAGCCAATCTTTCCCCAGTCTATAGTTCAACTATGACTACCCCAGATCGTCCTTCGCCAACAATCTTGACCTGGTCGACTTCTTTGTTCTGGTTTTATTCTGTCTTGGATCGCGCGACTGGTCAAAATGGCTTCTGAGGTGACGGAACTCAAGTCTCGTTCGCCCCCTTCTGGCAAAGACGCCCCGAGCTCGGAGCATGAGGACATTGAGTTTCTCGAAGAGGGCGAAGGAGGCAGTCCTTCTATCTCCGACATGAATGCCTCTCGCCTCTCTCAAGCACACCGCGAGTACCTCCTCAACCGACATGGATCACTTGACCTGGATCCCCTTCCCAGCGCCGACGACGACGACCCGTATAACTGGCCAGCCTGGAAGGTACGAATGAGCATCCATGTATACTTATATCGCTAACAAATCCATCTTACGACTAGAAACTCACAAATCTCATCCTCGTCGCCTTCCACGCCTTCATGTCCACATTCACAGCATCTATTATCCCCGCGTACCACGACATCTCCGTCGATTTTGGAGTCTCGATCCAAGATGCCAGCTACCTCACCTCAGCCCAGATCGCTGTCTTGGGAGTTGCCCCCTTGTTCTGGAAACCCTTGTCAAAGCGGTATGGGCGTCGACCTATTTTCATCCTGTCGACAGTTCTATGCTTGGTTTTCAATATCGGCTGCGCAAAGAGTAAGACGTATGCCTCGATGATGGTATGCAGAGCTTTCGCTGCCTGGTTCATCTCGCCGGCTGCTGCTATTGGGAGTGCTGTTGTCACCGAGACATTTTTCAAGAAGGATAGGGGTCGGTATCTTGGGGTTTGGACTTTGATGGTTACACTTGGTGTTCCAGTTGGTGCGTTCGCCTTGGATATATAACATCCACCGCTTGCTAACATCGGCTTCTGTAGGCCCATTGATATTTGGCTTCGTCGCAACCCGCGCCGGCTACCGCTGGATCTTCTGGCTCCTCGCCATAATCAACGGAGTCCAATGCCTTCTCTACATCCTTTTCGGCGCAGAAACCCGCTACATCCCCGGCAACGAAGAGAATACAAAGGCATCCTCAAGCTTCCTCACTCGATACCCCCCATTCCGCCGCATCGACCCAACGCCTCTAACTATAGATGAGTTCTACCACCCCCTCGCACTCATCCTTCGCCCTACGGTATCCATACCCGCCTTCGCATACGCCATGGTCTTTCTCTTCGGGAGTGTCCTTATTACCGTCGAAGTGCCCCAACTTCTCCAAGAGAAATTCGGCCTCAACGAGGAACAACTCGGCCTGCAGTTCCTCGGCGTGATCATTGGGACGATCCTCGGCGAGCAAGTCGGAGGCTTGCTCTCTGACAAATGGATGAACCGTCGTGCACGGAAAGACCATCGCGGGAGATCAGAGCCAGAATTCCGCCTCTGGCTCGCCTACCCGGGCGTAATTCTAACCATCGTCGGCGTAATCGTCTTCCTCGTCTGCACGCAGCAGGCGCCCGAGGGACACTGGGAGGTCCGGCCGATTATCGGCATCGGTATAGCTGCGTTTGGGAACCAGCTTGTTACGACGGTCCTGGTCACATATGCGGTTGACTCGTACCCGCTGGACTCGGGGAGTGTTGGGGTGTGTGTCACGTTTGTGAGGCAGGTTTGGGGGTTTATTGGGCCGTTTTGGTATGTTCCTGTTCCCCCATATATCTAGAAAAGGGGATGTATAACTGACGACGTCCTAGGTTTCCGGCTATGTTTAGTAATGTTGGCGTGGCTGCTAGCTCAGGGGTTGCGGGGGCCCTGATGTTTGTCTTTAGTTTCCTGCTTGTTATTCCGGTTCATGTCTTTGGGGGTAGGTGGCGCGACTGAAGTGCCGGTAGTTTGTTCTGCGGCTTCATCGTTTGGGTATATACTTTATACTTTATGTGTGTGCTTTATAGGAAGTTAATGAGCCAGAGCAACCATAGTAGCTTCATCATTTTGTTCTACGATTAAGGATGAGTCCCAGTGAGAAGGTAGTCCTAGTGTCTTGCGAGGTATAAGCTCTTACATCTAGTTCTGCAGATATCTATCTTGTACTTTTGATAGCCGCCAATACTCCGTACTCGACTTTACATCATGGATATATAGAGACAGGTGTAACTTCTTCACGGAAGCGGGGCTTATTGGGCAGTTTACATGTTGTAAAGCAGAAGGAGTGAAATTAACAAGCATGGCTGTTTTCTTGCTAGATAAGCAATAATTTTCTCGGCCTATTGAGTAGAATATTTGTTGTTGTAGTACTTGACATCTGGGAGGCCTCCAAGCAATGTACGAAGGCTAAGACCTCACTTAGGGTATAACATTGTTACACAGCCAAATATATACATGACATGAAGGCGACACATTGCGACAGTACTAGGGCCCAAAGGCCAACATCTCACATCTCGAAGTATTAAAGCTTGGCCAAAAGAAAAAATGGGGTATGTAGCTGTCAAGCCCTTGGAGATGTCCAAACCATCTCTCTCCAAGGGAGAAAGCAAACCTTGAAGTGTCCACGATCAATGTTTCAGGGCTCTGAGGCTTTGTGGGTAAGAGTGTGGGTCTGCAACCTCCAAAACAAAAAATGCAAAAAGATATCGTCCCCGGTCAGGATCGAACTGACGACCTTACGATGATCAGCTAACTAACAGTCGTATGCGCTAGCCAGCTACGCCACGGAGACGATTGATGTTTTTGGCTTTCGGACACCAAACTATGTACCCCTACAGCTAAGTAAAACCAGCCTCTGCTGTTACCCCTCAGCCTCGGGCACATGCCGCGAATCATCTCATCAATGGTCTATCAGCAGGCTGAGGTGAAACGAGTTCTTCCCAATAGGACTGAATTTCCATGGCCTTTACCCGGCCTCCTCCTTTAGCAATAGTAGTATGTTGCACGTTTCTAGTAGGCCAAAAAGGTGCCCGAGTCGGAACTAATGTGCGCGTTGTAGATAAAGGTAGGCTCTACTAATCTACTCCATTCTCATTGAATTGTACTACCTGCCAACATTACTCATCATTCATACTCGGAATCAAAGTCAAGCAATGCATGAAGACCAATCTGAAAGACTACAGTGTACATTTCGGGCCTATAGAGGCCGACGAGATCGGCAAAATAAGCAACAATGATGCGCACTAAATTTACCCGAAGGGGGTCGATGTTTGGTGTGGAGGCGGGGCTAGGTTCTCCAGGTTCAACCACAGCAACGACCCATTCCAGCGACTTTTCTGGATCAAAAGGTAGTCAACAAGACAATTGCGCAGACCACCAGGAGGGTAAATCCTAGGTCACGAGGTACGAGTTCTAACGAACGGCATGAAGCGTGATGTGAGATCAAACCAGAAGCTTATCTCACTTGCAGCGCCGAAATCGCCGGTTCTCCCCCCAATTTATCCACCTATAGGCTGGGCGGGGGTATATAAACACCTCTTCATCCCTCCAGCCGGCGGATATTTAGTTGCGGACCTCGAACTGTGCTGTGTGCAGAGATTGCTTTTTCAATCGTACAATTGCAGTTTCAATTCTCCTCTCCGTTACATTACCCGCCATGTCGGCCGCCGAGGAACGCCCATTGTACAAGCCGTACGATCAGTTCGTGCTCTTTGGCGACTCGATTACGCAAGGGTCATCGAATTCGGAGCTAGCATTTGGGTTTCAGCCTGCGTTGCAGGATGGTTCGTTCTTCTTTCCCTGTCATTGTATGGAGATTATGTTTTTGTGTTGACATTGCGTCAGCGTACCAGAGGGTCCTAGATGTGATTAATCGCGGATTTGGGTATTTTTGCTTGTCCCTGTCTCGCGTAGCACTGTGTCTGTTTTACTGACAGTGCTTGACTACAGTGGATACAACACTGCGCACGCCGTCAAAGTCTTTCCAAAATTCTTTCCGACACCGGAGACTGCCACTGTGCGGTTCCTGGTATGGCACCCTCCTCTCAAGAAACTAGACACCCAGGAAAATCCAAAGCTAACAGCCTACAAAGGCAATCTGGTTCGGCGCCAACGATGCCTCCCTCCTCGAGAGCAACAACAAACAACACATCCCACTAGACGTCTACAAGAAGAATCTCACCTGGCTCGTGCAGCACCCCGCAACCGTCGCGCAGAACCCGCACATCCTCATCATTGCCCCGACGCCCGTAAACGAGTACCAGCTGCAGGGCTTCGACGAAGACAAGGGTGACGTGCACCCGACCCGGACGAACGCTCACACGCGGTTATATGCGAAGGCTGCGCGGGAGGTCGCCGAATCGCTGAATCTTCCGGTTGTTGATCTCTGGTCGGCGTTTATGGCCAAGGCTGGATGGAAGGAGGGCGAGCCGCTTATTGGGTCGAGGGAGGCGCCAAATCATGAAGGGTTCGCGGGTTTGTTTACGGATGGTGAGTGTTGCCCTTTCCTGTTCGCTATCGGAGGGGTATGGTTTCGGAGGCTGGGCTAATGGGCTGTGTAGGGCTGCATTTGACGGCGGATGGGTATCGTGTTGTTTATGACGAGGTTATCAAGGCTATTCAGACCACTTGGCCGGATGAGGCGCCTGGGAAGCTTCCCCAGGTTTTTCCGGCGTGGATGGAGGCTCCGAAATGATCGGCGTGAGAGCTATGGCGTAAGGGCAGCTGTAGCAATTAGCAGAATAGATCGACCAAATTAGAAACAATAGCAATGTAGACTGCATTCTTCAGCAGAAAAGTCGGAGAAAACAAGTGTTAAAGATAGAATCAAAGCGGTCCAGAATTGGATCGGAACTGCCAAGCCTGTGATGTAGCCGTCAATGCTACGATCCCCTCACGATTTCTTGTCTAACTGTCCGACATCGTGTTGCCTCTCAGTCGCTTTTCCACCTATCCATCCCCTTTTCTTCCGAATCTCTGAGCGTCTATCTCGAACTAGAGGCTCTTGGTGCTTGACTACCCCCGAATTTCTACTCATACCCGCCTCAAGAGTTCGCTCTTGCGTCCTGCCCCAATTCCACTCCCCAAAACAACCTCCTCTTTGAGCCTGTGCTCCTCTCCCAGTGTTGCAAAAATACTCCGCGAATTCGAATACAGCTTGGACAGCCTCTCCTGGATTTAATCCACTCTATTTACCTAGATCAGGGCACCTGTATCTCTACGCCGAACCGCCTTTCTCACCATCAACCCACCCTCCACCTTCGATTCGTATCCTTCCCAAACCTTTCCCTCTTCGATCGCCGCTCTACAGTTACAGCGTCTGCGTTACACGTTCGAATTCTCGCTAGTGATAGATATATGATTTGAAGGCACCGCACACATACTCGTCTATAGATATTCGGGTGGACGGCCGTACGGCCGTCTCACAGTGTTTGAGGGTGGAGGAGTTTCGAGCGGCAAGTGGTCCGGCAGGTTACGTATGGTCTTAGGATACAACAAGACAACCACAGTACCTGGGAACGATAAAGAGAAACCCTACATAACCAGGGATCCAAGGCCTGGTGCGTATGTCTGGTACTTCAACACATCTTTAAGGGTTTCTTGTGCAGGTCACTCACTCTTCGCTCTCAACGTCTTCGAGTGAGATCGCTTGTTTTCTTGTCCTCTATCAAAAGGCGGCTTCTGTGCCCTGCTGTTGCCCTTTTCTTTTCCTGTCCGCTTCAACTCGGATAATGGATGCTCAGTATCCCTTTGCCTCACGCGACGATATCTGGCGCGTTTTTGAAGAGTTGAAAGAGCTCCACGCTGCGCAGTTTGAGCAGGCAGAACGCATTGCGAGACTTGAACGGAGGAGGGACGAGGATGCGAGGTTGAAGAGTGTTTGGGGTCCTTTGTCACCGTTTCCTAGCTCTGTTGGTGGAGCGGTTCCTACAGGTATGTCTTCTCTTTTGTCTGCGTACAGTGATATCTGGAGTGGTGGATAGTGGCTAATAACCTGTCTTGTGTTACATAGAGCCTGTGTTCCATTCAAACGTCGACACATTCAAAGGTTTTGATCAAGGACAGCACCAAGGTGTGGCTACTATGGGGTTGGAGAGCGAGTATGAGCCGAGGCGGGGCACGTCGAGAGCGAACAGCGTTCGATTCGACGAGAGTGCTATCCACGGGTATTACGGACAGGCCAATCGGTCCAGCAGTGAGCTCCCAATCAGGACGGGAAGTGGAATGGGGAGTCTTCCTCTGACCGAGCGGTCGCTTTCACATCGGTCTGATGGGAGACAAAGCTCGTCGGGATTCTCACACCACTCTGCCCGGACAAACAGCCTGGGGTTAGAAACGACCAGCAGAATGATGAGCTCTATAATGAGCGACTCGCCTCTTATTCCTCCACCTGGACTATTTCTTCTAGGACCCGTCCCGGCGATTATAAGATGCTGGATGACCACGAATTTCTCAAACGACTCGCTCCTATATGCTGCTGCGTGCAGTGGCTCCTATAGGTCGTTGCTGGCGTATCCCATGGTACAAAAGTTAGGTCTAGAGGACCAGCTAGTGCAGGAAGGAGACTCGCAGTATATCAAGCTACCAATGTACCTCCCCGAGGCTAGTGTGCACCAAGCTTCGTCGCGCTCAAGTAGTCCTGAGCCTCAAGTGCCTACTGTGACTATCCGCTTCCTCGTGTACAACGCTGACACGAGCGAACACTCTGTGCAAATAATTCTCGGGAGCGACGTCCTCCGTGCTCACAATGCCGACATCATGTTCTCGCAGGACAAGATCATAATGGTGGATGATGACAGGAACAAGGTCTCTATTCCTCTGGTGAGGCCTGAAAACGATTCTGTGTTCAAGTCTCTGCAAACGGCGTCGAGCGACTTGGGTGCTGTGTCCCGGACATCGCTGGAGTTGAAGAGTGAGAATGGTCATTCTAGTGTCGGTGTCATTGGCAAGCCCACTGGGTCCTCTGAACAGGTTCCGCCAGCTCCATCTGCTGGTCGGGATTTTGCTGAAGAGTCTGACTATCGAGCCACGCGGTTCTCCAGCGATTCCGAGCACGCTAGAGAAAACGGCGGCCCGACCCTGCAAGCCAGACCTCCGGTGGCGGTGGACACACAAGCGAGTGGTACTACGAAGGTTGAACCAGCTGGGGTTTGGGGCTCGTGGAAACGCGATGCCAAGGGGGATACAAATGCTGGAGCAGGGAAACCCTCTCGACCACGCACGATGAAGGTGCTGCGGCCGTCCAAGCCGTCGAATCGCAGTGTTTCGGCTACTGGGCCTGGCAGCTTCAATACCGAGACTACTGGACCGTCATCGTCACAGTCTGGGTCTGCGATCACGTCGCCTGATGGGACTCGTGGTCCGAAACCGCTTACTCCTAACCCGATTGGCGGTGCGTCGGCCTTTCCTTGGCTTAAATCATCCTGAACTTCTGGGTATGTCCTGAATGAAATATATCAAGGCACCTCTATGGATGATTTGGCCTCGGATTAGCACTCCTCTTCACGCGCTGGTATTGAGCTAACGTTTTGGATGAAGCTATTCTCATGCCTTCGAATGCACTGTGTGATAGCTGGTTTCTTAGCGTAGTAATGCATACATGACACACACCTACACATCTACCTTACTCTAGATCTTCGAAAGCTTCTCCAACGCTTCCTTGGTCTCCTCCTTAGTCTCTTTAACCAGTCCCGTAATCGCCTTAAACTCCTCACGCCCCGCATCCCCCAAAATCTCAAACAAAATACTTTCACTGGTCGTCACAATCGCCCCCGCATCCCTCAACCGCGCCAACGCAATCCCCCTCTCCTCCGCATTAATACTACTAACCCCATCAACAAGCACATAAACCCTATGCCCTCGCTCCAGGAGATCCAGCGTCGTCTGCGTAACGCAGATATGTGTCTCGAGCCCGACAATCACCGCATCGATGGGTTTCTCGCCCTTGGCCGGTACGGGGAGCAAAGCGTCGATTTCGGGCGTTATCATGGAGAAGAGGGTCTTGTCGATGTCGGCGCGGACATTGGGGCCGGTCAGGTGTTGTTGCAGTTCGGGGATTGTGGAGCCGAGTTTGGAGCGGTTTTGTGTTGTGATGTAGATGGGGATGTTGAGGGTGTTGCTTGCGCGGAGGATTTTGGTTGTTGTTGTTACTCTGTTTCAACAGGGGTTGTTAGAACCGTCTGTATTCCTGGTGGCGGTGGCGGCGGTGGTTTCGAGTGGAAAGAGGGAGAAAGGGAGCAGGGAACGTACAATCTGGGGAATTCGAAGATTGCTTTGGTGAATTTCTCTTGGATATCGCAGACACTAATGGTCTAGTTAGTACGTAGTGTGCAAGGGTTGCGGGTTGATAGGGGCGAGGTACAAGACTGCTGGATTTCCTGATTTGTTGCGGACATGTTAGTGTACTGCTGTTGTTGGGTGTTCCGGGTTGAGAAAAGGTTGAGAAACGTACGGATGCGACAAGCTCTGGAAATTGCGGCCATTGTGTAAAGTTGGATAGAAGAGTGACTGGTTGAGTCAAGGTAGAGTCAAGGTAGAATCAGGAACCCTAGGGGGTCCAAGTTGATAAGGAAGTATTCGGAGGCGGGGAAAGTCGGCGTGCGGGGAATCAATTAGAGTTTCGGCCTGAGAAATAAGGCGATTGTTGTGAAACCGAGGACGCGGATATAGGCCGGAGTTTGGCCGGCACGAGTCCCGAGTCTGAATTCTCACTCGCCTGCCGCTGACTCAGCGTGGGGTGGATTTTTCCTTTTTTTGCTTTTTTTCACCCTGACTAAGCCACTGAGGCAGGAAAGACTGAATGCTTGGCAAGCCGGTCGGTGCCTTTTCTTCCATCCTCGCTTCCTTTCTTCGTCTCCCTTTCTCTCTCTGCTCTCACCACCGCTTCCACACTGCTTTCAGTCCATCTTCATCTATTACCCATCAGCTTCGAACGCTGTCCACTCGCGTTTACAGAAGAACCATCCGCCGGTTTATCTCTTGAGCCGCCAGAGAAAGCCACAGTAGTGAGAATACCCGAAAAGCTGTCTATGTATTCGTCCTGCGTCAGAGATTTCGACCACCACCTGCCGCTCAAGCTGCAAACGTTTCGCTCTATATCGAAACATTGTAGTTTCTACTCAAAGTCCTGTGGCTGAGACCTGCTGAGGCTTGCTGCCCATCGTTGCACTGTACTAGTCGTCTCTGTTTAGAACAACCGCCACCATTCCACCACCAACAAAAAATAGAGAGACTCGCGGCGTATGTCTTGTCTCTTGAAAACATCTTTTGTCCAGGTTCCCTCCCGCTTCTTCTCTCGTTCGTCGTCCACCTTTTGAATTCGTCGAAAAACAACTTCCAATAAACCGTCATCATGGCTCCCAACAACATCAACATCCGTCGCGATGTCACTGATCCCTTCTACCGCTACAAAATGGAGCCCTTGCAGTCCAAGATTGAGGGCAAGGGCAACGGTATCAAGACTGTCGTCGTCAACCTGAACTCGGTTGCCCAATCGCTGAGCCGTCCTCCTGCCTATGTCATCAAGTATTTTGGGTTCGAACTCGGTGCCCAAGCCAACGCTAAGCCTACCGATGACCGCTGGATCATCAACGGTGCCCATGATGCCAGGAAACTTCAAGACTACCTTGACGGATTCATCTCCAAGTTCGTCCTCTGCAAGAAGTGCAAGAACCCGGAAACCGATGTCAGCATCAAGGACGAGAAGATCATCTTGGACTGCAAAGCCTGTGGTCAGCGCACGGATGTCGATCCCCGTCTCAAGCTGAGCACCTTCATTCTCCGCAACAACACCTCTGGCAAAGGGAAGAAGGACAAGGCTTCCAAGAAAGCTCGCCGTGAGCGGAAGAAGGAGGAGACGAACGGTGAAAATGGTAGCCCCGGTGACAGCAACTCTGACAACGGCGATGGCGAGAATGGCGATGCCCCCGAAGCTCACAGCGATGACGAGCTCACTCGCCGCATCAAATCCGCTGCTCAGGACATTGAGGCGGACGACGAAATCGAGGACGACAACTGGGCCGTCGATGTCTCGGAAGAGGCAGTCAAGGCCCGTGCCAAGGAGCTTCCTGACGACTTGAAGCGCACCCTTGTTCTTGAAGACGTTGATGACGAGGGTGCCGACGGCCCTTCGGCTTACGATGAACTTGGCAGCTGGATCATCAGCACCGCCGAGGAGAAGGGTGGCGTCTCCAAGGTTGAGGATGTGGAAATCTACCTCAAGGCCAAGGAGTACGGTATCGAGTCCAAGCACAAGACCCTTGCTGTTCTTGCTCAGACCATCTTCGACGACAAGATCGCCAAGCAGATCGAGGGCCGCGCTCCCATGCTTAAGAAGCTGATTACTTCTGAGCGCCACGAGAAGGCCTTCCTCGGTGGTACCGAGCGCTTCGTCGGCAAGGACCGCCCTCAGCTCATCTCTCAGGTCCCTGCCATCCTTCTCGCTTACTACCAGAACGACCTTATCTCTGAGGAAACCCTCAAGGCCTGGTGCTCCAAGGCCAGCAAGAAGTACGTCGACTCTGCCACCAGCAAGAAGGTTCGCAAGGCCGCCGAGCCCTTCCTTCAGTGGCTCGAGAGTGCTGAGAGTGACGAGGAGAGCGAGGAAGACGACGAGTAAATTCGTGGGCTGTAGCTTTTTTCTTCTTCTTGCAGGGTACCTCGTGATCTCATGTTTCTGTTTCTGACCCTTGTCACTCCTTTCAACATGCGCACCAACCAGACTGCCAGACTGTTAGTTTTGTCGTCATTACTTTGCTAGTCGCAAAGTTGCGCCTCCCGTTAGCTTCTAATAGCAATCTCTGCTCAGAACATTCTTTCCGTCAACTCAATTTTGTTGTAGCCATTGCCTAGCCAACCGCACCAAAGTGTGTACAAATTTTTGACCTGTAGTTGTAGTCAATGTCGGACCTTGGACAGGACACTCTCGAGTCACTGCCCAAGCTCTAGTACATGGCCAATGTATACGTACCATCCAGGAAACTACCGCCAATAATGATCCACAATAACACTCTTCATCTTATCAATATACTTTCACTATCCTCTTACTATCCTCTCGATATCGTAATTAAAACTACGTGTATGAACTTGGTCAACCTCTCACGCCCATAAACAACAACATAGCTAATGGGAACAATCTTTGGCATAGTTGAGCTATAAGCTGTTACTGTTTATTGACATGAAGACACGATCCACTCGACCAAAAGGTCCCAATCAAAAGCTTTACAAAACTTTTGCAGCTAGTCCAAAGACCATCTGTCACTTTCTACATGCACCCAAACCGTCAAATAACAAACAATAAGTATAATTTCAAGGTTCAGATGTACCATCCTAGCTAGAAACTCATCTCCGCAAATCTGATTTTCCCTCCAGCGAACGACCCCAAGGGCACTTGCTGAGCCTGACAACTCCCGCGCTGAACCCCGCTCTTCTTCTCCAGCGCACGCAAAATCTCACCGCGCTGCTGCTGAAAGATAAACCAGGTCAAATCCGGATTCCACGTCTCCATCGCCTTGATGACGTTCTGGATTGACTCGTCTTCCTCTGAATGCGTTGTCGTCGACAACGACGTAGATGTAGAGGTAGATGCGGATTTAGGGGGGCTGGACTGGTGCAAGAAGTAGTACGTTGGTCCCGCATATCGCGCAATCCATTCACCCAGGATATAGCAGATTCGGTCACCGACTGAGAGTGGGAGGCGCACGTGTGTGAGGAGGGTGAGGAATAACGAGGTGAAGGCTCGCCAGAGGGTGTGGTGTGGTGTGAATGCGCGGGAGCCCGAGGCGGAGCCCGGTTTTGTAAGGGAGAGGGATTGGATGAATGCTGATGAGGCTTTCTCGATGACTCCGGTTGTGGTAGTGTCTGATGGTGGAAGTTGGCGCTGTGCTTGCCGTTCAAGTATCTTGTCCGTATCCTGGCGGACTTTCTCCCACGCACGGTTATAGAAGCGCTCCCAGCGCGGGAATTCGGCTTCGACTCGCGACGCTGTGAAGTCTCCCGCTGTTCTAAAGATTACTTCGACGGCTTGGCAGGCGGTTGTTGTTACGAAGGTTTCTTCCTTGAAGTCCGAATCTGTGGTTCCTCGGTTTTGCGTGCTACTTGTTGGTGTTTCTTTTCCCATTAGAGCTGTGGAGGATGTCGTGCCGAGTGACGAAGGGAAACTGATCTTAGAGACGACGGCCGGCCAGAGGTCGTTGATGAGTGGAAGGAAGTTCTTTTCGTCTGCCGCGAGGACGGGGAGAACGTCTATAAGAATGGCTAGTAATGACCGGCGGAGGTACGGGGAGGGTGATGATAAGTGCAGTGGTAGAGACTGAACGATGTGGAGAATGAGTGAGTGTGATTTGCTCAGAGGTTTCTCTGCATCTTCCGGCTCCTGAGGCGGCGGCAGAGGCTCGTCTGATTCATCTTCTCCCATTAATTCTGATAGAGGGTCACTACCCAATGTCTTATCTTCGGCTTTCGTTTCGGTGTCTTCTCCCCAAGGTCGTTTCGGGTGAGTCAACTTCTCGTCCTCTTCTGTTAAGTCACTATATTCAGCGCGCTTCGCCTTGCGACGGGCGAAATCGTCCGCAAGAGTAGCAATGCTTAGGGCTTGATATTTCTTTTTTAGATGGTCGGGGGCAGCTCCGTTACTGCCGTTTTCGATGGCGAGCAAGGCTGGGACTTTCGTGCTCTCTCCCACAATTGCTGTCAAAGTTTTGAACATCAGCTCAACAAGTCTGGGATATCCATGATAGAGGTCTAAGATCCCGAAAATCGAATCTACCAAGTCGTCTAGATATGGCACCAGCCGCGCTCCGCATAGTTTCACCATCATAAGCAAGACTTGAGGCGGGTATGGCGACACATCAAACGTATTCAGCTTCAAGGCCACAGAGTTCACCAGGTAGTCGACGTTTTCGATGATCATGGCACTTGTGTCAGGGTAGCCGCACGCTTGCGTAAGAATATTCAAGCACGCCATTGCATGTCTCTGGAGGTCTGTATTGCTCGATGCAAGCAGCTGTAGGACAGGATATAGTGCGTCCATGAGTTCGGGACGGAAGCCTTCCCGCAGCTCTTCTGCTTGGAGGGCAATTGCTTCTAACGCTAGTGCTGAAACGCGCCAATCTCTCGACTCGTCAACCTGAAGCTCGTTTAGAATGGGCAACGAGATGTAGTATAGTTCCTCAATCATGCTTGCCCTTGTGGAATATGGGCGTGATGGTTCGAGCTGGTCAAAGGAGATGAACTCGTCGAAGCCGCTCGTAGATACCGTTTTACCCTTGAGGAACGAGACAGCAAGCCATAGTGGTGCAATGACTGCGTTTCCTTGCTCATGATGTATCCGGTTGACAATCAAGCGCGTGATATCATTGGAAGAGTTGGATGAGTTCAATCGGTCAATCATGTTCTGTAAATCGATGAGAGTTTGCTGCTGACTTTTATGGTCGAGTAGGACCGGTGAAAACGTCAAAGATTGGTTTCCAGGTACAAGAACATCCATGGATTGATTTCCCGCGGGGTCTGTATTCATTGACCGCGGCATATTCGTCGCTTGGTTCACAATGACAGCGACGCTGTCGCAGAGTCCGGATGTTAGATTGTTGGTAAGGAGATCAGACTCCGACTGGACTTCAGAGAGCACCTGGAACGCAGTGGCTATTTGCTTGATTGCCCATTGCTTAGTCGTTTCGTCGTTACTCTGCATTGTTCTTGGGAACGCAGTGAGCCAAGTATGTAGGGAATTCTTGAGCGAGTCCAGCACCGCTGAATAGGTCGTGGCCAGATGCTTCAACGACGAGTAAGCATCATTCGGCATTTGGTCCTCGTCGACTCTGGAGAGCACAACAACAGTTTCGACCAACACTGGTAATGATTCCTGTAATGTGGTGCGGCACTCCTCTACAACCATGATGCAAAGTTTCAACAGCCCGTTTTGAACTTCCTGTCGCTCATGTCGTCTGAGTTGGATAACTTGTGTAAGTGCGAGCTTGATCTGAGTAGTCGTAGCTTTCAACCAAGACTGATCAAGAACCAGTCTCTCATCGGCACCTTCTGGTTGGGCGGTCTTCTCTGGGAGCTGTGAGTTCACCTGATCATTGAGAACCGCTTTCAGAGTATCGGTGAGTATGTCCAGACATGTCTTGATCAATTTGTATGATCGCCTAACTTGAGTTGTCGGTTTGAGCACCTTCGTGAGTGCTGAGACAGTTCGAGGCATTATACTAGCAAGCACAATTCGATCCGTGATACGGCGATACAGGGCTTGAAGCGCTCGGGCAGCAGAAAGGCACAGCTCATCTGAACGATCACTGACAATACCCTCAAGCAGAAGGTACACGGTCTGATCAACTACCGTTGCAGTACCAATCTCATGGTAAACTGTGCGTTCCGCCACTGGTCCGCCCAGTGCCTCGAATATCGCAGAAAGGCAGTCGAATCCCGCTATCTCCAGCTCGATGGAAGATGTCTGGACAGCCACCTTCTCTTTACTATTGCCCGGTGCATCGCCCACGATCAATGTTAGTAAGATCACCAACTGTTTTCCCATCTGGGGAGATAGGCGGGCTTTCCATCCTTCTGCTACAAGCACTTTCAGGCAGTTGACGGCGACTTCCAAAAGGTTGACGGGAGCCCGTTTCGACTCATTGAAAATGTGCGCTAAGGGAAAGAAGGCATATTCAGCCAGCTTTTCGTCCAGCGCATGCTTGCCAGCGAGTTCATTCAGGGCATTCTGCACAGACCGAAGAGCCTTGAGAACTTCACGCGGGCTAGCTTGATGTCCACGAAATTTCAATCCGACAGAGCTCAACTCGACACATGGCTCTCGAAGCTTCTAAAAGTCAGCCCGCGAATCCGTGTTCCCAACGAGTCCGGTAGTATATACCTTCTGGAAAGCTTCCTGCCTCGCGCTATCCATCTGGCGATTTGGCACACGGTACGGGAATACGCGGGCTACGAATCCTCGTCCATCTGACCGACCAGTAAATCAAAGTCTCTGTGACGCTGAGAAACTGCCACGGCGCAAGATTTGGAATGACAAGGCGATGGTTGTTAAAGGACAAAATGGGTCATCATCGCTGCCCTTCTATTGGTTCTGCCTTTGACTATTTTGCCTCTCTTATATGGCGGTAAAGGGCCCTCGGCCTTATCGATAAGCTTGGGCACGTGATTTGGTGCGACTCGCGTCACGTCGCGTTCACGAGGCGGCGCCTGGGCTCTGGCGCCTACGCAGCCTAGATACAGCCTGAGCCAGGCAATCGTCCCAGAAACATTCAGCATGCCACTATGCAGTGGCTAATCATGTTATAAACGTCTATGGTTCTCCTCCGCAACTCCGCAATCTCAATTGCGCCTTCCGAGCTATCGTTGATCTGGGCCCCGGTTCGCAACAGACCATCTCCAATCGCTTGCTGCACCTGCGCCGATCCCCGTGTCGCATTTTCTATCTCAATCCCGCGCGCCAGAGGCATTGCGTCTGACTCACATCGTCCAAAGAGACTATCATCTTCCGGCCTCCTTCCTATCCCGTCTTTGTCGCTGAAAATGCCCGAGTCCAGGGAAGGAAAGCAGGCAACCCTGGGGTATGTCAAAGACTCTCAATTGACCCTCGCGTGCGTCAAGCTGGACTATCTTGAGTCTAGTACATTTCTACCACCTTTCCAATGACGTGCTTATAACATTATGTAGGAGGTTCTTCGGTTCCAATTCCGACGCCCCAAAGAAGCAAACCACCCTTAGTTTTGGCGGCAATCGAAACAAATCGGCCGCCTCCGCAAACAAGTCGAAGAAAGAACCAGCTTCCAAGGACGAAAATGAGGCTAAGCCCGTAGCCGATGAAACAAGCGGCAAGGATGTTGACATGACAGAAGCTTCTGAAGCCGCGCCTGAGGTAGCTGAGGAAGCCGATCGTCAGTCTTTGAAGAGAGATAAGAGTGAAGGGAGCGATAGTGAAGAGAGTGATGTCCAACCCTCAAGTAAGAGACGACGAAAGGGTTCCGATAAACCAAAAGCTGCCCCCGCCTCAAAAGCACAACCCAAATCCTCGCCGAAAAGCCCAAAGCCCAGCAAATCGAAGGCTAAGGCGACTTCACCTCCGGTCGTGCAAAAGGCATCCGGAGAGGAAACACCAGAAGATCCTGATGTATCCGACATCGAAGAAGAGCTGTCTGCTAGCGAAGAAGAAGCCGAGAAGAAACCTGAATTGAAGAAAAAGGAGCTTGAGAAGGTCCAGGCAGCCCTAAAGGGAAGCGGGAAAGATCCATATCCTGATTGGAAGGCTGGCGAGCCTGTTCCGTACGCCGCTTTATGCACCACATTTTCTCTCATCGAGATGACCACGAAACGACTCCAAATCCTCGCTCACTGCTCTCTCTTTCTCCGACAAGTCCTACGCCTCACTCCTAAAGATTTCCTCCCCACAGTCCAACTCATGATCAACAAGCTTGCCGCCGACTATGCCGGAATCGAGCTGGGTATTGGTGAGTCTTTGATCATGAAGGCCATTGGCGAAAGTACAGGCCGTAGTCTGTCGGTGATCAAAGCAGACCAGCATGAGATTGGAGATTTGGGCCTGGTAGCCGCCAAGAGCAGGTCAAATCAGCCCACAATGTTCAAGCCGAAGCCATTGACTGTTAGAGGAGTGCACGAAGGTCTACTTGCGATTGCCAAAGTTCAGGGTCATGGTTCCCAGGACAAGAAAATCTCAGGGATAAAGAAACTCCTGTCCGCTGCTGATGCCGCCACTACTGGAAAAGGCAGCAAGGGAATCGGCATCACCAAGGATAAGGGCGGCCCAAGTGAAGCCAAATATCTGATACGATTCCTTGAAGGCAAACTACGACTAGGGCTGGCGGAGAAGACCGTACTCGTTGCCCTTGCTCAAGCAGTGGTTGCACATGAGGCTGCTCTGAAAGGCGAGAAAACTCCTTCTGCGGAGAAATTGGCAGAGGGGGAGGCAATACTGAAGACAGTATACAGCGAATTGCCAGCCTATGAAGTTATCATTCCGGCCCTACTGGAACACGGGTTGGCCAACCTTGGCCAACATTGCAAGCTGCAGCCAGGTATCCCCATCAAACCTATGCTTGCAAAGCCAACCAAGTCTATCACCGAAGTTCTCGACCGGTTTGAAGGGAAAGACTTCACGTGTGAATACAAATACGATGGCGAGAGAGCTCAGATCCACTACGTTGCCCCTGAGCACATGACAAAGTATCCCGGGGCTCAACTTACGTTGGAGAAGAAGGACGTTGGGCTCACTTCGATCTTCTCTCGAAATTCAGAAGACCTATCAAAGAAATACCCTGATGTCCTGGAAAAGCTTAAGACCTGGATCAAGCCCGGTGTCGGAAGCTTTGTGTTAGACTGTGAAACCGTCGCCTGGGATACAGTGAACAAGAAAGTGCTCCCCTTCCAGCAATTGATGACTCGGAAGCGAAAAGACGTCAAGGCGGAAGATGTCAAGGTCAAAGTCTGCGTGTTTGCATTCGATCTTCTTTTCCTTAATGATGAGGTATGCTCTTTCGCACATTGATCTCTTCCCGAATTTTGCTAACTCAGATGTAGCCCGCAGTTAAGAAGTCCCTCCGAGAGCGCCGCGAACTGCTACACGAATCATTCCAAGCGGTCGAAGGCGAATTTCAATTCGCCCAATACGGAGACACAAACGACCTTGATGAGATCCAAAACCTCCTCGACGATTCTGTGAAGGCCTCCTGTGAAGGCCTCATGGTGAAAATGCTTGACACAGAAGAGAGTGGCTACGAACCGAGCAAACGCTCTCGTAATTGGCTCAAGGTGCGTCGAAATCCAAATTTACACGCATGTTTGGTACCCAAGCTAACCAAAATCCCCCCATCAGGTGAAGAAAGACTATCTCTCCGGCGTCGGCGACTCCCTCGACCTCGTCGTCCTAGGCGCTTACTACGGCCGCGGAAAACGCACCTCCGTCTACGGCGCCTTCCTCCTTGCCGCCTACAACCCCAGCACACAAACCTACGAAACAATCTGCAACATCGGCACGGGCTTCTCTGACGAAGTCCTGAAGGAATTCCACGAAACCCTCTCCCCGCTTGTCATCGACCGCGCCAAGCCATTCTACTCACACTCGACGGTTCCCAAGGACCAGCCCGACGTCTGGCTCGAGCCCCGCCTCGTCTGGGAAGTCAAGACGGCGGACCTTACACTGAGCCCCAGGTACAAGGCTGCGGCGGATGAGTTTGTTGGTGCCAAGGGTGTTTCGCTGCGGTTCCCGAGGTTTATCAAGAGTCGTGATGATAAGAAGCCTGAGCAGGCGACTACGACCAAGGCGGTTGCAGAGATGTACCGCAAGCAGGAGGCTGTTGCGAAGGATGGGGCGAGCAAGGGTGGGGTTGATGATGATTTCGAGTATTGATTGAGTACCTATTGACTATCAGATACCCTTTACATAACTAGTCGGGACGAGTGAGCTCCTGTGTGCGAAGTGGGCTATTGTATGAGTCTGTATGAGAACTTACGTACTTTGACCTTGAGATTGGTTGAGCGCTGAGAGCGATTCCTACTGCTGTATATCAAGGACACTTACTGCTTCTTCAATTACATTTACTTTGAAGGAACTTTCTCTGCAAGGGCGATTTCGCAAGTTTCAATCATCCATTGGCTGGCCAATATACAACATCCATCGAGTCATCATCCTGATAATCATATCAAAAGGAAGTAATGGGTACACAATATAGGTGGTTTTGTACAAGCCGATTTCCTCTAGCCAACCCCCGGCTATCCAGCAGTCATTCTACAGTCCAAGGTCAACCAGTGAAAAAGGAAAAGGGAAAAGATAACGCATATCCGACAGAACACGCTATGACGCATTTCAAACCATGAAGCAACATCAAAGATCGTCGCGGCCAGGTGTGGTGGATTTGTTACCGTCTCTGGACGTAAACCCTGTTTGTCGGACACGCAAGACAAAGTTCGTCAACATGATTGCGACAAGACCGACGCCTACGACTGTAGGCCCCCATTTCTCGTAGTACACGCGTTTCACGTCACGGCGTTTGCGAATCTTGTCGACGCGCCAGATGTAGAGCACGAGACTGTAGATGAGGGCTACAGCGGCGAGGATGGTGAAGGCCCAGGAACAGGCGAATGTGATGTAGTCGTCGCCGAAGTTCAGGAGGGTAGCGGCGATTGTTCCAAGAAGGATGGAGAATTCTAGCCAGGAGAGGAATGTTCTCTCGGCGGCAAAGTAGACTTTGGGTTCGACACGGACAGGAACGTGAATACCTTGAGATTTGTTAATGATGTTATCAATCGAGAGAGGACGGAGTATGAAGCTTACGTTTACCCTTGGGAGCCGTAAATCGCTTGATTGTCCGTCCACTGCCCATGACCGTGATGCCGTTCTGCTCTGGAGCGGGCATATTTGTGGGCATGGGCCTAGGAATAAGTGCCTTGAGCAGATTGATCATCCCGTTCTTAAGCCGATGACTGTAGTACTTGGCCAGCTGCTCATAGTAGTATCTGCCTCCTACACGACGCGCCTCTTCCAACTCATCTGAATCGACAGACTCATCGTCCGAGTCGTACAGCGGATAGTCTTCGTCTCCAGGAAGTGGCTGTGCGGCGATTCGTTCCTCGACGTCAAGCGCATTCCCGTCAGTATCATCGAAGAGAGCGTGTGGCTCGATTTCACGGAGCGCTTCTCGGTCGGAGCGGTCTCTCGGCCCCCCATTGCGCCCTTCGTGCGCGTCCAGCTCGTCGTCTTCGGATTCGTCGTCTTCAGGTGTCTCATTTGCAGAAAGAGATGTGCTTGTCATTGGGCGCTGAATACCAAAGTGGCGTGTTGCGGGCTTTCGAATATCAACATCCATTTGCGGCATCCAGAATGGCAGAAGGTGGATGCGATCCGGGAATAATGCGGCAGTTCCGTGGATGAACTTGCTGTATTTGGGCACTGCTTCTACCAAGTGGCTCGCCGTCAGGTCACGAATCCACTTCGGCGGCTCTTGTCCAGCCTGGGTCTGAAGTTTGACCTCCAAAACCGCGTAGGGGAAACGCTCGACGTCCTCAGGTGGCAGCTGGTTAAACGGCCAGTCCACCCCAATGTCCATTCTGCGCCAGTTGTTACCGGATCTTTGACGTCCATCCAGGTTATCCTCTCGGATCATGGTCAACTCCGTATCAAGCGAAATGCGGACTCTGGCATCCCCAGGAAGCTGGAAAGCGGTACGGTGATAGAAGGTTCTGGTGACCGGTACTAGCCTTCGAGTGATGACTCGATACTGAATCTCCCGAGCCAGTTGCTCCAGGTCGGCGATCTCATCCTCGCTCTTTTTCTTATCCTTCCGCATCTTCTCGAAAACCTTGTCCACCGTCAATTTACCAGCCATGAAGTCATTCACATATTTCTCCTTGAGAGCAAACCGCGCCTTCACGGACTTCTCTCCAGTCCAATCTTCACGATGCGTTTTCCGCTCGACGAATATCTGATCACTATCCATACCACCATACCACCGTAGACGGATGGCCTCAGCTCCTTCGGTCTTTTTTAAGCGGCCCAGGTATAGCTCCCACGTCTCGGGATTGTCATAGTAGATGGAAGAAATCGCGGAATCTTCTTCCTCAAATTCTTTGCTGGGGTTGAAGACAAGAACGGGAAGATGCTATGTCGAGTCAGTGTGAGACGTTGCGCAGGAATTGGGGTGGCATACCTTAAGAATAATCAACTTCAATTCTGTGATGTTGTCGGGATGGACCCAGTATTTAGTTGTTTGGCGTACAAAGTTCTGTTGGGTACCGCCTGCCGAGGAATCTCCTTTGACTGGGTTTCCCTTGGTTCGGACAAGGTCGTACAGCTTTGATAGCCTCACTACGAAGGCATCATAGTTATCCTTGAAGAAAGGCTTCGCTTTGAGCCGGGCAGCGAAGACCGGCTTGAGATGCCATTGTGTTTGTTTCTATGTCAATGGTCAGTATGCGATTCGCTCCGTGCAGCGTAATGAGTCCCAATAAAACGTACATCATGCTTCTTAATAATCTTTTGAAACCCGGTGTAGTTCAATTGAGTAAATTTCGCAAGGTCGTGAACATCGGCGATGATATCACTCAGGACCTGCTCAAGCATCAGGAACTCCTCGTCGGACGGAGGGGGCCTGCTTGAGCGGCCAGCACTGCGGTTGTCATTGCTGTTGTTCAGTCGCGTTACAACGTCTTCGACGTCCTTCTCGACCTCTTGGATCCGGCGGACAATCTCCTCGCTCTTGAGCTTCTGGAAGTTAAAGACCTTGTCCAATTCGCTCTCCAGAAGTGCCACGAAATGCCGCTCATCATCCTCCGTCCATGGTTTGCGGTCGGGCTTTGTGTTTTGGGGGGTCGGGTCGGTAACGTAGCCGGTCTTGAGAGCTTTCTTCAGACCTTCGTAATTGATGTAGTACCAGTAGTACTCTTTATTTTGTGACGAGCGGAGGTGCTCGCCGAACCTGTGAAAAAGCAAATTGTCAGTCACGGCGACGATTAGGCGGGCATTGGCTTATTTACCTCATGATGACCTACGGAGGTGCAGGAACAGCGCCCGAACGAGCTGATTGGAGACGGACCGGGGTGAAGATAAGATCGCCAATTGAGGCGAATCCGCGACGGAATCAGAAGCGCAAGAGGGGTACGAACAGAATACCCAGGCGCATGAGAGAGGAGGGGAGAAGAAATAATGAAATCTTGGAAAGAGGGCGATTGTCTTGGCCACAAGTGGCGGGGAGTGTCACAGTCTCATAGCGCATTGGAGCTTCCATGGATGATGGAGTCAGTCTGGAGCTGCTACGGGCGCGACTAGCGCCGGCTGGTCTCCGGGCACGTGCCTCACCACCTTCGTCTCCTTTGTCCTTTAACCTGCGATGCCACGACAGAGCGGAGTCATTGAACGCCCAATTGTAACTTTGCTATACGCGCTCTTGTTCTTGGAGACTTGGCTGATCGATCTTCTCTTAACTCGAGGAGAGCCATGAGAAATGATGAGATTTCGAGATGGCCGCAGCTCGCCACGCAGTAGTATGGAGCTTATCGATGGCGGAGGACTTTTCCAGACACGGGCTGGCGTCGTCGAGAAGCATTCTGAGCCACTCGATTGAGCAGGTGCTCGCTTTAGCTCGCCTGGCTGCATTGTAGAAAAAGGACGCTTTACTGCTTCAAGATTGGTAAAACCGGCTACTACAGAGGGAAAACATTACGATATGAGTTTGAGGACAAGATATGTCAGAGGAACTTTGAGGAGACGCCTTCCATGAATTACTCCAGCTGAATCGCAACAATTGGAATGAAGGTATGCAATTGAAGCCCGAATACCATTTCCTTGAGAAATCATATCAGCGAGGGACACTCGTCAAAGCTCATCCAAAGAATGACGACCAAGATGTTGATTTTCTGGCTGTTTTTCGGGCGGATATGAAAACAAGAAAATCAATTACATTATGCAAAGGAATATAGAGCTATAATATATTCAGTCAAATATCAACCAGCCCGGCTAGCTCAATCGGCAGAGCGTGAGACTCTTAATCTCAAGGTTGCGGGTTCAACCCCCGCGTTGGGCTTATAATTTCTTTTTTCTCCCAGTCGATCACTTCCAATATTGGCCGTTTAACATTTGAACAATGTTTGTTGACTTTTTATTTTATTTTATATTTTTCCCCGTCTCTACTATTATACCCCTTAGTCCGATTGTGTAGGCCTCTTTCACCGATCAATAAACTGTGCTCGGTACCAACAGAGCGATAGTTTATCGATATTCCAGCCGCCCTCCCCCTTCTGCTATCAGCAGGGCAGGTACCGCAACGCTAGGGCGGGTTCGCGCCTTCCTCAGCTACTTGCTATGGCGGCCGCTCGATATGGAAGGAGGGATGGGATTGCCTTGCATTTTTGTTGAGAAAGCGGTCGCTCCTTCCTCGCACTGGGAATATCCCACGAGGCAGGTGCCCGCAAACTTTTATCAGGGTTGCTCCTTCTCGGATGCTCAGGTGTGATCTCTCATACTGGGGGAAGGAGCGGTCCGTGACCGCGCCTTCCTTGTGTGGTCAGTGACTGGTACTGCCTAGCTTAGACGCTCGGTGTTGTCTTGATGCTGGATGTGGCATATATATTGTCTCTGAACCGAACTCCATGCAACGACGATTTATCTGTACACCCGGACATACGATATATATTTGCATGTTAGACCTCGCCATGATATAGGACCAATGCAGCCACACGCGCAACGAAAGGATAGAAAAAGTACTCTTGAGGCTGGATGGCTCTTCGAAATAGGCGCTCAAAGGCCCTGCCCTAACAAAGTCGTGTAGAGGGACGATCCAATGTCATACGAATGCACGAATGATGTTAGACGCCACAAGTACTTCGAGGTAGACTCGGAGAATGAATAAGGGGTATCTTGCCACAGAAATGATCAATTGATAGATACTAAATGGAATTATCGACTTGAGTAAACGCAAGACCATCCCGCATCCAACCATACCCTAACACCAGACACCAAACCATACATGTTGATAGCTAATCATCGACCTCCATTTATGTATTATGTACTCCATATCATCATTTCCTCATCGTTCTGTCGTCCGCGTCTTATGCAACCGCACCAGCAGCACGGCGGATACTTCTCCGCGCGCCCTCACCCAGGATGTTCGCAAGACCCTCTGACTCAAGAGCCCTAACGGCCTCCGTGAACTGAGCGCTATCAACGCCAGCGCTAGCCTGCTCGCTCAAGACCCGATAGACCTCTGCCCAGCGGGCTGCGCCACCCGCAGCACCGGCCAAGTCATCGACGACGCCGAGGATACCGCGCTTGAGGGCCTCCTTGTTTCGTCGCTCGCTCGCACTTGTGCCCTCTGTGAGAAGACTCATATCGATCAATCCGGTGCGGGAGTCTGTGGCCGCTTGTTTGATGGCAGAGCGGATCAGGCGCACGGCCTCTTCCACGTCGTCTGCTGTTACCTCGGTAGAAAGGCGCATACGGGCGTGAGCTTCAGCTAGTCGGATCATCGACTCGAGCTGACGGGTCGTTGCTGTAATTCGGCGATCTGCTGAGCGGATGTCGTCTCCGAGCTTACGCATGTTCACGTAAGCGTCGGACAGGGCTCTGCCAGCGGCGGGTGTGATGACGGGATGAATTTTGGTTTTGGCGTAGGTTATATAGGCTGTCAGAAATTCAATGGGCTGCAAATTGACGATCGTCAGTAATTATTGGTCGTGTAGAATATAGTGTTGACTTACCAAGACTTCCCGCTCGCTCGCGTTGTCTGGCCTATCTTCAAGATACATGTTGACAATGTGCTTGGCCAGGCGACGGTCCTCCTGTTCGTCGACGCGGTCAAGGACAAGGTAGACCAAGTCGAAACGTGACAATAGTGTAGGTGGAAGGTCGATGTTCTGGGGAACGGGCAAGTTCGGGTTGTATCTGCTGCCGATTGGGTTGGCCGATGCAAGGATACTTGTCCTGGCATTTAGAGTCGTGATGATACCGGCCTTGGCGATAGACACCGTTTGCTGTTCCATGACCTCGTGGAGGACGGAGCGCGTGGACTCATTCATCTTGTCGAACTCATCAATGCAGCAAACACCTCCGTCGGAGAGAACTAAGGCACCGGACTCGAGCACCATCTGACGGGTCTCGGGATCACGCGTGACGTAGGCCGTAAGACCGACAGCAGACGAACCCTTACCACTGGTGTATACACCTCGGGGAGCGATCTTGTGGACATATCGGAGTAATTGAGACTTGGAAGTCGAGGGGTCACCGCAGAGGAGCACGTTGATGTCGCCACGGTAGCGCGGGTTACCACCCTTCTGGAATGACTTGTTCGTGCCACCGAACAACTGAAGCAAAATACCCTTCTTCACGTCATCCATTTCGTAAATGCTAGGAGCCAGCGATCGCGCAAGAAGCTCGTATAGGTCAGGCCGTGTGGATGTCCGCCTGATCTTATCCTCCTCTTCGGCAGAAATCTTGCGGATCTGCTCAGCGTCGCCAGCAGCCTGTTCTGAAAGCTCCTGTTCAACGGTCGACACGTCGATACCCAGCTTCTTGCGGTCGATCTTCTGAACATGGAGAACGTCGATGTATGTCTTGAAAAGACTTTTCTGTGTCCGCTGGCGAGGATTGATGCGCACGGGGTTGGATCGGAAGATACCTGTAACCTCAACCCGGTCACCTGCTTTGCAAACGTCCACCAGCTCGTCGTAGACACATAAAGAAACCGAGTGAGGCGTTTGACCGTCGGGGATGCTGTCTGGGGTCTCCTGCAGCTTGATCACTTGTTTATCGGCAAAGACGCAGCGATTGTGGACAATCTGCATCGAGTTCCTCTGTTGGCAGACTTGACGGGGGCAGATGGTGGGTTCGGCGATCTTGCCGCGATCGATATCGACTTGAACCGAGTGGTTACAGGCCTGACAGCGGAAGAATGCTAAGAAACAAGTTAGATAACCCCAAGTTAGGTCAGAGGTAAGCCACAAACCTTCTTTCATGTCAGGTATAATGGGTGTAGCACGAATGACCAAACCCTTGATGCTCACCAGTTTATCCATATCTGGAGGGTTCGTTAGCTATAATGGAGTCGAGAAGTTATGGGACGTACCGGCAGGATCAAGATCTCTCATATTGACTGTGCTGTCAAGACCGAAAGGAAGAACTTTGTATGGTTTCGTCTCAGCTTCTGCGACAAGGTCTGGGATCTCCGTCTGTGGCATCCGACCACTTTCGCTCATGGCATCAGAGCTAGGAACAACTGGAGCATCACTCATATCCCTATGGTTGCTCTGATTACGCTGAATCTGGGACCGCAATCGCTCCATTTCCTTCGCCGCTAATTCGACCATGACGTCCCTGACGCTTTGATCCATTAGAGGAATAATTTCTTGCGGGTACGCCTGAAGCTGATGCCACAGTTTCAGAGTCGGTGGGTATGCCTTGAGGTTCTTCGCATCCAGGTTGAGACTGGTAACACCCAGTTGCCGCATTGTGTTGAGCATTTCAATGTATTCTAATTCTTCAGCCGCATCACCCATCCGGCGCGTCTCATCCTCTGTTGCTCCATCGGCCCACAAACGGTATTTAGTGGTAAAGTTGTGAAGAAAGTTTTTGAAAGCGGACATGGAATCCTGAATGGAAATGTTGGTACCCCAGATTACGCGGGTTGAGCTGCCTCCCATAGCCTCTGCTTCAGAGGTATCGGGATGAATGTTCGAAAATGTCGCATCGGACTGAGGCTCCCCATCGGCGGCAGGAACGCCATTTGCATCCACAAAGACCCTGCGTCTGCGGCTTGGGGTTGACCCAAAGCCTCCGGAGTTGAGGTCACTGCGGCGGGAGGTTATACGGTCTTGGCGAGAGGAAACGAATAAACCACTGCTCTCACTGGGAATATCTGAATGACCTGCCTGGCGGCCAAATGCGCGGGTAGGGCTGGAGCTGGACACATATCGGATCGGGGAGGAATCTGATTTTCAAGTATCAGCAATTGTTTTCTAAGCAACAAAAAGAGGAATACCGACCTCTCATGGCTGCTCGATTCGCGCGTGGTGTCCTTTCACCGTCATCCATAGTCGATGAAGCCCCGAGTGGGGAACTAGGCTCTTCCATCCGAGCATCTGGTGTCTCGGCACTGCTGTTATTCCCTCGAGCCGGAGAAGACTGGAAGAACATGGGGGACGAAGAGGGAACGGCAGCTTCTCCCCGTAGACGTCGCGAGGCACGGGGTGTCGTCTGAGCAGGGCTGCTAGCCTGCGGCTGCTGTTGGGAGCGTGTGGAGCGAGCTGGTGATGCAGTGGCCGAATCCCTCGCTGGGCGGCCCCTTCGTCGAGAACCAGCAGGAGAAGACATGTTGTTGTGGCTATTCACAAGAATTGAATGGAACAGAATCTACCAGAGGAAAATTGAATTAAAGTCACAATGTGGAGAGAAAAAGAGGGTGGATTCCACGGGAGTTGAAATGTAGCGAGGGGGCGATAGAATTGAAGGAGACAGCAATCATGGCCGACTCGGCAAGAAATTGTTGCTGGAGATTCTCCGTCGCTTCGAGCAACGCGCTGTGACGCGTCTCACGCGTTAAGTGGTTTCCTATTTGGGCGAACGCGACAGCACAGCCACAAGCTAGTCACGTGATATGTACCTGAGTCGCACCTGCCACAAAATGCGTCATAAGGTGGAACGGATCATAGCAAAGGCTTGGCAGACGTATTGACACCGCCACTTGTGCGACGTGGCTGAATAAACCATCCCTTGCTAGGCATAGCGCCTTCCATCTTCGACTGGGTGCCAGGTCCTGGCGAATGAGAGAGCTGTGCCGTCCCAACTTCAGGAGTCGACCATTGATCAACACTATTCCAGATCGAGTAAATCTGTATGTCCACTCACTTGCCACTTCATCAAGGAGTAAGGCGCTTTGGAGGGTCTTTGATACGTCTTTGATAGTTTCTTATCGAGTTTCAAGGGCATTATTGTTGTTATTTTGAGCATCTAAACGCCTGACACTCCTGCTGAAAGCGCTGTTTTTCATCCGAGCCAATCCTTTCACCGGCGGCAAGAGAGAGTGAAACCGCGGCGGCAGAGCGGAACGCTGTTGGGGTCGGCCAAGTTCCACCTGGGCAGCAGGCGCTTGATGTCATGCACTAAAAAGTTGCGATCTGCGATTCCCACGAATAATTGGCAGTGCTTTGGGCTAAAGGGCTGAGGACTGATGAACAATGGATGATGCTCATTATTCTTAATGCCTTCATCTGCAACATTTTCTTGTTTGTTTCTTCTGCGAGTTCTTCCTTGCTTTGCTCCCCGCTCTACAACATCTTTCGAACAACTTCCCACCACCGCCTCCTTATCATCTCGACCTCTTCTCTCTTTCGACCACTGTGACTTTCTCTAGGTACCCGTCGCTTTGCCTTGGAATGTCCTGAGCATTGTCGCTTCGTTTGGCTGGGCTCGTCTGGACATTCATTTCGAAGTACCCAAGCAAGTATCTTCTGCACCGCGATTCTTCTATAATACCGAAACGGGTCGCAGGACGACCCTGAGTGCCAGTAACAATGGCAAACGACCTGACCTCCGCCCTAGAGCACGCGGGTGGAAATGGCCAGAAAACGGAGGGAATCTCAATCAAGACGTTTGTGGCGTCACTGGCTACCGCTATAATAATTTTCACTATTGAATTTCTCCTGTTCCTGCTTCTCAAAGGGAAGCTCACTCGCATCTAGTAAGTGCTGTTATCAATCTCTGCTCGACAAATCGACACCGCTAACTGTGCGATCACTCTACAGCCAACCTCGAACGTACCTCGTCCCTGATAGAGAGCGAACCGAACCGTCCCCACCAGGTCTCTTCAAATGGATAATCCCAATCTTCAGCACGTCAAGCTCCGCCTTTATCCAGAAATGTGGCCTGGACGCCTACTTCTTCCTGCGATACCTGCGTATGCTCCTTAAAATATTCGTCCCTCTCGCTGTTATTATACTGCCGACGCTGTTACCGTTGAATAAGATTGGCGGAAAAGATCGAACCTACAAGAATGGGACCGACACAGGGGACAGGTGGAATGTGACTGGATTAGACCAGCTGGCGTGGGGTAATGTTGCTCCAGAGAACACGCACCGCTACTGGGGTCATTTGATCCTGGCGATATTTGTCGTTATCTATGTCTGCGCCATCTTCTTCGACGAGCTAAGGAGCTATATACGCCTCCGTCAAGCGTATCTAACATCCCCGCAACATCGTTTACGAGCATCTGCGACAACTGTCCTGGTGACGGCTATCCCGCAAAAATGGCTTTCTCTCGAGGCTTTAGAGAAGCTATACGATGTTTTCCCTGGTGGAATCCGGAACATTTGGATTAATCGCAACTTTGATGATCTCAACGAGAAAGTCAAAGAGCGAGACAGGCTGGCGTTGAAGCTTGAAACGGCGCTAACCGAATTGATCATCAAATGCAAAAAGGCTCAAATGAAGCAGGCGAAAGCAGCAGCGAAAAAGGCCGGGATCAAAGATGCCGACAAGAAGGAGAAGGAGGACGCAGATGCGAAAGCTTCAAGAATAGCCATGGGTGCTGGTATCAGCTCCGGAGACCCTCATCAAGCCCATACTCTTCAGGAAATCTTGCATGGCGACAAATTAACTCGAAAAGGAACCAAGACAGACAGACGCAGGCATATAAATCCCCTGGAGCCTGCTATCGGGTTGGCAGGGGCTGTCGGCCAGGAGGTTGGCAAGCTGGGTAAGTCGGTCTTTGGTACTGTTATGAGACACGATCACGCCCAGCAAAATGGAGACCAGCCTGTATCAGACGAGTATACGTCCGACGACATCGCGACTGCCCACGGCGCGACGGATCCTACTGACATATCTGCGGGAGCTGAAAGAGACTCGCAACCGCGAAGGCCGTTCTGGAGAAGCAGGCCATCCAACTTATCCAAAAACAGTAATCGAACAGAACCAGATGAGCTGCCCCTTACAGCTCCGGAGACTCCAGTTGTTGACCCAGGGTCGCCTTCCAGCTCAGAAAACGACTCGCCAGTGAGGGCCCGCCCGGACAAAGATTTTGACCTTGCACGAAACGACGGCGCAGAGACCGAGGATGATACGTATCCGGTGGCATACAATGAACATTTCGAGAAGGATGATGCTGGTGAGCCGCTATGGCAAAAGTATATTCGTCCCAAAGACCGTGAAACCATGCGATTGCCAATCTTCGGTATCAGCTGGATGCCTTCGCTTTGGCTCATGGGAAAGAAAGTTGACACCATCGATTATTGCCGCAAAGAAGTCGCTCGCTTGAACTTGGAAATCGAAATTGATCAACAGCACCCCGAAAGGTTCCCACTCATGAACTCGGCCTTTATCCAGTTCAATCATCAGGTTGCTGCCCACATGGCTTGTCAGGCAGTCAGCCATCATGTGCCCAAGCAAATGGCTCCCCGCACCGTCGAAATTTCCCCAGATGATGTTATCTGGGACAACATGTCAATCAAATGGTGGGAGCGTTATCTACGTACATTTGGAATCATCGCCATCGTCATCGGCATGGTAATCGGCTGGGCTTTCCCAGTTGCGTTTACCGGTTTACTGTCTCAGCTTTCCTATCTTGAAGACGCATTCACGTGGCTGTCGTGGATATCAAAACTGCCAGAATGGTTTATCTCGGCTGTACAGGGTATCCTGCCTCCACTATTTTTGGCTATTCTCATGGCAATTCTGCCACTCCTGCTTCGTTTCCTCTGCCGAGCACAGGGTCTCCACACAGGCATGGAGATCGAGCTTACCGTGCAGAATTACTACTTCGCCTTCCTCTTTGTCCAGCTGTTTCTGGTCGTCGCCATCTCGTCCAGTATCACTACCATCCTCCAAAACATCACCGATGTCACAAGCTGGCCGGATCTTTTGGCGCAGAATATCCCCTTATCAAGCAATTATTTCTTCTCTTACATGATTCTACAAGCGCTCTCTGTGAGTGCTGGAGCTCTAGTCCAGATCTTTAGCCTTGTCAGCTGGTTTATCCTTGCTCCAATCTTGGATTCAACAGCTCGCAGAAAATGGGCCCGGACCACCAATCTCAACCAGATGCAATGGGGTACCTTCTTCCCCGTCTATACCACCCTTGCATCAATCGGTATGTGAAGCTATTACTCTTTATTGAACTCTCTAATAGCGTGCAGGATTGATATATTCGGTTATTGCGCCTCTGATCTTGGTGTTCAACATCATTACCTTTAGCCTGTTCTGGTTCGTTTACCGATACAACACGCTATATGTCACGAAGTTTCGCTTCGACACCGGTGGTTTACTGTTCCCGCGGGCCATTAACCAATTGTTCACTGGTATCTACGTCATGGAACTATGTTTGATCGGTCTTTTCTTCTTGGTTCGTGATGTTCAGGGTACCGTTGCCTGCAAGGGACAAGCAATCGCAATGATTGTTGTGATGGTGCTCACCGCCGGGTTCCAGTTCCTGTTGAATGAAGCGTTTGGCCCTCTAATTCGTTATCTACCGATCACATTGGAAGACGAGGCCGTTCGCCGGGACGAAGAGTTTGCCCGCGCACAAAGGGCACGGTTGGGACTTGATGGTTACGAGGAAGAGGAGGAAGCAGAAGAGGAAATGGATACCCTTGAACATCGACTGAAAGCTCGTGAACGTGCTCAGTTCCAGGAAGAGCAGGATTCCAGTGACATTGAAATGAAGAAGTTTGAAGCCAACGGTGTGTCGAGACGGGCCTCTGGTCTGAGACGCAAGGGGCAGGGCCTCGATCCTCAGACCGCCGCTAATCTTAATTCTTCTCGTCGACCATCATGGGCCACCCATCAGTCTCCCAATCGGCGTTCTAAATATTTTGGTACCAATTCCGAGCAGGCAGTCCCCACAATTCAGCGGATGAGGGAGAAACTTCAGGAAGATGCTGAAGCCCAGGCTCCTGCAAGAACTCACAAAGGAGCTGCCTTGTTTGCAGGTATTCACGACGAACTGGAGGATCTCACCCCTGATGAGCGTGATCAACTTGTCCAGCGCGCCTTTCAACACGATGCACTCCGCGCCAAGCGCCCTGTCATCTGGATCCCACGTGATGACCTTGGAGTTAGTGACGAGGAGATTTACCGCACTCAGCGATTCAGCAAGCATATCTGGATTAGCAACGAGTACCAAGCACTTGATGGAAAGGGCCGGACTATCTTTAGCCGCAGCCCACCCGACTTCTCTGAGGTGGATCTCATTCAACTATAATCTTTTTACTTGTATATAGCAACGGTCTCTCCTATGGTAATGCTCCTTTTTAGCGACTGGCGTTTTTGGAGGTGGATACTGTTGCCTTTTTGTTTATAGGATTTTCTTCTCTAACCAGGCTCTTTCTGGCACCTACATAAAGCACATACTAGCTTATGACAGCTGTACATTGATGATCGCCGAAGAACATTCTGATACCCTTCTATACGCATGCTCCAAACCCGTACTTCATTCTCCCAGTCTTGAATCAAATACACCAGATACTCCGTTTGAACTCCAAATCCCATACCCACCCCAATATACTCAACAAGCAACAGGGAACGCCCTAATCTGGCTCTTCCTATTGAATAACTTAACCTCCGCCTTCCGTCTCCTCGCAAGCCCATTCACCATCGTCCCATTCACATAAATCCACTGCGGCAGCTCTCCGTTTCCAACAAGCCCTACATCTCCACCATCATTCAACCGCGCAACCAGCGTAGATTTTTCCATTGCCTCGATACCAGCATTGTACGTCCACGAGACCAACGCTCCGTACTGGTTCTCATTCAGTGTTACAGCATCTGAAAGCACATTCGTTAGGGCGTTTTGGTAGGCCTGGTCGCCGATTAGCATTAGTATGTCATGTCGACAACGAAGGCCTATATTTGCTGCTGAGGGGTCGGACGAGGTGAAAGGCAACATACGGCCAGATCATTCACCAATAACCGAGACGCAGATTCCTCAGATAGAGGTTGTGGGAACGAGTCTGAGATATCGGAGCATGGCCAGTCGGTGCAGAGGTGGCCGTATCCGACAGTCGGGTTTCCGTAGCCGTTGTCAGAGACGGAGGGTTTGAAGGGCTCGAAGGTTTTGAGGAGCTTCAGCGTTGCTGGGTTTACACTGGGGCCGGGACAAGCTGCAGAGGCAAAGGGTGTGAGGAAGAATATTGTTATGAGGAGGAGGTTGAGGAGGCGGCGCATCTTGCCGTTGTGTTGAGTGGTGTTTGGGGGTGCGTTCTGAGGTATATGGTGAGTCGAGGAGTGTTTGCGGGGGCGTATAGTCAAGCCTTGTCAGGGTTGACTGGTTTGAGGTATGAGGGGAGTCGCTGCCGTCAACTATCCTCTTTCGAGTGTTATCGGTGTAGTATCTTGGTGATCTGCATAGATCGGCCTGCGGATACGATGCAGTCGTCAGCATGTGAATCCACGGGTGGGGGATCGCATCTCTCACAGATGGTACCTGGATTGGGATCTGCAAGGGCCAAGGGGTCTGTTTTCCATCCACCCCGTTCGAGCCTTGGTTTTAATAAGTTAGGGCATATTCGTTGGCCGCGAGGCTGAAGAGTTCCGACTGTTGTTGAAACCTAATGTCGTTTCAGTCTGTTGAACTACGCATACGAGTGCCAGGTTCTGGCGAGCGTTCATGGATACCGCAAATGCAAAGGTTTTTATCGAATTGTTCAAGCTTCGATCTTTTATTCAAGTGTTTGATCATGGGTCGAAGAAAGGGCTTGGAGAGAGAAAATAACAAATCGAGGGATGCCGGTAGGCACCGCACAGATAGTTCTTGTCTTTTTTTAGATCTCACAAAGTACAGTACCGAATCACCAGGGCTCGACGGAAGACCTAGGCAACAGCAGCATCACAAAGACGGACTTGTTAGTAACACCAGGGCCATAAACTACCGGTGATCAAGCGGCCTAAGAATAGCAGCCAATAGGATTCTCAGTCTTGCCTCGGTCCGTCAAATCCCTGGAGTTGAAGACTGAAACATATCGAAGGTGCTTCTGGCGCGCAGGCGTCGAAGAGGGTGGTCGGCATTTGATGGTGAATGGAAACTGTGTGACATGTCAGCCAATGCGTCAGGATAATGTAAGAAACACAAGAGTTGAGAAAAAGACAAATGCGAGAGAGGAATATATCCAAGATATCATGATTGGAATTTATATTGACCTATCTAAACCGTTCAATCCATGTACTTGCACAGAGGGAGTCGATAATTGTCTATGCTCCAGTAAGGCCGACGGACTCCGTTCCACTCTCCCTCCAGCGAGGGAACTGCAATGTCCTCCCACTCAACATCGAACCCAGCCTCGAAGATATCAATCTCCACGACCTTCTGGTAGACATCATAGCTGATCTGTCGATCGGCCCCCATGCCGTTGAAGAAACTCCACTTTCCTTCTTGCTCGAGCAGACCGATAACCTGCTCTGTGAAGAATTCCCGGAAGTCCGCATAGGACTCGGCGAATGTATCGTAGTAGATGGCATCGAACATCTCACCCTGCGCCACCAGGTCAGGGAGAATGTCTTGCCATTTGCCTTCGTGAATGACAACACCGGGTTTTTCATGCCAGCCTTTCCGCTTCATCTCTGCAACAACGTCGGGGTGTGCCTCAATGATGTGATGTGAAGAGGGGTACTGGTCCTGGAGGAATCCGTCGACAATGCCCATTCCGTGTCCGACGTTTAGGACGCGGAGCCCCGGGATGGGGAGGAGTTGTTTGGCGGATTTGAGCATGATGTCTGATTCCCACGCCATCATTACTCCATTCTGGTCTTGGTCCAGTAGTCGATCTTGCTGGAATGTCAAGTCTGAGGTCAGATACCGTGAGCTTGTGACGTTCGGACCTGCTGCTTCTGTCGTGGTCGCTGTAGCTGTAGCTGTGGCGTCGACTAATTGAGGAACAGACTCTTCCTCGGTTGTGGGTGCAGCATCAGTAGACTCCTGCTGAGCCTCCTCCTCATCGTCATCCCCATCCGACAGCTCCTCGTACCCATCCAATCTGTTCAACAATAACTCCGCCCGCACACCAGCATCCACAATCATTTCATACAGCTCCGTCAAACCCAGCCTCCGAGCAAGACACCCCGGCGTCTCATCATTCAAATCCAAGTCATTCCAGATAGCACCCTCCTGCAGGAGAAATTTCACAGTAGCCACGCCCGACTGAACGGTGCTCTCATGCTCACTAGTAGTCTGGTCTCCGTTCGCGTGTACGCCGTTCGGCTCGCCATTCGGTACAACCTCGTCGTCATCGGCCTCGCAAGCTGCAATGGCCGAGTGCAGTGGCGAGTAGCCTGTCTCGGGGTCTTTGACGTTGGCGGGGTTGTTTCCAGCTGCTTCTCCAGAGCGGATAAGGCGGCGGAGTTTGGGGATGTCGTGCTGCGAGGCGGCAAGGAGGATCTCTTGGACCTCAAGGTCCACGTCGATTTCGATTGCTGGGTCTTGCATTTCTGAATAATGTGAGCATGGACCTGAGGAGTTTTTTGATTGTTGTAAGGTAGATAAGGGAGCGGCGCGCCCAAAAAAAAAGGCGGGGTTCGAAGTAAGTCAGTTCGTCGCAATGAGGGGGCACGCACTTATGTTATGCCAAAAACCAATATGCTGTCCTCTCAAGACAGTTTTGACAGGCAGCTAAAGTGTCCTGTGAATGCTGCTGTGCTTTGGTGGTTGAAGAGGTTTGAGATTGTTTCTTTTCCCCGCCGAGATATAAAATTTCCGCCTGCCGCTTCCGTCCCCGCAATCAACGAAAGACTGGATAGGTTTCGAGCTGGCATGATTCGTTGGGCAAGTGCAGATTCGCTGCGATCGCAACTACAGCTTTGACTTACTAACATGATTTTTTTCACGACGCTCAAGAGTATTAGAGAAGAGACACAATTCGCCTGGTTGCTGGGATAATCCTTGAATAACTATTTGTACAGATAATGTGTTGCAGAGTCTGGACCACTTGAATATATGGCGGCCAGGAATGCTTCATCGCGAGGTTTTGAATGCCCCATAAACACTTATTTCTTGTCAACTTCTGATCCGGCGTTCACATTCAACCCAAGGCCTTCAGAATCCAGGTACAGCTTGTTCCTGCCGCCGCTTTCTTGGATGATCTGAGCAATGTGCCTGGCGTTCTCGATCTTCCGAAGCTCGATGTAACTCTTGCTCTTCTTGATCGCATCTCCGATAAGCTCGGCCGAGCGGGCTTCACCCTGAGCGCGGACAATGAACGCCTGCTTCTCTTGGCGAGCCTTGTCGACTAGGAAAGCGGCCCTTTGGGCTTCTTGTTGAGCGACTTGCTTGGCCTCGACAGCGGCGGTGAATTCGGGCGAGAATGTCAGGTGCTATTAAAGAAAATGATGTCAGCAAAGTCGAGTCACAGAATTGGAATATGACAGCGGAGGAAGTGTACCGTAAGAGAAACATCATCTAGGACAATGTTGAAACGAGCAGCTCGTCGAGCGAGATTATCGCGAACAAGTCTTGCGACATTCTCACGCTGAGTAATAAGCTGACTGGCATTGAACTGGGCAACCACGCTCTTCAAAACCTCGTTCACGATAGATGGAAGCACGCGCTCGTCAAAGTCCTGGCCGAGGGTTCGGTAGATCTGAGGAAGAGCATCTACCCGAGGTTTTGAAAGCACACGGCAGGTGATGTTCACCATCTGTAGATCTTTGGTACCAGTCAGGGAAGCAATGTTCCTCGGCTTCGCTCGGACATCGTAGATGATCGGGGTCTCGATCCAGGGAATCATAATGTGGGTTCCTGCATTAGAAGACATCGTCAGATCCATAAGATGGCAGGAGTAGACAGAAAGACTCGGCGCTTACCTTCCGGGTAGATGTCCTTCTTGACACCTCCGATTCGAGAGTACTTGATTGCGCGGTGACCACCATCAACTAAGAAACCCACTTAGTAACCCCAGACATATCCATATGACGGCCATAGAGACACAAAGAGCCCTTACCGTTGAACAACGTGTTTGACAGAGCCCATCCTCCGAGACCGAGGACAATCAAAGCTGCTGACGCGCCCAGTCCACCACCACCTCCACCGGATGGGAAGCCCCCATACTTGTACTTGTTCCGGTTCTGCAGAATAAGCTGAAGCCTCTGCCACTGATCTTTCGGGATCCGAGACATGATGAATATGTGAAGTGCGAGATTGACGTCTGGATGGGGAGGTCGGAAGAAGCCCTTCGAGGTTCGTCAATTTCCGGCAGTTCTCAGAATTCGGACACCGCCTTGGCAGCAAGCTCTCATACAAATCTGTCCGCCGACTGTCAACGATCGTTATTCTTTGCGTCGCCCAGAACAAACTCGAATCTCAAAGAGCTTGAGAGGGAAGCGTACCAGTGGTCTATAGATCGAAGTGTTATCTCAGAGTTGAAACTACTATACTTCTTTTCCTATCTCCCTTCCATTTTCCCAGAACATTCGCTTGTTGGACTTTCATTTGCGCCTTGAATAATTCGTACTTTGTCGCATATTGGTTGCTTCTGAACAATTCCGCAAAGATGGGTCCAGACAGAGCTGGGAAAAGTGTTTTCCTCGGGAATATTCCCTACAGTATGCTACTCTTATGTGTTTCACCAGTTCTCCGTCCAGTGACGCTAACATGGAGTGTTTAGACCTCACTGAGGAACAGGTCAAAGACATCCTTAGCACCGCCGGCACGGTGACGAAGTTCCGCTTGATGATGAACCCCGAAACAGGAAAGCCGAAAGGATACGGATTCGCGGATTTCGCTGATGCAGATGCTGCCGCGTCTGCAGTCCGCAACTTGAACGACTACGAGATTATGGGCCGCAAAATTCGCGTGGATTGGCCTCACAACAACGAGAAAGACTCTATACCCGAAGATTACTCACAACCTCCACAAATGCCCGGCCAGGATGCGCAATTAGGTGGCCCGCAACTATCTGCACCTCTTCCTCCGCTCCCACCAGGCGTCGAGTTACCCCCGCACCTGGACTGCCCTAATGCCATTTCGCAAACGCTTGCCGCTCTTCCGCCAAACCAACTCCTCGACGTCCTCCAGCAGATGAAGTCATTGGCCATGTCAGATCCTGCACGTGCCACAGAGCTCCTGCGCCAGGCCCCTCAGCTTGCATATGCCATCTTTCAAGCGCTGCTGCTCTTGAACCTTGTTGACTACAACACCCTTGGAGCCGTGGTGGAGCAGGCTGCCCAGCCCACGGCGCCGCCTCCAACTGCCCCTCCTGCTGCACAGGGATTCCAGCCGTTTCCCGCCGTTCCGGGTCAAGTAGCGACGCCGCCAATGGTCAATACACCCTTTGCTCAGCCGCCGCAGCCGCCCCAGCAGATGCCTGGGCAAGACGAACTGCTGCAGCAAGTCCTTAGTATGCCCCAGGCGGCCATTGACGCTCTTCCTCCCATGGAACGGAGCCAAATCATGCTCTTGCGGCAGCAGCTAATGCAAGGTGGAATGCGGTGAGAGGGCTTCGTTCTTTTTCTGATAAGTCAGGTGGCGCTATTTTCATTGTATCTATGGCAGTGTCGACATTTTCGGATTCCCGGCGCAAACGGTTCTCTTGGGAGTCTCTTATGATTTGCCTTGAATGATACCTGGGCATCAGCAGATTTTTCTCATGCTTTTTGTGTATTCTCTATTTTATCTTCTGCTGTTTTCTATTCTTACTGGGCAAGGCAGACGACGCACCATGTGAATTGGCATCTGTATGGAGTTGGCGTTGTTGGGGGTTGGGAAGGAAAAGTACGCCTTCGAGCACCGGTTCTCGCAGCAGTGATCTGCGACCGAAGCGTATAGCAGCATAGCTATCTTGAGTCGTCGCACCTAGTTTTCCTTGGATAGATCATGATTCAGAGATCACCTAATCATCATTGGCCTCGAGCTACTCCAACAATCCCATGGGATTTGGGACTGACCATTGATGTGACCTGCTCAATGTAGCGAATGCAACCTTTTCGCACGAGGATCTATCCTTCTACATGCCCTTTAGCTTCTTTCTTACGTACTGTGGTTTTTATTCTGCGGGTTACACCAACTGGGGAGTGTACTGTTTGGCGGGAACTCCTCCGCAAGGATTCGTTCGCCCTCCACCCAGTATAACACTATTTAAAGACTAAATACTAGACTCTTGTCCATCCAGCGATCAGCATCAATCAACTTGCGCTCCACAGAAGTCCAAAACTTTATATCGTGACGAGTGCGGCCCGTCTGCGTCGCTGATCCCCAAGATAAGCACCCTCTCAGTTCTTTGTCTTGAATATCCCATCCTGAAGCTCGGATCGAGTCCATCATCAGCCCATTTCATTAATATTCGCCTATCACCTGCATCGAGTCCTACTTCCGCTTCAAGACAAGATCTCATCCTACTAGATTACAACGCATCACAGGATCCTGGTTCTTGTCGCAACTTAATCGCTGGGTTCCTGGCCACTGGAAGACGGCAGCATCCGGTTCCGTTTCTTGGGACAATTTACAATGCAGCTCGATCTAGCCACAAACGGCTGACCCTGGCTCCTACTCCCGCTCTCAATTATCAAATGTTCAGCCAGCCCAGGAAACCGAGGGCCGCCAAAAACAACCAGGTCTCTTCCACGGCCAAATCGACAATGCGCTCAGACACCAAGAGGGGAGGACGAGCTCGGGCTGAAACCACGCTGTCAATGACAATTACTTCTGGCTACCTGAAAAGGATCGGAGATGATCATTGTGGCATCACCAAATCCGACAAATCACATACATGAACGATGGAAGATCACGTCCCGCATCCCTGGGTTCGGCCACTGGAGCGGTCGGAGGCGTCCTGAACCAGCCCAGACCTTGCTTTTTCACCAATCGCTAACTATCCTGGAATGCGCGTCCCTGCTCTTTCGCTCAACATTTTTTTTGTTTTGCTTTTTGATGGTCGGATAACAAGACTTGACCATTGCGGGCCAGGCTTGGAAAAGTACGAAGAAGATCCGGATGCTAGGATCTACCAAGTATAAATAAGAATGCTGCTGTGGGACATTAAGTTCCTTGCCCGTTGACGCTCGTCAATTCCGATATTGTTTCGATCCTGACTGACGGCGCTGCTGCAGGGACCTTTCTCTCCGAGACCTCCCCCGCTAGGAACATTTCACCACTAGCTTGGTACCATGCTGACCGCAGAATACCTGGAAATGAAGGCAGCATCATGCCAGACGCATCTTCATACTACACTTCGGGCTTGGAACCGATTACAGGGGATAATCAATGATGGTGAAATTGAGCTCGATGGCACAAAGCTTGATATACCCGGAGTGGTAGCGGTGGCCCAGTAAGTCAAAAAGTCGTTATCGAGGATATATGCTCTTACTTATGACGGTAGCCATCGTTGTATACCGAAAATCACTAGGGATCCCGTGATTCTCGACAGAATCGATACAAGTATCAGGGTTTTGAAGGACCAACTTGACAATGGCTACAGTGTATATGGTTAGTGGAATGCTCAGTCGAGCATAACCACGTGGAACATGATGGACTGACATGGCGGCGCAGGAGTCAATACTGGGTTTGGCGGAAGCGCGGACTCGAGGACAGACAAGGTGGTCGCACTTCAGTCCGCACTACTACAGCTAACGCAAGCTGGTATCCTGGTGGAGTCGGACAAGGATGGCTCAACAAACTCGCAGCTCGAATCACATGCCATGCCAGCTGCATGGGTACGGGGTACTATGATAGCCCGCTGCAACTCGAATCTCCGTGGACATTCTGCCGTGAAGCTCCCTGTGCTTGAATCGATGGCTCGTCTGCTACAACACCAAATCACCCCGGTTGTTCCTTTGAGGGGCTCAATCTCTGCCTCGGGAGATCTGATGCCGCTCTCCTATATTGCTGGTACTATCGAAGGAAATCCGGATGTTTATGTTCAGGTGCAGGATGGAGATAAAACTCGGATTATGAAGTCGAGTGATGGACTACAATCCGTGGACATGGAAGCCCAGAAATTGGGACCGAAAGAAGGACTGGGGCTGATCAATGGAACTTCGACATCCGCTGCGGTTGCTAGCTTGGTGTTGTACGAGACACACCAGTTGTCTGTGCTCGTCCAGGCTCTCTCTGCCATGGGTGTCGAGGCTCTCACGGGGACTGCCGAGAGTTTTCACCCGTTTATCTCTGCTGTTCGACCTCACGATGGACAGATCGAGTGCGCAAATAACCTGCTTGCTTTCCTCCGGGGTTCGAAGTTGGCACAAGGTCTAGAGACTCAGAGAGTTCAAGACCGTCCAGGATTGATTCAAGATCGCTATGCTTGGCGCTGTGTGCCGCAATGGGTGGGACCTCAGCTGGAAGATCTACTTCTAGCTCATCGGCAAGTCACTGTTGAGCTCAACTCGACCTGTGACAATCCGCTTGTGGATGTGAAGACAAACAGTGTCTTCTCTGGTGGCAATTTCCAGGCAGTTTCGATCACCTCGGCCATGGAGAAAACCCGATTGTGCTTGCAGATGTTTGGTCGATTAATCTTCTCCCAAGCAACAGAGATGATTGATCCCAGCCTAAACAATGGCCTTCCAACCAATCTTGTTGCAGATGACCCAAGCTTGTCGTTCACTATGAAGGGAGTGGACATTAGCATGGCATCATATATGGCAGAGCTGGGCTATCTCTCGAACCCCGTCAGCTCGCACGTTCAGTCAGCAGAGATGCGCAACCAAGCCATTAACTCTATGGCTTTGGTGTCTGCTCGGTACAGCATGCAAGCTGTCGAGATTCTATCTCTCATGTGCGCCTGTGACCTATACATTGCATGCCAAGCTCTGGACCTTCGCGCCCTTCATCTCGCTTTTCTAGAGCAAGCGAAGGTACAACTTCATGCCGTCACATCGAACATATTCTCGACATACCTCTCCGAGTTAGAGCTAGCGGCCTTGGACAATACCCTCAACAATTACTTGACGGAAGCATGGCCGACAACCAACCGTCTCAGTCCTTTCGACCGGGTGCACTCGGTGATTGATAACGCTCTCTCAGTACTCCTTGAGAAGCTCAAGCACCACAGCGGCCCTAGACTGGGAGATCTGGAGGCATGGAAAAGCCAAGCACAGGACGCGTTGAACAATGCGTACCAAGAAACCGCAGCTGCATTTTTCTCGAAGCAACATACTGTGAACCTGCTTGGTGAGGGCTCTAAGGTTTTGTATGAAACAGTACGACAAGAGCTAGGTGTTCCTTTCCACCAGGGCTTCGTTGAACATCCCACCATCGACAGCGAGACTCACAACGGCCGTGCCAAAAAGACCATCGGCTCGTGGATATCAATTATATACGAGGCGATTCGAGACGGGCGTCTCATGAATCCATTATTGCAGTCGCTGAGCTCTACTGCCATTGATGAGTTGGATGTAAGCGTAGATTGGAGAGAGACTCCGACCCCTGCTTCTTCTGGAAACGGGCTGGACTGAATTCATTGCGATTGCCTGGAGCGATGCTTGGATAAAGGGGAGCAATGACTTTTCTGTGTTTATTTTATTCACGTACCTAATTCTAGTTAGTCCCTTTCAATACACGGATAATGCTTAATGCTTTGGGATGGCATTTTCAATCTAGTCCTTGTGTTTTTGCTTGTCTGCCAGGAAATGAGCACATTTTGACCATAGTGCAAGCCTCACACCAGGGCGACACAACCCTCTAGTCGCAATGTATTCACTTCACAAGAAAAGAATTTTCTGTTCCCCTTCTCTTATTTTTCTTTTTCTTCCTAACTTTCCCTGCTTCTTTCCTCCCCATCTTCATCACCTGCCATCCTCCACGTGACTCCTTGAACCCTACCTATACAACCTCACCTTCTTTAACCACATTGCAGATAAAAGGAATCAATCTGCCTCTTAAGCCCTTTAAACCATTTCAATTAATTAGAATCTACCCTCCCGGAGTTTCCAGAATGCCACTCAAAAGAAAAAGACCCCCCTCCCTGCCCCTCCGCACCCTCGCCTCAACTCGCTCTAGACGGTCCATCACGCTTCGTCAGAATGCATCGCCTGTTGCTACTCCCGATCGAAATAATGCCCAGTCTGAGACTGAAGCCGTGGAGTTTAAAGCTGAGGAGAGAGCCAAAGACGGAGAGGATCTTCCTGGTGTTGAGGTGCGACCGAGACGTATCGTGACGCTGCACCTTACTAGATCGCGGGCTGCTGCTTCTGCTACCGTTCCTCTGGAATCAGCTGTGCACGGCACTTCAGATGAGAAAGGTGATGAGAGCGATGAAGAGACTTCAAGGCCTGCCAAGCGTTCTAGGCGGTCTTTGGCTGCTGTTGAAGTTCAGATTCAAACCAGATTCGAAGCTGAAACTGGAGCTGAGCGCCAGACTCAGGAGGATTCGTCTGTCACTGATATAACCACCGACACCCCATCTGCCGATGATGCTTACTCTGAACGAGGAAGCATTCGAACTGCACAGAGTTCTCCAATGCCAGTCACTCAAGCAAGGCCAAGAGCAAGATCGATCCCCCGCGCTTCCCGATCAAGGCCAGCTACCGCCAGGTCCAGGTACAGGCCTAGAGGCAGACCTAGGACGCAGCGCACATGCACATCTACCGCTATGGCCTCCACTACCTCCTCTAACTCTACCCTGACCGCCAACTCCAATGTCACTGAGTCTGCAATCGACCTTGATGTCCCCGAGATAGCCCGCTCGCAGCCCTACTCGGGCGCCATGAGGGCTCGGACGCAACTTGCCTTGAGTCTCCCGCCCTTGTACAAGCTTAGTGATATCTACAAGTCTCTTGCGGACAAAGCCATTAACTTGGGGCTTGATGAGGTCTTGGAGTATTTGGGGGAGAGGCCCTTGAGGGTTGTCACAGTTTGTTCGGGGACTGAGGCGCCGTTGCTGGCGTTGGAGATGGTCAAGGATAGTGAGTACCCACCATTTCTTTACCTCTACTTCTACTTACATTGTGTCTTATTCTGAGGCGTGTACTTGCTAACATATGCTCTAGATCTGCGGAAACATTCCAATAAGAACTTGAACTTCAAACACCTGTTCAGCGCCGAGATTGTTCCCTTCAAGCAGGCGTATATTGAGCGAAACTTTCACCCCCCTCTTCTCTTTCGAGATGTGGCTGAGCTCAAGGATAGAGTTGCGTATGTTTCCCGATCCCTCTTATGCTTTCCTGACTTATGGTCTCGCATCGTATGTATAGATCGCACTGCTAACCAACAAAGCCAAACCGCGTATGGCGCCACCGAGAAGATTCCCAAAAATGCAGACATTCTCATCGCCGGCTTCGCGTGCGTCGACTTTTCCGTGCTGAACAACCACCGCAAGACCCTCGACGAAAAGGGCGAGTCGGGCGGCACGTTTTGGGGAATCATCCGATACGCAATGACGTACAGGCCTCGTCTCGTTATCCTAGAGAACGTGAAATCTGCCCCGTGGGAAAAGATCACGAAACACTGGAATGAGATTGACTACTTTGCTATTCGCGCAGACGTCGACACAAAAGCATACTACCTCCCGCAGACCCGCGAGCGAGTGTACATGTTCTGCGTCGACAAGCGGCTCATGGATGGGAATGGGCTTTCGGAAGAAGATATGCGAGCATGGACCGAAGTGTTGGCAAAGTTCAAGCGTCCCGCAAGCTCGCCTGCTGGTATGTTTTTGATGGATGTAGATGACAGGAGACTCGAGCAGATTGAGCGCGACATGGCGATGAAGATTGCCTCGTCGGCGTCGTCTGCGAGGGCTACAGTTAACTGGGCCAAGTATCAGGTTAGGCATCAGAACTATCGACTTAGCCAGGGCCTTGGACATCGTCGGCCCGTTAGCAAGTCTCAGGATGATGGAACTTGTCGGATGCCGGACTTCGCGTGGCAAACCTGGGTTAAATCGTTGCCGGAGCGGGTCTGGGACACGATTGATGTCAACTTTTTGAGGAAGCTGGCGGAGGGATGTGATATGAACTACAAAGAGTATGACCTCCCTCTTTGCTTATCTTCATTTACTGAATAGCTGCTTACTTATTTAGGAGATGCCTGGAGCTATCGCAAGGGATCGATCGCGAGATTGATTCTCGCGCCTATGGTATTGTTGGTTGTATTACACCCTGTGGCATCCCATATATGACGACCAGGGGCGGGCCTCTTTGCGGTCTTGAGTCTCTTGGTCTACAAGGCCTACCGCTAGACAGGCTTTTGTTAACGCAAGAGACTCAGCGCGAACTCCAAGACCTCGCTGGAAACGCGATGAGCTCTCCTGTCGTCGGCGCTGCAATCCTTTCTGCACTCATCGTCGGCCATAAGGTTCTCAAAAAGGGAAATGTAGCTCATGCAGCAAATCCTCGCGCACTCAAACACAAGATCATAACTCCCCAAGAGAACACCATGATACCGAGCCCCATGTTGCTAGACTCAAGCACTGCTGTTGATCTCCCAAATCTCCGTGTGCGAGCAGCGAGCAGCGCGAGATATTGCATGTGCGAAAGACAGAGTTCGACGCGAGCAGTGATATTGAAGTGTACACTATGCTCGCACACAGCGTGCTCCGAGTGCAGTGGTAACCCCACTCATGCTTATGAACGCTGGACTGACTTGGAACGCTCCGCGCCCTTTGATTTCATCAGTGAGCTTCGGAGCATCTTGCCGGCAAGGCTTTTGGTACACAACTTATCTCGCGAAGAATGGAAGGCAACAGAATTGGATCATCCTGGTATACCGCATATCTGGGACGACTTTTGGGACGCACTACTTAGAGTGCCTGGTGATGAACTGCGCTTTTTGGATGTCAAACGAGGTGAAGTTTGGACTGCTGTATACGGCGGCAAGTATTCTTTTTTGAACCTCGTCATTGGACGGGATGATATTGTTTGGCAGCTTTTTGCAAAGCCACATGAGTCGTATCCTGCTATTAGTCTGATCCGCGAGATTTTGTCAAAGCCGATTGCCCGTATGAAGGTGCCGCAAGTTGGATCACTTTTGGAAGGCACTTGGGAAATCTGTTCACCCATTAGCACGCCAACCCCTTTTGCTATTTCTGGAAGCGGCGACCGGGTTCCTTCCTACGAGGCAAGATGCGGATTAGAATTGGGAGGATTTCAGGATTCAAAAGTTTGGACTCACATCACAGTTCAGGGCCCCTTGGAATCGATCAAGTACTTGGAGTTTGACATCCGGGGTACCTATGAGCTTCTTCAGGATTGTGGCACAGCTAACGCCTGTCTTCACAAGAGGCCAGCAGCCAGCGGGCAGCCGGCTATGTACCTGTTCTTGGATCCGACCAAGCTGGGAGAGCCGAAGCTTGATGCGTTTGTCTTTTCCCTTGAGCATCGACGCAACCAGGGTTATGGGAGCCGTTCAACCATTGCTGAGATCACGCACACGTGGCGGTCGTCGAATGTCTCAGAGAGGTCAATTATAGTAAAAGTTTATCATCGGAAGTGGTTGCCTGTCGAAGATGCCACTCTGCGCTGCTATGGTGGCGATGTTGACGAGCCGATTAGGTGCTACAATTTGGACCCCGATGCCTCATTTTGCATTAACAAAGATAAATGCCATGACACCAATATCACGTTGATGTCCTTTGAGGGACCGGTAGGTGTCATTGACACGCCACCTGATTCCGCCGAATGGACTGTCACAGACCCAACAGATGCCTCTGGCCTGTTGCGAGACCATGCATGGCTGTTGCAGAAAGCCGCTGCGCATTCATGGTTTGGGGACTGGAAGCAAGTTGCCCAGGATGAGCTCAAGCTGGAGCAATGCTACAGTTGCGTACCAGAAAAGCCAAAGATCATTTGGGGCCGGAATCGGAGAGGATGGCTGAGGGCATATGAAGATCCGTATGGAGCAGCTAGATACGAACGCCAGGTCAAACTGCGACCTCCGCCATTTTTGATATGCCGCCGCACTGGCGAGCAGCGTCTCGGAGATTTTCGTATCACGCTCAATATCCAAACGCTGCTGCACCAGGCTATCTCGAAACTAGTCAACTCGTGTGTCGACAGCTGTTCTCTTCATTGGCGACTTGTGCCGAACTCATATGACACAAGGAACATGGTCTTTCCTAAATTCGTCTTAAGGAACAACAAGCAGGATCTGCCAAGCTCACAGCCGCCCAGATTTCTGCTGGAACTGCGGCCAGAGCAGCTGCGTTCTCTGTCATGGATGGCAAACCAAGAAGCTGACGACATTGAGCCTTTCACTGAGGAAGAGATTGAAGAGGCGCTTTTGCCAACCCTGATGTGGCGTGCAGAAGGAAGAGTCGCCGCTTCAAAGACTGTACGAGGAGGCATCCTGGCGGACGATGTCGGTTACGGGAAAACAGCCATCGTTCTAGGGTTGATCGACTCGCAGTACGGAAAATTCAAGTTCGACACAGCTGTTTCTCTGAATGACGAAGGATTTATTCCTAGTGATGCGACCCTCATTGTTGTCCCATCTATCATGCTCCAGCAATGGCAGTCGGAAATCGCCAAATTTCTAGGAGACAAGTACAGAGTCCTCGTCTTCCCCTCCGCCGCAGCATTGGCAAAGACGACCATTGCAGACATCAGAGATTCCGACATCATTCTAGTCTCATGGTCTGTCTTCAACACCCCGGCATATTATCAACGTATGCAAAAGTTCTGTGGCGCCTCTCGTGTTCCATCGAAGCCGGGTAGATATTTTGACGACTGGTTCCTGAATGCACATCAATTGATGAAAGACCAGGTCCAGATACTGGCGGAACAAGGCCCGGCAGCTTTTCTCAACAGTTTGCGGGCCGCACGCGATAAGGTCAAACCCGTGGAAGAGGACTGTATCTATGTTCCGTCGAGACGGCTGAGAGGGAAGCAGTACGAGCTGGCACAAGGAGATAAGAATAAAGAAGCGTCGACTGGCGTATCGTATGCGGATGTGTCTAGTGATGATGAAAATTCTGAAATGAGCGATGAGGACGATCCAAACTCTCTTGCCGACAGAGTTCACAAGAACCTGGAGCTCGCACCACCGAAGTCATTTGGGATCAAACACGAAGAAGTGGAGGGGGGCTTGGACGCATACTCGACCGACGAAGACACCGAATGTGACACAATTTCATCGGAGAGATGCCACCCACGCACTCAGCAGAAAGGAAACAGCAGGAAACGGAAGTCCGGTCAAGCCACCCCAGGAAGCAAGCGCCAGAGCACTTGGAACGACAGGAAGCAGTTTAGCATAGACAAGAACGCGGAATCCCAACAATGGGAGACCCTCACAGCGGCCTTCTTCCATGCCTTCGAGTTCAATCGGCTGGTAGTCGATGAGTTCACATATGCAAACACAGACAGACTAAGCCAGTTACTTTCATTGCGGGCTCACTCCAAGTGGGTCCTCTCTGGCACGCCACCACTCAATGACTTTGCAGACGTGAACACTATTGCCCCGTTTCTAGGTGTACATCTTGGAGTTGACGATGATGGCGATATACACTCGCAGAATAGACGGCTGAAATCCCTCCATAGGCAGCGCTCTGAGGCGGAGACGTTTCAGTCTTTTCAGTCTACCCGGAGCGAAGCATGGCACAGGCGTCGACACGAGGTTGCTCAAATCTTCCTAGACCGATTTGCGCGGCGAAATGTTGCGGAGATTGACGAGATTCCGTCAACTGAGCATATCATTCTTGTCGAGCAATCGCCCGCAGAGAAGGTCGTCTATCTTGAGTTGTATAAGCAGCTGATGACATACAATCGGCAACTTCGTCGCAGCGGTGGCCGAGGGCGATTCGGCAGCGACCAGGCAGACCGGCTCGATGAGATTATCGAAAGCAGTTCAACGGCAGAAGAGGCCCTGCTGAAGCGCTGCACGTCTCTTGCGCTCCAGGGACGTTGGAATGGAGATGGCCAACCGGAAGCGGCTACCTGCCAATCCCTTATCAACGTTCGCTTGGAGCAGCTGGCGAAGCTGAAGGATGAGTTCAAAGACAGGGTCAAGTTGGCTGCCTGGGTTTACAACGCATGTGATGTGAAATATGAAAAGTTCCACAAGTTCATTGAAAGTGTGGTTCGACACGACTTTGGTGATATGCTAGTGACAGAGGAAGCGTACCCTCTCATCAAGGACGCCATCTTCAAGTCACATAGAGATGACTGGAAGCTGTTCTTCGCGAGTCTGCACGGCCATGCCAATGTCGAAATCGAAGGCGATGATGCTGAAGAGACCAGCTCTAACCAAGCCAAAAGGAAGTCGAAAGATACCCTTCCTCTGCCCATGAAACCAACGCGGGTTGGGGAGTTCGAACCGATGCTCCGAGAAGTCACAACCACGATCCGCAACCTAATAGTCGAATGGGTTCTCCGTGAGCGAGCACTGCGCTTCCTTGGAACTGCTCTGCAGGTACAGACGGGATCGCAGAAGAGCTTCCCCTGCCATCGCTGCCTGGGTCGGCCTGAATCGCTAGCCAAGATGAATATCCTCGGCTCGTGCGGCCACGCATTGTGCTCGAACTGTACGCCGATAACAATCGAAAAAGAAGAATGTGCGGTCATAGGATGCCGGGGTTCTGGAAAGAAATTCAACGTCATCAATGCCATGACCTTCAGCCCAAATGATCTGGGCGGAGACAGAAACATGGACCAGAGCTCCAGATACGGTGGCACTAAGCTCGACGCCCTCGTCAATATCATTCAAAACAGAGTTCCAGTTGATGAGCGCGTTCTCCTCTTCATCCAGTTCCCCGACTTGATGCAGATAGCATCCAAAGCACTGGACCTGGCCAGAATCAAACACATAACCATCTTCTCTACCGACCGCCAGTCAACCCAGAAGATCGAGCAATTCCAGAAGACCAGTTTCGGGGAGAACAAAGTCCTCTTGTTGAACCTGGGCAGTGAGATGGCAGCGGGACTGTAAGTTCACTCTTCATCTAGAATTTGGCCTTGGGTATTATCTAACCAAGCGTTTCATCTGAATAGAAACCTCCAATACGCGAACCATATCATCTTTCTCTCCCCCCTCCTAACCCAAACCCAATACGACTATGAGTCGTCCATGATCCAAGCTATCGGCCGATGCCGACGATACGGACAAAGCAGACACGTCCACGTTCACCATCTGCTCGCGAAGATGACGATCGATGTGAATATCTTCCAGGATAGGAGGGACAAAGTGGTTGTTGAGAGAGGTGGAGAAGCGGTCTTGGTGTCGGCTGAGGAGGCGTCGAAATCAGAGGCGATCAGCTGCCAGGGTCCGGAGCTGGTTGTTGATAATGCGTTCTGAGTGCTGAAGGGTGTCGGAGAAGTCGGAGGAGAACTAAGATTTGTATTGTATGTAAGAGTAGATGGGAATAACTCTGCGGAAACTGTGTCATTTGAGCATCAATAGATTCAATTCAATGTTCAATATGAAAGGATAAAGTGCATTGGGTACTAAACCTTCTATCGAAGCTCCTGGTCTTGGTATCTTCTCTTCTCTTCTTTGCGTACAAGCAAGACCAGAACCAACATACTATACATACATAACCGGCACCCTGTAGCCTCGTCCGTCAACCAGCTCAGGATGGGAAGACGGGGAGAGGAAAAACGTGACAAAGGCGGAAAATAAACGGAACCAACACCGAACAACGACATGGAAGCTATATTCTCTCTTTTCTCTTGCCTATTATTCGAAATAAATCGTCTATTGCGCAGCCTGCGCCGCCTCGCCATCCAACGCCCCATCCTTCCTCATCATCGTCGCGGGATCCCAAACGGGGTTCTTCAGACTGGTAAGACCAGCGCTGTTCTCGCACGTATCTCTTCCGCTGAGTGGCCCGGGGGCAGGGATCTTGACTGGGCCAGAGGTAGCGGTCACGGACTCCTTGAGCGCGGTGAGAAGGGTCTTGATGGACTCCGGGGTGAGATCCTCGTAGTAGTCGTCGTTGATCTGGACCATGGGCGCGTTGACGCAGGCGCCTAGGCACTCGACTTCGATGAATGTGAACAGGCCGTCTTCGGTTGTGTGGCCCGGGGTGATGCCGAGGTGTTCTGTGATGGCTTGGACGATCTTGTCGCTGCCGCAGCCGCCGAGTTGGCAGGGTGTCTATACACATGTATCCTGTTAGTTTCCAAATACCCAAGCAAATTCCATATTTTCTTCTGTATGGGGGTATGTCATACCGTCGTGCAAAGCTGAACAAAGAACTTCCCAACAGGGTCGCGGTTATACATTGTGTAAAAAGTAGCAACCTCGTAGACGCGCATCGGGGGCATCTCGAGCAGGCGGGCGACCTCGTTCATGACACTGATGCTGGTGAAGCCGTGTTGGCGCTGGCCCAGGTCCAGCAGGGGCATGACGGCGGCCTTTTTGTATTGCGGCGGGTAGCGGGCGATAATCTCTTCGATGAGCTGGTTGTTCTGTTCGGAGAACTTGAAGGGGATCGAGGGGTTGTTTTGGGGGGTGTTGCGGTGCTGTGCGGTTCGGATTTGTTAGCATTCCTCTCGATATGTGTCCAATTGTTCGATTTGCAACATGCAATTGGCGATGGCACAGCGAGAATCGTTGACGTACCACGTGGAGAGTATCGCTGAACCGTTGCGGACCGGCGGAAAAGGGTCTGAATTGGGGCTTGGGGACATGGCGAGTCAATTGGCGGGTGGCCCGTGGGAGGGCGGGGAAGAATTTGGAAGCCATTACCGGCGGCGCGAGGAGGGGGGTATGAGAGGGGTGAGGTTGGGATAAGACGTTAATTTGAGGATGCGTTTGATGAAGTTCGAGGCCGAAGTTGGTGACCGTCCGGCTTTGCGGGTGCTGGTAAGTGACCAATCAGAGGGCGGAGATTACAAGCTCCGCCCAATGTGCTTATAAAAGCGTCTTTCCACCTTGACGGCTTCCACTTATTGAACTTCATCTTTCGATACTCTGCATTATTGAATTTGTTGAATTCTTCTGGAAGATGAGAGTTGTGCCTTCTAATGGATTGGCTCCGACAGCGAAGATTGAGCGTAATGCTACAGTTTTTGAATGGGTATCATGCCCTGAATTGTGGAATGCCACTGTTTATGTCTAGGCCCAGCATCACGGAGACTATATACACAGTAAACCGACTATAAAAGCCCCTTATACTTCTCAACACATCCTTCAATCTCACCTAGCAGTTCTCTCTTCCTTTCCTCACCGATCCAGCTTCCCTGTACACTATTCACCGCAATCAGCTTCCATTCCTCAACACTGAGGTTAAAAGCCTCCTGCACAGCACAATAGCACTCGAGGATATACGCCCCAAAGTACGCCGGATCATCACTGTTGATGCTGAATTTCACCCCAGCGTCCAGGAACTTCCGGATCGGCATCTGGTCGATCCTCTCCACGCCCTTCAGCTGCACATTCGACACAGGACACACAGTGAGCAAGATGCCCCGTTCCGCAACCTGCTTCATAAGTTTCGGGTCTTCAGCAAGCCTCACACCGTGATCGATCCTCGTTGCGCCGATCTCCAACGCCGCAGCGATATACGAGGCGTCACCCTCTTCACCCGCGTGCGAGGTAAGGTTGATCCCCTTCGCCGAGGCAGAGGCATAAATGTCTCTAAACATATCCTTCGGGGGCCCAACCTCCGTAGAAGAAGCCCCCAACCCATGGATAACACTCCCACCATCCTGACTCCCCACCTGCGGCGTTAAATGCCCAGCGTCAAGAGCAGTAGCATACAGCTTCTCCGCGGACTCAACGGACAAATGCTTCAAGAAGCACATAATCAGCCTTGTGCTGATCCCCAACTCCCTCTCTGCCCGCTTACACCCTGCCACATACCCATCCACGATCGTAGCATAGGGCACGCCGCGGTCCTGGTGGACCTGCGGGTCGAAGAAGACCTCTGCGTGGCGGACGCCGTCGGCGTGCGCCTTTTGAAAGTAGGACCAGGCGAGTTCTGTGAAGTCGGATTCTGTTAGGAGCACGGTCATTCCTATGAAGTAGAAGCTGAGGAAGTCATCTAGAGATGTGAAGTGGCCGTAGCGGTGGGATAGGGTGTCTATCGAGGCGTAGGCGGGGTTCTCGGAGGGTTCGGGGAGCGGGATGTTGTTTTTGGTGGCGAGGGAGAAGATCAGAGAGGGGGTAAGACAGCCCTCGAGATGGACGTGGTGTTCACATTTTGGGAGTGAGGCGAGGAAAGTGTGCCAGTTGGGATCAAGATGTGTGTGGCACATTGTGGGTGGACTTCGTGGGGGTATCAGAGAGTATTAGAGAGGCGAAAGGGGTTGTGCAAAACTGGAAAAGGATATATACAAGTATGGACTTTGAACTTTATATGGCCGATGAAAGGTCCACGTGCTGTGCAGCTACTCCGCATAGATAAGCCTCCGACGCGTACCTGAATAATCCGAGTTCAACCTTGGAAAATACGTAAGTGCGAGAGTTTGACAGCCAACGGACCAATAACCAGGCCCCCTGATCCCTCGAGGCGTCGCCGTGAGTCAAAAAATTAGTGACAGTGACTCAGATATTGGGCTTTGATATACGAGAAGATTGATAACCGTGGGTCTTATAGTTTCCACAATTTATCTTCAGCGGAGGATGCCGACGGAGAGCGCCTGGAGATCCACCATCAACGGAAATTCATGAACTTCGTAAAATAAGACTCGGTCTACAATAGCATCGCCGGAAATCTGATAATCTAATCTAAACCTTGAAAGTTGACCCAGCAGCCTTCCTTAGCCGATTCATAACGGCTGCAGATAGAAACTCGTGGTCTGTCACGCCCTCGACATAAATCACATCTACCTCCTTTTCATCCATTGCCCGTAGAGAGGCGAACAGGTTCCGTGCGACGTCTTTGATTTCTGAGCCCAGATGGCAGTCGAAGACCTCCTTGGTCTTGCCGCCGACGGGGACGGAGAACTCGATAAGGCTGTCCACGAGTGACGGGACGGGTCTGGACTTGGTGTCGAGTTCATCCACTGGTAAGAGCTGCAGACCACGCTGCCATGTCCGCGTTCGCACGATACCGATAGAATGTGCGCCGACGGCTGTATCTTCTAAGTCGCGCTTGATATGCTTCACCACGGCCTGCGGCCCTGACCCGTATTCGAATAGGACAACTCTTGCCTTGGGAGAATAGTGGCGATATTTCATGCCCGGCGCGCGAGGAATCTCTTTGACATCATATGTTCCATCATGGTACCCAAGTTGTACGGTTTCCCACCCAGGGCACGTTTGTATTTCCTCGATCGAGACACCACCGGGTCTCAGGATGCTTGGCGGATGGGACAGCCCATCCACGACTGTGCTCTCAACACCGACTCCGCACGGTCCTCCATCGAGAATCAGCTCAATACGGCCCTTGAGATCATGGTGTACGTGCTCCGCTGCAGTAGGCGACGGCTTCGTAGACGCATTCGCCGAAGGCGCCGCCAACGGCCGGTCCGCAACATGAATCAATAGCCGAGCCAGAGGCGAAGAGGGCATGCGGACGCCAAACGTCGTAAGATTCGAAGTAACCTCAGGCGCAAGACAAGATCCCGAGGGGTTCGGGAGGAGAATAGTCAACGGGCCTGGCCAGAAGCGCTCAATCAAGGGCTCATAGATCGAGGGAACAGAGTTCCTTGTCGTCTTTCCACCGCGCGGAGAGTCGATCGCCGGGTTGAGTAGTCGATCTAGCATCTCCAGCGAGTCAATGTGCACAATAAGCGGGTTATCCGACGGCCTCTGCTTCGCCTTGTATATTCCCTGTACCGCATCGCTCCGCGTCGCATCCGCGCCTAAACCGTACACTGTCTCTGTGGGAAATGCAACGGGTATATCGGTCGTCTGCAGAAGCTGCGCAGCTTCCGCAATGGCCGCTGCCTCTGGCGTGTTCTGACTCTGTTCACTGGCCCACCACTCTGCGAGAGATTTGTCCCCTGGTCCATCCTGATTGAGACGGATGGCCGGTGCGATTCGCGTTGATTCTTTGGGCGTCATTGTGGCTGCGGTAACACTAGAAACGGGCCTTGTAAAGCTGCGCGGGGAGCCGCGAGCAGCGAGGCGTCGCAAAAAGGGGAGCAGATTGACTGCTTGCCCGCAATGGAGGGGTGGTAGTCGTGGACTAAGTATACAGGCGTGTGTATGACTTATGAGTCAACGCTGGAGGTGGAGTTTCCCAGGACAGGGGGCCCGATGGAGCAAGATACTGTATTTTTGGGTTAGCTTGGAGATTGACAGCGGCTACGCGGTTTTCTTGAATCCACAACTTACTGGGCCAACACACTGCGGCGTCGACGGAGAAGATGAAGCACTTGACGATCGTCTGGAAAATCTTGCGATGACGTCGACTGCATGACTAAGCGGTGGACACAGCATCGAGGAAAGACGACAACATTTTGAGGCTTGATAAGGAATCTGGATGAGATTGGCTTAGGGATGATGAGGCTACGCAATATTTGTGAATCGGGTGAGATCATTGTGAGCTCCTCCGTTGAATGGTTGAATGGTGTGTGGTGGTATTCGCATACAGATAGATCTATCTAGCATCTAGAAGATATACTTCTGGCAAGACATGCTGTCTCATCATGCAAAGCTAAGTGTAGCTTAGCCTCGATAGGCTACATGTCTTATTTCTTCTTTCCTCCCTTCCCTCCTTTGTTGCCGCTTCCACCCTTTCCTTTACCCTTGTCGCCGCCCCCTCCGCCACCAGCACCGATCATGATCCGCACTTTGCTGACCGGGACCGTGTTGATGATCTCAGTATCTTTCCAGCCCTTGAGAAGTTCTCCTTCCCGTGCCCGGAGTTTCTCTGCAGCGCTGCGACTGATCCCTGCATCTTCGGCGTGCTCCTTCTTGACCTTGCCCGTTGTCGTCTCGGCCACCCATCGCCCGAGGATCTCCTTGACAGCCTTTCCCTTCTTGACTGCGCCTGGCTGCAGCTTGACGCGATACTTGTATCGCCCGAGTGAAGACCAAGGCGCGCATACGGGGATAGCCGCTAGAATCTCATCATCCGGATGAGGCGTCCCAACCAGCGCAGGTAACCATTCAAGGTCCGCGGCCTCGGCGGCAGCGGTTTCTTCGTCGTAGTCATCGCCGCCCTCTTCAAACCGGGCTTGACGCTTCTTCTCCGCTTGAGCGGCACGTTCATGTTGCGCCTTGCGGCGCTTCTTCTGTTCCTCCGCTTCCTTTTCACGTTTGGCCTTTGCTTCGGCTTCCGCAGCAGCTTTTTTCGCCTTGACGCTGCTTGCTCCCAGAAGGCGGAGAGCTAGCTCTCGTTCCTCCTCGTCTTGGTCAGCATACTTGGAGGCGGCTTTCTTTGACTTTCCTTTACGGCCACGGACGGGCAGAGGGGTAGACTTTGTCTCTGCGGACTTTGTTGTGCCGTTAGTAACTGGTGTCGAGCGCCCGCTTGCCTCTTCTGACTTTGGAGTCGGCGTGTCAAGAGGCTTCCCTTGTCGTAGCAGGCGCCGTTCTCTTGCCGAAAGATGACGCTTTCCCTGCGCTTGTGAGGAGGTCACACTTTCGGTGTCATCCAACGTAGGCTGCTCATCTTCTGGCATGTCCTTCTGACTCGAGTCTTCCGCAACCTGCTGGGCCTCGCTTTGCTCTTCTGTTTCTTGAGTAGGTTCTCCAACTGATTCCGTTTCACTGTCATCTTTTTCGTTTGTAGTTGCTACCGGAGAAGCAGCTGATCCAGGTTGCAATGGGTTCGTTGTGGAGTTTACATCACGGCTCTCTTGCTCGTCTTCAGACTCTGAAGCCTCTGCTTGTTCTTCCACTTCAGCCTGCTGGGGAGCCTCAGCAGGTTCGGTAGGCGCGGCCTCTTCCGAGCCCTTCGCATCTTCCAGAACCGGCTGACCCGTCTCCGCTGCCTGTTGAGCAGGAGTAGATGCCTCGTATCCATAGATCTTGTGGTTCGGAAGACTCTCTTTGCTCACCTGAAACATGACCGCAAAGCCGAGAACAAGCTGCGAAGGAGCAAGGAAATTCTTCTCACCCTTGATGAGGAACTCACCGACAGGCAAAAGATCACCTGCTTCAGCAGTCTTGGATACCTGGCTCGCGTCTACCCAATACGCAGACATGATCGCTTTCGAATCCCAGGCAGTTGACGTGGCGAGGCACAGGTTACCTGCCTGTGAAAGGGTGGTAGGGGAAATGGAGGAACTGGAGGCACCGCCTCTGTTCTTCACAATGATTGGTGTGGCCCCTTCAAGGTCGGCATGGATGAAAATGTCTCCTTTTCGTAGGTGGCGGCGGTAGAGAAGCTCGCTTTGCATTGCATCGCGTCCACTGCACTGGTTAGCATACCATATACTGACTAAGAGCGCACATGTACTTACCCGAGTACTAGGTAGCCCTCGGAGGAGATGAAGAAAAGGAATTTCTCAAACCAAAATGGATTTCTGGACGGTCGTAAGACCTGCTTCTCCTGCTTCAGATTACGCTTGAGATCGTCCTTTACCTTCCTTTCGTGGCTCTTAAGCGCCTTTGCAGAGGACTGCGTTGTTCTTTCGGCTTTGACGGCAGCCACTCTCTTCTGGTCGTAGTACTGGGTCGCATTCGCCCATGGTGACTGACCGAGATCGATGTCTATTGTCAAGGCTTCAGAGCTTCGCTGTGTGTTTGTCTGTTCCTCCTCTTCCTCATCCTCGGATTCATCCGACTCGTCGCTCGAGAAGAGTTCCTCTTCCTCATCTCCTTCATCCCCGGCCTCTCTGAGCAGTAACGTGATGGTGTTCTCGTATAGTTTCAATGGTAGCTTGATGATTCTTGCGACAGGATTGCCCCTGCTCTGTTCCATCTCAATCAAGCGCGCAATCTCAACCCAGTCCATACCTTGAGCAATCAAGCCGTTCACGGCATCCATGGCCTCTTGAACACGATATACATTGTCCTGAATGGCGCTGGCTTTCCGAATATGCAAGTCCTGCGCCTGCTCAAGGGCGCCAATGCGTTTCTGATGTTCTTGTCTCAGTGAGTCGAGTTTCTTCTTCGCAACCTCTTCCCGCTCCGTCAACCGAGATTCTAGCTTCTGGGACTCGATAGACGAGAAATACTCGTCGACTGTCGCATTCATGGACGGAAACTCCAGGATAGTGAACCCTTCCTTTCCCTCAAACTGCCGAGGCTTGAAGGGATGAAAATCCTCATAGAGCAAACCAGGCTTCGCGGGTGTAGCCTCCTGAGACTCTGGATCCGGCGCCGTCGGACGAGTATCCTCCTTTGCGACGATAAATCCAGGATGGCTCTTATCCGCCGACAAGTCGTCGGTTACACTTCGCGCCTCCTCCAAAACACCCCTCACAACCTCCAAGAGGCCCTCATCCCCCAGAACTTGATCTAACGGGGTCGCCGGATCCGCCCCTCTGACCGCAAAAGCATGATCCAGCAAAAGCGGCGGATACTCTGGAAACCCCTGCGAAAGCGCCTTGCGCAGCACATCCGTATTCTTCTTCTTGGACTTCTTTGGCGCGTTTCCCTCCTGCGCAAAAAGCGCCTTCGCCTTCTCCAGCGTTTCGCGAATGCGCTCGTCCGTGATATCTGGCACTCCGTCGTAGTTCTGCTTATTCGTCAACGTGTACTTCAGCCCGACTTTCGCCTCGTCGAATCCTTCGCCGCCCGGTACCTGGCGGAGAAGCGCAATGATTGTGTAGTCGCGGTCGGTGATGATGATGTTGCCGCTCGCGAAGAACTCGAGCAGCATGTGGTACATGCCATCGCTGAAACTGTAGTCGATGATGCGGTCCGTGCCGATCTGCGTAATGGACGTGATGCGTCGGGACTTGAGGCATTTGCGCATGCGGCTTACGAAGGTGGAGGGGCTCGTTGCTGTTGCTCGTGAGTATTGAGTCACATGGCAGCGGAAACCGGAGTCAACGATGAGTTGTTTGCGGTGGTCGGGTTTTGCGAGTTTGAAGAGGAAGATTCTCTAGAGAGGCCATTGATTGTTTATTATATTGATCTGCAAAAGCGAACAGACGGTAAGCCGCATAAACGTACCGTTGACAAGTCGTAAATGTTCGAGACACGCAGGCCGACTAGCTCTGAGGCCAGTTCCCGAGCGATAACCTGGAATTCGGAGTGTTAGGGAGCGGCAGGCCGGGTCAATCTCGCTGGCGGCATACCTGGACATCCAGCGAAGAGTACCTCTGCTTCATATTGTCGATCGTTGCTCTCGTTCTCTCAAGAGAAACCGTGTCGTGGAGAAGATGACCTTGACAAAGAGTTTTGCGCAGGTCCGGACATTCTTAGGGCGTGACGTATGCGGGGCAGTTTCCCACTCACTATGAATCATATCCTTAGCACTTTATTAAGGGCATCTTGACTATTTTGGAGCCCGACTGTCAGCCTCGAGGGCGGAATACTATCGGTGACTCAGGTTAATTAATGTGTTTGTTATTGGTATACCGCACTAGGAGAGTGTATATCCCCTGAGCTTTTGCTTTACCCCAGCCAAAGTCCACTGCAAAACAAATCGGAGTATATCTATAGAGTTCGCACTCAGGAACGAAGCAAAAGAAGAAGTAATCAAGGATATGAATATCACCCATGAATCAATGAGCAACAACCACATGACCGCGCCAAACCCAACCAGATCGCATAAAAGTAAAATAAAATAGAACGTTCAAATGCAGTATTCATGCAGGTATAAAGCCTTCGTAGCAGATCACGCTTTTCCTCTCCCTCTACATTTGCCGCAATCCCTCCGCCAGGCGCCGTTTTCCAAGCTCCCAGGCGTTGAGGAGACCTTGTTCGGAGAGGTCGATGCTCTTCAGGTTCGGTGCATCGGGAGCAGGCGCGCGGCTGACGCGAGAGGCAATCAGAACGGGATCGGTCTCAAGAATAATACCGTCGTCAATGATCTCGTCGATGGCCAAGGCGACTAGGTCGTAGTTCTCGACGATTGTGCGTTTATCCGTAGCGCCCCTGTAATTTCTCATATTAGCCGATCTGCAACTAATCTTCGTTCCTGGATAGAAGGTACGTACTTGAACAGTATCCCCAAAGCATCCCTCAGCGAAAGAACAACATTGTAGAGCAGGACTTCATTCTCCTCAGCGCCGCCAACCACGTAAAGCATCACATCGCTCTCAAGCTTGAATACGACAATCCGGTTGTCGTACAAAATCACATCGCTTGTCTGCTTGTTGGTCTTCTCTAAAAGCCCCTTCTCGAACGCCTTCTGCTCTTTGAGGGTGGGATAGGGGTTCGCTCCGGGGTAGTCGGTGGAATTAGGCGCAACGCCGGCCGGGGTGTGAGGTGGGGAGTAGTACTTTGCGAAGATGCGAGAGCCGTCGTCGGCCGACATTACAAGGACGGCATTGACGGAGAAAAGCGAGAGGGACCCCATTTTGAACAATTGCTGCCGAATGACGGGATGGCGAGTGAATTGAGTGGCTGTTTGAGAGGCTCCTCCGGTTTATTGTCAAGCTGTCCGCAATCCAGGAGCCGCACTAATGTTGTTCCGGCTATACTCACTCAGTATTAGCGCAAACTGAGCTGGACGAACTCGCTCGTAGCTTTCAACTTCAGAACTTCAGGAGTATGTTGAATATTCCTTGACGCTAGACTTATCTAGCACCATAATTATCAGATTATTCGGGATTTATAGTACTGTAAAGTGTTATATGGAAAGTTCGGGGCTTGTGCTGCTATGAGTCTTTCAAAGTACCACGCAGCGGAGTAAATATTAATCAGTATGTTCATCGCATAAATAATTGCATAAATAGGGAATGCCATCATCGAGATATTGGCCAAGTAAACTGGAAAAGCATGGCCATCATGAACAGCGTAAATATAAACAGGACTAGGGTATACATGATGACATAGCGACAGTTCAGTTACAAGCATATTCCAGAACTCAACAGGTGCATTCCTGTTCCCAAGAATAGAGATAGTATAGGAGATGGGTCATGAGACAAAAGAGGAAAGCATAGTCAACATATAGAGTAAGGAAGTCATTAATATAGGATCTTAACCGGATCCAGGCGGGGGCGCGTCGCTCGAACCCGGGCGATTGAACCAGGAGATCCAGCTGCCTCTGTTCGCTTTCTTCCGGGCAGCTTCGTCTTCCTCGGCGGACTTTGTCTCACTAACCAGGCGTAACGGTCGTAATTTGCTTTGAGTCATGACCGCTCCTGTGTAGTTTGTCATACCGTTACTCGAGCGTGGAGAGTTTGAAGTCGCACCAGTAGACGCTGTGTCACCAGGTGGGTCACTTGAAACACTGCCCGAGCTGCTTAAATGGCCACGCTCTGGCTGACTGGAGAGCGAGGGGGCACGACTGCTAGTCGATACACCCCCTGGCATATAGTTTGCTCCAGTGAAAGCACTCCGTCCGCCGGGTCCCATCACAGTGGGACTCATAGGGCCGCCAGAGTTGCGGCCACGGTACATCTGACCGACAACTGCCGCTGCAGCCAGATCCGCTTGTTCGGACCTTGTTCGGCGATGCCCGGTTCGTACTGACTGAGCACGATTGATAGGGATACTAGGCGCGGTTTCTGGATTCTCGTGTGCGTTGGGCGCGGGGGGCGGAGGCATCATACTGACAGGACGTGACCGCGGCTGAGGTCGATTCGCCTGACCCGAAACAACCGACTTGGCTCTTTGCAGGAAGGTCTGGTTCGCATCATCCTTCTCTGGTGGAGTTGGTGGAAGGTCCTTGTCGTTGCCGGCGGATTTGCCAGGTGTTGCCGATTCGTTCTCATTCTTATCGAGAATATGCTCAAAGCCCTCATGCTGGAGTAAGCGACTGATGATACGCTCAATGTATAACGTCAGAGCCTTATTCTGGTCCTTCAGCGCCTTCAGTTCGCCTTCGAGCCTGCGGTTGTCGTCTGATTCAGGCTGGGCATCCGCAGATTCCAGCTCATCGGCCAGAGAGCCTAGCCCACCGCCAGTCTCTTTCGACTCCAGAGACTCGGGATGAGCTTCGCGCATGAAGTCACCCTTGGTGAAATCCCCGTTCAGGGTCCTTTCGCTCAGAAGCAACTGGTAGCTCTCGTTGTCCTCCATTAGACGAGCGTTCGCCATGCGCGCCTCGAGGAGTTCCTTTTCAAGCTCTCGCTGGCGGCCTCCTCCTTTGTTCTCCATCTCCACAAGCTTGATTTGGGACTCAGCCAACTCTAGTCGCAAGGACTCGATAAGCTTATCCTTCTGCAGAAGTAGTTTAGAGTTGTTCCGCGATGGGCTCCGTTCGATTTGAGATGACGGCGCAAACTGTCCGTCAATATCTGGAGAGGCTCGGTTGCGGAAGCTGGCTGCAAAATAATTAGTTCATCACCATGCAATCGCCAGATTGTTCTAGGGTCCTCACAAGAGCGAGACACATTCTTGTCGTTCTCAGCGCTGATGCGCATGTCTTTCTGGGCTACTGCCTCCTTCAGGCGCTGGATAGTGGCCTGCATTTCTTCTTCCCGACTAGCTTGCTGTTCCTTCTCTTGTAACATCGCATTCCGCTCCAATTCATGAGCCTGCTCCAAGTCGCGGATCTGTCGGACATGATCACGAATTTCGCCATTGAGCGCCTCGATTTTGCTGTCCCTTTCGTGACCTTGATCTTCAAGTTTTGTTTGCTCACTAACCGCTTCGTCAAGACGCATTTGCAAGACGCCGAGTTGCTTCTGGTACTGCTCGGAGGCGGTTTCGGCTTTCTGCAGCTGCTCCTTCAAGTCTTCAATGAGCGCCGCATTCTGCGCGCGAGCCTCTTCCTCCGACGGGTCAGCCGCAATCTTGGGGACGCTCGACATGCTTAGGTTCGATCGACCGGGTTTTCGGGCTGCTGCGCGTGCGGACACTGGAGCGGAGCCTCGGAGAGACGGAGTCCGCGACAAACCATTTGACGACGTGGTAGGAGACCTGGTATGGCCTCGCGACGGCGTACCAGTTGTTGACGGAGAATCTGTGGTGGAAGATTTATGGGAATTGGCGGGGGAGCCTGGCTTGCGAGGTGTCGCAGACATATTCACCGAATTTTGCCAGAATACTTTCCGACAAGTGAAACGGAAATCGACTGCAGAGCGACTTGCAAGAGGATATGAGAAAGAAGACAAAGGACTTTCTGCAGATCAACGGCCGATGAAACGCAGGAGATTAACTGATAAATTTCAGGAAGGTCTCGAGGGGAGTAGTAGCGGTCAAAACACAGTGGACTCCCGACTAACTGACTGTGGGGGAGGCCGTTGTAGGAGGATGGCTGGCAAGGTCTCGCCACCCCAGAAAAGAGGGTAGTAACGAAGCACTGCGAAAGAGAATGTCGGACGCAAGTAGCAGACAAAGTGAGGAGGAGAGGTGTTATGTTAGGGGTTCATCGGGCCAGCATGCGCGACGACGGAGGAATAAATTATTCTGGGGGATGGGCCAATGTTGCTACTAGGCCCCGTATGGGAACGGTAGTGATACTCTTATCCGTAACCTTACCTGGCACCAACAATTTGGACGACAGCGACGAGGACAGTCGCATTCCAGGGCTGACAATCTTATTATGAGAGTCGGAGACAGCTGACTACTCGAAATTCTATATAGCCATTCTATTCAGCCCCATACCACGATGATCCCTTAACGGTCTTGAAACAAAGCCGGTTGGACGAAGAAGCCCTGCGGGCTGAGACGATACGAGATAAAGATAGCACCATCGTGACCACCCATCATCCTTGCGCCCTCCTCTGGACAACGAGTAAGATCTGATGGAACATCAACAGCGCATCATCCTGCCTCTGATGTTAGATCATGAAGCTGCGCCACTTCGTGCATTTGGGTTTCCAGCCATCAGGGGTCCATCATCGACATGCATCCACAGTTCCAAGGTTGCCAGTGGAAACATAGCGGCACCCGAAACGGCATAGCGCCGTAACATAATGACTAAGCTCTCCGGCACGGAGAAATAGGCACCCGACTCTCGGCAAACCCACAAAATATCACCATAGCGTCTTTTTTGCATCTCATCCCAACCAGAAGACACGGCCGGAGCGCACGTTTTTCAATTCAACCTCAGAACACCTCAATAGCGTAACGATGGCCCCCAAGAGCAAGAAGGCTGGCGACACCATCGCCTCGCGCCTGGCGCTTGTGATGAAGAGTGGAAAGGGTAAGAAATTCATCCTCACTGTCAATTCAACCCCGTTGCTGCGGCTTTGCTAACGGATTGTCTTTTCCAGTCACCCTTGGCTACAAGACCACCATCAAGACCCTGCGTGTGAGTACCCGCGAACGGATCGACAAGTCCATGGATTGAAAAGAAGAAGTGGACGATACTGACTGCACCAAAAGTCCGGCAAGGCCAAGCTGGTCATCATCGCCGCCAACACCCCTCCTCTCCGCAAGTCTGAGCTCGAGTACTACGCCATGCTTGCGAAGACTCCTGTTCACCACTACTCCGGTAACAACGTGAGTGAACCTCGGGATACGGAGCGCACATACGCTGTGCGACTCGACATGGACCGGAATCCGGATAGCTAACAATGCTTCAGATCGAGTTGGGAACTGCCTGCGGTCGTCTCTACCGCTGCTCCACCATGACTGTTCTGGATGCTGGTGACTCTGACATCCTTACCAGCCAGTAAGTGTGAGAGTTAGCTTGGGATCAGTTATATCTGAACGGTGTATGCCGGCAGAAAAGCCAGGCATCATGATGTTTTAGATAATGACAAGAAATAAAAAACCAACGCTTTACGCCACTGCATTCCCCGTAATCTGAATAATCCATATAACAGCTATAAACCTTTGTAATCCAGCATCGTCTTGAATCATCTCTTGGACTCATAATCTGACAAATGCGTCATGGACAGTCCTTGAACGTTTGGGACGCTGATTCGCGGAGAAAATAGGGCTTAGGGCTTTGCCACTCGTTAGCGGGAGTTGATTGGAAATCAAGCCCAAAGTGCCTCCAGTCAAAAGAAACCCTTCCCTTTTGCTCTTCGACACCACCCCTTCGACAAACTTATCACCAAGTTCGACAAAACAGCAGTCAAAATGGCTCGTCGTCCCGCCCGCTGCTACCGCTACTGCAAGAACAAGGTGCGTGCGATATATGGGTTTTGAACATTTTCTGTGCGGATTTCGAGGCGGTCTCGCTTGTGGGCCTGGGATGGGCTTAGGAAAGAGAAGGTGGCGGTCGCAGAGGACTGAGACGATGGCTCGAGATATTCCGTTGCTTTGACGGCTATGGTTGATGCGATGTGGAAAACGATGAATACTGACGAGTTTTCTCGAATCTAGCCTTACCCCAAGTCCCGGTTCAACCGTGGTGTTCCCGACCCCAAGATCCGTATCTTCGATCTGGGACGTAAGAAGGCCAACGTCGACGACTTCCCTCTCTGCGTTCACCTCGTCTCCAACGAATATGAACAGCTCTCCTCCGAGGCTCTGGAAGCCGCTCGTATCTGTGCCAACAAGTATGTCATCGACCCGGAACCGAGATGAAGGAGTCGAGCAAGGAAAGGGGGAAAAGAAGTTGACATTGATAAAATAGGTACCTCGTGAAGATCGCCGGTAAGGAAGGTTTCCACCTCCGTGTCCGCGTCCACCCCTTCCACGTCATCCGTATCAACAAGATGTTGTCGTGCGCCGGAGCCGATCGTCTCCAAACCGGTATGCGTGGTGCCTTCGGAAAGCCCCAGGGTAAGGTCGCCCGTGTCAACATCGGCCAGATCATCCTGTCCGTCCGCACCCGTGACGCCCACCGCGCCACCGCCATCGAGGCCCTCCGCCGCTCCATGTACAAGTTCCCTGGTCGCCAAAAGATCATCGTCTCCAAGAACTGGGGTTTCACCCCCGTTCGCCGCGAGGACTACGTCCAGCTCCGCCAGGAGGGCAAGCTCAAGCAGGATGGTGCCTACGTCCAGTTCCTCCGTGGCCACGGCCAGATCGAGGACAACATGCGCCGTTTCCCCGACGCCTACTCTGCTGAGGCTTAGATGTTTCGTTTCATGTTTAGCGATAGGACAGTGAAAAGGAAAGGAATTCTTGCTGAATAAATAATTCGTTCCCGCGTTCATCTTGCTTGCCTCGAAAAGCACATGTAATCAATCACGAGTAGCTAAACTGGGCCATGTACCACCAAGATTGCAGAACGGATCTCCACACATTATACCCCTCCCACCGATGTTCCATGCAGCCGCCCAACCCAGATCAAACGAACCTCATTTAAATAACAGTCAAAACCCCCTCCTCGACCCTCACGATATCCTCCGCATCGTCATAATTCTGGATAAGAAGCTTCCCCCTCTCCGCATTGCCGATAACAACGTAGATCGCGCCCAGGTAGTGGACTCGGGTTCCTGATGCCAACTGTCACGTATGGTTTGTTAGTGATTTAGAACTGGCATTTGTACTTTGGGTATCGAGTTGGGCTTATGGGAGAGCGAGGATAGAAGAGCAGGACGAACAGCCATGTTGTATGTGGTAGGTAGGAAGTGTTCAGTGGGACTGTCGAAAGATAGGTTCTTGAGGTTCCCGGATGATTGCAATTCGAGGATTTTAAGAGAGGTAAGTTCTGAGGACTGAAAGACGATAGCTTTGGTCTTTGCTCTAATTTATTCTCCTTGAGATCCAAGGCTGATATGGATATGTCCCGGAGCCTTGCCGTGTTGGTCGGGCAGTGCAAGATGCGGAGGTGGGTGAGGCTGATTTGGTACACCATCACCTTGTAAAGTGTCTAGGCTGTCTAGATAGAACCTGTAGGTTGGACTCCAATGGGTTATGCTAGTACTGGGCACCCGTATCTACCGAAGGGCGGAGTATGCCTTGCGAGGCTGTGAGAGTTGTAGATACGGCATACTGCTGCCCATGGCTTGGCGGATACTAAAGCTCTAGACTCGATCATTGCTGAGATTCGTCTTCCCACAGGGAACCGGTATGATCATAATATATGCAGCTGAAGCTAAGTGCTCGTTATACCTGATATTTGTACAGAAGTCATCATCCAATATTATATGTCATGAGCCAACCACGCCTCTACATGCAGTCCTGCCGTCTTCCTACCATGCATTGTTGCGATGATATGGTGTGTATGAAATGTTCGTCCTAGCCAGGTGGCCTCCGCTTGTGTCCATGGTAATATGTTGATGAAGCATAAAAATCATTAGAGTAATCCAAAAATAGACGAGATTGTCCGGTATAAATAAAGGAATATGAGAATCCATGAATGTATGTAACCAAAACCGATATGATGGTAGATTATAGCCAATGTGATGTCAATAGATCCAAGTGTATGAGTCGGTTAGAGATGGTATTGATGGCCAGCATCCAATGACTTGGGTATGTTAGAGTCCTTAAGGTAATAATAGGCAGGTATGTGGCTACACATCGCCCCAGGCTCCAACCCCAGCAGGCGCGGGAGCGATAGCACTGCCGCTATCCACACTTCCGCCAATGTCCCAATAGTTCCGGCTCGAGCCAGTGAGGGTTCGACGGCTGGATATCGCAGACATCTTTGCGCTCTGACTCGCGCAACTCGAGCTGGGACGGCGGAGGTGTTGCCGAAGCACCGGCGAGGTGACGCCGGTAGGGCCAGAATATTGCGACTGGCGACGCATTTGTGCCTGTGAGCGTGAATGTGCTCGCGCGACAAGTGGATGATGTTGACGGATGATGGCAGCGCGGCGGGATGCATCTTGGGAAGCTCTACGGGCGTGGTGCGCATCAGGGTTGGTCGATCGGCGACCGAATCGATTGCGCAGATAACGGAATACCATCATTATATCAAGCTCGCGTTCCCAGTACTCCTTTTCATTCTGGGGGCGGGCAGATTCGGACAGCGGTTCCGCAGAAGCGCTTGGCCTACGGTTCGGTAGATCTTCATCTTCGATGCCCCAGTGGGCGGCGTGCTCTCGGTTTGGATCTTGAAGAGTAGGCACAAAGTGCGGTGATAGCATGGAGTCACCGTTGCTTGTAGTCTCCGCGGCCGTTGGGCCGGCCGATGAGGACATGCGATTGCTCTCTTCAGGCAAACTGCCCAGTGGAATACCGGCGTACTGATTGGGGATATCGTTGGCCATGTTAATGTATGTTGAGAATGCCCCTGGGTGTTCGCAAAGCTGATGAACTAGAACCCCCAGTTCGCGTGCAATCCGTTGAAGTAGCCTCGATTCCCAGCGATCTCCGTCATCGGTTACAGAATCACCCAATTCCTGATTTAGAATTTCCTCGATTCCAAGCGGCTGTGGTGTTTCCTCAGGTGCGCGTTGTTCGTCGGACTCTGCGAGGGTCTCGCCAAACAAGACGGAAAGTAATGATTCGTCGATGCCCATGAGATCACGGATAACCTTCCGGGTAATGCGCTGCCACAATGATTCATCATCTTCTGCTGATGGCTTATCAGACGGGGAGTTTTGTTGCTCTTGCGGTATCGTGTGGACACTAGGCGTTTGATCCACAGTCTGAGGTTGCGAGACGATCTCAAGATTTGACCCGCTGTATCGACTGTTGCGACGTCTTCGCGTTGCTTTCTCAATCTCATGCAAGAGAGTACGACTCTGGTCCATCCTCCACTGCTCAATACGCTGCCATCGTTCCCGATCGGCATCTGTTTGTTCTGCATCAGCGACTGCATCTAGATGCCGCTGAACGCTTGAACGCCGGCGATGCGCGAGCTCCGGTCTTCGGTTAGGGTTATACTGTTCGTGCTGCCATAGTTGATTCTGTACAGTTTGACTGGATGCAAGAAAGCTCCCTAGCCCATCATGTGCCGGGAGTTGAGCGAGAGGTCCCTGGTCCCATCGCGAAGAGGAATCGGGAGCAGGCGATGGCGCGCGGAATGCGTGCAACCCGTCATCGAGACTGTCTAGTTCCGTCCCGTCCTCGTCCAACACGTCATCGAGGGTGCCATCGGCTTCGCTCTCGTGATCGAGCCCAGATCTTGTATTGGTTTCGAGGGAGCCAAAGTCACTCAGACGGGAGGCTGCTACGGTTCGTGGAGTGCGCTCAGTGGAGGTCGTGTGAGTTTGGGCGGTGGTGGAGGCTTGGGATGGGGAGAAGAGGACCCATTCTGTTGGTTCCTGCTCGCGGAGCTCGGAAAGTGATTGGGACTGTGGGATCTCAAGGGTCGAGGGTTGAGGAGCAGAGTAGGAGGGGCGGCGGCGGGGAACTTGTGGTGGTAGACGAAACGCCATGGGTTGTTGTGCTGCTGATGCTGATGCAGTGTGAGATAAGATGGGGGGTTATCGATCGCGGTGGATCCCCGCGTGGAGGTGAATGAATGCTCTCGTCGAGAATGGGAACGAGGCGGGGAGAGTTGAAAGGAGGGCGAAAAGGAGGGGACAACTGTTAGGAAGGTAAAAGAGAGTAAAAAGCAAAACAGTCGATCTTCGAGTCAACCCAAAGCCAGATAAATGAGAGGGCGCGCTGTCACTCAGCAGGGTCAGACTGCCCGATAAGCCGGTGATCGGTGCGGTCGCCGCTGGCTGGACTACACGATGGCCCCAAGCGGTCAATAGTCGGGCGGAAAGCGCGACTAGGAGGTGGCGCTATTATTGCAGGATCAAAGGGTTGCAATTTGAGAAGGATGAAAGAGAACAGAGACAAGAAAGAAGGGCTTGGAGGAAAAGGTGCTAAGCTGATGTGGTGGTGATGATTGTTTGCGGATGATGCAAGACACGCCAAAGTCACCAGACCAGCACTGGCCAACCCAACACTCTTCTTTATCAGGGAAATAATAATAGAATTGGGCTGAAAGAAAGGCTACTTGATTATTGCTTTACTAAGGTCTGATTTATCATCCCTGCAAATCTATATTGATCATCCCACTTCTCGAGTGACATGTCGCGCAAGTCGAGGAGGGGCGAGAAACTACACCGACATGTACATACCATCTGATAGTGACACTGTTCCACCAGATTGGGACCAAGTAGTCTCTACGAGGCGAGGAGTTGCGGGTCGGAAATCCGAGCACTCTCTCCTGTTTTATCCGCACCAGATCTCGACAGCTTATTCGTGGACTTTGCCCTGAAACAGTGGCTTTAGCCTAATCAGTCCGAAACGTCATTTCGATATCAGAAATGCCAAGTGGTGATATTCTGCTCTTCGCACGCGGAGGGAAGATTGACTAATTCTATGTATATGCGCGCTGTATCAAGTCTAATATGCAAAACTGATGCCAGTCTACTCCCCTGCCAAAGCTTCTCCTACCCAGTCCATCTGCACTGCACTTACCCCTCGCGCATAGCTACGATTGGTAAACACAAACTCATTGTACATGATGGCCTCCACCTTCTTTCCGAAGAGCACACTGGAGGGGTGTATCGCCACCGTCTGGTTCCCCACCACAGTACGGTAGCTGCCGTCCGGCACAAGACGAGCTGTGTTTGTGGAAAACCCACGTAGGAAGCTCTTCAGGATGTGGATAGGGGAAGGTTCTCTGACTGTTGATGAACTCTGAGTCTCAGTGGAACTCGGGAGCAGTTTCGCTTGTCGGCATTGGGCCGTGAGTTGTTTGCGGACATCCTGCGATCTCGAATGTTAGCTCTAAATCATATATGATAGATAAGAAATCCTACCATGACAGACTGCATGGCCCGATGTGAGACCAGATGCCGCTCAGCCCATGCTTTTCGATCGGTGTTTTCTGAGGCGTATGCCCGTACAGTCATTAACATCGTAAGGTGGTCGCCCTCTCTTCGGTATAGATCACGTCGAGACTGCTCTGCCTCTTCCTTTTTCTCCTCCGATGTGGTATTTAAGAAGACGTTCTCCACACTGAGACTTGAAATAATGTCAATGACATCAAGCAGACAATCTGGGCCGAAATCGGACGCAGCAAGCAGCACGCGACCCAGTGTCGGAGTCAATGGGAGCTTCGCAATGTGCGATCCGATGGCGCTGATTTTACCAGTTTCCTCGAGGGCGTCGATGCTGAGCAACTGGAGTAGAGCCTTTTCCAATGCTTCGCGAGGTGGCCGTGTCAAGAACGGGAATTCTATGACATTGTCTACACCACGAGCCTTCATATTGAGGATGGCCTGGCTGAGGTCACATCTCAGAATCTCCGGCGTATTGACCTCGTCGAGTGCAAGGTAGTCTTTCTCTGTATATAATCGGAAGCACTGGCCAGGCGCCTCTCGACCAGCACGACCCTTCCGCTGGGTGGCAGCGGATTTCGAAATGGGCTTGACAAGCAGGGAGTCCAGCCCTAGCCTGGTTCGGAATTGCTTGATCTTCGCCTTTCCGCAATCCACGACGTACCGGACACCAGACACCGTCACGGATGTCTCTGCAATGTTCGTCGCCAGGATGATCTTGCGAGTCCGGGGCGGTGCAGGAGCAAACACCCGTTGTTGAGCTGCCTGTGGGAGCGCAGCAAAGAGCGGGAGAACTTGAATTTTCGGTAATGCAGGATCCATTCCGGTGGCATACTCATTCACCAAATTCTCCAGAGCTTCGACTGTCTCCTGACCCGTCAGAAAGACTAGGATATCGCCTGGAATAGGCTCCTTGTAGTGGATCTGGAAGATCACCTTGAGCGCCGCGTCGACAAAATCATGAACCGCCTCCGGAGCGTATATCGTCTTCACCGGAAATTGGCGACCCTTGATATGACATACGGCAATGCCATCGGGTGCATCCTTCTTAGCCTCCTCCAATTGCCGTCCCTGAAACCCTTCCTTGAAAAACTCTTGTAGGCTCTCCATATCAGCCGTGGCACTCATGACCACGGCCTTCAACGGCACTCCACCTCTCCCTTCCTTCTTCCCGGAGACCAAATTCCTCAAAAATCCCATCACCAAATCGACATTCACACCGCGCTCGTGGACTTCATCGACGACAATGGCACTATACTTGGTCAACCACGGATCATGCAGCATCTCCTGAAGCAGCATTCCCTCTGTCAAAAACTTCACCCGCGTACTCGGTGACGTAGATGTATCAAACCGCACCGAGTAACCAACTTTACTCGCCGGCGAAGAATTCCCCAGCGGCGTCCCCATCTCCTCCGCCACACGCCGCGCAAGCGAAATCGCAGCAACACGTCGAGGCTGCGTGATTGCTATACACCCGCCGACAAGCGCTTCCTTTTGCGACCCATCATCCGCGTTCACGATTGTAGTCTTTGTCGGCCGACACCACTGCTCGTTTACCAAGAATTGCGGGATCTGTGTACTCTTTCCGCTACCGGTTTCACCGATCAATAGCATAACGTCATTTTTGCGGAGGTTTTGCCGAATCTCGTCGCCGTGCGCGAAGATGGGGAGGTTCTTGCGGATTTCGTAGAGGGCTTCCGCTTTCTTTTTGAGGGAATGGAATCTTTTCTTCTCGTCGTCTGTAGGCGGGCGTTGCTTTTGTTTTTGCTTCTGGTGTCGGTCTTTGGGTTTCGTAGTGGACTCGTCTGCGGTTTCCGTGGGCTTCTTCTTGCTCATGGCGCCAGTATCAGGGGATTGCGAGCCGTTCACCTCGAGTGTTCGAGTGGTGAGGGGTCCGTCAGCAAGCTCCTCGAGCTTCCGCTTCTTGCCCTTTTCCTTGCTCCTTTTTAAGCCAATCTCTTTATTGATTCTTCCATTCTGAGTCCCCTCCGAGACCTCCTTCGGCCCGGTTTTCGTGGTCGTTTGTGGTTTGGCGACAGGTGCCTCGTCGTCGTCGTCGGTGAAGACGGTTCGCACCCGTTCGGGCATGGCAGGGTCTGCGGAAAAGTTGAGGAATGGGAATAGGCTTCAGCCGACCGAGGACTAATCCTGTCAATTTGGTGAGATTTATCTAGAGGTATTTGAGTTACTATCTTGTCGTAAAATCGTGATGACTGGCCTGACCCCAAGGTTGGGGAAATTTTTCGGGTGGAATTCTTATCGATAAGCCAGCGCTTGGCATTTCTGTGCTCCACTACTACCAAGGTACAAATGCCGGGCGATGGGCGCCAAAATATATTCCGACATCAACTTAGCCTTACGAATTGAGTCTTCGATATTTAATCTTGGTTCAGGTGTATACCGGTAGGAAAAGTCAAAGCCATTTTGAATGATACATGCGGATCATTAACATGCGCAAATACCACATACACTTCTACAAGCCACTGAGATAGGAGTACTCTGTAATAAGGAGTATAAGGTCAAAAGGTGAGTAATAGGGCGTAGATTATTATACTCACCCAAAATCCTGCAAGGTAGTTCACATTTACTGGGACAACTATATTCATATTTCAGCGCATTCAGTGTTATATATGTCACGGCTCTATATTCATAAACTATTCCACTTTTATATAAACGGTCGTGAAAGAGCGCCTCGATCTATACTTTATGTAAAGAGTATATATATCGAAATATCTCCTCTTATATGGTCGTCTAGGTCATTAGTTCAAGCCCCAGCCACGGACACGCCGGAAGACAAATGCGCGGTCGTTCTTAAGGCCAAACTCGGCCCAGTCGTCAGTGAGTTTGTCGTAACTCCAGTAGCCCTTCCAGACTAACTTGGTATTCCGTGAAGGATTGGGAGTCATCGGATTGGCATTCGGAGGCCGAGCTGTGGTTGACCGGAGGGCTAGGTGGAGGACGTAGATGTACTTCGCTCCTACTCCTTCAGTCTCGACAACAAGATCCGTAAGGTCGGGCGTACTCGTCAACTTGTCCTTGATTGGAAAAGAATACTCAGATTCCTCGGCTGGATGGGAGGGCGATTCTGGTCTTGAGAGGCGCCATCGACCCCATTGAGCGCGCTTCAGGGCGTCCAAGGCAATAGGAGGAACCGGATCTTGAGGTCCAGTCACTGAATCTGGAGCATTTTTCTGATGCTGTTTGCGAGACGGCGCCCGCGCCGCTGTCACGTTTGCTTTGTTAATATGCGGAACCACATCGACAGGCTCAACAGTGGTAAGTAGGTAGATGACTGTTCCATCCGGGTAGAATCGAAGGTATCGGTAGTAAGTAACTATGTGAATTGGGCTGTTCCATGAGATATTTGAGTACGCCGATGCTGCACCTGCACGGGTGTAGTTTACTGTGCTAATGTATATTCCGGTGAACCGTATCCGAGGATAGGTGTGGAAAACCTCACTCCACGAGGATAGCGGACTTGGGAGCTGAACAGGGATATCCGTAGGAAATGGAGTGTACCGAGCGACGGGCTCTAGGGACTGTTCTGAATTGCCATGGATGTCACAGGCGAAAGAATAATGCATGGATTTGAACCCGAATCTGGCTCCTTGGCAGAGTCGTTTCCATATATGCTGCTCATGGGAGAAATGATACGCAAAGCGCTTACACACCAGAGCCATCCGGCCAAAAGCTGCTGGGTCTGCTAACGCGACATGTCGCAAGATCTCAACAATGACTTCGGATGGTACGTGGGCGATAGGGCAGGGAGGAGCAGGATCGCCTTCGAAAAGCGGTTCCGCCGGAGGGATAGGAAAGCTGGAAAATGACGCGATAAGCTCCGGTGTTGGCACAATTTCGAACGTCTCGCCCGAGGGAGATTTTGTGGATTCCTTAGAAGTCGCAGGTTGAGGAGCCTTTTTCCAGGCGCCCGCGAAGTGTTTATTCCTGTATTCTTTATCGACTGCGGCGTCCAGCTGAGGAGAAGGTCAGCAAACATATATACTGGCGCATACCCCGCACCACGTCGTCCAACTTACACGATATGCTTTTCGATAGTGTTGTAGACTGTCTCCTAAGTTTCCTTCCGCTTCTTTCTCGACTGCTCGCTCGAAGTGTTCAAGAGCTGATTTCGGCTCTGTGCGGGGTGTTCGTGAATGGAAAGCATCCTCATCGTCGGGCCTAGCTAGGGATAACCTATCAACCCCCTGAATAAGCTCAGCTTGGCCCGGAGTTGCCACTCCTTCCTCGTCTTCTTCCTCTTTGCGCGCAAATGCTTCATGTCGAGTTGGAGGGAATTGGCGAGGATGAGGTGGCGGTGGTGCAGCAGATCTGGAAGGTGTGGCCTGCGACACTCCCGCAGTGTTCGGTTTTGTTCGACTCTCGACTTCCTGTCGCCATTGGCGCCGAAATGACTCAAGCTCCGCGTTGTCGGCCATGGTTATGAAAAGGTAATGTACGTTGTACGCTGAGGCGCAGGGCCACTGATTGATAAGCGAGCTTCCGCGGGGTGAGGACGCGACCGGCGAAAGCGCTTCAGAATTGCTCCAAATGTGATCGTGTCGGCTAAGTTGGCGTTGAACGGGCCATAGCTTTGTCGTACACAGCCACTAGACGGCACGAAGAAAGTAAGAAAACACGAGAGAAAGACGCCGATCGAGGAGGATGAAGGAGCAAGATTCCTGATCCGCGCTTATCTCCGGCAATCTCTCGTCAGTCCGATCGCCACCGACCGCCCGAGCCCGAACGGTCTTTTTCCTGGACCAGCATCATCACTACGTTCTGAGTCACTTACCGGCCTCGACGGTCCTCGATGCACTCAACTAGCTGAACAAATCAGATTCCTTTGTCTTAGCTACTTCTGCTCGACTGCAAATACCCATTCAACGTCACCTCGTCGATTGAATGTCCGGTTCGAGCCCAGACGGTGCTTCTTGGGACCGATATCGCTCAGACAATTTTGCTACCGTCAAACCCGAAGGCCAGTCGGCAGAGACATGGAATTGGGCTACAGACGATACAGTCATGGCGGCTACTTCTGGGACAGGGTCGGTTTCAAGGCCGAGCCCTAGTTCAACAGACGAAGCCTCTATCTCTCAGAAGATGCTGTCCGCGACCCTCGGCAGCGTCCTGAACGGTCTTTTAGGTAGGCGACTATACCTCTGTCCTTATTGTCGACTTGTTAGAGGAGCTTCTGAGCCTGGGAAGATACTAACAACTGTCTTTAGTGACCCCTCTCGATGTGGTTCGCGTCAGGTTGCAATCACAATCTTCAATTAAAACCACCTCGCCGTTTACGTCACATACGATACACCATTTGAAAGACGCGCCTCCCAACCTCGGAATAACCGCCTGTTGCCGCGAAGTATTTTGGATAGGGCAAAATACACAAATCTGTGCGGTTGGACCTAGTGGGAGCGCGTTGGGCTCCCAGTCGGTAGCGGATTGTGCGGTGGAGGAGACACAGCGAAGAACCTTCACATCTACCTTGGATGGTTTACGGAAGATTGCTAGGAATGAAGGTGTAACCACACTATGGCGTGGGTTGAGTCCGACGCTGATGATGGGGATACCGGGCAATGTCATCTACTTTGCCGGGTACGATTGGCTGCGCTTCGACGAAAGGAGCCCGATCAGACGCATCGTTCCTATTGCCTATGTGCCCTTTCTCGCAGGCGCCGCTGCAAGAATTGCTGCAGCCACGGCGATAAGTCCGATTGAAATGTTCCGTACTCGGTTGCAAGCAACTCCCGGAACCGGTGCGGGCCATTTCAAAGCCACCCTCGAGGGACTGCACCAGATGACCCAAGCCAGTGGTTACACCTCTCTTTGGCGGGGCCTAACGCTTACCATGTGGCGGGACGTACCGTTCTCTGGACTTTATTGGTGGGGATATGAGGAAATGAAGAAGTACATCATGAAAGCGCGCAAAAAAGCGCATAGCCACAACCTATCGCACGACGTGTCCTCGGCAGGTCAGTCGGGACTTCCCGAGGTAGAGGGAAACACATTCCTCGACAGTTTTATCGCTGGTGCCGTATCGGGTGCGCTCGCCGCATTCGTAACAACGCCTTTTGATGTTGGAAAGACACGCCAGCAAGTATACCGCCACATGGGCGATGATGTGTCAAACGTCGCTGGTAGCAATCTCGCAAAGGCGCCCCTTCAGCCGGAGCAACTCTCACTACCAAAATTCCTTCTGCACATATTTCGCGAGGAGGGCACAGCAGGCCTCTTCAAGGGTTGGGTCGCGCGGTGCCTCAAGGTGGCTCCAGCCTGTGCCATCATGATCTCAACGTACGAAGTAGGCAAGAAATTCGCTCGCGACGCCAACGAGAAACGTCTATCCTCGATCGATGGGAAGGACTCGGATTCTGACTAATCGATCGAAAACATGCCTTTTGTCTTTTTCAACACCTCTTATCTCTGTCATTCGACTTTGAGAGCGGTCTCTCGCCCTGCAGGTAATATCGGCCATATTTTTACGATTCATGCATAAACCAACCCGCGGTGCTCGTCAGTTGCGCCAAAGGGTAATTCTTGATGATACCACATTTGATATCGACTATAGACATATTTTTGTTTCTTCGACATGGCTGTGGAAATACACGGGGAAAGGCGGTACTTTTGTTATAAAATTCTTGCATCAGCGCATGGTGTGTACTGTACATATTCAAGACATGTATTATACTTAGTCACAATCTCATCTTGGTCTCAAACGCAGTTCCTCTCCACATACCTAACCCAGGTCACAAGATGAATTGACGCCCCTTCAGCCTTACCCGCACAACACCAAGTTCGTGACGATGGCCGACCACCCCGGTCCCCCGGTCTCTCAGGATACGCGCTACTGGACGAACTTCTGCGGGGGCCACCTTTAGTTCGAGACGATCGCCTTCGCCATGACTGAACGGATTCGGGGGCTCTTGCGCCCTGCTTCAGCCTCCCCCTCCTTGAGAGGTGGATTGCCTAATTGTTTCTTTTATAAAGCTGACACAGCCTTCACTGGGACAAGACAGTCATCTGCCGTTCGTGTTTGACTCAAACAGCGCGTCATATGACGACTTGCGATGACCTTCATTCACCCCGATTCTAGAGTCATTTATATCACGTTGGTGATGTGAGATCTTGAGATGGTCCTTTTGTGCTTTTCTTTGCTTGCGCTCTCGCAGATATGGCGGCCAACGACACCGTCACGCACGTGGAGTAAGTGCGACAACCACCCTTGTTCGAGTAAGTTGCTGATCGGGTTTTAGCATCGTCGCTGTCCCTGCTATAGGCGCAGACCCAGAAAAGCCATGGACTTCGGACGGCGCAGGATCGCCATGGTTGACGACTGATTTGCCGAAACTTGTCTCTAACGCGCGCGTGTTACTGCTGGACCACGGAGTAGTGAACGCAGAGGATTCGCTCGACTCATTAGCGACCAGGTTGCTGAACAAGCTCCAGGAGCTGAGGAAGTCAACGGTACGTATTGCTGCAGTCCCCAGACCCTTCCTTATAGCTAGTAATCTAAGCTTCTCTTTAGAGTCGCAGACGACCCCTATTCTTCATTTGCCACAGCACTGGCGGTCTCGTAGCAACTGCTGCACTGGTCAAAGCGAGCCGGTCGCCTTCACCTCTCGATTGCATACTTTCGAGTTGCTACGGAATCGCGTTCCTCGCCACCCCGCATTATGGGTCGAGTTACCTCTCTGCTCCCGAATTCGCTAGGAGTATTCGTCGGCTTCTTGGCCTTCAGTGCAATATACCACTAGACGTGCAAGACACGCTGAGACCGCGACATGAGAAGCTGGAGCGCCTTGCCAGTCATTTCAGAGCAATCTCGGCGGACATGAAGATTTGGACGTATCTGGAGACAGTCGATTCCGTGTTCACGATAACTGATTCGGATACCGGAAGTACAGTAGATATGCACGTCCCTATCACATCGATCCGGTCCGGGCTGTTGGGGTTCGAGCATGAAAATGAACTCCCTCTGGCAGCGGACCATGTTGGCACTGCGACATTCAAAGGCCAAGAAGCTACTGCTAGGCTGGATTTCATCAAGGCATTGCGGTCGGCTATTGCAGCGGCTTTAGAATTGTCGCTGGTGTCGGATGTTCCACTGCAGGTAGAGCAGGAGGTGATGGTTCAAGTAAGTGGGTTTTATGAAGACACGGCCAGAGGCGTCAGCAATGATACTCCGTTAAAACTGTGGTCTACCAAGACGCCGCTTGAAGCCTATTTGGACACAGGGCCGTCCAGGTGCCTGGAAGAGCGGTTGAAGAAATCCAGCAGATTATCGAGCAGCACGTACGAGGAGTCTGCCAGTGAAGTAGACAGCAGGCCGACAACTGCCCAGAATCAGTCATCGCAGTCCGGAAATCGAGATTCTTCGACAAGGGACCCCGGTTTCGTCCCAGTTGAAGTTGTCTCCTCGCGACCTTCCGTCAGGAGAAGTAGGAGTTTCCTTGCTCCACATCCGTCACCTAGAATCCATGTTACGGAAGCGCCCATTGAGGGTTACTTTGACATCCAGTCGGAGGGTTCCGGCTCTGACCGACGTGCTTCATACGAAGAACCGGGCCAAGAGGGTGAGGAAGAAGAGGAGATTCAGACAGCAGAGAATCTAGGCACAATCAGCCCTAGCCAACGGAACCTGTTGTGAGATTTTGCTCCTACCTTTTAGTCTCCATATCTGACTGACGTCAAACTATAGGACGAGCCTCTCCTCGAGATATCGGGAATTTCTCGGTGTGCCGCAAAGAGAGCGAACCCCTGATGAGCGAAGTGAGATGCCTCAGACAGCCCCAAGGTTTGATAGACCGGAACCAGGAACCGAGAAACTGGTTTGGGTCCACGTGCCATATACCCACACTGATTGGGTTCCGCCGGTTCTTTCCAAAGCCTGCAGAGGGAAAGCCAAACAAAACCTGTTTGTCGCCTATATGGATATAGTTATTGGACGGACCTCGCTAACTATTTTGCAGTTTTAGGAAGCTTGTCAACAATGAAAACTGGTTCTCGAATCTCACCACTGCCCGCCATCTGGAACCTCATGCACGCTATGTCCGGCCAGCCTGCATTCACTTCAAGCTCGATTCCCCACCAATCAAAGCTTCTGAGCCGCATGATTCTCAATTAGCTCTATATGTAAGCTCTTTCCAAGCCCTTTCCAAGCCCTTCCCAGGCTCATGCTTCAAAGACCGGATGCTAACTATTTCTAATATAGCTTCCATATGTACGTGTTTTTGTATGATTAATTATCTAGCCTATCATCTAACCTTATTCTAGCTGCATTGGGATACGTACTGGAACCTTCTCCAGCGACGAAAACTTATAGAAGAGAGATTGCGACAAGGAAGATCTAGACCAGTCCCGGATGAGATATCACGATCTAGTCTAGAATCGAAACTAATATGGAAATTCCTGGGAAACGAACCCCCAATCCATATACGACGAACCTTGGATCAATTTGGATATCCGAATCTCCGATCTACCGTTGCACGAGATGACGACCAGATGTTATACAAGAGGACAAGAAAATCTGTCAATCTCCACGATGAACTCGGGACTACCGATCCAATTCAATATGGGCTCAACCCGCAACCCACATTTGTTGACGGCAAAGTGCTCATGGTCGACCAGCTCTGGCTTTGGATCGTGGACCAGAAAACGGTCGTTACCTTCTTTCCCAAGCAGGAGCCTACCACAGTTGAGGGTAAATTCTACGAGCAGACGAACCTCTATAATAGCATCTACAACGAACTCAATGGAGACCTTGCGCGACGATTCGAGACGGCGGGGGATCTTGCCGCGTTGATTGTGCTGCACGCTGTCACAGTTCTCTTCGATAGAACTCTGCATAGTGATCTGCAAATCCTGCGTATTTTCGAAGAGTCAATCAGTATCTTGGTGAGTAGCTTCGCAATACTACCCTACGAATCGTACTAACTCACTTAGACTGAGATAACAACAAGGTCGTTCAAACAATTCCGAAACAGAGGGATTATCATTAGACCATCAGAATACAATAAGACGCCTGATGGAAAGCTCATGACCGCCGAGCAGCGTGAAGAAAGAGACCGTAATGTCTCCATCCAGAACAGGGACGATCTTTCCTCGATGCTGGAGCTCAGAGACATCGTGGACGAGCTGGGAACCTTCTTGAAGCTCCTCGAGCAGCAAACGGCGACCATAAAGGACATGGCTAAGTACTTTGAGCACAGAGGGTATGGCAAGCGGTTTATACAAGCCTCGCTGGGAAGGCTTGATGAATATCGTACTCACATTACCGAGATGAGGGAGAATGCTATGGGCGCCCAGAAAGCTGTATGTTGTCTTTTACCGTCTGCCGGTCCTGAGCTGCATTGATTAACCTTTTTATAGGTAGAAAACCTCCTCGACCTCAAACAGAAGCAAGCCAACGTCGACGAGTCCCGATTAGCCCGATGGGAAGCAGAAGTGACCCAAAGCCAATCGCGCGCCGTCATGGTCTTTACCATCTTCACAGTCATGTCAGTATCACCTCACCTGCCGCACCCAGCTACTAATAGTCCTATAGCTTCCTCCCCCTCTCGTTTTTCACCTCCCTCTTCGGCATCAACGCCCGAGAGTGGAGCGGCGAACCCACAAACCTAACCTTGGATACGATGCTCACCATTGCCGGTAAGGCCATTGCCCTCCCTACCAGAAAGGTAAACACTCATACTAAGAACAAAACCCCTAGGCCCCACAAGCGTCGCCGTAATCGTCTCTGCCCTCTTAATAGCCTTCAGCGAACGCCTACGCGACATGCTACTCAAACTGCAAAAGATCCTCTGGGGCCTATGCAAGGACATGATCTTCGCGCCCGTCGCGGTGCATCTGGGCCAGCACAACTCGAAGAGGAAATCACCCTCCGCGGAAAAGACATCCGTTGTCTCTACAAAGACGAGAACCTCGCGCATGGGCGATCGCTTTGGTCGGTATCTTGCTACGTGGAGGTATCGAGAGGGCGTGGAAGATGACTTTTGGAAGAGGGATGATGAGAAGAGTAGTACGTTGAATGGGGTTGGGTATGGGGATGGAGGGAGAGCGGAGACGACGGCGTTACCGTCTGTGCTTGTTTCGGAGGCTAGAGGGGGGAGGACGGGGACGGGGCATTAGGTTGAGGATTGGACCTGAGAACGGTGTGATGCGTGATGGCCCTAGGCGTTTCGGCGTATTGGTCGGGCATTCTGTTTGGTGGTATTAGGGCTGCTTTGGGTGATGAGCGAGTTCTCTAGATTGGTTACGATGAACAATGCCAATAGCATTACCAGTCTTCAGCAGGATCTATTTAGCAGTTACCTTTCGACGTATTATGAGATTACTGGCGCGCCTCTATCTACGTTGAGGTTGTTAGAGTGTTTATGGGAACGAAGTTGAACAGACCACGGTGGTATTGTGGGATGAAAAAGTACAGGATATAATACACAGACTCCCCTGACTTTTATGCCAAAAAGGTAGAGCGGAGATGGAGATGGAGTATAGAAAAGCCCAAATCAACAGAGTGCGGAGAGAGATAACAGGAGGTATAGGTCAGGATGAGTAATAAAGGCATGTAACACATTAAAAACATAAGGAAAATAATACATAAATAGAGATCTCAAAACATATCAAGGTATGCCCATTGTATGCAAAGACACGCTCGAAGAAAATCCTCTAAAAATTGCGCTGGAAAGTGTTAGGAGTACATTAGACGACCAAAGATGGGGCAGTTTAGAACATGCCGCCACCCATGCCGCCCATGCCACCCATACCACCCATGCCGCCGGGAGCAGCAGGAGCCTTCTCCTCAGGAGCCTCAACGATGGCAACCTCGGTGGTACCGAGCAGGGAGGAGACACCGCTAGCATCGACAAGGGCGGTGCGGACAACCTTGAGAGGGTCGACGATACCGGCAGCGAGCATGTCAACGTACTCGCCCTTGGAGCTGTCGAAGCCGCGGTAGAAGTCCTTGGCGAACTCATCGGTGAGCTTGCCAACGATAACGCTACCCTCAAGACCGGCGTTCTCAACGATGGTGCGGGCAGGACGGGTGATAGCGCTCTTGATGATGCTGACACCAAGCTGCTGGTCGAAGTTGGCAGGCTTGACGTTCTCGAGGCCGTTGGCAGAGGCCTTGAGGAGAGCAGTACCACCACCGGGGAGGATACCCTCCTCAACAGCAGCACGGGTGGCGTTCAGGGCATCAACGACACGGTCCTTCTTCTCGCCGACCTCGACTTCGGAAGCACCACCGACCTTGATGACGGCAACACCGCCGGAGAGCTTAGCGAGACGCTCCTGGAGCTTCTCCTTCTCGTACTCAGAGGTGGTAGGGTCAGCCATGACACCACGGATCTGCTCGCAGCGCTGAGCGATAGCGTCCTTGCTGCCCTCACCGTTCAGGATGATAGTATCCTCCTTGGTGATGGTAATGGAGCCGGTGGAACCAAGCATGTCGGGGGTGAGCTTCTCGAGCTTGATGTCAAGCTCATCGGTGAAGACGGTACCGTTGGTGAGGACACCCAGGTCGCCGAGGATGCTCTTACGGTTGTCACCGAAGCCAGGAGCCTTCACAGCAGCGACCTGGAGCTGGCCACGGAGCTTGTTGAGAATGCAGACAGCGAGAGCCTCACCCTCAATGTCCTCAGCAATGATAACAAGAGGGCGGCGGAGAGTGGTGGAAGCCTCGAGAGCGGGGATGATGTCCTGAACGGCAGAGATCTTCTTCTCCGAGAGGAGGATCAGAGGCTTCTCGAACTCAACCTTCTGGGACTTGGCGTCGGTGATAAAGTAAGGGGAGGTGTATCCACGGTCGAAGCGCATACCCTCGGTAACCTCAAGCTCGTCCTCGAGAGTCTTGCCCTCCTTGACGGTGATAACACCCTCCTTGCCAACGCGCTCCATGGCGGTGGAGATGAGCTTTCCAACGTGGGTGTCGCCGTTGGCGGAGATGGTAGCGACCTGGGCAATCTCCTCGCCAGTGGTAATGGCACGCTTGTTCTGCTGGAGGTAGTCAACGACAGCGTCAACGGCAGCCTGGATACCGCGGCGCAGATCCATAGGGTTGCAGCCAGCAGCAACGTTCTTGACGGTCTCGGAGAAGATAGCGCGAGCGAGGACCGTGGCGGTGGTGGTTCCGTCACCAGCAAGTTCGTTGGTCTTGGAAGCGACATCCTGAAGGAGACGGGCACCGAGGTTCTCGAATTTGTCCTGGAGCTGAATTGCCTTGGCAACGGTCACACCGTCTAATAAAATCAGCGCTGCAATTGATAGATACTATAATGTCGTCCGCGGCGATAATGAATGCTTGGGGTTGATGACTAAATGAACGTAACGTACCCTTGGTGATCTTCGGGGAGCCGTAAGGCGATTCGATCAACACATTGCGACCCTTAGGACCGAGAGTAGATGTGACGGCCTTAGCAAGAGTGTCAACACCCTTCAGGAGTTGGGCACGAGCCTCAACGCCGAATTTGAGCTCCTAATAAGTGTTAGCAACCTTAGTCGACCGGGAGCTGCGGAAGGCCGACTAGAGCTAGCTGGTCTCATCCGGGGTGGCTAATTGCAATCTGGCATACCTTGTGGGCAAATCGTTGCTGCTGGAGGTTGATACCAGTAGGCTTGTAGAGAGCACCGCGCTTGGAAGCAGCAGAGAGGACCGAGGTCCTAGAAGAAAGAGCTCGCTGCATGTTGAAAGGGAGAAAGGGAGAAGAGAAGACAATTGAAACAAGACAAATGCGATAAGTAGGATGCGCAGAGAGGAGCTGCCCGATCAGAACTCCCAGAGCAGAACGGATGCAGAAGGAGAAAGATGAAGAGGAAGAGGGTAGAGAGGGATAAGAGGTGAGGATGAAGCCAAAGTCTCGAAAATTTTCCAGGCCTTTCTCGATCTCCGGATTTCTTGGCGGCAGAAGCTCCTAGAAGGTCACGTGGCGTGTATCCGAGGAAATCCTTCGGGTTGTCGGAAGAGCTCCCTGTTTACCCGGGCCTCCACTTTCTACTCCAGAGTTTGATTGAGAAACCGAGACCATAGATTTATTGCTCGTCGAGATCTAAAGATATATTTATGTCGTAAAAGCCCGCAACTATGTAGCATATCTGGAGCGCAACTTCAGAGATACATGTGGGATCATAGCCGTGGGACAAGTCAAGTTCTGGTCGCTAATACTGGTACTGCCCCATCATTTCCCCTTCATGCCAGTAACCCGAGTCGAGGATATTGCCTGCAAAATCCATGCCATCTCCAGGCAAACCTGAATATTCCCCCTCAAGTTGAAAGTTCTCGGGGAAGAGGTACGAAGAAGCGTCCACTGTGAACTGCTCGTATGGATCGAATGGCTCAATCGGCGGCAAGTCATAACCGGGGTATTCGGAGGGTGCGATTTTGTTCTCGGGCCCTGCTCCGTTTCCACAGTCGATATATGGGTCATGTTCAAGGTCGGAGTCCGGGTGCGAGAAGGTGGAATTGGTCGGCGTGACCGTTTCGTCAAATGAAGTACTGACTGGGGATGTGAAAGGCGCGTCCTGAGTATGGCCAGACAACCACTTAGGTCATTTCAAAGCCACAACTAAGCTTTGCTTCGGCGATGGTGATCGCTGCCCCTTTGGCTGATTCCTGTCATTCGGCAGCTGGAGGAAGTCTGCGTTGGGGACTAGCATCTCACTGTCGCTATCCTCCGAATCCTCAGACTCGGGCTTGGGAAGCTCTGCGTAGATTGCTCGGGCCTTCCTACGCGGCCTCTTGCGCTGCAAGCCCCCGTTTTCAACCCACTCTTCGTCCGAACTGCCGCAGCTTTCAGGAGCAGGCATCTGAGCCTTTCGTCCTTGTGCAATTGGAGCATGTATCGTTCTCGAAGCACCCCCGCCACCCCCGGCAGAGCCTCTCTTGCGAGGCGGAGGCACCGCCTTTCCTTCTGCAGCTCGTTTCTTGCGCGCCTTGTCCAGATGCTGAACTATGGCCCCCTCGCTTGTATTGTGTCCCATCACTTGCGCGACCTCGGCCCAGGGTATCTTGACGTTTTTCGCGCTGCAGACATAATGGATGGTCAACAGGAGTAACTGGTCAAGGTCATCTGAAATTGTGAGGCAAGTTAGTGAATATCGCGGACAGTTATCATGAAGAAAGATCATACCGGACCAGCGTACGATCGTCCGCCTCTTGGCTCTAGTCATGATGCCTAGAGCGAATAAGAAGGGGTTTGAGATGAGAGATGTGGGTTTGAAAGTGGCTCGAGACGTGCGAAACTGAGGTGAGGTATCAGGGGGTGATGAGAATATCTGCACCTCAACTATAGGAAGTGAGAGGAAGGAGATGCTTGACAACTGATGAGAGACAAGGAACCAGGGAACGAGAGGGAGACAGTAAGAGAGTTGAGATCTGCAGATGGAACTGCGCAGGTTTCTTGTAATCTGCTTTTCTTGGACCTGAAGCAAGCTGCAGCTCAGCAAGCGAGGAACAACAGGCAAGCCTCACTTACTAGTAAATAGTAAATGCGAAGAGAGGCTTTGAAGTGTAGTTCAACAAGAAGAAGATTGTAGATGAATGAGTGATTGTGCGGGAGAATCACGAAGAATCTGTTTATATAACCTAAAGTTGAGGCGGCGAGGAGGTTTAAGTCTGGCCAAAAAGGCCACCGCTTTAGATCCAGCTTGCAATATCACAAAGCTTTTGCTCTGGCTCAGATGGTGAGATTGTCGGGTTATTCCTAGCTCTTACCACTTGTGCCTGTAGAGGGTACTACGTCCTAGGAAACGGAATTGTTGATCATGAGCTTACGCTGCGGCTTGTAGCAGTCTTCCAATTATTCAAACAGCAATAAAAGATGGCTATCTCTTAAAGATCTGAGAGATCCCGCTGTTGTATATGTTGTAGTTCTTCTCTGAAGTAACACTCGGAGTAGTATATGGGGAAAGTGTATGGGAAGCACATGATTGGCTGCTTGGGTGAGATATCACGTGTATCACATGACTCGAGATCCCGATCCTCCGAACTTCGCTTTGCACAGCATCACACCCGACTGCCTCAATATCAATCGAATCCCTCCATTCTCTTACCACAGTCAAGATGGTTTTCGCGTGGAAATCCGCTGGTCTGACGTACGTTACCCCTTGAATCGAGATTTCTGTGTCGAGTTGCGAAATTCCGCTGACAATTGTCGACTTTTCCAGCTACAACCGCTACCTGGCCGTCGCTTCTCGCGCGGTCCGCCGGTCTCTCAAGGACGGCCCCCGTCTCGCTGCTGAGCGCCGTGGAAACATGGAACTTCGTTTCGCCAAGTGGGAGGTCCGTATACCCCATACCGATTTCTCTTGGGTTCCAATGTAGGGGGCTATGGCTAACCGGACTTTTGGAACAGAACGGCAAGCAGGGTGAAGTTAAGAACCTTGCCGAGGTCAACAACCAGGCGATCGCTTCCCAGGCCGAGTCGAAATAGACAATCTTACCAGAACCTCCACTGAGTTCTGATATGTGTATTCTAGGCGGTGCAAGGACATAGGGAATGCTGATGGTCTGATGCACGAAGGATTGAACTTTGTAGCGAGATGGCCTGTTGATGAGGTATAAATAGAAAGGCTCATTCCGTCCTGTCCTACTATCCTTGTAGAAGAGGCAGCATCTCTTTTCAACTCGTTATAGTTTGCGAGCCACATATAAGCTCTTATATCAGCCGGGTCCCTGGTTCTGCACTGACCGGGAGTTTTGCCCTGTCCGCCCGACCTCCCCGACTCCCCGCCATCCCCTCACCCACCTTTCCACCTCTTTTCTCTTCGAGCGTCGCAAAGTCGCAATTCCTCGTTGTATTTGGTAGATCCAGCAGCTGGCTGCAGACGACCAATTTTCCCTCATGTTACCGAACAGTCAGGCCCAAACTCCAACGACGCGAGTCACTTCGCAGTCTGTTGTCCCACGCGACATTACAGAGAAATTCACACAAGCTGCATCAAGTATGATTACCTTCTGGAGCTCGGGAATCAGCCCTCACGGTGGACGCGTGCTAACGACTTTATCTTGCTAGGATTAAAAACAGGGCAGCTTGTTAAGGATGAATACTTTACGCTTTTCGAGGCAGTGGGTGCATTGGAGGTAAGTCGTTAATTTTCTTTTGCGCTTTCGCAAGACGCATGCCCTGGATATAATGACACATGGTGCTAACAGTTCTTGTCGCGCATCATAGATCATGGACTCGAAAATGGATAGCGGATACCTGGGCCCCGAGGAAGACGAGCAAACTCTAGATGACGACTACGATGTCTTGCGCGACCTGACTCCCGAACAAGTAGTAGGAATCATGGATGAGTTACTGTGCCATGAGGTGGGTTGGAAATGTTCGACATCAAAGCTATGGGATTACGCTTCGAGTGCATACTAAGATTGTCTTTCCAAAATAGATGGCATGGCATATGGGGCACCCTCTTTCGCAAACCCTCTTCACGTCGCTATACCTCGATAAGCTCCTCTGGCCTGTGCCGAGGATTTTTGAAGACACCCATTTTGGACGCGGAAGGGGTCCCGGTGAGGAAGCCGGGTCAGAGTTGGTACATATAGTGCTGCGTTCGTACTGCCTTGGACTAGTCAAGTGCTGCGACTTTGTGCATACGCGAGTGACTGCTGAATTCTTTTACGAGGTTCGTCCTGGAGCCATATCACTCAAAACGGCTGATACTGATCGGTTGTTTGATACTTTTAGGAAGAAGACTTCAGCACGCAGCTGTATAACCGCTCATTATTATCACATTTTGAGTACGGACTTTTCTGCAACCTTTTGGACAGGGCGATTTCCTGGATCGATGATCAACCTACAGTAGACGAAACTGTGAAAAATGCGATAAGGGCGCGGCTAGAGTTCAGATTGAAGTTTCTCTTGGGGCTACAGCAGGATATCAACATCATGCAGACAAGATCGGTTGATCACTTTGAGGCCTGCTTGTCGCTATTACCCACTTTGCAACAGTCCAGCCGCGCAGGCCAACCCGTGTCTGAAGCCTTTAGCTGGAAGATACAACGAAAATTGGCCAGCACGGTACCTCCGCGGCCAATGGTAACGATCAGCCTGGAAGATGCGCTGGCGCATCTCAAGCGGCTATTCCAGGATGGGATCCATCTCAGTCAGGTTCTTGACTACCAAGGCCCATACAACCTCAGGGTATGATTATCTCGCCGATTGGTCTCCATATTCCTAACAGTCAAATCAGGTGGCTATCTGGACTTTTCTCTCGCGAAAACCCCAACCTTTGGTCTATATCCGATCCCTAACTCAAACCATTATCATGAACAAATCGATCATCCTCGGGACCATTCCAGTGAAACAGTTTCTCTATGACGAGTTGGCGTCCCTTGTTTTACCCTCAAGTATTCTGCTTGAGGCAAATCTTGATGAAACCGAAATGCCTTCCGATCCTCGCTTCCAAATTGCTCAGCTGATGGATGGCTTCGTGCGACGCTTCTCTCAGGTATACCATACCACTTTAGTGTCATGTTTATTAGCTAAATATGGATCCAGCCGTTTGTAGATACTTTCCGGAGTGCCTGCCTCAACCGCTGTCGTATTCGCCGGACCGTATGCCATACCATTGTGGACTGGGATAATCTGCAAATGGAGGTTTGTACCCTTTCGATGTAAAGATTTTGGCTCTTGGCTTACTATTTGCAGGCCGAGGATCTCGACGAGCAGCTTCGTGTTTTGAGTGGAGAACCTCCATTAGAGCTTCCAAACGGCGATACGACATACGCATACCCGCTTAGCAGCTGGACTTACCACCAGAAGCTCATTCAGTTCCGCCTCATCCTTCAACTCGGATTTGAACTTTCCATCTATGCGCCAGAAGAGCTCCCGGGAATGTACTGGTACCTGTCCCATATCTGCTCAACACACCTGGGCCACATTGATCGAATCCGCACATTCATCGTTTCCGCTGCGCAACGGAGTCGACTATCCTCAGCAAAACGCGCCCTGCTACGAAAGTCGTTTCTCCTCTTCGACCGACTCACCACGCAGATTATCGCCATTGACGCGTTCGCAATATCCTTACACGCCCTCTACGTCCTCCTATCCCGTCACAAAATCCTCCCAACCGCCTCCTCACCGCAAGCCTACTCCAACGATAAATTCCGCTACGAGCTTCGTATGAAACCATTCCTGAGTATCACCCTCCCCGAGCTTGTCCCCTACGATGAATATTACCGCGAAGCAACTCTTCAAGGCGACAGCGACGAGATCGTCCTGGAACGCGCAACAAAGGCGATCGGCGAGGCTCGAAAGGCCTGGGAAGCAACGCTCGCCAACGGGCCCTTCCTGGAAGATCCCGACGGCGAAAAGCTCGCTGCCCCGGCCCTCGCAGAGGACTGGACCCGCGATGTGAAGGATACAATGCGAGCTTGTATCGGTGCAAGCATTGCCATCGAAAGCGTGAAGAAGGCAATTCTCGCTCGCGGCTCTCCCACGCAAGACACTGAAACACTGCCGCCACTGAACCTAAAAGCCAATATTCCGGAGGCAGGGGAGAAGGGTCGCTGGCATGACTGGTGGGTGGTGCCTCAGGTGCTGCAGGTGCAAGCGCAGCCAAAGGCCAAGAATTGAAGCAAGCGCATTGTGGAATGTGGCGCCCTCATTTCAAATACCCGGATATTAGTTGCGGTTGGCTGGGGTTCTCTACCGAGTACCTACCGGTGCGCTGGAAATTGTGATACATCGTAGAGGTAGCCACACACCATGTAGATACGTACTATACACGACGCTATAGAAATGATGAATGCTGATTTACAATTTCTTGGTCCGCGGGTTAGACTGTTCTAGGCGAAGAATGCACGCCAACACGGCACCAGGGAAAATAGTAGTGGAGTAGTGTATTAGCTCAGTAGTGGAAAATGAATCCAAGGGTCATTTTGTGGCCAGTTCATGACCTTGACACTTTGTTAGATTTGAAAATGAAATCAAAATGAAACATTTTGAATTGTCAGAACTCTTAAGTGCTTGTCACACATCAAGGAACGATCTCGAATCTCTCCCATGCCATCTCGGGAGGGAGCAGGAAGCTAAGGTCAGTCTTGGCCCAGTCTGAGCACAGACACTGGAAATTCCGCAAAGCTCCCAAGTTCCGTTCCCAGCTCCCAACTCCAGAATTGCAACAGCTGGGAGGCAAAAGTACCTGTCTCTTTCCCGCTTGATCCATGTGCCTTTTCCACTAATGATATCCTCCCCTTTTTCCCTCTAGACGCTAGAGTACTTTGTGGCATTTGCTGGGTCCGAGGATTGCTGTGACCCGGCTGGCCGTCACCTGTCGACGATCCTCCACTTGCCTATCGCTAGATCAGGATTGCTTCTTCTGTTGTTATTAATACTTCCTCTTTGGAAGGCTTCGTCGCACTACATCCGTTCCTCTGGATCCAATGTCTGTCGCACGATTTCTCGATCCCCGTTAGATGGTTCTTCGGCTCTTCGTCCTTCCCAGTTTCTCCCTTCCCCAGCGCCCGCATACGCTCAACTTCCCCTCCCTTCGCCGTTCCCAAGGTGGTCGGCGCGTTTGCGATGCCAGTGTATCCCATCCGACGCCGGCCACGTGAGTGCAAGACATGTCATCAGTGTCGTGCGAGCAAGGTCCGCTGCGATCGAAATGTACCGTGCAGCAACTGCGTGAAGCGTGGGTTCAACTGCACTTACGGCCGTCCTCCGCCTGCGCCCCCAGTCGCATCTAAACCATCAACTGCTCCCCAAAGCTTCATCTCCTCCACTGTCCCCAGCACTGTAGGCAGTGCATCGCAATTTCCACCTTCATCGTCGTATGCTACGGATAGTCAAGATGTTTACTACGCCGCCGATTCCGGCCTGGAGGACCTTTCGGAAACTGTCTCGATATCTCACATCAAGTGGGAGGAGATAAACACCAAGATGCGGGATATGGAACACCTCATTTCCAGCTTGACATCGATCTTTCAAGCTCATTCAAAGCAACCGCGAAAACTGACCGAACCTCGCTCAGACGTGTCGAGTTTTGCAAGGGATCAGTCGCCGCCTGTGCAGGAGCGCCGTTACGGGTCCACAACTTTGAAAACGGGGTCGGTACATATAGGATCACGTTCCGCATTTGTTGATATTCTGGATAAAACGAAGAGTTCATCGGATCCACCAAGAGATGATCTGATCACAGAGCTGGCAATGGGCAATGAAACCGCTTCATATCCGTTCGTGGACCTCTGGTCCTCAGACCCATTCACCTTCAATATCGGAGGTGTTTGCGATGTGCTACCCCCTGACGATCAATGTTTAAAGTAAGTCTGAAGATTCGTGGCTGGTGATGATCCCCGCCGAAAAGCTTTGTCGTCTGACTTGTTTCAGGTTCTTAAGTTATTATAAAGGCATCGGGGCGGTGATATATCCTGTGTTATCGGATTTAGACAAGCTTGAGAGCGACATGAAGCGGTTGTTGGATGGGCGAAAACGAGCTGGCGGTGTTTATCGGCCGGATGCAAATGGCGCTGTACAACCTTTTGGAATGAGTATCACTTTTCTGAGCCTTTGCTTCGCAGTTCTAGCGTCTGGCTGCCAACTGTCCGACCTACCCGGACTCTCCCGCGAGATGACTTCTTGGGTTTATGGTGAGACACCTGATGATTGAGAGGATGTGGCGGCTGACAGCTCCCAGTTTCTTGCTCCTATCAGTGCCTGCGCATGGTGAACTATGTAGCGCAGCCCACGGTGGAAATTATTCAGATTCTGCTGATCATAAGCAATGTCTTGTCATATAATATGAACGCCGGGGCTTCTTATACAATGCTCGGTGGGTGGTTTCTCACTTGTTCGTACTGCGCACTGAGCTGACGATGCCTCCCATAGGAATGACGGAACGAATGTGCATGGCTCTCGGACTGCACGCGGAGACAAAAGGATATACGCCTGCGCAGCAGGAAGCTCGGAGAAGGGTCTGGTACGCACCTCAATAGTCTCTAAACTGTTGAAGCCGCGCACACTGACGGTGTCACCTTCCTCGAACAGGTGGGCTATGGCCTTTCAGAACAGCCATTTTTCCTTGGCCTATGACCGACCCTCTATCACAATGATCAGCCAACCCGACATTCCGTATCATCGCAAGTCGATGCCCGGACATCGATCCTATTTCGAAACACTTTCTCGCATAATCGGAGTTGTGCTCGAGTCACTGCGGAACTTGATGATGGTACATCACTCACAACATCGACCTCACGAAATTCACGATTATGTGCAACGAATCCGCAATATCGTTGCGGAGACTGCACCACATTTGAGATATCGGGAGCATTGTATGTCGTTGGCTGACAACATCGAACGGGCGGAATTGAGGTTGCACTCTTCATACTATATCTCCGTGCTCTGTCGCGTCTCATTGGACCCAGAAGCCATAAAGGATGAACACAAACGTGAGCGAATCCGCCAGGAATGCCTAAGTAACCTGGTGAGTACGATCGAGGCTTTCATTGAGCTCCACACGATGAGTAAATACGCGTCCCGCACATGGATCAGCGTACAGAGAACCATCGCATCGGCTTTTCTTTTACTCATGAACACCAGTAGCCAGCAGTGGCCGCGGACTTGGGACCTGGTTGAGCGTCTTGAAATAGTTTTAGCCGATCATGTGTATTCAGACGGCACTGTGAATCCTCAGACTCGGACAGACTCGGCAAAACACCTCTCATCATCGTTGGAAGCGCTCCGTGAGGTAAATGCCGCGCTGCGTAAAAGCAAAGCGCAAACGTCAGCCGCGAAAGAAGATGCTGCCACTCAGGACATTCCCACGACGTTTATGCCCACGCCTGATTTGGCCAATATAGCTGCCACAATGCCGCCTTTTACGGAAGCATATAGCATGCCCTTGGAAGACGGTCATATTGGCAGTATCTTGAACCAAGTGTCAGATGTGATGATGTTCCCTAGCAGGACATACTGAAATGCGAACAGACGAAGACTTAAGAGCATGATTACCCAGACAATTTAGAATAGAATCAAGACAACACAATGTTTTGCAACATGTATAGACAGACGACTTGAGCTTGCTTGGGACTGCCGCCTGTATTCTCGGGGACGGAGAGAAAAAATCGCCGTTATAGACGAAAGAAGAAGAGCCAAAGGAAAAGAGAAAGAGGGGTCTGGGTCTTATAGAAGTCTAAATTGCGGTGATTTTCGCATGGCCCCCGAGCGACACCCGCTTCGGCCGAGCCACACCTGCACCTTCCAAACTTAGACCTGGCCGACCGCAGAGCATTGCCTGATCAGCCCTGAACCTCATCATGACTCGACGTCACAGCACCACTCTGCAGAACTGCTGCCGCTTGACTCGCTTCTTCCTTGTGTATCGCTACCCCGTATCTCCGGATATCCGTTTCCTTTAACTCATTCTATTTCGACACTCGCAGTCAACCACTGTATAAAATCTGCAACAACAGGAAGATCGGGCTCCCGATCGAAATCTACCCCTTGCGTCGACGAGATCGGGTTCCAGCGGCCGTGTGCAGGCCATCAGAGGTCGAAAGCGCCCATTGGACGCCACCACATTCACATTGACAAACAGACCTCGGGAGTCATCCCCGGCATGTTGCTGTTTATGTCCGAGGTCGGATCCGACGAGGACGAGAGAACGTTGGTAATTTACGAGCTGCTCGAATCTCGAGACCTTTGCAGAGGGGCTTGGTCAGTTTTCCGCGATCTTTGCGGGTAATACTAGTGGGTGGTTGTGAGAATCAGAATTGACTCAAGTGATGTATATGCAGGATACCATCTCGACGTATGTACAACTCTATATACAGCGCTCATCATGCAGCGAACCTGCACAGAACCAGTCGTCTGCTCTCGTCTCTTCCGAGTCAACTCGTAATTTCGTCTTTCGTTTCGTCATGCCTAAACGCGTTCAAGTCTCATAGAACGGGTCGTTGGGATTGTACGGGAACTTGCGCACAATCACGTCGCCCTGGTACGCCCACAGTTCATCCTCGATAGGAGACAGTTGCACGCCACAAGTCTCATTCGACTGCCCAAAGGTCTCGATCGAGGTAGCCGACCCATTGAAGTAGTCCACGCGGACCATATTGACGGTCTGGCGGCTAGCGTCGCCGAGGAGGTAATTGAGGGGCATGAACTGGACGCCCGAGTGCGCGGTCGTGAAGACGGTGTTGGGCAGATCGCCCGTGTGCGGGACGTGGTGCATGCCCAGGTTCAACCAGACGACGAGATCAGTCTGGTTGAGGCTCTCGCTGTTGAAGAATTTCTCAAAGTCCACGGGCGGGTCGTGGATATCCTGGCTGTTGTACGGGTGTGCGGCGAAGGGCTCGTAGTCGTGCTGCTGCGTGACTTGGACATCGTACTCGGCCCAGTGCGCAGCGTTGGCTAGGTTGGTGGAGTTCTTCACTGTAAGGTGTGCAGTCCCGGAGGAAGGCAGGATGCGGTAGCCGCGGTATTCGCCGTACTTGTTCTTCTCGTCTTGGTTTATGATGTGGATCTGCGTCTGGCCGTTGAAGCCCCAGTTGAAGCGGCCGTCGTCTTCGGATTCGATCATCGAGCGCTGCAGCTGCATGGTGTTGCGGGTTTTGTTGCCGTTCCAGGAGAATGTCTTCTCAACAGGGACGACGGAGGTTAGTTCAACGGTGTTTTCGGTGCCGAGAATGTCAAAGTCGGCCTTGAAGTTGAGGACGTGGTCGTGCATGGATCCGGAGAGGGAGTCGTGGATCTGGTAGCCGAAGTCTTGGTTGTTGGCGTAGTAGGCGGATTGGATGTAGCCAGATGCGCGTACTTCGACACCGATTGTACCGTCCATGTGGAAGTTGTAGCTGATCTCTGTAAGCTGCTTGCAGTTTATCGAGGGAGACTTGTCAACACATACCTGAACATGTAGTCATAGTTTCCGATAGTAGACACCGTGCGAAGAGTGAAGTACACGTTCTTGGTGACAGTCACAAAGTCAGAAGTCGAGTGTCGAGCAGCAGGGTAGTCAGCATCAAACTCAAACAAGCACAGACTGTCCACGTGGGTATGTGTCTCCTCTGACTTGTAGAAAGACGTGTTGAGATACGAGGCGTAGGACGGGCAGTCGTAGCCCTTGAGCAGCTCGAAGGCGTAAGGCCCGAAACCATAATAGGAGTCTAGGTACGCGACACCAGACTGAACGGGGTCATTTGCAGCGTAGTGTGCCAACGCTTCTTGGAGTCCCAATTCGTAGAGCACCCGCTGCCCCTTGTACTTGATATCGAAGAGGGAAAGGCCAGTGTCCCGGTTGAAGCTGATGTAGAAGGAAAAGTCCATCCACGACACATACTTGCGCTCGGTGTCGACAGAGTACCGTGCCCCATCTGGAGCCACTGCAAGTGGAGGCTGCTTCCTGTCTTTGGGGAGAACAGCACCTTGCTGGCCAACGCGAGCCCAGGGACCGTCAACATTAGCACCGAGCTTGACGAAGCCGGGAGACCAGTATGCCTCTCGGAACTCCTCTGTGGTCTCGTAAAAAATGTCGTTGTACAGCCAGCCGAGAACTTTCCACTGCGATGGGTCACGTCCAGTGACATCGGATTTAAAATACAGACCCAGTGGCAGGAGGGTACCGCTATCGGACTCGCCAGTGGCCATGTTCCAGAACACATCCCAGCGGATGATGCGTCCGTCTTCTTGCCATAGAGGGTCGATACCCCAAACATCCAGGGTATCGTTGTCAAGACCCAAGGCCGTTCCGTTCCACAAATCCAAAGTGATGTCTGCGATCGAAGCGGTGATCTTGAACAGCCACTCGGAGTACATAGTCTCACTATCAGGCTCCACATTGCGCACGCGGCCTTGAGATTTGCGGGTGTACGGAAACTCCAACGGCACCCAGGTGGCATTATTGGTAATAGGTAGTGGTCCGACTAGAATGTCCGCATAGTGGGCGTCAACGGTAGCCCTATTGTTCAGGCGAACATGGGCATATCGAGTCGGCTCAGGTCCACTACCGTCCAAGTAGTCAAGGGTCTCGGTCTTGTTTGGGCGTTGCAGCTCGATGAGCGCACTTGATACGTCAGCATCCGGCTTTCTAGCATATCGTTAGGACTTACATTGTGTTTTCCCACTCCCCTGCGATCTCGGATGTAGTAAGATTCAGCTCTGGCCGACCGAACAGCCACTTCGCGACATCCGCAGTTTCGTCATCAGTTAGACCATACCAGACATTCTCCTTCGGAGCGTTGATCTCCTGCGGAGGAGTGTCTTCGCATGTTAATGCAGACTCTTCATTAGGAGGCTTGCCGTTCCAACGGTCACTTGGATGCTGGTTTGAGCGGCTCTCCAAGCTTCTCATCAGCGCCCTTCGGCCGCGGTTCTTCTGGCGCACAGTTTGCGCGCTCTTGTCGAGCTTGTTGGCGAGAACATCACCTGCCAGGCTTCCGATGAGAAGCAAGGAAGTAATGCCTCCTGATAAAGAGAAAGGAAGCTTCATCGCGCGGTTGACGACTGGCCTTTTGGCGGCTGGAGCTGGTCTGGCTAGATACCTCTCATCGGTCATCCTGGCCGTCTTTATACCTCGAGGCGGATCTCTTTCCGAACGCTATCCGAGCAACGTCGGCCGCCGCAAGATAAGAGACTCGTCCATCTTGGCGGAGCCGCAATGCAAACCATCACAGCTTTTGGGGTAAGGTAGACGAGCTCCAAGCAAGAAGCTGCCATCAACGCCTGGACCTGCCAGAAGAAGCAACTCTCACGGCCAAGAGATGACCAGGATCTGGCGGCGCTCTTTACCACCATCCACATCAGACAAAGCGAAGCGATATGGGAGGAGTCGGAGTAACCGTTCGCGCAGAAGCGAGTCTGTAGCCAAGACGTGCGTATCTCCAACGAATCCGATCCGAGAGTTGATGACGGGGTTTATCGCGAGAGAGATAAGGCGGAGGGTTTTCATCACCTCAAGATAACGACGAGGGGAGAACTGGATGAGATGCTTGGATCAGATATGAAGTCCGGATGGAAGAAGAGGAGCAGTCGAGAATTGGAATCAGTGACGAGCTGGTTTGTTTGTCTTTGTCCCGATTGGGAAATCTTGTCGCAAACATGATTCTGATTCCCACACACCTTTTCAGCTCTGCCCAACGATTCAGTCTTCCAAGCATAGATCAGGACTGAGGTTTTACTTATGACATAAGGATCCGTGAGCTCCGCGCTTTTGTCCTCTGGCTCTTTTTGGAGCATCTAGCCTTTCGCTTGCGACGTTTTCGGTGAACATTATGCAGGCACCGATGATTCTGACCAATTCCTCTGCAAAGACGATCGACAGCGGATAGATCCGATAGAGATCAATTGTTACGTCAACTTGAAACTGCGCACCACCAGTTGTGAGGTTGAGGGAGAAGCTCGGACACTTCTTATTCGAAACAACTCCGTACAACGCGAAGAGACAACTGTTTCACTATGCCATCCCCCGCAAGGTCTTAGGTCAGTCCAAGCCCGATATTTCTCTTCTGCAAGCATCAAGGAGCGGAGGGAAAATCGCCGTACCAAGTTTGGCTAAGCATCAAACATTGACAGGGAATCATGCGGGAAACGTGGCCTGAAGAAAGGCAGATCAGACAAGCATTTCCTCGAATTCAATCTTTCTGCGACGAGTCTGGCTCTGTTATGGCAGCTCCGGCTGTAGATCCCAACCCCGGTGTTTTGGAGGCGGACCCGCGTCCTTCGCATCCTCCGTCTCGCCGCATTTAGCCAAAATGTGATCGTTTGGGAGGCAGAAATCTTCCGGCGAGGTTATAAACGAGGCAATATCAAGCGGACTTGTTCCATTTATCCTGAACTTGTTTTTCTTGCTCTGATGTCCATTGGACGGAAATAATCAAAATGCGGTACATTCTTGCTCTCCTGCTCTACGCTTTCACCTGCAGTGCTATGGCGCTAAGTCGACGTGCTCCCACCCCGGGGCAACTGGAACAAGTCACCGACTTTGGGGACAATCCTAGCAATGTTGGGTTCTACATTTACGTTCCGGAGAATCTGGCTTCCAACCCCGCCATCATCGTGGCAATCCATTACTGTATGCGGCTCACTAGTGCTGGGAACTGGACCTTGCTAAGTTGACTACAGGCACAGGAACCGCCCAAGCGTACTACAATGGCAGCCCATATGCTCAATATGCAGAGACCCACGGTTTCATTGTCATCTACCCAGAAAGCCCATACGAAGGTGGATGTTGGGACGTCAGCTCCCAATCATCATTGACCCATAACGGAGGCGGGAACAGCAACTCCATTGCCAACATGGTGAATTGGACTATCAGTCAATACAATGCTGATCAATCCCGAGTTTATGTGACCGGAACGAGCTCTGGCGCTATGATGACGGTACGTCAAACTATAATCTGAACGAAAGCCCTAACTAAACGGACCAGAACGTCATGGCAGCCACATACCCCGAGCTCTTCGCGGCCGGCACCGTCTACGCAGGCGTTTCAGCCGGATGCTTCTACTCGGACACCGACCAAGTAAACGGCTGGAACAGCACTTGCGCTAATGGCGAATCAATCGCCACTCCGGAGCACTGGGCCAGCATTGCTGAAGCCATGTACACTGGCTACAGTGGTACCAGGCCGAAAATGCAAATTTACCACGGGAGCGAGGACGCTACTTTGTACCCTCAGAACTATTACGAAACCTGCAAGCAGTGGGCCGGTGTCTTTGGATACAACTATGAATCTCCGGCGGAGACACAGACGGACACGCCGTTGGCAGACTGGGATAAGACAATTTGGGGACCAAACCTACAAGGTATACTGGCAAATGGGGTCGGACACAACATCCAGATTCAAGGAGAGGAGGATCTGAAATGGTTCGGGTTTACCAGTTAGGCGGGAAACTTTGGCGAATTTATCAACTTCTACCTTCTCTTGGATCAGTAAACCACTCTCACCCAAATATAACTTGATTCGCCAAGACCCTCCATCCCCACCCCCACATAACCCGCCCATTCCTCCCCGAGTAAGTCACCCCGGACAACTTCCGCTGACCCATACTCCTACCTTCTTGATTCCCCGAATCACCATTTCCAAAATGCCCGCCCAAGCACCAACCACAGGCCGCCTAATCTCGCACTTCGAAGATCGGTAGGTGGGCTCACCTTCCTTTCTTATTCACAATAGGGTGGCAACCCACCCGACCCAACTCAACTTCCCGAACCCAGTTCCCGATACCCCGCAGTGGCAGAAACTAATAAGGAAACTCCAGCGAGACCCCCGACCACGGGAAAGCATGGTCCGATCTGTGGGACTCCGGGGAAAGTGACCTCTGGGACCGAGGTCTCCCTTCCCCGGCTCTGATTGATCTTATTGAAGAGTATGACACGACACTGTTCTATCCTTTCCGCAAAACGGAATCTGGGGAGAGGAACTGGAGGAAGAGTGTACTTGTGCCGGTATGTACTTATGGAGTAGTCTGTCATATGTCAATCCAGCGAGGAGTTCGGCCTCCCGACTTTATGATGGTGGCCGAAGTTCACACACACAGTAGTGACTATAGGTAGTCACTCGGTGACTACTGACTTCCTTTGTATCACGTACTAACGAGCTCCCAATCCAGGGCTGCGGCCGAGGCTACGACGTAATCGCACTCTCGCTCCACGGCTTCGACGCCTACGGGCTCGAAATATCCGCCACGGCTATATCAGAGGCGCAGGCGCTCGCACAGACGGAACTCGCCTCGCCGTCTGCGGAGAATTTCGGAGCGCGTAGGACTACGAGCACAACTGCACTACACGGCCATGGTAATGACGCCGAAGATCTCTCCCTTTCCCCCGGAACGCCGAGATTCCTTCAGGGCGATTTCTTCGACTCGTCCTGGTCGGATGCGCTAGGGGTTCAGTTTGATGTTGTTTATGATTATACCGTAAGTACCTATACCTGGCTTCAAAAGCCTAGTGCGGCTGTGTCTCGGGCTGACCTCGGATGTCCGGTTGATGGCGTGATGTTGCTGACGCGGGGTATCTTTAGTTTCTGTGCGCACTGCATCCGAGTCTGCGGGGACGCTGGGCGGAGCGGATGAAGGGATTGCTAAAGCCTGGTGGGCTGTTGGTCTGCTTGGAGTTTCCGATGTATAAGGATCCTGGGCTGCCGGGGCCGCCCTGGGGAGTGAATGGGGTGCATTGGGAGCTTCTTGCTGGTGGGGATTCAGGGACAGGGGCATTTACTAGGAAGCTGTATGTGCGGCCGGAGAGGACGTATGAGGTTGGGAAGGGGACGGATATGATTAGTGTTTATGAACGGAAGCGCGAAAGCGAGGATTTGTGATCATCTTGTTCTTGAAATTATTGGTGGATATATCACAAGAGTCGTTATTGACATCAACCGTAAGTCCGTCGTCGAGTTATTGCCGTTTCCAGTCCTTCGGTAGTCACCGTCTTTGCTTTGTCGTGTATGGTCATTCGAGACGAAGCATCTAAATCTTAGGAGCACGCTCAATGTTCTCCTCGCCAGGCTTTTGATCGCCTTCCTCGACGTCCAGAACCTTTGCCGTGTTCTGCTGTTGCATACCAACGACGACAGTCTCGAAGCGGCGGCCGCGCTTTTCGGGACCGAAGGCGGTTGTCACCATGATTCCCGTAGCGATGATAGCGGTGGCAACAGCCATGGTTGGGCCGTAAGCCTCGACAGGAGTTCCGGACGGCCCAGTGATGAAGGTCTTTTCGGCAACAGCATTAACAATCTGTGCTGATGGGGAGGAGATCATGTTTCCTAGCTGGTAGGTAAGACCTTGGTGTTTGTTAGTATAGACGACTTCAAGGTGGGGAGGGGGTGCACAAACCTGGGAACAGAGAACGGAAGGCAGGGGGCGAGAGCTCGTTCAGATGGATGGGAATAACACCCCAGGCACCTTGGACGAAGAACTGGAGGAAAAATCCGGTAGCGCTCAGCGACCTTTCAGTCTTTGGGAGGATCCAGGCAGGGATGAGAACACCAGAGATGAAAGCCGAAACGATAATGGCGCGACGTCGCCCGACGAACTGAGACAGATATCCGATAATGGTGCCACCGACACAAGCGCCCGTCTTCATGATGATTGAAGCACGGGAAGCCTGGTCATTCGCCAGTTCCTTCTGAGTCAACATAAAGGTCGTATAGGAGTCTTGCGAGGTGTGGGAATAGTAGTTGAACTGAATAGGTTAGCGGGGAACTCGTCGAGCATAAGGTAAGACTTACCCATGTCATGAGAATGATACAGTAAATAGAAATCTTCCACTCCTGGCCGACCATTTGCTTTGTTTCACGCCAAAACTCTCCAGCGCTCACCGAGCGCTTGCCCGCCGCCTTTGCTTCGAGGAATTGCTTCGACTCGGGGAAGAGGACTCGAATCAGACCAACGCCAATGGAAATTCCAGCTAATCGTTCGTTAGCATATACTTATTGAACAGCCATAGGAAAGACAAACCGGCAATCCAGAAGACGGTCTTGAAGGTTTCCGTTCCGCCCCCAACTCCGAGGTTGGCGCAGGCAGCAAACACATATCCAAGAGAATATCCTTGCTGGAGAATTCCAGACATCAAGCCACGGGCGTTGACACTATGTGCGGTTAGTATTGGATCAACCACCTCTAGCCAGAGTTCGTATTGCTTACGGGCAATGCTCAAGGGCCATGGCAATAGCATTGCCATACACACCACCCATAAAGAGACCGAACAAACTTCGCACAGCCAGGAACTGCTGGAAAGTACTGCTGTAAATGGTCGCAATCTGCAGAACTCCGAGGACGATCATGTTGATCACCTAACCGCGAGTTAGCTCGAGTTCGACGGATGGTCTCGCTATTTAGGGTATTTACCATGGGCCATTTTCGGCCATAACGATCACCTGCAAGACCAAAGAAAGCAGCTCCCACGCTTCTAAGCAATAGGGTGAGAGTAATGGCGGTGGAGATGTCAGTCTTGCTACGACCATAGTATTTTGCAAGCTTGACTTGTTGGATGGAGAGTGCGTGGAAATCAAACGCATCTGCAGTCCATGCGGCAAGACCGACAAGGAAGAACAGCCAGTCACGAGCACTGAGCATCATGAAAAGACTGATGGGGTTCTTGAATGGCTCAGGGTCCTGCCATTCCGCATAAGTCTCGCCCTGCTCGTTTGTGATAACCACACGTTGTCTCCATCTGAAGAGATCACCCCAAGACTGCTTCGCAGTTGCAAGGATCCCATCAGGGATGGGGTCGGCAGGCTCGTTGCGCGAAGACATGTTTAGAAGTTGAGACTTGAAGACGAGCCGCGTTTCTCTCCCGTTTTCGCGTCAGAAATAGTAAAGGGGAACTGTGTCATCCGAACGGACAGAGCACGTCGATACGCCCTCCTTATATACTTTTTTCCGTTCTCACTTCTAACTCGTCCCATCATCCCATGCGCAACATGAATATGCGGAAACAGTCCGAAAACACCCCACGTAGCCGTATTCCCTCGAAGTCCAACCCCTCCGGACTTCTGGCCATTGCGTACAAGCCCCACGGCGGGCGACAAATCCATGGCGAGCCAAGGTAATGCCAAGGGACTAAGCAATCTGGGGTTGCACGCACGGTGTCGAGCATAACCCTTTCGGGATGCTTTCTGGGTGTTTGACAAGGTTCGACGTGGACGCCGAGACACACTAAGTAGGAAAATTCTCGCGCATGGTCGTGGAGGGACGGGAAGACGATAAAGAATTCGGTCAGCCAAGCTGAAAGAAGGCTTTGCCCAGAGAAAGGTAAAAGCAATGCCGATTATCGGGCGAACTCTACGGGACGGCCTGTATCTTGAGGCCGCGCCCGCGACAGACGTCTTTGCGACTGTAGTGTGAACTTTCAGAGAGGGATGATCCCAGGCCCCGTGAAAGCGCACGAAAGGCTGCAGAGTTTGTTATCTACCCTACACCGGTCCAGACCACGAGACCCTTGCAAGGCTTGAGCGTCGGGACAGGGTTACTCTCCAATCTGGGGACGAGAGCCGGGGAATGACGGGTTGCATTGTGGCATGACTCGAGCCTCGGAGACTTTCCGATCTCTTACCCAAGCTGGATGCTTGGGAGGCAAAATCTCTCATGGATAGCGGGGTAAAGTCGACGATGGCCGATTGACAGTGACAGTGACATCCCCGAGACAACATTGGGGCCAAAAGTCGGGGGGGATCAGCATCGGCGCTCGGGGTCAAAGCCGGTCTTGGCGCGGTTGGTAAGCAAAACAAAGAAGACTTTTGGAGACGCTTACTTGGCCAAGAAATAGCTTGATTGGCTAGGACGGCAAACGCAAGAAAGAGGAGAACGCCAGAACGGAGGCTTATCTTTCGTTGGCTGAACAGGTGGACCATCAATGATCAGCCAGTGTGACAATGTCAAGAACCAAGGTCGTGTGGCTGAGCGCGCTTTTTTCCTCTCTCCCTCCCACTCTTTCTCCAGGCTTGGCTCATTCATGAACCTCCGTGGTTCCCCGAATGGTGCCGGCTGAGAAACTTGGAGTAAGTCCTCAAAGATGGCCGATGAAGGGTGATGATCATCAATGTTGATGATGATGGGTTACAAGTCTTGTGTTTAAATGAGGCTTGTCTAGATTCGGCTTAGTATCGCACATGACCAGCCATTGGTGCCCACACTTTTAGATGGCATCCTTTCAAGTCTCGCTTCGTCTTCGCAACACCAACAAAAGGGGCCCATTGCTTGCTGAATGATGCTTATGGAAATAAATCAAGAATTGATGCTGACATAGTGCCGCCATTACCAAAAGAACCTCGAAATCACGAGCTCTATTTATCCGAATTTGCTGTGCCCATTCTGGCTCCATGTTTTCTGCCATCAGCATACATGGTATAATCAGCTGTCGCCCTTGAAGGGCCATCTCCACGCTATGGTCCATGTCCTTGACCTTCTCTCCATCGCTCTTCTCGAACGTTTTGAGTTGTGAAAGAGGAATGTCAATTTTGCAGTGGATGGTACAAAGCACATTGGGCAGCTTCACATTTGACGCTTTGCGGCAATGTCAGCTTTACACTGATATACGTGGAGTCGAAATTCCCCGTCAAACCCCCTTTCTGAGATCCTATGGTAAGGCTTGCTGGCGGGCTCCTTGGTCGAAATACCATCTCCCTGATTCATATTAACTCAGAACTGCCCAACCAATGGAGGTAACAACCTTACGAATGCACCACTCCATTTGGTTGTTGGCCTGCCCCTTTTCGAGGCTCCATCCCATTTCATATTTTCTTCAAGATGTGTTGAGCCGTTAAAAGTTAGTGCCGATGCTGATTCGGAATACTGTCTACCTTACAGGAATACCATCATAGCTATAACTGGCTTGACCGTTATGTTCCGACGGTGATAATTGATGAGGCCTGTGTGTATGGGCCCTCGGCAGAATTGCAGTTTATCTATGGAGAGTCTTAGTGGCATGTTTTTGTGTATCGAGTATGGCACATCAAAGCACTCACGGTTATGTTCCGCTGGATTGCAGAACTGAAATATTGCTTTTCGAATATCGATCTTTCAAGCGCTGGTAGGGGTAAGGACTGGTTCCTTAACCTCCAGCCAGAATGATCCTCTGATCAGCGCTAGCTCTTCCTGCAACAAAATCGAAGCCATGGGGGAAGAGCACCTTGACCTGCAACAAGCTTTTTTGGCTTCCCGAATCCCCTAATCGATCAAGGCATCAATACTAGAGAATGACTCATCGAACAGCGCTATGATGACACGAGATTTCCCGCCAGCCTCAAGTTTTCCCAACACCCTGGATGAAGAGGCTGAGAAAGTCGGATGCACAGGACTTTGAGAAGGAGGTGCTGCCGGTGCCAATTGAGGTTTCGTGTCAGCCTCCTACTGATTTTCCAAGCACTATATTGGAGACTTCATAGCGAATACTAGGGTTTATATTCTTGGCATGAGCGAGAAGATTGGGAGTGAACATCCTGCGATGCTGCCGAAATCTTCTCAAATGAGCACTTGAGGGGTGTTTAGATGGATCAAAATGCGAAGTGCTGTTGGAGGAGACTTATCTACTAGAGGAGCGAAAGACCGCTTGATACTGGCCAAGCTGTCATTGTTCTGAAGCTCACTCTTACATTTGGTATCTCTCTTACGAGCGCATTATTGCCGTTACTCATTCGGCTACTTCTTGTGGAAATTGTCTCTATAGTCCAATTTCACACTCTGGAGGTCCAGTCGATAGAAGGGGGCTGTAGAGCTGGGGAACAAGAAGGAGCGACCGGTTTGTTTCTAGCCTCTGACAGAGCTTTCGATTCTTTTAACGTTCCCACTTATTGACCGTGGAAATCGAAGAAGCCACGATCAATGACAATGTTCCACGAGGCTTTCTCGAACGCAAGGCTGGAATCATCCTTGGCAGCAGCGCCAGCGTGCACAGCCGCCAACTCAGCGCGGTGATGACACGAGATTCCCCGCCCACCTCGAGGCTTTCCAACTTCCTCATACTCGAATTCCCTTCTTCCCATCAAGACGCCACTGTCAGCGGTGACCATCACTCCCATGGCCGACCCGTTTTCTATCGCCGGCAGCACTGTGGGCGTTATCTCTCTCGGTCTCCAGGTGTGTGGTCTGTTGATCACCTACTGTCGATCCGTCAAAGACGCCGACCAGGATATACGGAGCATCCCCAACAAAGCATCTGGTCTCCGTGTCCCGTTGAAGACGTTGCGCGATATTCTAGAAGAATATGAGTTTTCAGACACTGAAGCGCACCCTTGGACGCTCGGGTCGACGGCGCAGTCAGATATCAGGGATGATTTGAACGAAAAGGTAGGTCCAGGTCATCGTCGCAGCAATCGAAAGACTCAAGGAGTCGATTGATAAACATGGCCCTTCGACTGCGCAAGGTCTCGATGGAAGATTCCGCGCGGGATACAAAAAGCTTGTATATCACTTTAGGAAGGATACTCTGCGTGATATGATAAGGGACCTGGATGAGATTCAGATGAATCTTCATACATCGCTTCATGTGTAAGTTCTTGTATCAGCCACTGACTATCGCTATCGGGATACTCATCATCGTGTAACAGATATTCCTTAAGAAATATGAGCCTCATCCCTTATATGGTCGAATTGCAGAAGAAAAACTTTGCAGAAGTGCAGCAATTAGTAATGAGTCGTCATTTTGCCTCAGCGTTGTGACGAACCCTAACTGTATGTAGTCCCGAACACTGGCGAACAATGTGACAAGACGCGCTGAGGAACGAGCACTCGGTGAAAATCAAGACTACAGTTCTATTATGTGCCGGTCACAGTTCCATCGAAAGCCTTTGTCTACCAATCATCATTCAAACACCATCATAAAGTCCTACACCTTGAGTTGCTGTAGGCTGGGGCTTTTGGTGTCTGCGTCCTTTTCTTTGAATTGAGGCCTTGGGCACTGGCACATTGCTTTGACATTGCGTTTCAGTGTCATTAATCCCAACAATGAATTCTTACACGCGAGAGAATTCTTCATACATGTCGAGCTCCAGGGAGAAAAAGCTAGCCTAGAGGGGTTGATTCAACAGCATCAACAGTGGTACTTAGAAGGTAAAGCCTCTCCTTCAGACCTTTTATTTTTCGGAGAAAGCTTTATACATGTAAGCAGGATGTTCACGTTCAAGAGAACCAGAGGTTAATCATTCGCAGAAAGCTTGTGCTACAAGGGCTCCTAGCACAAATGCTGATCGACTCTTGAGATACATAGAGTTCCTTGTGGATAGCGGGACTCCGGTAGACACCACAACAGAACAAGGACAAACGGCTTTGGATATTTTATGCACCGTCATGGGACCTCAGGAAGAGAGGTCTCGGTTAGTCCACTACTTAAAGGGCCACGGCTCTTATATCTTTGATCTTTCGAAGGTATCTTCTGGACGTTGCAGGCGTGCCCTGCAAGACATCCTTTCTGAGGATGAAGACGGTAAGCCTCTCCTAGTATTATATCCTCTATTGATGCTCACCCAAATTAAAGTGGCCGTGTTTCCGGAAATCGCAAAGATTATCCTGCGCGAACACGATTCAGCCCTCCGGGAAGCTCTCAATTCCGGGCTGGCGAATGTTAATGATACCACCCAATCTTTGACATTACTTGAAATCAGCATTGGCTGGCCCAAAGGTCTACAAATTCTGTTGGAAGCTGGTGCTGATATTAGCCGATATCTTAAAGGGCCTCATGATCCTATTTCTCGGGCCATTTGTCTGCCTTGTCGAAACTCTCTGAATGTGCTTCTCAAAGCAGGCTGCAATATCAGAACATATCAATTATATGATGATTATGATCTGTGTGCAGAATCTCCAGAGATAGTTCTGGATATCGTTGAGGGGTTAGCTGCAAGAAGAAAGAGACTAAGGGATCTAGCGAGGTGTCACCTCCCCCTACAACAGCTCCCTTCGCTTATGCCCAGCAATACTCTTCCTGATACAACAGCTGCAGGCCTGATCGACGACTTGATTGCAAGGAGAGTGGCAGTCGATTCCGCCCTCTGGGTCGAGTTTCCAGGAAGATCAGTATACCACGCCGAATACAGCACCAAATCTAATCCTTGGAAATTATCCTGGAAGCTACCATACCTTGGTGTGGATACCATGGAGGCATTGTACAAAGTCGGCTTTCACGATATCGATGCCACTGACTCATCTGGAAGGACACCCCTAATGACCATTCCTTCCAATTCCTGGGCCTTGGTGCCAACTATACGATGGTTCATCTCCAAGGGCGCAAATCTCTTTCGAATACTTCCCCGAAGCCATGCAACAGTTTTCCACTACCTTGCCTGTCTCTTGGTTTGTGGGATGCCGGTCCTTAAGAGCGAGTATAACCCTCTTTCATACTACATCATCCATGCACCAATTCAAGACAATTGTCTTTATCAATGGCTTTGCGAAGAGTTCTTCAACCCGATTGGCAAGGACCAAAGTGTCTCGAGTTCATGATACCGCCTACAGACTTAGCACCAGGGGCAGCAAAGTCAATCATACGATCCGTGACCTTTGACAGATTTGAACTAACGCATACGTGTTGTTGTCTCCATGAAGACGACGGTCTCTTCGTCATTGAAGATAGGGATCTAGAGGAGATCCGAGAAATCCGTGAGGAAGAACAGGCATCCCTTGGACGATTCGAAGGTCTCGTGGAAGAGCTCAATGCGAAGTTCGACGAGCTAGGCCTTCCTATCTTAGATTTCTTGCAGCAGTATTTGCACCCTAGGATCACGGAGTTCCTCTCACAGCGGGATCTCTATGATGAAGACCATATTATCGGAGCAAATCAGCTGGGGGTTCAGCTTACCCTTGATAACGATGAAGATGATAGTTTTTATGATCGGTGTCCCTGCGCATAGGCCTGACTGGGAGAGAAATTTCAGGACAGAATGGTGAAAGCAGCGGAGAGGATTCGGAGAGGATTCAAATGGTGGTTTGGTTCTGAAAGAGACTCCAACTCCGAGGTTCAACCATTCCTATTGTATTCGTCGGTGAAGTGGATCTTGTTTTGCAATCAGGGGACGGCTAGCGAGTAAATGGAGTCCCGGATGATCTCATGTTGAGGGTTTCAAGATATAGTCTCCAGCGCCGTGGTCTACCCGTTGTTACCCACCCAGTAACCCTACCGCCAACAATATATTTCTATACTGAGCATCGACAAGCCCAACGCATTAAGACCTCGTCATAACCCCATCAACCCCCACCAAACCCGACGTAAGACCCTGAAGCAGTACCAACTCAAATCACCCTAGCACGCAGACTACATGACTAGCCCCTGACCAAGTCCTTTGATAATGCTTACTACGACCCCCCACAGCATCAAGTAATCCATTATACATCCAGTATATGCGGATTAAGCTCTCGGACTAACGTCATTACGGGTATAAGCTGTCACCCATAGTGCTTTTGCTGGTTCGCTCGGATATACTACTAAAGAGCTGGGCGTGACGACCCTGCAGGATCTAGGTTAGGCTCCTCAGTTCGGTGATCGTCGAGACGGGACTGGTGGATAAATGACGTTGGAAGCAGGCCCTCTCCCGCTAGTATAGTGCTACGTAGTACCTGATAGACTTTTTCTCTACGGGCTTGGTGTGCACTGCATGAGGGTGCACTCCGTAAATCCGGTCCCTGATGGGGAAGATTGAAGTTGCCCAAGGTGGTCTGGAGTCTAGACTCTCTGTCGAGTCCAAGATTGACTTTTTTGGTTATCTTTGTATGTTTCAGCCAAGCACCAGGCGCGCAAAGTAGATTACAGTGCGTCATGACCGTCAAAGCGAAGTCGAGGGGTCGGGGATATCAGACTCGAAACAAAGAGGTCAGGGCTATTTTGAGGGGAGGCGAGGGCCGGCCCGGCGATAAAGAGAACTTGAGGCTAATGCTGATACTGTACTACTGTGGTCTTCAATGTTGATTTGGGATAATGGATGCTAAAAGACACATGCCTTCATCTTGATGTAGAACAAGTAAAAGCTCATTGTATTCCGTAGTGCCCATGCGTTTGGGATCGAAAAAAAGAAAAAAAGACTGACAAGAGTGGGGTTCGAACCCACGTTCCTTGCGGAAGCAGGGTTTCGATTGAAAAATCTTAAATCTGCCGCCTTAACCACTCGGCCATCTTGCCAATATCAGGGATAATGCTTCCATCTGGCTAATATGAGCCAGCAAGGTTATATTTGACCGGTGACTCGATTCCCTGCAAATCCCCAAAGCTTGGCCTTCGGACTCTCGGAATGCTTCGCGTCTCGCCAATCGCCATGTGACCTCAATCCGAACTGGACTGTAAGCATCGAGCAGAGATCTCTCGGACGCAAGACATTGAGGCGTTCCCTGGCATTCAAACAGTAATCCCAAAATTATGCAAAAATTCGTTGAACAAGCAACATCCGACTCTAGCCGGAAATACATCTCCATCTCGAAATATGAGGGCCAATTGACTCATGCTTTATGCCATATGGCCCCTCCTCGAGTCACAGGGCTCAATTTCAGCGCAAAATTTCCCAATCCATCCGAATGGCTTCGGTGCCGGCCGCGATCTAGTCTAGATTTTTTTTCTGCCAGGCTGAAGAGTGGAACTGTATCCCGAGCAAGCGGAGCTCTTACGGGCCCGGAAAATTTTTCAGCGGCGGTGTTAACGCCGAAAGGAGTTATGGAAGTAGGGAGGAGTGCAACTTGTGAGTCTCAGCCACGGGAAATCAGAGCCTTCAAGAACCAATGGCCTTGGTTGGGAATTATTATGGAGATTTCGCAGTCAGGTTTTCTGGCCAGCCGCTGCTGGGCTGGCCCGCTGGCCGCCATGGTCACGGCTGGTGAGGCCGACATCCATAAGGCGAAGAGGATCCACGGTTGGGATCGGGTTGAGGTTTCCAAGGGAAACAAATACGATACAGTATCGCCCGCCAGGAAACGAAAAGTCCCGAGTTACCGAGCGGAGCCGTTCTTGTTGCAATTCCGATACACGTGACTGGACCCTGGGTCAGCCCTGGGGATAACGTTAAGCAATCAGGAGGTGATCTTGCGGAGAGAGAAAGCACATCATGCATGCTGCTAAAGGCGAGCAGGTTACCACTTTGGGCGATTTTGGTGTCATGGATTATGATTGAGGGAGATGAGGTCATTGGAGGATTAGAAATCGGAATTCCGGGATGAAGATGCACATGGCGAGATTGGTCCGTTCACGAGAGTCTGGGGTTCATGACACCAAGACATGACAGCTACTAAGGCCAGATTATTAATTACGGCACCATTTTGTAAGCATTGCATCTGACAAACCTCAGCTTGAGCTGAAGCTCCAACTGCCCCTGTCAGCCGTTTCTCTAGCGACAAGCTTTCCAGATAACGAGGATTACCTCGCTGACCTCGCAAGACTCGTATAGCCGAGTTCGGACGGACAGTTGCATGTGCCGAAGAACTGGCTGTTTCTCGGGTCAGGCTTGGTCGAGCCGTCCATGACTGGATGAGCATAACGTCTTCTTGTAACACTCTACTCGGAATCTACTGCCCCCCGAGCAGTGGCGAATAATAATGCCACAGACAGCGATGAGTTGTACAAGGATCTTGTGCAACGACAACACGCGGGCGGGGTAGATCTCGACTGGTGACTTAGATATCTCAAGTAGATACTCCAGAAACGGAGATACGAGACAGCCAACGATGAACTGACAAGCGAACACGTTTGCGAGGCGCAAGCGCAGCTCAGTGGGCGGTGCGGCTCCTCCGCATCCAGCTCCGCCTCAAGCATTCTCCAGAGTCCAGAGGCAGTGTCAGAAACCGATTGGTAGAGAGGCTGGAGAATGTCGCAGCCTGTCATATTGGTCGTCACTGTTCTGGAACACCTCGCATTCACAAACGATACAAATTGTGCCCCCTGGCCAACCACCAGCGTATTCGTTCCCTCACTGTTCGTAGCGAAATACGACTAAACGAGATGAAACCAGGGCGCCGCCTCTGTCGTCACCTCGAGGCTTGGGAGCCAAGTCTGCAGGACACGGCTTGGCTCGATCACGTTCTCTGATCGCGCCTAGACCATGAGGAACTTAAGCTGGAGATTGCGGATATCCGGAATCTCGGGATAAGCATCTGTGTAAGCAACGCATCAACTCTGATTCACGTCGCGGTCATCGATGCGAGATAATGTGTCCCAAATTGCCAGTAAGGGTTTCCAGGGTCCAGCTTTGCTGAGTACCAGACATCACCAGGAGTTCCGAGTAAACCATCATCGGGGATTGGAGTTAACGACCAGTGTTGGATCTCTCGAGTCATCTGCAAAAGCCGCTGAATAATGGCGGTTTGTGCTCGGAGATTACCAAGAGCCTGTGTATTGATTTCGGTATCGTGTTACGGAATTACGGAGACATTGGTCATCCGCTCCTCGGCGCCTTCTAGTATTGCCGTTTTGGTGAATTGTTGGCTCCGATGCGATTGCCTTTTCTGGTAAAGCGCTGCGATGATTCCTCTTGACTCATGATAGACAAGAGTCTGATTGGACTCGATGCAGAGGCGGTGAATGCAAATCCTAACCTTGGCCTCGTTGATCGGATCCACGGAGCGCACTGTTCAGAAACCCGCAGGGTTTAGCGCAAATCAAATTCTTATGCCTGGACGCCCGGCCTGCGAATCATCCGGTCGGACTTACGGACTGGACGGAGCCTGACCCAAGCCAGCAGAACCGGAAAGAAGAAAAAACTGAATTAGTGTACCTAATCTCGGGGATAGGATTATGAATCACAAACAAAGGCTAACAAAAGAAAAAACGGAGAAAAAAAAAAAGAAATGAAACTAACAAAGTGGTCCCCTGCTGGATATATCAGATAGAAAAACCCTCCTTCCTGGTCCCTTTCTGATCGATCTCTATCCTCCACACCGACTCTCTGGAAACCAGCCTGCCCAACAAGGATTACTCCTACACACCTCAGACCTCCACGTACAACACGCATTCAGCCACTTGACGCTTGGGATTCAGCTACAGCCTGTCGATGCGCAACAAGTATCCAAGACGGAATAATAATTACGATATCCTCACAATCTTACCTGTCCGCCGCAGGGTTCCTTAATATTATCGCTCGTATCAGAAAGATAAGGCTGTCAGCCTCTTGATACACCGCCTCGTCCACCCGCGCGTTATTGGACGATCGCCCGGACACTTTCAGTGCTGCCTGAGTCACAATTTGAGATCATAAACACATCAATCGGCACCATGTCTTCTCCCACAAAACTTTCTCAGCTGCTTACCTCGACTACTACTACTACTGCTACTTCCTCCTCTTCCCCTTCGACCATCTCTCCCAGCTCATACTTTGCCTCGCTCACTCGCAAGCGCCAACAGAAGAAAATGAGTATCACACAGACATACTACCTCGCCCACACCGCCCGCAAGAAGCTTACCCGAGAGGCTTCCCGGGCGGACCACAATTTACGCCTCCTCGTCGGCCACGCCAATCTCCTCGACACTCTCATGATCGATCTGGCCGATGCCGAACAGGAGCAGGAGCGCTGGTTCAACCAGACAGTCAGCGGAGCCACCAAGGGCTCGTACCGCCAGGAATCTCAGCACATCCAATGGGCCGAGGCACTAGTTGAGGAGCCCGAGGAGGAAGACTGGGACCCAGAAGATCTCTCCGACGCCGATTCAGATGTCAGCGAGGAGGACTCGGACATGGAGGAGGACTACGCTCCCGTCGTGCGACGACGAGCACCATCTCCCGTCGCCATCGTCACCGAGACTGAGCTCGAGGACTATGATTCCGACTCCGACTCCGACTCCGAGTTCGAGTACGATGATGAGGAGGATCTGGATGAGCTTGCCCTCACCCGATCACCATCACGACAAACCCCGCCAGAGCTGTCACACGACGAGGACGACTCTGAAGACGACAGCATGCCCCCCTCACCACCACAGCTGCTCCTCGAATCATTCGACGAGAAGCAAGCACACGCTACCGAGATCTCTCTCGGTGATTCAGACTTCGAAACCCGGTATTACGCACAACAAGCGCGGCAACCGATCATTGAAGCATGCTGAGCGTGCTTCTGATTACTCTTCCGCTCTAATGTATAATACGTGATACCCTGACGACTTTTGATGTTCTGGACATTCTGCAGCGTTTAACCAGCGACGCTTTGCATAAAAAATTACGGCCTTTGGATTGGGATTTCGGAATGCATTGCATGCATACACTCATACACTTTGCATTGTTAGGCGTTATTGGGCAGGACTTTTCTCATGTTGATCAATCTCCAACGAGTATATAGCATCTACCATAAATTGGTACTATTGAATAGCTAAACAAATACAACCAATCTACACAAACACCACTTCTTCCTTCCACTTCTTTAGGCATCAGTAACTCGACTTCCCAACTCCAAACACAATCAAGACCCATCTCGAGTCGAGACGACCCCAAGACCAGACGCACCTCCCAAAAAGCAGACAAGCACCCATCCGTCCACCCATTGCGGCACGCGGGTTGCCGATCGCACACCGCTTGACTCAACGACAAGGATTTTGACCGGTCACATGGATCGCCCCCGCGGACTCGCTCACTCACTCGCCCGCCTCGCCTATCCGTTCTGCAGAGTCGCACGCTCGGACCGCACTAAGTTCCGAATGTCCGCGCAGCTGCCCAGTCAACTCATCTCCGATCTTTCTCAGCTCATCTGATTCTGATGGCGATGCTTCAGCCGTGGATTCAGGTGTCCTGTCTCATGTGCATTCATCATTATTATTATTATGTGGCAATCGAATATGTCCAATTACAGGAAACGGTTTAGCGAAGCGTTATAGGTGTATTGATTACTGGGAGTCTGGGACGGCTCAGGATGAGGCATGATTATTCATTCACGGGTAGGAACTCAGATCAAATAATCAGTTATGCAGGGCCTTGAAGGATAACGATGCTACTGGACTGGACCGAACCGCCGAGTCGCGGAATCAATCATCGGTGATAAGATGGATCATGGATCTGACCTCGGATGTGATGAGAAAACGCGGTCGCGACTTGCAATCATCGCGATTCGCGAAGATCCCGGGATCGCGCGGAGAGGACGGGGATGGTTGAACCACTCGACCAGTCCACCTGACCAACCTGCCACCGGCGGCCGGCGGACCCGACTGCCGCAGTTGCTTTCTTTCCCCACAGTCTCAGAGAGATATCGTAGCCAAATATTGGAACGAAAAAAACAGATGGCAAGGGTGGGATTTGACCAATTTCTTTTCGAGACATGGAAAAAAAACATGCCACGACATGTGTGACGTGATGGACATCTACAGTTGAGGTTCAGAAGTAGGCTCCGGCCTAGAACACTCGGCTTGCCAGGGAATTATATGTCGCTCAAACTACCCCATTTGCACCAGAGAATCTGAACAATATGCTCCAGACCAGCCCCATGTCATTGAGAAGTTTATTAGTCAAAGGCTTGGTGGTAGTATCAGTAGATAAGATGCCCTAAGTGGCCTTGATGAAGCGCGCTCCACGGTCTTATCAACTGAGCATATCCAAGTTGGCAATACTCACCACACAGTACGCTCCTCTTTAAGAGGCATTGTCTGCAGCTATGAGAAATCCATAAATGCCTCTGTATGTACTTGCAGGATAATTAGCACAATGGCGAGTGTCCCTGATCTGTAGATACATATATATCATCGCCAAACCCTAACCGAGGCCCGTCAACATGCATCACCCCACCCAAAGATAGGGTACTTAGTACTGTTTTCAACTCCTTTGTTCTAAGGTAAACTTGTTTCACTGCTTCTTCTTCTCAAATAAGAGGAAGGTACCCCCCAAGGTAGTGTCCTAGCGAAGAGGCGCCTATTCACCTTGCGGCATTCTCCAATACGTCAGTACACGAAATAAGTTATGGAACTGGAGCTATAGAAGCAAGAGTTCATCTACAGATTGCCTCGAGATTAACGTTTATAGGCTTTTCTCTCTCTTTACAGACCACGTAACTTTCCTTCTTCCACGAGTGGGCTTGCTGGTATACTCTTGCTACATTGTCTCCTCTGACGAGGGAGACTTACGACTATACCTCAGCTATATATCTCAACGGTAATGACGGAGATATCTAGGCTTTCTTCCTGCTTCTGGCGATATCCCAACCTGCGGCTCGGGAGATAGAGTACACCCTGTGTCATGGATCCGCTATGCTCGGAACTCCGGGTATGGAGAAAGAAGCATAATCTAGGACATCGGAGTTATAGTTGCATCCAGTATCTATATAGACTTAACTAGTATGTATGCCACCGCTGTTACATCAGCTGTTCAGAAACTTAGCATTTCCACTATGTCTTCAGCCAAATCATTCCTACTACCTCTCTACCCTCTACCACAACCATGCCAAATTTGTTACTCTACGGTGCTACCGGATACACCGGCCGCCTCGCCACTCAACATGCCCAGCAGCTAGGCCTCGACATTGTAGTTGGCGGACGGTCCGAAACCATCAGGCCTTTGCCTTCCAGTTCTACCTACCATACCGCCTCTTTGAACTTCACAGGGAAGGCGTCTGTCGAGGGCGCGAAGAGGGGTGTTGGCTGGGGCTGTGAGGGTGGGGTTCCAGACTCCGGCTGAGGTATTTGGGGTTCGGGTTGTGGAGGTTGTGGAGGGGTCGAGCATCAAGGACTTTTAATCATTGCAGTGGACGTTTGCTTTAGCATGTTGCATGGACTGTCGTTTTTGTCTTGACAACGTTTCCTAGATGTGGTTAACCGATTACTATAGAAGAGAGGACATGTTAAAGCTGTGTTCAGACCATGTTTATTAATAAGATGTCTCATCCCCTGCCCGTAAGTGGTTGAGGGTTCCTTCGCTCCAGCAAACCCTTCATCTCGGAATCTCCACCAATGGGCCCTGCTATTGTCTTTCCGCCCCCAACATTCAAGCGACCTACGGGTCTGAAGGCGCTCTGTCACATTCTACCACTCTGTAGCTCTCGTCAGTTTGGAGTTTAGTGTATGGGGGCCAAGACTCGAGAATTTGTTCCATTTGTTTAGTTAGCCACAGTTTGTAACACACCCTTCATTATGAAAGGTTCCGAAGTCGGCAAAGAGGGGGACATGGAAGTATACCTATGTCAATAAGCAACACTAGGACACGTTCAGGGGTTTCCTGACATCTATGAGTCTGAGAAGAACTCTGGTGTTTCCATCAACATGCGGCCATCAACCTGCGGCTGTGAGTGGAGTGCTGTGGGTTGCATTTGAGCTTAGCGTTTGCCATGGGTAATTTAATTAGTTAATACTTCCCGCGTCGGCCCGCTTTCTTTGCTTAATTTAATCGTTTGTTCTGTTTGTTTTGTTTTGTAACCTTTGATTGGTTATTCCTTAACCCCACCAAGGCGACTGGGAAGCTTAATTGACAGGGGCTTGGCCCATCGCGAAAGGTTCCGACCCTTACACTGCCCGCTTGATATGCCAGCAATCTTTTATGTACCGTGGCGTCTGCGGCCCCAAGCGCTCACTTTTGAGTTGCTGTCTCCTCCGATCGTTCAGTTTGCGTGGAGGCTGACACCCAAGACTTGAAGCAGCGACAGACATCCATGAGATTACAACGACCGAAGTAAACACGCAGGTTTAGAGGTATGTCGAACTGGGTAAGCGCAAAAGAGGCTCCCTCAGCTTTAGGACCAAACTGACCTTTGCTAACAGCAGAACATGACTGAAGGCTCGGACGGGCTCCAAGTGGCCAGAGACTGGGACAACTACCCCGAACATTATGCTCCAATTCAAGTCAGTTCGCCTTTCAAGCAAGACAGTCAGTATCCAGCTGGAACATCGTCACCGCCAGTTACAGAACTGTCAAGCTCGACGGTATGTGGGCTGAGCCGACGCACCTTCATTGTGACAGCGGCAATTGCCTTTGCTATTGTCTTAGCAGGCGCTCTGGGTGGTGGCTTAGGAGGAGGTTTATCATCTCAGGGCAACTGCTCGGGGCAGTGCAGCAGTTCTGCGTACGTGATCAACAATCAATATTAGGGGGAAAAGACAGGCATAAAGCCAAGCTTGTACTGACAGTTGAACCCCTAACAGCACGGACAAAACCCCACCCGCTAACGAGACGGTAACGGTCACGGTCTCTGCCGCGTCTACAGCCTCCGCGACCCCCACTACAGGGCATTATAGCGACTGCCCGAGCTCCAATGGTACAGACTATACCTCGACAAGATTCACGTCTGGCGACAATGGGGCTGTCCCTGACGGAGCCAAGAACGGACTCAAGTTTTCAAAGATATGTGGAGCCGACGGTCAAGGCACAAACCTGGCTCAGGCGGACTTCTCTACCTTTGAAGAGTGCATCGATCTCTGTGCAAGCTATAATTTTTGGTCTGGCTCGACCGACTGCAATATTGCTAGCTACAATAATGAGGGCACATGCTGGATTAAATCGGGCGGCACGTCTCAGGTTTCAAATGCTGGGGTAGACACGGCAGTGCTGGCTGATTCTGGTTGAAATTTGTTCAAAAACAGGAGGAAAATGTGATTCTTATAGTTCTCACTACTATCATTAAACTTAGCATATACAGCAAGATGACAACTGCATCATGGCTTTGAAACGGACGAACGCCACACAGTTTCTGACTGCGCAGATACGTGCACGGTCACTCTTACGCCTCTACAGATGTCAATTCTACCTACATACAGTAATTAAGTTGACGCTTCAATCTTACCCAAAGAACCATGTTTGGGCCTGTTTTAAGGGGAGGCCAGTTTGATTACCTTGTACCAGCCCAAATTCCGCGGCAGTATATGCTATACTAGCCTAATACTATCCTGATGTGTTCGGTTTCCGGAGCAGATGGAGAATTTGCAGCCAGTTGCAGCTGGAGGTGAATATATATATCCTCCATACCTTGAACATCAACTTCGGGTGCAACTACAGTAACAAACATCCACACCATATTACCGTACGGATGTAACCCTATCCACACCCAGGAGATCAACTAAGGTAGCCGGGCATCGCATTCGCATCATGTAACATACCACCACAAGAGAGCGACGACTGGATGATTCAACAAACGCCTAAGGTTGTATGGAGCGGCAAATCAATGCTCTCTCAGCGTAGCTGTCTCTCTCATATATTATTGTCTAGCGACACATGGGATAAAAATAGGCTAAGAACGGACGATCTCCTGGGACATATGATGTACAACTTCATGCATTCCTGATGACATAAGATACCCGGGCCGCACGACCGCCTTCCAGATGCGCCTGCCCCTCTCCTCACCTGCGGTTCCCCATGCGATCAGGCACTCGTGACAATAAGTGTTTCTGCATCCGGCGGTCGGGACGAATTATGAGATATCCCCTCTTCCCTCAATCCGCCATCTAGAGTTTCATTGTTTTGTCTTATACTTATAGAGCTCTCCTGCCAATTCCAAAGCGCAGGCGCTGTATCATTCCGAGTTTCCGGCCCAACTGCTGCGTTGTCGCAAACAATGATCTGCAGCTCCTGCATCGTACGACCGGCAGAAGGAATCCAGAAGCTTTATGGCGATTGAGCCGCCCATTACTCTCGTATTGAATGATTAACTGCTTTATCCGACCCATAAAGTCCGCAGTTACCATCGCATACCTCGCCACGCGCCTTCCTTAGCTGCCACTCGCCTCCCGAACATCAACACATCATGGCATCCGTTTCTCCGCCGCATCCATCCCCCGACCCCGAGGATCTACCTGTTGTGTCAGGCTCGGAGCGCAATAACAGCATATCGGATACCTCTCCGTCCGGTAGCACAACAATGATCGATAACCCTCACCGAAGATCGATCCAGTTCAACATACAGAATCCCGAGTCGCAGCCTCCGTCTCGGCCTGCTAGCACGACCGGGCGCAAGAACTCTCAGCCGGAATCTATCCATGAAAAGGATCCCAAAGTTCCTGGACGCGGCATCTCACCGCCGCCTCCTCGGTAAGTCACTCGGATCTTGCATTGACATGGCGATGTTCTGACTGTCTCTTCTCTATAGGACCTACGAACGAGGAGTTTCATTTGACACCTTCGATAACCCAGATGCACCCGACTTCTCTCTTACACTGAACTACAAACACAAGGGCTACCAGCTCACCCGTCGCAGTCGCACATTCTTGTGTGGTACCGACCAGAATGAATACTCCGACTTCGCACTGGAATGGCTTATGGACGAATTGGTGGATGATGGCGACGAGATTGTCTGCCTTCGAGTCGTAGAAAAAGACTCCAGTATGACGACTGATGCTGCAGTTGAGGCTGGGAAATACCGCCAAGAGGCAGAGCGGCTTTTTGAGCAGGTGATTCAGAAGAATAGCCAGAACGAAAAGGCAATCAGTTTGGTGTTGGAATTGGCGGTTGGAAAGGTCCAGGACATTATCCAGCGCATGGTATGTGCCATTTATTCAAACTCGTTATAGAAAGGACCACTGACCACTGACCACTCTTAGATCAAAATATACGAGCCCGCTGTCCTGATTGTCGGTACCAGAGGCAAAAACCTAAGTGGTGTACAGGGCTTACTTCCTGGTTCGGTTTCGAAATACTGTTTACAAAGATCTCCAATTCCTGTGATTGTCGTACGGCCGTCCACGAAGCGCGAGAAGAAGAAGAAGAAACGTCTCGCAGATCCAACCAGACGCAGCTACAACCATATCCTAGAGCTGAGCGAGCAACGAGGTAGCCATATATTCTCCGCTCCGTCGAGCAGGAACAGCAGCGTTGCGAAACTTCCAGACGAAGAGGCTGCTGTAGCGGCTGCTCTTGGTCTACCCCAATCCTATAGCGCCTCGCGAACATCGCTTTCGACATCCGAGAGGAGCAGCGTCAGCCAGGAAGCTTCAATGACTCCCATGGCTGATTCACTTGATTCTATCAATAAAACTCTCGCGAGAGACCTCTCAATATCTTCCGACGAAACCAAGCTAGATTCCGCGTCTTCGACGCTGGCTGAGGCTGAGGCTCATGATGGGAGGTTACGGGAAGACATATCCCCTGCACCTTCGCCAGCAGACGAAATACCTAGCTCAGATGATGCGACACCAGAGCCTTCTAGCCCTGAAACTCGCATTCCTGTCATTGTGACAGACGATATTTCCCCCGATCCTCGGGGCAAGCGCCGCTCCCTTTGAGTGGCAGAGCCCATTCATCTACTAAGCTTCAAGGCACGAGCAAGCCTTTGCGCCTTGAAACCTGAACCCTTATCATGATATTGTCGTTTTTTTTAACAGTCCTTGCGCGGGCATATATGGATAAATCATCATAGCATATCATTGATTAGATACAGTAGATCATCACAGCGAACATGGATTTGTTTCATCTTCTTCCATCTGCATCTCTACTGCATAGCCGAAAATTCCATTCACTTTTCAGTCTATAGTCTCAGGCCAACCTTATCCTTTAGTCGAGATACATCAGGAGCGAAGAGTTCTAGAATATCAAAATGAATTGAGCTATATTGAGACACATGCCGGAAGCAAAAAAAGAAAAACAGTAATAGAATCGAAGTACCCAAAGAGAAGTAGGAAAAAGAACTTTTTCTAACAAATTTTGTCTAAAAACAGCTGCATAAGAAGGAAAAGAGGAAGAGAAAAAAATAAAAATAAAATCAATGCCCTCGCCAGCTAGCACCTTCTTCAAAAACCAAGACTCGTGGTTAAAGTAGGAGAAGTGTAGATATCTGGATGCAATGCAAACGAAAAGACAAAACAACAACTAAACTTATGGTAGACAAAAACAGGCACGCAACCAAAGGTAACAAACAAGTGTGGGTAGTCTGCTTGGGTGTGGTGTCCTTTTTTTCTTCTTCCCTCTCTCTCCCTCTCATTTCCAGGATCACGAAACGTCTGTTCTTTTTCTTTGGTGGCCGGTTGCGTTGCGCGGTTGATACGACGGGCACGATAGGTAGGATACTGGATGGGGAGGAGGAGGGAAAAACCAACCACCAGAGCTCTCCGGGTATTTGACTCGAATGGAATTGAATACAAAAAAAGGAAAAAAGAGAGAACACATGGACATGAACAACGTCAACATAAAACATGCACAGGTAATAGAGGTAAAGTAAAAGAAAAGAAGACTCGATAACAACACTCGGTATGGAAGAAGGCCAACAACAACCAACCAACCGACCTACCTCGTTGAATATGTAAAAAGAGAAAAAGCCACTTTTTCGCTGTTGCCCTCCAGTACGGCATGCTTTTGCTTCTTCGCCTTGCTTTTGTTTTCTTGTTGATATAAACAACAACACACATTGTACAGTCGAATTCGAATGTATAGCCGAAGAAGGCTTGTTCTATAATACCGTGTCGAAGGAGAGTTGAGTGAGCGGACGGACGACCAACAGGGAAAGGTCCCCATCTTTCTTTCTGTCTGGCGTCGTGGGCGAGGAAGATTAAGGAGGATTGGTAAGTTCAAATGACAAGAAGAGGCTCGAGATGCTCGATAGGAGAAAAAGATGAAGTGCGGATGGATGAAGAATAAAATAAAATCTTTCCAGAAGAACGGAATCATTTTCATTATCATTGCCAAAGAACAAACAATCTATGATGCTTCCTCGCCGTCCTTCGACGGGGTTGCGGAGGGTCGACGCTCAACAGCGGGTTGTGATTTTGTCAGCAGAGGTGAGGTAGGGTTTGATGGGGGTGATGTGGCCATGTTGTCCTGATCTTGCAATTGGGCAAGAGCGCTGGTAGAAAAAAATGTTAGTACAGACAGAAATTTTCCATCATGATCACAAGGAAACGTACCTGAAAGCGTTGATCGAGGAGGCAGCTTCTTTATCTTCCTTCTTGCCGGCAGGGGGTGTTCCAGTACGGCTGCTGGCAGCACTGTCATCACTGCCGCGAACCAGGTTGCCACCAGGGCCAAGGTTCCTGCGTCCACTGTTGCTGCGCGAGCCGAGCATGCTGGAAGGTCCAAATGACATGGGTTGGTTGGTATTACGGGTGGTGCGGAGTCGGCGGAGATCATCACTTCCAACCTTGCTGGAAGCGAAGTCTTGGGGAGGTGCTTGTCCGTAGCCGCCTGAGAAGTTTCGAGAATCACCACGGCCCATGGCGGGGCGACCACCGCCTCCCCGGTTTGATTGTTGGCGGATGCGTTCCATCTCTGCCTCTTGTTGGGCGCGAGCAGCCTGCAAACGTTAGTATCATCCAACTAGAAAAACCAGCTTTGACAGATACATACCTCTTCGCGGATTTGTTGAATGGTCTTGGGACCCTTGTCGGCATCCTTTGAGTTCCAGTGGTTCTTACGCAGATCAATGATATCCTGAATAGGTCAGTATTCTGTTCAAGTCTCCACGCAGGAAAAAGGGCTTACCAAGAGCATGAAACGGAGACGGCTTGGCAGATCGGGGGTAGTCATCATCATCTGAATTCGCGCGAAGTAAGCATCCATCATGGCGGGACCCTTCTCTGAGGCATCCAGACTGGCACCAATGGTGCGCAGCAGGCTGGTCAAACTCTCAACCTCAGCCTCCTCAGGAATACCCTCGTAGTCAACGAGCTTCTTGACACACTCGTGCATAATACGCTCTGTCAACATGCCCAACTTGTATAGTTCACCAATGAACTTGACGAGACCAAGACCACGTCGCTTGGCGGCAGCGGCAGCGTAGTACTCGTCGGACATCATGGCAACCTCCTCGGTGACACCCTCAGGCTTGGGAGGCAGGTTGACCTTCCAACCACGTTCGAACTCCTCCTGACAACGGTTGAGAAGGTACTTCCTGAACAGACTGCCGCCTGCGACAACGTTACCCTGTCTGTCGCGGATGTTCTCATCCTTGATTTCGGCACTCATGCTCTCAAGCATACGCTTGCAGAACTTGGCATAGATCGACGCCCAGTGAGCTTCGTCAGTAGCCTTCTCGAATGTGAGTTGAATTACTTGTCGCAGAGTTCGTCCATCGGACTCGTCCTTGGATTGCGAAACGATTTCCAGAATCTGGCCAGAGATACGGTCGAAGTTCTCTGGTGTCATCTTGTTGAGAGCGGCCTTGACCTTGCGCTGCACCACATCCGGAGCCAAGTAGCCACCAGGAGTAGGGCCAGCGGCAGCGGGAGCTTGAATGCTGCGAGCCTTCCACCCAGAGGACGAAATCTGTAGACCTTGAACCTCCTTTCCAGCGGTAAGGGGCATTGACGCGGCCATCTTCTCCTCCTGCTTGGCCTGGTGCTTCTTGCTCGCAGTTCGGTTGCCCTGGTTCCTCGACCCGACGCGCGGGGATTGGGGCACTATGTTGTGAGAAGAGTTTGTGCGGCTCATGCCGGGTGCATTCCCACCCATTGGGAAGCTGCGGAACTGACCGAAGGGGTTGCCCATGGACGGGGTACGGTTGTTGGAGAGAGCGAACCTCTGCTCGGAGGTCGATCCTGGGGGCAAAGCCGGGCGAGGGGGTTGGCCGAAAGTGCCCATACGGAAATCAGAGTCAGGGCCAGTGCGAGACTGGGTACGTGACATTGGGGTTCGGGCAGACTGTGGGCGAGACGAGTCGGCATCTCCGACGGTCTCGCGCACGCGGATATCCCAGTCAATAGACGGCTTCTCCTTGAAGACGGTCTGGAATTGAAGCAAGAATTCCTTGTTGTAGTGGAACTTGCGGTCTGCAGGTGCGTTGGAGTTAAGAGCAGGGTTGGGGGAGGCAATAGAGTCAGGGTAGGAGATCTTGCTGAGATCGTCCACAAAGCGGGCGGAGTGCAACGACTTCATACCGGCAGTAGGCTGAGGAGGCTCAACGGACTTGTTGGTCTCCAGCTTGAGGGCGGCAGGCTTTTGCTTGGCCCCGGCGCTGGCAGGTTTGGCAGGAGGTCCCATGGAGGTATCAGAGACCGGAGTAACGGTACCGCTGTCAGCAGGGGTGCTGGTTTCAGTGGCAACGAGCCCACCCTTCTTGAGAGAGGAGAACAGATCCTTGTTGCTCGTATCCTCACCAGCCAGTCTCTTCTTCTCGCGGGCTTCTTCACGGGCTTCGGCCTCGCGCTCGGCTTGCTTCATGTTAGCCTCGTAAGCCTCGCGTTCCTCCTTCTCTTTGCGCTCGCGCTCCTCCTTTTCAGCCTTCTTCTTGGCATTGTACGCAGCTTCTGCTGCGGCTTCCTTAGCCTCAAGTTCGGCCAACTCTGCTTCAATAGCATCGAAGTCGATCTCATCCTCGTCATCCGCTGCGGCAGGGGCGGGGGCCGGAGCAGCTTCGGCAGGCTTTGAGGCTTCTGCGGCGGAAGCGGCCTTCTCCTCCTTCTCCTTCAAACTCAACTCCTCAATAGCCTTGCGGGCAGCTTCTTCTTCAGAGGCCTGCTTCTGGGCAGCTTCCTCTTGCTCCTTCTTCACGCGGGCCTCTTCCTCTTCCTGCTTCTTCTTAGCAGCCTCTTCCTCTTCCTGCTTCTTCTTGGCAGCCTCTTCCTCTTCCTGCTTCTTTTTGGCGGCCTCCTCTTCCTCCTGCTTCTTGCGCTTAGCGGCTTCCTCTTCTTCCTCTGCCTTGCGACGTGCCTCGGCGTTGTCCTGCTGCATTTTCTGGAGGACTGCATCCTTCAGCTCCTGCTTCTTTTCAGCAGCTGTCTTGGCGTTAGCAGAGAGAGACTGAGCACGAGTGTGATCCGTACTGCTGCCGGTTCTTGACGGAGGAGTAGGGCTTGGCGCCGCGTTCTTGACAGGAGAGGGGGTGGCGCGTGCCGGGGACGCGGGAGTCTTCTCAAACGTCTTTACATTACCGCTGTCAGGATCACGGATGGTAATGGCCTTGCGTGTCTGCTGGGGAATGACAAAGGCGGGCTTGCCCCCACCGGCAGCGTTAGAGGTGCGGCTCGGGGTGTGTGCATGTCCCGGCGTTGAGGGAGTTACAGATGGCTGGTTCTGACCCAGGCTAGATCCTGGACGATCGGAAACCTGCGAAGGGGTGCGCGACAAAGAAGTCGCCTGCGGGGGACCGTGGGCGACAGGATACTGGCCTTGCATATACGGAGGCTGGTTGTAGGTAATGGGACGTGGCTGCGGGGACGGGGGAGCCATGTATGGGTAGTTCGTCGGTTGATAATATCCGTAGTTCGGGTCCGTGTAGGGGTAGGTCTGCCCACGTTTGATCATTGTTAGATACTGCTCAAAGTTCCCATTTTCAGGAGCAAGGTTTGGGGGAGGAAATGCAATGGGGACCGGGGGTTGGGAGAAGCTTCTATTTGGGGACTGGAGCCCACGGGGACCTTGCTTCTTTTTGTTGTAATTCCCACGGCGATAGGGCCTCTGGGGGAAGGGATGGGGAGATCTCACTGCTTGGGGGCCCATATGGGGGGGATAGGCGCCATAGGGTTGGGGAGGCATCTGCGTGTGTGTCATAGGGACCTGGCTCATTTGGGGAGTCACAGGGAGTGCGGTGGCTAGCGCTGGGCTGCGGCTAGCTTGCGGAGATGGGAATCCGTGCATCGGTCGTCCTTGGTTAGGGGCGTGGAACTGGGGACCCATGTTATGGCCGCCGCGCGGCTGGTTGGGAGTCCGGAAGTTGGGAGTAGGAGAGTACGGAACCTGACCCTGATGGCTGGACTGCGAGTGCCCACGGCCGCGACCACCCTGGTAAGGATAGCCACCACGACCAGGACCACTTCCCATGTGGTTGCTTATATCACTGTGGGTTGACTGGGAGGACTCGCGGCGCAGATGAGTAGACTGAGGCCCAGGTCCAAGAGGAGCCTGACCCGCCTGTTTGTACCAGAAGAAAACTGTTAGTATCATCTCCAAAACACAAGCTACTTTTCAACAAGTCATGAGGATCGCATGCATCCCGTTCATTCTTCCCGAACAAGACGGAAAAATAGAACATTCATGAAACTTTCCAAACCGGCCCCAAGAACCAACAGAGAGGCGAAAAAAAAAAAAAACAAAACCACTCACGTTATCACCCGCATTTCCAAAGCTACCAAAGTTCAGCTGCGCGTGGTATGAAGACGGCGGTGGCCTGCCACCACTCGACGCAGGCTGAGGGATGGGCGAGGGCGAAGTCTGCGGCGAGGTCGCACGAGGGTTAACCGGGGGCGTCACACCCAGGCTGGACTGAGGCTGACTCGCGAGCACGGCGGGACTGCCCATGTTCGGGGAGGGCTGGTTTGCAAAGCCGAACTGGAGGCTATTGGGCCGACCACCGGGCTGCGCACTGTTGGGGACGTAGGTGGAGGTGATGGTCACCGACGGCTTCTTCGAGTGGTCGCCTTGGGGACCCGACGCCGGGGCGCCATTCACGATGGTCGGAGGCTGGGATTGTTGCTGCATGGGTTTGCCGCTCACAGATGTTGAGGTCGACTTCCCATGTTGCGATGGGCCACCCACGGTGACGGGAGCGGCGGCGGTTGAGTCCGTCGCGGACTTCTTGGTCGCGTTTGCGTAGGATCGGGGCACCGTGGTCGAGGTCGATGTCGGAGCGGGAACCGGCGCCTGAGGCGAGGCTTTCCCACTGAGCGAAGGAGAGGAAGAGTGCGAAGCGGCCTGGGTCGACGTGCTCTGTCCTTGGGGTTGAAGGCCTGACTTTGGAGGGATCGAGCTCATTAGACAGGTGAGGCGGCAAGATCAGGCGGGAAGATGGATGAAGATGACGTTTTTGTTTCTCAAAATCCGGAGAGAGAGAGAAAGAGAAGAGGAAAACGATGCTCGCAGAGAGGAGATCGTTTAAACCTGATGACAGAGTCGAGGCGATGTCAAAGGCGTGTTACAACAAGAGGAGAAACACGCTCGAGAATCCCACATCCAGAATTCCCACACACAACGGCAGGGAAAACGAAAGAGACGAAGGGATGTCACGACAAGGGGAAAAGAAAGAAACGAAGACCACCAACGGAAATATTCCAAACGTCGTGGTCAACGACGATAATTCTGGGGGGGAGAGGGGGAAAGAGGGGGGAGAAAGAAGAGGTCAAAGTCTTCTGGCGATGATGGAAAGGATTTCGGTGCCCTTTTTTTTTTTCTTACAAACACCCTTTTTGCGTTTCGGTGGTGGTGCTCTTCCTGGCGGACGAAAAGGGTAAGGAGAAAAGACCAAGAAAAAGAAATGAGCCCGGCACAACACACGCTTCTACTTTTTATTCTTTTAACCAGCACTGCAATCTCTCTACGGGATAACAAATGCGAGCAATAAAATTTCTCTTCTTTCTACTCCCTCTTTCAGTCTCCCGCGAAAATCTACAAATTATCAATCGGGTGGAGGCGGCGAGAAAGCCTGCCAAGACTCTGCCGGAGTATTGTTCTGGAAAATAATCACAGCAATTCTTTCACATCCTCTATTATTCCAATTCTGCCTGCAGAAACAAAGGCATATGACTACTTAAATTGCCTGATAGCCGATAGATGTAGAGATTAGTAGTCCGACATCACCAGCTATCAGTACTCCTCTCGAGTCGTTCAAGGTCTCAGGTCCCATACTCTACAAGTAAAATGGCATGCCACTCAAGTCCGCGAGTCCTCGCCACATTTCGCATACGGTATCATACGCATAAATACCCAGCCTAATAGACAATCTCCACCCACCCAGGCCGCGTCTCGAATACAAATACGGTTCGCGTATTCAGCCTCGCCTTCGAGATGTAACTAGTAGTATCGCACCAACACACGCCGCAGGCCTCACATCGTTCAAGTTCCAGGTTCCTTTCCGGCCTGGGCTTCGCTATGACCATCTTCAATCATCACCCCACGCCTCCCCTCGTCTCTCCTCGCTCCTTTCTTACTTTCTGAGTCTGACATCGTATCGTCTTACTGGGCAAGTTCGCCTAGCTTTGAGTCATACGGACTCAGCCCCTCTCTGTATGACAAGCATACTCTTAAATCCGAACCAGTCGCAGACTGCGTTAACTCTTTTTTTGCGCGCCTGGCATGACCGAGTGTCGCGTGTTTTGAGGGGGGAACCCCGAAAGAGTGAGGCTGTCTGAGCTGCCCAGGTTCGGTCGGCTATCGAGCCACATACTGACAGGCTCTGATGTCACTGCCCTCGTCTCTTTTTGCTTTTCGGGTGAATGGAACACACGCTACGCACATATCTGAGATCGCGAGGGGAAGAATGGATGTCAGTGGCGGCGTGAGAGCATTCTTGAGGTAAGTATGTTTTATGGGCAGGATTTAATGCAAGATCGACACGAGTCGGCCATTCCACCAGAGGTTTACTCCGGAGTAGTCCCTGAGTGGCGGGCCACTTGTGCTTGTGTTCTTCAAGATTCGAGAAGCCATCCATGGATGACGTATAGGCGGTTGAACTCGGAGCTTTCATGATTGGACTGGCTGTGCTCCGAATTTGAACGTACCAGTGTCCAGTCTGAGCGTAAGAACATTTATGCACAGGTGAAACTCTACGCTGTATCCCGAAAACCGTGCATTTAACAGTCTTGACACTGATGGAAACAAACAGCAGTACATTTTTGGAAAACACATTGCAATCTAACGACCTTCTCTCGCACGAGCAATTGCCTCAACTGTCCGCGCCGCGAATTCAGCTCCAGATGCTGCGGCTTGATCCCCGCTACCAAACCAGCCAGAGTTCCGATGACCACTTCGCCGACCGGGCGACCGATCTCGTGTATCCTCATGCTCGACATGGTGAAATGAGTTGTCACTGCGATTCTTCCTGAGAGGCTCGCCGCCGTAGGCGAGGTCTTCATCCTCCACTTCCGCCGCGGCTTTCATGTTACGCCGCTCATTCATGAGCGCATCTCGCAGAACGTCCAGCATGCTCTGCTGGTTTGAGTAGAACCTTTCCTTCTCCGCAGGGGACATGTCCGCCATCTCCCGAGGGAGGAATTGATGGGCGAGCTCCTCTGAACGTGCTTCTTGACTCTTTCCCTGGGAGGTGACGGCGGCAACCGCGGAGCTAATGGCGGAGAACCAGTCATTGGTGGGAGCGGAAGAGGAGGGCCCGCCGCCCGCCACCGAGGGAAGGTTGAACCGCGACAGAAGCGACTGGGCGTAAGACGCCGCGCTGGCTGGCGGAGGGGTGGGAGGACGCTGCGGGGGAAGTCCCAGAACACGTTCGCGGACCCAGTCAATGGCTTGGTAGAAGTACTGGAGGCCCATGACTCTGGCACGCTCATGAGCGCGGCCAATGAATTCCTCTATCTCACGCTCATGGTGCGTCAAAAAGGGATCAACATAATCTTGGTATAGCACGCGAGCACCCTGAGTCTGGGGAAGAACGAGGTATGCGAAGAAGAAGAGCCGGAACCAGCTGTAGAAGGGAATCCATCCTAGAATGAAGACTGTCCACGACTCAGCCATCAAGACAGCGGAGAGGACCACCCAGTACATCAGCCATGGTGCAAGCTGGTATGGATCTGATGAGCGGAGAGCTTTGTAGGAAGCGAAGATGGGGAAGAGGATCGAGAGGATGGAGCTACAATAATTGGCGGTGATCAGCATCAGGCGTGCAACGTAGAGTGAGGAGGCCTGTCAATCCACTCAGGCGACTTACGAGAGCAGATCTGCGAAGATTCCAAACATCTTCTGGCAATTGCTGCGTCCTTTTTGAATCTGCTAAGACCGTGGGTAAGATGCGAGGGGTGAAAGTGAGAAGATTAATCTTCCTGGTTGAATGCGGAACAACGCAATTGAAGCTTATCCGACGCTGCCTAGCTGCGGGGCACAAGGTACAGGTCTGGTCTTGAGGTAAGGTTTTCGGAGAGAGGAACTGCCAGTCGCGAAAAAAACTGTGCAGACAGGGTTTTTATAGCAGTGACAACGTGAAAGGAGAAAAATGAGACACCTGTTACAAAGATAAAACTGGAGCCTCCGGTTTGCCGGAGCGTGGACTGCGGTGCGGAGACTGAAGTGTGACCGATTCGGGCGCTGGGCGGAGTAAGCAGAGGTTCAGGTCTCAGCCCTGTAGGTTCGGCTGTCAAGGCTCAGATGTCTTGATTAGTATGTCTTTCAAATGTCTTATAGACTTCGAGGAGACACTAAATGATTCTCACAAGGCTGTCTCTCTGACTCTCCACTAAAAGTCTTAACAGTTCATCCAGCCGCAGCTTCCCTGTGAACCTCCGGCTTCGTTGACGTCATGGCATGACAGCTGTATACAATCGACAGATATGCACTTGATCATAGTCACATGGATAAGAAGTACCAAAACAGAAGAATAACTCCTGATCGGTGCTTTTCTCAGGGCTATTATTTCCCCTCTCAACACTCAATTCTTTGTTAACGGCTAAGTAGCATACCCACTAGTGGATCAGTTATCTAGTACTAGGGCGATCAGGTACTAATAATAGGACTGAGCGGCGGGCCACTGTATGAAATACGGAGAAAGAAGCTCAAGGAAAAGGAGGCTTCGCGAGAAAGGGGCGTTGATAATAAGAGGAGAGGCTGGAGAGCGCAAGCGAGCGATACCGGGCGAAGCAAAACAATACATCATCGGAGCCAAAATATGGTGTTGCGGGGAAAGTCAAGCTCAACAACCGGTTAGAACCAGCTATGTATGTTTATTGGAGATACAAGACGATACGAATATCTAAACTGCAAGCTCGCAAATATCGTCCATTTTCCAATTGAACCGGTGACTGATCGCCTGGTTTAGCTGCACGTGCCCAACTGCTCCCGTGGATCTGTTGTCACCCGTCGGGCTTCATCCTTCTCTCCCAATCTTCTTCCTCCTCTTCCTCTCCATATTTTCGAAACCGAAGCCAACAACCATGTGTATCGCATTAATATCAACGTCTCACCCCGATTACTCTCTCATAATCATAAATAACAGAGATGTACACACTCAACTCCCTCCATTCCCTCCAAGCTCAGTGCGAACAGCAACTAACGACGATTTCCCCACAGGAATACCTCCGCCGCCCAACGCACCCCGCAAGCTGGTGGCCAGCCCCCAACTCGCAAGTCCTCGGCGGCCGCGACCTCGCCCGCAAAACACAAGGCACCTGGATGGGCGTGACGAAGACCGGAAAAGTCGCCATCCTCACAAACTACCGCGAGAGCACGTCCGACGCCGCAACGGGGCAGCAATCCCGCGGCGCAATCGTGAACAGCTGGTTAACACGGACCCCCGATGACCCGACAACCACGTACGTTGAAGAAATGGTTGCTTCGCCGACGGCTAGGAATGTTGGCGGGTTTAGCCTGGTCTGCGGCTACGTTAACGAGCCGCTGGCGATTGTGTCGAACCGGTCGAGTGATATGGAGCAGATTACCTGGATTGCGGGGGAGACGGGCCAGACAAAGGGGCTGAGTAATACTGTCTTTGATGATCGGAGTTGGCCGAAGATTCTGGATGGGGAGAAGTTGGTTGAGGAGGCGATTGGAAAGCACGTTGAGAGGAATGAGGGCGAGGAAGAGTTGATTGAGAGGTTCTTGGAGGTCTTGAATACGAATTCATTACCAGCGTTGGACGATGATGCGACGGCGGAGGATTATCTTCCGTATTTCCGGAGGAGCATTTTCATTCCCCTGATTGGGACGAAGGAAAAGTCAAAGGCACCCTCTGCTGCTGCTGAAATCGCGGCACCGCCATCGTCGTGCGTTGAAGGGCATGGAGCGGAGGCAGCACCTATCAAGAAACAGGCTGATGATGGACACGACATCCTGGACAAGTCATACCTGCACGGTCCGTACGGGACGCAGAAGCAGACTGTTATCCTAGTCCAGAAGGATGGACGAGTCAAATATTTTGAACGCACGCTATACGATCAGGAAGCCAACCCGGTCCCTGTTGGTGAGGGAGACAGGACATTTGAATACCAGGTGGCTCGGTGACCGGCGCTATGAAAACTTTGGCATTGTCTTTCTGTCCGTCGGCATTGAACGTCTTAAAATGATCTTATGAGCCACGAGTGAGGAAACATTATGATAGAGCATTATTAGTACGTAGTAAGCCTTGATAATAGTTAGAACACTGGCACTTTTCTTTCTATTTTCAGCGACTATACCTTCTCGTAAAGTGTACTAGTCCCTACCGCTTATCCTCTGGTACAAACCCTGGAACTGCAGGTACTGTAGAGAGTATGGATGTACTCGGAATTCCACAGTACTAGGTATAGCGAATTAAGCTGGAGCCTTGTGCACCTCGGAAGGCCAATCACCATGCGGGAAACTAAGCTCTTGGAGAGTTGCTGACCAGCGCTCAGCCAACCTGGCCGGCCATACAATCTACAGCGTGTCTGGCGCTGTAAAAGGCTGAGCAATTACCACCAGCTTACTAAGTGACGCACTTACTATAGACAACTTTCAGCTACGTAGAGACCTCGCTCATGAGCCCGGAGTGAGGTTTCATCGAAGCTACCTAATAGGGTTGCGAATTCTATCAGCCGAGACCGGCAAAATGTTGAGTTGAGAAAGCGCCTGTCTCGCCGCGGAGTTATAAACTTACCAATCCGGATATGAGTCGCTGGATGGCTGTGAAATATAGAGAGGATGAAGAGAGCGGCAACGGTGTTGAAGCAGGTGGCGAATTAGTGAGGTGTTGTCTTGCAGTTAGTTATACTGAAGTGCTGGGGCGGGCGAGCGCATACTGAGCAAGGACGGTCCACTAGGGTCGTGATAGAGGACTGGTTCCAAAGAGTATATAGCTGAACAGGATGTTTGGATGACAGTCACTCGGCAAGTGGGGGTAACCGGGTTAGGGCTTAGCTCGTAGGTAGTAACTATGGGAAGATTATGCAACAACTAAGGTGTTGCCCTAGGTATCTCGCCAGGTACTCTCCTCTTGCCTGGGAATTGCTGTCCGAAATTAAGCTCCTCCCTTCATGTAATTGATATCTGGGGACTATTACAGCGCACATGCCTACCGTATACAGAGATTAGGAAACTCATGAAAGGGAACCCAGGTTGAACGACAATAATAATGCCAAGTGGCCGAAGATTCCCCGCGGCGATTTTGTGGGGATGGGGGAAGCTGAGGCTACTGTGGTAGTAAACTGCTCATCCGGCCCGGACCCGGACCCGGACGGCGGCGGGGGCAAGTTAAGGTGACTTTAAGCAGCGCACCCCGCTGAAAAGAAGGACCATTTCTCCATGCGAGAGCTGCCTCGTATCACGGATACTGTTTTCTCCCGGCAATAGCTCAAACTCATCTAAGCCATGGCCCACGAAATCACCAACCCTATCATCCCAGGCTTCGCGCCCGACCCTTCAATTGTCCTAGTCGACGGAATCTACTACCTCGTCACTTCATCCTTTCACCTCTTCCCTGGCTTGCCAATATACACCTCGACTGACCTAAAGAGCTGGACTCTTCTCGGTAGATTTCCATCACCATCTACCCTGACGGACCCACCGGACTAACATAGTTAGGGCACGCATATAACCGCCGCGACGAACTCAGTCTCGAGCACGCAACCTCCCTAGAAATCAACTTGGACACCGGCAACAAGCTCATCGCAACGCTAGGCCTATACGCCGCAACGATCCGGTACCACCAGGGCAAGTTCTATGTCGTGTGCACGAACTCGATCCTACACCCCACTGATGGGTGGAAACTCGAGAACTTCATACTGACAACGACTGACATCGCCTCGGGCGACTGGAGTGACCCTGTATACTTCAACTTCAAGGGGATTGATCCAGACCTCTTTTTCGACGACGATGGCACGGCATACATCCAAGGCTCATGGACAATCGACCGCACAAAGCAGCCCAGCTGCACAATCAAGCAAGTTGCCATTGACGTCGAGACGGGTGCGCACCTCTCCGAACCAAATGAAATCTGGACAGGTTGGAGTAAGTATGATACCGAGGGCCCCCACATATACAAGGTGGGCGGGTGGTACTACCTCCTCGTGGCAGAGGGTGGCACGTTCGAGGGCCACCATTTGTCCATTGCGCGGTCGAGATCCGTCTCGGGGCCGTTTGAGTCTTTTGAGAAGAATCCAATTCTCACCGCTAGGGATACCAATGAGTACATCCAGAATGTCGGGCATGGTGACCTTTTCGAGGATTCATTTGGGCAGTGGTGGGCTGTTGTTCTGGGGGTCCGTAAGGAGACTGGATGGCCGCTGGGGAGGGAGTCGTTTCTGGTGCCTGTGGAGTGGACGGAGGATGGGTGGCCTTGCGTCACGCAGCCAAAGAAGAAGTTTGTGTTGAACAGGAAGATTGGGAAGCTCAGCAACAGCAAAGAGAAAGAGGAGGATAACCTCGAACTCGTCCACATCCGCAACCCTGAGCCGGCCAAGTACGAATACTCGAGCAGCAATCATGCTGCACACATCAAACTCAGCCCAAGCCCCCAGGGCCTTTCAGCTCCAAGAGGACCGGTCACATTCTTGGGCAAGCGGCAACGGGCCCTAGCCTCCATCGCCACCGTCTCACTCTCCGCCAACAACCAACGTCGATCGAATATCACCGCTGGCCTTGCCCTCTTCAAAGACCACCTCCGCTACGCATCAATCGTATATGACTTCAAGTCTGGGTATCTGCGGTTTCACGCCACCAACCCCGCAACTGGCCTTTCGCGAACTATGGAGAGCCCCCTAGCCCTAAATGAGGTAGGCGATATGGAGTCCGCTACTGTGGACCTGCGGATCCAGTCTTCAGCGGATGCGTATACTTTGTCTTTCAGACTCGAAGCATCCCGAGACTGGAGCCAGTTGGGATATATTACGTCTCAAGAACTGTTCGTGAGGGACTTTACTGGGCCTATATTTGGTGTTTTTGCCCAGGGAGAAGAAACGGGTAACACGGTGGAGTTTCGCCATTTTCGGGTTGAAATTCATGATTAGTCCGAAGTGTTTGTTGGTCGCCGTTAATATAGTACCAGAGTCTGCCTCGCCGCTGATCTTGTTAGCATTTCACCGATGACACCAAATAGTATTATCAGTTCTTGTGTATGGGAAGGCACATCCCTACCCAGGTTGATTTGGATCTAATGGTGATTATCCGCAAGCATTGAAGGTCGGTAAGATCCCTGTTATCTTACCTCTATTATACTCTTGTAGACACTGACACTCTATTGATATAGCGATATTGTAGCTGCAATGAGGAGCAAGTATGCAGAACAAGAAGATGTATACTCTCGAGTAAGGGGAGCCCACATAGGAAAAACAGACATGAACATGATGGTGAACAAGTGGCTACCGAGTTTGGAAGACCCAGACACTTTCTTGGATCCCAATTCTGCTCGACCGGAAGTTCCACCTGATATGCAGCACGGGTGCGATGAATTGCCAAGTCACGCAGACGAGATTGGCGATGCATTTCTGGAGCTCCCTGTGTACAAGGAAATCATCACAGGTCATTCAGCATACGACTGGCTTCTACAGATATCAAGAAAGAGCTCTATCTCGGCAATAGCCATGAAGGTCTGGTGAACATCCGAGAAAAAATCCTAAGGCATCTATCTACCTTGGGACAATATGGTTAGCAGAAAGAATCCACCAACTTTCTACACCGTTTCAATTAAGATAGATTGGAAACCGCGCTTATTTCTCGAAGAGCAAGGGTACAAGGAAAGGCCGGAGATTGCGTTAGAACGAGCCATCACTCTTACTGGATCAATCACAGAAGCCCAGGCAGCAACAACGGCGGAGTACCTAACTCAAACTTGGCCAGTTACCGGTGCACATGTCCTACGCCTGTTGAGACAAGTAGTCGCAGAGGACAGAAGCAACCAAGTTCTGCCAAGTTCTGTCTTCACCAGCAGCCCAGCGCAGCAGACCAACCACCGACATGCAAACTGTTACTGATTATCTCCCGGATGGAACAAAGCTCGTTGCGCGGTATCATTTGCCAGATTCAAGTTTTATGGTATCCGATTAGCGCCACGCCAGCCTCACAATGCCCCTGCCTCCAGGGTAAGACTCATCATATCGAGCTTTCACAGACCGTACTACCCACTCGGATGCGTGAAAAGTCAAAATGGCCGCACAGCCCTTTACTTGAGAGCGCTGGTGCCATCGTGCTTGGCTATAATAAAGATGCGGGATGGATATGGGATGATTTTGGGGAACCAGAAAAGGGGGATTTACCAGTCTCGGACGATGACTCGGATAAAGAGGCTATATTAGATAGCGGAATTGGCTCTAGCATCACCATTGTCTCCTCTTTGCCAGCGTCGGCGAGTGAGGCTCTCCCTCTGCTCACCCACGCGGACCATAAAACTGCCATCATCTGGGCACTACCAAAGGAGCTTCTGGCCATTCGCGTATTGCTGGATATAGAGCAAGCAGGGCTTGGAAGGCACGAAGATGACCACAATACCTATGCCCTTGGACGGATGGGAGGCCATAATGTGGTCACTGCTTGTTTGCCATGCGACGGATATGGGATGAATGCTGCTCTCAAGGTTGCCTTGGACATGGAGAAGTCATTTCCAGCCGTTAAACGACATCTTGTAATTGGCATTGATTGAGGGATTCCATCAGAGAAGCACGATATCCGCCTGGGCGATGTGGTAGTCAGCACTCGAGTCATCCAACATGACATGGGAAAGCATACCAGGCCGGGGCTTCACAGGACAGGAATTACTCAACGCCCTGCCTAGGCGCTACGAACAGCCCTGAGTCTCATTCAATCTGATCCTCATTTACCTGAAGAACTACTCAAGAAATATGTCCAGGGCATCGTGGACCTGCGGCCCGAATATGGGGCCCCTGACAAAGATCAAGGCCAGCTTTTCGGACCAAGTGCGCAGCACGTCCATGGTGAGCCAACATGCAATAGCTGTCAGGGACCAATGGTTGCTCGAGTAGCTTAACCTTCTGGACCACAAATCCATTATGGTCTTATCGCCTCAGGCAATCAGGTCATCAAGGATGTCACGGTGCGCGATCAAATCGGTGACCAACTAAACCCTCTTTGCTGTGAGATGGAGGGTGCAGGAGTCATGGTTACCCAACAGTGCTTGATTATTCGCGGAATATGCGACTATGCAGACTCGCAAAAGAACGATCAGTGGCATAACTATGCGGCTGCCACTGCAGCGGCGTACGCGAAGCTCTTCCTCTCCTATATCCCGGATTTGCCTGTCGTTGTGGGGGTTCAGGAGGTAGTCGGCCCGCTGCAGAATGTATGATACAAGACTAATAGCCTGTAGCTGAGCTTAATGTAAGATTCTCGGCAATCCCCAACGCTACCCCACACTCCATGAGGATGGCGAAGGCTGACCTGTATGCACCTGTATCTTGTCGTACATCTCCCTTCCTCTGGCCTGCAGCATCTCTGAAGGAAGCTACCACAGTGCGCAGCTCTAAATCACATGTTCAGTCACCATTGTAGAAAGCAATAACCAAGAGCTGTCCCGGGTTTACCTCAAATACACGTTATATATCTATTCCAATATACGCATGCCGGTATGTATGTAGTATAAATGGCTTTGAGCCTGTACTATGAATACAAAATTAACATACAAGGCCTGTGTCTTGTACAGGAAAGCTAGTTCAATTCCGGTCTGACTTATAAGGTAATCAGAAGGAGCCATACTCTGCTCATATTAGAGATTAACTGCGAGATGTCCTGAGCGATTGCTGAGCTTGGGCTCTGCATCCCGACGCAGAAAATGAGAATCACCACGATCGGGCCTTCCCCTTCAATATACTCGGTAGCGGGCTCGTCGTTAAACATGATCAGACTCAACATTTATAGAGATTATATTTTATCTAGTAATCGCACTGATGGGCACCAACGGCGCGGCGCTCATGATCCTGCTCCTCTTCATGGCAATCACATCGGCCACCTCCGCTGAGCTCATCGCCGTCTCCTCCCTGTTGACCTTCGACGTCTACAAGCAGTACATCAACCCCTCGGCCTCCTCCAAGCAGCTCGTCATGCAGTCGCACTATTCTATCGTCGTCTTCTCGCTCGTTCTCGCGACCTTCTGTTGCGCGCTCAGCGCCAGCGGCATCAACATCACCTGGATTATCACCTGCGTGGGGGTCATAGTTGGCGGCGGCGGCATTCCGCTCGCGTTTGTCGTCCTGTTTCCGAAATCGGTCTCTCCACCTGGTGCCATTGCGGCGCCCTTGATTGCCATGCCGCTGGGTTTCGTGGCTTGGTTCGTGACGACGCATATCCGCTCCGGAGTAAATAGTGTTGCTACTACGGGTGAGGAGACGAATGCCCTCGCGGGCAGCTCGACGACGTGTGGGCTTGGGACTATCTTGGTTCTCGTCCTCTCCTGGGTATTTCCGTCCAGATATACCTCCGCTAACCCGGCACATACGGTCCTTGTCGAGAAGGTCTCCGGTGTAGAGACCGTCCATGCGCAGCCTCCATCTCCTCAGCAACCCAACTCAACAGCACCAGAACCAGTACCACCCTCCCAAGACGAAGAGAAACATACCTCGACGCAACAGCAAACCCCACCCGACCCCTCACCCTCAAAAATCGAAACCGGCAACGAAGTAATCGACTTCCTCCTAAACAACCACATCAAGCCCCTCGACGCAGCCGCCTACCGCAAAGCCCTCCGCCTCGCCATCGGCGTCTGTCTACTCTTCATCGTCCTTGCAATGCTCACCTTCCCCTTTGCCTTCTACGGGACGTCATTTATCTTCACAAGGGAAGCGTTCACGGGGTGGGTTGCTGTTAGTTTGCTTTGGGTGTTTTGTAGTGCGATGGCTTGTGTTGTTTGGCCTGTTTTGGAGAGTTGGGGGGAGTTGGTACATGTTGGGAAGACGCTGTTTGGGTTGAAGTAGAAGCGTTGCGTGACGTATCTACGGACTTAGTAGATAGACGGAAGGAAGCATGCTCGAGTGCAATGCGATCTATATGAAAGTAGTTGGCGTCATATGAGAGGAGCATCCCACAATTGCGGCCTATTATAGGTCAATAATGTACACATAGATTACTCTGGCTCTGTGTGCGCGATTAGGGTCGTTCGAGCCCTCGAATCTAGCACCCCCGTCTCACGCAGCCTGATCTCCCTCCCATACCCCTCCTCGTCATGCGGAGGGATCACAACGAAAATATCCTCCCAGGTCTGCCCACCACCCAGTAGAATCTCATCCTCCCCAGTAACCTCAACCCCCATCTTCTCTAACAGTGCCCTCAAATCCGCCATCACCTCACCAACATCCCTGTACTCCCCACCCCACGCCTTGACAAGAATATCCCCCATCCGCGCCTCCTCCAGCTGCTGAAACCGCCTCTCCTTCAACCTCTCTCGCTCAAGATCCCTATCCCAATCCGCCGGCCAATCCCCCTTATCATTATTTGACGAGAAAAGCATCGGCCACCGGGCATTCCCCGGCCCAACCGGCGGATGCACAGACTGCCGATTCGTAACCAACCTCCAAAAAATCGTCGCCCAGTCACAGATATCCCCGCGCGGCGACGCCTCAAGCTCACTCCCTGTCTCCGGGTCATACTCTACCTCAACTTCGCGGAAATCGAGGTAGGCTTCCCCAGAGCGGTGCCCGGCCTGGGCTGAGGGCTGTTCGGCTGTTGGTAGGGTCGCGCTGATGAAGCCTGTGAGCGCGGCGGAGAAGTCGGGGCGGATCCAGATGGAGGAGGCGCAGAGGTTGCTGAGGTAGACGGCGTGGGTGTGTAGGAAGTGCAGGGCTGAGAGGGTTTGGAGGGCCCAGCGGTGGTAGAGAAGCAGAAGGGGAGGGTGGGAGGTCAGACTGCTAAGACCCGAGGTGCTGTTTCCGATGACAGGGACTGGGAAAAGTGGCAGGCGGATTGCTTCCAGGGGCCCTGGGCTCACGAATTCGAGCTTGAATCCTGGGGTCAGGCGGCCGAGGTATCTGAGGGTGGTTAGTTGGAAATCATGCTTTGATTGTCTTTTGTATATGATCTGGCGACCCGCAGTATCATACGTATGGACTCACTTGACAATCCGAGGGTGAGCCTGCCCACCATTTTCTTCTGGGTCCTCCACACCAATAGCGTGCAGAAGATATTCATTCACGTCTCGTGCGTTGACCTCATATGGATTTGGCTCTCCGAGTGAGTCCTGGTCTTCATGTCCGGCATACGCAACCAGACACGTCCCATTTTTGTGCGGGACGACCTGGACGGATTCAACGAACCAGGCGAAGACACCCGCGCCTTCGTCGGCTTCGGGCGGGACGAGTGGCGGGGGCGGATGCGCTGCTTCCCATTGCCGCTGTCGTTCCCATTCCGCCCGGTCGGCGTCGGTAGCCTGCGGCAGCAGTAGCAAGCGAGAGAGTATGCCGCCCATTGTGCGGAGGGGGTTTCTGCCAACTTGTGGACGGACAAGGAAGTGCAAGGGTGGTGAAGCGATGTCTGGCTGGCTGTCTTGGCGCGGGATGCGGGCTATGTGATGCTAAGCCTGCTGAGCTTACTGGACGAAGGAAGGTCTTGGATTGATGCTTCAACGAACCGCGCTGCCAATAACATGGAATTGATAAGAGGCGCGTTCTTGGAGGGGAAAAGCTCCCGTAGCGGCTGAAGGTACTTGATGAAGTACCGAGTTGTTACGCGAGTCCTTCGCTCCTCCCATACGGGTTCCAGAGATCATTCGAAGAGACGGCGTCGACTTGATGGCCTTTGGCCCATTAGGAGGTGTAATAAGGTTCGGAAAACAGTCCGTACAGCGCCGGTTAAAGTCTAGAAGATAATATATGCGCGTACATCTGCCCTCTTCCACCATACTCTGCAGCGCGCCTCAAGACGTCTTTATGGCAGTAGAACAAGCGAGAATCTTCCCTTTGCGCGGAGAGCATCCCGAGACAACCGAAGGTCTGCTAGCCGAGGTAATCGAGCGGCCTTTCGATGATAATTGAGGTTGTAGACAAAGAAGTCAAAAAGCGCCTTGGCGATGGAGAAGTTCTTGCCGGGGGGAGGGAGAGTGGGGGAGTCCTTGAACTATTGTCACAATCGATACAACTGAATATGAGATACTTGTAGAGGTGACGAAGAGGTTCCGTAGCAGTTGAAGGTTTTTGAAGCGGTTGTTAAAGGAGTCCCTTGTTCCTTCCACACTACCCAGGTGGTTGATTCTCGGTGGTCTATGGGTCAAGATTCCACGGTATCTTCTACATTCATCTCTCCAAGCTCTGGTTAACATATGAGCTTTATTCGCTACCAGGTCGTCGGAAGTTTGAACAGGGTCATTCCTTATGCCCGATAAACCCTCTCCTACATCTATTTACCGAGGCACGTTGTCGCTACGTGGTATTTGTAAGCGGCCTTACATCTTAAGAGTATTAGCTTCCCAGTTTATGTAGGATTATCCATCTAATCATCAAACGGCCAAGTAGACCACTCCGCTCCGGGCAAAAATGCATCCCGAATGACCCCATGTGGCGTGACAATGCTTCCCCTGCCACTCCTTAACCACGGATTCGGGCCTTCCCCGTACATAAACTCAGCTACCTCCTTGTCAACCCAAACAGCGTGGCCAATCTGTTGGTAATCGGTGGGCACAGAGATGGAGATTGTGGGACGCGCAGCTGGGTCTCGAGCACGCCAGTCTAGCTTATCACGCATATCATCAAGTAGCTCGCGAAAGCACCCTCCGTTATCGACGAAATACAGGTGACCGAGAAAGAGTGAATGAATGGCTGGCATCAGTTCCAGCAACTCGATAAGATCATCCTTGTCAACATGAAAACCCGAGAGGCCGAAGTGACGAAGGGAGTGCCAGCTTTCGACGGGCACAATTATTCGCAGCGGTACCCATCCTGCACGCGGGTCACCGCCGCTGTAATTGGTAGTATCAGTTGCTGCATCTGGCGAGACGTTCGTGTGGAGACTGAAGTGTTCAAGGTCGTGCGCGTTGGCAAGGGCGCGGGACAGCAGTCGGCTGCGGTAGCACCGCCACCCGGTGTGCTCCTCACCCCGAACATAAAGGGCGAGGTCGAGGCGTCGAAATCCTGGTCGTTGAAGAATTGTCCCGAAGTCATAGTACTCCGCACTGGGCTCTTCGAAGACACGACAATTTAGACCAGTTTCCAGGTAATTGACGTCGATGACCAGCTCTGATATCTGGTGCTCGGGATATTCCGTCAACGCACGCGTTATTATTCCAAAGCCACGATATGTCGCCCTGACCTCTGGATCCTCCCATGGCCTTGCGGGTGTCCCGCTCCACACGTGGCGACCATTGGTCCAGCCTCGGGGAATTGGGTAGTTGAAACCTTTGGGGAAAGCACGGATCATCGGAGTCTCGTATACTGGAGCCCAGAGCCAGCCATGCGCGGCAGGGGTGAGCGTGATTCTCTCCAGGGCTGGAAACCGTTTCAGACCATACCAGAGAGCTTCGGCATCCTTGTTGAAATTGATCACATCCTCCTGCTGCTGGAGAATATTCTGATAATACTGCCAGCATACCCTGGGAGGAAGCTCATTGGCGAGATGCGGGGCAAGACGAGGGTCTTCAGGCGCGCTTCTTGGACCCACGCCCCCCTTGCGATATGGAATGTACTCTTTATTCCACCTCATTTCATGAATGAACCATTCATGGTCCTGATCATCCTCCCATTGGGGGTCTTCAATTTCTTCCGCTTCGTCCCGGTAGATGTTACGGGGCGGCGGTTTCTCAAGACGAGCATCATCCCAAACTATCTCTTTTACACCATGCCGGTATGTATCACTATCGGCAACGGCCCGAAAAACAGCAATGTTGAGCGGATTGGCGGAGAGAAAGACGCGGTCTAGGCGGAGCTGGGCGGCGTTGCACAGTGTTCTACACGTGAGCCGCAAAGCCTTGATGCCCTTGTTTGGCAAGTAGCCGACAATGAGATGTAGAAGCTCGGCTGGGAGCTCTGAGAGGAGAGGTGCCATTTTTATGTTTATTGCGACGGGGGATGTTAGGGGGTGGGATGGGTGGCTTGGGGAACTTGCTCCAGGATGAGCTAGCGACTCTCCACGTGATTTGCTGCTATCATATGCCTTTTACCTGTCTATTATCATCAAGCATGGGCTATAGAAATGTTCTTGGTTGTACTCCGAGCATGAGCTTAGTACTCCGGTGCTCGGCTGTGGGTCGAGACTACTACTAGTATACATGGCTTTTTCAATCGCTCTCTATAGAACCCATATAGAAGACTATACAAGACCCACACAGACATAAACATTTGCCTGTAATCCAGAACAATTATTCCTAACCGCCGGATTCCACGCATAAAAGTCGTCCAACGGGATCCCCTCTGCATTCGCAAGGTCCCAGCACCCTTCTCCGGGCTGTACGAGGTAGAAACTACCACAGTTGCCCACCATGCCTGTCTGCGTCGGCGTCGGTGTAGAGATTCCCATTGTCGCCGTACTCGTGCTTCTTGTGCTCGTCGTAGTGGTAGCGGCCGAAATACCGACGCATACATAGACGTTGGCCTGGAACTATGTAAGCGAGACGGGCTTCCTGATCCCTTTGTCTTCATCAACTAACCCTTACTAGAGCTCTGTCCCTAAAGGTCTCCCACGACCAGTATATGCCGGCCCATATTACTAAACGCAATCTAACCTCTTAAGTCTTTAACTTCTCTTTTGATTATGACCTGTCTCTGATGCGGCGCGACATAAATAATACTAGTATCTGCCTTGACTACTCTAATCTACCGGGCTACTGGAATACCATTGTCGATTCACCCGGCATCTAAACAGGAAGCGCCGAGAAGCGATTCTTTGGACTAATATTTAATAATTAGGACGGGCAATATAGCAAGTTAGAATTTGAATCCGGTCCACAGCTGGCTGGTAGAATCCGCGAGGAAATTGACGCCGCGCTATTCTGGAGCACGGAGGGCGATTGTCCCTAGGGGGACCAAGGGCTCACGTTTGCTGAGGGCTTCGGAGCGTACGTTGACGGGCGTATAGACGCCAACTTCTACTACGGCTTCTCTGTGATCGGAACTCAGTTCCCTCTAGGGCATGCTAATGTCGATCAGTGTAGCAGCTTCCTGAAAGTCACCGGCTCCATGGACGTCACCTACGGGATCAGTGGAGTCAGAGTCATCGACATATCATCCGCGAACAAGGGTAATCCGGCCTTCAGCGATGAACGCCTCATCAAATTATCTGGTCAAAGTATGATAGTCGGTGGGAGGCGGGTCAGGACCGCCTGCGATCCTTACATCGAGATCACATACCAGATGGCCACTCTGAATGGCACGGACGGTGACCTCAGCGACAGCACGACTGCCTTCAACGGTCGAGTCACAGCGCGTGTGATTACAGATCTCGGGGGCACCGAGGATCCTGCGGTCTTTTTCCCCAGTCGCTACCGGGATGGGCGCGAGGTTACAGCATACCCTTCACGTGAACCGAACAGGATCCAGATTCCTCAGGATGATATCCTGTATGACAGTCCTAAGGAGGGTGGCAAGATTGCTCTGGGAACATTTATCAGGTTTGGACTGAAAATGACGCTTCCGTCTCAACGCCCTGTGGACGTGAGTCACCCCCGATGCATCCCCCTCCCCTCTGCTCCATTAACGGCCGCCAGATCCCTCTCGTATATAACACCATTTCACAATTTTCCTACAATCTCGACGACGGTGGCGAGCCGTGCTCGGAATATGAGGTGATTACAAATATCTATCAGAGGGCTGAAGATACGTACGTCTGGCTTCCTGGCTGCTATGCAGATGTCTGTCTGCGAACTAACTGGCCAAAAGAGGCGATCTGAACTGGGGAGAAGACGAAACGGACGTCCAGCTCGCCTTGGACGCAGTACGTGGAGACCTGCCTATATACACCTTGCTAGCCGTGGATACTGACCATCAACTTGAACAGCAATCCCCTGCTCGTGGAAGCGTCTGCTATCCAAATGCCGATGGGGACTCCACCCTCGATAATAAACTCTTCGCGCGAAATGCATCTAAAACACAAGCTCTGTCCCCACCACAGACTCTAGTGTTTCACGACTGGGGAAATGCGCCGAATGAACCCGTGGAACCCGGCACATACTTTGTGTCGGAGGAGATCACCGATCTCCTGGGGGAGTCGCGATTGCAATTCCACTGCAATCCCACAGACTGCCACACATGTGAGCTGCTCTACGATCTGCGCCGCAACCAATGCTGTGGGTGCGTGAACATGGATGTCTCGTATGCGTTCAGCGATATCGAGAACTGTGATGCGTACTCCTTGACTTGGGACTGTGGGGGGGGGNAACGTGGTTACCCTGGCCCAATAGTGTCTGATCCATTCCAAAGATCCGTTGACTCTGAAGAGATCAGCGACGAGTTGCAGAGCGGCGAGTCGAGTGAGGAACCGCATGCCCTGGAGAAGCGGGTGCCGGGTGAGGACACCCTGAGTCCCAAGAAAGTCATTGCCCGCGACATTGCATTCACTCTTGGGGGGGATGATCGGTATCCCGCCTTCCCTGCGATGCATAGTTCTCCCTGGGATGGTATTGAAAACGGGAGGTGGGATTCGATTTCACGGTACTGGGGCAATGACTCGGCCGACTGTGCCGACTGGTCGATATCCGCACGTCGAACGGCCGACACCAAGTGGGCTAGTGACCAGACTGGCAGGCGTGTTAGGATCCGAGCAAACTATCAGAGTAAGTGTTCCCATTTTTCCTGCTGGGGAGGGGCGTACAGCGAAGGACAAGCATTGCAGCCGAGCACGTCTTCGAAGGCCAGCTGATTGGAGATTTTTTCACCATGTGGCTCCACCGGGGAAGAATTAGAAGCCAACTGCCTGCTCTTCCAGCTATGGTTGCGACGACGAGGTTCTCATGCCGGAACTCCCAACGGCGGTTCTTGACAGCCAATCCAGTGAGCTTCCCATGGTCCAGGGATAACGTAGCAGTGCCGTTCATGCACCATCTTCTGGGTGAGCTTGGCAGCATCAACAACCTTGACCGGTTGACTATCATGCTTGGGCGCCCAAATGGCAAAAAGGGGACCGTAAGTTGTCAACCGCGCAGATATGTTTCTGCGTATTGAGTCTAACTGTGTTGTTCTGGTCGTCCCTCGATGTTTCGAGGTTTCAAGCCGACTGACCATACGAGGTACAACAGAATGAGCCATGATGCACAGTTACAGTCCGTTAAAGAAATGGGTAAGCCGTTCCCAATCTCGTCCTGATGCGTTTCCCTACAAGTATTAGCTCCATGGCTCATACAATCGACTCCGCTGTCCAGCGCTCGTGGTAAACTACATGAACGAGCCGACATCTGGTTCAAATTCTGCTCGACGTACGAAGCCATCTACTTGCGTTTCCTTCAGTGGGATGAATGGTACAACAATACTTATGCCAACGGAGGCGCGACACGGACAATTCCAAACATGGCGGACGAATGGAAGCTCTATATCCGCGTCGTCTTGAATTCGTTTGTCTTGAACGCGCGCGAGAACTTTAGATACTTCGCTGTCAATCGCAAGTAAGTGTTGCCTCCACTCCATCTACTAGGCGCGTTTATTATATTACATACAGTATTTTGTTCACATCTTGATACCATACTAACGGCACACAACCTAGACGGGTCCCCGGTCTCGGAGGGGATCCCCCTTATACTGCGGCTTGGTTCACTAATGTGTTTACCAATCGGATTCAATTGAGGTTGCCTGGGGCTGAGAGGCTTTGCAGGTATATGGATCCCCTTATCGCTTGATAGTAATGGCACATTTCTGTGGTCAGAGTCGAGGTATAGTAGTCTAGTGATGGACGTTATATGGATGTTATATTGTTTGTCACTGAGCGCTAGTGCCATAATAGTTATACCATTCTAAAAGGATACAAAGCCTACTTTACTAGTAAGGTATATATGTTTACTATCTAGATCTTCTACCACTAGTCTTGGATCTTGCGCTTAATATTATAGTTATCTATTCTCTATTATTAGAAAATCTATATTATACATTATGCTATACCAAGTCATATACATTACACCTTGACGGGGCTACAGCATATAGTACAAACTCTCTATAGCAGCATGAATATTACCTCCGCCTACCTAACTTAAGTATTTCAGACCCTCCACCAAATCCGGCTGCTACTATGCCACGTGGGGAAAGGTTAGGCTCGATTGCCGTAAATCGCAACGTATAGTGCATGCTCTTGGTCGTCCAGATTTTGGGAAATCGAAGGAATGATTGCGTTGTGGAAAGCTCAGCTGTTCATTCATAAAAGCTGCCGACTCGCTCTATGGGGTGAGACGGAGGTGGCGAGGTCCTGCCACAACTGGATTACACGCGCAAGACACTAGAGCATAGGATATGATCCCTTCTTATCCGGCTCAGCAGTTGAATCTTTGCGCAGAGCCGCAGAGTACAATACAAAGTAAAAACCACAATGACTTGGACGATCATGGTGTGGAAGCATCAGTTAGGCCAATATTAATGCCAGTAAGAATTGATACAAAGGCTGTATCGCGTTATTCATGTTTGACGCTAAATCTATGGTCGTCTTCTCAGCAGCAGCGTTAATCTCAACGAGATCCCTCCCCGTCCCTTGAACAAACCCTGCCCCTCATCATGCTGTATAGCAAGCATCGCCAGCGTCGGCGACTTTCACAGCGGAATATTCCGGCTCTTCCTATTACTCAGGATACTAAATATTGCAAATAGAATGGCCAGACCCTCCGTCACAACCGGAACAACAAAGTACCCCCACCGAATCGAGACATAAGGCACGCTCTGAACGACCTCTCCACGCGCGAGCTGCATATTAGGCCCATAATGCACCGTATGCGTCATCGAGGCCGCCATGTTCGCGAACCGCTCGCCGACATCCACATCAATGCCCGAAAGCGCCGCCGCGAACCCCAGATATGTATTCTGGAAGTTCCCCTCCACCCACGAGGTCACGAGTGTAGACGACTGAAAGAGGTCTTGGAGAGCCACGAGGCTCGGGGATGTCACACCCAATGCTGGGATCTCGTTATCTGAGGATACGTCGGTGTATGCCAGGCCGAATAGCTATTCGTTACTCTCCTTCCTCCAGGGGTTTCCTACACCAACGTCGATTTCGCGAATCGCGATGAAGGAAAAGTCGCTGCCGTTTGCGTTTGCGCCGCTGTATTCGAATGCCGTTAGGAAGAGCGAGCACTCGTCGATGCTGACGTTGTGCACGATGAAGTTGAAGTCCGGTGTGGAGCGGTAGATACCGAATCTGGCGAATTTGGGAAATGTATCGGGAAGCTCAGGCGAAGCCGCGCTGTTCGCGATCAGCGAGGTTGTGTTCATGTAGTAGCTCGTCATGGAGTCCGTCTCGACGTAGCGAGTAGAGAGCCCGGTATCTTGAATCTTAAAGCAGCAATCAGTGTACAGCGCGATGTCGTCAGAATTATTCCCGACGAAGACCCGGAGCGGAGCTCCATCCCCTATAACCTCAGTGTCAGCTTAGCTGATCTTTTCCGGCAGGGCGAGGAGGTACATCACCTTATTGAGACCACTCGTATGGGATGGCTGGCAGTCAATGCTGCACGTGAAAGCCACCCTAGTTGTGCAATGTACCTGAATGGCGTTGGCATGATCTTAAAAGAGTACCCCCATCTCACTGGCGATATACTTGCAGAAGGTCAGACATCTGCTGATTTACTTTCCGAGGGCCTCCGGTACAATAACTTCCCCCCTTTGGACCGTATCAAAGCTGGAAAAAAATGCCTTTTATTCCTATGCCGGACACGAGGCGTGGAATCTGGCTTATTCAATAGCGAGGGAAGTTGTGGCCGCTCCTTCCTGTTCTGGTTTAGGAAAGAGAGCCACTAGTGGCCCCTTCTACGCTTGCTCCAAGATATGCATAGGAGGAAGGAACGACTGGTGGTAGTTGTTGCCTGGGTAACGGCTCTTTCTTTCCTCTTATGTTCGAGGAGCAAGTTTTATGGAGCTTAGTCGCGCATTACTTGCGGTTCGTGGGCGAGATGAAAGTCAACTAAGGTCGATAGATATCTACTATAAGCAAAGGGCATAACATCTGCTCATGCATGTGTACCGGCGCCGAACAGAAGGGGGAATAGTCCTGGATATTTGCGCCGTACCAGAGGTACTCCGTACAATTGCCATGTCGAGGAAGTCAAGATAGCGGTAGTGCTACAAGCAAACAGCCTTAGTAGGAGTGTGATAATATTAAGACGGCTCGGCCTTTCTCCTGGTAGATCGACTGGAAACTCGGGGATCGGATCTTATAGAATAAGTCTAAAATCTCCCCAGATTTATGCGCATAGCACGGTAGACATTGGGTACATCGGATACCTCATGCCCGTCTCGGTGAGCGAGAACCGGCTCCAGGCTCAGCGTCAGATCTGGCTTCTGTTTTCGTATAGCGTTGCGTTGCATTGCATTACATATGCGAGCTGCATGGCTGCCAGATCGGGGTTGTTCGGCTTGCCCATGCGTCTTTTGCGTAAGGACTTTTTTTGCTTGACAAGAATTGAAAAGAGGAGAAATACGCCAAATATCTTTTATGACTAGGTAAGTCGATGGTAACAGACTATACACATACACCATAAGATATTCGAAGACAGTCATTATTGAATTATTCAAGATATCCAGAACTCGAACGCTGAAGACACCCAGTGCCACGTAGCCCTAACTTGTGTAACGAAAAGCAAACGGAAACGAAAAAGTCACCACCCTTGCTTATAGACAACAATCCAGATGCACAAGCAAACAAACTCTCAGAGTCTAGAAAACCTCAAGAAGCAGCTGGCGCCTCATGAAACCTCACCGTAACCGGGTCCTTCGGGGTAACAATCAATGTAAGCCCATACCTAATCTCCTTCTCTGGCTGCATATCTTCAATCGCATCAAACCTTTGCAAGAACCTCGCAAGCACATACCCGGCCTCTGTAAGTGCAAACTGCTGTCCTAAACATACTCTCGGGCCGCCATTAAAAGGTAGATACTCCCACCCCGGCCGGCGATCAACCCAGCGGTCAGGATTGAAGACCTCTGCGTCCTCGCCGAAAAGTTCCTTCTGCCGTTGCATCACGAAGACGCTGTAGAGGACTTGCTGGCCGGCGGGTACATAGACGGGGGATTTGCCGTCGGGGCCGCCGCCTTGTGGGAGGGTTGTGTCTCGGATGGCAATGCGGCGGTTGACGGGGACAGAAGGGAAGAGGCGGAGGACCTCGTTCATAAAGTACTGTAGGTAGCGGCAGGACTTCAGGGCGGAGAAAGTGATGTTATCATAGTTTGGGCTGTAGGGGCCGAAGTCGGCAAGGATTATGGCGCGGAGCTTTTGGAAGACGGCGGGATGGCGGGCGAGCATGAGCATCGACCAGCTGAGGAGGGAGGCCGTGGTGTCGCGGCCGGCGAGGAGGATATTGAGGAGTTGCGAGCGTAGTTCGATGGGGTCTTTCGTGGAGGCGGCGAGGGCTTCGAGGAAGATGTAGTTGGGGGAGGCTGGTTTGCCCTCTGCAGCGGCTTTTAGGGCTTTGTTGACAAAGCGATCGACGTATGAATGCACTCGATGGTCGACGTATCTGCTTTCCTTGCTGTTGACTAGCCAATGGAATTTCTCGAAGCGGACACGCTGCGAGGCAAACCACTGGCCGCGGTCGAAGTAGCCTGTAAAGTGGTCTTCGGGGAGCTTTCCACCGTTGCGAAGTGCCTCTCCTTGGCTAGCTGAGCTCTCACCGAACAAGAATTCCGTTGCCGAGTCGATGGTGAGACGGAAGATGATGTTCTGGATGTTGGTTGTGGAGGTCCAGCCAGTAGCAGGGTCGACGGGGAGCGCACGCAGAGCCTGCTGGAGGTGGCGTTCTTCCAGGTCTAGATCACTGATTTGATCACGAGTAAACTGTGGCCGAAGCAAAGCGCGGGAATGCGCCCAGACCTCGCCATCAGAAGTAAACTAGCAGAGACAAACATTAGACCTCGGCGATCCACATACGAGGAGCGGGGTCATACAATGCCAGTACCCAACAAAGGGTGTAGACTGTCCCGACGGGCAGGACCCAGCGCGAAATCCTTAAACTTGGTGGCGAGTAGCGCCTGGATATTTGCAGGGTCGCAAGTGAAGATGTTATCACGACCGACCATGCGGATGACCCAGGTTTGAACATGGCGCTTCTCGCGGGCTGACAAGACGTTGACTCGGTGTAGCAGGTTTAAAGGAAGTGTTCCCTCTTTGTCGGCTTTGAGAGCTTCCTTGAGCGGACCGATTCCCAAAGCATCAGTTGGAAAGCGAACGAGGGTGCCACATCTCCAGTTACGGGCCTTTCGAGCATGAACCCAGGTAGACCACACATAGCGAAGGATCAGCAAAGATGCGGCCAAGCCAAGAAGGAGCGATAGAGGAATCATGGTGACGGGGCTGGGAGATCGAGAAAATGAACTTCAAATACGATCGTACGACGATGCGACGGGGTTGTGCAGTTTTATAGTCGAGCACAAGAAACGAGAGCGCGGAGGTCCGGGTGGAGACTGTGGGAGTGTATGTGGAACCTTGAAAGCTTCTGGCTCAAAAATAGCGTTCGGTTGTAGTACAGTTCTTTGCATGTGAAGCCATACATCTGCAGCGCGAGATTTGCTTATGCGCCCCCGAGCATACCCTGACAGGTAATCCTATGACAACAGGGTAAGCCTAATATAAACTTGGATGCCTGGAGGATTCATTTCTGCTTCTTTTGGTAGTTCAATGCACAATGATCCACCATGACATGCTCATGCTCTTGTCTTCCGCCGTTGCTGACCGGCCCTGGCCGCACCGTTCATCCCAGGTCGACATTTGCAAGTTTAGGCCTTGATAGCTTTACAGTCAAGATGCTATCACTAATAGTCCGCTAAGGACTGAGCCATGACCTACAGAACTTACATGCATGCCTTGTGCCACTGCCGTCCATCAATTATTTACTGCGCAGTGCAGCACCACGCTCCGCCACTTGCGAGTCATTCCCAAGTCAACTCTCAAAGATAAAGATAGATATCTGAAAGCCCTAGCCAACGAGTATCTCTATCACTCAACTAGCCAACAATTTCGATCACTTGGTCCTTGAAGGGGGGCGAATCACTGAATTTAGAGGACAAGGGAATACGCAACGCTCTGCTTTATAGACGGTATTTGTGACATATACTAGCCGTATAGATTCTCTGGAAGAGTGAGGACTTTATATAGCGGATGTATCTAGTATCTAGTAATATTTCTGTCCTGCAGGGACTATATAATCTCATATAGAAGAATATATATGACTTCCCATGTCATTCAAACATCTATAGAGTTCAAGTGTAGCATACGTTATTGGGTGCCAGCCTCAAGCTCTTCCTTTCCGGCATCTAACTGTACTAGCCTTGTCGGTTCCGATATCTCAAGCCCTCAGCACTAGCGGGTGATATCCGCTCAGACGGGGCTATTGCATCCCACGCCAGTGTACATGATTGAGACAGCGCATTCTCTGATTCCGAGACGTTGTCTCGATGGCTCTGCAAAGACGAGTCGAAAATATCGAGACGAGATATGCGTTGGTTTGAGACCTCGATTCGTCTAGTTGCTAAGGGCTAGGTGCGGCGTTTGGGATGTTGCAGGTACTCCTGACTAGCCAGCCACATGAGCTACAAGGCTGATGACATTGCTGGGGATTTATCCACTATTTGTTTGCCTTTATTTGTTGCTCAGTGGGCATGGCCTATACCCATTATCCCGCACATACTCTATAGTATGCGGCGTATGAACTGAGAAACCCATGGTTCGGTGGGCAAGATCGGGATTGATAATGATACTGAGTACTCGGGGGAGGGCTGGCCTGGAGCTCCTATACTAACCACTTTAGTACTTAGGTACAATGATCTCGGGAATAACCAACTACATTCGTGGATATTGGTCGTTTATAGATATTCTAAGAGCAGATCCTGCACTCTACCTCTCGTTTTCTTTATCGAGGCCACCCAATGTATACCAATCTATAGACCTGCATGTCTCGTGTCCAGATATCTTCGACTCTCTGGAGACTTTCTGGAGCCTTTCGCGAGCTTATTGAGCATCTACTTACCCTATATAGCTCCGCAATCCCTAACTATTGATATCATTGTCTATGCACAGCACCCGTATAGAGTTTCGGGGGCCATACTTCCGCACCTATCCCACAGAAACAAAAGGCTTAGTATAAACCCTATATTGTTCGAGAAATCTCTTACTTTGAGTCATTGCACCGCTCTACCGGATCCTCCAGCACATGATCGATGAAGCTTATTGGGATACAGTTCCGGATGGCGAATTCGTATGACTCGCTGAGCCTCTCTCTCTCTCTCTCTCTCTCTCTCTCTCTTCCTATCATTATTGACCCAAAAACAACAGACCTATCTTGATCAACAACTAATTAGTTCATCTATTGTATCAGATGCACTTAGTTTGACGTCTCTCCCAAATCTCCCAAGTCTCCCAGCGGCCATCACCATGATGCGAACCACCGCTCCCCCCGTCCAAGACATCTCCCACATCCTCAGCAAGCACTACGCCATCGCTACCAAGTCAAAGGAAAAGAAATACCGTCCCGGTATATTCAAAGCCCGCTCCGATGATACGAAACCTATAATCCCCGGCTTTCCCTTCATCAAAGAAGCCAAGAAACACAAGACCAAGCAACTGTGGCGCTGCGCCAATGTCACAACGGAAGCTGAGCTCGTGAAGGAAGTTGGTGAGTACCATCGAAATTGCCTTGGCTGCCCTTACTCTCATGATCTTGATAGTAACCTGGTTTATATAGAGATGAAAGAGTCTACTCGTACGGCCGAAACACGGCTGGCGGGTCTGCGGCAAAGGATACACGTCGTATACCCTGAGCACCGCCTCATTCGGCCGAAGCTCGAGGTCGTGCTAGACTCCTTATTGAACCACGCTCTGAATTCGTACAGAAAGAACGAACAAAAGAAGAAGGAGAAGAAAAAGACGCGCCTCTTTTCGTCAGGGCCCAAGCCCAATACCCGCATCCCCGAATTGGTATCAATCACTGGAGAGCGCTCGTTGACTAGGCGCCAGTTGGTTAAGGGGGTTGGTGAGTGCTGTATCGCCACCAAGGTCGACCACCTGGTTCTCCACGGGGAGCCGGAAGATCTCGAGGTCAGTGCCATTATTGTAAGAGCGAGGAAGGTTGGCGAGATTAGGGTTGATCTTTTGTTAGCGAACATGGGTGAGCACCTAGTTGCCCCTCTCTTTTTTCCCGCCTCGTGAGCCCTAACAACGCGAGATTGTCTTGTTCTGTTTGATATGGCAAGCTAACCAGCTTTCAGCGAGAATCCACGAAGCGAGGCTATTGGCCGACGAGAAGAGTACCGAGATTTGGGGCATCGCAACCGACTGTGAAAGGTGGACCTTTGCGTATATCGATAATAAAAGCCGGGTACGTCCCCTCCCCGTCCCCCCCATTCCTTGCCCTTCCACTAACGGAATTTCAATCAAGTGCTCCTACCACAGACTCACCTGGTCATCCCACAAAAACCAAATCGTCTCCCACATCATGCGAATCTTCAGCAAGGCAATGGACCGCGCAACCAAAGTAGCCAAGGCTTTTCGTCCGAGCCGGGCTGCAGTCTGGAGGCAGAAGGTGAAGCGGTATGCGGGGGACCATGAGATCCATCCGTCGGGCCTGCGCATTTTCGACCGGAAGAGGAGGAAGATTTATTCGCGGAGAGATGATTTCACAGGGAAGTTTTTGGATTTTGAGGATGATTGATTCTGGGGGTGATTTAGAGTGTTTTGTTTTGGTCTCAGTGTTGGTTGGAGTTCGCGGTTTGGGTGAGAGAGCTATTTAGGGCTGGCTGGCTTCGATAGATCAAAGTGTTTTGATTTCTCATGGGACGCACCTGCTTTTCTATGTTGTTGACTCTGCTGTCATAAAAGGACTTACTTCCTGAATGTATACGGTTCTTACTCGCTTTTGTTAATCCCTATGGTTTGTTCTCTGAGAGGGAGCGGACGTTCTGAGACGATTGATCTTGGCCTTGGGCGTGGATCTCAACTTCTCCATAGATGTCGTCACAAAGTGGGACATGAAGAACATTATCCAGTCAAGATTAACTAGCCATAAAACATGCCTACTATCTATTAGATTTATTTTGATAGTCAGTTGACCTTCCTCTTCACCAGCCCCCGCATGAAATCAAAACTATTACTATCGCTCTGCAACTGCCACACCCTCCCCGTAGGCCTATCATCCCAACTAAGCTCCTCAGCTAGCAGTAGACCGAAATCTCGCGTGACTCCCTTGATCCTTGCCCGCGCACCACCCTCGGTCTCTAGCGTGACAATCTGGTTCGTATGCAGCCAGGCGTTGTAGTACATGTCCTCGAAGGTCCGGTCGAATCCGGTCCGGAGGAAACGGTTATACAGGTCTTCGAAGACGGTGAGGATGCGGGCTAGCAGTTTCTCGAGGGTAATTGGGGCGGCCCGGCGGCCTACGAAGCGGGAGGCGAGCGCGGTCAGGGATGTTGTTGGCGAGGCGTTTGTGGCGTTGAGGCCGATGCCGACGACGGAAGTGTATTCGTTTGAAGAGTAGGAGGAGTTTACGAGGATTCCGCAGATCTTGGTGTATTGCTTTTTGTTTTCCGGTTGTTCGGGATCAAGGGCGTCTATAACAGTCAGATGGTTGAATGGTTTGTGATGATTTGATGTATACTTACAGACGTCGTTGGGCCATTTTAGCTTGACTGGCATGGCGTCATAGCCCTCGTCGTAGCTGCGTATACCCTGAACAACGGCCAACGCCGAGAGGTACTGTATCAACACAACAGGAGCGGATTGCATTTTCTCCATGGGATGCCGTACGACGGTGGAGAATATGAGCGCACCAGCCGGTGATACCCAGACGTTGGAACCTCGGCCTCGACCGGCTACTTGAGTTGTAGCCGTGGCGGTCGTGCCGGTTGGCATGTTGCGGAGAAGCTTCACATTCCTATCCGAGTCAGAAAATGCGCAATAGTGGAGAGGTCGACTTACTTTTCCAAGATCGTGTTGGTACTCGTCACGACTTCTCCATATAAGATGTTTGAACCGAAAAGTGAAGCTCCTTCCTTTGACTGCGCCTGATAGTCTCGAAGATGCGAGTAGAATGCATGGTGATTGAAGTATGGCGTCAATTTAGACGACGGTACATCGTCATGAATGACAAGTCGCTTGACGATCGACTGATAGTCCACAATTCCTTCCGTCTGAGAGGACTCAGACGGACCCTCCTTCGAGTCCGCTGAGAGACTCTCGGCAAGTGTCCCCATATTGTACGCACCCGATTTCTCAATCTTAAAGGTGTCGTGTTCGTCTTTCAGGAATTCCTTGTCGCCGACTAGTTCCTCAAGAGACTTTAGCACCCGCTCTGCATCACCAGACGACAAAGACGAGAAATGCAGAGACGATAGGGAGGGCACGTGCGTTGTATCTTGCGCCACCTGTAATCCCAGCTTCGACAGACAAGCTTTCAAGAAGTCCGTCCGGCCCTTGTCATCCGCAGCCAGGGCGTCAATGACTTCGGCGTATTCAGGGCCGCCAGCTTTGCGATCGAGGTTCACCGCCGCGAATCTATAGGGTCAGCTGGTTTTCTCATATGGTTGTGCACTACTCACTCAGGATGCGGTCCCGTCAGGATCGCTGCCCCATCGCCAATAGGACAGTAGACTACAGCGGCAGTCCCAGTTCCCGGGTCGACATTGAGTCGGTCCGCATAACTCGCCAAAACCTCAACACCCTTGTCCGCATACAGAGGTGCATCAACAAAAACACCACCGCCGTTGTAGTAAGATCGGAAGTTCGTCGGCACGACCCCGGCGCTCAGCGCCTCCTTTGAGACGGTAAGCGCAACAGCACGCGCGCCGGCCTCGCTGTGGTAGACAAACCCGCGAAATGCCCCACCACGACAAGTCCCCGGGTAAAAGGCCAATTCACGCTCTCCAATAACCTGCAGTGTTTTATCGCCGACCTCAAACTCGCAGCGCTTCGACCCGTAGTATGCCCCCGCGCAAAACCCGAGGTAGGCGCCCCCGCGGCGAACGAACTGCTCGATTCTGTGATTTCCGACGCCATTGAGCGCGCGGCAGTAGCCCAGGTCTGCGCCTCCGGGAATAACGAGCAAAGCACATGTGAGCGTCCATGGCTCTTTGATGAGCATTTCAGCTGTAACGGGGATCACGGCATAGTGGGAGGCTAGGAGGCGGCGGAGGGTGTAGAGGCAGTGGCGGACGGATTCAACGGTGGTTCCATCTCCTAGAAATGATCGGTTATTTCCGTCTCACGCACAGAATTACTATAGGATGCATACCAGAATAAACCAGCACGTTGAGCTTCTTCCCCGTGGTGTTGGGAGCGGTCGTCGCCATTGTTGCGGGGAGTTGGAGCCGCGGAAGTGAGTCGAGCGGACTTGAACTTGTTTTCTCCTTCCTCAACTTCGGTTACTATCGGACCACCAGTCGCAATGATATCAAAGAGAGAAGAGAAGCCCAAGGTGGCTACAGAAGTCGACGATGATGAGCCCGATGACTGGTAAGGACCTGAGTTCCGTCCCTGCTCTTATTCATTTTCGGAATGTTGAGCGGTCAATTTGCAGGGACAAGCGGATCTTCAGTACCGGTTGCGCAGGTATCTCAACCATCAACCCCAACGGTCGACACTATTGAGAGACTGCTCTAACGCAATTGACTGCAGCCGAACAGGACAAGCTGAATGAATGCTACTGGGCCAAGAAGGACTGGCGGAGCTGTAAGAAGGAGGTGAGCGCACTCATCCATACAACCTTCCTCGACACTCATCATATCCATTTGAGATCCTTGTCAAAACTTCAATCAGTTATTGCTTGACTCACTTATTCTGTTAGATGGAAATTTTCCGAGAGTGCTGGAAGCGACATGGAAACGACGTCCGCACGCAGAGTAAAGACGCCTGAGCTCCCTTTTGCGAGCAGCCAAGTAAACAGCACCATGAGGTGCATCTGTACCATACTAGAACTCTCCTTCATGTATACTAGAAGCATATCTAATGAACAAACCGGCCATTTAATCAGGTTGAAGATCTCTCGCTCCATCCACCATGAAACAATCACGTGACATGATACAAGCTTCAAGCTTGACTTCAAAATCTCCGCAACGCCACAGCTATCTTTTCCATTGATTCCTCCCCTACCACGTCAATCTCGAAATCATGGCCTTCCTTCGCTCGCTCCAGGCTACAGAGCCTCTTCTACAGAGATTAGCCGTCTACCGCAGCACCGCCCGCCCGATCGCGTCCTCCATTCCAATCTCCAACCTCTCCCGCGCAACAGGCGCCCGATACTTCAGCAAGCCCACCTCCGCACGCGCTCAAAATACCACAACACCATCGCCAACCACCCCCAAACCCGCTCCCTCTTCCCCCGCCCCCAGCGCCGCCGCCGCCAACAACAACAACGCAAAAAACCACCCAACAACCCCAAACATCTCCAAAACCGGTCTGGATGACAAACCCCTCGAGCTCGACAACCCAGTCAACGACAAAATCGACTGGACGCGCTCGTTTCACGGCCTCTCTGCGGAGCCCTTCCCGCGCGAAATCGCCGACATCCTGCTCGCCGAGACAGACCCTGAGGAGGTCGAGATCAAACCCGATGGCATCCTGTACCTCCCCGAGATCAAGTACCGCCGCATACTGAATAAGGCGTTTGGGCCCGGTGGGTGGGGGCTTGCGCCCCGGAGTGAGAGTATCGTTACGCCGAAGACGGTTACGAGGGAGTATGCGCTTGTTTGTCATGGGCGGTATGTTTTACCTTTTATTTTTTTTTTTTTTTTACTTCTACTTGTTTTAGCTGGGTTCATGACTGATCGACCTCTTCTCTACACAGGCTTGTCTCCGTAGCCCGCGGCGAACAAGATTACTTCAGCCCGGACGGCATCCCCACCGCGACTGAGGGCTGCCGATCCAACGCGCTCGTGCGGTGCTGCAAGGATCTAGGCATAGCCAGCGAACTGTGGGATCCGCGCTGGATCCGCAAGTTCAAGGCGCAGTACACCCGCGAGGTCTGGGTCGAGCATGTGGTCTCCAAGAAGAAGAACAAAATCTGGACGCGCAAGGATGATCCTGTTTCGTATCCGTGGAAGGAGACGAAATAGATTGACTAGGCCACAATACGCACGCCATGTTTGTTCGTTGTGGGTTGACTAGTTGGGTTGGAGGATGTAAGATAGTTTGTGGAAATCATATTTTTGATATGTTGAGTCATGTCGTGTTGCTGTGATACCCATGGTACTTGCAGATAGAGAAGGATTTCTTTCTACTCGGTTTACTGTACGATAGGATGAAAAATAGAATATCTCCGAAATTATAACTTCATTTGTTCTCAAATCGCCAATTCAATTGACGAATTGAACGTACCTAGTAAGGCTTCGTCTAGATAGCATCCAGATAGAAGATATTCGAACTCCAAATCCCTGATTTACATTTTTTTAACATATCATTGTCACATAACCGGGCAACCCATCAAAGGCCCCAGACCCTCCTTCCTACAGCTTAGACCCGTCGCGAGGCATCCGGGTTATACCGCGGATCCCTGTGAGGCGGCTCCCCATCAGGTGAAACGGGCCGGCCATACTCATCGTAGATTTGAGGCTGAGAGGGGTGCTGGATTCGTGAAGGATTCATCTCCGAAGAGAGCTCTAATGGCGGACTAGAGCTCTCTGGCTGCTCGTAGCGCTCCGAGTAGCTATATGGGTTTGAGGGCTGTTGTGAGAACCCCGGAGCTGGCTGGACTGGGGGAGCCTGGAGATGAGGGGGCAGGGAAGACTCGGTTGGGGAGGCTAGTGGTTGCTGGGTCTGACTCTGGGCACTTGGCTTGCGACGGCCGGTGGATGCGGTGGATGCCCCGCGGGTAAGGGAGCCATGGTTTACGCTGAGGTTGCGTTCCTGGATGGGCGAGGACAGGGAGGTTCGGTTATATTCAGCGTTGTGGCTGTCGCCAAGTGGGGAGTTGAGGCTGTGGTATGGGTCATTGTTGAGGGTGCTCTCACTGTAGGCGCTGCCGGTGCCGGCGGCTGCTGCAGCGGTCCGGCGCTGAAGGGATCCTGAGCGGCCCAGGTCAATTCCGGTGGATTTGGAGGAGTCAGTGAAGCTGGTGTCTGGACCGGTGGAACGGCGGATTCCCTCGCTGGTGGATGGCTGGCGCTGGACGTCGGGCTGGCTGTCAGGACCGTCGCCAGGACCGTCAGTGCCTTCAGCGGGAGCCTCCTCCGCGGCGACACCAGGGGCGCGAATAGGGATCTTGCGGATGGCGGCAACCAAGGCGCACATGAACTTGGAGCGGCGCGCAGCACGGACGGATTCGATGGCCCAGTTGGATTTGTGGCAGAGGGTCACGGTCAGCTCTAGTTTGTCCATGGCTCCAATACCAACAACCTCGATGTCAACATCCTGTTGGAAGTCGCGGCTGTTCTCCTTGTCACGGACAAACATTTCTATTTCGTCCTTCAGGACCTGGATTTCGTTCATGGAAGTGTCAAAGGCGACTTCAACTGTGATCTTCTCTCTCATGGCAGCGGACCGCGAGTAATTGTCAATCCAGATGGTGTTGAGGACGGCATTGGGAATCTGAGTGACACGGTGATCCGTCACATTGCGGAAGACACTGTACAGCAGCGAGATACGCTCGACAATGTAAGGTTGGTCCGTGATTTCCACGCGATCGCCAATGTCGAAAGGATGCTTGACAAAGAGGAAAATGCAGGAACCAAGCACTTCTTGCGCAGTGGTAGCGAAGACGAAACTCAGAGAGAGAAGAGTGGTGGCACCAGCCGCGATGACAGTACCGAAGCCGCTAGTGACAAACGAGATAAAGACGAGAACACCAATGATGAAGGCAACTGTAGCGAGAAGGTTATCCAAGACGTGAATGGCCTGGTCAACGTCGTGCATGCTGTGGTTCAATGCTTTGCGGGCACGTCCGATCTCGGAAATAGCCAAGATGATTTCGTCCAAGCTGATATCACCATTGCCGTCCCGGTCCAACATCATGAAACATTCTTCCGCGTCAGCTTCCTTTCCAGCTCCCAGAACCTCGATAATATCATCGGGGAAAAGGGCTTCGCGGCCTTCGATCACAAAAGACATCCAGATTCGACGGGCCAGGGCTTCAGACGAGCGCCTACGCTCCAGTGCCTCGCTGACGATGGACCGAGCTGCGCCTGAGTTGAAGACTTGTTTGCCAGTGATTTCCTGTGCGACATCGCCCAGCGCGCCCGTGATCTTGCCTCCGAACCGTCCAACATTCTGACCTACACCGCGAATAAACCGCAGCGGAGCGGACGAGCTCGAGCGCAGGTGGCCAGGTCTACCTTTCTCAGGAGCTGCTGCAAGGATTGAGTCGGAGATTATTGCGTCATCTTCGCGGAACTCCTTGCAGTACATGGGGAACATGCTGCGCGAAGCATCGTACAGAACACCAATCAGGTAGATATTGCGCTTGGACTCCTTGATCCTCGTGTCAAACTGCTTACGGTGGTAGCTGATCGAGATGAGCTGAACAATGGTCTTTTCGGCGAGGAAAATCATAGCGCAGACCAGAAGAGCGAAGAGGACGTTCTTGACGGACTTTTCCCAGCTCTTCGTCCCGGTGTCACCGTCAGCTGTGTTTCTTGGGTTGTACACCATGATCTGCAGATGTGTTACTAAACGATCCCACGCAATTGACCAATACACTTACAGGCAGGAACGTCACGAGTGAGACAATCATCCAAAGTACCGTAGTAATCGGCATTTCCAAGTTGCGCAGAATTAGAGCATACTTGCGAGTCCCGGAGCTGACAATTCCGCAAAGGAACTGGAAAACGAAGGGAATGACCTTTGCAACCAACTTACACACCCACAAAGACACCCAAACAACCTCAATCCAGGTGAAAAACCAGGGAAGAGCCACGCCGCCGATTTTAGCATCCGGGGTGGCTGTCGCTCCGATAATAATCGGGATTGCGATAAGAGCGGCGAGAGGTGCGACATAAATCATGTAACGGGTGACGATTGAGAAATTGAGAACGGCATTGTAGAAGCGGCCCAGGCGGGTGATTGTACCATCCTCCGGGTCGTCCAGCGAGCGGCCAGTGTTTTCGTCAATGACCCTCCTGCGGCGATGGCCAAAGCCGTGCGAGCTAGAAGGGGTCTCTGCGCCCAAGCCTCCCTTTTCGCCGCCCATGCTGTTCCCAACGTCTCCTGCGGAATAGCCTCCAGACGGCGAGGCTGGTATGTTCATGTTGTTGCTCCGTGCACCAGTCTGCCCGCGACTGGTCACGTTCTGTAAAGGAATGTCGATGGTAACATCGTTGGGGTTATGCATGTTCTCTTGGCGATGATCTGGGATTTGCTGAAAGCGATGGCTGGACAGACGCTTCTCCGCGAGACCTGGTCGTCCAGACATTGAGGATTAAGACCGAGCGCGTGAGCGAGGGAGCTCGAGCATAAAGGAGCGGGAAGTGTGAGGGGGATCGACTAGCGAGTTCTAAACGAGAGTTAGGCCGAGTCAATCGTCGAGATTGACCTCTTATGACAGAATGACACGAAAATCACGGATCGTGTGGAGAGTGAGCGTAAACGTGGGTCGTTGGAGACCAGAGAACCCAGGCAAATGATGCAATTGGGCGTGTTGTTGAGATCGTCGAGGCCTCAAAGAAGGAAAGGCGCGCGAGCGAAGGGAAAGAACCGGAAGAGACAGAATGGCAGCGCAGAAGGACTGGCAAGGAGTGTGGGAGACGAAAGAGACAAAAGTTGAGGACGCGAAAGAGGAGAAGAATTTGAAGCTGACAATCGGAGAAAAAGACGGACGTTTCAGACTTTGGCGAGGTTTCATTCGATCCAGAATTGTGATCCTCGAGAAACGCCACCATGCGCCATGCTCTAGATTCCGAATTTTCTCGCTTTGACCGCGAACCATGGTCTTCTGGCATGTTGGATTCAGGGGAATTGAGGATCCGTTCATTTCTCCGCTCCTGCATTGCTCGTTGCCTCGCACTTGCATCAATTCCTGATAACTTGACCAGACTGGGCGATCGCGAACCGATCGATGCTGTGATTTCATCATGGTATAAATCTCATAGGGCAGTGCTCCACACTAGCGCGCCTTCAGCAGCTTTAGTGTGTGAACATCAGTGCGCTATTCCAGATCTCTGGATCGAGACCCGTCTTCGCCTCGTCATGTCGCCAAATATAGCGCCACGAAATTACTGAACCATGATGAAAGAACACCCGATCTATCAACATCATCAATTTGTCAATCTATCAACAGTATCAAGAGCTGTTCCTCAGGTATATCGCCGCCTCATTATGCGCCTTTCCGAGCCGATTTGTCCCCCGCCAATTCGTGTCATCCAGAATTTCTTTGCTCTTCCAGTCTAATCCAACACCCCATACTCGATCGTTCCGACTCCCCTCAACAAATACTCTCTCGCCACTAGTCAAGTATAGCTCCTTCAGCTGAGAATCCACCTCTGCACGCGCAACACAACCGGCAAACACGATCGGCTTCGACGCCTTTGTCCACAGTTCATCGTCGAAATTCGGCACCTTGCGACCCAGCATCTTCTGTGACTTGGGCGAGTTTGTGCGCATAATGCGACAGAGGGATGATTCCCAGAGGCCTTTTCGTTGAGGATCCGCCGTCTCAGGGAGTGGTTTAATGCTTAGCATATCGTCTTGGAGTTCATCAAATGATTTCTCGTCGAGGTCTTCGATTGATTCGCCGAGTGGAATTGAATCGCGTTCGAAGAGCCAGGCTTTGAGAGCCATCATCCATTGCTCGCCACGGCGAAAGGAGAACGCCTGGAGAAGCCGCGTAGATATGGCATTTTCGTCCGGATGAGGTATCTTCAATTCGTCCAGCTGAGCAAGACACAGTTCGAGGGCTCGTTTTCCGGAGAATGGCTCAGGGCTGGGGTGCCAGTTTGAGAGGACGCCGCGAAGGAAGTAGATGTGTGAGTCTGTTACCCGGATGTCTGGGTTCTCAAAGGAGCTGGTAGTTTCATTACTTTGAGACATGGCGTTTGAAAGGTACGTCTAGATTGATCTTGAGTCCTGACTCTCTGGCAGAGAATGTCCAGCTTTTATTCTCTTGATGTGTGGGGAAGCGGCTCGTATTCAACTTCAGCCGCCAGGCTGTACAGAGCTTCGTCGAGTCAGAGGTGAGTCAAATATCGACAATTAAGCTCATCGCGCCCACTTTCTGTGGCGCAGTTGCCTATCAGGAGGCAGCTCAATGACAACTTGGAAACTTTCTGCGAAGGGCTGTTCGTGGCATTAAAAGATCCTTGATTAAATGGGCTCTAGCAGGTAGTACACTCTGTAACACCAACATTAAATCAACTTGGAACGCCCAGAAATCTGACAGATTTCAGCAATAAGTATCAAACTAAGTCTTCCAGCTACTCCGGCAAGTTGGGCACGTTGTACGATGTGCCTCAGCCAACCACTTCTCAATGCACTTCTTGTGGTAGTTGACACCGCACTGAGACTTGCACCAAGAAATATCAGTTTCTGCCTGTTCCTTCTCTCGCTCATCGCCTTCGGACTCTTCATTGTCTGTTTCATTGTTGTCCTCACTCGCTTCATCGCCGTGTGCATTCGAGGTCTCGCCAACAGTCGGAGCATTAGATTTTCGCAATGGATCCAAACAAATGCTACATTCCCCTTGCACAGGTCGACGGACTACTCCCCGTGGACGAGCAACTGGAGCAGGAGAGGGTCGAGGTGGAGAAGGAAGAACTTGAGTTGAAGAACGAGACGAAATGGTACTCGTAGCGCCTGGTGTTGCTACTGGGCCAGTCGAGGTCAAAGTGGACATAATCCGACGAACAGGTTCGGGATTTGCGGGGATACTCGGTTCCGGCGTTCTGCTCGCCGCCCGTGAGACACTTGTCGCAGACTGCTCCTGTAAAGTACGGCTCGTGGTGCTTGCACTAGTTCCATTGCCAGCACCAAAGCTCAGGACAGGCGCTGGGTGGCTTGTTCTCGGAACCGCACGAGGAGAAGATCGCGAAGGAGACGCAAGTTCGGCGGCCCTCTTGGCCGTCAGTCTCTCTATCTCCGCAAGGCATTCTGCCACAGTCCACCCCTCATAGCGGTTCTGCGATCGACTACGCGATCTTGGAACGGAGACGGAGAATAAGTATCGATCAATGCGCGCCTGCCATGTCGAAACGAGGCTTGATGCTTGGTTCTGGTGCCACCGCGTGCACAGCACATGCGGAGCAAGGTCTTCGAGGATATCGTCAATGCATAGTCCGGCGTGGAAGTCGGCAGTTCCTTCATCTAAGAGGCTCAGCGCGGCTTTTCGGCCGCGGGCGTTTGTCCGGACACAACAGCGACGGCCCTTGGAAGGGGCAAATCCGGCGCAAAAGGGCTCGCCTTCTGGGTCTAGTTTGATGATTGAGGAGAGGTGTGGACCGTGTGTGGCTGAGGGTTGAGGCTTGCTGCGTGAAGGCATGATTATTGTTCAACGTCTGCTGGATGAAGGAAGCGAGTGATGCATATTCAACCTGCAATGCCCTCTGTATCTATATACCACTCCATGGGTATAGTTATCCGTCTGCCTAAGGTTCAAATGCAGCCCACCCCCGATGCCCTGCCACATATCCGTGGCTGTGATCAGGCTAAGTCAATGCACGATAACGCACTTGACCAAGCACACAAGTTCGAGTTCCAAGTCAAGCCCCTGGTTCAAGACGGGACGGGGCAGTGTGCGTGCATTAGCCGCTACACAAACTGGTTCATGTGGAGGGGATTGTCCCATATTCCGTTGGAGAATATGAAATCGTCATAGGTTAAGTCTCCTTAGCCTCATGCATGTTCACTGTGCCGCTGGTTCAGGTTGCCAATTTTGGGGCGGTTAACTGGGATGTTGTGTGTTAGCGGCACTTGCGCTGCGGCTACTGGTGGTTAGTTTGGGACGGTGTGGTGAGCTTGCAGTAGTCGCCCACCCTGAACATGAAATGAAAAACGGGCTGAAAATAGTACATGTCGAATCGAGGAGGTGTACCGGAACGGGGTTGATGGAATGGATCGGTTCGCTAAGAGGTGAGTTGTTTTCAAGGCCAATACGTGGCTATGCCGTGTGGCTGGGATGCAGGCTACAGGCAGTTTACTGGTCTTGTATACACATCTCCCATACATATCAAATGCAATGCAATCATTATCTTGCTTATCTACAGTATACATCCATCAAAGAGCCTACCACGCCGCAGCCGCCCTCGAATCACTAACCAGCTTCCTCAACTCTTCAACAACTCTCTTGGTATCCCACCCCTCCTTCAGCCCCCTAACCAAAAGCTCCTGCTCACTCTCCGGCGCCATCCCATTCGGCGCCGGCGGCCTCTGATCCAAATTCGACGGGAACGGATACCCATCCCCAATCGCCCTGACTAGCGCCGTCAACCCAGCATCCAACCCACCAGCACTCTTATACCGTACAACCATCCCCTCCCAGCACCGCTCAACAATGGGCGCCGCCTCAACAGCCTCCATCGTCTTCCCCAATGCGCACCCAATCTGCAGCAGATTCGCCTTGCGCTGAAACCCATCAGCGGGATCCGTCTCGTTCGCCCCCGCGGCGTGGAAGACGGCCGGGTTGAAAAACACGCCGTCCCCCATCTCCAACGGTAACGCTACATAATTTGCCTGGAAGAACTCCCGGAATTCATCTCGGCGCCACGCAAGGTACCCAGGCTCATACCGTTGGCTAAAGGGCAGGAACCGCGTGGGCCCGCTCTCGAGCGGCATATCGCTATGCGCGACGGCACCTTGCAGCGTGAGATATTGGCTGGCCAGCTGGATTGATTTCGGGAACGCGGCGCAGGATTGCAAGTCCTGGAAGCCGAGGTGGTAATCGCGGTGGCTCTCTTGCGCGGCGCCTCCGGGCTTCACGATGTTCACTTGCGCCGTGATCCTGTACGCAGGACCCAGCCAGGCTTCGCTTACCAGAGAAAGCCAGGGATTGGAGTAGTAGGTGATGAAGGAATCGGGGTTGGCGAAGGCGTGTTTGGAGAAGGAGTTCCAGATGCGGTCGTTTTTGCCTCCCGCGGCGAAGTGGTCGCCTCGTTTGCTGGAGGATTCGCGGGCGATGATGGCTGAGAAGGCGGTGTTTGTTGCATCTAGTGTGTTGCTGTAGGTTGTTGGGTCGTACATGTGCTTGAGCACGAAGATGCCTGGGCCATCGGAAAGGATGGAGTGCCATTCATCCTGGAGGGAAGTGGTTTGTGTGGTGTCTGTTGGGTTGAGGGTGCGGGCGTCGTAGATGGGGATGTTGTTTTTGATTGTGGAGGCGTTGGGGTAGACGGTTGGGTCTGTCGTGCGGGAACATATTTCTTTGAAGTCGGAGAGGTTGATGGAGGCTTCCGTGTGGAAGAGTCTGTTGCTGTTCCTCAGTTGGCCGTGGCCGTTTGTGAGAGACATGGCGGTTGGCGTGCGAGTTGCTGTAGACCAAGTTTTGGTATAGCTGCTGTTTGCAATCTAGTTGGCTGCTTGTAGTATTGGTGAAAAGGCGGGGTATAAATCCCGCCTGAGGATGAAGAATTCCGAATAGCAGACGGAGATAGCCCCGATGCCTCCACAGAAAAAGCACCAGCCAGTCTACCCACCTTCAAGAATCCAATGAGAAAGCACAGTGCACACTGACATGACTAAAGCACGAACGACAGCAGGCTGGCCCAGAGAATTTCCCCCAAAACCACGTGAGGATCGGAAACCTAATTCCGTTTGTCTTGAAGAGTTGCAGGTGTCAACTTTGAACTGAACGAGTGTATTCTGCCCTCAAGAGTCAATACTGATGTAATCGTACATGATCCATGTATCCGAAGATGATATAGACATGGTCCAAGTGGACACCGACATGCAGCTCCCAATTTATTTCACTACCCAGCGCTAATTCTATGGCCCAGTTTCACCCGAAAAGAAATGATATCAAAGATAGAAAAAAAAAGGTATAGGTCAAGACGGCCTTGAGACAAGGGGTATTAAACGAAACATCCATTACTTTTGTATTCTATGCGATCACGATTTCGACATCGTTGCATAGCGGGGTATCAGCGGCGGTCATGGCGATGATGCTATTGGATTCGCTCAGCGTGAGAGGATTCTCAGAGAGCGTTTCCACTAGCGAGTCTGGGGGTCCAGAGACGGTAAACAGGGCTTTGAGTAGGACGTCCTGTCTGCCCGCTTCCGAATCGGGCGGTTTTCTCGTGTGGCTCACGAATAGTCGAACCAGTGACCGGATGTACCCATCAGTCGAAGGATGTTGCAGTTTGTCCAATCCGTCAACGATGCATATCAGCAATGGAGGTGCAAAGCTGAGTAAGGTGTCTATCAAGGATAGCACTTCTTTCCATGAGGCAAAAGTGCCATCGAGAACAGCAAACTGATCGGCCTTGATCGTACGGTCCGAGGTACCGTTCGCTACTGGAGGCAAGTGTTCAATCAGTTGGCGGATCAAGCTGTATACAAGTGCTATGAGGCCTTGTTGGAAAAGAGTTAATCCGTTCTTAGCGGTCTGTGGTCTAGAGCAAAAGTGTGTAATGACGGGGAGTTTGGCGTCTAGTGCGAGGTTGGCATAACAGGCCGAGATGAGGGCAGGGTTGGAAACATTGGAATTTGGTGAGCCTCCAATGGCTAAAACTTGAGAGTATGCGTCTGTTGCCCATTGCTGTAACGCTTCAATGGTGCCGTTCTCCACCATGACTCTCACATCTGGTTGGTAGTCGAGGAGTTGGTTGTCGCTATCGAAGAAATCCTGTAGACGTGCCGAAGCTAGCTGTAGTTCGACTCGGGTGTATTTATGCTTCGACGTTTCTGAGGGCGTGGGTGGTAGAACTAGAGTGAGTAGAACCATTAGTTTCACTCATTCATATCTGACGAGTTCGCACTTACGCAGATCTTGTCCTGGAGCCGTCGTCAAACAGACAACACCCTCGGTTTGTTGGCCGATAACTCCAAAACGTTGATTTGCGGTATGGCGCATCTGCTGAAGAAGCACGCCCCTCTGTCCCATCAATCGAGCTCTTCGGTCTGCACTTCGTTGAATCTCACATATGAGCAATCGAGTCAATGCGTTCTGGGCTGCGAATCGCCGATCAATGTTGCGTTTGCCTATTTGACTCAATCGTGCCTCTTCCCATAATCTTATATCCACAGGGTGCGCGGAGCCCCGAGTGTATTGGTAGTTACTGTCGTCGAGATCCATCGCATTGGCCGAGACGTCAACGAATTGGTTTGCGCTATTTTGAATGGTCGAGATCAAGCCCGAGAAGTCGGGGTATACGTCTTCGTGAAGACTTTTTAGCAATCGGCAATTGAATCTCCTTGCATACCAGTCCATCAGTTCACCGAGAAGGAAAAAAGTTAGCGAGTAGAATTTGGCGATCGATGGTACAGAATGCTGTGTGAGCTGCGGTGGCTCGATGCCTGCTGGCGGACAAATAGATTGGTTCACTTGGACCAGAGCCTTCATCACCCCCTCCATGATCCTGGGGTAATTAGCAGCCGCCTGTCGATGTGAGTTAAATATGGCCCCGAAATACATTCGGTCGTGCACGACGACGTACCTTGATGATGGACTGCAGAGCGGCGTACAAAAGCGAAGAGTAGAACTGGTGACTCGGAAGCGTCGTCAATGGGAGCGTATGTGAATCGAGAGTGGCTAAGAAAGTGTCGCAGAGCGTCATCGACTTCCTAAATAATTGTCGCTCTGGCTGGGATGCCCATCCGCTTTGAATATCGCGGATAAGGGCATGGACATCCTGTAAAGTCTGTGGGCGTTCATCAAAATCTACTTGGTCTGGTTGGGGAAGCAGTTCTTGCAGCCTTTTCCAAGCCTTTGCTAGCTCATTGTACTCTATATCGAGAGTCGCAATGACGGGGTTTCTAGGTATCTAGGTCAGCTTCGCCAGCCTATTGTCAGGATAACCTCGAGGCAGGCTTGTCTCTTATCCGGATATCAGATGGGGGGGG